GAATCTGTCGCTTCCATTTTCGGATCTGATTGTCGAAATTTCGACGAGAGATCACCTGATCTTTTCCTGAATTCAACTCTAAGTCGGCATCAATATCTACGAACTTACTTGGTGTAACAGGCTGTCCCTTGACTCGCTCTGACTTGGGAACAGCTTCAATGTATTCCATGTAATCATTGAGCACTTTTCCGTACTCGATTTGTTGCTAAATTGAAAACATGAGGTTAATATTTATATTGATATCACTCACCTCTCGGCGTTCGAGAGTTCGAGGATCGGTTTCGATCTCGACGGGGTAAACCCGCTTGCCCTGGCCCTTGTATCTCTGGTAATTCCCAGCGATAACTTTCTTCTTCTTCTTCCTTGGCGGCTGGGCTTGAGGTTCGGGATCAGGGAGGGATTCCAAATCCCAGTCGAGGTCCTCATCAAGATCAGGAGAAGCAGCTCGTCGTCGTTGCGGTGCTGGAGCATCGTCTTTGTCCGAAGCACCTTTGAAGATTTAAAAAACATATTATATTCTTCACCAACCGGCTACAGCATTGCTGGTTTCATAAACGAATTCCATTGACGCAGTGGAGTCATTGCAAGAGGAGACGGATTTCTGGGACTCTCCGTCTTGGGACATTCGATCTTCCTTCGAGTCTTCGGCAGTGTCCGAATCAGTGATGGAAGCGTTTTCCTTTGCCTTTAAATTAATTTTAGTATTTTTTTTTGGACATTCACTTACGATCTTTCGATTATCGAGTTCTTTGGCAGGCTTGCTGGCTTTCTTGAGGCGAAAACCAGAATCACCGAGAGAGAGTGAAGGAAACTCTTTCTGGTACTTCTCGAACTTACCATCGCACTAAATGCCAAGGATAAAATTGAGTAGTCTTATCAGGAGCAAATCGAAGACGGATAATTAGCTATAACTAGAAGCGGGGAGAATAGATTTATAGAAATCTGAAACATGACTCATTTCATTGAAATTATGAAATGATTGCTGGTTTTTTGAGTGAGAGTGAATTGTAATGCATTTGGCGAATTTCTTCTATGCCAAAGTGATTAGAATAGCGATTATCACCCGGCGACAAGACTGTCGAAACTTACTTTGGCTCCTCGAGAGTCACGCTTGCGACCGCGCTTAGAATTCAATAGCAATGTAAAAAGACAATAAGTGATAAAAAAAAAACTTACAGGTTCTTCGACCTCGAGCTCGTTCGGGGTCTTAACCCGAAGTGGGCCACGCTTGAGCCAGACGTTTTCGGGACCAGAAACTTTGTTCTCGGACATTCTTAACAATTTAAAATGTTAGAGGCAAGTTCTGTCTATCCCAAGGCGAGAAATAATTCGGAGTGAACGGAGTAGTCTCTGGGGGGAGGGGTACGGTCTCTGAAAGGTGGGTGTTCTCTTGGTTGCCCCTATGGCAAGAATGAAAAAATTGAAGTGAGTACCCCTGATGTAGGGACGTATTCTAGAAACACGAAAAACGTAAACACGTGATTAATTTTAGGGATCTTGCCGTCGTCAATACATGAAAAACAACAAAATTCGTTCTAGCGATGAGTGTTTTTAATAAGTTTTCGCAGGATTCTTAGCTCGATTTCCGGAGAAGGTTAAGTCTTTGAGAGCGAGTTCCCAGTCTCTTCGTGATGTTGGCACCCGATCAAATGGTCTCTTGTCTTCATAACAACTTAGAAATACTTTTCGAAAGCTAAAAATAATCATTTAATGAAGAATAAAAGGCTTTTAGAGGTTTAATAGACTTTTGGGAGCATTTATTTCGAGTAAGTCGAAAGTTTTCAAAGTTTTAAAGAATTTACCATTAATACCGAGTTGGCTCAATGTAAATTATGAAAATTTCATGTAGAACTCGTACCTATCTTCTATATTTTCGGTTTTATAGATTTCAGGAAGGGAGTTTTCGAGCGAAGACGATGAGTTTTCAAGGACGCAAAATTTGAATCCGTCTTCTTTCATTTTGGACGACCCTTCCGCCTCATAATCACAAGTTTTTGATAAAGTAAACTGTCGAATTTGGGAGCAGTTTCGGAAATCAAGATACTGCTCTTCAGAAAGCTTTGAAATGTCAGTTTGACAATGATCATACGCTGAGACAAGATTTCGAACGAGGAATTCTCGAAGTTCGCCTTCGTTCGTACTTTTCAGCCAGTGTTTCTTATTACTGTGTTCAAGAGGATGCTACCTATATATTCCGAGTCTATATTCGAAGTTAAGCGAGGTAATTTGCTCGTTTATAGTCAGCAAAACGGGAAAAAGTGAAGTTTTATGAAAGCTTATGCTTTCCACAGTTTAAAATCACTATAAACTTTCTATATTTTTCTTTTTTTATTGAGAAAATTGACTGATTTGAGGGATGAAAAACCGAAATTTCATCGATTTCGACAGTTCCAGATCACCTTTTTTCTTAATCAAAACAAATTATCTCTAGAAAGAATTCTTTCTCGTTGGAACACTGTAAGACTAACTGAACACTTTTCCTGGCAGAGATTAATTGTCTGGTGGCGGTAGTCGTAGAAACCTTGGCCAGAGCAATCATCAATTTTAATATGACGCGTCATATTGAATGGACAGCCCGAATTTTTTAGTCCAAGCAAGATCCCAGCAGTCGAGTAGTCAAGCTTTGTCTAAGTAAGGATTTTCATGGATGAAAACTCATTCGTGACAATAAGATCGAAAATATGAATTGTATGTGCATTCATTAATAACCCTTTGCCAATACCGCTTTAACTTGCGCCGTGATTGTACTTTTATTAAGCTCAGTATTTTCTTCAGGCTTTGGAGCTTCGTTTTTTTGTTCGAAAACGATTCTATTGCGATGTTGCTGCACGTTACCGACAGTTTCGATTTCCGCGCTTATCTCTTTCTGACTAGAGTCGTCACTTATATTCGGCTTGGGGACAAATGTCATTTCAGTCTGTAAAGAATGAAAATTTAGCAAATTCCATCACCTTCTCTTCGGATGATCATGAAATTCAGATTTCCAGGTAGATTTGCTCTTTATTAAATCGATGTGTAAATATTTTTACAAAGCCTTGATGAAAAGGCGAGAAGAGGAACTTGCAATTTATGGATTAAACTTGAATTAAGAAATAAATATTAGGGTTTTGATCGAGGCACTTGGAACAGCTCGCGAATATGCTCGTTTACAGTGAAGCTGGTGGCAGTCGCAGGAAGAGCGCGAATGATATTTAAAGAGAAGCCTCTGAAAGAAAGTCAGCCCGGTCGATCCGGAAGGCAAGCTACCTGTAAATTAAGCGGAAGCCCCCGCGTTGCCACAAGTCTTTCCAGGTGTCCATTATGGAGAGCTTATTTTTCAGCGCTGCTTGAGATTCGATCAAATTCGCGTTCTGCATGCGTCTCTTCGCTGTGTCGATGGGAAAGCAGACAAATTGCGAGAGGAGGCCGGCAGCGATGCCGCACAACGAGTTCATGTACCAATTTGAAACTATCTTTCCTTCAGGAGTCTCCCTTCGCAGCTTCAGTCCGTAGAAGCTCTCCTCCGGATAAGAGAGCACTTTCTCGCGGAGTGACTCGTACGTCCCGAAACTAATTCCAGCGTAAGGAATCATCCCCCACAACGCAGGACTCATTCCATTGAAGAAACCTCTTTTTGAGTTTCAGTTAAATTCTTGTTCTATAAATGCAAAACTTACTTAACGCCACAGCTTGAATAAATACATCGGACGGTCGTCGACCATGTCCTGTAGTCTTGGTCATACTTTGTAGTGAACAGCATACGAGTCCTAATAGTGTCCAGTGGGTAGGTTAACAAAGTCGCTGAGAGTCCAGTTGCAGATCCACAAATCAGATTTTTCACTGGCTCGCTTACAACAAGCTAAAATGTTTTAGAAGAAACGGTATGAATGACAGTAGAATAAAACAATGATAGAGTGCTTTTGGCTAACCTTTTTATTAAAGTATTGGTCCCATTGTCTTTTATAAACGTCTATCATGAGGAACTGGATTCCTGCATATGGAAAAATTCTAATAACGAGTGATGGAAATCCACGCCATAACTGCATGAAGCCTACAATGATTAAAATTAACGATTCGTGGAGATGCGACCAAATACCTTCTTGTCTGACGATTGTTTGAGCAGATTTTATAATTGATAAGTTAGCGTGTATCCTGTGTTCGCCCTGGCGCAAGATTTTGATCCGATCAAAAGGGCTCACCATTCCCTTGGCGATGCAGCCCGCAATGCCGCCGGCGACGAACTCTCGGACACGCCTCGACCCATTATGAATTTCGATTGTGTTCGGTTTAACGTTAGCCTTAGTCGCTACTGCATTTCCACAGAGCTCACCATCGGCCATCTAAATCCGGCTCAGTCTAAATACCGCTTCGTTCAATCAATCTGGTAATCTGTGCGCCAAATTACGTCTACTTCGTCCGTTCGAAAACGCTGTGTTATGGAACAGTCAGAAAGGCTATCGCGTACGCCTGCGTTGAAGGCGCAGAGGCCCGCCTGGGCGATCATCGCCCCGTTGTCGATGCAGTAGCGATCGTCCATAGCACAGAGTCGAGCACCTCGCTCTTCGCACATCGCCTCCATCATCTTTTGCAGACGGATATTACATCTAAAAGAAAATATGAAGTGACCCAATAAAAAAAGATTTAAATTTTACCCCACGCCACCGACAATAAGAACTTCTGTTGAACCTGTGTGTGCCAGCGCGCGTTCCGTCACTTCCACCAGCATCGCAAAAAGTGTTTCTTGTAAGGAGTAGCACAAGTCATACTTGAACTGATTCAATTCTTCTTCACTTCCGCTTTTCGTCTTCGCAAGTTTGGTTACATGGCTTAAAATTCCAGAGAAGCTCATGTCCATCCCTAAGCGATATTTACTGAAGAGAACTTTCAGATTTTCTCACCTTTTATAACGTAGGGCAGCATGATAAACTTTTTTCCTTTTTTAGCGAACTGCTCAATATTGTAGCCGGGCGAGGGGTCATTCGATATTTTTATAACACGGGCAAATCTGTCGAGGCAGGATCCAATCGCGATATCCAGGGTTTCACCAAAGATACGATAACACTGTTTAGAATAAGCAACGACTTGTGTATTTCCGCCGGAAACGTAAAGAATTGTCGGGTTGTCGGCCTTTGTGACGAGCCGTCCCATTTCGATGTGCCCAACGCAGTGATTAACGCCGAGAAGTGGCTTATCCCAAAGTTGAGCTATCGCCCGCGCTACCACTGCCGTAGAAACAAGAGGCGCACCCATACCAGGCCCCTTCGTGTAGCATATAGCGTCAATTTCCGACACTTTCACCTTCGCCTCTGTAAGTGCCTCCTTTAAAATACGCAGGGCGACCTCCCGGTGATGACGAGCAGCATCTATGTTCTACTCCACATCTACTAGAATTTCGAGGATTACCTGGCGGGCGAAATCCAGTACCAGGCGGAGAAATGTAAGTATCACGTGGGTTCGATAGAATTTCTCCGTCTTTAATTATTCCAACGCCAAATTTATTGGCAGATCCTTCAAAGCCTACAACTATAACCATTCTTTAAGTAAAAAATGAAAGATACACATTTATTTCTTCTGAACTATCTATTACACACAATGGCATAAATTAAATAGGCAGCATCATTTACAGAAAAACATACTTGACGCCCGCTGCGGCGTCATTAGCACTTGAAATAACTCAAATCGAGACAAAGAATGAAACGGAAAAAGACAGGCTTGGTGTTGCCGAAACAACGCCTGTTTACTTTGATAGTACTTTAGGGGAGAGTAATCAATTAATGAACGACATTTTTATTTGATTTTCGAAGTATAAAAGCTCGTACGGTGTTAAGAAAAAAGTAGATAAATAGATAACCTTAGATGGAAACGAACAATATAATATCTGTACTAAGAAATGTAAATATATAAATAATAAAAATATTAAGGAGTCAAAGCACCCAGCGATTGACTGTAAGTAGATAGCTGCCTCTTTTTGAATCAGATGATATTCATCAATAAAGAAAAGAGCGATAGTAAAATATATAATAGTAGAGATGAACGCAAGAGTAGCTGCTTGGAAGTCGACGTAGAATAAGAACGAATACTTATCACTGTAACGATAGACAAAGGTCCGTGCCCGGTTTTTCCCTCAAAACAGATGCCGTGACCGAAATAATTAAATATTTGCATCAGAAAGGGAGGAGGAAAAGTATCGATTAATTGATGGTTTAGCTTTACAGAAATAAGTACAGTGAACGAAAATGAAGACTCTAAGACGTAAGAAACGAATTACAAAGTACTGCATGCAGCTAGATAAAAATAGGTTTTCGTCTACATAAAGTTTTGATTATATACAGTGAGTCGGTACTATAAGTCAAGCTTGAAATTAGGTTGTTTTTGGGAGCCTTTTGACATCGTAGACTGGCTCCCGCTTGAGAGCTGTTCATTCTGAAGCATCTTCTGAAAACGATCCAAATAGTGAATCGACGAAGATAGGCGCGCAAACGCATTGAACATGGCGACGACTTCATTTCTGTCGAGCTTGTAGTCGGTGATTTCAGCAGGAGTGAACAAGATCTTAATATAGCCGTAAATATCGCATCGCGAAGCACCTAAATACCTTCAAGGCAGTGCCGAGACCGTGAGTTTGTAACTTGCCCCAGAGACGACACTTTTCGCAAGCAGCGCAGTCGATAATCGTCGTGACATTATGGAAACGGGATCGAAACTCCTCCTTTAGAATGCTTGCTCGTTCTCCCTTAAAAAGCTGCGTTTCGTCGAAGTGCATCGGAAAGTTGACCACACTGTCTAGCAGTTTTGAAATAGATTCCTTCATAAAGTCGTCTTCTTCTCTATTGCCTGTGAACAGGGATGTACATTTTCCAAAATTTTCGACTGCGATGCGGTGCGAACTGCGATTTTTTTTCGAGGATTTTCTGCGGTGCGAACTGCGAGATCCAAAATTTTCTCTTCGCAGTGCGACGCAGACTGCGATTTTCTGCGAACAGCGGAAAAAAACAGAAAACTGCGGAAAATTCTGCGATTTTCTGCGAAACTGCGGAAAATAAGTAGAAACTGCGGAGAATTCTGCGACTTTTTATGAAAAAGTGCGAAATTTTCTGCGAGATGCAATTTTAGTCAAAAGTCATTATTATGACGGGCACATTCTTCAATGATTTTTGAGTTTAAGTCTTCGGGCCGTCTCAGCCCCGTTCCATGATTTTTAAGTTTAAGGGCTTGACGGCCCTTCGGGCCGTCTCAGCCCCGTTCCAGGATTTTTAAGTTTAAGGGGCTTGACGGCCCTTCGGGCCGTCTCAGCCCCGTTCCATGATTTTTAAGTTTTTAAAATATTCAATTTTTTACTGTTTTTGGCCCAATTATGGTTTTGATTTAAAGTTTGATAAAATTGGGTGAACGGCGGCTTGGTTAAACGGAGACCACCCTACGACGCCTTTTTCGTGGTTTTCCAGTTACTCTCAAGAGAAAAACTTGAAAAAATTGCTGGAAAATGACCGCAGAATCCGCAGTCTGCGAACTGCGAGATTTATTAAAAACTGCGGAAAATGACTGTGAAAAAATCGCAGTTTTCGAATATTCTGCGAAAACTGCGGACTGCGGTGCGATGTGCATACATGTGCTCTGACTGCGCTGCGAAGTGCGAAATTCCGCAGTTCGCAGGTCGCACTGCGAAGATTTCTGCGATTTCCCCACTGCGAATGTACATCCCTGGCTGTGAAGTACTGGAGCTTGGAAAGGTAGGGCGCCGCTTTGGCGAATGCGCGCATTTCCAGTAAATAGACGAAGTAGAGATTCTTTAAGTATGTAGCTCCTTTGGAATGGTCAAAGCGACGCTTGAATTCCTCGAGATTCATGTTCCAGTCGATCTTGCCGAAGGTACCTTCGTAGCGGTAGATGGCAGATAGATGAAGGGAGATAGAACTACGAACAAATAAGCAAATATCTCCTTGTCAAAAAAGCTTACCTGTGTAAACCAGAAACCACTCTGTAGAATATTTTCTTCTCGAGACATAAGCCAGATAATGGGGAGTCAGGTACGTTGTCGTAGTTCTGATTGAAAGAGGCAAGATCGTTTTGAGTCATTGGCCAGGGCTCTGGCTGGAAACAATTCTCTTCGTATATCGCTCGCCAAACTTTATGGGCAGATTCGCCATCGTACCCTGTAAATCGTTCCGGATTTTTAATCAAATCAATAAATTCTAATAAACGGTTTCAAAGAGTTAACTCTTATAATTAAAATTATCAAACGTGAAGATATCAGAATACATCAGTTAAGATGAAACCACACCCATGTTTGGATCTTCTTCACTGTCTACATCACAAAACTTGATTCCTCGCATGTCGAAGTTCTTCCAGTCTTTGAAGGCGGACTTTTGCTCTTCGGTGATAGATCTGTTGACAAAAGACATTTTATCGACTTCAATTTGTCTGGTCTTGTTGTAGGCTGCTCCGTCACAATCTTCGGGGATCTGAGCTCCTTTGATGCCAGACGGGATTTGATCAGCTGGGCAGCTTTGGACCGTGCATCCTCCGGAAGCGAAACGGCACTTGAAATCCAGATCCCAAAACTTACATTTACGCTTCGTGTTTGCCTTGTAATAACGGAAGAAGTCGCGCTGCACAATGGACGCAAGATGGGGATAGATAACCTCGTTGTTGTATTTGTCAAGCTCTGGAATCTCGCACGAGCAATCGTCTAGATACCCGGATAGTTCGCTAATATTCGGATCGAGACATATTTCAATTTTAATGCTTATTTTATTTCTCGATTAGTTATCGAGTTATCGACGATAACTATACTTTTGACATTGTTTCGATCCCCAAGCAGAAGCACTGTGCGTTTTCAAGTGAAGTATCAATTGCGAAGACGAATCCTAGGCAACTCAGAACCGACCTCATTGCAGAGCACTAAGTCCGATCTCTTAAATCCAGCGGTTTATTCTTTGTTTTATTTTTAATGTTGGTTGATAGCATGATTATCATCTTCATAATTACAATAAAGGGAAAAGAAACCATGGTAATTACGCGTGACGCTCCGGGATAGGCCTTGGAAATGATGACCTGGCGTAGGTGTCATTACTTTACTCTAAGGACATGTGGCCTTATGCAAATGTGAAATAGGCATTTACGATGTTTCGTAAAAGTACAACTTATCGATTTTCACGACTTCATAAACGATAAGTCAATATTGTCAGATTCAGTTTAATTCAATCCGATCATAGAAAGATATTTTTATACAAGAAGTATTTTACAGCAGATATTGCATTTCTATACAAGCTTTTTCATGAAATACAATCAACCGTTGTTAACAATAAATAGACATGAAATGAGAAGAAAGTTTATGTGTTTTTTTTTGCTCTTAAAACTTGTAACAAACTTGAAATTGAGAATAATACACAGACAACAAATCTAAAAGTATCAAACATTTTGCTTCGAGTTATTTTAGCTCCTTGTTTGGTGGATAGTTCTTCGGTTACAATGAGCACTTAGTTGAAGGAAAGGTGATTGAATATGCGAATATGCGAATGCGAACGAAAAGAAAATCTCTCTGAATCAATCCAAAGCGTCGGCATCGAAATTGTCGGACGGCGGTAAATTAGAGGCAGAATGCGATGGCGCGCTAGGAGGAATGAACTGAACATTTTCTTTATCGTGGATTCACAATCACCAAATTCAGTAGCAAAGGGTAATGCTGGTGAACCCGCTCCTGATGTGTTATTGCCCCGGTGTCCTTCAGCGGAAAGGGTTGTGCGGCAGACAGGACAGCTATTGTGGAGCCTAAGGAAGAGTTTCAATTTAATTGCCTCGACTCTCTTTTCGTGCAGCTTCGCCAGATGATTACATAACGATATATAACCATACCTTTTTAGAATCCTCTCCGGACTTATTAATTTCCGGTTTATATCGGATTTTTACTTTTAACCCCTGCCCGCATGCAAAATTTGTTACCCTTGCCCGCATATCGACCTACGCGTAGGTCGGGCCTTTTGAGGGTCTTTCAGTCGTGATAAAATTTTCGAAAGGACATGAATCGAAAGATAAAAGGCTGAGCTATCTTCTGGACATGATCCAATGTCAAATGTCAAATGTCAAATGTCAATAAATGTCGTTTTTCCGAAAGTACCCATTTTTTATCAAAAAATAAGTCTTTAGAGCTCCAAATCTCGTCCAAAATCAACTCAAATATTTTCATACAGTCATAAATACTGTAAAAATCGAGAATTCCGAACTTGTTTTATCTACTCAGCGTTTATCTTAATAATTTTACTCAACTGAAAAATTAAAAAGGAAGAAAATTGATTCGAGATCAAAATTTCGCTCAATGGCTAAAATCCAAAATTTTCGAAAAAAATTTTTTTTTGACCTCAGATCCTGATTCTGCATTAAAAAGTACCACCATAAGTGGGGGTCAGCTTTTTAGAAAATATTTACCAAACGCGAGATAATTGCGTTTGAAAGTCAATTTACCTACGCGTAGGTCGATATGCGGGCAGGGGTTAAACCATCAAAACAAGTACTGAAGTGCCTCGTTTGAAATCATTTAAAAAGGTATAGTATTACTTACACAACCCCAGGCTAAATAGATTATTTTCCGGCAATATTCGGATGTCCAAGGGGGTCGAAATTTTTGGCCGAGGCAATTAAATTGAAACTCTACCTAAGCCAATCTCGAATACAAGGCGGATGGAACATGTGGCCACACACAGGCAGTTGAATCACCGTGTCATTGTTCAATTCAAACTCGGTCAAACATACCGAGCACTAAAACGATAATAGATTACAGAATATTTTACGTTGACTCTCACCTCTGTACATTGTTTCTGCAGGTCAAGGTTAAAAATTTCTGGCTGGAGACTCTCTAAAACTTCTTCAGAGGCAGGTGGAACACCACCTTCGACTTGAGAAAGCAGCTTAATTGATTGTAAGTGAGAAAGTCAGGTTGAAATCGAACCTGTGAAATCACATCATCGAGGCCATTTGCACCCCAGGCATAATCATTCAAATTCATAGGCGCTCCTAATCTAATTTCGCCAAGAGGTCCAAATTGAGTTCCTATTTGACCTGAAAATCCTTAGAAGAATACTTCCTACGAAGATACTAACCAACAATGAATTGTTCAAGAAGGGATGAAACTTGTCTTCCGAATCCAAGTCCTTCTCCGAACAACACATTTTGTCGTCTTTGACCGAGATCCGATTCGTTGCCAATCCTAATACGACGTGCCGGCTCTTGGGGCTCTTGGGGTTGTTCCAACTCCTCGATGAAGCCCGATTGACAGTTTCTACATTGAAGCAGTGCATCATCAATTTGCACTTGACTGTCACATCGATGACAGTAAAAGCGCCGCATTCTGAAATAAGAAAATAATGCGTTCATAACTGGCATCTCTAGCTTTTCTGTTCAAAATTTGAATAAGTTAATAATATTGAAGTTGACATAAGCTCTAGAGTTCACTTGAGTCCCAAGGTGCTCCCAGTCCGCGATTGGCAGTTGGTGAACCAGCTCGACGGTGCTGAACTTCTTTGTTGTATCGGTGAAGCGTGTCTGTGTATCGGTTTGCATACCAGTCTGCCTTGCGAACTCGATGATCAAACGAGTTCTTCTGCAAGTAACGAGCATCGTTACTTTGTTGTGGGACACTGAGAACAGTTAGGATGCTTCTTTATAATCTTGTTTACCTAACGCGATCAAAACGCAACCTTTCCGACCAATTTCGAGTAAAATTTTTAAAAATGCTATTTCTCAGCATTCTAAAGGAGAGTTTGACAAGCGTATTTTTATGAATAAAATCACAAAGCGAATTTGAAATATATTAGAATGGATTTGAAAAATTGAAAGGGGAAGGAACATGGTAACGAATGTAGTTTATCAGTAGTCTTCGTTTCTACGGCTGTGAGCGATATATGAGATGAGTTTCAGCAGCATCTCAAACTGAGCGCTGTTCTGTATCATCATGCATCGTTGATTTCTGATTTTTTGCACAATATTCTAAGTAAAATATAAGTTAAAGAGCTCACTTGCGATGCTTACAATTGGATTTACGGAAATGCGCTGCTCCAGCATCGCCATGCACGAGTCAAGCGCGATGGTTACGCCAGTGCGCCCTACACCAGCGGAACAGTGTACCAAAACAGGCTCTGGAGGTGATAGCTGTTGACGCACATTGTGGAAGAATTTCAAAAAGTCGTCCGGGTTGTCAGGGACGCCATGGTCTGGCCAGTCCGTGTATTGCCAGTGGCAAACTAGAAATGGATGTCAACAAAGTATGGCCATGAATGTTCTTCTTACCTTTTCGAGATTTTCCCGAATTGTGACAAAGAACGAAGATGCGCCTGACAGCATAGTCCAAGAACTCCTCTTCCTCCATTATCACATCAATCGAGTCGTACTCTTCGGCGATAAATAAATCCGACGGCCAGTATTGGGCGCATTTGTCCTGCATACACTCAACTGTCCTGCACAACATGATAATAGAAATAACGTCGGTTTCCCAAACACATTTCCAAAAATCATTCACTGTGTTTTCTAGAGGGCCCTGCGCCGCGATCCATTGTCTAATGATAGTGTCTACACTTTTTGATTCTTTGATTTTACCTGTGAAAGTTTCCGGTATGAATATCGATCCAGCTTGCATTAATGTAGGTGTTGTTTGAGAGTTTCACTCGGGTATCATCGTAAGGGAGTACATCTCTATAGCGATTTTTAACTTGATGTTGTTGACGCAATGATGTTGCTCTAGATAAGTCGTGACGAAGAGTTGGAATTTGCTCGAACTGGCGGACAAGAGATCCTGATAAAATTCCCTCTTTAACGGCGTTCAAGGATTCTTCGAAACTCTTTGATTCGCGGTAGACAACAACAACCAGCCTAACAAGGACTTCAGGGAAAAAGTAATGAACAGCTTTTTTCATCGTTTTCAAAAGATAAAAATATTAAGCCTTTCCTTTCAAGAGCAAGTGATGACTGTATGGACTCCTTTATCTGATTGTAGGTATGTTCCCTTACAGGAACACCATTGACGCTTAGTAAGATGTCACCAGGTAACAATCCGTGATCTGCATTAGTGATTGTAGGATTTAGGCCTGATAAATAAATTATTATGAAAATTGTTGATTCGACTTTACCTTGGTCGATTCCACCGTAAAACTGCAGGCCGAAATCTCCTCTTGAGTTGGGTGTAATTGAGTACTCCCATCGATTCTTACCGACATTATCAGGTAGAGAAGCATTGGAAAGTGATGTGACTGGAGTGAAGGGATCAGTTTCGAACTATGAGAAGAGTTATGTTTATAGTAAATTATACTAACAAACCGTTGAATGAGCAAGGTCTGGAGACATAATTTGATGGCTCACTCCGAGTCTTGGCGATCGTAGTAGCTGTTCATTTTGATGTCCATCGACTTGAACTCTTATGTCAGGCTTTTTCGTTTCAAGGATGTACTCTTGAGAACCAGCTGGAGTTTTTAAGAGATTTGTTCCAGGCTTCGAGGAGGAGTCGGAAGGTTCTTTTTGTGCGCAAGAGGTCGTGCTGTATCTTTGTTGGGTTTAACTCGGTAGAAGATGTGGTAGTCCATCATTGAGGAAAATAAAGAGCGAGCTATCAAAAGTAAGCTTTATTCCTGAACTCGTAGAAATAAGTACCTCTGGTAAAGGAAGCAAATTGGAATGTCTGGTGAGGTAATTCTACGTTCTTTTTGAATTTGATGAAGAAATTTTTTTCTCGATATCTGAACTCTTTTATCTTGTTCCACTTAAAAAATCGCGCACATTTGGTCGTTTTGTACTCGTCGCTTGTCCAGAGGTAGTATCCATGGCAGTGAAGACCCAGGAAGAAATTGGAGCTATTCATCTGCACTGGGAATGTCTCCACTCCATAGTAGGTAAGCTGTTGGCCAAGCGCAAGGAATTTTTCCATTGCTTCCTTCCTCCCCATTCCTCGGTATTTTCGATGATAGTTAATCACTTTTTCAATGAAAGCTTGATCATTAAATAGATAGTTTTCCCCAGGCATGTCTCCGTGGTCAATCTGCAGCTGTAGGGCACCCATTTTAACGATTACGTCCTTGCGCTCCTTGTCTGTTACGACAAGCCGTTCGCTGGCGATATCGGATTTCATTTGAGCGAACAAACATGATTGAAAATCAGCAGCGGAGCATTTTTCGGTGTTTCGAGGCCAGAATCGTATTCGGAGCCTAGCCACGAACTGACTGTTTCTAAGAGATCCATATTCACGTTTCAATTGTCTCTCTATGGTCTTCTCCTTCGCGAGCCATACTCCTGATTCTAGTTGAAGACCAAAATTGGGATACTGTTTGATGCCATGGAATTCCTTGGATCGACTCAGCAATTCCTCGCCGGAAGTCTTTTTATTGAAATCAAAATCGACACACGATCCAGTCAGGAATTGTACGGAAAGCGAAAACACCTCATTATCCATTCGCCCGTCAAGAAACAGATCTCATTCTAGATAGAGAAAGTTAAGCTTTCTTGATAAATGTGATCGGTTAATTTTGATAGTCTAATTTTCAATAACGGAAGGCGCAACCACTGTTTGAAGTAAAGTGGCATCTTTCACATAGAAGGTTCCTTTGAATTTGATTCAGGAGTAAAAGCAACATCTCCGTCTCTTTCTATCTACAGTGCGCGAAGAGAACCATACCCAAATAAATATTGCAGCAGTTTATCTGCTGCAAATGATCCGAAGAAATCAGTTGAGGGATTTAAATACGTTTCTTATACATCTAGTGAAAATTTCACTGAAATAAGTGTTTTTCTATGAGATATGATTTCAAATCCCAACACGAATATAACGATTTGTGTCATAAAGTCACTGAACTCCACGGGAAAATGTATGATTGAGAAGTATTCCGAAATCTAAGGGATTGAGTGAGCTTGACTTTTTGATTATGGATAGTACCCATGGAAAGAAATTGCTTGCGAGAGCAAGAGAAAAGAGACCGACGCTGCTAAGCGCCCAAAAGAGTTGCTTGTTCTCCATAAACGGTGTCATGAAAGGCGCGCCTCTATAGTTTACAGCGAGCGTATTGACCTAAAACAACAAGGATCGACCAACTAACTATCGCAGAGAGCGCACCTGCATCGAAAGCGAAATAATGTAAACTGCTGAATTGAGGAGGCTCAATTCAAACTCCGCTTCCAAATCAATCGGTTCATCCGATGGTGGCTCTTGCTCTTCTGCTCTTTTCACAACGGTGAACTTAGTTGGGGATCGTTAAAACTTGCTAAATAGTTAAATAACGTCCTTTCCATTTGAATCCACGTTGGCAAGCAGTAAAAATGAACTGAGAACTGCGCGAGGACCGTCAGAACGGAATATAAATTGAAGATATTTGGCAGTGGGCGTCGACGAGAGAGCTTGTCCAGAGGCTCCGCTCGCGAGATAAATAAAAAGCATAAAGCTATCAGGAAAGCGAGGAGTGTATACTGTCCATCGGAAAATTTAATTCCCTAAAGCTGCATCAACGAGTGTACGCGTAAAAGTGTGACCGACCTTAAGGTAAAGTGCTGATTGAGAGTAAGCAGATATGAGCGAATTCAGCGCCAAAATTGAGAACATCTGCAATGTTGTGACAAGTGTACATCGCCCCTGTTTAATCACATGTAAAACGGCAGCGGGTGAAGGTTTTCTTGAAGTAAAAGGGGCAGCAATTGATGCATCTCCTAATTGAACATATTGTGGGCCTTCCATTTCTCCGAGCTCATCCATCAGCCTCGCATAAGTCTCTTGTAGCTGTGGGTTCTGTTGGATACGTTGTTGCCCTTAATCCACATATTTATTGTGTAAAGCTTAAGCATCCATACCGAGACGAGCGTATGTCGCAATTTCTCTTTGTTTTCTCATGTATGAATGTTGTTTATCAATCTTTTCGCCAACAGTCTGACTGAGGAGGGCTACTCCGACATGACTTTGGCGGAGAGCACCGACATCATTCGTTCCATCCCCACACATAACAGTATGGAATCCGGCTGCCTTCAATTCGCATATTATTGTCTCTTTTTGCCTGGGCGATACACGCGCGAAAACACGAATCTTTGGAATGAGTTTTCTCAAAAACTCATCACCATGATTTTCACTAATCCACGTAAATCCCTTTCCACCGAGGCAGAGATCATCATCTGGAATTTCTGAAGCTGCAAATTCAATCTCCTCATCAAGTCGCCGCCAAACGAAATCCGATTTCGCGGGCCTGTTTTCGAATGTGTATATTTTCGTTTCGTCGTCTACAATCATGTCGGTTTTTCTCGCTACGTGAACCGCCGTCAACTGCGCGTCTCCTGTAATCATGGAGACGTAGTGACTCGACTCCTTGAGAGCTTTTATAACCTCAATCGTATCATCTTTCAGTGGTGATGCGGTTACCAGAAATCCTCGGAAGTCGAAGTCTCTTTCAATCTGATCACGCTCGGCCTGGACCATCTCGGATCTCGTTTCATATTCAAGCGATCGTGAGCCCAATGCCAGAACTCTGTAGCCATCTCGCGCCAGTTTTTTGTGAGTTTTTTCATACCATTCCGGGACAGCCTTCAGCCTCACTCGGATGGCTTCTGCAGAGCCTTTAATGACAGCAGTATACTTGGCTCCATTTTCATCAGGCTCATGACTGAGAACGGTGCTCATTCTGGCCAAGGCGGACGAAAAGTAATACTTTCTTTCGATCTTTATAGCTTTGTGATCTCTGGATTTATTCAGCGGCGCACAAGTGTCTCCCTTGAGACTCCAGTTAATTTCTTTCAAAATCGTAATTTCCAATGGATCTCCAACAAGTTGTTTATCATCGGACATATGAAGCGCGTGTGCACCCGCGAGTACTCTTGTAGTTTCGGGAGAAAGGTCAATTACTGGGACGACTTGATTCGGATCATCTCTCACACCCGCGACCCCATCAATAACTACTTCATCTTGAGTGAGTGTTCCAGTTTTGTCGAAGCAGACAATATCTATTTTACCAGCATAAGGGATTCGGAACGGTTCTGTACAAAATAGACCAAGTTTGTGCAGGGCTAACAGGGAAGTATTGACAGCCAAAGAGAGTTGGATCGGAAGTTCTGGAGGGACAACTGAAGTAAGAATATATGTGCATTCCAGTAATAGCTTGTATTTTGATTTTGTCTCATCCTTGCTCCCCTCAATGTACAAGTGAGCAGAGGCTGCGATTGCAAACATCAATAGAATGCCTATGAACAATCCAGTCTCTTTGTTATTCGCAGTCACGCGCTTCGAACCGTAGAGAATAGTTCGCAAAAGTTGCCCTTGAGTTGTCGAAAACCCCGTTCGGATGACTAACGCCGGGCATCCCTTATCAGTAGGTCTAAGAGCGCCGGTTAGATTGCTAGGGAGGCCGTCTTTCCCAGCTGGAATGAACTGAAGAATCTTCGTGCCACCATTAATAACGGACACGCCATTGTCTGCCTCAACAAATGTGGAAGTCATATCGATTTGATCAATGCCTTCTTTCACCTGAGGAACTGACTCGCCCGTCAAAAGAGATTCATCACAAATTAGTCTTCCCGACAAAAGAATAAGATCACAAGGCGCCAATCTTTCGTCTGGCTCAGAGGCCTGTCTAGGATTTTGTTGTCTCTGGGGTTGGCTTTTGTTCGTTACTTGATTCTTGGGTGCAGAGCGCAACGATACAATATCTCCTGGTACGAGCTCCTCAGAGCTTAGTGGAATCCATTTATTGTGGCGATAACATAAAATTGGATAGCCTTTATTCCCCATGTTCCGAATTTCGGACATATTTTTTGCTGCTGCTTCACCAAAGTACTTTCGAACATCACCAGCATAAACAGAGTAAACAACGAATAGTACCAATACTCATCAAGGCACCAGAGACCAACGCAAAACACTTGAAAGACGAAAAACGGAGCGGTCGCTCTTTCAATGAACAGTTCTTTGAATGCGGGAAGTTTTATTTCCATTTTGTTTAATGAATATCTTTCGACAGCTTGGAAGAGATCAGCTTGAGTAGTTATTCCGTTTTGCTTATACAATTCTTCCACTCTTCGCTCCGTATCATATTTGCGTTTGACGAACAAATTCTTTTTCTCGTCGTAAAAGTACAAAACTTTCTGGAATTCGAATAAGTAGAGTGGTTTACTACCGTAAACTCTTTTCTTCGTGAGGAGGTTAACAATTTCTTCCTCTCCATTATTTGGCTGTGGCTTGACTCGTACGAGATGAGCTGTATTTACGTCTGTCGCGTCAATGCACTCAATATAACATCGGATAGAACACGACCATTTTGTCAACAGCCAAATAAGAGCCTTCAACATGGCAACCGGCAGAATACAGAGTGGAATAAGGAAAAAGGAGACTCCATGTAAAGCCACACCGCATGCAACAGCTGCATTGAAAACAAAGAAAAACGGTCCTGAATTCGCAATGTGAGGCCAACCTTCATACCAAATTGAATGACTTTGCTTCCGATTATGCAAAGAGATCGACGACACTAAGTCATCGGGCTCTATTAGCATTCTGAAAGCGTGCAAATGAGAATGCAAAAATCATGTTTAGAGTCAAGCTTTCAAGAAAAGTAAAGGCAGTGTTGGATCAGGTTTAATGATGAAGATAATTTGATGACTACTTATTCACTCATGACTTCACTTTCTACTTCATTGCAAACATCAAGCAGCTCATCATACTCGGAATACAGTCTTTGTAAGGCAATGTTGGATTGAATTGTATTTAGTATATCGCGGAGAAGTACTCGCTTGGAGAGCCCAATAATATTTGGTTCCCAATCACTTTCTGACTGGTGAACTGGTCCAAGAAGAAAATCGCAGAGCTGGAATTCACTTTAGATATTGGTATTTTAGCAATAACCTACTTCTTTCAGTCGTGGGCGCATATTATGTTGAGATATATGCGCGGCATACTGAATAAGGCCCTGTCTATAATGATTAGGATCGTCGTTTTTGATCGCGAGATTTAGATCTTCTTCATATCCTGCAGCGAGAAGTTCGCTTACTAAAAAGAGCTTCAAAACGAGCTTTTTAGAACTTCTTAGCGCATACAATGTTTTCCAGTCGCATATGCAGGTTGACGATGCTGATCTTCTAGGTGCGTTTGTATTTCCGGATCATTGAAAAGGGTCCGACTATAGACGAACGACGCTGCCTTGTGGACGACATACCAGCGATGCGACTTTTCGTTCCATTGCATAACATTACCGCTTTCGGTAGATATGTTAATAGCGTTGAGCCTCTTTGAGTACTAAAATAATTTATTTATTTTAACTTATCGCTGAAGATAATTATTACCCAAACTTCACGAGGATTTGGAATACAACCAAGTTCTGCTCGTACGTCAGGTAGCTTTTGATCAAGATCTCTCAGATACAACGTTCCGTCAACTGTTGACAAAAGCATCATGTTCTCAAAAAGAGCAAATGAATGTATTGAACCGATATACTCAGTGAGATCGCTACGCCTTCCACTATCATTCGAAAGAAAGACCAGTTCGCCTTCTAGCGTGCAAAGAATTATTTTGCTTTTATAAACATCGAGCGCGACAATGGACCCATCAATAACAGATTTCCATGTTGATTTTTCATCAGCAATGATCGTTCGCCCGTCTTCGCAAAAAATACGCAGTTGAAGTGAGCTCAAAGCTGCTTTGATCTCGCTAGGATTCGGAGTGATGCCTGGTAATTTTTTACGCGAAACTATTTCTTCGTCAGAATCTTCTTTCTTCAAATCTTTTTGTTTTTTAGATTCATCCTTTTCATTATCACTCTTTTTTGGGTCGCTTGTTTCAGAAATCTTTTCTGGCTCACCTCTCTTCTTGCGTCCCTTTTTCCCTCGAACTTTTTCTTCTGTGACGTCTTCTTTGGCTGGCCGGTTAAAACTTGGCAAGCTGACTTCGATTTTTTCTTTTGGTTTCTCCTTCAGCTTTTCTTTTAACGCTAGTGGTGCTTCTTTCGCAATTGTTTTTGGAATGATTTTATCGTTGGCCTTTTCAAGCCTTGACGACATGAGATCTTCCAGCTGATCCTCTTTCTTTTTGGTGGTTTTCTCTTTAGCTAAGTTATCGGCAGTAGCTTCAGTATTTTTGTCGGCGTGTTTGACGATAATGTTTTCTTTGTTCTCTTCTTCGGGAACCTTTTTCGAATCGTCCTTGGAAACACTTTTGACGGAAGAGGACACATTTGGAGGATTTGTTGCCTGAACAATTTAGATAAACGATGAAATATCAAAGAGTGTTTCACCTTTTTCTGTGGCGTAGTGGGATTACCAAAAGGTTTGACAGAACTCGCTGATATCCCAGTGACAAAAGCAGGAGTGATTCGTTTCTTGCCATCCTTGCGCTTGACTTCTGAACAATAATGATAACGCTAAGGCGAATAGTAATTGGGATACCGATTTGTTTTGTTGGTCCGCGCTGGACTTCTTGCATCACGGGTTTATTTCCGTTTTGCGCCAGGTGTATTAAAGCCGGATTTTCAATAATAATATCTCGAAGATCTTGAGCGGTTGAACCGTAATGTTCTTTAAAAAAGATGATTTCACTAGTCTGCCGGAAAATACACACCTTCAAGCATTTTATTCATATCAGCGTAGGAGATTTGCGAACCCAATTCGTCTTCCCTGAAGTGAAGAAAAGCTGCGGCACCATCCCAACTTGTAGCCGCGAGGATCAGCCCAGAAGAGTCCCAAGAAAGATCGAGAATGGAGTCGTCGAAAATATCGTGAACAACCATTATAGGCCGAAGGAGCGAGGTCATCCAAACAGATATTGAGCAATCGCGAGAGCCTACAGCGCAGACCGGCGTCTTTACTCTATTAGTGCGCATATTCAAGCTCGGGGGAGTATCTCGACAAGTGGGAGCGAAACGAACGCAAGAAACTGATTTTCGGTGACCGACTAAGTCGAACGTCGTGATCCATTTTCGGCTAATTACTTGTCCCGTCGGAGCCCCATTGTTCACCGCAGAGCCCGCGAGAAGATAGAAACCATCTGGACTCCATGATATTCTCATCACATGTCCATTCATGGAGTCTTTAAAGGGCCCTGAAACTGATTTCTCTTCCTTCCAACTTATTGTACTCCAAATTCTGACAGTTCCGTCGGCTCCTTGAGAAATAATCGGCTTCAATTTATGCTAGATTGAATACCTTGGGATGCGAGATAGTTTCCAACGGGGTCCCAAGTAACGCCCTTAACAAAGTTCGTGTGGCCACGTAATCTTTGAATCTGGTTAAACTTGTTATCAACATCCCAAATGATTATAGAATTGTCTAATGACCCAGAAGCTAGATATTTGTCGTTCCGATTCCAAGCTAAATCGATAACATCCGCGTCATGTCCTTAACACATTCTAGCTGAGAGGTCGGCTTTTGTCGGTCTACCTTGCAATCGATGTAAGCATTTCCAGTTTTCTTCCTCGACGCCGTCCTTTTTCGACTTTCCCGCGAAAATCCAAATCATGATGAGACGATCATCGCCGCCTGATGCCAAATATTTGCCAGACAATGTCCAGCGGACGACATTCACGCAAGCCATGTGGTTGAACATTGCGCACAAAAGTTTAGGGCAGGTTGGATCATCTGCCTTTTTCTTTGAAAGGATCGGAGCCATATTCCATATTTGAATCTTGCCTCCTCCCTGGCCAGAGCAGCCTCCAACAGCGACTCTCGAGCCGTCGGGATGAATGTCGCATGAAATAAGCGGGGACTTTTCCTCGACTATCCATTCCGGTTTTAATATTTTCATACTTTCATATAAACGTCATATTCTCTAAGAAGGACTTCGTCAAAGCTCACGAATAATTTTTGATATTTTGTTTATTGAAGAAAGGTGGAACGAGCTGTATGGCGACATATTGGTTATGGTCACAAAGAATAAAAAAATAGGCACATTTTCAATGCTGAAAGCAAAGTGGCTCAACGAAAACGTAAATTGAAATAGATTCTAGGTCTCTTGTGGTTGAATGAGATAAGTAATGAGATACTCAGGATAAGATTGCTCGCCGCGATAGATAACGTATTCCGGGTGACAAAGGCCGCCGATAGAAGGCTTACCAACGACACTTAAAAATGTTAGAATACCAATCGTCTGGCAAAATTTACCTGTGGTGACCGGGAGGAGCATGCGCCAGCTTCTGAGCATTTGTTTGAAGAAAACTTTTGCCCAAGGTAACGCGACAAAGCAGCATTTGCCTCTTGCATACGTAGCAGCTTTTGTCTCTGTGTTCATGACATCCAGTTCCACCTCCGATTCCCCAGACATATTGGTTAGACTTGGAAGAATTTTCTGCAAAATAAATACCCGCGCCGAACATCCCACCGATACTAAAGGAAACCAATATGATTTGCTTTTATTGGAAGAGCTTACTAGGCGTGCCGCTCGTCGAATCCTTTCTGTATTATAGCTTGAATAAAAGGCGAACCATGGAAAAGCATTCGTTCATTTGCCGAGCCGTAGTTTTCTTCCTTCACCTCGTCTTTTCTGTGGAATCAAATAATGCAACAGCGATTAATAGCAGTTACGTACCTCCGCTCGTAGCGAATCCACAAACGAGGATTCTTCACTTTTTGAATCGAACAAATTTTAAAAGATTGATAAATTCCGCCAGCGGCACCGAAATCCTTGTGTTCTCGTATAGTTTGTTGCATTTCGTCATACACGGACTGATACTCAGCCATCTCTTCGTCCAAGTCCTGGAGTGTCACGACAGGCTGGTTAGCTAGATTGAGTTGAAATCGGACAATCCCATTACTTATCAAGTACCTTGAATAATAGAGCTGTCAGGACCAGAGCACTGCTTGCGAACTGCTCTAAGGAGTCGATGTCGATGCCCATAAGCTTTTATACCAAGATTTTTGAGCTCATCGTGGCTGATTTCCGCGAGAACGTCCAGTGTTATCTCTTCCTGCTCGAACAGGGCAATATACTTTTCAAACTCAGTTCCGGCCAGGAAATTTTTCATCGCCTCCAAGTTAGCAGCTTTTGGCATTTGTTAGACATAGATCCTAAGTAGACTCTTACCAAGTGTTTGTGAAGGAGGATCTTTGTCTTCAGTCGATTCGCGCTGAGATTCTGGAGTTTGATTTGGCTCACCTTGCCACATTGCATCCCTAAACCGATTATTTCCAAGTTTGATTGTAACGCTCTACCTGAGAAGACACCGAACATCATCCTGTGAAGCGACCTCTATCGTCGTCTGTCCTTCTTGATTCTTGACGTAAGGATCGGCTCCGTGAGAAAGCAAAAGTGCACATAGCTGGGTCCTGCCTTTCTGCGCTGCTTCGTGAAGTGGCGTGAATTGCCATCTATCATTCGCATTGACGTGACTTCCATGCTTCAGGAGCACTTGTGCGATTTCAACATGTCCGTATGAAGCGGCATTATGAAGAGGTATCAATCCTCCTCTGTCTTCAGCATTGACATCCGCACCGTATTCGATTAAAATCTCCGCGACTTCTGAATTCAACTTATAAATTTACTCTTGCAGCTAACAAGGGCTCAAGCTCACCGATATTGTTATAGCCAGCTGCCAAGTGAAGGGGTGTGGAATTTCGCCCATGCGTATCACGGCAGTTAACGTTCTCCGCCGTCAGAAGTTTCTGTATTCGAGCAACACTTCCTGATTTCGCTGCATCTAGCACTGCTGCGTCACCCAGCAAGATGTCTTTTATGTCAGAATCCTTAGCAACGTCCAATGGTGACTGTCCGTCTCGGTTCTTTTTATTCGGGTCAGCCCCATTTTTCATCAAAAGCTTGCATATATCGTATTTGCCCTTTCAATGTTCTTCAAAATATAGTCACCAAAGGGATACAACAAATATTGTCAATAATAAGCTATTTAAAAACCATTGGAACAATTCCTTGGAAGCTGCTTCGTGAACTGGAGTATATTTCCACAGATCCGCTGTGTTGACATTTGCACCCGCTTGGACCAAAATGACAACGACATCGTAGTGTCCGTAACTACAAGCGTTATGTAACGGGACGAGACCACCTTTATCTTTTGCTTGGACCTCTGCACCTTGACTAAGAAGATATTCGACGATTTGAACTCGATTATAACCGGCTGCAAAGTGAAGGGGGTTGAATGTCTACCTTCGACGTCGCGACAATTAACCGTGCTTGGATTGCAAAGTCGCTTTACTTGATCCAAATCGCCAGATTTCGCAGCCTCGAGGAACACTTTATTGCTATCGTTGGAAGGCAAATTGATTGAGTGGCTGGGCAACGCTTGACTACCCAAATCGATTGGCGTCAAACCGTCATTGTTCTGAATGTTGGGGTCGCCTCCGTTCGAAATGAATAAGTGGTAGATTCCAGCGTGCTGGTGCTTCACGGCACGATGGAGTGGTGTGTCACCGACACAATCTTTTATCGACATTTGCGCGTTGTGCCTGACTAGCAACTCGGCGGCATCAATGTGTCCAAAAGTCGCTGCATAATGAAGCGCGGTGGAGCCGTCTTTGCTTTGAATTTGAACTCCAGCTCCCTTCTTCAAAAGACTTTCTACCACTTGGCGACGTTTTGCAAAGGGACAAGTGACAGCGATCATCAAAGGGGTCTCGCCACTTACTATGTGCGCGAAATTTATAAGCTCAGGTGTAAGCAGCTTCTTCATGCGACTTATATTGCCTTGCTTACACGCGTCAATTAGCTCGATGAAGCTGTACTCTCGTAAGATTTTGTCGGCTAGTTCTTTGGAGGCGGCGCACTCGATCGAATTCTTTCCGTGGCAGTTGTTGAGGTGGGGGTCAGCACCGTAAGCTATCAGTAGCGAACAAACCTCGTGGCGTCCTTTGTTCGAAGCCTCGTGGAGGGGAGTAAACTGCCACAGATCACATGTATTCGGGTCAGCTCCTGCCTTGAGAAGAATATTGACGACGTCTATGTGCCCATAACTACATGCATTGTGGAGGGGCACCAGTCCACCTTTATCCTTGGCGAGAACATCGGCCATCGGCCAATGGCGACCAGTGAAGCAAGACTGCTTGAGCAATATTTCAACGATCCGCACGCGATTATAACCAGCAGCAAGGTGAAGCGGAGACGATTTTCGCCCGTCTGTTGCGGTAATATTAACATTTATCGGGGTGAGGAGCTGCACGAACCGCTCTTCGCTGCCGATTCTTGCAGATTCGAGAAGCTCATCCTTTTGTATTCACCTTTGAGAACAAGACGAGCGGGGCCTTCAGCAACTTCCAATGGCATTTTACCATCAGAGTTACTAACATTCCAATCGGCACCGGCTTGAAGAAGTAAGATGCACACATCCGCTTTTCCTTTGATGGCGGCTTCGTGAAGAGAAGTCCAGCCCCAACGGTCTTGCGTATTCACGTCGGACTTAGCTTCAATGAGCATGCGAACAACATCCGCGTGGCCAAAGGAGCAAGCATTGTGGAGCGAGATGAGTCCTCCCTCGTCAGTGGCGCCTACGTCTCCGCCTGTTTCGAGCAGATACTCGACAACTTCCTTCCGACCGAAACCAGCAGCAAAGTGCAAGGGAGTAGATCGACGTCCGTCTGCATCGCGAGCGTTGATAGAATTCCCATGAATCGAAATGAGCTCACGAACTCGGTTTAGATTGCCCGATCTGCACGCTTCCCAAAGCTCTCGATCCTGGCATGTTGCTACGGAGTCGCGGAAGTCGGCGACAGAAGGTCTTTGTAGGCTAAAAATAATCAATAATAGTAACGCTTCGGCTAGACGCTCACCTAGGCCAGTAGTTATTAATTCCAGGGGAGGCCTTTGGGCTCTCCCACATTGCATTTAAAGGTGTTTTTCGTTTATCATCTGCATCAACTCCCGCTTTTGACAGTCTGCAAAAATTTATAATTTTTCTGCTGCATAGTATTTGATTTCTATTTTATGAAGTTGACCTATAAAATATTTCTGTGCGAATAGAAGAATGCTTTCTCTGTTTTCGCCTTTTAGGGCAGAACGTAAGTAAATAAAAAGAAAACTTTTTTTATTATCTAAGAATTTGGTTTAAGAATAAGATATTTGCCTAAAGAAAGGGGATGAAGAAGAGGGAGAGGGGCAGTCTCTACGGATCGATGACGTAGTAGTTCGGTCCGCGCGCTCAAGCTCAAAGGAAAAAAAGAGGGCGACCAATCGAAATTTCCCAGCGCGCCGTTTGGGAGACAAATTCAACAGATTATCTCCGTTTTGAGCTTCTCCCAGCTTTCAGAAGAGTATCACTTATCGGAATTAGAGAAGATCTATTAAATTTCAGTCAGGAATTGTTTGTTATCTTTGATTAGGTTAAATTGCTACGTTTTTTTTTAAATATATCTCTACGCTAGTAAAGTTTCGATTCAGAATGAAATTTCTGTTGTCACTGTTGGTGATAGTAGCGTCGGCAGCGGATAAGCTACTCGTTCTTTACGAGAATTCGCGGGTGAAAGTAACCCATCGTGCGACCTTGGCTCCACTAGCAGATCAAGGATACGAGCTCGTCTTTAAGCAAGCCGATGATGCGAGCCTGGAGTTAACTCGTTATGGAGTGAACCTTTACAAGGGTCTCATTGTTCTCGCCCCTTCAGTGGACGAATTTGGCGGCAAAATCAACTCAGCTGTAAGTTTTTCCTTTTTATTTCAGAATTTGAGAACGTTTTAAGGCAATTGTCGAGTTTGTTGATAACGGAGGAAATGTTTTTATCGCTGCCGGCAACACTGTGGGAGACGCGATTCGAGAGACAGCGGCTGAGATCGGAGTAGAACTCGACGAAGCTGGCACCCAAGTCATTGATCACTTGAATGTCAACGAGAAGGAAGACAGTGGGGATCACACCGCTTTTTTGGTTGAGGCGAAACAGTTCGTTCCCGCGGAAATCATCACTGGACCGGTTTCGGAAGCGTTGACCTTTGAAGGAGTGGGCATGAAACTCGATGCAGCAAACAAGCTTGTCTTCCCTATCGCATGGGCAGCCCCTACCGCCTATTCTTGGTATCCCAATGAGCCCATTTCCGAATATCCTATGGTTTTAGGTACTGTACTTTTTCAGATACAATTACTAAAAATTTTCTCAGGAAAGAACATCGTTCTCGTCGCCGGGCTTCAAGCTCGAAACAATGCGCGTGTCGTAATTGCTGGTTCTCTAAAAATGTTCCAAAACTCGGAGACGGCGACGAACATTCTTCTTTGGGCGATGAAATGCCGCGGCGTTCTCCGCGAGTCAAATGTCAAGCACCATCTTGTCGGAGAAACTAAATCGCCCGAGTTTTACACGATCATGGAAGATGTTCACTACGAGCTCACTGTTGAGGAACTCGTCGAAGGAAAGTGGGTGCCCTTCCAAGGGACCGACATGTTCCTTGATTTCCACCGGCTGGATCCTTTCGTCCGAAAACGACTTCAGAACAAAAATGGCGTTATGTCCGTCGACTTCAAGTTGCCCGATGTTTACGGAGTTTTCCAGTTTAGAACGAATTACAAGCGTCTCGGATACACCGAAATCGTCAACCACGTCCAGGTAAGAACCTTGCAAATGCACTTAAAATGATCGTTGAAGGTATCTGTCCGACCACTCCGCCACAATCAATATGAGCGTTTCATCTCCACCGCGTATCCTTACTACTTCTCGGCCTTTTCGATGATGGCCGGCGTGGGACTCATGTCCTTCGTGGTCCTCTACCACTCCGACGCACAGAAGAAAAAAACAGAATAAACCTACTTAGATCTTCACTTTAGTTCCATTTTAGCAGTAGTCTTCAAATAAACACCCCTAGTTCCCTCAAACTCATTTTATTTACAGTCTTTTACACTCAGGCGCTCCATTGGAAGCTGTTTTTGAACAGAGTTGCTTCAGCAGTCTTCGTGCTCTTGTTATCAAGTGTTTTCCGCCGTTTCCTTTTTTCTTGAATCTATGTTGGACCACCCGTCGAAAGCACACTCGAGCCAAATCGTCGACATTCGCCCCAACCCTTTTTATTAATATAAGAATTGCTATCAAATGCACACTTACCTATTCGCCATTCCTTTTCGAACTTGTGAAAGCATATCAATGTGAAATCCATTAGAATTGACACCATCAAACATGTTCTCCATGATTCCCGTCAATTTGCTGGACCAATTTTGGACTCGTCTCTTTTCTCTTGCGGAACTTATATCGGAAAGAACTCCCTGACTGTACTCACTTATTTTCTCCTTGCACAAGTTAAATGGTCTTGAGACAGTTGTGGCTGATAATTTGTGAGGTTGCACTATTAGTAATTAGATCTTTCAAACAGAAACAATCAAAGATTCAATACCTTTTGGCGGGTAATCGAAAGCCGTTGAGTTTTCGTAGAAAAAGGTTTGCGCGATAAACATCTCGTCGAAGGCTTTTTCCACTTTTTGGAAACCGCCGTGCCAAATTTTACCGTTCATCTGCCCGGCGTAGCGCCACTCGTGAACCCATCCTTCTGGCCCTCTTCCGTTGTAGCTCTTGATGAACGTCCAGTGTCCTGTTACGAGTTTTCCTAATGTTTTCCTTTGAACACCTGACTGATAATAACTGGACTCGTTCCTGACTCCATGATAGTTCCGTTGGTAACATCAAAATGTTCGCCGTTTGCATCAAACCCCTTCCCAGTGAAGTGCTTAATTTTGCCTTTATCAGCTTTCTTTTTCAAAACCATTTTCATCTGCCATTTCTCCTTGAAGTTGATGAAAAAACCATCGACGATGTGGTTGGCGAGGAAATTCGTGTAATTGAACTGTTTCGAAAGCATAAACGCAATGTCGGCCTGGCTCAAGTCAGTGTACGTATTCAATGCATCTTCCACTTCCAAGACTCCTCTTTCGAATTTAGACGGTTCAAAGTCGATTCTCTGGGCTAATTTTTCAAATGAATTGCAATTTTCAAGGCGAAATCTCTCAAATACCTGTCGAGAAGGAAATGAATATGTCGAAAAGGATGATAAGACGTTTCATTTCGCTAGTGAGTTTATGCGCAAATGAATGATTTCATTTCGGAAACGTGAAAGATTAAAGCGCTGGGGCGACAACTTATGCATTCTGATTATTTAAAAATATTTAGGCGCATTTGTCAAACTTAATTAGTTTAACACGGGTTTTTGATTTGAATAAACGCCACCAAAGACATCTATCCGTTTTTTACCCCCAAAGTGAGGAATTTCATTTTTATTTCGGTTGGGATTGCTATCAATAAGGCCATCTTTGTTTTTGAACTTGAGTTCACACGAGTTAGCTGTCTATTTTTCAAATTTTAGATTAAAATCGAGCACGAGCGCCGGTTACGCCCGGAAAATTTCGCAAAAAACCGCCACTCGTGAGATTTCTGCAATACGACACGCACCTTTTTATTTTCGCTGTTTTTCATTTTGATCATGTAGACACTACTTTTTAAGCAAATTTCCATTTAGAAATCGGTTCAAGATGTCGATTGACAGGCGGTTGATTCAGAATATATGCGTCAACATCGTCTTCTGGCTCGACGACAAAGAGTTCGTCAGCGACAGTCAGAAACAAACTGAGGCGATAAGGTAAGTCGAATCAGATCATAAATTCATTCAAGGAAATTCTAGGTCGTTCATGGGCAAACACCTAAGCGAGCTTAAACGATCGCTTTGCTTATGGACAGACCTTGGACGATTGGTGATGCCAGCTCACGTGCAAGAGTGGCACGATCTCTACAGTCGTGCCGAGCGATCAGAGATCGGACTCATCCCCGTCATTCTCTCCGCCGCGATGGCTTCTGTCGGCCAGGAAACTTGCCAGACCTTCATCAGGACCATCTCTGAGAAGATGGAAAGCTTCTCAAAGTCCTCTAGCCTGGGCGAGAGAGAGATCGTGAGCGTCATCGGTTCACTGTTCGGCCACGGGGCTACTCCCAAGTCGGTTGTGCCGAGCGACTCCCTAAACGTGTCGATTGAACACGGTCGTCGACTGTCGCTCAGTGAGCAGGTAATGCTCGATCAACTCTTCTGGTAACTTACCGACTATTTTTAAGATCCTGAACATTTCCGGCGGCGGAGGAATGCTGGACTCACCAAATCGTCGCGCACCATGCTCGCGCTGCACTGAGCTTGAGCAGAAGCTCTATATCAAGAATAATTGCCTGAGAGACGCAGAGCGCTACAACGAAGAGCTTCTGCAGGGTCGCGAGAAGGCGGATAAAAGCTACGCGAATCTTCAGGAGCGGATTGAGAAGCAGACTTGGCAGCTCGCGAAAATCTCCGATTACGAGTCTCTTCAAAAAGACAACACTCGTCTGTGTCAGGAGAACAGCCGCCTCCAGGAAGATACCGCTAAATTGAAGAAGCTTAGGACGGAAAACGAAGTCCTGCGGTAAAAACTTGTTATATTCTCTCGTAGATTAACAAGTGTAATTTTAGACTTCGTGTTTCGCAGCTCATCGAAAAAGTGAACGATGGGGTGGTCGAGAAGTCGAAGCTGGAGGCGACCATTCATGAGCTCAACGAAGGCGTTAAGTGCAGAGACTCGGCGTACTGCGCTCTCGAATCGCAGATGGATGAGCTAAAAGAAGCTTACTACCAGCTTCAAAATGAGCACGTGACGCTCAAGCAAATGCTAGAGGAGAACTCCGCCTCTAGCGAACGGCAAAATACCTCTGAGATAGAGCAGAGAAGCTTCGAAAGCCCCAGCTTCTCAGGTATAGATTGTATATTTGAATTTTGTTCTGATAATTTACTACGTAGGTTCCTTGCCTTTGCAACAGCATGTGAACGAGGAAGAGTCCATTCAACTGCAGTTTTTGAAAAATGACTTGCAGGAGAAGGAGGAAGAGCTCAACGCACTTCACCAGCGCTTCTCCGAATGCTCCAAAAAGCTTGCAGCTCTCGAATCCGTCGATCTCATTTCCAAGCAAAAAGATGACCTCCTTCAAAACCTAGAGCAGCAGAAAAAACAGGTAAAATATACTCATTCTTAATACTTTTCTACATTAAATTTTATCATGATTAACATCTGTTATGTAGCTACAGCTGCGTGTTTCAACGCTCGTAAGCGAAGCTGACGAGCAACAGCATCGACAGAGCGAAGCCAGCCTTGAGTACATGACGTCACTTAAGGTTGTTCGAGCTGAATTGAGCGCGGCACAAGCTGAGTTAAAAACCGCCAAAGCGAATGTGGCCATCTTGAGCGAGGAGAAGAGCGCACTCATCGAAAGCTTGGATCTTCAAAAGCAGGATAATGTTTCTCTGCCAGGGCTCGAAAACATGGATGAATCTTGGGTAAACGTGTATGATATAATATGTTCATAATTTGATTGTAAATATGTAGAACCACTTCTTTCGCAAACGTTTTGATCTGTTAAAAATAAAACGGCCTAAAACGTATTGACTCGTGTCTATTTTGCAAGTTTCGAGCCCTCTAAAGAACGACAAACTCGCTGCGAAAGAAGCATCCTTTGATGAGTTGCAGGAAGCGTTGCAAGCCGCAAAAGAAAGTCTTGAGGTGAAGCTAGACGAGTGCGACGAGAATGAGAAAACTATTCATCGACTGACCGCGAAAGTAGATCGTGAAATAGAGCAGCGACAAGCGACAACGCAAGAGTCGGAGAAGTACAAAGAAGCACTCGAGAGCAGTCGCACTGCCTGTCGAGAGAGTTGCGCCCGTGAGGAAGCTCTGAAGAAAGAATGTAATCTCGCGGAAGAAATGATAAAGGCACTGGAAGAGAAAATTACAGAAATGAGTTCGAACGAAGAGAAGCAGAATCAGGTTCTACTGTGCGCAAGAAAGGAGCTCGCTGAAGAATTAGAGACTCGCAGAAGGAGTGAAACGGCGTTGAAAGAAAAGACGATCGAGCTTGAAGCTGTCAACTCGAAAATCGTTCTTTTGAAAGGAGAGCATGATGAGATTGTTGCTCAGAGAATCGAAGAAGCGGAATCTGCAAAACAGCTTTTGAATAAAGACTTGCATGAGAAAGAGGATGAGCTCAATACTCTCAAACAGCGCTTCTCCGAATGCTCCAAGAAGTTTGAAGCTGCTAACTTGGAGCTAGTTCTTTTGAAAGACGAGAACGAGAAGATCATTGCTCACAGAATCGAGAATGCAGAATCTTCAAAAGAGCGAGAGAGTGTCTGGGCTGTGGAAAAATGTGCCTTCGAAACGAAAATTGAGCAGAAAGAGAAAGAGATAGATGCGATACAGAATCAGTTCCGAAAAATGCGAGAGGACATGACGACTAAACTTAGAAAGAAAGACGATACGATCAAGGCGCAGACGAAAGAGCTTCTCGAAGAAGTAAATAATAGAAATATCGTCACGGAAAAATATAACGCCTTGAAAACTAAAATGCGCGAGTCGGAGAATGCTCTTCTAATTTCTAAAAAGTCTGAAGATCAAATAAAGGCACTTGGACGGGATCTTGCGCTCAAGAATAGAGAGCTCGTGGAGAAAACGGACGAGCTAAAGCGATCAATTGAAAAGAACGAAAAACTTATCCGGTATGTGACGAAAATATTTATTCGTTAATAAAACCATTCTAAGAGATAAGCAACTGCTGAGTAAAAATAATGAAGAGTTCTCTGCGCGGATCAAGGAGTTAGAAGCAACTGTGAAAAGCTCCGAGAAACGAGAGGTAGGTTAAATTATTATTGATCAAAAGAGATGTTTTACTTAATTTCTCATTCAGTCGATGAATGCCGAGAAAAACAAGCAGCTAGAGAAGACCATAAGTGATCTTCAGAAATATCAGGTAAAGTATTGAGTTTTAAAAGGATACTATAAAACGTTTAGCAACAGACTGAAGTGGAAGAAGACTCCGACGAATTCAACGGTTCGATCCAGTCGTCTCAGTTCGATAGATCAAAGCTTCCACTTCCGAAAGAGTCGATATTATCAGAAGCAGCTCTTCTTAGGCACAACGCAGAAAATGTAAGCCCCATAGTTTTCACTCATGCTATCCCTTTCTAGATTTCTTGGCTTAGTAATCCGTTCCAAAGGAAACTCGGGGTGAGGAAGTATATTTTTTGCACGAATGATACTGCATGTGACACATGCCATGTGTCTGATCTAACGCATTTGTTAATAATCAATACCACGCTTTTTGATTTGCTTGTGGGAGATAAAGAAAATTAATTTTATTTTTTATGTTCCAATTTATAAAATAAATTAAAAATTCCCTTTCAGCAGCCGTTTTCTACGCCGATCCAGACTCCCGGTCGTCTGGCCTTAAATGTCTGCGAGGATGAGGATGACGACGACCATGTCCAACAAGCGCTTTTCCGAAACTCGCGTATCACCAACGTCCTTGCGAAAGACGAAGACGAGGCAAGCTCGTCGGCACACGATCAAAAATCGGATCAAGCATCATCGTCATCGTCATCGACGAAGTCGTCTTCAGCTGAGAAAGAGAACGAGTTCGTTTACAAAAGTCGAGGCAGTTCATTCATTTCTCAACGAAACAAACTCCAGCCGGCTCATCTCCGCTCATCCTATCCAGTAGAACAAGAGGCAAGTTTTCTTCCTTAGGGCAATAAAGTATACTCTATATTTTAGAGCACGCCCTCGAAAAATACAACTCTAGAAAGACGAGAAGCCTTCAAGAAGCCTAAGACTAAGCGTCGTAGTTCGGTGAAAGAACTTGGAGTCTCTATTCGAAAGCGATTCCGGCGCTCTGAGAAAAATGACTAAGGCTATGTTTATCCAAATTCATCTTCAAACAAGGCCTCCTAAAAGGCTCTTTCGAGACATGATATGTTCGCTTTTAAATTAAATTATACTAATAATCGAAACATCTTTTTAGGAGTCCTTGTTTTCACCTGTTCATCACTGTATTACGAAAACCCATTCACAATCGCTTTCCCCAGATCACCTTGAACCATCCCATTCCCCTTTCTCAACAAAGTCTAAAATGCAAAATATCGCCCTTTACAATCACAGTTTCCGAAGCTTCCTTACCAACTTATCACATTCACTTTCACCATTGCCTCCTCAGCTTTTCACATTCCAATTTATATCACTGCGGAAATTTTAAAATAAAATATTTTTTTACTCAATTACCTCTTTTGTCATTATTGTCTTTGCATACAAAAGGGAGCAGTTCGGTTTACCGGATCATTTATTCATTATTTTATATGAAGTGGACAATTTTCACTAAACGTTTATACATAACAGCAGCTTTGGATAATGGAAGGAAAGAAGGTAGTAGTGAGATCTATTGGCGCATTCGATAAAGCATTCAGTTCCGCGCATTGGGGTGTCGCATCGTATTCCGTCGTCTCTGCAGCAAAGAATACTTAATTTGGAAACCTCTTTTCGTGATCGTTCCATCCGACTGGAAGCGTAGAGTAACTATATATTTCTGGTAAATAAAATCGGGAAAGAGGCTTTCTACCGGGAAGATTGAGAATTTCAACGAAAGGCTTCGACGTTGGCCAGCTCGAGGGCTTACCATCGCCGCATCGCTTCTCGACCTAATCATTTTATTTTTGCTAGAGATCTCAAGCTCTCCTACCAAACCACTAGCCATAGAATTCACTTCCAAATAATCGTATTTACAAGTCGGTTCTTCCTCAATTTGAAACATTTGATAGGTCAGCTTTACTTTCGTCGCCATTCCAGGCAATTCATCACGACTACATATAAAGAACATTTATTCGGCAAATTTTTGATTACCCAGGTGCATTCAATGTCCATGTGCAATCAGCATCAGTCGGATAGTCCTTGTCTCCGATTGATGCATGCGAAAAAATCACACGCTCAGAATCAGTAACTAAATTTTTGATAGAGAAATTTTGGCTTCGCGCTCACCCGTGTAATTTCCACCGCACTCGGATCTATAAACTGCTTTGAAGCCCTTTTTTTGGATTGAACCATCAGAGAAGAAGTGAACGTCAACATCATTCCCTCTGGAAATGTAATCATGTGGAGAGGAGCGGCAAATTTTTTGAACAAGTCTTTTCTGCTCCGAAAGTTCCACGCGGTCGTAGCCGCAGTCTTCCTGTTGCTCGACATCAAACTCTTCCCATTTAATTCTGATTCGATGTCCATCTTTTGTTCTCAGCTTCCAATTACAATTAGCCTTCTCTGGGTACCGCCCAGAACTGTATCCAGGAGAGTAAAATTTGTCTTGGTATTCTACAAATATGCGTCTGAGTCGACGACCGTTTTTTCTTTGTTTCCGATCTCACCTGTTACATCAAATGCACTTCCACATTGGGGCTCTTCTTTGCAATTCTTTTTGTCAGTATGGAGGGTATATCCTATTCAAAACAAGTTAAAACGTATAATAGATATATCATAAAAAACCTTTTCTACATGCACAGTGATATTTGCCAGGTTCATTGACGCAGAGATGGTGGCAACCGCCGTTGTTTTTTTGACACTCGTCAATGTCTAGTTGGTAAGTGACATTGAAACCGGTCTTGCCTATGGACGCATCGGACCTAAATCATGAATAGTGTGTTCTTTTAATGTAAGACAACTTGAAAAACACGCGCATGTGATTCCGTGTTGATGAAACCGAAGGCATGTTTTCTGTGCGGACTGAGCAGATTTTCCCTCCAAGGAGTGGCGATGTTTCCAGAAGTCCAGAACGCAATTCGAGGTAATCGTATTCACAGCCTCCTTGTGTCCCTGAAGGATCTACTCCGAATTATTACTCTTTATAAGGCGACCATATGTTATGAAAGGCACTGTTAGAGAAAGCCACGTCACATATCATTTGGTCAATTGAATAATGTTAACTGGAGAATGAATGTTGCAGCATGCACAAATCTTTCTAGTCCTCTATTGTGTTTGTGAAGTAGATTACCTTCTATATCAAGATGGTTGAATGTAAGTATTATTTTATAATCTGAAGGTGCCACTATCATCCATAGACACTCTTTGTCCGGAGGGTATTCTTTTGGGAAGCCTGGAGACACGATTTCACCCGTTTTACTGATAAAAATATCAAGAAGTGAAAGTGAACGACGACAAACCTAGTTAATGTTCCACCGCAACTAGTTTCACATGAAAATCCATCGTCTTTTAGGTGAAAACCGGGATGACACTGACAGACAAAGCCGCCAATATTATTGCGACATATCTTTTGAGAATATATGCTTTAAGAGTATCAATACTGATAACGCAAACCTGTTCGCATCCTCCATTATTCAAAAGACATTCGTCTTTTTCGGGAATGAGATTTGCGATAAAACCTCCTTTATTCACATTATTGTCTGACTTTTCAAGGATCGTTTCTCATTAATAATTAGTAGGTAGTTATAGAGAATTTAATCCTTTCTTGAATTCAATAAATAATTTTTCTCCAGAAGATTTAATTGGATCGGGGGCCTTGAAACCACACCATTTTTTGATTAGCGGCGAGTTCTTCGTGGCTCCATCTCGTACCTCCAGATAATCATACGTACATGACTCGTGTTGTTCAACTTCAAATTCATTGAGTTCAAGGCCAATCTTGTAGCCAGGAGGTGCGTGTACTTCCCAAGCGCAATTCGAATTCGGAGGATACTTGTCCGGGTTATTCGGGGACACGATTTCATGATTGTTGTTGCCATTCAGCATAATTGTTCCACCGCAAATAGCTCTGAAAGTATTTCACTGAGCAATGACATGCAACAAATACTTGTATTCCATTCGAAAGCCCACTGAGTCTGAACGGCGTGAAACCTTTCGGTATTTGACGAACATCCGATGCGTCGTCGTTGTAAAAGACATTCTTTTTGGCATGTTGTCTCGACAGTACTTTCCTATCAGTTTGTCGCTCAGCGTCGGACCATCGTAAATTTCCAGAAAATCGTAGTGACAATTCGCATCTGACGCAAAACCAAGATCTGATATGTTCACTTCCAAGGTCTCGCCTTATCATGGGCTTAGTTTTGTTCCTCTTCATTGCTCGTATTTTTATTAATTGCCCTTTCCTGGCGTAGTCGAGATCCTCCACTCACAATGGAGTTGCTTATCATGCTTGACATACGAGGGATAACCTGGACTCGAAAAGTTTCCGGTCGGAGTCTTATTAAATATTTTACTTTAACAATTTTTCCTTTGGATGCTTCGTGTTTCTTAAGCTTTTTGATAACCATTCTTACCTGTAACGTTTGGCCACAAGATGGACATCTGTAAAGTTTGCGTGCTTGAATCTTGTCACCGTCGGAGAGCTTAATCCTTTGCCCAATAGTCGGTTTTATGCTGACTCCAGGCTGAGGGATAGGGCGCAACGTATCCATGAAGGCACCTTTTGCAAAAGTATTTCGAGAATAATGCATGATCGAGTCAAAGTCTTTTCCAAGATTTCAAGCTAAGAAAGAAACTTATTCAAGTTACTATTCTCTAGCTTCTTTTGAAAATAGCTATTAGCTGTGAAATCCAAATCATAGGGTTCTTGCAAAGAGTCGATTTCATTTGGTGGCATTTTTTGAAAGTTGTAGTCTTGGTTTTCTTGAATATTTTCATATACGACTTTTATGTAATCATCCCTTTGCATAGTTTTTGAGTGCGTTTGGTGATAAATCCTCATATTTTAGTGATAGTTACATTTAAATAACTATTCCTATCAGGTCTCGTGTGCTCATGCCAAAAGCCGACGACATGACCAAGCTCGTGAACAACGATCCCAAACTTGTCGCAGTTCTTTCCAATCGAGATCGCCTGTGCACCAAGTCCACGTCTGCCTACAAACGAGCAGCATCCGCACGGTCGTTGAGTGAACAAAATATGGGGATCTTCGGGCCTCCCTATATGTTCAATGAAGGTAACGCAAGTGTGGAGCTCCCAGTGACGCATTGCCTAAAAATCGCGTTGGGATAAGAAGGAAGAAGGACGATTAATTAGTTAATCTCATTAATTCATACTCACAAAAGAGCAAATCTCTGATCTAGCGAAGACTAACTTGGTAAAAGATACTTCTTTGTTTTGACGTAAAGTTACTCGATATCTCATAAGGAATAACAGCATGAGGCCATTTACGCTCGGGTAGAGAAGTGACTGCCCGTTTCTTGCGACGATCGCGCTGTTCGATCTCCTTCATCAACTCTGCTTTGCCGGCAGTCTCGTTTCTGGCGCGTTTGTGTGCGGCGGCCTGTCCGAGGTCGCTTAGAACTTCTTCCGGTTCGCGGCCAAATATACGACGAACATCGTCCGCTGTCAAAGCCTAAGTCTAATAAAAGAACGAGCAAATTATACAGAGCCTACTTGATCACCCCAAAATAAAGATGCGTCGGTGCAGGGGTCAGCGACTCCGTCAATTTTATCGTCAAACTTCTCAGCGATTGCAATTGATATAGAAAGTGTGCTTATCAGTAGAAAGGTGAGCTTTTGCGTGCAGTGTCTTAAACTCGCCAGAGTCATGGTTCGTTTTTCTCGTCGATTAGCTCACAAGGTCTTCATCTTCTGTATAAATAAACGTTCCTTCTAGATTATTCTCTTCTCTTTTTTCTGAATTAGCTAGTAACTAAAACTTATAGATCATCAATTATTCGCAAGAAGCCCCAAAACACGAACCTCTGTGTGTTTGTTGATTTATTAACCCCTAACTGTAAGCCAGTTACTTCAGCGACAGCAAATTTAATTATTTTCTGCGACAATAAAAGACGGAAAAAGAAGCAAATCGATCGTTTCATTTCTGCAGGTGTTTTAGATGACTACTGTAATATTTCGCTAAGCTCACTTGGTTTAAATATTCTTATAGACCCGCTAATTGAGTTATCAAGTTCAAGTCGAGTAAATACTGTCCGCTCCTAGGTCAGGAAAAGTTCAAAATGATCTGGTGTCGCTGATCTTTATTTAGGCTTGGAAATTTAGAGAGTTTTCTCATTTAGTAAGTTTCTGGAACGATTTTCTATATAAGAGCTCGAAATACCGTATGGTCTCGAAGGGAGTTTATTTTCTCTCAGGATTGTCTGTAAGTCTGGCCTCTTTCGTGGTCTATTTGGGCCGCCGGGTTGATTTGGACACCCAACCTCTTCTCAAGTGCGCCGGTCTTTTTAGGCACACTGGCCGAGCTGGAAAAAAACTGGAAATTGAAAGTGTACTTTTAAAAATTTCACAGTCGGCGCCAGTGGGAAACAATGAGGATCAAGTAGACAAATATGGCCCATTTTATTATATGGGGTACTTAAATAAGAGGCAAGAGGTCACTTTAAGGGTCTCGGTTTAAATAAGTCCAAAGGCCACAAGCGAATAGTCAAAGGATGAAAAATGGAGTTGATGACACGTTAAGAGTCTTAATTTTACGACGCGAAAAAAGCCACAGGCGACAAAGGGCTGAAAAGCTCTTATCAGTCAGTCAGCAGTCCACCGGGTTGTCGCTGCACTGAGAATTATGGAGGGCTTTCTACACGTGCGTTTGTACTTTTTAAAGCTTGAGATATGAAATTCCCGTTGGAAGAAGATTAATCTCATCAAAAGCGGTCATCAAAACTTGTCATTAATGCCTTTTAGCCACTGACCGACGTCATCGGTGTTGACACGCATCAGGCTGTTTTCGCAGCAGTCGTCGATCCCAAAGATGCAGATGTTATTTGGTGCTTCAACGGAGAGCCAATTGAGCCCGGCAAAGACGCCAACATAGAAATATCACGAGATGACGGAAAAGTCTTTCTTAAGAAAGGGGCTCATCATTTTTTTTTCTGGAGAGCACAATCTCCTAATTTGAGTAAAATAAATTATTTCAGTGAGGATGAAGATGATGACCTCTAAAAAGGGTGTGAGGTTTGATCTGATCGTTTTTGTCCGAATCATAGAGATTAGGAGAGCATAAGTAGAAGGAGCCATTAGGAGGCTTAGTTTGTCGCGATGCCAATTTAAAAGCGGGAAATAAAATTAATTGACATGCAGAAGAGGCCTATTTCCTTCCTAAAGAGTTCTAATTTGCTGATCAGTGGCGAAAATGAACAATAAACAGCGTTATTTATGTGCTGCTAGTACAAAGCTAAGCCAACGCTTTTAACGCCATTAATTAAGTGAACGCACACTTGTGTTTACTGCTTCCTAATTCTGAAGAATTTACAGGCTGATTACTCTTTATTAACTCTTAACTCTAACATGACGGAATTTTATGTTTCTCCTCGGAAATCAACCGACCGTAAAAATGATATAAAACTCCTACGAACCACGCGTAAAGATAAATGACGTTGGTCCTTCTCGGGCTGGTACTTATCAAGTAGAGGTGCAGACGGAGGCTAAACCAAAGGTGGATAAATTGATCTTGACTGGTCTTGATAATCGTATTAAATAGTCCTTAGCACGTCTCCTCTACAAGAAAGAAGCAAAGCTACTGTCGTCGAGTCAATCAATGAAGGTATAACTGAGTTATTCTGGCTTCTCACTACGAGTCCATAACTCTATTTGGAAAAAAACTAAGAGTGTCTTTACAGGTTGAGGAGGGAGCAAGTTTCAGTATCAATGTTACTGTGTCTCCACCAGAAGCTCCGGTCTGTTGGTATCACGATGATAAACCTGTTTCTGAAGCGTCCATTACAAGGTGTTATATTTGTTTTTTCCAATCCATAAAAATGCACGAGGTCATCATGACATGACCTTCAATAGGCGATGACAATTTTTATAATGTGTTTTTCCTCAGGAATGGAGATTTATCTTCTGTGAACCTCGAGAATGTCAGCAGAGCCAACGCAGGCGCTTATTTCGCGATTATCAAAGGCTTGGTTGCAAGTTCATCCAAACTACTAGACCGTAATTAATCAATATAAACGAGCGAACCAAAAACAGAGAACGATGAGTTCTTTTCATTCGAGCCCATCCGAATCGTGCAAATTCAAGTGCAATCTCTCTCTATTCCTTCTTTTGGCATCGCCGATGTGACAACTTCAGCTGGATCAATTGCCACATTGAAATGCGTATTGGAAGACAATCTTTCTGCGAATTCTGTCGAGTGGCATAAATCATCTTCCTTAGACGTCTCCTGGCCAAACGAGCAGATCTTCGAAAATGACAGGGTTAAAACTGGCTCCGAAAATGGATCAACGTTTACTTTGACAATAGCTTCGGTCGAAAGCATGATTTTTACTTTTTGGTTGACTGCTTTATTTGACCGCTTTGAACAGAAAATGTTTCTGCCGCTGATGCTGGTCTCTATTTCGTGAAAATCCCCGTCTCAAGGAACTCATCGTTGCTGTACAGTGGCGAGTTGAAGGTCAACGGAGCAGGCCCGAATGGCATATTGAAAAAACAGAATGTGTCAAAAGCTGCTGAGCCACTTGGATTCATTGAAACTATAAATCATCCAATCGTGCCACCTAAAGGAGAAGCCACACTTTCCGTTTCTGTGGAGTCAAGTTTACAAATTCATGAATATGTCTTTCCTGACATCTGCAGTTTAAAGTGCGGATATTGCTTAACCAAATGCTTAGCGCTTACTTTAATGACCAAATTTATTTTCCTCGCTCAGAGTATCAAACTTATAGCTTGAACTCTGACTCTAAATACTTCGCAGATCAATGTTTTATCTACAGTAATGGAAGAGGTGCATTATCAAGTCACCTTGAGTGGATAATCAGTACAAAACGCGCTAAGATATGACCAAATACCTAGCTAAAACTAAATTTGCTGTCTTTGAAAACTTGTGGTTAGCCACACGACGCACAAGTTCTTTGGTACTCTCCTTTTGGGAATAAGCCGATCCAAGAAAAGATTAAACAACGCCTATAATTAATAAATTGTATTCCTTGTTCACGCATAAAAATCTTAAGAACAGACTGCAAGAAGTTCAAATTAAGCTCAAGAGGCCACAGTCGGTCGCTGACGATAACTGACTGCTACGAATGTGATGGAGGTGCATACATGGTCCAAATACAAGACAAAAACGGTCAATCATGCAACGACAGACTGCGAATAGGCTATGTCAAAGTAGGATCGCCTTCACCAAAAGTAAGTTATAATTGGAGAGAGAGCATATCATTTTATGCAAGAAGAAGGGTCAGTAGATTCCGTGGGTCAATGATCTTGAAGACACTGGCTAACTTGACCCCTTAACAGTTCTTAGAATCTCCCTCTGCGCACCCGCATGCGTTTATTATCCAAACTACAACTTTATCCTGCTCATAAAAGCAAATTATTTGTCATAATGCCTATGCCTTAGGATTTACTGATGCTCTGGGCCGAAGAAATGAAAAAATGTAATGAAATTATGCACTCAATGGCCGAGTCTCAGAAAATTTACGAAGAAAAGGCTCGAATCGCCGAAGAAAAACTTGAAGATTGGAAAAAAGGAAATAGAAAACCGCAAAAGGATCGGATCAAAATCATAAATATCATAAAATATTCTTATTGGCAAAATTTCGTTTATGCTTTTATGTTTCTTGATCCTCTGATTAGACAGCTAAAACAAATGAAAAAGGTCAACTTGTTGATGAGTCTGGCAAACCTGTGCTGGATAAGTCAGGCAATCCAGTTGTTGCAAAAACGAATGAAAAAGGTGAAATTGTTGATGAGTCCGGAAAACCCCTTCTTGATGAAAGCGGTGAGCCTATTCTCGCACCCGTCGATAAAAATGGTCAGCCAGTTCAAGTGGGAACAAAAGACGGAAGAAGTCCTCTTTACCAAGAAGGTCGCGCGCCAGTCCCAGAGCCGGTTATCAAGGTGCGCTCACAGTGGGAACCAGAATGTAGCCAATATTTAGAAGGAGAAACGAGCCGATGGGAAAGAGATTCTTCTTGGTGAAGGCGGCAAACCACTTGTTGATGACAGTGGGAGACAGATTCTCGTCGACGAAGATGGAAGGGAATTCGTTGAGGGTGAAAACGGAGAGCCCATTTTCGAAGTTAAAAGTGCAAGTCTTGAAGGTTTTCTAATATCGATAGATTCAATGAATAAATAAATTGAATAAGCCGCGAAAAAAGAAGAAAAGATTCGAGAAATTGCTGCTGCTGCCGTTGCACGTTCTAGCGGAGCCTCTTCAGCGTACGAAGGAGACGGTAGAGGACGTGCTTCACGCCGTGGACCTTCTATTGTGGTAATGATTTTTTCTCTATCAGATGACCCGATTGTCAAGTAAAGCATATGTCTATGCATTAATGTTTAGGGAAGCGCATATGGAGGAGCCGCATATGGGGGAGAACCTGTTCATCGACAATCTGCAATGGAGAGGGCCTCGAAGTTCGGAACAATCGGAAGAGGTACTCAGAGTACCGTACTCTTTTAGGAGTTTATCAAAGTGATTAATAAGTCATGGGCTACTAGAAATTTTTTCTCTACAAAGTGGAAGCTTGAAATGATTATTATTTTAAGCTCGTTCAAAGTCGAGAGGTAGAAGACCATCAGTTGGCTCGCCCAGAAAAACATGCGAAGTTGAAGAAAAAGTTATTGCGGGTTTATTTGAGTCTTAGGAACATGTATTTAATGATTTTAAAGCTGCCGAAGCGGACTACCCACCGCCAAAGATCGACCCGAATCTGCCAGAAGCGGAGCAGAAACTGTTGATGCTCGAGTACCAAGTGAAACTGAAAGACCTGATCAACTCGAGACTACAAGAGGAATACAACAAGCTTTCATCGAAATTCGTGACAGCCATGGGCGAAGTATGCGAGTGGCAATACGATAGAAGACAGAAATAGAAAAATTCTGTACTCAAAGCTGTAAATAAAATGAAATAATATTTACTGTTAGAAATGAAATTTGTAAAGATAACAGATTCTCGCAGAAGATAAAATCGAGCGATTTTGACTTATTTCTCCAACTTTCTTTTACCTCTTGTACGGCAAACATAATAGTGCAGTTGTAATCAGAGTTCGAAATTTTTGCGGCTCCCGGGCAAGGGGGCGGCGGGCGGGCGGGCACGGGCAGAATATTTAAGATTCCCGGGGGCAAAAACGGTCACGGGCACAAAAACGAATTTTCCCGCGAGCCAAGCGGGCACGGGCACTATAACAAATTTTCCCGCGGGCAGATACGGGCACGGGCATGAATGAGAAGATTCCCGCGGGCATAAACGGGCACGGGCGGTTTGCCCGCGTTCCCGCACGAAATATTCCCGAGGGCAGCCCGGGGAACATTTTTCTACTGCTAAATCTCAAGCCTATTTTTCAAAATAAGAAAATAAAATAAAAACGACCCTGAATCAATTCGGATTTTTAAATCGCAAGTTTTAGGAGCTAGTTAGAAACTACGACCGAATGGTCTCCGTTTCCCCAAGTTGGGCAAACGGCGACTTGGGCAAACGGCGATGTGAATTAATTAAATTGATTGATCATATAACTTTGTTGTATTGGCTTCTCCACAGTCAATCCCGGCTTCACCAACTTCAGTCCCGGCTTCAACAACTTCGATCCAAGCTTTTCAGAAATCAATGTTGGTGGCTCAAACGTCAACGGGATTCGCGTTGGAGAAATCGTGATTGACGTCGAAAAACTCGGGACTGACATTACTAATGTCACATTAGAGATGCCATGATTGAAGTCGGTGAAGCTAGGATTAACGATGTAGACCCAGAATTGACGTTGGAAAAACCATAATTGATATAATATTAAGGGGGAGTTCGTCGAATATTTTTCGCCTTCTGAAAATTTTGATAACATTTTTTTGATTCCTTGATAAAAAAGGAGTATTTTTGGTCCCTAGCTTTTTCTCAATTTGTTAACTTCTTGATGTAAAATTTTCGATTTTAAGGGGGGGGGTCGACGAGAATTTTTTCCGGGGTGATCGTAATTTCACTTTGCGTATGAATCTTACTTTTTAGAATCTATAGATTCTCCCAAATCTTTTTAGCCAAAAATCATTTGATAAAAATGAGATTTAGGGGTCAAATTTAGAAAATTGTAAAAAAAATGACCTTTTTTGGTGCATTTTCGCGAAAATGGCACTACTTTGACGGGATTTTCGACCGATTTTTTCTGACCGAAATTTTTTCTAGTTCTCGCCGGTTAATTTTTTCAACCCTTTTCTATTTGCCAGTAAATTCAGATTTGGCCTATCTGATCAGGTTTTCCCGCATTTTTGGTCACGGAAATCCCGATTCTCGTCGACCTCCCCCTTAAAAATAAGTTTCAGATAGTTTTTGGACGAAATCACCAACTAATAATTTTCAAGAAATTTCAAGTTCGAGACTTAAAATCGAAAATTTTACATTAAAAAGTTAACAAATTGAGAAAATGCTAGAGACCAAAAATACTCCTTTTTTATCGAGGAATCCAAAAATATAATCAAAATTTTGAAAAGGCGAAAAAAATTTTCTCGACGACCTCCCCCTTAAGTCTCCAACTTGAAATTTGAAAGTTGTTAGTTGGTGATTTCGTCCAAAAACTATCTGAAACTGATTATTATGCACTAGGCATTGTTTTAAAATGATTTCTGACTAATAATTTTTAAAAAAGACAAGTTTTTGTGATTTTTGTAAAAATTTTCATGAAAAAGATAGATAGATAGGTCACACTTCACCATAACACTTAAATTACGTCAACTTCCGGCTCTAGAACCGACCGGAAGTGGAGTTTTCTAGAATTTTGACCCGTTAAAGTTCTTAAAATTTTCTGTTGATTTGTAAAGGTATAATGTTCGGGGCTCTATAAGGCGGAAATGGGCTGGAAAACTTCGTTAACCTTAAAAAAAGCACGTCATAACAGTTCTGTATGCAGATTAGTTTTCAATATACTCCCTCAAGTATTTGGTGTCTATTTCCACGCTATTTAAATAGTTTAAACACTTTTTCGTAAGGTGCATTGAATCTGCCCGTGCCCGTTTAAGCTCGCGGGAATCTTGCCCGTGCCCGAATTTGCCCGCGGGAATATTTTTTATTGTGCCCGTGCCCGCTTGGCCCGCGGGAAAATTCGTTTTTTTGCCCGTGACCGCTTTTGCCCTCGGGAATCTTCACTTTCTTACCCGTGCCCGTATCTTCCCCCGGGCAAACGCGGGATTTCGAACTCTGGTTGTAATTAGGTGCCCACTGTAATTCTATTTGTTAGTTTGCATGTGTATAAGAAGTATGGCATTAATTGGCTGATTGAACTGATTAAACATGTACATGCATCTTTCCCACTCTATGTATCTTAAGTAGATCACTTGATGGCGCATACCAACATAAGAACAACTGTCTGGATGATCTACCATATTGCAAGAGTCTGGAAAGAGGAATAACAGATACAAGACGATGAGAAGATTTTTGTCTTTTTTCGCCCTTTTGATAGTTCTATCCAGCGCCTTTGATATCGACCCTTGCAAGTTCGAAGTTATGCGTCGCAGATTTGGGAAAAAGGAAGGGATACAACTTTACTGTTAGAGGTTCTAAGCAGAGTTTTCCGGAAATAAAAAATCGACGTATCCCTTGGAAGTGTAAGCAACTGACAATGCGAGAAGAGCAACGGAAAGAAGTAGCACTATTTCAGCAGTTGTTAACGGTACCAATCCCCGTTCTTTTCAATATCAAAGTATTCATTAGCTTAATAAAATGCGCGGCATTGACGAAGAAGCGGCAATTGAGAGATACTCAAAGGACTACGTCAAAAGTAAAGAAGACGCCACGAAAGGTATTTCTAAGGATCAACATTATGAAATATTACTAATGTTCTTTTCAAATTAAAGATATTAGGAATATAATCTTCAAGAAAATCAAGCGTGAGCTGATGGATGCCATTTCTCTTTGACAAAGAATAAGGAATGATTATCTCTTTTTGTTTTACTGTATTTTCATAAAAGTTTTGGAAAGTAGCAAGTTAAGTTCTTCAGTGAATCTCATGAATGCAGGTTTAAATATCAAATAAAAAAACACTGAGCCAATAAAATAAATAAACGGAAGATCCGTGTTCATTTGAAGACATAAAAGAGAACAAGATAAGTATCAGAGACCTGAAACCCCTTTTTGTTGAGGAATGAACTGGAATCAAAAACATGGAAATAATAAAAAAAAATTTTAAATATCTAAACTGTAGTCAGCGAAAAGAATACTTTGTTTCGTTTTTTTTTACAAAAGTGCTGAATACTCCACCAGAATTTGATGGGCCTCGATCGTTTGAGAGGGGCAGTGCAGCAGATTTTCGAAAATGATACTCGTATAAAAATTTTGAGCTTAGCTTAATTGTTTTCTTTGGTCTGTATTATAGACTCTATCAGTTATGGACCGCAAGTTAAGGTATTTTAGTAAAAATGTGCATACCGGTAAAAACCTTCGTTCGTATCAGTTCTCAAAGTTTGTTTTTAAGAAAGCCCTCAGGAGCTATTGGAAGACAGTCAAGAACTCTCAATGTCAGAGTATAAATGCGAGTGACGCAGATGTTTCTGGGGATGTTCCTCAATTGGTTTTAGCAGATTACGCAGCAATCCTTGCCCTCTTTGTTGCCACTTTCATTTTCGTGATGATTAACGGTTACGTTTCTAAACCTGGTTTACTGTTTTCAAAAATACTTGACTTACTTAAGAGAGGGCCGTTGTTCTTTTGATGAGGTCTCGTTGGATGTCGACTTTAACTAAAATATTTGTTTGTCGTATTTTAAAGCTTTGCACTCATGAAATAGTTTCAAATTGCGAGAAAAAGATTACCTCTTGATCCGTGACAGACGAAGTCGTGATTTTTTCCTGTTGTAAATCCCTGTATTTAGCAGAGGTTTCTCCATTTCTTTTGATATTTCGCTTTGATCCCCTGAACAGTTTTTTTTATAAATTTTATAATTATTATGCATTTGCATCTACCTGATCGATTCACGGCTGTTCATACTGGGTCTATTGTGTGATCTCGGGCCCAAATTATTGAGTTTAGACTTTTCGCGCTCCAATTCCTCGAGCAGCGCCTTACAATCCTTGTCGTGCGTGATTTGCACGGCTCGCTCTTTGAACCGAGTTTCAATGAAAGGGTCAATGTCTGGTACACGCGACAGTAGAGCAATAATCTGAGTAAAATGCGTTAATTCCCATCCCACCGAATCAAGCACTTACTTCCGGCTGCATCCAGCAGGCTGCCGCGTGAAGAGGGGTCCACCCGTCGACGTCCTGGGCATTAATGCTTATTGCTTCTCCTAAGAGTCGACGCGCCAAGTCGACATAACCATTTGCAGCGGCCAGATGAAGCTAATTCTTGCATAAAATCACGACCGGATGAGAACACTTACTAGTGTCGCGTTATCTGCGTCGAGAATATTAACATCGCCACCCGCTTCTGCCGTCTTGATGACATCATTAAGAATCTTCATTTCCTCGGACCTTCGTGCATTTTCGATGTCTTTTTGTGTGATATTTCGTTTTCGCATCTCATTCTGCAGGTAATAAATACACTCGGAGTTCTCCTCGCAAATATCGAACGATATCGACTGATCCGCATTTACTGCTAGAATATTCGCTCCACTAGGGATTAAACTATCAGCAAGTAAGCGATAAAATTTACTCACTTGTCTATTAGTATTTTACAGATATTTTTATGGCCACATGTTGCTGCTGCGTGTAACGGAGTCCAGGATTCAGTATCTTTCGCATTGACATCTGCACCATGTTCAATAAGGAGTCTGTTATCGTTTGATAGTTTTCAAAACTTGAGCTCATTCCAATTCGATACCATCTTAGCTCTTGTATACTTAGACATAATGAGAGAAGCCGCAAATTTAATGGGGGCCTCGATTTTAGAACAGAAAAATTTCAAACGACAAGCCTAACGACATCTTCGAAATCGTCAATGCAGCTCTGATGCAGTGCGGTGAGTCCATCATCATCACCCTGGTTCGGGTCGATTCCACTGAGCAACAAGCTGCGTACTAAAAGAATGTGAGAATAACAAGGCGAAAATGCAACAAGAATAAATAAAAATCAAGTGTTGATTCAAGGTTTGCTTGGAATGCAGTTAAATTTACCTTCGTCGACGTCATTTCGAGCGGCCGCATCAAGGAGAATAATATTGTTACTGAAGCGGATCTTCGGGATTCGTTTCTTTCTTGACCCTGTGTCGTTTTTAGCGTTTTCTCGCCAGCGCTTTATCTTCAAGATTCTCTTAGCTCAACGAACACTAAGTGCCATGCTTACCTGCTCAGCCCGTCTTCGTCCTGCTTTTTGGAGCCTCTCTGATGTTGTCAGAGCCTTGAGCATTTATCAAAAACGTAGATTTAACGTCTACTTCTCTCTCTAGGCACAGATCATAATATATGAACTCAAGAGCTAGCTTATCTAAGAGCGGAAATTATTCAGAAACCCTCGAATAAAAAATTAATTCTGCATACACCAAAGTGCTCACGAAAGCGAAGAAATTAATTCCATTTTACCCCGTTGTAAATGAGCGGTCATCATTTAGAAAAGTGCATTTGTAAATTTCCAGAAGATAGGACATGACCACGTGGACACCTCAAAAGTAGATCACCCGGCATCCTGGGTTCACAATTAACAGAAATAGAAAAATTATGGTCGTCATGAATACCCTTACAAGTAAAATTAAAGAGAGCAATTTTCGAAATGCCAGCAGGAGAAAATCTTCGATAAAAATATAAATTGCCAAATTGTGTAAATAAAAAGAGCGAGTCCTGGGCAAATAGCTGCAGCAAAAGGCCAAGAGGGTGTATATTTGTCTGTTTGCTTAAACAATGTGAAATTATGATCTGTACGTAAAAGCGCAGTCCTAGCAGACTTTTAAATAAGATCTGTATTTGATCTGCACAAATCGTGATATTTGCGGTATACTCGACAGGGACAGTAGAACTGACGCCTGGTGAAGAAGTATCGACTTTTTTCACAAATCCTGGAATAGGCAGACAATTGCGGGTATGTCCTTGGCAGCTATTGTGTTGAGTTATTTGCTAGACTTTATATACAAGTAAATCTAGACTAATCGTGCAAAGATGAATGACGCAATTTTAAATTACTAAAAGCCAATTACTCGGCCGATCCATTGTTATTCAAAATCAGAGTAAGCTTTTTTCTATTTAGTATTGAATTTCTCGATTAAATTAAGAATCGCTCTAATTGCTTTTAATTAATTGTCCGTAAGTTATTAGATAAGGCTTACCCTGTCGGAAAATTTGAATTTTAATAAATTTCAGGGCGCATGAAAAACTGCAGAAATGAGGATAGATTACATTTCAAAATAAGTCTTCGAAGTTCGAGTCCTATATGAAGACGCCAGCTAAGGACGAAATAAATCGTAATTTACGTGCTGGATAAAAATTTTTCAAATCGAGTTAATTTTGCTTTTATCGGATTCAGCGTGTCCGAAAACCTAGGAAAAAATAGTACTTTCTGACTTCCGGCGTGAAATAGCGATAAGCGCGGCACTTCAAAAGTGAAAAGTATGTCTCTTTTGGAAATAGAATTCTAGCGATGCGTCAATGATATAAAAATTCTAATTTAACAGACTTTTAGATAATTGTCTAATCTAGTTGGGACTTTTTTAAAATCTTTAAAAAATTAATGTCTACCCTACTTTTCGAGCGCTCAAAGATGAACCATCTGAAAATCGAGTAGTAATCAACGTCCGCGTGGTCCCAAGCGGGACTCCCCAGCGTGAGTTCAGCGGACGCAAAGTGAGGCTGGGCGCACTGGGTGATCATAATCGCTTGAAAAGTAGGGTAAACATTAACTTTTTAAAGATTTTAAAAAAGTCCCAACTAGATTAGACAATTATCTAAAAGTCTGTTAAATTAGAATTTTTATATCATTGACGCATCGCTAGAATTCTATTTCCAAAAGAGACATACTTTTCACTTTTGAAGTGCCGCGCTTATCGCTATTTCACGCCGGAAGTCAGAAAGTACTATTTTTTCCTAGGTTTTCGGACACGCTGAATCCGATAAAAGCAAAATTAACTCGATTTGATAAATTTTTATCCAGCACGTTAATTATGATTTATTTCGTCCTAACTGTTTGTGTTCCAAAGTGATCTGCTCTAAAAAGACGGCGTTTGTTTGAATACAGTTTGACCCGTATGCACTATTTCGATAAACGTTCCTTCTGGTCTTCGTAGTATTCTTTGACTAGAATCTCATGTTCCACCATCTTTGTCGCGCTGGCTTTATTCACGAATGCCCGCTTTCCTGCAGCTCATTATTGTTTCATGAATTCCTGTTCTGTTTTCTTCTTCTTTATTTGGCGGCGAATAATTCCTCTTTCTTTACTATAACTCTCTCTTTCCTCGTTAAATGATCTCTTTCTTTGGCGTTTTTGTTTTTCTGGGAGGCAGCTCTAGCTCAACTGGTCGATTTATTCGCAGTAAATTCCTCGTTTTGTTTGCGGCGGACTGCAAAAGTCGCAAAAGTGGCTCCGTCGTAACGCACACAAGAGAGGCGCCTTTCTGAAAACGAAATAATTATTCATCCGGCTGAGCACATCGACCCAAGATCACCAAACGCAAATATTACAACTTGCATAGCGAGTAGGGCAGAAGCGCATCAACCGATTTGAGCGATTACGTCCAGCAAGATTAAAGTATAAAAACCGACAGACAGAGAAAAAATTACTCTCATATGATGAGCGGCGGAATTTTCAGAGCTCTTTTCCAGCGCTCTTTCTTCGTTGATTTTACTAAGGAAAACGAAAATCAAATTGCTGAGCAAAATTTCTCGAGATATTATTGGAGTAGGGGTTGTTCACGACTCAAACTGAGAATTTCCGGGCAAAGAGATATTTTTGAAAAAATTGATCGTTAATTACGAAAGTTGTTGACCCTAATTTGCCTGGTTGCGACGACTCTCCCCTTATTAGCTGATAAAATGAGGAAATATCGATCGAACCATCAAAGTGCATTTACAGTCAGGTCAAATTAGATCGGATAAGAGCTGACACTAATATCCAGGCCCTGCTTTGTGAGTGTGCCGAGTAGTATATCATATACTATTTACTGAAGATGGTATATTATATACCGTATGTTACAACGCGCAGATACAGCAATATTTCTTCCTTATTAACATGACAGTTTGACAATTCTATCTGCTCAGAATTTAAAGCCCCATCGCAAATTGAAAGCGATGATCTCTCACGTCTCCTGTTTTACATTATTTTTCTTAAAAAAGGTACCTTGTAAAATTCTGTATCGAATTCCCTCGTTGACTCTGATTAGTTTTCTTCTCGATAGAAAAAACTCTCGGCTCCGAAAATTAATTTCCATAAATTGATCATTGCCAAAGCAGTGGAAAATGGCGCCCTGAATGATGCTATATAAACTCGAATTCTCTCTTACGCAAAATCAGTTGGTTCCGCATGCAAGCCCAGAGACTGAGTACTCGCTTTTGTTCGAAGTGGTGAATCTCTAGGGCTTCGACAGATGAAATGAAACGGGTCGGTTGGATTTGCGAACATCTCTTCAGGTTCATTATCAATCAGACGAGATGCCGAGAAACAAATTCATTCCCAATCAATTCCGTGTGATTTATCGAATCGACCCTTCTATTCTGAGCGAAACAATTCAGCAATTCAGGCCTTCATTTCGCTTTTTACTTTATAAAAATTCTTCTAAAGCTCAAATTTCCCCTGCTTTTTTCATCTGCTGCTGCAGTGAAAGCAGAACGCTGTTCGACTCTGAAAACTGCTTTGAACTTTCCTTGGATGCATTTTGCGAAAGCATGAAAGATGCTTGGCAATCACTTTTATCAGAGTAAGCCGGGAATTACTGCCGTCCGAGCAGTATGGATTATTTTGGGATTAATTCTCGCGGGATGGAAGTACTCCTTGCGATTTCCATCGGCTGACAGGGATGATCAAACGCAACAGTAAATAACGTTATTTATTGAAGCAGCAAATCAGCAATAGATTTTAATTACATAAATTATCAAAGGTTCAACGGTTGATATAATTAAAATTCAATTGCATCGAGCCAGCTTGAAAAGAATTTGAATTTAGATGTCTCCGGGGAAATCCTTAGACAGCAAGAAATTTTATTTGCCTAAAAATAACGCTGCTGTAGATCTGCTTGCTAATCAGGCATTGCTCTAATTCGAGTGAATCTTTTAATAATGAACTCGCACCGCGCCGGCCACACTCGCGATTTAAAATGTATGCTCTGTAAGAACCATCCGGCACGGCGCCCAAGGTAGATTTTTTGTTCTTTATCGGTCTTATACGCGCGATTGTTCAGTTCTAATTGTACTGACGAGCCGTTACTTGGAAACTTGAGAAATAAAAAAAAAATAGTCGGATGTTGGAAAAACGCTAAGGTGGCCGTTTCGGAGCGATACTCGTATTTGACATTTACCTGCTGCTAGTTAAAATAGCTCGCCCTCGTCTATTTACTAGATAGTACCTTTAGTAAAGCCTGGTTAATTCTCTTTCGGAAGCAAGACTGTTGATAGTGAATATAGCTTCAGGCGTGCGTAGCAAAAGTAAATTCTTTGAATAATTGAGGAGACACGAAGGCTCTTCTGCGCAGTCGGCTGCGCATCAAAAATCATCCAAGGGAGCTTTTTCAAAGAAAAAAAAAAGCTCTTCAAAACGTTGAACATCTCGAGTCGAAACTCTCGACCATAAACAAACTCATACTTCGACGCAATAAATAATACTCTTTGGCTAAAAATACTCGTACCTCGGATTGATAGATGAAATTTTATTGCTTTATTCAGATTTGCCCAAAATGTTATTCTCCCATGATTCACGGGCCATGAATCTTGAAAATTATGAAGATTGCCCAGAGTAAACTGGAACCCACATAAATATATCAACCCATATAAATCGCGCAAATAGCCTCTATTTGGCGTCCAGAACATACCTTACAGTTACAAGCGAAAGTGGTTGCTTCACGTCTCTGTGCAACTGTTCTTCTCTGTATATCCTTCCTCTTCGTTTATTTCGCGTCAAATAATAAAAGGTCAACTCAATCGCTGCATTCTTACATCTCTTTCCCAGTTGGGCCATTTAATATCGTCAAATATGGAGTAAAATCTTTAAAGGCGAGAAAACATATATTTTATTTGGAATTAATATTTGAAGCAAAGAAAACCTTTTGCGCTCCCACGTTTAAGATTCGATTTGGATGCGGCTTGAGAACTCTCGGAATGCATATTTTCAACCTCTGCCACAAATAATACACATGAAAGTCCGAGTATTATTCTTTATTTGAGTCGAGGACAAATAGGTGAGAATGTACAAATGAATTACTTCTGTTCTTTTTTGTCATAAACTGGGGTAATGGTACAAAAATGGTATGAGAGTGAAGATATACACGTGAGTTATCGAAGTTCAGAGATCATCGTCGACTTTTACAAATGGAAAAATTTTAAATGAGACAACTGTTTCTTCTTTGATCAGGATGACTGTATTTCCTCGCAGCTCTGGGGGTAAAATCGTGCACTCTGTGGTTATCATTTCTTCTTCGTATTCGTCATCCTCTGGCTCACTGAGATGCTCTATGTTCAGCTCTTTCGGCTCAATCTTGGGGACCAAAGGGGAAACGAGGTGGGTCTTTCTTGGTCGAGCACGCGGTCTCTTTGGAGTGTCGTCTCGCTCAGTCTTCACAAGGAGCGGGGAAGGAGGGATCGCTTTTCGTTGTCGGCCAGGCCGTCGCTTCACTGACTCTCCTTGCCACACCCTCTCTATCACTGGAGATGGAAAAAGCGCTGGGACTCGTGGAGAAACTTCAATTCTCGTTGGTCCGTTCGGATTCTGCGTTGGGGGCTGCTGCTTGATCGCGGCAAGTCCAGTGAGTTTAGCTTTTTTGGTCACAGGAACTGAAGCTTCAGTTTGTTGCCGAGTTCTCTTCCTTGTTCGCGAAGCTGGTCCGTCAAATAGTTGCGGTTCAGTTGTATGGAGGAGCTGCTTTGGAAGACGTTTGGGCATGATCAACTAATTTTTGTATTATGGTTTTTGTGATTCAAGTGCCGTTATATACCTTATTGGCGCTAGAGGGAAGGAGATTGAAAAGCGATAGCAAAAAAAGTCGGACCAGGACAATATCCCGTGGTGCCTAAAAGCAAGTTTAGTTTACTCGTTTAATCTCTAGTCTTGGTCTTGATTCTTATCGAAGAACATTGCTCTAAGCATATAATATGACTCGAATATAGTAGAAAAAGTTATTTATAATATTATATAATATTATTATTAATATATAAATTATCACTCACCCCAGTTAGAGCACACAAGGCAGAATTATTCTGTCAGTAATCAGTCAATTATCAGCTTTTCCTAGAGGAATCTTTTCTCTTGAAGACCAAGGTTTGAAATTGTCGAAATAATAAATAAGAATTCTGCGCGGTACTGTGCGAATCGGTCCTGGTCTATGTATTCGCTATCGTCGTCAAATCAAAATGCATTTTTCGATGGCACTGTCGTCTAATCATGTTTCAAATCTTTAGGTTTTCAGTTGAATCTTTCAAGTTGAAAGTTTCAACGGATACTTTTGATCATTTTCCGAAGTTTTTTAGAAGAGCGAAAATAATTAGCTGTTTTATCCATCAAATTTATTTACAGAACATTCAGCATAAATAATAGAGCGAGAAGGAATTCTTCATCTGTTCTTGATCTCTTGGAATGGCTTTCTAGCTTTTGTTGAAACGCCCAAAGATATCGATATGAAATCATCTCCTGCTAGACAGGCGCAGTCTTGCGGAACCACTCGTTTCTCCGGGAACATGGCGTTTTTCTGAGTTTTCGATCGAAATCTACAATTATTGGCATCAATTAAAATTTACAAAGCGGAAACATACCGAAGTTCTTTGAGCTTCAAAATAGCGGCAGATGTTATTTTCTTGACACTTGGTCGGCGGCGGGGTTCTTTGAATTCTGAAATATTCTGATTATTGGGCTGCTTTGTGCAATTAATAAATTACTATTTTCATTTCCAAAGGAAGAGAAATAATTATCTTCGCTCTCAACTTACCGGAATTTAAGCGGCTGTCGAATGATGAAACAGTCGTCGATCGAAGGAATGGCCGAGAAGGGGAATCTGAATTGTTCTTTTTAATTCCTTCACAAAAAGTAAGCAGCAACGGTTCTCCTGCATTGCCACGTTTTGTAACAGCATATAATTCAAGGAAGATGTGCATGCACACTTGGCGGAACTCTTACGCATGCCCTAATTTGCCATTCGCGGCGCAATTTTTTGGTGATCTTAACGTTACTCGCTATAATTTTGGATAATCTACTACGGGATCTTATATCGAAACGCGAAAGAGTAAGTTCCGAAGTTTATAGATTGAATTTATAGACAGCGAACTGTTACAACACGAATCGCAATGTACAGTACAATATAATAACTCTTCCCATGTGAAAACCTATAATATTCTAACCCAGCAAGTTAACAAAACATAGTAAAAGAGTAACTTTTGATTCCTTTCTTACCTCGGAAAATCGGAAGTTCGTAAGATCTACTCTTTACAAGCTGATTTGTGCGTTTTTGTTTCTCCGGCATCTCTCGATGAACTGCGATCCGCTTCGTTTTGGAAGACGCTTTGGAATTATATGCTTCCGGCTTTTTAGCTTTTCTCTACGTACTTTTCAAACGACGCAGTGTAGATGCTCCTGGCTTGTTGGGTTTAAAAAGGAGTGAAGTTCGTCTTCGCCGCTGCATTTGAAGAACGCGGTGATGGCGCCAGGGAGTACAGCGCCCTCAATTTTATGCTCGCTCGTTTTCACGCCGATTATTTCTCCGACTTATTTGCTTCTCAGACTATCTCTCTTATCAATTATTCCAAATTTAGACTGAACCAAACACTACAAGTAGCTCGAGTCATTGCCGACGGAGACTGCTAAATTGACTTCGGTTGCAACTCGATTTGACTCTTTCTCATCGAGTTCCATTGATCGATGACATTGCATTAAGCGCTAATATTCAACTTTAACTGACTTCAACATCGTTTATGAGAACACTAGACTACCAAAGTTGATGTCTTTTTTCAGATTACGCATGCCGTAGTACCTTCTCAGAAAAGAAAGTGTAGCACAAATCTAGTTACGATAAAAACTTGCTCTCACAAATTTTTCCTTGAGAAACATAAAAGACAAATCCCATTACAGTAAATCCAAGGTCTAAAATCCAGAAAAAGTGTCAGTTAAAAGTAAATTTTGCTTATTTCAATAACGAATAACTTAAAGTAAGGACCCCCGACTTTCCTATTCTTTCATGGGAGCATTCACAGTTCTGCAAATTCCGAAGAACCTGGCAATAACAATTGGACTGATTTTGAAGGTGTTGCCGCACAGCAACACTCAGAGCTCTCGTCAAAGTAGGTCACGGAGAATACTATCCCACCGAGAGAAAATATGCTTCCGTCACTTGACACTGATTGTTTTCTCCGCAAATAAGACCTATTTTCCCCGGAAGAGATTGTGGAATATTTTTTCCACTGTGCTATAATTGTTTTTGAACGCTTCTGTAGTAGAAAACGTGAGCAAAGTGTAAAATCCTATGTACACGCGAATTGCAGCCACGTGAGTTGCCAGATGATGCTTCTCACTTAGCGAGTACTACTAATCGGATTAAGGCACCAGACATCTTGATTATCTATTTAAAAATCGCCAAAGCAGCTTCACGGTGAAAAGAGGAAGCGTTCAATTTTCTTATTTTCATGGCTGAAGAGTCAAAGTTGAATCTGCATTTTCGAACGGGAAAATGGCGCAGCGAAGGAAGGAACGTTTTGGAGCGTGAGAATTTTAGACGGGTGACCTTGCGATCTTCAATCAGCTGGCGCATCGTTCCAATTACACAAGGCGCCAGGCTCGGCATGTTATATCCGCACTTTCAATATGTTTTCGCAATTTTATGGGTATATTGCTCGATTTTACAGACGGAGGACTTCACACACAGCCTAGAAAATTGAGTACGTTGCCACTAACAACGTTACTGCGACAACGTCAAGTCTCCGCTATTCAAAGCCAAATCGATCCCAACCTTTTACTCGACTTAATCCTAGCAGAAAACGAAAAACAACAGCTTCATTGCTAAAATCTTCAGAAAACATCGCAATTTCCTCGAAAGATAACAATTTGGATACTTTATCAATATTGTCGGTCATTCGATCATTATTCCGAAATTATACAAGAGCTAAAATAGAAATCACGTGCGATTGCACGAGAGAAAATTCAACTAAAGATCATTGATTATGAAATTTAGGACTTTATTCCAAAGCGGATATGATTCGAAAGGGACAGCTCAGACCGTTCCGATTTGCTAGCCCTATGCATATCACTTCTAGCAAATCGAAAAGACTCAATATGTGATGGGACTTTATTTTCCAAAAAGTCGATGCAGAGCGAAAAGGGTGCAGATAAACCATTTTTAGCGGACATCGTCAAGCTAAATATTTCTTTTGAGATCGGTTTTTTTGAGATCGATGCAACTTGGCATTTTGATTTTCGTCTTCATCAGATCCTGGCACCTGGCGGCGCTGCTCTGCAATCTTTCTCTTGAGAATCTTGTGGAAGAAGTCGAGCCCATTTCTGGTGGCGTGATCAGCCGCGGTTAACTTGTACTGGTCTTTGTGTTTGAAATTGCAACCAGCATCAAGGAGTACCTGGATGCATAACATCTGTTTTCTGAATAAGGCTCATAAACAGATTTATCAGTTATAATTCCGCTCTGAAAATAATTTGAAAATGGACCGCACTGAGTGGATAAAACGCGCGGATCTTTTGCTTGGAGCGCCACCATACTTGGTCTGTTTTGTGACCCATTCCTTTTAGCGTCGTCATCCAGAGGCTTAAAACGGAGAGCCTTCATCAGTGGCGTCTGTCCAACTTGATCTAATGCATCTACATTTGCGCCCAGTTTAATAACGTGGCGTAGGGTTTTGTAGTTTCTACCCATGGCTGCGAAATGAGTAGAAATGAACTGGGAGTTGGGGTGTTTCTCGTTGACGAGCTGCTTCAGTTCAGTCTCCTCCAAAACGAGAGATTCATCAGAGCCACGAAGTCGCAGAATATGGAGTTTGGAAGGATGCGACTCCAAGCAGTTCTGCTGCCACGCAAGAAATCGAGGTGGCACGGAGACAAATTGCTTTACCATTCTGGAATTTTCCCGGAATTAAAAGTCAATACAATTCGGCGTTTTGAGAATTCAGAAGAGTTGAAAGAAAACAAAATTCAATGAACAGCTTTTAGCAAGAAAGTTATTGTTGGAAAAAGATGGAGGGAGTTTTATCTTGGTTGAAATCAATGAAGAGAATTTAGTGGGCTCCTCGGTGGCATTTATTTATGACGAGATAGGAGTATTCGATAGATCTTGTATCGAAGAATTCTTAAATGGACAGGATTTGGTCTTGCAGGCAAACTTCTTAGAAAATTGAGAATAATTCGAGTTAGTCGTTTATGATATCAGCAGCTTTTCTCAACTCTACTCTTTTCTCGAACCCACGAAAAACAGCCATTTTCATATCTGAAAATATTGAGAAAGTAGTTTCATCTTGAGGTATAAGTGCAGTGTATAGTTCGGAGTGTATAAAGTGTCAGCGTATTGATAAAAAAATCAGCAAAAAAAAATTCAATCAGTCAGTTCGGGCTAGTTTGTATCTGAAGGGTTGCTTGGGATGAACGGAGAGAGACGAGCAAAAAGCTCCGCGCGCAAAAATTTCTTCCATCGGACATCTCGGAAGACGAGATCTTCGTCCAGTTCAGGATACCTTTCCGTCACGAATATTTTTAGCTAAAAGCAATTGTTAGCAAACCTCGTTAAATTGTTGAATCATTGGAAACTTACATGTAACATAGTCATTCGAACATGTGATTTCATGTTCAGAAAGTCGGTTACTACCATACGAAGAGCCGAAATAGGTGGTTTGTAACCATCCGTAAGGTCGATTGTCTCGATCTCCTGTGGGGTTGCTGCAGCGGTGCTTGGTACCGAAAGAGGAGCTTCTAGTGCCTCCTCATAGTATGGCAGCTGTTCTCTAATGGGTACTTCAGTCATGGTGCTTGCATCGTTCTGCTGACGGGGCAGCGGATCCGGAGAGACAGGTCGTTCTTCTCGAGCCATGCGCGGAGGATTCTTTCGCTTCTAAACAGTTTTTTCGCTACAATAACACCGGAGTAAATGCACCGTTATCTTGGCTGGCTTGCTCTTTTTGGTCTTTTTCGAAGGTTTTGCCTTCCTCTTTTTGATTTCGAGGACGGGCATCTGAAATGAGTAACTTTATTCGAATCAAGTGAATGCCGAAAAAATATCCGAGTAAAAGTCCAGTGAGTCATTGGCAATGAGTAATCACTTGCAGAAGAAATCTTACCTGGAACGGCACGACTTTTTTGGCTCTTCGTGGATGAAGGATGCCGATAAGTGCTTGCTCGTCGCTATCCATGATTAACCTCTAAATTTATCTGCCACTTGCGATTGCTTGCTGCTGAAAACCTGCCTTTTCAGAAAAGTACCGTAGTAACCGCGATCCTCAGTTTTGAATGGCTTGATTCTAGAGTTTATTGCGGTATATTGATAGGCTTAGCAATTTGTCAAATGTTAAAGTTCTTTACTGAATGGCCGTTCAAATCTGAGCACCGCGGTTAATTAATTAAAGTAATGATTGTGATTATGATCAGAACTTCGCAGAATCGAGCGCCGTTTCAAATGGACCAATCGGAGCGCAGAAATTGCGCAGAGCGAGAAAAGACTAAAACTGCGAGTAAAACTCTTGATGCAAATGTTCCAGAAGAATCGAGAAGTTCTTCCGCCCCCACCAAACTCAACGCGAGCTCATTTTTTTTTGCTGGACAAATATTGGCCCAAAAATTTGTATTTTTTTTCAAAATCTTTCCCGAAGAGATGCCATTTTTGTTAAATTTATGCTCCCCTGAATACTTTTTGCGAAGTTTATTAATTTTTTTTTCGGATTCGAAATTTTTAAATCAATAATTCGCAGCGTCGATTTTCAGAATGGCTTTCCGAGGATTTTTGCCTTTGATGAACCGATGCTTGGTCCGACGGGCCGTTGCCGAGACCAAGACTGCTGGTGGAATCATGCTCCCAGAGACATCCCAGTCCAAACTCAACATCGGCGAAGTCCTCGCTGTCGGCGAAGGTCTCCGACTCGAGGTAAATGTCACCTTCACTTCACCTCAGCTAAAATCGCGGCTCTAGAACGGCACCCTAGTCCCAATGTCAGTCTCCGTCGGAGAGAAGGTTCTTCTTCCCGAGTTTGGCGGCTCCGAGGTCGAGCTTGAAGGCGAAAAGTATATGCTCTACCGCGATTTGGACTTTTTGGGCAAATTCCATTGACGCAATTCCATTCAATGCCTCCTGCAGAAGCAATTAGGAAAATAAAAAATAAAACAATTACTCAATGCTCCGATCTCTCGCGCTGCCTGGAGTTAAATTATTACTTTAACTTAATTGATCTCGAATAAATCTCGATGAAAATTTGGCGACTGTTGTTTTTGATGTTTAGGTTAATGCATGGCGTTAAGAATGTTCCGTCGATTGGTAAGCAGGGTGCCCACCTTCACCAGCAACCGAAGGGCGGGTATTTTCGTCCACAGAGACACCAAAGAATCAAACGTTGATATTCCTTTCGAATGGACCGAAGAAAATCTTGTCCGAATTCAGGCCATCAAGAACCAGTATCCCTACGGTAATAGACCACTTCTAGCAGTCAAAATTTATACGAGGAGATATTTTATATAACAAATTATTACGATTAACCTGATGAATATTATAAAAACTCGAAAGGGAATTTATTCGAAATATCTTTAAGAGTCGTTCTCCTGTCTCAGGAGTCCGGACAGTGAAAGCGAAGATTCTTATTATCGATCCACGGCCCCAAGGAAGTAACGTCACGTAAAAATTAAGGTCACGAAAACAACGCCGCGATTATGCCTGTTCTCGATTTGGCCCAGCGACAGTATGGAGGTAATCGGTCGACAGTAGATTCAGTCGATCAATTTGAACAATTCAGGTTGGCTCCCACTTTCGGTTATGGACGCTGTGGCGGCAACCCTTGATGTCCCTCCAATTCGAGTTTATGAAGTAGCTACTTTTTACACGATGTACAAACGAGTTCCAGTTGGAAAATATCACATTCAGGTAAAGAGCTGCCAAAACAGAAAAACGAGTAATGAAATTTAAGCTCTGCGGAACCACGCCATGCATGATCGGTGGCTGTGGAGCAAAGAAGATTAAAGAAGCAATTTTGGAGGAAGTCGGAATCGGCCACCACAATGACGAGCTCACTGAGGATAAGCTCTTTTCATACGAAGAAGTGGAATGCCTCGGCGCCTGTGTCAACGCTCCAATGGTACTCTTGCTGTTTTCTGCCTTGTTGAAACTGTTCAGGTTCAAATTAATGACGACTACTACGAAGACCTGACCCCAGAAGACATGAAGCAGATTTTAAGAGATCTTAGAAAGGATGGATTCTCCAGAAAGGGCCCACGAAACGGACGCGTTTCTTCAGAACCACTTGGCGGTGCTACTAGGTACTTTTTTTTCACCCGATGCGTCCCTAAATGCGTTGTAGCTTAACTGAACCCCCAACTGGCCCTGGCTTCGGTGTTCGAGACGATTTGTAAAGAATTCTTTTCTGTCCCTTTCTTGTCAAGTTCAGTATTTATTGGTTCAGCGGGATGAATAAACGAAATCCATTACCTTTCAATAATTCAAAATTGGAGTCATCATCTTGCAGCATTCAAATTGAAATGGGGACAACGGCATCAAAAACATTTTTATCAGCTTTGATAACGATGGACATACTCGAGCTTGTTTACGCTCCCGCATTTGTCGAATCTCGAAATGTTTCTTGCTAATTGCTCACCACTTTTAAATTGAGAACGTTAATTGAGAAGATATGGGTGCGAAGGAGATTCCTTGGTCCCGTAAGACCATTACGTAACGTAAGTTCTGAGCCTTCCATTTTATAATAGTGAGAATATTCGACGGTGAAGGGGCTGTGATGTGAGTAGACTGAAACTGATAATCTCAGAGAGACACAACCTCTTCCAAACTCGTGATATTCTCGCTCGTAGCGATCGGGGAATCTGGTTTCGATAAATTCTATATCCCCGTACTCCGAATGAGCCGCAATCGAGAAATCTTGGTGCTTACCATTTCATATCCATTTCTATCAGAATCAAGAGAGTATCTTTATTTGAAAGACTAACATATCAGGACGGTGGAAGAAGTTTAAAATCTTGTAGACATAATTATAAAAATATTGAGGGTGTTTTTATGGCGGATGTCTTCTATTTGAAGTAAGCTTTTTTTTCAAAAGTAAAAAGTTTTGTTAAATAGGCACTAACAGTAGTTGGGATAACACAAGACTTGAGAATTTGGACTGAGCGTGATCAAGCTTTTCACTATAAAAACTTCCCATTTCTGAAAGACTCTGAGTAGCGAACAGTTTCCGTGAACGTGGGACAGCTGGAAAGGTCGCTAGGATTCGATTGAAGTTTAGTGCTCAAGCGTGAGATTTCAAGAATAGTTACATCGTTCGCCTCAAAACTAAAAAAAAACGAGAAAAAGAGAAGAGATTTGAAAACAGCTCTCATGATTCACGCGAGGCTACCTCGAGAGCGACAAACTTTATAGGAGAGTCGGATCTGGGTTAGAAAAATTATGAATGAAATGGGCAGCTATCGATAGTCTGTGCGTGAAGTTTACTACTCAGATATTCAGCGCCTCTTTTATACGACGTGTGGGCTCAGCCGTTCTCCTTACTAGAGCGCCCACACAGTTCACATTCACAGACTTTGGTCGATGGTTGTGAGAATCCGAAGTTCAAACTTGAGAATTTGAAGCTCGTTTTGTTTAGAGATACGGTACGGCGGCTGTGCTAGCCACCGACCGACATTTGGATCGGAATGAAATCGGACTGAAACGGGAACTGTGGCAGCTGGGAATTACGATCTACGCCCAGAATACACAGAATATCCTGCAACTTAAACTAGACCGATGACGAGCAAGACTAGTCAAGGAACTACCACCTCGGCCATAACTATTGTCGAGAAAGAGTCAAAGACAGTCGAAAATGTTCGAAAATGGGATGCAAGAGGAGCTTTGCTGGGTCATCCGGGGCCATCCCCTCCCTTCGGTAAGAATCTTATGTCAAATATCAATTTCGGAGACTAGCGGATATGCTCCATCAATAAGAGTATTTAATCTTCCGTGTACAATTAATTAGTCGAGCCGTTGATCAAATAAACCTTTCTGGACATTTTTTCGCGGAAGCGTTCTATTCCTCCAGCACTATAAAGTTCACTGGCTTTGTTTTATTTCTTTGTTTTCCCGTTAGCGGGTAAAATATTCAAAATGTTCATAAATTAATCATGCTATTGAGTAGATATGATAATTTGTTTTCAGAAGTATCCAGCGTAAAAAGCACTTCTTCCGGTGAAGCGATACTTCGTCAAGATGAAAAAGCCCCCGAGAATTCCAATGTTATTCCTGGAGGTAAGTTTCCGCCTAGAGAACGTTTGCAAAGACAGTTGTCTTTACATGTGTACTATTTCACTCACTCGTTTGGTTCAGAGGGCTTGGGAGACTTTTCAACAGAAGACTTCGGAGAACGCGTACAGATTTTCGATAAGCGCAGGATTGGAAATGTTTCGTATGTTGTGCGCGCCATAATCCAGGAGACTCTTCCCGATCAAAAACAGACTCGACCACGCGGAAATATTTGATGATACAGGTTTGACGGAGCGTAGCTATCAATGCAGAACATATAGAACATATCACTCGTGGCGCAAGTCAAACAAGAATAACTAAAGTTTTCATTAGGAGTCGAAAGAGTCCTGTCGAGAAAAATGGTACCTGCCGGCGGGAACCGTTCATCACAAAGAGTCGTTGGACGAAGCTGCTGTTCGAATCGTCAAGGAAGAGTCCGGCATCATAGCAAAGACGAATTCAGGTTAGCAACGAAGGAGGAAATTTTCAAAATTTTAGCGTTAGTTCTTATGGTGGAAGAAATCGGTCCGTTTTGGCTGAGATTTACTTTTACGATGGAAGTTGTCGATGGAGACCTGAAGATCGTAGAAGACTCTTTCAGTATGCGCTCCCAGTTTTTGGCAGAAGACGCGATTCGCACGATGGCGTCTAAGGACCAACTCCGTGATGTTGACATGATGAGAGCGCTCAATGTCGCCCGCAAAGTCAAACGCAAGCTCCCAAAAGTATGAGCCTGGATTAACGCTCTGCTCAAATTTCGTATAGATCGATTCAGCTCTCGGCAACTACAAATGGAGCATGCTCAAAATACAAGACATTCCACACAAGTTCATCTCCATCAGAGCATGTTTCGTTTTCAAGAATGACGAGAGCAAATACTGGGTCCTCCAAAATCGAAAAACACTTGGCTTGCCGAATCTCCCTGGCTGGGGTGCACTGGTAAGCAAAAATAGGAATCAGGTGGAAGCATGAGAAAGCGATAAATCAAGCTCGTGTTACGTAGAATGAACATTATGGGAGCATAGTCTAATTAAACTGATTCAGGATCAGAAATGTCTCCATGCGATTGTTTTCAAGTTTCTCGTGGGAGTTTTTAAAAAAGAAAATCTTCACTGGTATTCATACAAGTGGGTATCGAGTGCACTCGTGTAGAGTAGAGAATCATTTCTAGGACGATGGGAGTGACTTGCGTTGAGCACAAGAAAGCGGAATCTGCACACGACCCGCAAGGTGAAACATCAAACCATTAGAATAATAAGAACATCAAATTGGTTTGATTAAGGCTTGCGGCTCACAGTTCTATTCCGAATTCTAAAAGACGAGCACGCAGCTGCCAGAAAACAGAAAAATGTAAATCAGAAAATATATTTATGGGCGGTTCTCTAGCTGTGCATTTTTAGGACTACCCAGATGTGAAGTCAACCACATATGTTTGGGAGGAGCTGCAGGATATCTCCTCTGCCGAGGCGCTTTCAGAGATCTTCAAGAGTCCAAATATTTTGCCCCCGCTTCATTCGCCAGTGCTCATCAAAATCGGTTACGCCGCGGTAAGACCGTAATTTGCACACGATCGATAAAGTACATACATATCCAAATAAAGCCAGTTATATTATTATCTACCTGGGGTGCAGTTTCTCCCTCTTTCGTCGGAGACAGAGATCTTACACGCTCATTTAGAATGATCAGTATCAGAGTCTCATCCATCTGGACACCTGGCACTCAAACCCGCTTTTCTCCACGTCTTATGGCAAAGGCAAAAAAGCTCTCTAATTGATCTTGACCGATGTTCATAGTTTTGCACCATTTAACAAACCAAATAGCAAATTTCCCTATTTCACAAAAATGCTTACCAAATCTTTATCTTCTTTTGACCGTATATCTCATATTTTCACAAACTTGCGCATTAGTTCACTGTTCCCAAGTTCAAGGGCTCAACTTTATTTGCTAGTATTAGAAATACTGTATTACCCGATCTTGAATTAGCAGCGTCTGTAAATCAGATCTTCGCTACACTTGGTTCATATTTTCTTTTTCTATTTGTGTTAACCCTCCACGCATTCTCAGTTTTGTTCAGTACATTACTATTTTAGAAATTTATATGATTCGTAAGCCACCTAAGTTTATTCTACCTATACTGAAACTTTTGCCATTTGTTACCTCATTTAGATGGTATGACTTATACCGTATAAGTGCTAGTATATTCGCCATTTCAAAGCATTTTTCACTTTGAAATTTCAGACTTTAAAATGATATGAATATTATGCAGCACGGCCCGAGCCATCGCGCTGTGGAGTATGCTAAAGCAATGGCTCCGGATCCCTTCCCACAGGACAGATTAGACTTCCAGAAACGCGGTTTCCTCGATAAACAATACGAAGAGCTTGAACCCTTGCGATGCGAAGACAAGCGCCACAACGGCTACTGCAACTGCGTTCATGTAATTTCCGAGAATGTTAAAAACGCGTCTTATCTTCGATTTAGCGCTTTATCATCTCCAGTGGAGACGTCCCTAGCGCAGATAACTTCTACATGGGGCAACGAGACAACTGCCAGCAGTCTGCTATCGAGCGCTTCCGGCGAATAATAAGTATTCACAACGAAGCACACAATTTGAAGAACACTAGGAATCCTGGTAATAATTCTTTCTATTACCTCCGCTCAATTACCGTTCAGTGGCAGGGCGAAAGTACTCAGAGGCGTTTAGCGAGTTTGTGACTGTCCACAAGAAGGAACTTACCCAAAACAAGTATGTCTATTTCTGCCTTAATTTATTAGTTTTCTGCTCAGACTTTGCAAGAAAGCGATCACAAAAGTTCTCCACTGCTCTTTGAACTTCCTCTATCGCGATCAGAATAACAACAAGCGTCGAGTCCCTCGCATTGAAGAACTTCACGGCAAGGTAAACTCATCTACTCTTCAAGACTTCAGTTAACGTTCAGCGATGCTGCGATAAAGAGTGTCTATCTCGTGTGATACGCGAGAATGAAACCCTTATCCGGGGTCTTCTTCAGGAAATGGAGAATAATCAAGCTAACGAGACGAAGCGAAAAGTAACACAGATTCTATCGAAGCATTGATGAGCATTTTCTTGTAGGTTTTTTACCAGCTAAGAAGAAATTCTCTTTGTCTCAAAGCAATCGGCGAGATAACTGGGCAGTCGAAAGCGACGCTGAACTCACTCAACTCGAAAGAGCCAACGGATGCGATAACCCACAAGCTGAAAGACATTCGAAAGACAAGCAACCGGACCCAAACCATAGTTGTGAAGCCAGAGCCAGGCGTCCCTGAGGCGCCTCTTTATCCATCTGTGGCTCAGGCACCTGCTGATCCGATAGTACGAGCGCCAACGACTTCTAACTGCTTGAAGGCTCCTTTTATACCCACCGCACTTTCTCCGACCGTTCAAAATAATCTTCAGAGGTAAACTCTCCTTTCCGATCACAGTTCAATAACAGAGTCTACCAGGAAGAGTGTTATCACCCAAATCACCACTGGATCGTCCAGCGATGATGAGGACATTCGCGCAAGCGTTCCAACCGCCGCTCCTCGCGATAGATTAGAGGGCATTTCTGATTCTCGGGAAGTTCCTCCCATCACTTTTCCGCCACATTTTTATCCTCCGCATTTTTACGGTTCGCCGAATATTATATCGCCAAGTATCTGCCCAGAAATCAGTCCCGGTATTCGAAGGAATGTTCCAAATCTTACTTACCAGGGATACCGCCTATCTGTTACTTAAGTTTTCTTAACAGCTGCAAGGTATTTGAAACAGAAAAAGCCCGTCGTTGAAGACTGCTCTTTGCCCCGGGAAGAGAAAAAAACAGATGCCAGGTTAGCTCTACATTTTTAAGTTTTATCAGAAGAATATAAATTAAGGTCTTGCGCCGATAGACGGCAAAGAATCTCCTTCCTACAAAGGAAAGTCTTCATTACTCGAGTATTCCGCGCTCAGAAAGCCTACAGAAGATCCTCTTTGGCTGAAGATTGATACTGGAATATCTCCTCTAAAAAAGCCTCTGCCTGTGAATCCGATTGAAAATTCGGAAGAGAACTCACGGAAAATTCGGGGAGAATTCGAGGAGACACGTACTCCGAAGACGATAGATATAAACACTCCGAGTTTCAAACCGAAAGTCAGTTTCGTTTTCCCACTAGCCTAGCCCAACACTATTTCAGGCGGAGAACAACACTCCATCAATTTTCAACTATCCCGACACACACTAGTCGTCGGGTACGATCTCTACACTTCACGATAATACAATTAATTGTTGCAGCGCTGTAAAAGTTCAAATTGTACATATTTCAGTTTTAGATGAAAAATTTCCGAAGAAAAATCGCGCACTTCCCCCTTGTCCTCCTCTATTCAGTCTTTCCGTAGCCTTTTGGTTTGTTATATTCGATTTTTGACGCCCGTCTAAGAATTAGACGAATCATACCCTTTCATAAGTGCTGATGAATGTACAGTCACTCGTTCTGTAGAATGTCTAGAATAGATTGTGCATGGCAGTTATTCTTTCTTCCTTTATTGAATATAGTTAACAAAAAGACTTGTTTTCATATTCAATGAGCTCTGCACAACCCAACCCTGACAACGGTTTCTATTATTACTCAATCAGTTTTTTAAAGATTAGATATTCAGCTTCTCATTTTAAGTTTATTATATCTTCATAACGTTTTACCTGTTTTCCGATGAAATAGAAGGAGCACTTTTCAGTTTAAACGATTCCGCTAAAATCCTCATTTTCTCTTTGCTTCTTTGTTCATGCTATAATTCTATCTTTCGCCTTTAGTCACTTTCGAAAATATTTAATTTAATCATTCTCGATGCGTAGAACTGCTCTTTATTAATTTTACCTTTTTCAAGTTAATCTAAGCCAATTCTTCCGACATAATCGTAATACTTCATAAGTTTTTTCCAGCTTCATTTTCCATACCATTCAATTATTCAAATGTATTTTTCTGACAATATACGACGATTTGGTCAAAAGTTCAACGCTCGTCGTCTCTTATTCTTTTCGAAAGATGAAATGCAAATCGCAATAATAAAATTGATGATTAGCAATACGAAATGGAGAGTAAAAGTTGAGAGGTTCAACTTTGGTATATCAGAATGACTGTGGTCGATGTTAAGTCAAGTGCAGATTTTGACGTTTTGGCGCAAGGGTTTTTAGTTGTTCACTTCTGGGCAGATTGGGCTGAACAGTGCAAACAAATTGATACTGTATTGGCCGCCCTGCAGCAGATCCATCAGCAGGAACAGTTCATCATGTGATTGATTTTCTTTTTGTGTTTTCTGTTTTCTTCCTTGATTTCAAATGAAATTTAATAAGATTTTACGTTAATTGAACTAGGATAAGAAAGCTACTTTTGCACGTTGTGAAGCGGAGGCTGTTGATGAGGTTGCCAAGAGATTTCAAATCTCGGCCGTTCCTACCTGTGTCCTTATTGTGAAAGGAGTCGAGGTTGCAAGAGTTAACGGGGCGGATCCAGCTCAGCTGACCGCTGCTGTCGCCAAATACCTAGCTGCGCCGAAAGGGGCCGATGAACCAAACCCCACACACAAATCAGAGTCAGGAGAAACGCTCACTCAGAGACTTCATAGACTCACACACAAGTCGGGGATTGTGTTGTTCATGAAGGGTATTCCATCTGAGCCAAAATGCAAATTCTCTCGCGCTACAATGGAGCTTTTGAATCAAGTTCAATCTGGTAAATCCACTGTAAATCCACACATTTGAATTAACGCAAGACGCCACGTAGACTTTCTTTCGAACAAAGACTTCTCTTCGTTTAATATTCTGAAAGATGAGGATGTTCGACAAGGAATAAAGGAATATTCGAAGTGGCCTACATTTCCGCAGCTGTACATCAATGGAGATCTTGTAGGTGGTCTTGATGTAATGAAGGAAATGCATGAAGAAGGAGAACTTTTGGAATCAATTGAATCCGCCAATTCCCTCAACACAAAGCTCAAGTGGCTTACCCATAAATCTCCAGTAACTGAGAACGTAACGATTTACTTTGACCTTATTCTCTTAGGTCGTGCTTTTTATGAAGGGAAGTCCAAACGAACCTAAGTGCGGTTTTTCGAGAAAAATGATTGCTCTCCTCCAGGAAGCCTGTAAGTGCTATTTATTCTATGGCAGGATGGCTCATTCTTCAATCGTTATCCTTGTTAAAGAGATTTCAAGGTCTCGACTTCGATCATTTCGATATTTTGTCTGATGAAACTGTTCGCCAAGAGTTGAAAACGTACTCCAAATGGCCCACTTACCCCCAGCTCTACAATAAAGGCGAACTTGTTGGCGGTTTAGGTAAATCTTAAATCATGAACCCGGTTTTTTTATTTTACTAAAGATGTCTGTGTCGAGCTTCACGAAAACGGAGAATTGAGCGATTTAGGAAAATAAATACTTCTGTCGAAAAAGATTAAGTTATGCCATGGAAGTTCACAACATTTCTGTTCAGCATACTCGCTGTATTTTGAGCTTCGCAAATCAACTGTGACATGTCAATGCAATATCTTGAAAAACGTGCAATACTCACTCGTTCTGTGAAAGAATGTTATGCTGTCGCAAGTTGGAACGCTAACTCTGATCAAGCGGAGAGCTGTTTTCCGACATGGTGCCTTGCTCCTGTCCCGCTCGCAGAGTGCCGCTCTTTCCCAAAATGTTTTTCCTAATGATCCAGAAGATCTGACAAATTACTACGATCAACCTGCATTGAGACAGTTCACGGAGCAGTGGCTCAAAAAATCGCCGCCAAAATTCGCAGGAAAAAGACCAAAAGAAGGAAAAAAGCTCGTTTTTGATCCACCAGTCACTCGCTTGTCTATCCCGAAGTTTCCCACTGCGTTCAAAAATGAAAAGACTTACATCTCGTCCGGACAGTCGGAAACGTATAGAAAAATCTTCCAAAATTTGTACAGTGCCGCGATGTTTGAGTATAAAAACTTGGTGAAAGAAGAGCTTGAAATGGGCATTTCGCAGCATAGTGGTCCGGAAGCTGGGAAAACGGCGAGTTCGAGACCGCTTTTTGAATTGGAGAAGAGAGGCTTGGCTGCATTCGGACTTTCGATAAATAAAAACTTCACTCTTCCATCAGATTCGAGCTCAGTTGGTCTGACCAGGACGAAGAACGGCCAAGTTGCGATTGAGCTTACACGCAATATCGAAGAGTACGGACCATTACTGTGCAAGGGCTTCAAACCTGGCGATAGAGTTTTACTAAAAGTGGCGAGAAGCCTTTTCGCGAATTCAAAAGATTCCCGCGAATGCGAGAACCATGAAAATGACCCGTCAGTGACGTGCGAACTCTTAAAAATTTCGCCTTCTCTCATCCAGTTGGAATTTATCGACGAGTTGCCATTTTTCATCAACCAAGAGTTTTCGACCGTTGACGGCTGTGGCGCTGAATTTTTCATTTGTAGGACAGCTCGAGCAGACGAGCAATGGAAATTCGTCCGACATTTGCAAAATATTGTCGATTCAGAGAAATTAGAAATCAAGACGTTCCCAAATGGTCCTCTCCCGTATTTGTTAAATCGATGGAACAAAAGGTTGCCATCATTTTCCGAAAACATCGCCGACAAGTCAGACTCTTGGCCGTTTTCAGTTGAGAAGAAAAATGTAAAGAACAAACATCTAGGTAATTAAAAGCCGCTGACGATGATAAACTATTTTTGTAGTGTTGGACCGAAGTCAAATGAAAGCTATTGACGCCACTGTCAAAATGGTTGATCACGATGACCTGGATCACGGTCCAATAACGATCATCCACGGACCTCCCGGGACAGGCAAAACAACCGTTGTCGCCGAAGCAGTTTATCAAATAACGCTCAAGTTTCCAGACAAACGTATTCTAGTTGTTGGGCCGTCTCACGCAGCCACAGACAACATATGCTTGGCGCTAGGAAAATACCTTGGGAAGAATGAGATCTTCCGTTACGGACGGGTGAGCAAAGTAACCGACGAGGCAGTGACTCAATTCATGCCAGCCATGGACTCTAAGCGATTGGAGATCGTTATGCAGCGGACGAAACGTTTATTAGGCTAGGCATCTTGACTACTCTCTACTTATGTTGATTCTAAGAACCATTATCGAGCCTGTTTGAAGACAACGCAAAGACATTTCAGTCAACAGAAGAGTCTTTCCAGTTCGATCAAGCTGATCTTAAGCGCCAGTTACAGCAAATATCGAATCAATTACACCGCGGGCGAATTCAATCACTGAAGGACAAAAGAATTGTATGCTCAGTTTTGGGTGCCTGTGTTCGCATGTCATCATCCAACTCAACCATCATCCACAAAGAAATAAAACGCGGAAGTTTCGATATTATAGTTTTCGAGGAAGGCGGCTTCGTGACACTCGCCGAGGCGTTGGAAATTCTTCCCTATTTCGAAAGGTGAAAGAAATATTCTATAAGTGGGATCCTCTGCGGAGAAAAAGTCGTAACAGTAAAAAGTATCTTCTCAAATCGCATTGATGAATAATTGTAACACATGTGCATGCAGAAGACTCGTTATAATTTTATTAAGGTCAATTTGCCGTCTTCTGATCGTATAAATGTATACTTTAGTTGCATTGTTGCGGGTGATCACCTGCAGCTGCCGCCCGTTGTAAAAACAGAGGAAGCCAAACGGCTTGGTTATGACAAGAGTTTCATGGAATACGTTGTAGAGAAGCTCCCTTCGCGCCATTTTCTGCTAGAGACACAATATAGATCGCACTTCATGATCTCTGGCTGGAGCAGCCGGGTATTATACGAATCGAGGCTAAAAGCGGGAAGGAATGTTTTCATTATTCACTATCAGTGGGGTTGCCTCAATTCCGAAATTTTACCTTTTTATGAAAACTACAAAGGCGCAATAAAAATATACGTCTTGGTGATAGCTACGAAGAAGGTTGTTCTACTCTCAGAAACAATCCCCTAATTTGGCTTGATCACGCGGGTCTAGGCTACAACGAAGGTCATGACGACGTTCCAGACTCTCACGAAAGTTATCATAATGAGCACGAGGCGAAACTCGGTAGGGACTGCTGATTCTTATTGTTAGAAAAAGGTTCTGTTCAGTCGCCCGAATGTATGATCACTTTCGGAATAAAATGGGCATTCCAGAGTCAGAAATCGGAATTATCTCTTGCTACTGGGCTCAAGTGGCTCACATTCGCCAGTCGCTGGAAGAAATTGATCCTAATTATGCCTCTGCCACCGTTCGGACAATTGATGGCTACCAGGGAAAAGAAAAGGACGTAATTATTGTCTCAATGGCTCGCTCGAATTTATCCTGGGATCTCGGAATGATGGACGATGTGCGGCGAATTAATGTTGCAATTACTCGTGCGAAAGTAGGCAGCAAAAGATAACCCTTGCTTACCATTCCTTCAGAGACACTGTTGCTTGATCGGAGATTCACAGACTTTCAGCTATGACGAAAATTACGAAATCTTGCTAAAAGGACTGAAGAAAAAGAATTGTGTCATTTCGCTGCGTAACTTTCAGCAAAAGATGGACGAAGAAGGATTCGATTTCGGGCCAGTAGAAATCGAGCAAAAATTTGCTGAGCAACGCAGAATACGTAGGGAAGAGCGTTACAGGGAAAAGTCAGGAAATATAATGTCTGTGTGAATTGCTTAGATTCTGTACTAGTATTGTGCTAATGCTGCTGCTGTCTGTCTAGTCTTTTGAATTTTAAGAATCGGCCTTAACTTTCGGCGCTACATTAATTGTTTCGGGAGCTGCCGAATACCTCTATTTATTTTAAACACATTTGAATTCATGCGTTTTCAGAATGACTCTCCTCAACAGAGTGGACGCAATCGATGCTCAGATCGAGCATTTGAAATCGTTTTTAACAGAAAACGAGGAGACGACTGCTGTATCGGAAGAGGAACTCCAAATGATCATGGAAGATAGTAAAACTATTTCCGAGTTAAAATCCAGAATGGAAAAGCTCAAGAACTCAAATGTTTATGGAAAGGGATCAAACTCTTGTTAATTGCGCTGTAAAGGCAACAATTGACAATCCCTTATGAGAGGCGTTGAAGATCTTCTTAAAAAACGTGTTGAGCTAGAACTAAAGGCAGAAGCCTCACAGTGTGCTTGTGAGGTGCTTAAAACTATAAAGATAGTTGAGTCGCGACTCCCAGCGTCGTATGGAGATACGACCCTACTCGAGAAAACGAAGATATTTGCTGACATCAAAAAGTTTACTAAAGAAATTGAAGACGGGAATTTTATGAAAGCACGAGTCGTCCAAACATTTCTCAGCAGAGTCGAAAGTCTGAATCCAATTATTCTAGCGAACGAGGCCTGGCAGCAGTCACTTATTCAAGAAGAAGATCGAATCGGCTTTTTCAATAAGAATCAAGGTAAAGTTAACTCAATCTTGTCCGGAACCAAATAATGATCCTTTTAGTTGTCGAGTCGATGCTTCATTTGGAAAAATTGGACGCTCTTCTTTTAAATCTTTCGAACTCTATCGTCGATTTCATTCAATCTGGACCGATTTTGTTCGAAGAGGGATTTATCAAAAGAAGTGAAAATGAATGTTTCGCTGGAAAGCTCAACTCGTTATCAAAGTTTATGTTACATTTACAGAGCCAGTCGATTTCGTTCTCAGAAGATCAAACATTAAAACTGGAGAACTACATCGTCGATTCAATTTTGCGGCCAAGTATTCCACTCGAAAGTGACGAAGACGACGAGTCCTTTGCTGACGTCAAGGAGTTATTTGAGCTTTCGCTGAAAATCTCTTCCAACTTCAAAAAGATCCCCGAAATGGTGCAAAATCTTTCGAACGCTCTTACGGAAAAGTCTTCTTCCAGGCTCCTCGCTCGGTATCGCCGGATCCTGTCTACCGGCGATTTTATGTCCACCGTCACGCCTTCTTCACAAAAACGTTACCTTTCTCACAAAAGCACGACTAACTCCTCGAAGACTCTCTCCCTTTCGACATCACTCAAGCTACAGAATCCGGAATCGCCAATTTCACCTTTTTGCGCGCAAGGATGGCTCATTATGCTAAAGAGCCCCAATGTCTCTCCAAGGATTATTCAGCTTTACAAGGTCTTTGTGCTGAACAGATTTTCCATCCAACTTGCTGAGAACTTGGAATACGTAAATGTTCTCTCTAACGATATTGACTGGTTCATTGGGTGTTTGGCTCGTTTGCAACTTGCCAAGAAAACGGTTTCATTTTTTTTCTAATGAAGATAGCAATCTCGGATTAATAGTTTTCAATAAAAACCGCTGCTTCAGAATTCATCAGAAAGCTTGACTGTAGCTCGTGCATCCTTTGACCAAGTACTTTCCCTGAAGGCCTTGCTAGCTCGTTTCGAAAAGCACCATCTAGATAAAATCGAAGTGCAAATCGACTCCCTAATAGACGATAAACTACGTCTTGTCAGCAAAATAGAAGAGCAAGATAGCTTGGAGGAGCTGATGTGCTCAGTCTCAGACGTCAAATCTATTTTGAGCTCGTTAGACGCGCAACTCGACCCGTACCTCGCCCCGGTGACAAAACGCAAGCTCCTTGAGAGGTCATCTATCTATTTCATCAATAAAATCACCGGCGCAATTCTAGGTGAGTCGTCTTTTTGTGTAAAGCCACTCACCTAGTAGAGACTTTTTATTCACGGCTTGTATCTCAAGAGAGTTACTTAAAATTTATTTTGTAGAGGAGGAGGATATTGCTGTCGATGCATGTACACCTCTAGATGCATTTATTAACAAACTTTCGGATTTACCTGGCTATCCCGCCACAAACGCTGAAGGTAAACTTAGAAAGTTAATTGCAAATGACCAGTTATTATTAGATTTGCGATTTATATTGCGTTCCTCACTGTCAGACATTCTTGGTGTTTGGAAAGCTGGCGACATTAGCCTCTCTGCTAATGCCGTTCGAGGGCTCATAAGAGCGCTTTTCTCGAACACAACGAAGAGAAGTAATGCTCTGCAGCAAATAGTTTGAAAATATCCACTTTCTGTAGAATATCTCTTGATGGAACTGTCCACTGCTTCATAATTCTATCCCTACCGTTATCGATTTACTCGATTTTAACGAAATGTGCAATAATCTTTTTCACTTCAAAAAATAGTTCCGTTTCTAGAACTTCGCAAAACGTCAGCTTGTTTTTGTCTACTTAACATCAGTTTACGAGTTTTATTTTTTAGGCATGAACAAATTCGGTTGATGGCGGACATGAAAAGCCAGCCTCCAGACGTTCGCAATAAGCTCTTAGAGCAACTTCGTAAGTACATTTTAAAGTATCGAATAAGTATCTCCTTAGTTTAAGGGGGGGGGTCGACGAGAATTTTTTCAGGGGTGATCTCGCTTGTACTCATAGTCTGGATATGAAACTTATATTTTTGGAATCTACAGATTCTCCTAAATCTTTTGAGCCTAAAATCATTTGATAAAAATGAGATTTAGAGGGTAAAATTAGGAAAAATGTAAAAAAAATGACCATTTTTGGTGCATTTTCGCGAAAATGGCCCCACTTTGATGGGATTTTTGACCGATTTTTTCTGGCCAAATTTTTTTCTACTTTTCGCCGGTTAATTTTTTCAACCCTTTTCTATTCGCCACTAAATTCAGATTTCGCCTATCTTATCAGGTTTTCTCCCATTTTTGGTCACGGAAATCCCGATTCTCGTCGACCCGCCCCTTAAATCTTATACATATTATAACTTATATACTTATATAATATAAAACTTATACTATCAAGAATATTTCAGTATTTAACCCACCGGAAAATGACGACGACTCGGTTACTCTTGATACGTTACTTGATGGGTTCGACGTTCTGGTCAACGAGTTGCAGAACTCGACTCTTCGCCGTGAAAGACAATGTGTCAATTTCCTGGAGAAGTTTAAGCCCTTTGTCCAGAGAGTGTCGGAATTAAGAATGCGGAAGTCAGACTTCGAACATCTGAAAACAATTGGACGCGGCGCTTTTGGCGAAGTGGCTGTCGTTCGTCAAAAGGCTAGTGGAACTATTTACGCGATGAAATCACTCTGCAAATGGCATATGCTCGAAAAACTAGGAAAAGGTTCATTCGCATTATTTGTTGTCTTAGTTGTCTTCAGCTAAGGAATCATTGAAAAGATATTGCTTGCTTCCGCGAAGAAAGAAACGTTCTAGTCCGAGCAAAGTCTCCTTGGATAACATCGCTACATTATGCGTTCCAGGACTCATCCCGTTTGTACCTGATCATGGAATATTATCCTGGAGGCGATCTCGTCACACGCCTTTCTAAGTCTGACTATCATTTTCCAGAGGACGAAGTGCGCTTCTACGTCTGCGAAATGATTGTTGCTATAGGAAAGGGTCGATCAAAGTAAAAGAGCATTGTCTTGAAACCAATAATTTATCCACCTAATCTCGTTTACTGACTAAAGTGATTAATTTGGCCAGGACGACCCTTGTCTAAGATTATCTACATTCGTTAAGCTTTGCCCATCGTGACATCAAACCAGAGAATATCTTGATATCGAGCGACGGTCACATTTGCCTGGCAGATTTCGGAAGTTGTCTAAAAATCGACCCGGATGGATTTGTAAGGTCTAATGCTTCCGTCGGTACGCCAGATTATATTTCCCCGGAAGTCCTCCAGACTTACGAGAAAGGTGGGGAATGCTATGGAAAAGAATGCGACTGGTGGTCTCTTGGAGTCAGTATGTACGAAATGCTCTTCGCAGATACTCCCTTTTACGCTGAAAGTCTCGTGGAAACATATGCTCAGATTATGGACCATGCTGAAAAATTCGCATTTCCGAGTCCAGATGAGGGCATTGTAGCCTCAGAAAACGCGAAAGATTTAATTTGCAAGGAAGGTCTCATTTCTATTTCAATATGCTCTCCGTTTATCATTTATCAAAAAATAGTGATAAGATATGGGACCCGCATAAGCTCATTTGCGATAGATCCGTCCGTCTCGGAAAGAATGGCCTTTCTGACTTTCGAGAGCATCCCTTTTTCGCGGGCATCGAATGGGAGACTATCCGCGACCAAGTTCCGCCTTACATTCCTGAAATTGAGTCACCAACTGATACTTCGAACTTCCCGGATCAGCTTGAAGAATACCGAATAATTAAAGATCCACCTCCAACCGGAAATAACATCTTTACTGGCAAACACCTTCCCTTTGTCGGCTTTACTTACACGAAGTCATCACGCTTGTCTGGCAACACCTTATCGAGTGCAGCCGCTGAAAACAGCAGCCAAGAAAAATCTTTGTCTACCGCTCCAGTTCCTGCTCCTCGAAAGAAAGAAGAGCCTCAAGATGAGGAGATCCGAAAAGAACTGCAATCGCTAAAAGAAGCCTACAACTTTCAAACCAAAGAACTTGCATCTGCAATGGAGAAGATTGATCAGATCGCAGCAGAAAATGCCAATAGAAAATTAGCTGCTATTGAGAAAAGTGAAGAAACTGAACGCCTCAAGATTTTCCTTGACAAGTTGGAAAGGGAAAATGCCACCTTGAAGTCTAACTTAGAAAAAGTCGCGGCGGAACAGAAGGTGTCTGACGTCTTCTCCAGTCGTCTTGACAGTCTTCATGACGAGTTAGAAGAGTCCCAAGCTCTGCATTTGGAAAAAGATGCCCATATCGAGCAACTTACCTCCCAATTTGAGTCTGTATCTGAAGAGCTATCGTCAAAAAAAGACGGAGAAACAATCCAACGTCAGCGGATAGCTTCACTCGAAAGAGAAGTCAATGGACTTGAATCACAAATCACCAGCTTGAGGTTCATAAATAAACCTTTCCAAAAATTAACACGCTTTTCTTATAGACTTGACGATGAGAATCGTGAAGGCTGGGAGAGCTACCTGCGAAGCATAACCAAATGGGTGAGAGACGAAAAGGATGCAAGAAATTATCTGGAAGTTTTGGCAGAAAAGATGGGCGAGGAACTCGAAGCATTGCGTCGGGCCAGAGATGCCCAAGTTCCATTACAGCAGCATTTGAACTCATGCGAAACATCACCTAGAGATGGCAGTGATCGGGAAAGATGGCAAACTTTACGAAATTCGAAGAAAAAACAAGCAAAAATACTAGAAATCGAGAGGTAAGTGTGAATTTACGATGACAAAGAGTAACTGGTTCTTTAGCACACTTCGAGATGAAATTACCCAGCGCGAAAACTTGTCCAAGGATCTTGCACAAGAGCGCGCGCATTCTCACGAACTCGCTCAAGAGCTACAGCAAGCTAGGTACGAGCTAGATTGTCTCAAAAGAACAAATAGGAAAGGTTAACAAAGTCATCCTGCTCATAAATATTCATTGAGTCTTTCGAGCTCTCCTAACAAGAAATCTAACTAACTTAACAAAAAACCTGCTACAGTCTAACCTGCATGCCTGCTGATCAACGGTCAGACTGCTCAGACTCACGCTCGGATCCGCATGTCCAAAGTACGGCGTCTTCAAGTATTTCTCAGAAGGGTATGGACTCAAACAGAAGTGGAGGCCCCCAGACGATCGTGTCAGAAGTAACCGACCCATCCCTTTACCGAATTCCATCAGCCACGGTTACTCACTTTCGTAACCCTCATCTCTTTAGTCTAACTCGCTTAACGTTTAAACAAGTCATTGATTAAGGAGTAACCCTTATCTCTGTTTCTGGTCGGCCATCCCCGATGAAGTCAACGAAGTCACAGAAATCAGCAGCGACACCGCACAATCATGAATTTGTTGTGAAGACGTATCAAGAACCTGTTCCTTGTCTTCAATGCGGTACTTTCATGCTCGGCCAGTATCGACAAGGCATTATCTGTGAAAATTGCGAGTTTCCCTGCCATTACAGCTGTGCTAAAAATGTGCCAAAAGGTAGGCTCCGCGACCGATACCGAGCACTTTCCCACCAGGGGATTCTCGAGGAAACTAGAAATAAAACTAAAGAGATGGAAGCCATGGAGCTAAAGCACGAAAGTTCGCTTTTGAGCTCGCCTCCAAAGAGGCGCTCTGTCGCCTCCTCTTTCTGGAGCCATCTCGGTTTCTCACCTAAAACCGTGAAGCGATTCCAAAGAAAGTAAACTTCCACTTGTATATCCATTTTTGCACATATATTCATTTCTATTTATTCTGTTACCAATAAATGCACTATTTTTCTAAATCTTTAAAGCGAGTATACTTTTATCGATTTCGAAAAAGTATGAGCTCGACCAATTGCCATAAATGAGTTTTGTTTCTGGTGTTGATGAAAATTTGTAGTCTGCCCTCTGCCAAGAGAGGACCTGGATCGTCGACCAATAGGACTCCACACACTCGATATACATCGCAGTACTGGTACTGCTTACGAGGGTCGTCTTTGGCTCCCAAAACCCCAAGGAGTTAAGAAGGGCTGGCTAAAATGCTTTGGGGCGATTACTGGTAATCGTTTCTTCGTGTTTATCGTTTCAGAAGAGCGCAAGGCGCCTCTCGTCAACTGCCAGGCAGCATTCTCGTTTGATCTCCGTGAAGAGTGTTTCTCTGTCGAGACAGTGCGCCCTGAAGATGCAATTCACGCCAACAAAAAAGAAATAGAGTCAATTTTTCGCCTTCGATCCACCTCAGTTCACCGCACCACTTCCATCACACACCCTGTCCTTACATTTTCGATACTCATGAAGTGCCAGAATTCATCCGAAAAGCAAAAGGCAGGAAAACTGTCCTTTCAAATGATCTTATTTTTTATTAGTGGATTGACTATCTTTCGAAAGTCAACAAAACTTTGAAGCATTCCCTTCCGCCGCCAGTGTTCAGTCTACTCGAAGCATATGACCCGTCCCTTATCCTCATTAAGACTATGATAACTGCCGACATTATTAGTAAAGATCGAATCATACTTGGTAAGATTGCGCTGACATCCAAAAATACCATGTCGATTAATAGGTACAGAAGACGGTCTCTACTGCATGGATCTAAAGCGTCATGACTTCGTTAAAATCATGGAGAAAAAAGTCCTTAATGTTCAAGTCTCAAAAAACCACAGAGTGAAAATCATTGTTGTGATATCTGGGAATCGCCGCGCGATTCGGTACGACCCCGAAATGTCTTGATTATTCTAAAATTATTTGTAGCGTTTTGCCTCTCAAGGCTGCTGCTGAACCACTCAAATTTGCTAAAGACACTGTAAAGCTCGACCAAACTCGTGGAGCATCATTGATATCAATCACTGCTGTAAGGCAAATGTTAATAGTAGCTTAGAATTCATTTTAACCCATTATTTTTGAAATCGCTTACTAAACAAGACTCTTGTTACAAGAGTTTAATTTCGAATAGATCTAAAAACGCAATCATTAACCTTATCGAAAGTACAAGCTCTCTGTCGCTTGTAATAGCAGCCAGGAAGACACTTTTCTGCTATGAGGTCACGGTTGACGAAAAAGAAGCATTATCCGTAAAGCACAAACAAGAGATTGCGCTTGATTACATTCCGCAAAACCTTCACCAATCGGATGGTAGCCCAGTAATAGTTGTCGGGTCAACTTTGGGATATTCGAACTATATTGTCGCCTGGGTCACTTTATTACTGCCTCAAGTATGCCTCACCAAAAGATTACTTGCTTAAATTATTTTAGGACAACGCTACTTTTACAAATAATCAAAACCGTCCGAAACATCTGTTGAGCGTAAAACAAGATTCCGCAATGAGGTTCGAATGATTTTTGATTTATTTGCCAGTAAGCATCATTTTAGCACGTTGCTCGAAAACAAACTGCTTCAGCAACCTATGGATGCTCTATGCTCTGTTGATCTTGGCGTTGAGCAGAAAGAGCATCTTCTATGCTTTAGCAAGTTTGGAATTTATGTGAATTACGATGGCGAACGTTCACGTCAATCAGAAATCATGTGGCCATCGGAGGTAATCCCAGTCGCTCCTTGGATAAATAATAATTATTACCATAAAATTTATAGCCTCGGTTCATTTGCTGTCACTCTCCTCCAGAAAACAAGCCGCCAGTTCTGATATGCTACATGGACAATTCTATAGAACTGTATGATGTTTATTCCGGCCAGTGGATTCAATCCATAGCATGTCGTCGTCTTCGACCATTGAACACAGATGGCAGTTTATCGTGCATGGAGACTGACACACGTCGTCTTCTTTTGTTATCAAACCCGAGCGAGAAAATCGAGGACAACGAGCACTGGATAGAGCTTCCTTTGCAATTCAACCCTGCTTTACATAAACGACAGCTTGTTAAAAAATCTAAGGTAAAAGCAAGCTAGAAAAGATATGTTGCTACTCCTTTCTTAGGTTTCTTTCGAGTTCAAAGTACCAGACTCAACGCAAAAGAAACTGGCGTCGAAAATGCGTGACCCTGTGCAGCGAAAGATTTTGATATCTGGCCCTGTCACTGACACGTTTCAACACTTGGAGCATATGGACCCGGCTGACCAAACGTATGACAGTGCGAAGAGATTTCCTTTGACGTTTGATTTAGGTGCTCACTTACACAATCGACGTCTAGCCTTGCTAGAACGGCAAGTTCGAGCGATGTTGCGATGGTGAATATTGACCTGTGAAAATAAGCACCAGAACTTGCACTTTGCAGTCTTTGAGTCCTCACCTTCTTCACTTCTTTCTCACTTCAACACATTCACTTCACATCCTGTATCAGTTCACTCGCTTCAACTTATATTTACCTCATCTATTGGCCTTTAAGTTTCCTCTGTGCATTTCTTCTCAACTTAGAACGCGCACAAAATACCCCCGTAACGTACTGTCCTCACGAGCACAAAATAATAAAAAAGACACCGAGCCACTTGATAATTTATCTTTAAAAGTACTAGGACTTTTGGTATGATTAAAAGTTCAAAGAAAAAAGTTCAACACTCGTATGCTCTTATCGATTGGCATTCTCGTTCATGTCACCTAAAGTTTTAAAAAGCCAAACTACGGATAAAAAATTGGACGATTTCGACAACGCACAGTATTTCCTTAGCTCAAGCGCAGATGCATAAATGATTTATCGCCCCTTGATTCTTCAAGGGGAGTGCTTGAATGTTCAAAGCTAAACCGCCCTGGTGAGAAATCTGAATCACTAGGGTAATGCAAAACTACCAACGCGATGTCGCAGTTGTCCCTTGTGTGCCCAAATGCCCTCCGCCTTATAAAAATGCATTTTTAAACACGCTCGGTAGCTCGATCCGACTCGATAGCTTATTTTACTCGAGAAAGGCCCTCTTCTTAACCTTGACAACGTACTAATCCCATCTTCCGTACTGAAACCACGAGAGTCGACATCAACAAAAGCTACCTTTCTTCTGTTCGCAAGTAGCTACGTTTTCGATATGCAACAATCATTTCTTTTATTATTTTGATTTTCCCAAATACGCGTTACACCGCCTTGAACCACCCATAGCTTCAAATTAAGAATGAGCGAGTTTCTGGTTGACGAGCAAGAGTACGACTGGCTACGCCGGCTTGGGATCGAGCAGACTACGCTAGGATACTTTGATGGGAAAGGGGTCATGAATATTCACAGTATCGATAAAGAAATTAAAGCCTAAGTTATAATTGCGACTTTGCTCGCGCTGGCCTATTGATAAACAAGCGAGACTGGCAGCGTTGAGTTTTTCTTTTCACTTGTAAATATTTTTAAAATGTATGATTTTATTGACACCTGTTTTTGAGAGAATGGAAAAAAGGAAGCGGAGAGTTGCAGTCATCTATTTCTCCCATAAATGGCAGACCGATAGCTCAGATATACACCGCGACAAAGGTGATTTTCTCGATTACCTTCAAAAGTTAAACCAAATTTGACGCTAATTAGGACGACTACGATGCTACTGTTGCCGCCGCTAAAGAGGCTTTTAAAGTCTGGCGTAATGTGCCTGCACCGAAGCGCGGCGAGATTGTCCGTCAAATCGGCGAAGAGCTCCGAAAAGTAAAAGAGAACTTCATTTAAGGAGATTGACTTGTTCAGTATATTGAGCTGCTGGGGAAACTTGAAGCACTAGAGATAGGCAAGACTGTGGTTGAAGGGAGAGGCGAGGTACAAGAGTTCGTTGACATCTGTGACTATGCTGTCGGTATGTCAAGACAATTACCCGGACAAGTGCTTCCCTCTGAGCGTGAGGGACACGATTTGCAGGAGAGATGGAATCCGCTTGGATTAGTCGGTGTCATTAGCGCCTTTAATTTTCCAATCGCTGTGTATGGATGGAACGCAGCAATAGCTTTGATAACCGGAAATTGCGTTATTTGGAAGCCCTCACCCACAGCCATTATCTCGACAATTGCTACTCAGGTTCGCTCTATCTATCTTTAGGCTATTTTTATTGTCATAGAATATCATCCAACGCGTGTTTGAACGGAACAATCTTCCAAAAGCGATCTGTACGCTTGTTTGCGGCGGTGCGGAAATTGGAGATGCGATAGCAAAGGATTCCCGAATCAACTTGGTGAGCTTTACTGGCTCTACCGCTGTAGGAAGAGAAGTGGGTGCTACTGTTCAACGAAGATTTGGTCGTGTTTTGCTTGAACTTGGTGGAAACAACGCCGCGATTATCAATCATGATGCTGATGTTGAAATGGTTGTTCGGTCAGCTTTATTTGCTGCAGTTGGCACTCAAGATCACGGGTTAAATATCAGTTCTTGCGAAAATTATGTAATTGAGCCTCTTAGCGAAGAGGATAAAAAAGGAAGCTAATTATTTTCTCAACCCAAAAATAGGCCAGCGATGCACTTCGCTTAGACGTCTTTTTGTTCATCACCAGTTGTACCAGACAGTATTAGAGCGATTAGTCAAAGCCTACCCAAAAGTGCGGATTGGGTCCCCTCTCGAAGAAAATACAATGTACGGTCCGATGCATAATAAAAGAGGCGTCGAGCTCTATCAGAAGACTGTCAAAGAAGCCAAGGCAAGTTCTTTTCATTTGCGGAATCGATTTGAATATTTTATCTTTTAATATTAGACACTGGGAACTCTGGCTGAGACTCAGCCTCTGAGTGATAGGTCTCCTCTTATTCGCTCTCTTTTGAAACATTTGTTAATAAATTATTAAGGCATTAGGTGGAAAGATCGAATACGGTGGCGAAGTAATCGATAGCGATGGCTTCTATGTGCAGCCAACAATAGTCAGTGGTCTTGCGCACGATTCGGAACTGGTCATGAGGGAGTCCTTTTGCCCAGTTTTATATGTAATGCCGTTTGATAATTTGGATCAGGTGATAAAGAATTTTCGATCAGAGAATGACTCGAAATTCCAAAGGTTATCGAATGGAACAACGAAGTCGAAGCAGGCCTGAGCTCCTCATTGTTCACAAGTAACATTACGGACTTATTCAAGTGGCTCGGACCGAACGGTGCTGACACTGGCATCGTAAACGTTAACTGCCCAACCAATGGGGCCGAGATCGGAGGCGCTTTCGGGGGAACAAGGCGACAGGCTGGGGCAGAGAAGCTGGATCTGACTCCTGGAAACAGTACATGAGAAGAAGTACATGCACAATTAACTTTTCCAAGCAACTTCCACTGGCTCAAGGCATAAAGTTCGAATAAGTTTAGTACTCTTGTAAAAAATAGTTTCATTTTCATCCTGATTACGCACTGCCCAAGTTGATTCCAAAGTTCATTGATTATGCTTTAATATTCTTCACATGACACTGTGCAATTCGCTTACGAACATTCCTCCACTCATTTTCATATTTAGAGATGAGATAAATTATGCTCTGGGTAATACTTACTCTGTGTTCGTGTACGTTTGCCCAGTCTGATGTAGATGAAGGATGTGAAAATCTGACTCGCGATATTGGTCTCCTTCTTTCTGCAGGAATATCCGACTACGCACCAAAACTAGAATCTGTCTTCAGACGACGCACAGATGAGTCTTGGCGACCTGACAGAGTGCGCAACAGAGTGAACTTACCCCAATCGAATTACGAGGTCTCTGAAATCGTCGAATATCGTACTATCATCAATGACCTTCTTGATAACTCTTCGGAGAAAATCAGAAAGCTCTTATTTGGTGCTGATCAAGGGGTCACCGAACTGCGGAAGACTCTTTTAGATGTGTACAGAAAAAAGTTGCCTGTTACATACAATCAAACAGAAGTCGAAAAGCCCATCGAGAAAAAATACTATTATAACGCGGGTTATACAAACACGCCACATGAAAACCTAGAAGAAGAAGATCCCTATGCCTCGATCCGTCAGAATATCGAGTCTTTAGCACTGAATAAGTGTTTCGGAGACGGCCAAATCAACGTTAGTTTTGAGCAGTCGACAGTTCATGTTCCATTCAATGTGTATTCGCTGAGTGACGATGTTCTTACGACGGCTGTTTATTCCACTGGTCTGGACAAAACTTTCACGGAGAATGCAAAAAACAGTAAGGTCTTGAGCTGGCAGTATTTTGCCTCTAGCAAGGGACTTACTCGTTTTTACCCCGGCCTCAAATGGAAACTTGAAGACGAAATCAAGCGTCCGATCGACTACGATGCCAGATTTGAGTCTTGGTACGCCTCTAGCATCAATTACCCGAAAGAAATCATCATCATGGTCGACTCTTCCGGATCGATGAAAGGCTATCGCAAAGTTCTGGCTATTCTTACAATTAGAACTATTATTGACTCTCTATCTGACCAGGACTTTTTCAACGTAATTCATTTTGAGTCTACTCCATCTTATCTTCACAGTTGCTTCGAGAGAACCCTCGTTAGAGCTACAGACTTTAACAAGCAGCAATTCAAGGAAAGGTTTTGAAATGCACTATCCAAAAAGTTTCATTTTTTTATCATATCAGAATTTTCCGTTGAGATATCATATTTTTCTCGTCTTCAAAACTCACGAAGGTTTTACTTCAGTCAATGAAAGCAAGCAATGTAGCTGACTTCAACAAAGCGATCAACGAAACTTACAATGTTTTCAAAAACTTTTCCGAAAGTCAAGATACCTATTATCCAGCTTCGCGTGGAATCATGATGCTGTCTGATGGCGCGCTCGAAGAATACAACGAAGCCTTCAATAACGCTACGATTGCGCTGAACGATAGCAACATAAACTTCGATGATATTCGTGTTTTTACTTACCTCATCGGAAAAGATTTAAAACATCAAGTGCCACTCAAAAATATCGCCTGCTCTCGACGAGGTTACTATACTCATATTGCTTCTCCCGCAGATGTTAAAAACAACGTGATGGAGTATTTTCATACGATGAACCGCCCTCTTGTGAACCAAGCGGATTATGGTACCAAGCCACAGTGGAGTCCAATGTATTCTTCGAGTCTGATTGGTGGGCTTAAAGTACATGGACTCATAGTATCTGCTACACAAGCGGTTTATTCAAAAGACAATCTAACGAACAAAACGGGATTACTTGGTGTCGTTGGTACAGACGTCCCTCTGTCGTTTTTGGAGCAATATCTACCAAAACCATATATTCTCGGGCCGCATGGTTACGCCTTCATTACTAATGCCAAAGGACAACTCTTGTCGCATCCTGATCTCAAGATCAAGGAGGATGATGGTGTTTCTATGAAGACAACTTATCGAAGCATGACTCTTATTACGATGGAGCTTTATCGAGAAAGTCCATCGCGAAAGAAGGACATTACTGAGGCAATACGTACAGCAGCAAGTGAGCAAACAAGAGTTATTAAACGTGGATTCGAGGCAAGAAGAATCATCGAGTGCGGATCAGATACCGTTTCTTGCAGAAAATTAGCGACGGACGTCCTCACTGATTATAGTTTCCTCGGACTGAACGAGAACTTCGTTCTTGGAATTGCTCAACCGAGGCTTATGAAAAATGGAAATCTCCAGTTTGCACAGAGTACGGAGAAACTTCTTCTACCCAGAAACAAGATGACGAGAGGATCTGTTAATCTTGTGCAAGAATGCTCGAAACCTCTTGGAAATCCAGGACAGCAGAGCAACCGAAAGCAGCTGATTTGCGAATTCTACAATGGCGTGAATTCAAATTTGCTGAAACTTGCGGGTAACTGGGAATTTTGTAAATTCCAAGACTATGTTTACACGGATGATCAGCGATGTGCTTCAATCAACCAGACACAAGTCATTTTTGACTATGTTTCTTCTACTAGAAAGGGTTCGGCTAATTTCGAGTATGTTTGTGATGACAGTATGATCGACTCGCTTCTCTATGACATTCATATGACCGCGATCTTGCCTGGAATGTGGGCTGACTACTTACAGAACACTGGTGTAACTTCCGTCATTGATTTTGCTTATGTTTTGACGAGAACCGGGCTTCTTCGATTTTATGATAACTCGAAAACCGGTGACGTGATCTCGATGGATCTTCTTGAGCCTTACAAGATCGGTTTCGAGAAGTTTACTTATTCCCGTTTATTCCGCATTGCCGCCAGCTACAAGTAAGCTTTAGTTTACTTTCATTTTTCTCTATCAGATGATTTAGGAAGGGGACAACCGTCTATTTGCTGAATCCTAAAAATCCTGAAAAGTATCTCACCGCCAGAACGTGGAGTTTGGGGGAGAGCGAAAATTTCAAACCACCGAATTTCAGTTCGGAGCATCATGTAGCTATGCTCACAGAGGGTTACCAGATTCGACGCGATTATCTTGTTGATCTCATCAGAAAAGAAGGTTTCTCTTTCGTATTTTCTCTTCTCATTCAATTTTAGCTGGGAATCTCAAATGCAAAAACTTAAACGCGGGCAATACGACCGAGTCAGACTGTAACGGTGATATCAAGGATGTAAGTACTTTCTTCATTTAAGGCTAGGGTGGTCGATTTTGACCAAGTCTCAGATTCTTTTTTGACCCGCGTTTTTGGATTCCTCAGGAAATTTGGAGCAAAAAACTCCTCATGCACTTTTTCGCTATCTCAACTCGATCTCCGGGAAATCGCGACTAAAAGTGCAGAAAATTAGTGTATTTTGAAAGTGAACCCAATATTATGAAATTTTAACCCTTTAAAATAGCTGCATATGATACATTTTTGGAAAGCTTACATTCAGCACATTCATTTAGGGTAGGGCTGAGGGCGTCTGGGCTATGCCCGAAGGGCAATTTATAGGAATGAATAGTCAAATATAGGTACCTTGGTTTATTGAAAAAAATTCTTAAGAAAAAGTTATCAAATAAAAAAAAGCTTCTGTAAATTTTAAGATTAGGGTCTAAGAAACCTAAAAAGAGTAAGAGTTGATAGGACCATTATGCAAACTTTGGAGTTTTGGAGCCCTGAAGATGGGCTATTTTCGCGATTTTAGCCGAGATGCCAACTTTGAAGCCGCCGGAAGTGGCTTTTTCCTTGGGATTACGGAAAAAGCTTCTGTAATTCAGAAGATCTAAGATAGATCTCTATTAAAAGCTATTATGGGGTACTCTGGCATTCACAAGTCCAGAGTTTATGAGCCTTGCTTTGGGCCAAATCGACCACCCTAGCCTTAATTCTAACTGATTATTTTGTTTAGTGTTATCTACTTGATGACTATGGAACAGTGTTCGTTTCTGCCAACAAAACCGAGACCGGATTTACTTTGGCTCAAGTTGATTCCAATGTGATGCAAGCAATGAAAAACGATAAGATTTTCATTGGAATAGGCGTCAAAGATTACCAGGCAAAGAACTCTAGTCTCCAACAAAAGTCAGAAAGTCCATTTAGGCAACATGTTCTGAAGTGCAAACAATCGAGACTCAAGACGAAGACGGAATAGTTTATAATCTTGAGTTCCCAGTGAATACCAAAGAAGACCCCAAAAATCCATCGAAGCCATCTCAAGATGATGAAATTACGACAGAGTATAACAAAGCTCGTCCCTGTCTGAAAGTACGCTCATTTTTACTTTTTAATATAAGTATAATTTCAAGGAATACACCTTGTATCAAATAAACAAGTCCTTCAGTCAGGACCTTGGAAAGAAGAGAGTAGCCTTATGTAACAAAGTAGGTGTATTTTAGCTGAACCTGTGAACAATATTATTTTAGGGCACGAAAACAGATCTCGATGAGTGTTCTACTCGGTCGTACTCATTGAGAAAGATAAAGAACACGAATCTGTCACTGTTAGTAGTAGATTCGTGCTGTTCTTCCACGAATTCGGATTCATGTCCTTCCTCGGAGAACATTCTGTCTTCAGAAAGGTTTCTCGCAGAGCTCACTCCCCAAGGTGACTTTACCAATCTACCTCAAAATATTTGAAATTTTCTTAGAAAAAACAATTACAAAAGACGCGCTCTGCAAAAATCTGAAGGAAGACAACATCCGACGGGTGTTATTACCAGAACTAGATACAAGCGACAACAGTACAGAGTCTCGTTGTAGCTCCTCGGCTACAAAACTATTATTTAACAACTCCTTATTCTTCACTTTCATCCTATTTTACCTATTGAATCTGATGTTTACCTGAAACCCGAAATCCCAAACAAGATGAAATTCTGTCCGATTATCGCAAACTTAGAGCAGGGGTTTCCTCCCCTTAATATTTATTCTGCTTAAACATATGATATGTTACATATCTCGCAGCATGTTCTTCATTTTAACCTAATTTTACCTCTCATGACTTTATAAATATGCATCTACGAAATTGAACTTCAAACGAATATTGCCTCTAACATTGTGTGAATAGAACTTTTATTTCAACGATAATCCGGCAAACATAAAGTCATAATCCGTCTTCAGTTGCCTTATTCGAAAAAACTCATTTGAAAATATTATTTTGACAATCTGTTCAAGAATATAACAAATATCAAAATGCTTTAAACATCACGCGCAGTATAATAATTTATAATGAATTTATATTGCTTTTGTTGAGTTATTTTTTTTTGCAAGCTGAAAACTTCCAACCGAGAGTCAACCCAAGGACTCTGCATAAAAAGCAATAATCAATTGGCTTCAGATGCTTCGGAAGGGTCTATTGAACTCACCATTGCGTAGGATTCCGTCTCGAACAAATGCACAATTTCAGAGCAAACTTGATACTGAAATTCAGACAGCTCTTAAGTCGGGTCTTGATAGACCCAGCGCCATATACAACCATCTGACGGCTAAGAATATTATTTTCAAAGATGAGCATCAGCAAGAAGTTGTCTCCAGGCTCGATAAGATAGGGTTTAGTCATATTTTTCAGATGCGCGTACGTTTTTTCGAAAACGAGTTTTGAATCAAATGGAATCGAGATTGTGAAATATTGCTAAACCCTATCTGACCTGAATGATCGTCTCCGTAGTTTCACCGCGAAGGCTCAAGAAGCTTCTAGTGGTGGATTTTTCGGATTTTTCTCATCTGGCTCATCTGAAGCGGAAGTTAAAGAGGCAGACATACCTGGAGCGTATCTTTACGGCAATGTTGGCACGGGAAAGACCATGTTGATGGACTTGTTTTATTCTACAACTCCGGTCGTCAAGAAGAAGCGGGTGCATTTCAATCGTTTTATGCTCGATATCCACGAGCGCATTCACAAGCTAAGATACTCACAGCTTGGCGCCAAAGAGACCTGGGACAAAATCGCGGACGATATTGTCGAGGACGTGCATCTTCTCTGCTTCGACGAGTTCCAGGTCACCGATATTGCCGACGCTATGAACATGAAGAGCCTCTTCTCCGCTCTCTTCAGGCGAGGCATCGTAGTTATTGCCACTTCGAATAGACACCCAGATGATTTATACTTGCATGGTCTCCAACGACAGAATTTCCTCCCCTTCATCCCGATGCTGAAGACACAAGTGGAACTCGTCAATTTAGACTCGGGAAAAGATTACCGAAAATCTGAAGTTTTTGACTTCAATTATCCATCTTGGCTCATCAAGGGCGACGCTTCATTGCCGCAACAAATCGAAAAAATCTACTCTAAATTTGGGAAGGGCGAAAGCCAAGTTGAAAATAAGAATATAACTGTGCTTGGACATACTCTTCGTGTGCCTAAAGCGACTGGCGGTGTAGCTGAGTTCACTTTCGACGAATTATGCCAGGAAGGATTAGGTGTACCATTAGGCGCGCAAGATTATTTAGGTATTGATAGGATCCGGCATTCTCTACTTATATTTCTTGTTACTAGCGCTTTCTGGTCATTACTCGGTGATAATCGTCAAGGACGTACCCCGGATCGACCTGTACGTTATGAACTCAGCACTGCGGCGAATGATTACTATGATTGATCAATTTTACGATAATAACGTGGCCTTATTACTTGTACTGGACGTTCACCTGGACGATCTCTATTTCAGCTCACACTCTGGAGATAGAGAGCTTACTATGGAGGAGAGAATGTTTATGGATGATCATCAAGTTCAGGGTGTAGCAGAAGGCGTTAAAATAGCCACCCTTTCTGGTTCTGAAGAAGCCTTTGGTAATATTTCTCGATTTTATGGAAATATATAAGTCTACTCTAGCTATTGAGCGTAAAATCTCACGACTTGCCGAGATGAGCTCCGAGCAATACTGGCGTGAAACAGAAAGAATTTTCTTGCAATCTAAAAAGTAAAATCTCTGCCCTTGAGTAGAGCTTCAAGCTTTTATCTAGATTACTTCCCTTGCTACTAGACTCTCGAAATCGACCTTAAGTTATTCTCCGGAGAGCGCAAGTTCTTCTGCTCTATCCGGCTGTCCTGTTTCCGTTCATTCAAAGTTCTGTAATTTAACCAGATACAATTTTTTTTAATGGTGAGGTATTTTAGATAAAAGCTGATGGAAGTGGATGAAACGTGCACGGAGGAGCCACCTCTTCAAGAAATGTCGATCGAGGATCAGTTCAGAAATAGAATGCGCAAGCTGTATCCTGCCGTTGACGAGAGCGTCACGCCTCTGCCGCGGTTTTGGACTTCCCACAAAGAACTCTCCTCGAAGCTTATAATTCAGCAAGGAACACGCGTTGAGTACAAAGGCCCTGGATCAAAGGGATACAAAGATGCAGCATCAGCGCGAACAAATACCGAAATACCCGCCGTATGTGGACTTTACTACTTCGAAATAACTGTTATCAGCAAAGGCCGAGATGGCTATATTGGGATCGGATTGGTTGCATATGGTGACGAGTCTCAGCAGCTAAATGCGCAACAAGGAGGTACAGATACAAAGATACCAAGAGTTCCCCTTTGAACAGTTGTAATTACTAGTCGTTAGATCAGGTAAGCAGTTTAAATTCCCCGGTACTGAAGTAATTATCCTGGTTTTTATCAATCCTTAATTTTAAGGTTACAATCGTCTACCTGGCTGGGATCAGGACAGCTTCGGTTATCATGGCGATGATGGCAACGCATTTTCGAAGTCTGCGCATGGACAAAAATATGGACCAATTTACGGGAGCGGCGATGTTGTTGGCTGTTGTATAAATATGGTGAACAGAACTATCTTTTTTACAAAGAATGGAAGTAATCTAGGAATTGTTTTTGAAGATGGTAAGAGCGACGGATCTCTCACTGTTTCAAGCGATTTTTTCAGTTCCCGATAAACCAATGTACCCAACAGTAGGTCTTCAGACCCCTGGAGAGCTGATAGAAGCTAACTTCGGCCAAAAGCCCTTCCTATTTGACTTTGAAAGCTATCTTGCCGATTTCAGAAGAGATCAAATTGTCCAGATAAAAAACTTCTCAATCGACGACACGGATGGTTCTTTCCAACTCAAGATTCAAGCGATCATTGCAAATTACCTAAATTACCAAGGCTACTCCAAAGCGGCGACTGCGTTCGAAGAGGTAAAGCCACTATATGAGATTTGGCGTTCGTTAATCTCTAGGCTACGCGAACGAAATGCGCAGTTGAAGCAGAGGCTACCAAAAAAACAAGAATCGGAATTGTCAGCTGCATTCTCAAGGGTGAGCTCACAGAAGCGATCGCTCGCTTATCAGCCGACTTTCCAAATTTGCTCGAAAACAACCACGAGCTTGTTTTTCAACTGAAGTTCCAACAATTAGTTGAGATTATCGGTGGTACAGGTAATGTGGTTTTAAAGTTGGCTCAGTCCAGATTAACCCTTGATTTCAGAATCCGAGATGAAGAACTACAAAGAAACGGAACATTCGTTTGGGATGTTGCCTGCAAGCGCGCTGCAAGACTTCATCGACAAGGGACGCCATTTAAGAGAGTTTGTTCTCGAGTCCAACAGCGACAACGAGTCTATGCTCAAGAAAATAAATCAAATTAAAAAGGTAGATCGTTAGCAAATGCAGTATTTAACCGGTGAATTAGATTTCTACGTTGCTGATAGACAACGACCCAAGTAAGAGCCCTGCTGCTGACCTGTTCGAAAAAAGCAGAAGACAAAAAGTTGCCACTGCCGTTTCCGCCGCAATCAGGCAATCACAAAAACTATCAGCACGGCCCAAGGTTGCAGTTCTTGTCAATCACGTTCGCCTTCTTCACGACACACTCCTTCAAAGAGGTGATTACTTCACCCTTTTATACGACTTATTTTAATTTTAGATATTCCACAAGCTGCTTTCACACTTCCAGAAAACTTTCTGAATGAATAAACTACTTTCATCTTTTCTGACTTGCAGTTTTCCAAGGGAATCTTCTATGATTTCATTGTGAACAGTTTTTATTTAGCAAGGTCTCAGACTTTTCACTCGGATTGAATAAGAGTTTTGCGAGCAGACATAATGATTTTTGTGAGAACAGTAACTGGAATTCCATCAATTTCGTCGTCAGCCCTTTTTATCCAAATTGCTTCGGCTCTCTCGCAGGCCGTCTCGCGGCAGACTTTTCCTCCTGTGATTGCTACGATTGTGAAAATCAGCTCTTCAAGCTCATCTCTGCTTATTGTTCCGTCGCAATCGGTGTCGAAAATTTGACAGACCCACTGAAGCCGTTCGTTCAGAGTGCCTTAAACTTTTTGAAAAACTGCCCGTTACGGCCGCTAACCTCTTGCCATAACGGACATAGTTGTGATGAACTCGTAGAAGCAAATATGCTCGTCGTTGTTAATATCGCAGGCACGGAAAACAGCCTCAGTAAAGGTTGAATGGTCTCCGTTGGGAAAAAGCGCATCGTATATCTTTACAAGCTCCGAGCGGGATAGCTTCCCAGTCGGACAATCGAGTAAAAAACACCGGTACCAGTCCAGAACTTCTTTTTTCGTAACTAATTTTGTTTCTCAAAGAGATAAGGTGCCCGAAATGAAATGAAAAGAAAAACTTACATCTTGTCTCTCTCATGATTTTCTTGACATTTTTTTTACTCAATTTCGTGTTTTTGTGCCCCATCTCTGCCTTTTTTTGCTACTAAGGTCGTGAACTCATTGCTCCTTGCCAGCAGCGAGCTTGAGATCATATTTTGCGATAGAAAAGCGAAATTTTTTTTCAGTTAAAATTTAATTGTTCAGTCAAAAAGAACGTGAGTCCAAAACGTTTTGTAGCGGACAAATCGGAATAAATTGTTGAGTTATTCTTCTGAGGTAACGTAGAGGTTTTCCAGTTGGCTGTTACGAAGTCGCCCAAGAGAACTCTGATCGGATGAAATTCTCTAAAGACAAGATGGATAGACATCGACAGTTACCTTCGAGCTACTGAGCGAGAGGGTGGTGGTGCAGGTACTGGTGTGTCGCAAGCGTCTGTCTAGCGGTACTCCACTGGACGTGAAGGGGTTTATTTTTTCTGCAGCTTATTTCAAAACGCGTATTTGTGGCAAGGAGTGGATAAATAAGTGAAATTTTCATGAAAAAGGAGAAAAACAAGAAAGAAAGCTGAAATTTGAAATTTTCCTGTACAAACCTGAGAAACTGTAGAGCGTGCATAAGTAGTTTCAATTGGCCTTAAACACAAACGTAAATGAATACAATAAAATCGAGCATTACTTGTGATATTTTCGTCTTTCCCAGACGCGTCGAAGTTCGCTAAGAACGTCGTCGTTCAAAAAACAGTAACAGCAGGCGACGATCACGCCAGATAGACTGTCTACAGAAAAGCGCCAAAAATTCGTTATTAGAGATATTGAACTACCTATAACGAGCATTGTCGTTCTCAGAAAGTGCTCAACGTACTCTGAGAGCCTTTTGAAGGGGATTATGATGGACACAAGAACGTGAACACCGAAAAGAGGAACCAGAACCAATGTTGCTACAAAAATTTCATGACTTGAAACAGGTTATTTTGCGATTACCTTTTGCCAGCTTTCTGATATCCTGAATAGCTGTACTTGACTCTGCTTCCGGGTTTGGAACAGAAAGGTTATTCTGTGACATCATGTACAGAATATGCATCTAAGATTGTTAAGGTCCGAGCAGTCGGATTGTATTACCAAGAGAACGAAGTTAGTGGCGGCGATGACGTATATGGGAAGCTCAACCCAGAGTAAAGTGAGAAAAGTAGCAGAGTTTTCTTTTCGCAAGCAACTCACAGACTCATCCGCGTAATACTGAATCGCCCAGCCGATTGTGGGGATTATGGAACACGTCCATCCGATGAGAGCATATCGCGTCACAAAGTCAAGACTTGGAGAATAAGTCAATGCCTTTAACAGTAATAATTACCTTAATTGGACGAACGGATTTGAGATCAAAGTATGGAGGAGAACCGCTTCTATGAATACCTTTATATTGATTCGTAAATATTCGGAAGCGAGAATATGATTAGTTTTTGAACCATTAGCCAAACACTCTTAGCGACTTCGGGAAACATTTCCAAAACGTTAATCGCTTTGCACAAAACCGTCAACTTAGGATTTATTTGTTGGTAATCTTCGTCGTGCTCGTCTGGAATCGTCCAGAAGCTACCCAAGATGTAGAAAAAATCGTTGAGAACAAATGTGATGAATAAATGCACATGCACCCAGTTTTTGTTGGAGTGGAGATTTTTGAACTTTATGAAGATAACTTAACGGGGATTAAGACTCTCAAGTAGGAGTTAGCATCACAATATCAATGATCATAACTTGTATCCCTTGCAATGGCCGCAATAGTGACAATAAGTGACGAAAGGTGCACGTTTCTTAGAATCCATTTCGAAATTTCGTACTTTTTTAATGAAGGAAGACAATTCTCATGAAAAGAAGTTGTATTGTAGCGTTTCGCGAAGGGCAGTGGTCCTTTAGGAGTTGTCTTGTCTTTTTGACAGACAAATTGAACACTTCTCCGTTTTCCCTTTGGATCTTTGGGTCTCTCAGGACACAGTATTTCCAGGGTTTGGTTGTGTTTCATGTCTCAGTTGCGACTTTTTAAGGAAAGTACTCAAACAGTAGACCTTTTCACGAAAGCCGCTGCCTGGTACGCACAGGTATCCCAGTTCTACTGAGCTTTGGCAGATCGAGTAGTCTGTTTTGGTTCTCGATTCGCACCGTTTTTGTTCCCCGTTCCAGGTTCTATCATTATCAAGCTCTCCATAATCATCGCACAGTTTCGTACAGTTCTCCTCAGCCCACTTCTCGACAAAATCGATGTACCTTTCTTCTTTTGTCTTCAAGAGGATAGCAAACTCAAATGAGCATTAATTTCGCCAAGGAATGATCTGATCCTCTCCTGACGATCTGCGTAAATATTTGAAGCGTTCAGATGTATCAGATTGTCAAAAGCGGTAATATCATTATATTTGAGCCAAAGAAAGAAAATTGTAAATGATGTGACGGTCACGAACGTAAAGACGAAAAATCGTAGCTAATTATCACAATGAGTTAGTTGAAATAAAAGTATGATACCGAGCAGCCACACCAACGATATGAAAGGTTTTGGAGTCCCCTGTGTGTCGGTGAAACATCGTAGTCTCTTATCATCACTGCAGTTTTAATGAGATAGATAGTTCACGCCTAGAGTACCATAATCTCCAGCAACCTTAGTTTTTCTCTATCCGTCCCAATTTTCTAACGGTAAGTTTGTGAAGGGGCGATTCTTAAAAATTGTGGAAAAACTTGAGTCACCTGCTGTGAGCTGGACCATTTTTTACAATTTCAGTTTTGTTACTTCTGAATAGCTGCTCGAGTGATACAAATGCTCAATAGAAAAAGACAAATTTATTCTCTTTTCTCTGCTTTAGATTAAAACGAAAAAACTACAATTCAAAACCGGAAGTTTTATAGAGCTACGATCTGGATAAAATTTATTACAGTTGGAGTTGAACTTGCTGGCTCAGAACTTTGTAAGCTGAAATATTATTCAGTTAGATAAGTAGCGGAAGTGTAAGATATACCTAGATAATACAGGATGAACAGATTTGTCAAGCAGCCAAAGACAATTGCCATTTGCGCAATTTTCTTCGAAGTCTCATTAGGGGAATTCTCAAGGGTGGCATTTGAGTGCTGATCTAAACTATGCTCTCCCGGCAATTAGTTTCTACTTAATTAACTCCAGTTGATGCAGAGCAGGAGCTAGCTTGATGCTCCTCTTCTCCATCTAAATTGCATATATTAAATGGCCTTCACGGCAAATGCACAAAAGCTATAAATAGCAGCGAAGTTACTTCTTGAATATAGAAGAGACAAAACCCCTCCTTAGCATGGGCCAAGGCCACCTTGAAGTCTTCTCGTTCGTGCGCCGCGATTGCTTTTTGATAGTGGCACGAAGATATTATTCCAACCGGACAAAATAGAATTAACGCTTGAGAAAGAATTAACAGATTTTTATGGGAGGGGCGAGAGATACTGTCTTGCAAGAAGGTACTGTTTATTTCTTTCCTAAGAATGGATACATAAGCGAGGGAGTGCTGTGAATATCTGTCGCGGAGGACGTTGCCAGTAGCTTCTGTTCGTGAGGAATTCTATTTGGTTCTCTCTCACTACTGTCCTTCTGCATAAAGGCGTTGTTATTTATGCCATTCTCTTCAAAAAGGAATCAGATTCGCGTCAAAAGTGGAATAAATCAAGACAAATGAATTTGATCACATACGCAGTACAGTGGTGCACGCAGTCGACATATTTCTTCTGCTCTTATATTTGCTGCTTTGACGATTGAATTTGCGCCCTAGCCCAGTCGAGGCTCTCTTTTTTCAATTATGGTCTCCGCTAGATTGGGCCGCAGCAAACGGCAACACTAATTCGCCTCATTTTTTCCCTTGGGAACCGCCTTTCACCGCGCTTTTCACCGTAAACTGTCACTCACTATCAACAAGTCTGCCAGAAATATGAATTATCGATTATTTTCTACTGCAATGGGACTACATCTGTCCTTTTTCATTTGTCAGTATCTCATCTTATTTACGAATGTAACCAAATCAAGCGCTGCAAATTTTTTGTTTTGTAAATTAATAGAAACATCAGAATCTTAAAAACAACATATTTAAGCGAAATTACCTAAAATTTTACTAACTCTGCAGACTTTATTTACCGAGTTGTCATATTCTTATTATCCTTCATTAAAATGTTTAAAAGAAATATGGCGCGCAAAATAGTGTCATTTTCTAATACCATTATAAAACGATTTTTTACAAGTTTGATCGTGAGGATAATCCACCTTGAGGGCTTTATTAAATATCTGCCGGCAATGGATCTAAGAGAAAAGTAAATACTATTTTAACAGAATATTTGCGAAGCAACTAACACATCATCAAACGAGAACAGAAAAAGAGAAGATTTCAGTTTTGGTAATATGTGTTTGAGATCAAAGCTAGTTCCTTGGACCCCTCCTCGTTGGGTTCCTTCTACAGGAAAGCGATTGCCAATGCTGATTTGAAGACATTTAAAATGTAACATTTTGTTTGAATTGAATAAGAGTTGATTATAATTTATAAACCGTTGTGAAGTAAAAGTGCCGAGTTCTAAATGTGTCCTTGCCAATGTACCTACGCCGATAGAGAAGTGGAATTTGAAGGATTTCGGTGATGGAAAACAACAATTTTTTATAAAGAGAGATGACTTGACTGGGACGTCTCTGACTGGTAACATTCTAACTTTGAAAGAAATAAAACTGGTAAAATCATTCTAGGGAACAAAATCCGCAAGTTGGAATTTCTCCTTGCAGATGCAATCGAAAAGGGCTGCGACACAATTATTGCCTGGGGCGCGAGTACTTCTAATCATTGCCGTTCGACGGCGGTAGCGTGTGCAGAACTTGGCTTGGAATGTCACTTGCTTCTCACTTCGAACGAGTCGGAAATCACATATGATAGTGGTAACATCACGCTTGCTGCTCTGTCTGGTGCTCACATGTACAAAATGGAGACTTGCTCCTTCGATGAAGGTACATCTTTTCGTACACATTTCTCGGAGTGTTTTTTTAGCTGACAAGAGAATGGAGAATCTTTCTTCCCACTTGGCAAAAAGTGGAAAGAAAGCTTACATTATCCCAAGAGGTGGGTCTTCGTCCATTGCTACCTGGAGCTACATCAATTGCTGGGAAGAAATGCTGCAGCAATCACTTTTCCATGAGATCACAGATGTTGTTGTAGTCTCTGGAAGTGGAGGAACTGGGCTCGATTTAGCTCTTTCTAATCATTGACAGGCTTCTAATCAAAAACATTTTCATAACTTTAATATTCGCGGATTATTTTTGCATAATTCCTATAAATCGTTTGAAAAGCCAGATTGCAGGTCAAAGAGCAAGAAAAAAATTCATGGAGTCAGAATTTGGGGGACGAAGGCTGATTTTTACCATCATGCAAATGAAACTATGAGAAAACTCAATATCCCAGATGGCGTTAAAATTGAGGACTTGATCGATATTACTGATGACTACGTCGGGAAAGGATACGGTGACGCGTGGCCAGAGCTGAAAGAGCTAATTCTTGAAGTCGCCCAATCAACTGGCATTTTCCTAGACCGGGTTTATACTGGGAAAGCTATATATGGTTTGAATTTAAAAAAAATTAAAAATTAATTAATTTATTTAGCAATTAAAGAAGAATTGATCAAAAATCCAGAGAGATTCGCAGGAGACAAAATCCTGTTTTTGCATACTGGCGGCTTGTTTGGAGTAACCGATGGATCGCTTACATCTGAAATTATTGAAAAGCGAAAAATAATTCCCTTCCCTTCTGAACTCACATCAACTAGAGAAAATCAGAATTAATGAATGAATAAAAACCGTCTAGATTCTCAACTTCTTGTTTAAAAAAGACAGTTTTTGGTGTTCTACATCGCTTATTCAATATCGCTGGCGCTGTTGAGCTAATTTTGAGATATCACGATTGCATCTCCTGCGCCGCCTATACCATCGCGTTGAAGATAAAAACCCGCTGATTTTTCTCTTAATTAGACCCTTCTGTTTCACTTTATTTCGATAAGAAATATTTTTTTTTATTCGATAAGAGTTGAAATATACTTCCCGCCAAGTTTATTGAGAAACAATGAAGACATCATTTGCAGCGTTATTGGGAATAATAGGATCGGAATTTAAAACCAGTATCTCATTTAATTTTGAGGGAATCGTTGATTTTTAAAATCCTACTGAAGCATCTGAACAAGTTGTTGTTACAGACCGAACTGTTCCTCCAAAACACCCGAAAAATCGTCTAGCAAGGTATTCGTGTAGAACAGCAATTCATCGTTACTGAGAAATTCGTAAGATTGAATCTGATCTGCTCGGTGATTTTCGAGAAGACAGAATGGATGCTACCTGCGCGGGCAGCCGGCCTGATGCAAATGTGCAACACGTGGTCTCTCAAAATTAATTCAAAAATTGACTCCTCGTCATGCTTCTTCTACGACGCGGAGCTCCGGCCACATGGCGGACCAGGTGTGTTGTATTCTTCGCTGGAAAAACTCACCCATCTTCCTCATTAGAGAGAGAGCGGTTCCATCACATAACGCTAAGTCACAATAGTCAAGCCTGATATTTTTTTCATAAAACTAAGAAATATTTTACGAAGGACTGAACGATAACCCTGCGCCAGTGGATCCATCGAAGGTTCATGCTCTCTGGGACACTGGAAAAATACAGTGGGGCTCAAAATCACGAAAACGGCGCTCTGATTTTGCGGAAGGAATCCCTCAACAATTTTGGTTCGACTCGATTTGGGCAGATGGGCCACGAAGACTTCAAGTGAGAAAGAGATAATTTAGCAGAGATTGGATTTTTTCTTAGACATTGGATCCGTCTCGAGACGACTACGCTCACCCAGACTTTTTTGATGCTAAAAAAACTCTGCAGCTCGAGCTCGAGTTTTGCCAGGACGAATGTGACGGAGACAAGCGATGCGCAAAGAGCTGTGTGCCCAACGCCAAAGAGGTGCGAGGCAATGGCTCCCGAATGCGTGACCGTATCGAGCGCCAAGGACCCTGGAAGAGCGCCAAATCGCTAGTGACTGGTTTCCGCAAATTCGGCGAGAGATATCTGTCGAACTGCCACGGCCACCGGGCTGGCACACACATGAATAGGTGACGCTTGGTGACGCTTAAAAAACGTAAATAATCATTTTCTTCAGGCGAGTGCGCATGATCCAACGAATTTCTCACAAATTCTTGAAGCATTGCTCGCACGAGCAGTGCTCTGATGAGTGGCTCTCGAAGAATCGTTTCAACTGGGGTAAACGAAATTTGCGCACTGACATCGCCGGCTGATACAATCAAATAAGTATTATTTTTTATAATTTTTTAAGAAAGATGAACTGGTCGAGCAAGTCGAACGTGACATCAAGTCAACTGCTTAGCTTATTAATATGATTTCATAAGCTTATTTATTCCTGTAAATAAATTACTTTTTTTTTTCTAAAAAACTGCTTTCTTTGATTCTAAACAACTAATTTGCAGGGCAATCTGGAGGAGTGTTGATCAACGCATTGCAATCATCTTTTTTCACGTTTTGTCCATAATCGCAATCGGCGTTCGTTCATCGTGTCGGTGATGCCTGATAAGTATCCGTCGCATTCTAATCATTATTGCTAAAAACGCAATAGGAGGAATGCTTCTTTGATGTCCTTGTTTGTTTTCATTTCTGCGAACAAGTAACGTCGCCATAAAACGTCTAGTAGCGCTTGTTGTAGGCCTGGCAGCCTGGGAGATTTACGCTGTCAAGTACAGTTCCGGCGGCGCTTTGAAGAAGTCCCATTGCTGTTTACTGTGTGACTATTAATAGAATTGCTCGATGTGGGAACTGCTACTAATCAGAAAGCGTGGATGCAGGCACGCGCCGCTTTGGGCATACAAGCCTCTTCAGGGTTAAGTACCCGTTCGACGTAGAAGTTACCGCTGCCGTCATGTCACAATTCCGTCATCTTCCATCACCATAAAAGTCAAACATAAATAATATCAGTATAAAATGGTAAATAAAACTCTCCTCGCGCTTTTCCAAATCTCGAAAGATTATTCTTGCATTTTATGACTTACTTATAACGAGACAACGAAGCCAGAGACTTTCTTCTGTCAACGTTCGGCACACATAAAATACTTCGGACTGGACTACAAGTCCCAAAGGTAAATAGTTACTGTCAATAGCGCGGTTCAAAGTACCGGGATTATTTTCTACACCTGCTGAAAGATGGTATTTTTAATTTTTGGAAGAGATCATGCGATCATCTATCTCTGGAGGTACTTCAGAAATTAGAAAATCACCTCAAGTTTGATAGAAGGCGCGTAGCCGTTTCCGCTTATTGTCAGGACCTTGTTCCTGCGTTTTGACTCGCTCTCTCCTATTTTATGCAAGTGTCAAGATCTCGAGAGTATCGTTCTGGAGCTCAAGCTGCCGCTCTATTTGATAAAGTATTATTCGAAGGCATTCAAACTCAACACTAAAACTCCCTTACCAAACATAGACTTCTCATAATATACTCTTAAATTTACCCCTGTCCTTTCGAATTCCGAAAATCTGAAATCAAGTCAACAACCTTACGTTTTAAACAAGAGATCATGAAAATTAGAGAGTGGCTGAGACGTACCTCCACGAGCGAGCACCTGCTCCTATGAGAGAAACATGCGAAGACTTTCCCCCAGAAAACATTCATTTGTCGAAAATTCCACACTTCAAAACTATGGTATAATTATGCTCATTCTTTATTATATTTATATATAAGAACTTGACGATTTTGATCTCCCTAATAGGGCTGTATTTATTTTTGGCGTTTTTTTGTCCCAAGACATTTTGAATTTTTTTTGTGATTTTGTAATTCATTTTATTTTGACATTCAGAGCAATAATATTGCCTTTGAAAACACAATCATCAACTTAGATTAGATTCTACATCCATTTCAATGCTCTTAGAGATCGTAGTAAGTTGAATAGTTGAAATTCTCTTCCGGTGATGTGCCGAAAGAAACCACTGATGGGGTTGAGGAGCATGTACTATGTTTACGGACTTTCTGTGTGGGAGAAGTTTCTCGTAATTCTTTTTCCATCTCAAATTGGACACGAAGCTAGGCAAAAGTAAAACACGTTTTTGGTTCTTGATAGGAATTACCTTAGCCTCAAGCGCAAGAATCGTGTCTTTCGTGCTTCTAAGAATCTGCAGCCTTGTTGGCTGCTTCTCCATAGACACGTGATTCCTTGAAAGCTGTTCGAGCTTTTTGAACTCAATGTTCATACTCTTCACTCGCATCCGCTCGCGCGCATTATTCGCCTTCTTCCGCATTTCCTCGCGGAAATCCCGCGTTTCGCGAGCTATGTTCATCTTCATGCTCGCCGAAGATGGGCAGTAGCCTGGAGCTTGATTTGAGTTGGCCTTGAGCTGTTCGTCATGATTTTCGGGGTACTGCAAGGGCGAGTAATGTCCGTCTAGGCCACGTGAGCAGGGACTAGGCCCTGCCATCGGCATAGGTGGCGAAATTACTCTACTGTATGGAAAGCTCTCTCTGCTCCTACAAGAGATTTACTCTCAGATCATAATCTGTACAATTACCTGAGACTGATGAGACGGGTACCAAGATAAAGCTGAGCTCGGTGATGTTAGGTATGCGTCCATAGAAAACATCCTAGTTTTGTGACTTCGTGGCGTATTTTATCCGTCGGCAGGCACATATATACCTTCGAGCACGTATAGCGCCACAGACCTAGGGTTCCAAATTTGGAAATGTTAACCATCGATTCGGATGCGCAGACGGCAGCTTATAAGATAATGTAATAAATGAGGAGAAAATAAATGAACTCGGCATAAGAACCATAACTTTTTTAGTACTTCTTAAATGGTGTATGATCGATTATTTAAGAAATGCCCAAGAAATCGTCTCTTCTGGATGTAATCCGGCATGAAAATGGGGGCTTTCAGTCGCCTGTTCCAAAGATGAAGCTTTCTTCGGTATCGCAGGTAAACACAGCCCCAGATGATCCAAGCGCACATCTGATATTACTTGATGGAATTTATTATTGAACTAAAACAGATAAGAGCTACTTAGATAGCAACTGAGTAGGAGATAAAACTATTGGAAATTACAAGCTGTATTGTGTTTCCTACCTCTGAGAGTATTTTACTTAGTTTCATCGACAAATTGTAACTTTCATTATTTTTGCTTAGTCATCCCTTTAGCATGGATACTTGATGGTTGGCGACTCAAGCTCAGACTCGGAAGAAGAGAGAAAGATATCCAGGGGCGTCTCAGAGACTTCGGAGAATAGGACGGAAACTTTAGCTTTTGACAATCAAAATTTGACTTCTTTTTCAGTATTTAGAAACTAGCCAAGAAAAAGAATTTCTGAGTCATCTTGAAGTACTCGTACAGGGAGCTGGGCGAAGAACCCTCTACTGGAATTGAACTCGTGCGAGCTTGAAGAAATCAACGAACGTCCCAACGGTGCTCAAAACGGGTCTAATGGATGCTCCCGTCTTCCAAGGCAACAACGAAAGGTAACATATTGAGCGGCTAATAAAAACGCTTGATAAAGAAGAGCTATCCTGAAAACTCACTGAAAAAAGAGTTTTTAGTTTGATTAAAGAACTCCCATATGCAAATGGCTTAGCGCCTATCGCTAAACATTTGAAATCGAGAGAGCGTGTCGAAAAGTCTGCATCTGCAGAGGAGAGATTTTTCGTCGTGGCCGTGGCCAAGCCAATCATCCCACGGTACCCCTTAATTTAATTTAGCGAGTAGAACTAGTCCTATTGCTCTCAATTTTATCGAAAACATTCGTATTTAGAGTGATTCTTAATAGCCTAAAAATCTAAAAGACAATATTGTTTCGAACGTCATTTTCTCTGAGTGGCATTTTTCTGAAATTTTACTGCGCACATAAAAAAGCGGTACACAATATCCTAAGGCGATAGTTAGCAAGTATCGCTATAGAGTTTTTGCACTTTTGTTCTCTCGTAAAACTCAATGGCCGAAATCGAGAAGTGATGGTTCGCTCTACTTTAGCTAATTAAAAAAGACTAATTTCGAAGCCGCATTTCGCAAGCACGCCCTCAGAACTAATCAAACCAGCAGAAGGAAATTTAGAATAATAAAGACAGAAACAGAAACGAAAACGAAGATCGTAAAAAGAGATTTTTCGTTAAGACGGCGCTGGGAATACCCTCCAAGTTGCAACATCTGGCCGACAGCATGAGTAACAATTCGGACGAGGAGCTAACTGAAAATATCGAAAAACAGGAACAAGCCTGAATTGATTTATTAAATCATTAAATTATCAGATTATCATGGGGTTAATTTCATCACCCTGTATTAGGGGAAATTCTGGAGAAGTCTTCAGATACTTTCATGTTCGAAATTTATGGAATTTATAATGAGAGATCATTTATATTTGAAATTTCTCACAATGAGCCCTAATTTTACGAAGAATAAAACAGGACATAATTGAGCGCATAATTTAACACTTCCGTATATTTAAAATTTTCAACTTGTGTGAAGAGTGAATCACGGCCTCTGCTTAAAAATAAAAGACCTTCGATCGATGGCTCGCTCGATGGACGCGCACAGGTAGGAGCGCGACCGACCGGTCCAATTCCAGAGTAATTTAAACAGCGACCTATCTTTTGCTCGCTTTTTTTTCGCAAAGCACACACGCTGAAAACTCAGATTAGAAGAGCAGACCTAGAGCTTGCAAGAAAGAACTTCTGCCAAATGAGGCTCTTCGTGATATGCTGACTTGGAGTCTTCCAGGAAACGGACTATTTTTAATTATCAATTATGCGGCCCAAAAGATTTCAGCATAGCAATCGTATTGTTGCAAGCTGGCGGAATTCTATAGTCTGACATGATTTCCTCAATAGATTTTCTTTGTTGCTCTCTGTGTACGGCAAAAACAGCCTGGGTTTACTTTCAATGCTCACGCCCTAATTCAAACAGCATCGAACAACTGAATATTATAATACCGTAAATATTGCTTTGCGCTGTTTTGGTGTCATAAAGATAACGGGCTATGAAATTTTCACGCGCGATTAAATAATTTTGTCGTGGGAAGATTAGCCCTCTCTATTGTCAATTAGGAGGCGTTTAGTTAACACTAGATTCGTAAAAAATAAAGCAGATTAGAATTTTTCAGGCAGACAAACACGCAGCAAGGAAAGAAAAAAGGAGCTGTAAAGAGGATGACCACGACTAATATTAATGTTTGAGGAAAGCGAGCACTCGGCGCGCTTTTCATTTTTTTCTTTCCTCTAAATGCTGCATTTCCTCGCCTTACAGATATTTTTTCTAGCTCTTCTTTCTAAACTAGGAAACAATTTTGCAAATTTATACGCTGTAAAAATTTTTATGAGGCGCTTGAATAAAGGCGAGTATTGGGCTGCACTTAAAAGCTATCTTTCTCTGCCACTTTTCTCTCTTTGAGGGGAAAGTAAAATAGTTACTAAAAAGAGTTTGAGAATTGTCATCGAATCGGGCGAAGATTTAAAAGGTAACTTGCATGTTCTTGTGCAGACGAGACTAGAGTGCAGGCCCCGCAGAGCAGGTGGTGTCTAGGACGCGCAATAGTAGCGATTAATTCGATGCGCTCTCAAAACGGATGATCTCTAGTCGTGCGCAGGTTAATGCCAAATAATTAGCATTCATTAGAATTAAATTGATGCCAGAGTGTGTGTTTTGTGTGCATAAAATTGGGCGAATTGTAAAACCGGGTGAAAGACGAGGCGACAAGCGTTTTTTTCAGAAAAGCGGGAACGCGCGCCGGCAATTCCAGTCCTTCGATGATCGGAGGATGAGCACTTTCCAAGATCAGAGACAGAGGACGAAGAAGCAACCAAAACGAATATTCAGGTGCGGGTTCAATTCGACCTCAGAAGCGTTACGATTGATTTTCAAAAGTCAATTGTTCGATTTTCGTCAATTATTATTAACTTCAAAAGAACTTCCTCTTGCCGCAGGCAAAAGGGATGTATAATCGTGTAAAACATTAAAGGATGAGTTATTATCTCTTGCCCTGAGGCCTGTGCATCTTAAATAATTAAAATCATGGCGCATTGCGTTGTGTGCCTTCTGTAACCACATTGTTTTTATTTTCGCAATTTTATAACTTTTCGAAAAAGGAATCGTAGCGAGCTACTCGTGAGAGGGATGCACATTTACACCTACCGTGGTTATATGAGCACTGCACGGGTGCGAGCATAATTTGACAGGCACTTACGCAAGTAACCACTTAATTTTTCATTTTCTTTCTCGATCGCAATCAATTTAATTATTTACAAGCATTGTGGATTGGAACTGAGAATTACAAAATTGTATCAAATTTAAAAGTTGAGTCGCCAGAAAGATCAATTATTCTTCAAAAGAGCTAAATTCTAGTTGCTCCCTCGGATAGTTGCATTTTTACTTTCGAACCCGTATTTCAAAGCATACAATCTGATCAAGACCAACAGTCCGATGAAAATGAGGTGAGTCTAACTTTTTCCTATTTGAGTGGTCATTGACGAAATTTAATTGGTAAAATAGAAGGGTTTGGTTCATTCTCGTGCAGATTCCATATGTAGCTCTCCGCGGCCACGATGGGTTGAGAGGGGCGTTCTCCTTTAGGGAGTCCCTATGTGCCGGGGAGCTTGCTGTCCGTGAGTTGTCCCACGGCGCCTGTTTCTTTTCATTTCGCGTTCCTGTCCCCTCGGGGCGAATTTTTTCAAACTCTCAGCGAGAGTGCGAGAACTAGAGTCAACAGAAACACACAAAAGGAAACTCCTACTGTAGAGAAAAAATTCCCTTCCGCCCTACTCCGCATTATGACGAGTTTAAGCCTTACAAAAAATGCCGAGAAATTCAATTTTCCCAAGAGAAGACTTCCCACTGCCCACTATAAGTGTATGTTTCTCGCCCTTGGAGAAATCGTGTTACAAGCGCAGTTAACATTGATTAATTTGTCTGACTCTTATCGTAGGAAGACAAGATCGACGGAGAGGTATTTGTCATCGAGCTTGATGATCGCGGAAGCAGAGCCCCGAAACTCCACACACGGCCGGCCTGGCAGCGCGGAGTTGCAGGCATCAAAGCTGTCGTCCAGAATCCGAAAATCGTGAGTAGCCTTTCACTCGTTTTCTGCAAGTTTCTTTCAGTCAGTTAGAGCCAACAAGTTTCAGGTTTGAAACTATACTATAACCTATACATTGCACAGGGCGCACGTGTAAAACTATTGATTTGATAATGATTTCGGCACAGAATCCCTAATGGAACTGAAAATGCGGTAAACATAAATTATTAACAGCGGCAATGTCTTGCGCTGGAAACTTTACGTAAGCAGAAACTCACACGCCTCGGGCAATCTGCCGAGAGACAACAATATACAACGTTTTGCTTTGGCAATGGCCGATTCTTAAATTTGACTTGTCGAACTATCCAAAGTTAAAAAAATCCTTTCAAGACGAAACATGAAACAATTGATGAGAATTCCGCTGTGCCTCCGACATCAAATAGAGACTCCACTGTTGAAAGGAACTTGGTTTTTTATCTCGTTTCATTGAGCTAAGCAAATAGTGCTACTCAGGGATATCGAATATTCCAAACGAAAGTTTATAAAAACCAGAATTGAAGACCTTCTATCAAGCCTCTGCTCGTGAAAGCAAATGGAGATGCTGGAGTCACTAATCAGGGAAATCGTAGCCGAGAGCTGTGGCAACTCGCCTTTAGAAAAATCACCGAAGGGGTACTTCAACATCAACCGCTCGATTTAAAGCTTGAGCTTCACAAACATAATTAAACGCATGCTTCACAAACGTAATTTGATTTTTTGCGAACGGGCATTTGATTTCCCAAAAAGGTTTTACGCCGCGATTCTGACGAAAAAGAGACTTCTCTCAAGCCGGATCCAAAGCCCGCGCTCAAGAAACAGTCTACCCAGGTTGTATATGTCGGGAGAATCTCCTGAATTCACTAAGCAGACTTTTAGTATTAGCCGCATTTGAAATCTAGGCTAACTTGTCAAAGTAATTGACCATAACACAAAAACCTGTTCTTAACCGTGATGCCCATGACTCGATAAACGTACGATGACTATAGAGGCGATTATGCCCCAAAGCCGCTAATTTCGCGAAAGTACAGGTTCAACGCTAAGCCATTAATGAAGCGTAGTGATTTTTCCACTGTTAAAGATAGTAGCTCTTGATTTGTGCCCATTGAGACAGACAGAATATTTAAGTGAGTGCTTTGACCGTTTATCGATTCTTAAGATACCAGTGACATCTTGGTTGAGGGCTCTTTATCACCGCGCGAAAGTTTGGCAGACAATTCTTTAATTATTAGCATGGAAACAATTCAACTTCGACAGATTGCAGCCAATTTGAAATCGAATAACGACTTTATAGGACACCACAAAATCAGCGAGGACATCAAAATCGGACATGTCCGAATTCGAAAATCCACGTTCAATCATTCCAACGAAAGGAGAAAAAGTAGAGCTTGAGAAACTTGAGGGTTTCGACCTCAAGTACACATCCGGGCGCCGTTTTTGCGGAATGTACACACCTACTATGTCCACTGCCTTTGACCCTAAGTCCGCTGAGGACCTCTATCAGGCTTGGATGCACCATAAAAATCTGTTTTGAACATACTTCACAATCTGTAATCTTTCCAAGGGCCGCCATCTTGAAAATGGAGCACTGAGAGAGGTCGACCGGATCTCTACCGGGTCTCTATATCTAGCCGACGGCGAGCCGCTTGTAGGGTCATTTTCTTATTCAACATTGAGTAAGCTCAAATAATTTTCTTCTCGTGTACTCGAGAAATTATCGAGGATAATTATTTCATGTATCCAGCAACAGCGATATGTTTTCCGAGAGCGACTGGGCTCTGTTCTGACAATCGCAATCATCGAGCTGATTATGCGTGTTATTTCAATTGGACTGATTATTGGCATAGCCGGACGATGGGAACATGTTTCTTGCTGGCTCCTTGCATTGACAAGCTTATTAGAAAGGGGCCACAGTTTTCTATTTTATTTCATTCGACGTTAAGCTCAGTTTACCGCGTACTGAGCATTCATATAGCGACTTTATTTCCATGGCAGTATGATCGTCATCATCGTTTTCTACAGCCCCTCTCAGACACCGCAGCAATCATCCTCATCGTGCGTGCTCGTGCCACGGAGCGAAAAGAAACCGGATACAAAACTAAAAAATTCAGATCGATCTGAAAGCTGAGGCGCTTCCTTTTCTCTAGACCGGCTTCCGTAGCGGAATGGAACTTGGGCGATCCTTTATGGGGGAGAGCCCCTCCTTAATTCCGTTTCGACGCATGGCATTTTTGATTTAAAATTTTCCCAGACCATGTAATTCTTTTACTTTTGCCGGCTCAGCGTCAGGGCTTAGCTTTCAATTTCCGAGCCTCTATAAATCTGATAATTTTATTTCCATTCGTATCCGATCTGAAGCTCCTTTTCGACTTCTTCAAGTAGCATCACTCGCTGTCTACATCTCGATGCTTTTGATTATTCTTGGAATAATGTTTGTTCCCTATGGTAGGCTTGACTACTCTACTAAATACTTTAGACTAAAGTCTTTAGTATACTTTAGGATTCATCCTTTAACATTTGCGATCCTAACAACATTCATGATACTATCCAAATTATTTGTGAGCCGGGGATGGATATACACTATGAGCCATAGTAAATCGAATCTATAACAGTGCTTATGATTAGATCCGGGAGGGTAAGTGCCGGCCCGGTGTCCAGTGCACTAGCGTCCATTACCCGTTATGGCAATTACTTCTCTTTCCGCGCAGACAAATGTCCGGCTTCGGTCTAAGCCTGCCAACGCATCCGTTATGATTTAGTTCCATTTATAGCTTTTAATGAAAACAAAAAGTCAGCGAAAAAGATGATAGATTTACTCTGAGAAATTTGCTCGGGATTAACTTACGTTAGCGAACCCGTGGCATTATTTACGGGAAGCGGATCTGATTATATCACAATTCCTTTTTTTTCCTAGGATATCACGTGCTAAGCTTACGGCTGAAGACATAAATAAACTCATAATCTGGCGAATCTTGTTTTCTGTCCAGGCAAACTGGCTTTGATCATAAATTAACATCGAAAATTTCTAGCGGAATCAATCTACACGTCGGACATCACTTTCGTCGGCTGGTACTTGATCTACGCGATCTTCACTTGCTACACCATGCTCGCTGTGCGCGAGGATCATGCCCTTTACGGCGCCGTCCTCATAACTTTGGTGCACCTCGGCGCGCGCCTTTGTACTCTTGAGCCCTCTTCAAATTGGAAATGCGAAATCAGCGCCGTCACTCTCCTCTACTTTGGCACACACGTTGTGGGCGTCTTTAATCGTTATCTAGTCGAACGTGCCCAGCGAGAGACCTTCATGGAGACAAGGTAAATATATTTTCTTCTCGATTTTGCATAATGGTCCCCTCTCATAGACGCTTGTTCCGACATTGCTTGAAGCACGAGCGCGAGTACCAAAACCAGCACCGGTTAATATTGTCGGCGATTCCTCGCTTTATTGCGCTCAAGATGGTGTCTGACGCATCCGCTAACGATGATTGCGAAGACAAACCTGCCAGGTGAGAGTACTGATATAATATCTGTACTACGCTGTACATCTAATGCAGTCTTTTTTCCGGCCAACATGCTCGTTTTTGCTCATAAACAATTCAGCATGCAATCGTCGAAGAAGTATATCCACAGGTTTAACAACGTCAGTATGCTCTACGCGGACATCAAAGGATTCACGGAGCTATCGACAGTGCTCTCGGCGGAGCAACTTGTAAAGACACTTAACGATCTCTTTGCGGAGTTCGATCGCAATGCCGAAAAGCACGGTTGTCTTAGGATACGAATCCTCGGTAAGTTGAGTGTAATTGTAGTCCGAAAACCTGAATTTTTGTCAGCATTGCGACTATCTTTGAACGGATATTTTCCACTGGAATCGTATTTCCTTTCAGACACTATTCATTTATTGCGTTATTCTTTAACCATCATTCTTACAGTAGTTTATATAAGAAAATCATTCGAGCGAAATCGAGAAAGAGAGGAAAAATGAGATTCTTATTTTTGCTAGGACATATTTACGCCCATGTGTTAGGAGGGTGGTATGCTGTCACCTGGGAACCAGGTTCCCAGATTAGAAAATTTTACCAATCTGGGAACCCGGTTCCAAGATTAGATTTTTTTTCTAATCTGGGAACAAAAGTTCCAAGATTGGAAAAATTTTCGAATCTGGGAACCAAGTTCCCAGTTGACAACGACGGCCAGTAAAGCGAATCTTGGAACCTTTTCTTTACAAAAATATGACTTTTTTTCCCGTTTTGACACTGTCAAACCTGACATTTACTGTAAGACAGGCGCGGAGCGCACTCCCGCTCATTGACTGTTAGGTTTGTAAGGTTAATATTGTTCTAAAGTTTAATTCATTTGGAGATTTGTTCAATTCGAAATTAGAGTTAAACACTAATAAGGGTCACTCGGCAAAAACACAGAACAGTTTAACGCGAGGGGCGGATTTTCCAAGGTAAAAGTAACAGGGTTCTTCATTTAATCATGGTCATAATTAGCCAATTTTGTGCGAAATTCACTACAAATAATAACATAAAAAAGAGATTGTGCATCTAGAATCAGCACAATCAGTGAAATAATTAGGTTCCAAGATTCGCGACCGACTTTGGGGCAGGCCGTCGTTGTCACCTGGGAACTTGGTTCCAAGATTCGAAAATTTTTCCAATCTTGGAACTAAAGTTCCCAGATTAGAAATAAAATCGAATCTTGGAACCAGGTTCCCAGATTGGCAAAATATTAGGAGGGCCTGTCTGAAAAATAACACGCATGTGTTCATCTAAAAAAAATGTCATTAGGCTATTTTCATGGCTAGAATCTGCTCGAAGATTCCGACGAGTATAAGTTCAACAATATAATAGATGAATTAATAATTCAGGCGATTGCTACTACTGTGTCTCTGGCTTGCCAGAAGCATCACGTGCAGATCACGCCAGCTGTTGTGTCAAAATGGGACTGTCGATGATAGAAACTATCAAGGAAACAAGAGCTCATACGAAGAAAAACGTTGACATGCGAATCGGCATACATACAGGAGCCGTCCTTACTGTAAGAATTAGTTCCATTTAATTTGCTAATTCATGTTGCAGGGAGTTCTAGGGCTCAGAAAATTCCAATTTGACATTTTTTCGACCGACACTGTGATTGCGAACAATATGGAATCGTCTGGAATGGCCGGAAAATGCCATATATCAAAAGCAACTTTTGACCATCTAGGCGGCGAATATGACGTTGAGCCAGGAACCCCAAACCAGTTTCTGGAGGATCATGGGATCGAGACATTTTTCATCAAGCATCAAAATGATATTGAATACTTGTCAACAACTGAAAAGGTTTGATATTTGCCCGTAGAATTAATGCAAAATATTATTCCAAGTCTTCAAACGCCCTGAACGACATTTCCACAATGTCGCTTCTGCCTTTGCCACTGACTCCTATCATGCACCGGCATTCAGATTTCGAAGAAGTGTCGAGACGTTTGGAGATTTCTATTCGAAACGGAACGCACACCGCCATAGGAAAGAATAAGATTCAGAAGAGAACCGTCACATTCGAAGAAAATCGGCTAGAAGTTGAGTTTAGGCGCCTTCATGATGAGTTTTTCAAGACGAATCTCGCAATTGCACTTTTTCTGGGGCTTTTGCTAATAATTTGTCAATTTTTGATCAGGCCGTACAATGAACTATCGATCATTGTCTACATTGGAGCTGGAATCTTCCTCGGTAACTAAAGATTTTTAATTCTCTGATTCAAAAATTGTCATTTTAGCATTTGGAACGATATCGCTGTTAATAACCCTTGGAGATCGAAAAGGAAACCCCGATTGGATTATTGGCGCCGCCAAAAAGCTTAATCGCTCACAGTCTCAACGTCATGTGGTCATTTTCTCTGCGATTTTCATTAACACTTTTATCGGTAAGCTTCCAAATGAGAAGCGAGTTTATTCTTTCATAGGACTCTCTGGTGCAATGACCTGTACTGGGATGGAAAAATATTCGGTTGAATGTATTAACAATACGCTCGATTTCATATCTCTCAACTCGACGCCCTCTTCTTATCCCGGGACAATCTGTGAGACTCCACAATTCTTAGAACTATATGGATTAATGGTGCTTCTTTCATGCGCTGCGTTTTTACGCTTCTATCATTTGCTCCGACTGGGAACATTAACTGGTAAAATTATGTTCTGCAATCTTTGCGGCTCAATTTCACTTAAGCAATTACTGTCGTGTTTTCTGTTATGATGATGTTCACTTATCGACGACTCTTCTTTGACTGGGAAGCGCGAATCTCTGGAAATTCTATCGGCAACTGCAGGTACGTCTCTTTGGCAAGGGATATAGCATAACCGATTGTTAAAGTGATGAAGAGAACGTTCCTCAAATGATTATCAATCTTCTCGTTATGATCCTGCTCGCACTCACTCAGTTTTTTGAAGGCCGTCAAAATGATTGGACTACTAGAATGGATTATCTTCGCAAGATTCAGGTAAAATCTAATTTTTTTATCTAGATAGTTATAAAAATATTCAGGCTAAACGAGAGATAGCCGACATGGAGGACCTCAAAAGCAGACATACATGTTATTAATGAATATGTTGCCGGAACACGTGGCTGATCATTTTCTGAAAAGGCCAACGGACTGTGATGAGCTTTACTCAAAGTCATATGACCAGTCGTCAGTTATTTTTGCATCGATTCCTGGGTTCTCAAAGTACTTTCAGCAATCAGAAGAGATAGATGGACAAGTAACGTACTCTTTGTGTATGAGTTATGCATGATATTAAGGGTCTTGAATGTTTGCGAATGCTGAACGAAATCATTTCCTCTATTGATGAACTGCTCAACCAAGAAAGATTTCACTGCATCGAAAAAATTAAAACGATCGGCGCAACTTATATGGCTTGTGCCGGTCTAAGGTAATCGAATACTTTTCTTTGCCTATTTCGTTACTGCATTCTCTAGTCCTGAAGCAGAGACAGAAGATTCAGTGAACAATCTTTGTTCGACAGCGCATTTTGCTTTGGCTTTGAAAATCCTCGTCGGACAATTTAACAAGCGTTATGAGCAAAGCTTCGCCATGCGGATAGGACTTGCCTACGGGGGACCTGTGATTGCTGGGGTACAATGAAGACTTTTTAATTGATTTTAAAAGCTTATTTTAGGTTATCGGGTCAAAAAAGCCACAGTATGATATTTGGGGAAAGATTGTTAACTTATCTTCACGAATGGACACAACTGGAGAAGAAGGAAAAATACAGGTAAACCTGGTACTCCTCTATGTATTCATCAAGTCGAATTCTAGTGTACTACAGAAGTAATGGTGCCACTTCAGAAGAAAGGATTCAATTTCCAGGAGAGGGGTGAAACATATGTGAAAGGATTTAAGAATAAGGTACTGATGAGCGATACTATTGAGCTATTTTTACTTCAGATTTGTACATATTGGTTGACAGGATGCTCAGCGGCGGCGATTCAATATCACGGTAAACCGTCGGTGACGAAGAAACAGTCGATGAACCTCGCGAAACTCGTCTTTGATGTTTGCAAAAAGAAAGTAGACGACTAATTGGAAGAAGTAGATCAGGATTCCTTTTTTGTATTTTATTGCGATTCACTGCCAGTCTCTTTCTACACGGTGCCTTGTGCAGAAACGATTCTTCAAATATATTGACCCTTCAAGAAATTTTCCATTTCTTTCAGAGCCTATTTTTACCGAGACGAATGTGTACTCTGTTCAAATAAAAAAGGTCGATAATCGTAATCGAAGTAGGTCATCAACCCACTCAACTCTATCTCGTTTGAACCCTTGCTCAGTTCGAGTCGTTATGTTGTCCGATGGATTTTAGAGCCCCTCGAAGATGTTTAATGATACACTGGTGGCAATATTTAATGTCCAGGTTTTGAAGTTTCCTCACGTGTCCCTCAATGATCACGCTGTAAATTTTTACGTCCACAAATAATAACTCTGCTACAAAGACATCAAAGTTGCTGTGCTCGATCCAAAACTCTTGTTATTATCATTTCTCGAGAAATTCGAAATACAGTATGGTCCATACTGTGGGAGAATAACTCCTCACTCATAGACTATCAGTATAAACTTTTGAGTTGGAAATTTAATATGACTCTTAGAAGGAAAAAGTATATAATAATACTGATCTTGTTGCCCTGAAGTTGCTCAGTTTTTCGTGTTTATGAGAATAGCAATCAAGTATTGCATTAGTCGATGATATAATAAGTATTCTTGAGGCATTTTTTGTGCGACATTCTCACGGTGCGAAATGGGATATCTATCAGAGAGAAGGCTGCCGGAATCGGCGAAAAAGTCGGCGACAGAGCGGCGCTACTGCTGGTGTGGCGCCAGAGTGACGACCGTCGTTGAACGCGAACCAACGCATGGTCCAACTTATCCCAAATCAAAAAAAGTAAATAACAAAGTGCCGCAATCAAATCAAGAATTAGGGATTGCCCGAATCGATTTTCAAGAGATGTCCTAGTGGCCATGAAAACAGAGAGCAAAAGCGGGCGCAGTTATGAAGACTCATTTCTTCTCTTTTTTACTACTCCAACTCGTTCTTGGAGAGCATAGAGACCATGTAAAGGAAAAGAACAGACAGCGACTGAAGCAAAGAGATCATTTTTCCGCAGTTCGAATCCTTAAGAAACTTAATTACTTAGAAGAACATTCAAGCGATCAATTGTAAGTAGCTTGTTTATGATGATTTATCGGATTTAGTTTTTATTGAGTTATCTTGTGTTTAATTTTGCATCAAAAATTTCCAATACAGAGTCGTCAGAATCGATAAAAAGCTGATCGATGTTATCCCAGGCAAACCCGATTCTTCAGAAGATTGACGCATCTTCTGGAAGTGAAAAAATACACTCTTTTTTGGAAAGTTTTCCCTGAATCCGTTCTTTTCCCTCTTCATCTTGAACTTGACTTGACCAACAAAGGCTAATTGAAATTTTAACCTGCGCGTTCACTTGAGCTTCTTTGATCTTGTTTGAATAATTTGCCAGGCTTAAAATTCCTGAATTCCTGCGACTAGTTTATAACTCTAGGAATGAGATTATTTATTCGAAGCAAATCAATTTAGATTAGTGATTTAGAAACAAGAGTAAACTGTTTGTGGTCGGATATTTTATGTTGTTTGATTTCCGAGAAAACACGATCGTCACAAGACCTAACAGGAGCAGCGATAACCTCTTTGTTTTGATAGCAGGCCGTTTAGCGCACAGAAAGACGGTCCTTGCTAACCACAAAATTGTCGAGTCGGTTATTATCGTTACCACCTGAGCGAGTGGACGGAAGGAATTTATGCAAAATGTTTTTACTTGTGAGTTCCCAAGTGCGGGCACTCTTTTTATTGAGCTCATTTCGAAGTCCAAGTTTTTGGTATTTATTAGCACCCGGAAGAGAATATAATTGAGCACTATCGCGAGGGGCTGTTTGCGCACAGAAAAATCCATCACTATCGGAAGGAAAAAATTGACGTCTTAGGGAAGTCATTACGGGAGAAGCCAACTTAAACAACAAGAATCAAGAGTTAGACAACTTTGATCAGCGATATTGCGATCAAAGGACTCCTCCGTGATGAGCTGGAAACACTCATTATACAAAATCATCTCCTTTGTTTAGTAAAGGCTAAAGCTGTTTTAGAGAGCTCTCCAAAGCGCTGAAGAAAGTTCAACATTCGGGCGGAATCAAGGAAACGGGTAAACTAGACGTCGATACAATAACGCTACTAAAAAGCGGTCGCTGTGGCAATGATGACGGAGATTTCGAAGAATCGACCGAAGATAGTCCACCTTCGGCGCAAAGAAGGGTCCGTCGCTACATTCAAAATAAATGGGACACGCACAAGCTAACTTTTCATGTGCAGGTATGGACTGCAGTTCAGATGATTTCTTAGAAACCAATTCAGAATAAACCTTACTCACTCTCAGATCTACAAGTAAAACGCGCCTTTCGGAAAGCCCTAGGTAAGCTATACCAATTTGATTATAAACCAAACGGCTTTTTTGCTATGACACTAATTTTCGGACAGAGAAGGTCAAGCAACTCTCGTAAACCCCTTGCGTCAGATTTATTGATCCATAATTTTGGTAAATTGGACACCCACTGCGCTCAGAGCGGTCAATATTTGCTAAGGGAGGTCGCTTTCAAGGGCCACTCGTTGATTTGATAGGTCCCAAATAGCCCCCATGGATATTTTAGGTCAATGGTGACTATAAATTATGCTATGTTCATAGGGGGCATTATTATAGCAGGCTAACCGTTGTGGGGTGTTTGGTTTTCGATAAATGATTGTGCTAAAGCTGCAACTAGATTGCTCAAGAGGAGTTAATTAGATGAAAGCACCACCGCTCTCAAGTTTACTCTTGGAATGGCTCACTTTTGGCGAGTGTTGAAAGAATGATTTTGATATGTTTGTGGATTCTGCTCAAGTACTCTTTTAAAACCACGTGCTTCGCGTCTCAATTTCACCGGTTCGTACATAGCCATTTGATATTTATTTTAGGAATTTGGGCGACTGCATCTGGTCTCACTTTTGAAGAGCGCAAGCGCAAGAAGAAACGCCAGAGAAGATCTAATGTTGACTTGAATATTGGTTTCCGCGAGCGCAATCATGAGTGTGGTCGATCCAGAGCATTCGACGGTCCAGGAGGCGAGCTTGCACATGGTACGAAATTTTACGAGATTTGAAAAATTAACCATAAATAGCGTTCTTCCCTACGGCTGGCCAGGCTCATTTCGACATGGCTGAAAAATGGAGCACACGAGAAAGGAAAGGTTTTAACAATCTTGTCGCTGTGGCAACACACGAAATAGGACATATGCTAGGGCTGGGTCACTCAAGCATTGATGGTAGCATCATGAATGCGTGGTACAATGATCCAAAGCTATCAAAAGGTATATTGACTGAAGCAAACTCCATGGGGATGTTAAAATTTTAAGCGCCTCGTTTTCGTAACTTTATAAAACTCAATTGGGACGATATTCAAGCGATTCAAGATTTATATGGCACACCGAAGTCTGGACGCAGTCGCAAGAAAGAGGAAGAAAATTCCCCGCTCAACGGGGCATTTTCTGCTGCTTTGACGATCTCGCCCACTCGCATAATGGTTGACCATTCTCTTTTGTTAAGCTTATCGTTCTTTTTAGTTTATTCAAGGCAGATATAGCTTATCCAGATTGCCCGGAGGGGCGTTGACCCCAAGGCGCCCGCTTATCGAAACATTTTCGAATCTTCATGGTCAAGTTGTTGCCGCCACTTATGATCAAGTCAATAAGAAGTTTTTCTTCATCACAAGAGACGGCGATTTCTTTTCATACAGGTATGATTCTATATGGATTTTTATCCTGATGAGTATTCTAGTGGAACGCGCCTAGAGAAGGGATATCCAATTAAAACGAAAAAGTTGTCTCTCCGAACAGTACCGCGCGCAATGTGGGCAGAGTCTGGGACGCTGTTCGCGATATCTGACGGGGCGATCTACAGATCGATCATTATTGGCGAACGTCTGTTATTTATTTTCCACAGCAGTCTTCGTGATAAGGTGAATAGAAACTTATTCTTACTTGATGAAAGAACAAATTCAAGTTTCCTGCTGCGCCTGCTAAAATTACGGGTGCTTTCACGGACAGCGCTGGTGGTATCTTTCTTATAGGATCTGGCAATCGTCTCTGGCGGTACACTGGGCGCACGATTGATAGTTGCTATCCAAAGAACATAAGAGAATCTTTACTTCCCTGTAGCCCGCTGTGAATATAGAATTACGAGCTTATTTAGCTTGCTTGCTACAAGAGAGTCGTAATTTCTTCTTTTTGAAGTGACTGTAAATACAAAAGATAAAACATTTTCGTCGGCAAATAAGGTATTTCAAACTTGACATAAGCAGGGTTCTTAGTGCGAGGTTTATTGCTTGGAAATTTTAATTGACGCAATTTGGAAGAAATAAAAATAAGAGTAAGTCTCAGTCGTATTCACTTTCGCTTCCGGTGGTGGGAACTGCTAGCTATTCATGACTGTTGTTGGCGCTGGCACTTTAGGAGTGACGTTTATGATCAAAACGGCGGCAGCAGCTACACTCGCACTGTGCCACTCGCCTCAGGACATGTCGGAAGGTCGCGCTAGATCTTTTTCTATAGCATTCCAAAGACCTCCTTTATCACAGCTATCGAGAACGAGCGACGGCGATGAAGACCAAGCGCTGGAGAAAGAGAATATTTCTACGGCAGCGCCTGATGGTGGTTTCGGGTGGTTTGTTGCGTTAGGTCAATTCTTGATAAAATGGTTGTTTAATTATACATTGATATCTCTACATATACTACGCCAAAGCTGGAAATGTGATATGTTGTGATAACCATGTAAACAACCATTGTGACAGTGGGATTTTACGGTGGATTTCTGAAATCTCTGACAGTCTTCTTTGTTCCCCTTCGGGTTAGAGTTCTAATGTGCCTACCTCTAAAACAAGCGGAATAAAGGGTATTGATTGAAAGTGCTTGGGCAGGCAGATTAGAACCCCTCAATAGGAAACATTCAACGCATCAAACGCTGACATAACTATGGGAAAGAGTCGACAAAACTAGAAATTTCAAATTTATAGCAGCCTTTCGTCTCATTTTTAGCGATAACTCTTTTGCCGTCGTTTTTTCTTGGTGGAGGCTTTCTCAGCAGCTGGTGTTATCGTAAATTTGGAACTCAAGTTGTGGGAATCGCTGGAGGAATTCTCACTTCCTCTGGATATATTATTTGTTCACAAGGAATGGAATTTGATATTTCTGTCTAAATTATATAGCTAATCATGAAGGATTTAATGTTGATTAAGGTAAGTGCTCAGGCAATTCCATGTAAAGCTAGCGAAATTTGGCAATTATGTGTTGGATTTGCGATAAGTGGTCTTGGAAGTAACTTTGGACTGATAAGTTCATCCGTTGCGGTTACTAAGTGGTTCGACAGGAGGCGCCCGTTAGCCTTGTCTTTCGGAATGACAGGCATTTCTATCTGTTGCATTCTCTTTCCCCCGCTATTCGTTTATCTAAACGAAAATTACGGGGCTCGAGGTGCACTCTTGATTTACGCTGGGATCGCTGCAAACTCCTGTATTGGCGGAGCTTTACTAAGGGATCTTGATCATCCTGCGAAAGTGAGATCATCAACCGGTTATATTTGTTTGAAAATCATTTCTTCAGCAATCAGATTCCGATGAAAATGATCGACAGCTCCTGTCAATTATAAAGTCTCTTCTTTCTCGACCAATTTACTTGGTTTTCACTTTAGCCTCGACTTTTTGCGAATCTGGAAGAATAACTTTATTTCCTGTCATTGTGCCGTTCGTAAAGGGATTCCCAAATTGGAAACTTTAATCCTTATTTTTTGAGTTCGCTAAAAATGTTTGATTTTTGGAAATCTTTAAATTAGCAACAGAGCACGTTGGCGTCGATCAATTCACTGCCACTAAAGCGCTTATGTTAATGGCGTTTATTGAAATTTTCGTAAGACCCTCTGCGGGCTATCTGTGGACTAAAGACTTTGCGAGGAAGATTGGATTGCTCGGCATTGCTGGCTTTTTTCACGGGCTTCTCGGCGCGCTAAATGTAATTGCTGGATTGTTTCTATCGACAGAGACGCAGTTTCAGATTTATTCGATGATTCTGCCAGTAGGTATGATTAACCAGCACACGACTTCAAGATAAACTTCTTCGCCAAGTAAACGCAGCGCCGATTTCGCTGATGACAGCTTGCTACAGCGACTGTGTACCAATAGAGCTCTTGTCATATGCACTTGCTCTCACTTGCTTGATAGAATGCATCGGCGTCTTTGGCATGCCCATTTTCGCGGCGAGTCTGGCAGACAAAACTGGGAAGATGAACACAGCGGTTCTCGTCTCGGGCATTTGTCTCGTCATTGGTGGCATATTTTTCCTCTGCGCTAATTTTATGAGAAAGCGTTCAACTTTGACGAAACCTGTTAAATAAATAAGCCCTTGCCAACTAGAATATTCTATGCTTTTCCTCAAATCCATAATCAATCACCACTCCTTCCCGGAATTTGTAAACATAAGTTGCACGTTTCCAGAAAATGATGCAAATCAAAACCAATTCAAAAATGGCAGGGAGAAAACGCTATAATTTCATGTTTTACGTTTTTGCACCAGTGTTGATGGTGCGGGGAGGTTGTCTTACTGAGCATTTCCCGCTGGGCAAAGCGTCCGCACAAGTTTCATTGGCGAGATAGCGAACCCCTGCTTTCGATCTCCTGCCGAGAATAAATCCTGAAGAGAGAAAAATAGAATAATTGAAAGAAAAAAAAAACGCCAGGAGAGCTATGGCTGAAATGGAGAATCCACTGGGCGAGTTGAGTTCCAGTGGAGGGCAATTTAAGAAGATACAGGACGAAGATCTTCTACAGAGATTGAAGCCCGCGGAGACCGATCAAAACAAAATTTGGCAGAATGCAGCGGATGGGAACTGGGAATACCCAGGAACCGAACAGTGAGTCATCTCAACATCTTCATGTGAACTATTGCTTGATTAGGGAACTGACGGGAGGAGCAAAAGCAATAATTTCAATCATCGTCATCTTAGTTCTGATAGGAGGGCCACTTCTTTATATGTGCAAGAAGAAGCTCCCTTCCTTCATGCTCTCGCAGAGGCAAAACCCTTCTCCAGCAGTTCAAGGTTCGATAATCAGAAATGCAATCTCAATCAACACTATTTAGAAGTACAAATTACACAAATCGAGTCAACTCTGGCCCGACCTACTGAATAAACAAACGCACAGTATTCCCTGCCGTTGTCGACAATATTGAAGCAACTACATTTGTCAAAAACGTTTTCATTCCCGGAAGTCTTTCAATCGCTTTCAAAACATCTTCTTGGATATAATAATCAAAGCCTCGACAAAAGTGGCCCATTTTTTGATTATTATATCTAGAATTTCTATTCTATTACAACACAAATCACGTGTTCATTTTTTGTGCCGCTGAAAATATAAACTGTTGAAATTAAGTTAAATTCGACCTACATTCTTAAAAATAGATCGAGAAATTGAAATTGATTATGCGCGCAGCCGCAAAAATGTGCGGCCTTGCATTCGCAGCTTGAAGTTTATAATATTGGACTTTCAAAAATGCAACTTAAAGTATAGAGCTATATATATTTGAAGTATAGTAATCGGTTTATAAGGCATTTTGAAGGAGAATAAAAGCCGAGAGCATTCCAAAATTGTTTAGGCTGGAAGCTGAACTGTCCAAATCTAATACTTCTTCTGGAAATGCTGAGTTACATCCATTTCCGTTGCAGAAATGTGTGGTCAGCTCGCGTTCAGTATCGTTAAAGAGCTCGTGACTTTTCGAGAAAATCGAGTCTGTTAGAGAATTTGATTTCGCGCTGCTGCAGCCTCGTTCTGCAAAAGCATATTCACTTAATTAATTCTATCTCAAAAGTCGTTGCGCGCGAATTACTTTTTCTCTCCAAATTCATCTGTCACGTTGAATAAGGCAGTTGTCTCGTAGCAACTTGTTGCGTTGACAGAGGGACAGGTTGAGCCTGATCCCTCTGGCCTCAAGCAAGAGATATCTGCGCTTGATTCCACGCGCCCGTGCGTTGAACACTGATGACAACGAAGAGGACCAGCGGCAGACCATTCCAGAGAACCGTACGGATACGAGTTTCCTTTCGAAAGATTAACGATTGAAATAAAAGAGGTACTTTATACAAATGATATATGAACCTGTTGCGGAGCTACTTGTGTCGAAAATAGCGTTTATCGTTCCATAATTTCCGTAATTTTTCTCCCGGAGTGCCACTTTGCACATTCCGGCGCATGTTCCATCGGAAGGAAAGCGGAATCGTACTCCTGCCTCGCCATCGATATCGAATTGACATCCACGCTCTACCACTCGTTTTTCGATTTTGCCTTTGTCCGTGTCTTCAACTAGCCACTTGTTTGTAACAACGAATTAACGTGGTATTGGTATTTACTCTGCATGGCGTAGTAAAGCGAGTAGCATCCGAGCGCGCATTCCTCTGAGCGGAAGTTGGCAGCTTTCGGCTGTCTCCAGCAATCTCCTTTGGAACCGATGGATGCCACTGATCCAGAAAAGGACTAAATAAAACACTCGTTCAATAGCTCGCTGTTTTCGGTCACCTTGACTGACTCTTCTCGAACAGACGAGCAAACGATACACGAAACCCCGACAGCCTCGTGCAGCAAACTCGCCACAAAAATCTTAAACATTGTGGAAACAATCTGAAACCCGTGTTTGCAGTTTTCAGCATAAATACGTGTTATGTTTACCAAAGGCTAGGTCCTTGGAGACCGACGTACTGCATTTAGTTGTGATTCATCGACGGCATGTTAATGTTGGCAGCTATCGAGTATTGTCGCTTGTATTTTACGGAGAACAATGAGCAACTGCCCATCCGTTGCCCTCCAAGATAATTACAACAATATATAACTTATAAGGAAAATTAGTTTTTGTCTGGTGATCTGCTTTCAAAAGACATGCTTAGATTACAAGGGCCCTCTACAAAGCCACTTTTATTTTTGGAAAGGAGACTTTTCATTTAGCCAGATTTCCGCCAAAAAGATAATCCGAAAAATCACATGAAACCAGATGGAAGATGGAAGAGAAAAAGTTGTTTCTTCTCAAGAAGATCAAAAGTAATGAGGGTTTTCTAGTAATGATGGGAAAAATTGCATTCTTAGATCGATGGAGGGTGTGTCGGGTACGAAGTGCGAAATGGCATCTCCGGCGAAGACTTCGAAACCTTCGTCACTAAAACGCGTCTTAAATTTTTGGAAATGTAAACTTATGATCCGAAGCAAATTTCTATCAAATAGACTTCATTTTAAGAGTTCGGTGGAGGTAGAAATTACAACGCGTGAGCGTCCAGAAACCGAGTACCACCCGAAGCGCCACGAGAGCAGCTTGAAAATCTACATCGACGATAACCAGGGAAGTTTGAGAGAATGCTGATCAGAAATGAGAAATGAGGAAATCGACAAACCTAAACAGCCAGTAGATATGGAGCTGAAGTTGTGTTGCGGGAGAAAAAATACGTATTCTTCGATCTTGAAGAGTTCCTCTGGGGACATATCTATTTACTTCAAAGACGCGGTAAAATGAGATTTTATATGAGATCTATGTATTCTTAAGAGTTCCAGTGGATCGAAATTTATCGCTGTCACCGAAAGCATGGAAGGCAACAAGAATTATAATTAGTTATTAACTAATAGATTATGAGTAATAGTTAATCTAAATTCTATTTAATTCCCACGCTGAAAAGAATTGATAACGCAGCAATAGAATGATTCTGTTTTTCAGGAGATGTCCTATTTTACGAAAAGAGCGCGCAAGTGACACTCTACGAAAAACGCAACTACGAGTGCTTGGTTATGCATTTTGCTCGGCTAGAGAGCTGACTGCCTCTGTTTTGCTCAAATAAAAGTTCGAGTCATGTTTTCAATTGACAATTGTCATCTGCATCTTTATCTTTCTCGCTGAATCGACGCATCATAATCGTTTTTTCTCGTTCGAGCTAATAGCAGAATGTTCCCTAAGAGCATGATTTTATTCTCATTATATACTGTTTTCGTCTTGTGGACAATGTTTCTTAGTGACTGCGGTTATTAATACGGAGTGTCGATAAATTATTGGTAAAGTCGGTAAATTAAAATCTGAAATTGTTTCTTAAACGGACTTACATTCTAAACTTAGAATTTCTAAAGCTAAGTTCGTAGTTCTTTAGAAATTTGGAAGAAAAAGTTTCTAATCAGAAAAGCGCCAAGAAACGCGCGCTTTCAAACTCCTCTCTGAGCAGTTTGTGTCTTCCATCAGAACCCATCCACTAGAGTTTTTCGAAAACGCGCGCTTATTGGATAGCGAATGCGATGATTAGAAATTCTAAGGGAAAGGCGTTAGAAAAATCGTTAGATTTGAACTTACCACTTCTAGTGTCGATAATAACTGGTAAGACTTACCCAATAACTTAGTCCAATAATTAATTTTCTTTGAAAAGCAAGGTCATCAGGCTGACTAGCCTTGAGTCTAGCTTAACTTATTCTCATGACGTAATTGGTGACGAAAGTTCAAAAAGAAAATCGTAATTATTGTTAACGACTTGATGGGCACCTTGTTATGTTTTTTTCTCGCTTCTCAGACCTCCTGCAGTCCCTTTCTAGTCGACCAATGGGGGGCCAGCGGTCGGGGAGAAGCATTGTTTCTCAATGTGAAGGCGGAAAAAGGAGTTACAGTAAGGACTGACCATGGAATGAGCTTTGGGCTAGGGTGTGCGCGCGTTTCGAGCGTTTTCTGCTCTTCAGGGGCGCGCGAGAGCCTCCCGTTAGAGCCCAGTGACTCACCCAAAACATACAGCTTCTTCTAACTCATAAAAACCTGTCTCCACTGCCGCGCACCCCGCCGACTTCAACAAGAGAATTGCGCTATCTAGTGGCAGGCGACCTTAAGAACATCGTGGGACGACATTTAGAGAGGATGAGCCCGAACAGCGAAGAGAAAAAACGAGCGAATCGAATATCGTCCCCGTTTCGGTTTTCCTTCTCTCCTCATTATCCTCTCCAGCGTCTTCCGATAGCGTTCGGGCGGGCGCTAGAATGTTGCCGCTAGAACGAAAGGGCAGCCCTGCCTCCGAAGCTAACCCGCGAAAATAAATCTATCCCCCAGAGAAAGCACCTGAATAAGTAATGGATGATCGCACTTGTACGTGTAACCTATGATTATTTTATGAATGAGTGATCAGCGCCTTTGATAGTTCTCTTCAACGAGCGCGCAGGGCTTATATTATTCAAGGTTTACCCGAATTCTTGCTTTCAGACTGGAATCGTGAAATGAGATAGAAGTTCAAAGAAAACGGCAAGGAGAGCAAAGAAAAGAAAAAAGAAGGAAGTTTCGAAAGATAGCCTAATAATTGAAGAAAATGACAGACAAGATGGACGAAAGCTACACCGCTGCCTTGATAAGCCAAAAAGTAAGCGCCCGAGGTGTTGATGACTAGAATAATGCACTGGCACATCGCCCCTCAGAAGTAGTACTAGCAGTCAATGCCCTTCAGTACTCTCTCTCCACTGGGTAGGCCTCATTCTCATTCTCCCAGCGATTTTCAGGCTAAATGTCGATTTCAGATGTCCGAAGCGTCGACTCTTTCACACGCCAGCTCGGACGACGGCTCGCCCAAAGTTTCATTCGATCTCCAAGCGTCACTCTTCCGGAAAGGCTGTCGAACTAGATATTCTTTATTTATAGATCTAAATATTCACCGATTGCCAAGTGCCTCCAGTTCAGATTCGCTGCGAATTGAACTCGAGCGCTCAGTTAATCTTGGCCAGATTTAACTCCTTTCTGCTCCTATAAATTTCGGATGCCACAATTCGATAAGTCCTCGGCGGTCAATAAACTCATTTAGATGCATGCATATAATTATTAGCTGGCGCCATTAATCCATTAAATTCTGCTAAGTAAAATACGCAGCCTATTCTTAGCGAGCCATGGAACGAAAGTCAAGACTGTCTCGATCAAATGAGCATGGAAGAGTTGAACACGAAAGCCTCCTGTTTCCTCATGAAAAAGGTTATTCTCATATTTAATTTGAGAAATAGATTGCGTTCAGTTCCCCGACGCGGCCGTCTCGTATCCCACTCTGGGCCAGCGACTGCTGCTCTATCGTCACGACCCTCAGGACACAAATATTCTTCAATTGCTGCGCTCTCCTCGCGACATTTGCAACGGCGATGTCATTGAAATCGTCCTTTCTGGTAATGCTCGCCATTCTCTATCCAATCTTTGCAGAGAATGTCCGGGCCGCCATCACATCTGCGGATACTGTCTTCGAACCAGTATCGCAAATACCTAACACACCCGCTAACACCATCATCATTCTCAATGTGTGTTCCTTCGTTAAGCGGCTATATTTGTGAAGTGGACCGTTTTAAGCGTTTGTGCTGGTAGACAGATCCCGTGTGATGTCGGCAGAGAGCGTCACCTTGAGTTGGTTTCATTATATTGAATTAGTTGAAGCAGCAAAGGACAAGGTCAACATCTCCAAGCACAACTTGGTCGTCCACTCTTACAAAGGGCCCACTTTCTGCGACTATTGCGACGAGTTTCTCTGGGGACTTGTCAAGCAGGGCCTTAAATGCACCGCGTGCGGCAAGAACTTCCACAAGGTAATTCCTCATTTCAAATGTTCAGTGTTAGGGGCGCAAGCGGTATCGCTTGGGCAACCTCATCGAAGACGCCTTATGGCTTGTTCTTTGATGGAATTGATGTTCGCGCTCAGACAAGTTGTAATCAGCGTTTGGTAGTCGACAGCAAATGTCCGCTGGGGAAAGAAGTTCTCCTCATAGTCGCTTTCTAGCGAAGATTCAAAGACATAATTAAACCCCAATTTCTATGACGAACAAATGTGTTATGGTCCTCGAGTAACTTCGATTTAGAGATGCGTTTACCACATTCCGAACGACTGTGAAGGCTACAGAAGCAAGAAACCAAGCAAACGGCCGAACCCGAATGATATGAAGCCTCCTGTTATGTCTCACCCATCCCAAATGTCCGGATTATCGATACCAACAGGAGAACCTGTCGAAAAGGTAATATTTTCCCGGCAAAGAGAACTTTATTCGAGAACGGCCCAACCGAAATTTAGACAAAATCGCGGCTTCCTTGGTCGTCTTCGGTAAATGGTTTGCACTGACTTTGATTAAACAGCATTTACCATTATTTTTTCATTTATCTTTTTAACACTTCTTCGCACGGTCTCTTTTTATTTCAGATGAAATCCTTGCCTAGCAAAGTAATACTAGCGGATCATTCTTTTCGAAGATCCTGAGGTTTTTTGTTTGGAAAATAATTTCATGCTCAGAAATATACTGCCGGAAAGTTACTTTATTGGAGAATCGGAACGGCGCGCTATTTCTGTGTGTTTTTAGAGAGAATAAACTACTAGTTTTTCTGCAGTCGCTAATTAGATTTTTCTAGCAGCGTCCTACCGGCAGCTATGCTCGGGGAGGTAGGCCGATCGAGCTTGAGTGGAAGCTGCACAATAAACCAATGGTGCCTCACACGTTCGTGATTCATTCCTACCCAGTGATAAGGTTTGCTTTTAATCATTTTAAATCGACTAAAGTCGTTTAGGCCCACCCAATGTAAAAAATGTACAAAGCTGCTCTCCGGAGTAATGCGCCAGGGATTACAGTGCCGAGATTGTAAATACAACGCCTGCACGGTAAATAGTCAATACTCTCCTATGAATATGCGTTCTATATCATTCCTGATTTGTATTCGAAAGTGAGCCCGTCTAATTATCCAACTTGACTAATTACATTAGAGCTGTGTCAATGCAGGGCACATTCCTAACGACTGCCCTGGAGAAGCAGATGATGAATCTCTGCCCGAGAAGACATCGATAAATTCTGGATCCGTTTCCGACCAAAACGAGCAAATGGACACGTCAGATCTAGGAGAGGCGGCGGAGGACGATCAAGTCGACGAAATTAACTTGAGCAAAATCCACATCCAAGCAAGGCCGAATCAAGGAGACATGATTCCAGTCATAAGAATTGCACAAAGGTACTGCTAACTGGGTTCAAATTCCTCAAACTTCTTTTTAGCATGCGGAACTCTAAGCACAAGAAAGAAGTCAAAATCCAAGGATATCTTATACACACTACCAATAATGACGACATGGTGAGTCTGATAGAAAGCAGAAAATGGTATGATCAATTAATTTTTCAGCGTCGTCGACATTATTGGCGTCTCGATGGAAAATCTCTTCAGCTTTTCATGAGCGAAGAGGAACAACGAATTTCAAAGGAAATACCTCTTGCCTCGGTGCTAGACTGTCGTCTCGCCGAAATTATCGGAGTAATGCATCTTGAGCTTCAACTCAGCGGTGAAATAGTATATTACATTGCCGATGATACTTCAGGTATAACGAAGGTCTATCTGTTTTCATACATCATTTTCAGTAAAGCAAACTGTGTCACTTCGCCTATGGTACGACCATATCAAGAAAGCGCTGCGACCGATGGACCCTCACCCTAATATGCCTCAACAGAACCCAACCATTACGAAAAAACAGCTCAGCAATATTATGTCTCTCGACCCTGACGAACGAAGTGCCACCGATGTAGAACAGATTTACCAAGTAATCACTGCTCGTTTAGCCGGACGCTAGATTGTTCATTCTTCAGATATTCCACGACGAAATCCTCGGCTCAGGACAGTTTGGCGTGGTATACGCAGCCAAGCATAGAAGAAAGCCTCTCCAAGTGGCTATTAAGCAAGTCGATAAGAAACGCTTCCAGAATAAGGATAACAGGCTTATCCACGAAGTTCAAATTCTAGCTGTAAAAGACTAGTCAGGAGAGGCGCTTATTGATAATAATTCTTCAGGGGCTCCATCATCCTGGCATTGTAAATCTTTTCAATATGTTCGAAAACCAAAATCAAATTTTTGTTGTTATGGAAAAACTACAAGGAGACATGCTGGACATGATCATGTCTTCGGAGCACGGAAAACTGGATGAGAGAATAACGAAGTTCCTCATAACTCAGGGAGGGTTAGCTTGCAATTTCTTTAGTTTTCATCAAAATAGAATTTTCCGACCCATAAAAGATTCTAGATGCGCTCAGATATTTGCATGACAAAAATATTGTTCACTGTGACTTGAAACCAGAAAATGTTCTTACAGCCAATAGTGACAGTTCATTACCTCAAGTAAGTCTTTCTTTCATTTCTTTCATTTCTTTCATTTCGCTATAGATATTTGCTTGTATTACTCGCTTAGTATTATCAGTGCGCTAATGTAAGTATTCAGGTGAAATTATGTGATTTTGGATTCGCCAGAATTATTGGAGAAAAATCTTTTAGGCGTTCCGTCGTAGGTACGCCAGCCTACCTCGCCCCTGAAGTGCTAAATAATACGGTACGCTTATATATTGAAAAGCCTGATGTATATTTATTTTTCGCTAGGGATACAATAGGACACTAGATATGTGGTCTGTTGGTGTTATAATTTACGTCTCGTTATCCGGAACATTCCCTTTCAATGACGAAGAAGACATTGTTGATCAAATTCAAAATGCAGACTTTATGTTCCCTGACAATCCTTGGAAAGAAATCTCCAATAGCGGTAAGACTCACAACTAACTCTTCCTTGATTCCATAGTTTTCAGAAACACTTAATTATTTTAATTGACTTTCTGAAAACTAATATTATGACACCCACCTAATAGACATTAGTTTCAAATATTTCTTTGGTAAATCAATAGCTCACAAGCCATGCTGCATTGATTTCTACGCTATTCTTGCAGCTTTTACAAGCTTGCTTACCCTAGAAGTCCAATATTATTATTTTTGGGTTTCTCGAAGAGATGCCTTTTTACGAGAAGATTCACAATTTTTTTATAAAAAAGCAAGTTTTCAAAATGATATTCTTCAGTAAAGAGAACTAAACTTTCCCAGTTAGAGTTCATACCCCAGTTATATTTGTACTGGTTGAAAAAATTGTGCTCTTGATGCAATGGAATTTTTCTCGATTCTCTAATGGAAAATGGATATTTTCTTGAGAATATTTCTCATATTTACGTATTTTTCCATTCTTATTTGTTCTTCTAGCGATTGACTTAATCAAACACCTGCTGCAAGTTCAACGTAGACGACGACTGACAGTAGATCGTGCAATGCTACACGATTATTTCAAGGTACTTATCAAAATCGGAAGTTTCGGCATTAAACTAATCAGAAAATTTTTCCTTGAATTACCCTACGAAATATTCGATCTAACCATCTATTTTTCTACTCCCCCAAGCTTTGATGATAGTTTTTATAAAGTGTAAATAATACATTTAATGGTAAATCGCGATAATACATATTACCCGGATTTCATTCTAGAGGATTAACATAATCCCAATTTTTTAATCATCTATTTTCTGGTCGCCTGCAAAATAATAATAATACGTAAAATACTTTAAAACATTTATATTTTGAAGAAAACATTAAAGAACAAAAAGGAGCAACACAACATGTAGTCAAAATGAGGATTAACAGTAATATAAACAGCCATATATAAATATATGTATAGCACTATAGTTTGCTCAATTCTTTGCAGACGACTCTTCTGGCACGTTGAATTGGGTGATTGTAGAGCACTTTCTCATTTGTAGATAGGAACAGTGCGGGTACTAACAATAGGGTACACCAATAGGGTCATTACACAGTTATTTGTGAGTGAGTGGTGTAATTTCGAAAGCACAGAAATACTCAAATATATTTTCTCAGATGCTACTTTTTGGTCTTTGTTTCTTTTGATATTTTCTATAGAAGTGCCAAAAATCGCAGTGACTTTTCAATTTGACTTTTGGGATTTTGGTATTTATAGGTGATTTATGGATGGAACTAATGTAGAGCTCAATATTTTGGTAGATAATTAGGCCCGAGAAAAAGTTTAGCGGTTTTTCTTCCCTAATTGCTGCTCTTCCTCCGGACTCATGCACACAATGTCCATGGCGACGACTTTGCCATTTGGCAATTTTATTTGAGTCTTAAGAAGGTTAGCATTGCTCTCCTGGCACGAACGCGAATTAATCTGCATAAAAACAATGCAACCCTTTCCTCACGGTCTTGTAGCGGCTCGAAGAAAGGCGAGTTTTTGAGAGCTTGCAGCGGCGTCGCTCTCGCTTTCGGCGAGTACTTGAGCAGCGAGCTGGCCAAGTGAATGAGTCCTGGTTCGGTCGCTTCTGGGAGCGTTTCTTCGAGTGTGCTCTGCCTTTCCACCGGTTTGTCGTACTGAGCTTCTTCGGCATTCTTCATCGACACTGCCATTTCGCCAATTTCTTCACGTGACGGATTGCCCAGAACTTTTGTCATTGCCTTGATCTGGTGCGCTGGGCCTCGTGAAGAACAAAATAATGGCCGATGAAGGACGATTTCTGCGATTACACAGCCCGCCGACCACCAATCGACCTCGACCGAATACTCCTCTTTTCCCAGCACCAATTCTGGAGCGCGATAGGGCCTCGAGCACACATAAGATACGTTTGTATCGCCTAAAATCACTGTAAAATCAATCCCAAAGTAAACTTTCCCATCGAGGCTGCTGGAAGGATTTTACTTATATTTTGGCAAAGTACAAACCTGATCTAACTTTCTTCGCCGTGCCAAAATCGCATATTTTCAAGAGGCCTCGTTCCGGCTCGACTAGGCAATTGTCCGGTTTTAGATCCCTGTGAACGACATGTAGTGTGGCCAAGTACGCGCATCCACGCAGAAGTTGGTAACAGTACAACTAAAAACAAAATATGTGCCAATTTGAAATCGATAACCGAGCCGGTGGCAATGTGGCTGTCGACGCGAGCAACTAGCATTTTCGCCGCCTCGTCAATGAATATTTAACCCTTCGGTAAAAAATTTAACATCTACTCCAGCTTCCGCGATTGCATCGCCCAACACTCCCACGAACTTTTTCTAGTATTACTACCACATCGATAAATAATTCACTATTTGCTTATTTTGAATATCTTCCTTGATTTCAACAAGAAGGTTAAACTAAATTTGCATATTCCGAAGCTCGAAAATAACTTGATCGCTTCATCATGTTCAGTAATACTTTGAAAAATGTCTCGTTGAGAAGGATAAGCCCAAGATTTTCGCTCACCTGTTGATAGATGACGGGCATTTGCTCGCCGCGCCTCGAGTAGTACTTGAGTACTCGTCCAAGTGAGAAGGGAAGAAATTCCATCATCAGGTGTAGATATGTCCCATTACGTCTTTCCGAGAGGTAATAATATTTTAGCCTCACTATTGAATCGTGGTTTAGCCGCTTCATTATTTCCAGTTCACGGTTCTGATACTGTGGATCTTGAAACACCGTTTTAACAGCCACAGTCTCGCGTTTTTCCTCAATGACTGCCTAAAATGATTGTCATTAAACATTAAGAACTGTGTTTTTTAACCAAGCCAATGACAGGGATGAGGTCAAAATCCCGCCGTTTATCGAGTAATTTCGATTTTACTACCCACTTAAACACCCGATTGAAGCTTTAGATGTGGGCCTAAACCATAGATAAAGTTGTAAATAAACGCCAAAGAAACATATCAATTAACCCTCTGTTTTTCGAAATTCCAAAAATATAACCGGATTTTCATCCTTTATCGTCAACGATGAGCATTTCAGTCTAACCTCACGTAGTAGGCTTTGGGGTCAGAGCTTATATCTTTAGGCTTAACACTTGGTGATTATTTCCCATACTAATCCTCTTTATTTTTAATCATCAACACACAAAATTCAATACTGAAGCCGTGCTCGAAAGATTCTCATAAAGCTTATTTACAATGGATAAACTTTCGTTTTAGAAATTTTAATTTTTTACGAGTGAATCATAAATCTTCTCCTTGGGACGTTTTTAGCAACGAAAATGCGAAATTTCGTGATTTTACTTTTTATGGCCCTGAAGAAAACAAGTACGGATCAATCGATTATCAAAGAGTTTATCTTGTGTTACCTGGAGGACTGAGCCGAATGTGCCACGACCAGCAGCTCGAACGGCGCGCAGCGTTAGTTTTTCAGCTGGTGCATCCTCGGGCTTCGTGATGTCGTAGCACTCGACGGTGTTTCTATCTTTTTTTCTCGCTCCCAGATTGAATTTTTTGAATCTAGCAATGATGCTGTTGTCGTTCATATTAGGTCAACCCTTTGAATTCTTGTCACAGGCTAGGCAAAACCAGATGCGCTTGTGGCGCCGAGTGGCTAATCCTCGATCATGACAAATTTGTGCACCCATTGGTTTAGTGCGTATAATTGCCGTAGCCGGTACCTGAATGTGTGTGTGCGTTTTTATCGTCGCTCTTTTATGTTCTTTGCGTGGTTTCCGTTTTCGTTGTCTAGTTATTGAACCTCTATCGCTGGAGCCATTAGGCACTATCGCGTTTCAGTTAACCTCTATTTGTGTATTTTATGGCGTCCGGGTCGCTCGGTGTAGCGCTCTATAGTTCAGTCACTCGTCGTTGTCTTAGTCACACACTGGCCATTATTTCCCAGAGGCAATCGTACAGATCTGAACACTTAAGTCTAAGCAATACTGTCTTAGTGCGTCGCGGGTCTCGATCGAGCGCAGCTTTGATAAATCTTTTCTCTTTCGATATTTTGTCTTGATGCGTGTGCAGAAAAGGAAAAAATGACCCGTTGAAGAATTAGCGCAGCCGCGGACACTAGGCGCCCTCTCATGCATAGCTCGTGTAGGCGGTGTAACGTTGGATATGGCGGCGACTAGGGCAGTGCTCACTTGCCCGAGGGACGTGCCCGAGCTCCCACTCTGGGATTCGCTGCGTTCAGCGCCAACCTCACGCGCCCGTAAAAGGGACCACGCTGAACGCACAGCGTTTATTTTCTCGCTGTTTGACCTAGGCCTAAATCACTGACTATGCCGTCCTCTTTGTTTACTATGCTTCTCGGAGGAGGTAATTTAGCGGCGCTAAAGAGTCCTCAGGCTCTTCCTCGAGGCTTCCGACAAATTTTATTAAGCTAAAATTTAGAGTTTACATATCTTACAACCATTTTGCTATCGAAGGGCTTGAGTCTTTTCTTTACAAAATCCACCTTTTAGAGCTTCCGCGCGGTCGAGACCCACTTAACATTTTCACTCCGCTTGGTAAAATCAACATTTGATATTAAATTTATTTTAGGAGCAATTTGTGGAGATGGAATATCGGGTTTTCAATTTTGAGCGAGATTTTGTTGAATGAAAAACATACTTGGCCTTTCAATCTGAATGAAGCCTACAATAACATATTCAATAGTTGATTTGATTTTGATGGAGTGTGACTGTAGTAATACCTTAATCGGACGCCCTTGGGGACCTGTCGTGGCCACGTGACTAGAGTGAGAACTACAATCATATTTATTATTATGCAGGGGAATGGGAAAAGGTTCGATTAATTCTAGAAATTAGATATAAATTGCCACGTGACTATCTTTTTACGGAGATTATGGGAGCACTAAATAGTTTTAAGCGCGCTTACTCGATATATGTAGTGCTAAGCCTAAGCTGCCTTTTTCGGGGCACACTTGAGCCGTCTTCTTCTCCAGATCTCTATAGAAACCAAAACTCGTAGTAAATATTTTGGGACTGAATTTTTCTCTCCGTGTGAGCTAGCTTGTTACTATCACTATGAATGAGGACGCCTACGGCAACCCGTAGGGCAATCGACCGGAAAATCGGATTTTTCTTTTCGAACGGCCCGCCAAAACCACCCAGCGATCGTTTGTTCTCAATCCATTTCCTTTTTTGACACACTGCGACAAAAGCACTCTTTTGTGGCTCTCTTTGTTGTCTCTCCAAAGAAAAATTTTACGCCGATCTGAAGGCAACTCGTTGATTTCGCTTCTTGACTGTTAGGTATCCATTGCGACAATTCAAAGCGCCTTGGGAAGTGGATAGTCTGCTCATGAACGACTTTGTCATATCACTGGCATACTGTTTTTTGTGCTCCAAGGAGCAGTTAACCTTTACATTAGAGGACGTCAGTAAATGCATCTAAGTACGTTTATGAGACGTAGGTAAATATAGCTCTGGATCGCTGAGCGAAGTGATATTCGCTTTTGATTTTCGTTGGATATTTACTGGTGCGCAAATTCCACTACGGGTTTGGCGCGGTCAATTTATGACGCGCGGGGCCCTTGCGCCTGTCTCCATTTTTTTTCTTTGCTCGAAAGCGAAAATTCTAAACCGATCTCTTAAGGACTACCAGACCTTCCTCGATCTGAGGAAGCTCGAGGAGCGCATAAACACGCAACAATGGACTTGCTCCGACCACTGGGCCGAAGTCGCAGCTCGTTACGGCCCACATGGGTAAGTAATAATTAATCTTCCGCAGGATACCGTAAATGATGAAATTTTTCCTTTAGAATTGGCGAAAAAACAACAGTGAAAATTCACTCGTTCGTAAAAAAATAAAATAAGGTGAAAGTCTATGTACGTAAATCACTAATATTATCTTTAAATCAATTCCATGTTAATTATAATTCATTTTTTACAGAAAACTTTTTGAACTTACTTAAAGTATCTAAACTCAGTAAATAAATGTACTAACATAGTAGCAAAAATCATAATCCACAGCAACTCCATCTCGAATGAATGTCTACTCGTATGCCGAAGAGTAGAGTAGCCCATTTAAATTTGTTTCTTCAGAACGCATCTATAATCTTCAAACCGCATTTGCAAAAGTACACAAGTCTGTGTACCAAGAAATCGGCCCCTCAACTCTGCTCCAAAAGCCTCGACTACAATTTCAGCTGTTGACAAAACTCAACTTAATATATTTCTGCCCTGCCAACCGCGCCATTTGGAAGATGGTCAACTCTAGAATAGCTCGACAAAACTTTTCGCGCGAATACTCAAGTGTTCGAATACATAAGTGCACGAAAAATTACACTACGGCTTTAAATCGATCATGATTTACGAATCATGATGCTTGCACTGTGAAATTGTACTTAAAATTCAATGTCTTGAATATTGACTTTCTTTGATAAAGAAAAGAAGAGTTTTTGAGTGAAAGATATTCTTGACCAAATTATGCATTTTTCCATCTTTGTACTAAGCTACTGCTCTCTATACTTTCTCTAGTTCTTTCTATTTCATATTCTACCCCTTCTTGGTAGCGTATTTTTCTGATATGTAAACAACAAGCGATAATAAATTCAATTCAATAAGATTTTATTCAAATTTTAAGTCACTAGATATGCTATTGAAGAACAGAGTCCAATATACTCCAAGACTCTAATGTGGTAGCGTGATGATCAAATTTGGATTTTTGTCCATTGCTTCTTGAATCGCAATTTTCGCAAGCGCATTTCCTTAAAAATATCATCAGCCTTAATTTCTTCGCAGGTGCATATACCTGACCAGCAGCGTCTTGCTACACCGTTTGCTACATCCCATGATAGAAAACGTCTTGCCTTGATTATCTGTTCTTCCGAACCGTCAAGCACATGACCGAAGCCACCGTTCATCACTTCACCCCATCCTACACCGCCGCCGTTATGCAGCGACACCCAGGTTGCCCCTCGTGCGGCGTCTCCTTTGAGTCATTTTAGTAAATTTGCACTGCCTACGAAATACCGAACCTAGACAATTTTGCACTGCCATATCGGCTGTCACCCCCGATCCATCGTAAATATTACTCGTTTCGCGGAAAGGCGAGTCAGTCCCTGAATACGTATTAAGAATCTACTCAAATGGATGACTCTAAAACGAGACAGTATATAACTGACTACCTGAAACATCGTGGTGATCTCTTGACAAGATAACTGGGGCACTGATGACTCCTTTTGCGACTGCATCATTGAACGCTTCTGCAAGTTTCCAACGACCCTAGTCTCATATTAATCGTGTTAACAGTAACTTTTACCTTCATGTCAGTGTACAAGATTCGCGCTTGAGAGCCGACGACCAATTTGTGCTTGTCTGCTTCTTTTATCCAGCGGAGATTGTCTTGGTACTGTTGCTTGGAGGCGTCAGAGATTCCCTCGTTGACAATTCCTTCTAATACAGAAATTGCGATTTCGTCCGTTTTAGATAAATCTGATGGCTTTCCGGATGAGCAAATCCAGCGGTAAGGACCAAATCCAAGACTTAAAAGAAGGTGATTTTCGGAAAGCTCTCATCGCTACTGAACCTGAAAATGTCTCCCATAATGTGTTGTACGTAGCTAGGGTACTTGAATTTCGTTGTCGATCCGCTCTCAAATACGTTTGCTCCAGCTCGCCCAGCTTCAAGGAGAAAAGCATTCCCGTAGTCAAAAAGTAAAGTCCAGCTTTTGAAAGTTTGTTAAGGGCGTCTATATGACGGCGGAGTGTTCCCGAACCAGCTCCAAATATTTTTCCTCGTTTGTTGCTTTTAAGGTTCGCTAATGATTTTCTTTTTGATTTTCATTTGATGCAATTTATGCAACCATTCCTATGTATGTTTTAGCTTCTTCCGCTGTCAATTCTATCGGAAGGTATCCACCACCGCGGATATCATGACAACTCGTTTGATCTGAGCCAATATCAACAAGGAGCTCGCCAGTTTTCTCGTAAACTTCCACCACCTTCTCCCACAAACGAACTATATTTCCGTGGTAGCCTTTTTTGGTTCATTCATTATTTTAAGATAAACTTTGAAAGAAGCTTTTAGAAAGCATCATTTTCCACAGGCAAATATGAACCCAATGCCTATCGAAGTGGCTCTTTTTCCTCGCGATAATGTCGAATTAGGAGATGATTTCATCAACATCATCTGTGTAAATATCGAGCCATCCTTGTTTCTGGCGTTTGATCAAATGACTTTTGTCGATCTCTGCGATAACTCCAACGCAGCCACAAATTGTGGCAGCCTTTGCTTGGGCACCGCTCATACCACCAAGTCCAGAGGTGATGAACACTCGACCTGCGCCATTGGACGAGTCAAACTTCCTCCGAAAGGCGTTAAGAACGGTCAGTGTTGTTCCATGTACAATTCCTTTTTAAATGATGTAAAACGTAAGGCATTGAGAGCATTTAAGGGTAATCCTATACATCGGCGTGGCGCTTCTCTCTCGATCCGCGCTCCGCCAGAACCTATTTTTCACAAGGCCATAAAATTCGACCGGAATCCTTAAACTCTCTTCTATTGCTCTAGCAAAAATGAAAAAATCGGGAACGAGGAACTATCTGAAAACCGCCGGTTTCCTTCAAAGGACATTTCCCGCCAGATTTTTGATTCAAATTTCACGAAAATCAGATGGTCTTGTAGAGAATCGTCTGCTCTACAATTCCTCTGATTTAGATTTTCTTTTTGCGCTCTCAATTATTTTACATGGTCATTTTAAAACAGCGCTATGCTTCCTCGCGCCTCTCTTCTTCCTATTTCTCACGGCGCGCTCCGGCAGAGAAGAATAGCACTCTCTTCAAACTATCATCGAGAATTTTTGAGAACGTTAAAGGAAAATCTAAATCAGAGGAATTGTAGAGCAGACGATTTTCTACAAGACCATCTGATTTTCGTGAAATTTGAATGAAAAATCTGGCGGGAAATGTCCTTTGAAGGAAACCGACGGTTTTCAGATAGTTCCTCGTTCCCGATTTTTTTCATTTTTGCTAGAGCAATAGAAGAGAGTTTAAAGATTACGAATCTTTTTGAATTTTAAAAAAATCTCACTCCGGTCGAATTCTATGGCCTAGTGAAAAATAGGTTCTGGCGGAGCGCGGATCGATCGAGCAGCGCCGCGCCGATGTATAGGATTACCCTTAAAATAAGACTCTCACACCATAGCTTGAGGACCAATATAACACCAAGATCCAGCCGTCATCTGTCCGTATTGTGTTACTCCGAGCGCGAAGGATTTTGATACTGTGATGGCGTCGAGAATCGTGGAATCATCATTCCGTTGGTAATGATACATCTCGGACTATTTCTAGAACTCGGAAAAAGGCCAAGCGGATGGCCGGAGTTCATCACAAGAGTCTGTTCTTCATTCATTATCGACAAGTAATACATCGTTAACCGGAATTGAATCCAGTTCGAAAAGACCTAAACACAACTCATTTGGTCGCAAGAATAGCAGAAACACTAAACATGTAATATAGAATATTATTTGACCCTGGTTAACCTGTCCATTTCCTCCATAAGTTACGAGCTCGTTCGGGTATTGGGCGATGGCATAATCTGAAATAAGGTTGCGTCAAGAGTAGTATAACAATTTTATTGGAATTAGGCCGAGAATCTTTTACATATACGAACTTTAACGAGCGATTTGACCGCAGAACTAAGGTGACAAATGAACTATTTCTTTGTTCGACGTTAAAACTTCTTGCTTACCTAAGTTATTCATTATCTGGTGCATCATGCAAGCAGCTTGCTTCGTTTTGCATGGATACAAATTAACCGGATAAGCTTTGATAGGGATCCGAGTCGGCCTAAAACGGTACATGTAGATGTGCCCATAATCATTCAGCTCCTCAAGAAACTCCTTCTGTAATTGGTCATGACTTTCGCGATCAAAGTATCGCAGTGCATTAGAAATTGCTTGTTGTATTTCTTCTGAGTCTAATCCATGAACCCTCTTCGGTGCGTGTGGAACATTTTCGTCCAAACCCGGATGATCGGGTAATTCTTTCGTGGATCAAAAACTGAGCATCCTAGAAACTTTTACACTTGATTTAAGGGTATAGTCATCGCTCTTTGCCAAGTCTCAAATTTTTAATCTGAGTCCATTTTTAGAATCCTCATGAAATTCTGAACAAAAAAGTCCTCATGAGTCATGACCTTTATCTCTATCTCAACCGGTTTTCCGGAAATTGAGACTGAAAATGGCGAATTTTAATGCATTTTGCCCATAAGCCAAATTTTGGCCATTTTAAGAAGCTTCAGAAGGGCTTCATATGACACATTTTTTGAAAGCTTATGCTTAGGGCTTCAAACTGGTATAAAAACGGTTAAGTTTGGGCAGTGCCCTCAGGGTAATTTAGGAGATTGTTTAGGTCAAAAATAGGTTCAATCGATTTTCGAAAAATTTTTATAAGAAAAAATTTAGTAATTGAAAAAAGCTCTTGTCAATTTTAAGATAAGGGTCTGACCTACATAATCCACTTAAAAAGATTCTGGACTTTTTTGTAAAATTTCGAGGAGTTCGGCCGTTTATATAGCCTATTTTGGCCGAGATGCCAACTTTGAGGGGTCGTCACGTGGCAAAAATGAAGGAATTTTTTAAAAAGCTCTTGTCAATAGTAAGATCTAAGATAGATCTTAAATTCTAGCACTTAAGGACATTCTCACTATTTACAAGTCCAGAGGAGTTCAAGCTCAAAGTAGGCCTGAGCGATAACTATACCCTTAAACATCTCTTAATATTTTGCGTGCTGATTCTCTGTCAAATTTTTCGAAGAAATAGAAGATTGAAATTATTTGTTTAAATATGTTAATTTGTTCCAGTAGTCCTGTAGGTAAAGGTTTGCAGAGATTGGCCAGTCCCTCTCTTATATCTTCTTCAGATAAAGTCATCGTTTGCCAAATTCTCGATCTTATGTGATTGACATCGAAAAATTTTCTTGACCATAACTGGGAGGGGTGGAACAACTTAAACGACCTTATTTTTACGATCTTGTGATCACCAAATGTCTGCGATGCACTTGAATGAGATTTATTCATCGCACTTATTTTTAAATTCACTTCATAAATATGTATATTTATTTTTACAGACTTTTACTGAATTGGTTTTGGCAGGTAGAAGGGTCATACAGGCATAAGTAGGTTTGAATGTACTTGATAAGTTTATATTGTTTAAAAAGATTCATTATTGTTTTAGTAATCAACGAGCTGACCAACAGGTGCCTCGGCTTCGGCTTCTTCGGCAATGGCACCGAGTTTAGTGTCCTGATCCATTTCCCAGTCCCATTTTTGCTTTGAATCTCCAGCTTGGGTCTTTTCAAGCTTTCGTGAGGACTTTTTGCCGTCCATCAAAAGACCTTTACGGGCAGCGTTTGTTTTCTTCCGCAGAGCTGAGATTTTTTTTTACAAACAACGATTTTAGTTCTTGTCTCACCTTTATGTCTTTCGATTTTTTCTTCGTCGTTAACGGGTTCATCTCGTCGTTGTTTTCGCTTACGACGTTGTTTCTTCTGTTCGTCATCATCTGATAATTTGTCCTTATCATCTCCGACAGCTTCCTTTTTCTTGCGCCTCTTTTTGCGTTTCTTTTTCTCCTCGTCGTCGATTTCGAAAGCTACATTATCCTCGCCGGCATCGAATTTGACTTTCTTTCCGTCGCGTTTTTCTTGCGCTTTCGAAGCTTATTTTTGTCTCCTTCAGTGCTTTCCGCATCACCTAAGGTTGTTTTGTAGAGACATTAATGGCTTCCTCTTACCTTCTCCTTCGGCTTTAGCCTTTGAAGGATTATTAAAATTCGTTCCTCTCTTTTCTTGCTTTCCTCTGCGTCGTCTATTTTGGAACATTCTTGGAGCCACCTTGTAATCAATCTTTTCTTTTCCAAGAAGCTGAGCGAAAATCGGCGAGTCTTCCAACAACTCGTCGGCTTGCATTTGCGGCAGTTCTTTTCGAGTCGAAAGGATGGTGATTTCTATACTTTCTCCAGCAGATTTGATTTTATTCACGACAAAGTCATGATTTTGTCCTTCGAGAGAAACACGACCAATTTCAATCAAACGATCACCAGTAGATACTCCAGCTTTGTCTGCAGCTAAGCCAGCCTGGAAAGAGATTGAACAATTTTATCTTAATAAAATTTTGTTTTGTCTTGATAATTCTTTTTCTACAATAATTTCATTTATTTTTTGTTCAATCCCTTCCTGAACGAGCTCAAAATAGTGTCCTTTGTCATCTTGGTTGATGTAGAATCCGAACGTTCCCTTTTCTTTAGTCAGGAGGACTCGTCTAGGGGTAACAACTTCGCGAAGCTGATCCGCCTGGACGGACATGACGTTCAAGTGAACAGTGTCGCCACTTTCACGAACTCGGGAGACACAGTTTTCGTGTATCTCGAGCTCGATGTTTCTGTGGTTGACTTCTTTCACACGATCGCCCACTTTAAGACCGGCTTTATCTGCAATGGAGCCAATTGTAACATCTTCGACATAGTGCCCTTGGTCGTCGAACCAGAGATGGAAACCAAAGGTCTCGCCGGGCTTCTTAACCATTTCGACATCGTGCGGAGTGTAAGCATCAATAGACTCAGTGTATTGAACGAGTAACTTGACTTCACACGCCTCTTGCGCTTTCTCAAGCAAGGCAATAACCTCTTCGTGGGCGTAGTCCGTCACATCAACGTCTTCAACAGCAAGTAGTCTGTCGCCATCACGAAGACCCGCGTACTCGGCGGGGCCGCCTTTCTCGACCCAATGAATATTGTGACCGATTTTCTTTTCATTTGAATCGATGTTGAATGATGTTGTATTTGCAAGTTTGAAGCCCCAGTCTTCGTCATCGTCTTTTGACAGTATGAACGTAGATTGCGCTTTATATTGGTCGAAAAACACGTCAAGACATAACTCATAAGATAAATTAATAAGATTTTTATAATTTTTCTTTCAATAACTCAAGATTTCAATTGACCGTTCCTGAAATTGTCTTGCTATTCTCATCGATTCCCTGGGCGTTTCCTCCTCTGTCGAACCCGCCCCAGCCTTTCCAACCAGAAAACTTCATATCAGCCTTGTAAGCGGTGATGCCGATATTGTTTTTCTTGTAGTAGACGAAAGTTTTGGCATCAACTGCTAACAAATTAACCACATTGTGACAAGCCTAAAAATTCTTAATAAAGATAGAGAACTCGATTCATACCTTGATTCGGTAAAAACATCTTCGGTGGATTCTTTTTCAATGTTGACGTTGTTAATTTCGATAATTCTATCACCTAAAGTCGATTTGAATTATCGGAAATGTCAAAATAAAATTACCCGCTCGAAGACCAGCTCTATCGGCTGGTGAGCCTATTGTGATATCTTCCACATAATGTCCGTCATCGTCGTGCCAGATATAGAAACCATATCCAGATTTTCCCTGTCAAATAATTATGGCTAGTATGTTCAGAATCAACTCGGTACCTGGACAATGCGGAAAAGATATGGCTTATTTTTCGCTTTGACGTCGTCAGATCTTTCATCAATCACAAGGAACCTTATTTCGTTTCCTGCTTTCTTTATCAAGTCGACGACCTGCTCGTGGGAGTATCGCTCGCAGTTGATACCATTCACTTATTTTTGCTTATTTAAAGAAGGCCTAAATATGTTTTCCTTACCTTCAATGATTCTATCTCCATCCCTAAGACCAGCCGAGTCAGCGGGGCCACCTTTCTCTACTCTCCGGATGACCTGTCCATTTCTGTCTCGATCAATAGCAAGGAAGAATCCATGTTGTTCGTGGTCGGTCTTCAACAAAGTACAATTACGAGGTACGCCGAGAGCGTGTGTCGAGCGTTGAAGATCTCCGCGAAGAGTTCCTTCCGATGTAAATGTTGTGAATGATTTTGTTTCAGAGAGTGAGATCGAGTCTGACATTCCCAACGTTATTGTGTCGTCTTCTTGCAGCTCTGTTTCTGCGTCAGAATCCAAAGGCATGAAATATGGCTCAGCCGGAATCGAGATCGCATCCCAGTCGATCTGTTCCATCCCTTTGATTTTGAAGTCAACGATGTTCTTGTAATGTGTATCCGCCTACAAAAATGCCTGGAGCTCGAGTTCAAAAGCCAATAATTACCTTCGCGTCAGTCACAAGAAGCAGTACTTCGACTTCGCACATACGCAAGCGTTGAATACAGTCTTCATGGTCATCTGCTTCAATGTTCATCCCATTAATTTGGATAACGCGATCGCCTGTCTTTAGTCCTGCGCGCTCTGCAGGTCCTCCTGGATCTACTTCTTCAACATAATGGCCGTCTTTTTCGTCATCGTAACATACGCAGAAGCCAAAAGCGCCATCTTCTTTAAAAATTCTGCAGAGCCTAGGCTTGCCGCGCTTGTACTGCCTGTCATAATCTTCATCGACGACGATAAAGTGACAAATATTTTTGCCAGCCTAGTCCTTGGTTCATAACTATTTCCGATCAAATGAATCTTTCAAGTGAAAATTGCTTTAGTAGTGTTTAAAGGGCTTATTTGCTCGATCGAACATTAATTATGAACCAGTAACCTTTATGGTGGCAACAAGTCGCTGATGTGTCTCGTACTCGCAGTTAATACCATTTACTTCAATTATTCTGTCTCCTATTCTGACGCGTAGAGTGAACAGCTTGTTAATGTTATAATAACGCAATTTTCGTTTGAAAATGTGCTATACTTGCGAAAGTACCCTGAGAATCAATGTGATAGAATATCAAAAATAGTGTCCACTCTCCTTAATCCTGCTCGGTCAGCTGGGCCACCACAGTCGACCCATCGGACGACTTGTCCAATACGATTATTATCTATGACAACATAAAGGCCATAATCCTCTTTGTGCGCTTTCACCAATCGGCAATAACGAGGTTTGATATGTGTCTACAAAGAATGCCATTACCGATGTAAAAACTGGTTTAAGAATACCTTATCCTTCTTCGCTTTGCCTTTTCGCACTTTGCCGACTCTTTCGTCGAAGAATTCTTCAGCGAGGGAAGACGTGATTGTAACCGCTTTCTTGCGAAAGTAGCCGTCTGTTTTTGGGTCAACCAAAAGCATTGTCACGGAGAACTCGGCCATGCGTATGCGGCTGACCACTTCTCTCGATTTGAAGGTCTCGATGTTAGTTCCATTCACTTCAATGATTCGATCACCAACTTTTAGCCCGGCACGATCGGCAAGTCCCCTTGGCTGAACTTCTTCGATGTACTCGCCTTTTCTGTCGTCCAAGTACAGCAGATTGAATCCGTAGCCCTCGCTCAAGTCAGACCGTTCCAGTTTTACCAATCTCGGCTTATAGTCGTTCTCGTCGCCAGTGACTCCTTCAACGTTTCTCAAATTGACCGCAACTTTGCACTCCCTATAAATCGCGTCTGCTTTTTCTTCAACCACCAGGATTTTAATTTCGGTTAATGCAGCGTCGATTTTGAATTTGACTTCCTCGATTGTTGAGCCCTGCGCAACAAGACCATTAATCTCGATAATCCGCGCATTCACGGTCAGGCCGGCGTATTCTGCATTCGAATCGGGGTCGATTGCTTGAACTATGACACCTTTACGCTCCTCGTTGTACTCGAGTCCTATCCCAAACGTAGGAATACGAGATTTTTCACTATCCGGAAGACTTTTGGCTTTGGCAGCTGTTCTCCCTCTTGAAATTTGCGGGAGTAGTCTTGGAAAGACTTAATCGACATCGTATCCAGCTGATCTACAAGAGCGGAGCAATCCTCGTCATCGTCGTCGTATTTGCCACCTTTTATCAAGTAAATGACAAAGAGGATCGTGCTGACAAGGGCGACCAACTGGTTAAATATGACGATTGGAGATATAATCCACAGATATGTAATGAACTTTTCTCCTTCTGAGATGAGTGCATTGAAACAGCCATCTTTGTAAAACTCCGGCCGCTGAATAATTCATACATAAATTATGCAACAAAATCAAATTAATTAATTGTCTATAATAAAGACTCTACATGAAATCACTTTTCGATCTTATTTTCAGAGCAAAAACGATGTCTAATTAAAAGGCAAGACAATAAGCGAAAACATTGAATGCTCCGAATCAGAGCATGTTTTAATTTACCTGAATCTCCCCGTCGCGGTTCCCATTTTTGAGAATGCAAGTGGCTCTAAGCTGCTCGGCGTCTTTGGCGGACACGACGTGATATTCCTGAAAATCGGAGTCGGACTGGAGACCGCAGCAGTGGAGAGCTTCTTGAACGTGCTCAACAATCTTCCTGTTCTTTTGCCAAACTGTCGGTGCTTTCGTCTGGTCTAGCCGCATAAAGACCTCTGTGTTGTACCAGTTGCCAAAGGACTGCAGCAAGTCGTCCTTTTTCTGTGCAATAAAGACGAAGATCGAGATTATTTCGCATGTGCATAGAATCGCCATTGTTATCGTGTAAAGACTGAGGAGTACTTTTCAACGGGATCATTTTAGCGATCTCGAGGCTAATCCAACTGTAATACAGTGACGATAATCGTCAAAATCACTTAAAAACCCCATGCCTTCATTTTTCATATTCGCACCGCAGGTGCCTACGAGTGACAGGACGAGAAATAAAATCCCAGAAGCCAGGATCAACGCCAAGGCCACGCGCAAGTCTTGGTATTCGAGAAAGTAATCCTACGTTTTGGACTCAATAAAATCTGTCTCATTGTAGATTTTGACAAATTGTAATCGCCTCGTGTCTGAATCTGTTTTACCGTGACCACTATTAATAATTTAAAGCTGTTTCTTTGGAAGAAAGATAAGTTAGCAAATACATTAACTTCTCAAAACACGGGCGCGCTACTATACCCTCAAAACACGGGGTCCAATAATTGGACCACAATGCATTATCCAGCCCCGCGCGGCGCGCCAAATTCATAGTGTGAAAAATAGCGCTCAGAACTTTTGGCTCTAATTGGCGTTTCCGTTGTGTAAAAAAGATTATAAATATATTGTTAGAGAGCTTGAACCCTCTTCTATAAAAATAAACAATTGAAAATCGAAAAATCCGTTTCGATATTCCACCAGAGAGCGAAAGAGAAATATGGCGCAAAACGCCACCACTTTTGAGTTTTCATTCGAAACTTCACAGAGTGGTTCGTTTTCGTCCTATCAGCTCACATTACAAATTTCAGGTCAAACAGATTACTAAAACGGGAAATACAGGGGGTAAAAGTGGCCGTGGTCCAATGATTGGACCACGTGCCTTGAGAAGTTAAAAATATTGCGTCCGCTCCTTGACTGGACCTTGAATAAATCTCATCCATACTCCGAGTGATAAAATGCCACATCCAACGAACCAGAAGAGTATATTGGAGACGACAACAACTTTGGGAAATTAACTCTTTACACTCTAGCCGTTCCATTGAATTTTTACCTGTTCGAAGCGTTCGTCCCCACTTTCTTTTCCTTCGTGTGAATTGCCACTCACTCATTTTGAAACACTTTCAAAGTTTGACAAATTGGCGTATTTATCGACGCATTCTCTTTTGGATTTCTCGATTCCGCTCGGCTGATAAACCGGTCAGAGAATACAGGATGCAGGAATTATATTTTTCTTTTAGGGGTGACTCCGGGTGGTGGTGCGCCCGCGAGGCAGGCAACCACAACCAAGGTCATCAAGCATTTGCCCTAGAATTTTTACCAGTATCGACATAAGGAGCAAAAATCAAACCAAAATAGTGGAACTTTGATGAAAGAAATATTATCATATTTATCCTTCTTATAAATCAATATTTACAGTTTAAAAAATGTGCAACTTCGAATTTCAGGAGTGGGCTAAATTCTGACTAAAATCTATTATAAATGTCAAAATTAAGTAGTTTAACATAAGATTTTATTTAAAAAACGTATTATTATATAAACATATCAGGAGGAGTGGTTTAAATGCTTATTCAATAATCATTTTATTTAAGGATTTATTAAAGCTTGCACAGGTTTTCTGTAGTGATTATAACTTATTGAGCTTAGCGCGTGATTTTCTCAATAGATGGCGCCCTACAGTTATTCTGTAATTCTCTCTCAGAACAAGCAGGAGGTTAACTTTTTATAAACCGAAAAAAGGAGAGAGCAAGTTTAGAAAAAAAAAACGAGAGAGGAAAAGAAAACCTAGAAAATCATCACAGGATGAAATGGAGTTCGATTTAGGCTCGGATATATAAACCAGTAAGCCACACTCACGCTAGGATAAGCAGCACGAATTGATAGCATTTGGCATGTGTAGTGAGAAAGTTCCCTGCCCCAAATAATTAATACATCCTCGGAAGATCTGTCAACAATCGACCTCGAGCTCAAATTTCGAAACCTGACATTTGACAAGGATTTTTTCGCCGAGTTCCGAACGCCTGAACAAAAAGCCTTCGCTGGGATTTACATAGCCCTGTTTTTCATTGGGATCCTTTCGAATTTACTCGTCGTTCTTGTTCTCGGGCTCAGTCGCGATGGCCTCAAGTCGCCATCTGGTCTTTACGCGTTTCACTTGGCGCTGGCCAACGCTCTTCTGGTTAGAAACTCAATATAAACATACTCTTATCTTTATTGCCCATACATAAATAATATATATTCTAGATCATGTCTCTCCCGTTTGCAGCAGATCAAAAGCTGAATGCCTTTTGGCGCTATGGAACGTTTCTATGCAAATCGTCCGAAGCAATCAAACTAGTCAACTTCTTTGCTTCAATTTTTCTTTTGTTAGGTCATTCAGAAAATTTAAAAGCTTTACTATAGTCCAACCACAGACAATCTTGAATGATGAGATTCATTCGTTTTATATTAATATCAAGAACTCTAATTTCCATCTTTCCATCAGCAATATTTTTCTCAATGACTTGCCAGACGGCCATGGCTTTTGACAGTTTGGGATCCATAAATTCACTTCATTCATTGATGGGTGAATAATCAATCTATGATTATGGAATCCCTGAACAGGTACACCTTGATTTGCAGAAACGGTATTACGATCTTCCGCAAGAGAACATTTCTCCTTATCTCAGGCATTACTCAAAAACTAATGAAATCAGTGACAATAAATTCATTCAATTAGATTCTTACCAGAGTCTGACTCCTGCCTGTAGTAACTATTATTAGTAATCACACCTTAGCATTCCTTTTTGAGTAAAGAAAGTAACTTTCGTGTGGGTCGCGTCTCTTATCGTCGTAATCCCACTGATTATTTATACGGACGAAGTCGAGAAAGGAGGCTCCCAGCAATGCGCGCTTTGTAAGTTGATTTTTATGCCAGAAGCAAAGATTATGAATAGCTTTTCCTGACGCAAATCACCGACAAGGAGCCATGTCTTGCCGCCACCCCCACTCGCAAATATTCCGATGGTACTTGTACAGTGCTTTTTGATTGGATTCGTTATTCCAGGCCCGGGTTTGTTGGCTTGCACCTGCCAAAACAAGATATGGATTTAAAATACTCCAGCAGAAGTTGTTAATGTACATTTCTATTCTGCAACTTTTATAAAAATTTATTATCTCTCGTATAGTTTAATTAAAAAGTGCGATAATCTTTGTTAGATGAGCTTCGTGCGTACCCTAAATTAAGGATTGGGCGATTAGAGCTGCTTAATCCCGGCAGCATTTCTAATGAACTCGGATAAGTCGCCGCCATCTGCTTCTGTTACATGCGCATTCTTCTAACGATGAACCAAGTGCACAAGCGAGCACACTCAAGATCGTTTCAATCTACTTTGCAAAGTGACAAGATCGCTCCCAGGTATTCAAACCATCCCTAACCCTAACCCCAGCCCTAATTCAGCACGACGATAAGCGCAAGAAAACGAGTGACGATTCTCATTATGGTTCTTATCATATCTTTTATCTTCTGCTGGCTCCCATTTCACTTGTGGCACATCGCGAAAATCACCGGAGTTAACGTTAGCAGAACAACCTGCAGGCAAAGTTTGAAAATCTTGATAAAAGTCGTGATCTTTTAAAACATTTCTAAAAACGCCACTTTGCGGTTACAGCTAACGATGTTTCATGGTTAAATATGTTACCATAATATGTACTACCAAAACATTTCTTTCTGAACTCAATTGCACCTTGTTCGTAAGACGGCTCGTTTTTTAATCTTTTAAATATTCTCCAGAAATGTGGTCCACATTATCAAAAAAATTGTTCGTGAATATTTTAAATGCCGTCGAGGAACAGAAGTTGCACGAGCTTTAATTACAATTAGACAAAATAGCCAATTATTTCGAGAAAAGGGTTTGGCTACTCTATCAACCCAGTATTTCATCAATTTCGCTACAAATAGCTTCTGGCATCATGACAACACTCTCAAACGATTTTCAAACAGCAACAGTATAACCACTGACCTCACATTTGTCCTGGCCTACTTTAACGCAGTTCTGAATCCCATTTTATATTCCTTTTTAAGTCACGACTTTCGTAACAGATTTACCCTTACTCGGTAAGACTTTCATTCCGAATTCCTCAAGTAACAATTTCATTAGCCACAAAATCTGCCGTAAATTTCTGCTCCGACTTCAGCTAATTATTCCGACTACGAGCTGCTGCTACCCTTTTCAGGAATTCTTTCAAATTATACTTCGTAGAATATATTATATATAATTTGCTGTAAAATGTGTGGGCTCATACGGATATTTCTCACCTGCGAGACATTCTGGCTAGTCTTTTAATACTTAAATTATACTTTATTACAGCAAAAGGATCCATTTTGAAAGAATAAAGCACCACCAGTCCAAGCCAAGCAAAGCCAACTCTGTTCGTCGTAAAGACGGACCTCTTCCGATGCTCTCCAAGGAAAAGAGCTTTCATCATTTTCGCACGAACACATTTTTGATTAATTTATTTTCTAAATGAAAAAGTTCGATCAGACTCCTACACGCAAGTCGCCTATACCTGAGGACCCTTCACGTTTACTCTCTGAATGTGACATGAATTCTGAATGATAATACAATAAATAATGAAAATATATCTAATTGAGCGCAAATTCTACTTCTCTATTTTTTTTGAGGCCTTGAAAAGTGCAACCTTTGACTTTCGGTGTTTGCTTTGATTGATGATTTGCATAAAAATATTCTTTCAACTAGCGAGCATCGTCCAATTTGTTAGCCTCTTGATGTAATTAATAAACCAGCAAAGAAGCTTCATCACAAAGGCTAAAGCATGTCGAGAAAAATATTTGACAAGCAGCTAAACAAATAAATTTTGTTCACCGATCAGGTGGAGCACTGAAACAATCTTCGTGGGACCCGGAGTCCGATGAGCATCCTCACTTCGAAAAGTGATTTCTAAAGAGTTCGCGTCCCGCAGAGATTAATTAAAATATCGTGTGGAACTCTTGTATAACCCTAGTTGCAGGTACTTGCTTTCGCATAGCATGATAAAGTGTACTTGGTGCTTGGGTTGTACAGTTTCTATATCTTCGACCATGAGTGATGTGAAAGAGACATGAGATCACTCATCTTAGGCGCCTTCAAATAACTTTAAATAATTCGTGGTTTGTACTAGAGGATTAATCAGAAGAATATTTTTTTATATTGAAGCATGGCCATCAGTATTGACTCTTTTTGAAAATCCGCTGAAATTTTCTGATTCTACAATGTTTCAAAAATAATCATCAGTAGAGGATCTCCCGCGTTTTCAAAGCAAAGAAAAATTCCCAAAGCTCCAGCGGCAAGGACTCTTGAAATTTCAACTTGCCACATCCCCATTTCCCGTGAACGAGACAGATAACTCTTAAAATTAGTAAGAGTAGATCTTATTAACTTAGTTTTTGCACCACCGCCTCACGATCCATCATCGTCTCTACTACTACTCGCCCTACTTACTACCCTACTTGCCGTTGAGGAGTTATCAGCTTTCGAGCATAAGTCGGGCCACTCGTGCTCAGCAACTCCCTCTACATCCACTTTACTAGCGCGCGCGAAAACGAACATTCCCAAAAAAAACGAAAATAAAATTCGAATTGAAAATTCCATGATTCCAAGCTTTTTCGAGGCCAAAAAGCCCAATCGTGGTCCCAAGTCAGGGGATAAAGAAAAATGGAGTTTATGATAAGAGCGCCAGCCGAACGGAATTATCCGCGATAAGAGAAATAAATCTGCTAGAAAACTGAATGATGCGGCATTCTTTGAGATCGCTTATGACAGTCAGAAGCAATTTTGTGTTTTGCATTATTTCTCTTCTTGCTTTCATCCAGCTCACGAGAATACTCGTTTATTCACCACAAAACGAAAAAGACTACTTGCACAGTGAAAATTACGAAAATGAGAGTTTCGTGATTCCTATTTTGCTTTATGGACCGAATAATCAAATAGAAGGCTTACGTGAGGCTTTATTTATCGCAGAAACAATCAAGAAAAAGGTAAGTCCCTGACTTGTTGTTGCTGTAAATTTGTTCGTTCAACTCGTCAAATGATTTAGAAAGAATTAATTCAGCGGGTTGACTTGAGTTTATTTGCCACCATCAACTTAACCTACCGGTGGGTTAGAAATAACTTGTCAACAAATAAAGAGACGTCCAGGGATGAATTTTTCCTGAGAAAAAAATGATTCTTCATTTGAGAATTTCCAGTCAATTTTAGATAGGATTCATTAACAAAAAACTTTAGGGTGATTCAGCGTTACAATTTGTTATTTCCGAAGGGGGTCCTCATGTTATTCCGTGTTTTGTAGAACTCCAAGATAAAACACGACTCGCCGCTAATTTCATGGAGCGTGTAACATGCCCATCCTGGTTCCGCATATTTTGGTGGTATGCTGTCACCTGGGAACCAGGTTCCCAGATTAGAAAATTTTACCAATCAGGGAACCCGGTTCCAAGATTAGATTTTTTTTCTAATCTGGGAACAAAAGTTCCAAGATTGGAAAAATTTTCGAATCTGGGAACCAATTTCCCAGTTGACAACGACGGCCAGTAAAGCGAATCTTGGAACCTTTTCTTTGCAAAAATATGATTTTTTCCCGTTTTGACACTGTCAAACCTGAGATTTACTGTAAGACAGGCTAGGGTCGGACTTCCTTCCTTATTTTTTTGCTTACTAAGGGTCCTTTCCTTAGTAAGGTAAGGATTTTTTCCTTACCCTTTTTCGGATTTCGGCTGAAAAAAATCCTTACCATAGTTCCTTTCTTAGTTTTCAGAGATCCTTAGTAAGGATCTTCAAACCTTAGCGATTTTTCCTTAATTCCTTTCCTTACTAAGGATTTTAAAAAGGATTTTTTCGACGGCCTACGCATTTCAAGAACGCTTTTATAAAAAAGCCTTTACAAAAGCCTTAGTAAGGAAATGAATTAAGGACAAGTTATGAAGGAATTTGATAAAAATGTCTCAACTTACTGACAGCAAGATAAATACCCAATCGTTCTTAATAAAGGGTCGTTGACTAAAATAACTGGCATTTTTATCAATAAGAACATTTTTGCAAAACGAACTACATCAAATCCTTACTAAGGTTACTAAGGCCTTAGTAAGGAAGGCCCTTAGTCCTTCCTTAGGCCTTTCTTGATTTTCATCAGTTTCAAAACCCTTACCCTTAGTTACTAAGGAAACCTTAGTAAGGGGTCCGACCCTAGAGACAGGCGCGGAGCGCACTCCCGCTCATTGACTGTTAGGTTTGTAAGGTTAATATTGTTCTTAAGTTTAATTCATTTGGAGATTTGTTCAATTCGAAATTAGAGTTAAACACTAATAAGGGTCACTCGGCAAAAACACAGAACAGTTTAACGCGAGGGGCGGATTTTCCAAGGTAAAAGTAACAGGGTTCTTCATTTAATCATGGTCATAATTAGCCAATTTTGTGCGAAATTCACTACAAATAATAACATAAAAAGAGATTGTGCATCTAGAATCAGCACAATCAGTGAAATAATGAGGTTCCAAGATTCGCGACCGACTTTGGGGCAGGCCGTCGTTGTCACCTGGGAACTTGGTTCCAAGATTCGAAAATTTTTCAATCTAGGAACTAAAGTTCCCAGATTAGAAATAAAATCGAATCTTGGAACCAGGTTCCCAGATTGGCAAAATTTTCTAATCATGGAACCTGGTTCCCAGGTGACAACTTACGACCGCATATTTTGGCGACTCTAAAACCATCCTGAAACACCTATTCTAGTTTCAACGTAAATTGGAAAGTTTCCAATTTTGGTATTTTATCTTTCGCTCTTGATCTTCGGGGTAGTAGCGAAAATGTAACGGCAAAGTGACTCTGGGCTAAAACTTTTGGGTGCACGGAAAGTCAGCACGAAATTTGCGAAATCAATTTTTATGTTAAGCTCATCCTGCCTGCATTTTTCGATCACTACACAGCCGACACTTCTAGAGGTTTACTCAGTCCAGATGACGTTATCGATACTTTCGCACTAGAAAGACATTTCCATGTTGTTCGTGAGTATTTATTCTTGCCCAATGGCGGAATCAGCGCAATCACATTAAGATGCTGGGCACAAATTGAGCGACTTGTGCGATGGAAAATTGGAAGTAGTTGTTGATTTTTCTGCCGGTGACTTCCCGAAATACAGGAAGAAAAGTTTGGACTGGCTCGGGATTTCGGATGATCAAATTAAGAAGGCGAGGAGGTTCACGTTCACGTCAAAAAACTTGAGCCTACCGAAATTTGCGCAGGCTGTGCGTCAAAGTATTTCACGCTTCAGCAACGCAAAGTGCATTATTCTCGAAAATCCTTTTTACCTAATCAACTGGAAAGAGTTTTCTCAAGATGTTAACCAAATTAATTCGAGCGAATACGAACTTGGGAAAGAAATTGTCAGGTTAGTATTTGAATAAGTTGCATCCACGAATCCCGAGTAGTAGTCTGCACCGCGATAACCGGAGTAAAAGAAAACATGGCGGGATAATCTTTTTTCTAGTGCGACCAGTCGGCCGCTGAAGCTAAAACAAAGTGCCGTTGACATATTGAAAGGGATGAGAATAGACAAATTTGGTGCACTTCACTGGAGATACGACGCGAAGGATTTCATGAAAGTCCGAAAGGATTACGAAAAGGTCATTCAGAAAATTCGGGAGATTCGCGTTAATCCCCAGCTTTTCTGTCAGTCTCTGAAGGTAATCATAAGTTTCGACAGTGGCAATTTTTACTTTGGCTTTAGGAGCATCTAAAATCGGCAGAAATTCGCGTCCTGATAATATTCACGCCGCCTTCTGATGAAGAATTCGCAAGCGTTCTAAAAGACTCTTCATCCTCTGAAAGTGTACACCGACGAGGATATCATCAAATTTATTAAAGACAAGACGCTGGATGATCTGGAGCCATTTGAGTACTCGCTGCTCAGCCAAGAATTGTCATTTCTCTCGGACACGTTTATTTTCTCGACAATGTCTACGTGGAGTCGTAACGTTCTTGTGGAAAGAACAACGAACGGAGTTTTATCTAACAAGCTTAATCTGGACTTTGTAATTACCGAAGACAATGATAGTGATGACGCAAGGAAGGATTTCTCGAAAACTGAAGAAATTCAAAAAACGTTTGAAAAAAGAGTTGAAATAATGCGAAAATCGTGCTCAGGAACGGATCGTAATCTTTGCCAAACAACCTCTGCAGAATCTTCTTGATAATATTTTTCAAATAGTTGGAATTCCTAAAATATGCTAATATTTTTATCCCTTAAAAGTACTTCCTGAGCTTGAAGCGCTCGCACAAAATGAGACAAAAACGTTTGAGGATCTCATCTTTTTCCATCGCCGGATTCACGATACAAATTTTGTGTCCTCTGTCTCTAAAAACGTTCATCACTGTTCTTCAAATGTCAATCGGAAATCGCACGTTTTCGATATCACAAGCCCTTTGAATCTGATGATTTGTCTTCCTCCAAAGTGTGGTTAGTAAGATGCGGAGAGATCCACGTAGCTACAGCTGCTTTTCTTATAACTTTTTAACATATTATCCTAGGGACGACTAATTGGCAAAGAGCGATGTCAGCTGTGTATCTGAACCACACTCAGAAAAACTATAACCCGAAAGAGCTACTTGGTCATAGCATGTATAAAATTCTGCCGCGAGTAGACCTTGAAAAGCTGAGAAAAGCGACCGAGACGAGATCAAGCAAGTTCAAAGAAAATAGATTCCGAATAGCAAATGTTCGAAACCCTTTTTCTCGACTATACTCTGCGTGGGGAGACAAGCAAAGAGTGACTTCGAGCTACCTTTCGTACTGGCGCGGCGTGAAGCCTTTTCAAGAAGCATTGGGAAACCCGCCGCAAGGAATGAATAACTCTTTCACCGCTTTTGCGCAGTATGTTGCGGCTAATCCCGGAAACAGCAAAATGAACTTCCACTGGACTTCCACTTTCTCGCAATGCCACCCATGCGCAATAGACTACAACATCATCACGCACCTTGAGAACAGCGGAGAAGAGTCTGAGGTTATCATGAAAATGTTCGGTTTGGGCGAGGATGTGAAACTGGGAGAGAAATACGCTTGGTCTCCAGCCAAAGCAGATGAGTTAAAATGGCAGAGTGTCCCTCGAGGAACTGCGAAAAAATCTACCGCCACTATTACCTGGATTTCGTCTTGTTCGGTTACTCGCCAGATGAAGTCATGAAATTCATAAACGCAACAGACGAAACGAAAGATGATGCTACTTTCGAACAAGAAAAGGCATCGCGCGATTCGATGCAAAGTCTTATGAGACGTTTTTATGAGAAGTATACAGATGTTATTTGCACTGTTCCTTATAAATAGTATTTATTAATTTTTACTAATGTTCACACAATGTACATTGTTCATTTAAAATTTCTTCATTATAAAACTCAATTTAGAATAATAAATTTAGAGAAAAATATTTTTATCAAAATTTGGCTGTTTATTAACAGATGAGAAAGGTTTGTGAGCGTGCGATCGAGGTATGTACAGCTTCAGAGGTGGTTTTTACAAAATATTTGATTTGGTTTTGATCCTCACGATATCAAATAAAGTTAGAGAACTATCTGAGATAGTCTATCTCCTTTTGGGGAATCCAAATACATCTAAGATAGCGCTCATCCAGCTCGTTGTTTTTTCGCTTGGTGCTCCAAAGAGACCCTCAACGCGGAAGTCTGAGATTGCGTGCCCTAGGAAATCTTCTACCATCGATGCTTCCATTTTGTGGCACTTGTGGTGGACATTCCAGTTGACCATGGTAACTGGGATTTCCCTAAAAGATGTAATTATATAAGTCCATTTACGACTGAGCCTTACTTTCCACTAGGAAGAACAATTCCTCCCGATTTGCTCATGTGGTAGTTAATTTCTCCGTGCATTGTCGAGCCAAGTACCCCTGTGAGTCTTTCTTTGAGACCACTTCCTCTCTCAACGTTCAGGGAAGCAGACTTCTTCGCTCGCTTGTACTCGACATTAAATCGAATGTCGCCTGAATGTCCGATAGAGACGAGCACGCCCCGATGCGGATTTTTGCCCTTCTCAGCTGGATGAACTTCGATGTGGACATCGTCCATTCCATATTCCGCATCCCGATCGTAATAGAATCGTTGGTAAACCTGAAATAAGTTTTAAGAATGTTTTTATTAAATATTGAATTTTACCTGTCCTTCTCGACCAATTGTGACTTGATCAACGTAAACAGCCACCTGAACTCCACCAGGGGAAACTATGCCAACAGTTTCAAGTCGGCAAACTTTTCCTTTAGTTCCTTCTTCAAAGACCTTGAAAGAATAATGCTAGCAAGAATTATTTGTAAATGAGTACCTGTCCGTTGACTTGAACTCCCTCTGGTCCCTCAGAGATAAGGGATAAAACTGACTCATTATCATCAGAGACATCGAAACAAACCGGCTCCTCGTGTGGTGCCGAGACCTATAATGAAATATTTTCAGATAAATATGGCCCATATCATATATATTATATGGGGGTCGCATTTTGACTTCAACACCAAGTGCGTTCACACCAATTATTTGTCGCGAGCAATTTAAATTAAATGCAAAAGATTCATTAGTCTTGGTGCGATTGAGGTCAGTATCGAGGTCAATTGGTGCAATAGATTATAACTGAACAAGACAATTTAATCTTACCCGAATATGAGGATCTCCTTCGATAGCTGGCTGAGCCGTAGTTGTTGGCAGTTCTAAATACGATTAACTTTTAGATTTATGTTTTATACACACGGAAGCAAGAATGAGATCCAGGGAAATTCAAACAGAACTCATCTGCCAAGCAGTTGTGAGTTCCACTTGAACATTCATCGATATCGAGGCACTGTCGTGTCGTTGGATCTTCCATCATTCCAAGTGGGCATTGACAAGTGTAACTGCCATCTGTATTTAAGCAAATTGCTGTTGGATCACACTGAGCGCCATCGACAGTTTGTGTAGTATTATCAAAGTTTTCAGCCTAAAATTCTAAGTAAAGATTGAAAATCGATTTAAATATCACTTGTCGTCTTCTTCGTGATGCAGCAGCAATAGCACATTCATCAGCGTCCTCGCAAAAATTGACTCCGTCTCCTTCATAACCCGTCGGGCACTGACATCTGTAGCTACCTTCAAGATCAACGCAAGTGGCTGATGCTAGGCAGAGATGGGCACCTGCGCACTCATTAATGTTCTGACATATAGGAAATTGGGTTGGATCTGTTTGGACATTCTCGAAACCCTCATCACAAGCGCAGGAAGCTCCTCCGGGAATATTGGTGCACGCACTATTGACAGGACAATCAACGCCAGTTTGGATAACGCACTAATTTAGAGTTCATATTCAATTAATTCATGTTTAATTTAACCTCATTTCTGTCTCCACACTCGTAGACGGTTGCTAAAATTTTCTTAATTTTGTTCATCAAAATTTTATACCTTCTGCAGTTACTACTTGTCCTTCGACTGTGTCAAGAGCAAGAGGAGTGACAACAACGTTGCCATCAAATCCATCCGGACAGAAGCACTGATATCCTCCCTCGAAGTTGACACAGAGGTCAGTTCCATTTGGTGATTGCGGGAAAGGACAAAGGCCCAAATCACATTCATTTTTGTCGACACAGTTTCCGAACCCGTCATCAGCATATTCCGGTTTGCAATAGCAAAGGTGGCTTCCATAAGTATTGACACAGATAGATGTTGTCAAATTACAACTGCTGATTCCAAGAGTACATTCGTCTACGTCATCGCAGGTTGAGTCACCAAGTGGATTTGCGAACGAGAAAAGACCTGTTCCGTTCGACTGAACCAATCCATTTGCGCAATAACATTCAAAACCTGGGTCGGTATTGGTGCACTCAGCCCCTGCAGTGCATGGAACCTCGTTACACTCATTAATATCCTCGCAGAAGTTTATGTCGGGAATGTATTGATAGCCATCTTGACAAGTACAAATATATCCATTCTGGTCTGGAGGCAAGTCAGTGCAAATACCACCAACGACGGGACAGGGAGTGTCAAGGCACTCATTCTTTGGTTGACAGTCGCCAGTTGTCCCTGTTCCGTTTACGCTGTCATAACCGGTTCTGCACTGGCAGCTGTATGAGCCAGGAGAATTTATACAATTTGCTCCATCATCACATCCAGTATCTGGAAGAACCCTGCACTCGTCAATGTCTTCGCAGATAAATCCGTTGCCTGAGTAACCCGTAGGACAAGCACAAGTGAAAGAACCTGGATTATTTGTACACGTAGCCTCGGCAGCGCAAGGATCAGGTGAAGTAGCACACTCATCAATATCTTCACATGTATCTGGGTCGGGTCCCTGGTATCCGTCTTCACATCCGCAGGAATAACTTCCTACAGTATTAGTACAAAGAGCATTGTCTGTGCAAACGGAGGGTGTAATGTCACATTCGTCGATGTCCGTACAGGCAAGACCTGGAATAAGCGCAGCAAGTGTTTGGCCATCGGGAGTAAGAACGTCGGTATATCCAGTGAGACAAGTACAAGTGAAGCCGGTCTGACCAGGTTCTTTCGTACATTCCGCTCGTGGATCACAGTTATGCGAGTTATCAGCGCATTCGTCAGGAATAGTACATGTTAATCCATCGCCGACAAAGCCAGCATTACAGGCACAAGAAAATCTATCTGGTGGGACAAGATTCGTGCAAGTGGCATTTTGATGACAGTTATTGTCAGCCGGATTCAAGCATTCATCGATGTCGAAACAATCTCCTGATCTGGCAGGAGGAGTTCCAAGGCTATAGTAGCCATCAATACAAGCACATTCAAAGCTTCCTTCAGTGTCAGTACACTCAGCAAGTGGGTCGCAATTATGGAGGTTGTCAGTGCACTCATTTACAGTTGTACAATTTCCGATTTCTCCATTTCCAGAGAAACCAGGATCACAAGTACAAGTGTAGCTTCCTGGAGGATAGTTCGTGCATGTAGCATCAGCATCACATGGACCCGGAGTAGCGGCGCATTCATCGATTTCGTCGCATGATGCTCCTGCTGGAGATCCGGTGGCATCGTAACCATCCGGACAAGTGCATGTGTAACTTAAATTAACGTCAATTGTTAATGTAGATAGTGATCAGGTACCTCGCGTCGGTGTTTTGGCAATCCGCAAGCGAATCGCAGTCGTTTGAAGCATCATCAGCACATTCGTTGATATCAGAACAGAATTGCCCGTCTCCAGAGTAACCAGTAATACAAGTGCAGGTATAAGATCCTACATCGTTAGCGCAATCTGCGTCTTCGTGACAGACACCAACAACTTCCGTGCACTCATCAATATCTACGCATTCTTGAGCAGGGAGAGGTGCAGTCTCTTTATAACCAGTGGCACATTCACATTCAAAACTTCCAACATTGTTGGTGCAAACAGCATCTGCGTGGCAAGGATTCGACGCGCACTCATCTACATCGGAACAACCTTCTCCCATAGGGTCAACGCTGCTCAATGCGTTTCCAGTGTATCCCTCAGGGCATTCGCATGTGTAGCCACCATTTTCGTTGACGCAGATTCCAGCAATATCCGAGAGAATCGGTCGTATAATTCCTGTGTCGCAGTTATTATCACGGGGATCATTACATTCCTGAATATCAAGACATGTTTTGCCGTCGCCTTCATATCCAGGATTACAAGCGCAAGTGAAACTTCCATCGGTATTAGTGCAAGTCGCATTTCCATCGCAGTCGTTGAAATCATCTGTGAGACACTCATCGAGATCAATACAGTCAGAGAGGTCAGTTCCATCGTAGAACTCATTTTTATCTCCATTCAATGTGTAACCTAGGTTACAAGTGCAGATATAGTTTCCATTTGTGTTGATACAGGTAGATTCCTCGTCGCATGCATTTGTCGTGCTATTGTCGCATTCGTTGATGTCAAAACATGCATTGTAAGCTTCGCCCGCGAAACCATCCGAGCAGTTACAGTAATATCCGATAAGTCGCTCAATAAGATCATCGCCCCAAATAGTATGAAGTCCTACTAAGTTGGTACAGTCGGCGTTTATACCACAAGGTGCGTCTTTTTCGCATTCATTGCGATCTTCACAGCAAGTGCCAGAAATTTCTTGGAAAGGATTCGCGCAATTATCGTAACCGGGGTTACAATTGCAGATGTAGCTTGGGTCCAAATTTTGACAGACAGAATTTGGATCGCATCCGTTCCACGTGGCGTTGCTGCACTCATCCTTGTCTTCGCAAACATAATTGTCAGTATTAATGTATTCAAGGTCATTATGGCAGTCGCAAAAGAAGCTTCCATCGTTATCGATACAGTCTGAGTTGACTGGACAAAGATTGAGGACTGGATCTTCACATTCATTGATATTGCCGCAGCAATTGGAGATTCCAGCGGCTGCTGTTTCTGCAGAGCACAGATTGGCGTCTGTGGCGAATCCATCAGCTGTTGCGTTTCCGATGCATGCGTTGCAGGCGGGATCAGTGGTGTATCCAACTTCACAGCCACAGTGGAAGCTTCCATCAGTGTTGACGCACATCGTGACAGCAGAGCATGTTACATTGCCCCAATCGCACTCATTAACATCTTCACACGAAACGACGTCGTAGTAGTTGACTCCGTTCGCGTCGGTCGTATTTTGTGTCATATTATACACAGGAACGTAGCCATTAGAGCAAACGCATTCATACGGTCGTCCAGTGGTGACTATATCCAGATTGCTGCACTCAGAATTGGCGGGACAAGTAAATTCATTCACAAAACATTCATCGAGATCAATACACATGTCACCCTGGTTTGGATCGTAGAGTCCACTATCGTCATGAACATAACTTGGATCTGATGGGTCACTTCCAACTGGCCAAACCCAGAAATTGTTATCTGGAGAAGGTTCTCGTCCATTTGGATTCAATGCGTCAGTAACAGAAGCTTTTTCTGGATTCCACTGATATCCAGGATCGCAAATACAGGCATACGATCCAATTGTATCCTCGCAATGCATATTGTCCCCGGTGCAGACATGATTGGTTACATTACACTCGTTGATGTTGCAAGGCTCCTGAGTAATTGCAGGCATACACATTCGAAGGACTGTGTCAAATTTTTCGTTAATTGCACAAGTACCATTGACGATTTCACCCCCCTCACACTTTTGCCAGTTTGTGCAGGGATCTGGTGCTGCTGACCAGGCATCTGTTGTAATCTTAGTGAGTTCGTCGTAGTCTGGATGATTCATAGGAATATTTCCGAAACGGCAATTCTGGGTTTCACGGAAATCTACTTCACACATGACGGACTTTGCTCGACCACAATCACGTTCCATCCATTGCAATTTGTGAGGCGCGGTAGGATCTTGGTCGTCAACGTCGTATCTTATAGCGATGCAAATGGGGTCTGTGCCCAATTCATCGTAATCAAGAATGATATCTGATCCGCCATTAATATGGCTATTATCGATGGTGATGATAGTTTGCTGAGGGCTTACTATATTGATATCATCAAGAGCACGTCTCTTTCTGCCATCAATACCAGTTCCAATAAGACCCCAGTAGTGATAATCGAGATTCATCAATGTACCATTAACAAGTTGGTATTTATTGTTTGTAGGGTCAAAGTTGTAACCGATCCAAATTAGTTCATTACCCCAGGTGGCAGTTGTGAGACCTTCTTGGACGATCGGACAATCATCTGTTCCAAGTGTACCGGGAGTATCTCCGTTCTCGTCACGGCAGTACCGTGAGTTGTTTCTATTGAACCGATATTCCCAGATAGACTGAATGAAATCGTACATATATTGATCCTGAACTGCGCTGTACGGGGTTGCGATTTCGCCTCCATATTCACGGCACTTGCAGACTGCTCGGGTCCAGTTCATGCCTCGATGAACGTTGCAGCAGGTATCACTGGCAGTGCAGTCACCAGGTGTTCCATGACATTCGGGAGAGAACTCGTGGTAACCAGTATCGGGGAAAGGATCGGGTTGCACGAGGGGATCAGTATCTAAGCAACTGTCAAGTCCCATCGGCTGCTGAGTCAGATCGTTAGGCCAGTCACTGTTGCAATGCTCCTCTGGATTTTGCATGTAATCGAGATAAAACATAAAAACTCCATCGGCTTCAACGTACTCGATCTCTGGATCAATAGTATCACTGAATCCTGTAATTGTGTCGCCATTAGTGTCGTAGTTAACGAAAACCTCTCTGTTCGTCGCCGAGTCATCAACGGGACCAGGGAAAGAGACGAGAGGATCTCGAACTCGCCCGCGGTGTCCAGCACCAGAGAGATCCAGATTCTTTCCAAATGTGGCGGCTGGCAATTGCTCGATGGGGATTTTCACCGTTGTAGTCGTGCTCGTCGTAGGTGGCAGAGACGTAGTCGCCTCTGGAGTAGTGGTCGTTGGCAATTCTGTGCTGGTGGTTTCTTCGAAAATCATTCGAGAGAGTGACTGATTGGGGGAGCAAGCGACCATGTAGCGCTTTTCGCAAGTTGTATCGCCAATGATTCCAGAGCTGGTAGCGATATAGCCACATGCTTCTTGTGCTCTCTCATTAGGCTGAATACGTCCCCACGAGACATCTGCGCGTTCGGCGACTTCTCCATGAATCCATCGCCAGGGTCCTGCAGCCGCATTGTTCGACTTGAGCCCGATCCAAGTATAAGTTCCGGCGATGGTCTGAAGACGTGCTGCTTCGAAGGCACTGTTCACCGTCGCTAATTGTAGACCATTTTCGGCGCAAAGGAGTGCTGCGTCTTCCCAAGTCGATCTCTTACGAAAAACGGTAAACTCTTGCCCTTTAATTGTGACATCTTTTCTGCTGGAATTTTGCGCGGCGTTTTTGCCGATTAGTATCGTCAAAAACAGCAAGAGCGAGTTCGTCGCCATCGTTGTCCAACTTTTGTTCGTTGATCAACCGGCTGAAGCTTTCGCTCTCTCTGATTTTTATGTGAATGAATCTTTACGATTGCCAGTGAAATAAATTGGGGAAAGGAAAATCATTTTCTTAATGCCACTGAATACATATTCAGATCGAACGTCCAGTTTTCAACGAATCTGCTGCAGAAAAATCATAATTCCATCTAATGGAGCAAATGTCAATCGCAAAAATGTCAGGTTCAAATAATGCGGCCACTTCTTACTCATATTATTCCCGGTTATATCATCAATATCAAGGTCAGTTTAAGCATATCAAATTTTAATGTATTCGTGTTATTCTGACTTTATTTTTAAATCTAATTGGTCAATTCAAAAATGTCGTGGTTTTGAGTGAGAGAAGCAGGTGTAGCAAATAGGCTTCGTTTCCTTCTGCGAATCAAAGTAAAAATTATAAGATGGGAAAGAGCGTTTTGAGAACCAGGGAGACTGACATTTCGTCGAAGACGGCTACAGTTCGAAACAGGTAAAATCCATTTCTAAACGATGAAAGCGAGGCTTTTTTCGCATTAAACCCCCATGAAAAATCTGTAGGAAAGTGGAAACGATTTCACGCGTCGAGTGTCTCAAACCAAAAGGTTGAAGAAAGTTGCATGTGCGAGGGACCGACTCACAGCCCTTGCGCATTTATCTTTCTTCTACTCTTAGTAAGCTCAAATTTTCTTCTTTTGCTTCTCTATCTCAGCTTTACTAATTTCTTTCTGTGACACTGAAAAGTGCTCCTTAGTGCCTCATTCGTTCTCGTGCCCTCACGTGGTGCAAAAGCGCCAACTTCTTTCTGCATTTTTGTTTCTCTTAGAAAGTTTAGAACCTTCTCGCCAGTTCGTCCTCGTTCCGTGACCATGAAGAGCGATCAAAAGCTAAGGTAAGCTCTGAAAAATCGAATCGAAAATGTCAATTTACTCGAAATTCAAGAGTTGTGCCGCCAGTTCCTCGTCCGCGATCAACTACCTTCTCATTGGAGGAGTTTCACCGCGTAACAGGTGATCTTTGATCCAATCACAGGCGGAATTCCTAGCGCAGGTCTTCCGTCTAGTAGACCTACAGTCTATCAGACATTAATGAGTACTTGTTCAGCGGAGATCCGGTTAGAAAGTGAGGAAAAGCGCGAAGCTAACGAACATGATGCGCGACGCGAGTCAGACAGCGCCGCTAGAATGATCGAAAAGAAAAACCGAAGGATGAAGAAGTTTGAGCAGGCCTTTGCGAGGGAATTCAAATGATCTAAATAGCTGAGTTCGTTTGAGATTTTCATTTCCAAAAATTCAAATCCCCTAAAAAGATGAAATCTTAAACAAAGTGAATGCCCGTCCTCTTTCATTTGCAGACGAGTATTTGGATGAGTCCGAGTTCTACAAGAAGATGGGAAGATCAAAAGTATATCGCCGCTTTCGCGAAGAGAAAGTAATCCGAGATACGGTCATCCGAATGTCTGACTTCGTGCTTCTTAAGAATCTCAGGAAGTTCTTTCATCGTTCTTTCTCCTTAACATTTGTATGGTTTTCGTGAAATAATCGATGTTGAATATTTTAGTCTACTCGTGTCTTTCTGGAGAAACAGCTGATCAAAGCTCTTCTATCGACGGAGTCAAACAACAACCAACCAGCATCAAGATCGATCATGTAAGTTTAGGTTCGACATTTGATTTTGTTATGTCATATTCTAGCGTGTGCTGAGACCTTTCCGGATAAGAAAACTTCACATCTTATTATTGCGAGCCTACTTTTCACTACCCTCTTCACTGAATTTTTCAAAATATGACCTAATAAAAAATTACACAAAGATTGTTCTTAACTTTTTTCTTTTATTCGAGCATATGCGGTGCATAATAATTGCTTGTTTGGTTCATACTGGCACGTCTTTCTGCGTTTGTAAGCTTCTCTCTTAGATGTCGATTTTCCATGCGAAGCTTTGTGATCATGTATTCGGCTTTCTTTACCAGCTCTTTGTATCTTGCGAAGTTAGTGAGTTTTAATAATTAATGCCTGGGAGAACCTTTGAAGACAGTTTTCCAGGTGATCATCAAAATCCAATCGTGGGACATTTTGATTGCACGAGTTGCACACACTGTCAGGTCCTCTCGAACAGCTGCTGATGTGGTTAATATGCGCTTCGTATGTGTTTGATTCTGAAACATTATGATCTCATAAAGTTTGACTATTATAAAAATTTCAGAGTTTAAAATTCATTTTACCTGGGCACTCTGGAAAAGGACACTTCATTTCGACAGTGGACAAATGCTCCAAGATAAAAGGATGTGCTTTTGTTAATCTTTTGATGTCGAGATTTTCCCTGCAAATTGGGCAGCTATTCCCCTTGTTACCAGATACAGCCAAAATACATTTCTTAAAGCTTGATTTGCCTAATACTTAAATTTTAAAAGGCAGACCTTGCAAAAAACCTGTCTGCAACATGCAACTTCCACCGGTTCTTCATATATCTCCAAACACACTGAGCATGTTATTCTCTTGATCTGTTCTTCTGTAAGATTTTCGATTTTCCCTTGGATGCCCATTATTCGTGCTTGATTTTTTTGAATACGCGACAATGTGTAATCCGTCTTTGTTGGTTCAAGGAAAAAAACGAACAAAAATTTGTAATATGACTAAACTTTGTAAATGCTCAATGCTGTGATTTGGCTTTGATGCTCGAATACTTCGTATAGCGAAATCAATCCGTGAGTTGCTCTGGCATAAAAGAATAAACTCGTTTGTAAATAAGTGTCTGTTTAGTTGTGCTTTGATTGAAAATCAGTTGAATTCAGTTTATACACTTTTACTTGCTGTACTGCGATCACCGTAGGGTCGGCCAAGAAGTAAATAAATTCGAAGTAAAAAAACAGTAGAAATAAATTATGCTATCAAAGCAAAATTCTAGAGTAGGAAGGAAACAGGCAGTGTTGAGGATGAAGCGTTCCGCAGGCGGCGGCAGGGTCGTCTGAGTCTATTTTCTCACTGAGTTTGCGGCGCATGGTTCGAGCTTTCCGAGTTGGGAGAGCGATGTACCGAGCACGGAGAGTCGATGAAACGCATTTCCGTGTCTACAGTCAGCGTTGTTGCGGTCGTCGCGCTGCTCTTGTCCGCTCGGTTTCCCACCGACGATCCTCGATCTTCGCTGTAGCCATCAAGGATCATAGCTCTCCGTGCCCTTATAAAAATCATTTAGAAAAGACTCTCCAGAGTTTTACTCACGCGAGGTAGATTGTGTCGAGAGAGGTATTTGAGCCAGACTGTCTGGTATCGTCGTAAGGGGGAGAAGATGATCCCTCGTGGTCTTCTATTGAATCTATCCTTATTCCTCCAAGAAGCTTATCGCGCCGTCGGTCAATCATCTTGTGACGAGGATGAGTCGGACCGTCCGAATCAGAAGATTCCTCATAGATCACATGGCTTATCTCGTCGAAAGCGCGTTGAGAAACCAGCCGCTCTTTTCGATTTTTAATAACGACCTCAAGTTTCTTTGGTGGAGTGTCAGGCATCATATGGGCAGCTTCGGGCTTGCAAATTTCGTATAAGTGGCCTTGGGAGCGCGAAGATGTAACTTTTGATGACTCCGACTGACTCATTAGAGTTGTTTCTTCCGTCGGTTCTGTGAATCTACTGGTTTCATCAACTTCTTCCACGGTTATTTGAGGTATCGAAGATGCTCCGCCTCCTGGAGAACTTGAGCGTTTTTCACTCTTAGAAGAATTGGCCGCGTTTGATGACTGTGCAACATCTCGCACATCGTTTTCACCAACGCGCTTTGCCGGTGCATCTGGGTCTTCTATGTCTCCAGCTGATGAGTTCGACTCTTCCAAATGTTTCATCAGGACAGCAACGACAACGTTTACCAGAACAAACTAGCCATTTTTAACAAAAGAACGAAGAGACGGAATTACCTGAGCCATCATGACAAAGATAACGAAATAGATTGGCGCAATGTATCCTGAAACGCAACAGTTTTCAGTGCAAACTGTATCATCATTGCATTCTCCCAAACTTGGGTCTCGCAATGCGTCCTAAATTGCTTTTAATGAAGTGAATTACAACAAAATTTAGTTAAAAAGGAGTTCATTTTCTAATACAAAAAGGTGTATGACGACAGTTAGGCTACACATATAAGACGAAGATGTCTCACATTAGGATCACAAGCCGATTCTGAAGCATTAAAAGCGTCGCCACAGCGCATAAGCGCATCCTGGATATGCCAATTAAATCCATCGCATAATAAAATTAAAAGTAAATACCTTCATGATTCCATTCCAATTGTCGCCGGTAGACACGCGGAAAAGTGTGAGCCAGGCAATACCGAAATTTGCAAAAGAAGCATGTCGTCCGAGACCCTCACACGGGTTGTCCTCATCGCATACTAAAACATCGATATAGATAGTTTTAAAAATCGACTTACCTATAGTTCCAAAAAGCTCAACACCGAGAGCGGCGAAAATAAAGAAGAGGAGGAGAAAGAGGAGACCAAGGTTACCGACTTGTGGAAGCGCATGAGCGACAGTCTCGAGAAGCCTCCGTACTCCTTTGGCAGTTTTCAGCAGCTTTAGCACACGAGCAATCCGAAGAACTCTCATAACCCGGATGATGCTAATGTTTATTGGAATAGTAACGACACCAAGCTATAGTAAGTTAAATGGACGGTTTGTGCTTTTAAAGTGTACCTTGTGCCCTTCATTGAGTACTTCTAAGACAATACCGATGACGGACAGAAAAACTATGACCATATCAAGCTGGTTCCATTTATCTGCAAGATATCCACCAAAACCAAGTGCAAATATTTTCAGTGACATTTCAATGACGAAAACCAAGGTAAAAAACCAATTGGAGTACATGAGAATGTCATCGATGATTTTCGGTTGGCTCCAATGCTCAAGTGACATGGCGAGAATATTCAATCCTATGATCGAAGCGACGATGAGCTCGAAATAACGATGCGTTACAATATCGTGAAGTTTCTGTCGTCCGGGGGAGTAGTTGTTGAGCTGCGGGGTGTGCTCTAAGAAACAGTAAACAACAAAATTAAACGGTCGCGAGAATGATGATTCTAAAGTTTGTCAAATTCTTGGTAAATTCCTATCAAGATGAGAATTTCGACTGCACAAAATTGTATTTTCCCGGCAATATAACTTATTCCGCAAATTATCCGAGAGAGCAGAAATTTTCGGCAAATCAATTTTAAAAGGAAAATTTTTTTAATATTTTTCTCTTTGTAGGATATCATATCGGCGAAAAGAATGGGCTCGCTTTATGACAGGAATTAATTCTATGAAACAAATTTTTTTTCGAGATGATGATGTGTTAATAACCTGATTGTCTGCTATGAAATGCTTTCAAAGTTGTCACTAAAATGTGGGCTGTTAGAAAATTTTCAAAATAACATCATTACGGTCTTTCGTTCATGCAAAAATCCAATTCTCGATTACGACTTTAAAATTGGGATTGGGTCAAAATGGTGTCGATAAAAGGTTGACATGCTTTCTTTTATTCGCATTTGGAGCCCGAAAATTTTGTAGGTTACATTGTTCAAGCCCTGGACTTCTGGTGATTGAACAATTATTTCCTTGATTTCTGGAAGGCAATCGTAAAAAATATGACAAAATATCGAACAAATAGATTTGATGTTCTGATGATGAGTGCGATACCGGTGGAAAAGGTGTTACGGCGGGAATAGTCGGTATTAGTAGTCTCGTCGAGCTCGACTACTTCGACCGTTGCAGTACGGTTCGAAGTGGCCGACTCTGACCGATGACGGGTCGAGTTTTTGGTCTGACACGAGTCTGGGCGGGGAGTCCGCGGTGCTGAGCGCGGAGCCGAATCTCGGACCACGGAGAAATCCGAGTCTGAATCCGACCCCTGCAAAGCCTTTTCCAGATCTGAGTTTACCATTTGCATCGGGCCGAGTGTGAATGGAATTACTAATGATAGACACGGTTAGCTACAATGGAGGCAATGGATATGATGTAGGACACTTGCCCTGGCAAATTCGCGCGGGACAACGTGCGAGACAGAAAATCTTTTTTATGCACTTGGAATCATAAAAGAGAGTTCTTTCTTTACCTGCAGTTGCAAACTTGGATTTCACATCCTCTGTTACTTTTTTTCTTCCAAAGCGGCCAAGTTTCTTCGGCGCTTTCTTTTCGGAATGTTGCTTCTGAAGGCCGGCTTCTATTCTCGCTTGGCGACGTTGTGCGCGACGCAATTCGCGATTTCGCCGCCTTTCTTTCTTCAGCCGACGTTCCATCTTTTTGCGCTGCATTTCTGCTTCGTGTTCTTGGCGACACCGGTGGAAGTTTTCCACAACCACACCGACGAACATATTTAACACGAAGAAAGCAACAATCAGGAGGAAACTTATGAAGTAGAGAAGCATCCATGGATTATGATTCCTAAGGGTTAGTTTAGATTAAATATTAATATTATTTAGTATTGCGAATTAAGGCTCTTTAGAAAGACAAAAAAACATTCGATCGTTGATGATTACCTTACTGGCTGTTTGTCGACCTCGTACGCGTCGATACCATTGTACATGATCTGCACCCAGCCATCTTTTGAACTCAAGACAAACAAGCTCATCAAAGCCTGGCCGAGATTGTCAAAGTTGTAACGCTGGTTGAGCCATCTATAACCCATCTTTATACAATCTTCTTTTGTTTTTATATCTCGTAAATCATCCGAGTCACAGTAGTAGAATTTCCCCTTGAAAAGTTGCACTCCGAGAATTCCAAAGATGACGAAGAATGCGCAGCAGATGAGCACAATGTTTCCAATTTGTTTTAGTGAAGAGATGAGCGTTTGGACGACAAGCTTTAGACCGGGTGCGCGTGAAATAACACGCAAAGGGCGTAACGTACGCAGAAGACGGAATACTCGCAATATTCCTAAAATCTTCGGCGAGGAGTCGGATAAAATCACAAAAAATGTGTCCACGATCGAGCAAACGACCAACAGAAAATCCAGCACATTCCAACCAGAACGGAGATATGCGTCTGAGCCGCAGTAAAATCCAAGCGCAAGGACCTGAGCGCCCTTGATAAAGAAAGTAAGAATTAAAGACTTACTTTGATGTTCATTTCAATAAAGAAAACAAGCGTGAAAAGATGATTGGATACATTGAGCAACGCTCTCTCTGGCGAGTCGTCAGCCAAAGTAGGCCTCTCCATTGCGATTGTAATACAGTTGGCAAAAATGAAGATGAGAATTGAATAGTCGAACCATTTGGAAGCTGTAAGTTTTCGGCACGTTTTTCGAAACGAGTTCCGTGGCGAGAATAAGAATAAGGAGTATCGCTGACGATTGTAAACCCAGGCAGGCGGGCGGCCACAGAAACAGTGAGTGCACATCATCAGGGTCTACATAAACACATTGTTAGAAGCACTACAGGCGATTTCTACTTTACTAGTAGAACAAAGACACGTGTACAACATGAAGGAGAGACAATACCCCCCAAAACAAAAAACGCCTATTTCCTGCGAAGATTAGTTTACCACTAAGATGATTGACTGTGTTAAAACTCTGTTTCAACAGCAGCTTCGATCTAGCGGAACTAGAACATTGGAAAATTTACTTGGAGTCCGCGCATTCTTGACTGAGATTTTTTCTTTAAAACGTTGATCTCTGGACAAATGTTCAAATCAGTTTCCAAATTTTTAAGCATTTGATCCGCGCTTATAGACAAAAAAGGGTCATCTTCTGTCTTGCCATTTTCATCGAACCCGCCGCGTTTTATCGCCACGTATAGTCCCGTAAGTCCCCTTTCATTGCGCATAGCGACGCTAGGCCCACGAGCGCGGTAGTCCATAACGATTTTGCGCAAAATTTTCCTCATTTCAGACAATTTCGGTTTCTCGAATCGACTCGGGTTGAAATCGGGCGGATGCAATCCCGCAAACGCCAGGACCATGAGTGCTGTGTACATAGCTGACTCTGTTAAATGCTGGTGAACTTTCACACGAGAGAACGTGTCCGTGTTCGCACGTTCATTGAAATTTGGATCGTTTATACATTCAATCAAGGGTTCCCGGCGGTGGACTGATGTTTGCCGATACAAACTTGCCTCTTTGTTATCTTGCAACTGCGAATCCTATTAATAAAGACAATGTACGTAGAATAAAAAAATAAAAATACGAGACAGAGGCCATGCAACTTCTCGAAATGCGTAGAGCATAGAGAGTTATGAATACCTCTTTGTTGCGATAGTGGGTATGATGGTGGCGTCTATACGCCTTCACCCCACTATACGTGCTAGAGTCGATCTGAAGTATTTATGCACCTTTATTAGGTGATTCTGACTTACTGTCTGATCTTCTGAAGGAAGAGGTCGAGATCGTGAGATGTCAGAGTGGGAAGTCGTTATGGACACGGATGATCTGCTGGGATTCTTAGTTTGTTATTTTGAGAGTGCTCTTCCTTGATTTCGATCTTACCAGAGATGGCTGAGGTGACAGAAGATTTCGTATTGGGCTAGGTTGTGCGCTGACAGGGTCATTTTGATTGCTTACGATAAGCAAATCAGCCTTATTGGAGTTGCCGTCTCCGTTCGAATATGTCCCGTCGGCTCCAGTCGGGTTAATAAAATGCTCTGTTACTTCTATCGAGTGATTTGCCGTTGCTGTTTGTCGCAAACTTGCTGCCCGTGAAGGATTTCGAGAGTTAACTGGTGTAGCATCAGTTTGCGTGATAACAGGCAGTGCTGAAGATACAGTAGTATGAGCCTTTCAACTAAAGCTAAGATACTAAGAGGCGCGAACGAGAGGCGGTAAAATTAGCAAACCTCTAAAAGAAATTACACAGAGAAATTTATGTCTGAATGGGCGTTGATGGATGATAATTCAACTCCCACAGTTCCACTTACTATCAGCAATTCGAGATGCAATTGTTTCTCGACGTTTAACGAGCTGCTCAGAAACATCTTCTTCATCTTCAAATTCATCACCCTAAAAGTAAATTAGCCATCTGTCTACCTAAAAAGAGCCTCTAACATTGAAACATAAATTTACTTGAGTAAATTTATATCAAAAATGAATTTTTGACTATTAACGGGGGCTCAAATAGCCCATTTTAAATATGGGATTCTTTCTACTCATTTAAAAGAAAATCTAAGTTCTCTCACAGATTGCGTTCTCGCCATTGCAAAAAGCCTATCATGGGCATAGGTGCGGAGATCAGCCATGAAAATTTCGGCTTTATGTTGATAATAACCCTGTTTTCTCAAATTAAAAATTGCAAAAAAATCCATCGTACCTCCGCCTGGAATCCTTCTACTAGAATCGCGACGAGCAGATTAAAGAGCACGTAGTTTCCGATTGTCATCAGCGCGATAAAGTAGAGAGAAGCCAGAGGCCCAGACGAAGCCATTCCATTGTAAAGGACTAGATTCCAGTCTTCCTGGGTCAGAATTTGAAACACTGTGACAATCGCCCAAAGAAGACTGTCAAAATTCGCTCTATCGCATTCTGTCTCGGAATGCTTGTTGATCCAGCAGAATTTGCAGCCAAAAAGATGCATTCCAAGAATTGAAAAGATGAAGATGAAAAGAAAGAGGAGCATCATAAATGTAGCAACATTGTCCATTGTGCGCATGAGAACAATTAGTTGACGACGAAGAGCAGGTAGGAATCGAACGAGCTTAAGCACTCGGAGAAGTCTAAAAGTTCTGAGGACTGACAGGCCGCCTGCGTCAGTGTCATCAACGATTTCCCAAATGGAAACAAAGACGATGCTTGCGTCAAAAACATTGTAGAAGTTCTGCAAGTATCCAAAGAGCCCGTCTGCCAGGATTTTCATCACCATTTCGAGAGTGAAGATGGTTGTGAAGATAACGTTCGATACCTCGAGCGCCTCTGTTAATTTTTCATTTTGATTGTGGTGCTCGATTCCCATCGACGACGTGTTGATCAGAATGGCGATCATGATCCCATGTCCAAAGTACTTCGAGTCGACAATGCGCTTGAATATTTTACAGTTTGCATCGATCTCTGTCTTAACCACCATCCAGCACGTGCCGAACGTATTTGAAAGCCAGTTGCAGCGTTCTCGTTTTGGCGCGCTCGTTGTCTTCGAACACGGGCGATTCTGGTTGCTTTTGCGAAAATCTACCACTTCTTCGGCATCAATTTCGAAAGCTCCTTTATCTTCTGGATCGTAATCCGAACACGAGCAATCCATGTCTGATGTAACAAATGTCGTCGTCACCCGTTGGCTTCGGCAAGAACTCATCGGAGCCTCATGAATAGATGAATCCTTTGACTCGTGAGGGGAATTCATAAGCTGTAGTCTTGTGCTGAAACAATCAAGTCAGTTATTGGAGTCAGCCATCTAGGCAACGAATGTACCACAAAAAAGGAAAAAGGAACGGGCCAACAACACCAAATGGACAAACATCTACCCCTTACCTGTACTGGGGAGGCGCTTGCTCCCCGAGATGATAATGATGGTGGTGGTGATGGTGATGATGGTGGTGTGTATTACGCGAATCAGAGGAACCCTCTGATACTGGCGAACAGAAAACTTTTTGACAATGCCGTTCACTAAAATTTTCCTCTTTTATGTCCAAATTCAAGAGAAAAAACAATCCAGGTATTATTAAGGCGGGCATATCATTCTTGTCCCAGCCCAAAGAATAATTTCTTTGCAAGACCCGTTCCGATAGATACTTTGGCAAAGCAGTTTTTGTTTTACTTACATTTTACGTTTAACGCGGCGTAATAATGAGCCAACTGCGCGCAAAAGCTCGGTATACATACTGCCAGGGGGTTGATACGAATGCAAAGTCGAATCGTTGGACATGAATTTAAGTCTAGCTTCTTCCATTAGTCGCTGTTCTCGTTGTTTAGTTTCACTATTAAAATTTAGAAATTTTTATTATTTGATTGTTCATACCTAAACTGAGTGGCGATGACGACCAAACATAAGTTGATCATGAAGAAGCTGCCAATAACGATCAGAAGAATAAAATATATGAAACTTAATTTTGATATTCGCAATTTTTCAAAAACACTTTTCAAACCTGAAGAAGGAATGCGAGTCCATCACGTAGTACATAATGTCTACCCATCCTTCTAAACTGATGACCTGGAAAATGGCAATCCAGGCGTAGCCAATGTTGTCGAAAGAGATGGCTCCCTTGAATGGGTTTTCTGGGCCGCTATTACAACCTGTGTAATATCTGTACCAGTTGATGCACTGGTTCGTTCCATTCACGTTATACTTCTGGTCGAGGCCGGACACACCATCCCAGAGTTCAGCTCCACCAGTGCATTTTTCACCGCTAGAGTCTCTGTAGGTCTCAAGGAATCCCGCTGCACAGCGAAAAAGGCCCTGGCTTCCATCAGTCGTACAAATGACCGCTTCTTCATCGTACTGCCCATAGTAAGTGTCGAGTTTAAGCTGCGTCTCGTTGCCAGCGAGGTTTTCAGGAAGATCAAGATAACATCGTTGTCGAAGAACTCCTTTCCAAAGCTGGACGGCAACGACGCCGAATATAAAGAAGACAAATGTGCAGAGCATGAGGACATTGCCCAACATAGGCAAGGTGTCTTGTGCAGTAGGTTCACCAAATTAAAAAATTAAAATCACTATTCAGGCACAGAACGAGCGAGAAGCAGCAACATATGCCTGACGAGTTTAATTAGCTTGTTGCAGGTAATTGAGCGCCCCGACATTATGGTCTATCTGATCATGACCCTTGGAGAAAAGAAGTCGGCATAACTTGCAATTATTCGAGTGAACCGAGCCTAATAAAAGCATTACAAGTATACGCATGGAAGGAACTCTATTTATAGCGCGCAGTGGACGCAAAACGCGGATAGTCCTGATCGCGGTGAGATTCATGTTGTCCAAATGAAGGCAATATTCTAGCGCACCGGCAATGACAATGAAACAATCTAGGCGATTCCAGCTATCCCCAAGGTAGCCCAATTTTCCCCAAACACCCATGGCCATCATTTTTATAACCATTTCAACGGCAAAATATGCAAAGACAACATCATCCAGGACTTCCAAGATTCGGCACTTAAATTCCCAGTAAAAAGAACACACTTTTGCCTCAAGTCTCACCTTTGTAGAGTGGCAATCAGCACCGGCTTTATTCTGGCAGGGATCATAAAGACCAAGGGAGATACAATTTATAAGGATAACGAGAATCGAAATTCTTTCGAACCAGCTGAAAAAACAGTGTTAAATTGGGACGGTTCGCTATCCCCACTTAATTATGGAATTGAACATTGATAAGTTAGTGCTTCTAAGCCTGATACGCACGATTTATCAAATAAATGATAATTGCATTATCGATCAAGGATTTGATTTATGTCGACAGTCAATGTCTATCCTTTTTAGCATTGTCTAATCTCCTGTTAGATCAATTATTTGTGACAATTAGAGTAGTTAAAAAAGTTTCGATGGAAAAGCAACTCACGGGTTGGCAATAGAACGAAGGCACCAATAGCGGGGAGTACTTCTTTGATCCAGGCAGAATAAAACCACTGGATACAGTGCGGGATAGAGCACATCGCCATCTCCTTCTGAAAAATAATTTAATTTTTTAAGTATTTAAATAAAAAGACCCGGCCAAAACGATAAAATAAATTGCCATAATTAAATAAGCGTCTCCATATGTTCCCGCCGCCGAAAGCTAATACAATAAACTGGCTCGAGTCAGCCGAGGTATGGAAATGAACCCAAAAACACCAAGATGGCCGAGTTTCTCAGTCACTTTGTATATTTTCGCAGACAATCGATTATGGCGTGATGGGAGATGATCGAAATTCGTTGTTTTTCTTGGCTGATGTCTATTGATTTCGATTTTGGGCTTTCGACTTGACCGCCGCAAAAGGCCCGGAAGTCAACAACTCAATCGATTTCTTACCTGCGATGTGATCAGATTCGGCTGCTGTTTCAAAAGTTTCTTCTTGGCTGAATACTATGATTTAGAATGTGCAAAGAAGCGCGCTGGCAACGAGCCCACGAGCAGAGCATTTCTGCCTCGAGAGCAAAATAGCTTTGGAGAGAACTTAACAAAGGCGCTGGGAGATGCTGTGCTCCACTGGGGATTTGGGATTAACTTTCAGAATTAGTAGTAGTAAATTTGCTTGTCCTGGTGAAGAAACATTCGACCGTTAAGCTAAGCCTCATATTGGAGTTAGCCTTGGCTCTGGATTCCTCCTGGCGTAGCTTGAATGTATCAAAATAAAAAGATGATTTCTAGTAATTAAAAAAAAAGGATGAAGGAAGTCTTTTCGCGCGAGACTAGGGTCGTTGTCAACTAGCGCAGTAACCGTGTCCTCCGAGAGAGTCAATCTGGTCACAATCCCGTCGTCTTGATCAGGGTTCACGCCCAAAATGAAAACCATTTAAAACTGCAACGAGCCTATGCGGGTGACCGCAGATTACCACCGCCAAGTGCAGATGGTATTTTTGGGCTCGCTAATCTGGGAAACGGAGCGTCCGGCTTTAATAGATTCTTTGACGATACACAAAGTCCACAGTGTTTTTTCTGATCATAAATAAATGATGCTCTCAAAGAGTATGCGTGCATGTCATTCTAATTATATTATTATTCTATATAAACATAATTAAATGGTGGGAATAGTATGGTTTTCCCTCGGGTCTAAACGGCGGGTATTTACCATATGGTATTGACTAGATTTTCTGTGTCTATGGAATGGGAAGTCCTCGATACTCGCTGTTGAAGGGTCGCTTTTGATTCTCTCCTTGACTTTTCTAAGAGTTCGGCCAAGTTTCGCAGGGCAGGGCATTAATTTTTTCTGATCTTGAAAGCGGAAAAATATTAATTGCAGAGAAAAATTAATTGACCCAAAAGCAATCGGAACTCTTCCTGAGGCACGTATTGACCGTAAAAAAGACTCTCCATAAAACCCATGGCGTTTTCTCGAATGTCGCCGACACCGATATGCGCCGAGGGCGTTGGAATACTTTGTCGGCCAGTACGAGCGTTGTACTGGACATTATACAAAGAGAGACGAGGTCTTGAGGGTCGACGGCAGGACACCGAGCCTGATCTTGTCAGGTGGACATCCGAGCCCCTGCGAGGTAGTTCTTCGTCTTCGTCCGATGTCGTCATATTTTATCTCTAGTTCTTTCACGGAGGAATTCAAAGAGTCTTCGTTTTAACAGTACCGATTCATATTTATATACTGTTTTGAGGATAAGAGGTAATGATGGGAGGAGTATATGTATTTCAAAACAAAAATTCCCTCGACAAAGTTGATAATTTGAGCAGCCCTCGAGCGCCATCGCCATTTAGGCACATTGTGTCAGACCCCCGAATCTATGGGTGGATAATAATGATCTCTAAAAATTATGGACCCACTCCATAAAACTGGTTCCGTATTTTTCGTCCTGCAAGAATGTATGGGGACCATGGGATTATCGTGACTCGTGGGCAGAAGCTCCCACTCGGACAGATGGTAAAAGGCAGACAACGCTTGAGTTAAAAATTCAACGAAAGGGAATATTATGTACGCATTACTTTTCCTTTGTTGAATGATTAAATTAAGATCATATAGTATTAATGAAAAACTCGTTTTGTTTAATCCCGATTTTTGGAAACAAAAACATCTCCCAGCTCAAATAAATATAAATACTTACGGGATAGACTTGTGCTTTGTCGACCCATTGAGGGGGTTGTTCACCATAACTTAGTTTCAATTCCTTTGAAGCATATCTGAAAACAACTGTTATGAATGAAAATCGAGATGATGCCGGGAAGCGATTCACTTTTATAATGCGCTAAATTATTACGGATTTCATAAGAAAGTCGACTTCTTTTTATATGGTTGTTTTTCCCCATCATACGCACTGACCAAATCAAACGGGATGATGATCTATTAACTGTAAAAAAAATTACCTCTGTCTTTTAATTCATAAGCGCGATTCGACTGTTCACTGTGGTGTTTAAACTTTTCGAAAATCTCTAATACACAAATAATTTTGTTATCGTTTGAAAGTAGTCCCGGGGGATTCCGGGCGCGGCACATTTCATCAAATCAATCAAAGAAATAACTTTATACTGCAAATGCCTAAGGATGATCTAAATTTATCTATCTATTATCTTGTAATTGTAACAGCCATGTTCCAAAAGAGGGAACTATTAAATCACTAGTGCAATTTCGAAATTTCTCAAGAATAGAAGAACTAAATAGAGACCTAAATATTGTTTCGTTTCAAAAGTGATAAATCTAGCCGAGTTACCGTTGACCCCTATCTTTTGCCATCCTAAAATGTTGCATCTATTTCAACCATTAATTTCTTAATTGTACTTTTCTCGTGACTTACTAATCAAGCGAAGAAGGGACAAAGCGCTGCGTGCTTCATGCAACTCTCTTTCGATAGAAGTGGCTAGAAAACTGAGATGACGGGATTCTGAATATTTTCGGAATAGAAGACCTTACACCGCGTTTCACTATAATGACCCTTTGTCATTATCGTATCAATTATAAAACAGGTGCATAATTTTCGCTCCGCGATGAATGAACTACAGGCTCGAATACACTGTTTTTTCTTTACGCAATAATCGACTCAACGAAAAAAATTGCTTATCTCATATCAGAATTATTTTCTGTTCAATAAAATCTGTTGCATAAAATTAGTCCCACAAAAATAGCGCAAGTCAGTCTGAACTCGAGGACTGCTTAAATTATTCAATAATTTATGGCGATAAAGGATGCTCTCGACACTAACGAGCGATTAAGGGTGTAGTGATCGCATTTGCAGCCAAAATACACTTTCAAAATTGATAATTTCAGCAAGCTCCTACTTCTAGGATTTACCTACTTCTTGGCTATTCGGAATCTCTTTTTTTGCCTTTCATAGCGCTTCTCAGTTATTTGGAATGGTTGATTTTTCTAAAAGGGACGTTGTCACTGTTCGAGAGCGACTGTGATGCCGGATAATCTGCTCGCCTGGTCATCCCAGGACATTAATACTTTTGATATCATTAGCAGCCCTGCATATTACCAATCAAGCCATCATCCATCCTATCGATTAAAAAGGCGCAATGGCTTTTCAACGAGGAAACGCTATCACCTTTAAATCCCCGCATAAATATAGATTCGCAATTCACCTTATCAAACCCGCTTGCCATCACTGGAACGGTTCAAGATATCTCATAGAACATGCAATCAAAAGCATGTTAAGCTGGTGTCTCTGGCCGCGATCTTTCGCTTTACAGTGCCCCGAGAGAAAGAAGAAGGTGACATTAGTTTCGCATGATTTATTCAGCGAATCACCGGTACTCACCATTTCGCGATAGATCTTCATGCAGAAAAAAGTTCTCTCGATGTGCAGTACTTAAATCTACCAGAATAAGTCTACTTCGCAGGCCGGGTGATTTATCTGCGCACTCTGACGGAAAATTACAAGATTACTGTTGCATTCAAGCTCGCCGCGCGCTCAAAAGGATCAGCTCGAGATAAAGGCCGAAAAGTCGAGTTACATAAATCACAGCGCTGAAGAGTACTGTAATATGCACACCTCTGTTGAAATTCCACTTCGATCTCGCCCCACTAATTCTATATAAAGTTGATGAATAACGACTATCGATGCGTAAAACCCATAAACTTATATCGCCCAGACTAATTTGGCTTCCTACGGTAGGAATCCTACCAGTAAAGTCTTGTTCAAATTTCCCGGCATCCATAATATCAAAGTTTCTATTTGATAAACGACCATTCAATTTAATTGCAAACTTACAAGATAATTCAAGAGATATTTCCGAACCGGCAAATTCTCGAATGTTATATTTCTTCTACAGGCTTGTCTTCAATTAATCTCTTTATAAAATTAAAATTTTTTGACTTCTCTTCCACCCTTATTTCTTCTTCAGAGAGAGCATTCTTGTAGCTATCTAACTTTGCTTGGGGGAATGGGGTCACTGGAGGTGAAGGGCCGCGTTGGAGCCAGGCCGACGAGAGGCCACCACGGAGGCGGTGGGGGGCCCGAGCCAACTCATGGCCCGGCTCCGCGCCTACGAAAATTTTGCGACGAAAATTTCGCGCTTCTTTCCGCCCCGATCATCTTCCAAAACAAGCTCATCTTTTTTATGTGCACCCTTCCTAACTATTTCTACCTTTATTTGAAGCGTACCTTGAGCAAAAACATTCTCCTTATTTATGGACTTGCCGCTCTCCTCGTTGATATCAAAATGCAGTTTTAGTTTATTGTGAGGATTTTCTCCTGGGCGAATTGATGGTAATAGCTTATTTAAATTAATTTAAGCCGAGTTAAATAGCATTTGGTTGTCTCCGCTTTCTTCTGAATTATTAATAAGCCCCTGCAGAGGAGTCTTCTAACTGTAGCTCGTCGCATTCTATCGAAGGGCTCACTTATCTCCTCAATTTTAATTCACGGCCATCCTTTCTCGAAATTGAGCCATCAGAAATCATAACTATCGCAATCAATAATTACGAATCTATTGACCGGGCTAGAAAGATGCAAGCATGAATATTCAACGCTCAACCCTCTCTGAGACAATGTCCTCAGATGACATGATGTCCTCCTTTGTTCTACCCCTTGACCCAGTCATAACCCGATTCTCCATCAATAATAATTCTCATTTCTGTCAAATAGAAGTCTGTTCTATCGTTTCTGTCATGGTTTTTCGCCATCATAAATTAAATATACTATCTCGTAACTAGCGTTGGCAATAAAAAGGTTTTCTGACGTCATATTTATTTTTATAAAAAGCGTGTATTACACATTTTATAAGCTTCTGCTAGAATTAAGTTTGTGGCAAACAACGATTAATTTCGAGGATATCTGAGCGCGCAGAGGTACTTAGCTCTTATCAATAATTTCGCGAGATAAAGAATTCAATCGACACAGAATTCTAATCATAGTGACCCCTTAACAATAAAAGCTGCTTTTTATTTTGATTCCGATTATAAATCGGGACGAACGCAGTTCAGGGGGTTAATCAGTCGCCTGGGAAGAATATTAATTTTGTTCTCGCACGCCTTACACTTCTTTTTCTTCTACATCTAATATTCGATAAAATGTTACTCGCTATCGAATGCGGACATCATGCGAAACGAAACTCTTCTAAGTCAAAGTCTGTCACTCGATATCGGGATCAAAGGGCCAGACACACGCACCTTCGTAAAAAACGAAAAAAGAAGGGCCGTCTCCTCTCATCGGCATCATTTTTTCCAAGAAAAAAAGAAGGAGAATCGACCACATCGACTAAGCTTGCTTTACTTGTTGTGGGTGGTACTTCTTGATGCTTTTCTTAAGATTTCTCTAAGGTATTCATATTCAAGCAATGTAAAAAAGACTTCGTCCCGATCATCACTGCAATTCTAATAACTGGAGGAGCGTGCTGCGGCATCGGCCCAATCGCGATTTTTTGATTTATTTGTCTGAGGGATAATTAATTTGTTACAAATCATCGCACAACCCGGAGTAAATCTCAAGACTAATGCAAACCCATTGAGCGTTAAATTGGTATTTTGCATTTTGTTTACTTTTCCGTTTTTTCCTTATAAAGAATTCTTTTTATCAAATAAGGAAATCCTTTTTAGCAACTTTCAAAAAGCGGCGCTCTCGAGAGCTCTCAGTAGAGCTCTTGCATTCGGGCTTTTAGAAAAATCAGCCGTCTTAAATTTTAATTGCGCGCAGCCGAATATAGACAAATTAACATTCTACAATTATTTTAATCAGAATTTTCCCTGGTGTTGTCTGGAAGAATTGAAGCCTTTCACAGCTATCTGAATCACCAATTTATGCCTCTAAACTGGCGTCTTTTAATAATGTTGATTTACTAAATCACTTCAAGAACAAAAATAACAAGTACATAGTCTAAATTCGAAATAATAAATCAAATTACCTTGTCTTAATGATCTTTTCCAGTTTCGCTGCCTGGTTCTCTATTTCATATAATTTCTCTGGTCAAAGTACTCGCTTTTTGAATGTCGTTATTTTGTCTCCTTGGAAAGGCGGTTTCTCGGATAAAATAGTGACTGCTTCTCTTTTTATTCGCCGCTGCCGAGAAGTATAAAAAGAAGAAACAGAGAGGGCTTCTTCCACCTGCTTCTACCCGAGATAGGAGACGATGATGCTGTTGGGCACACAGCGTGACAGTGTCCAGTGAGAGGCATCGCGAATCATTTATAAAAAATGAGGGGTTCTAATGCACGGACCCAATTGGGCTTCTACTCATTTCCAATTCAAGCGGATCTCAGCTGACTTATCTTCTTTCTTTTATTTTAGTAGATGAGGAAAAAGATGTAATTACTTCATCAAACCACTAGCGCTCTCCTGACTTTCAATTCGATACTTGCCAGTCGTTTTTTTTTACATTTAACTGTTTGGACGTAATGGACGAGGCCAAGATTTTAATCTTGGAAATAGATACACTATTTACTCTTCCAAAAGCTTTAATTTCACCGGTAGATTCATCGTTTATTCAAACCTAGTATAAATGCTATTTGCTTTGAAAATTTCAAGCTATAATTTGTACCACTTTTTCCGGGTACACAATTCAAACAACTCAGTTACAGCATTTAAATTTTTGATGAAGCTGCCAGTTCAGAAAAAGCCCAAATCATAAGCCAATAATCGAGCAAGTCAGTAATAATGAGCGTAGAAATCTTCTTCTTGCTTTGGACTGTTGCTGCGTTTATAATTCATAATTGCAAGTAGAGTATGAAATGGGTTGACCGCGAAAGACCGCTAGTACTTGCGGCTGCACTACGGGTAATTTTGAAATGTTCAATTTGGAGAAAAAGGTGTTACTAAATACTTTGCTGGTGCAGACTACGATTGATTAGAATAGTGGGCTGCATTCACAATATTGAAAGTATTGATGTTTCATAGATTATGAGCATCTGCCTGTTTGTGTGGGCTCAAGTTCACAGGACAGATCAAAGAATTAACAAACTATGAAACCGATGACACGATATTAAGAATTCATGTCAAATTGAAAGAAAGAGTTTTTCCTGAACCCTTAAAACTAGTTCGATGCCGGTTTCGACTACAACTGTGCACACTTGTTTGGCTTGCGTTCTACCTCTCTTCCTAAAATTTTAAGATGCTTTGGCCATTCTTCTTTTATCCTTGCTTAAGGTTGATACAGACAAACCTCAGGGGCTTCCTAAAAAGCAGATTCGCTTTTGTAGCATTAATAATGATCTTCCAAAAAGAATATTTTATTACTGTTATCATTGTTTCGCCATGTAGTTCAATCGTGGGTGAACTTATCAATAATACGCAGCTTTGGGATAAGCTTCAATTTGTGGCTCTTAGACAGAATTCGAAATCGCTCAATCAAAATAATGAAAATATGAAGTGAGAAAGAGCGCCCGCATTCTCGGTTATTAATTGAACTAAGGGTGGATGATCCTCTTTGATTTTGGATAGGTCCGGATTATTTATGCCGAACCCGTTCATCCCATCTTCACAAATAGGCTAGAATCTGTCCCAAATTAGAATTATTTTTAGATCTTTGAAATCGGAGAGGACTTGTATAAAGGCATTGCAGACTCATTTTTTCATAATTTATTACTTTGTATTTGCAAGGCTGTAAAGAAATATTTTTTAAAATTCTAGTACGGATTCGAAGTTTGGATAAATTCAATGTCTTCCCCGTCTCTCCTGTCTTGTGACTTCTCATCTTCCTCGCGGCTTCAAATGATTTTAGTATTGCTGACGAATCTATCGAAAACCTGTAGTAAGAGCTCGGGAAAAACGTGTTGAACATTTCCTTGGAATGAGATTTTCTATATTCTTCTGAAAGTCCTCCAGTAAGGGCAGAGACGGTTAATCCAACAACCATAGAGATTATGAAGCAGATCATTGACATATACAAATATGACATGTGATAGAATCGCTCCCACACGCCTTCTCCGTCGATTGAAGTGATTTCCCGTTCATATTCTCCGCAATAGTAACTATTTCAAATTTTACAATTAAAAAAAATAGGCAATAAAGAAACCTTTCGTCAGTTATATCTGCTTCACATGCAGCTTCTGCTCCTCTCGCATGCTTAAGAAATTCGTATTGTCTTACTTCCTTGATAGTCAAATAGCTATCGATATCAGCTAAAAAATATATTTGATGGTCTAAGAAAAATTTCAAATAATACCTGTCCAATTTGAATTACACTGATCGAATTCGATAGTAGGAGGTATATATGATTTGAGAATGGACGACTTGGGGTCGGCTTTTGAAAATGCAAAGATCACCCAGCCGAAAGCCACACCGCACACAGAACCGAAAATTGCACCTTTTTGATTGGCAAAAGGAAAAACGATTCCCATGGTAAAGATGGCCACAAGAGGTCCACCAAGAATACCTAATAATAGATATTATAAATTTAGCTCTTCGGAGTTACCCAAAATGGACAATGCCGCCTGAAGAACTGGGCCAAGAACAGAAGCAAGCCATGCGATTAAAATCGAGAGACTTCCATAAATGATTACGAGAATCATCGAGAGATTTTTCTGTTGTGCGTCTGTGAGCGTTTTGTAAGGCTTGATAAAGTCCTCCATCGTGCACTAGAAAGAATGATTCCATGAATTAAAAAAATAATGCACCATAGCCATTGCGTTGATTCCAGAAGAAACTGTCGAAAGTGAACCAGCATATACTGAGGACACATGAAGGCCAGCGACTCCCCAAAGATGTGATAGCTTGGAAACAACAAAATAAGGGAAATACTGATCAGTGCCAGTAATTCGACCCATGGCGATTGGATCACACCTGTACCAGAAAGCTTTCGTGAACTCATAATCTTTTGACAAAGAAATAAAATTTAAAGACTCCACGCGCACCTGATTATTTTACGTTTATAGAGTTCGCCCCTATTCCCGAAAATAACCATTCCACATGCTATTGCGGCGGCGTTAATAAACCAAAGACCAATAACATTTATTCCGATCGCTAACTGTGCGTCTTTCAACGTTTTAGAGGACATATATCGCTGCACTTGTGCTTGAGAAGTGGCATAAAGACTCAGCCAGACCATTTGACCGGCGAAAAGAATCGTCCAAAAAGTGTGCTTTTGGCGAATATCGGTACTAAAATCCCATAAGTCGAGACGATGCTCCTCCTGGTTGATCCTCCAAATTTCACCCCAGCCAAGATCGTAACAGCCAAAAATGATAACCGCGAAGAAGCCACCAAACATAACGAGAGCCTGGAACACACCAGTCCAAATAACTGCCTTCATTCCTCCAAGAGTAGTGTAAATGATGCAAACAATGCCAGTTCCAACTACGACGCCCCAAAGGTTAAGTCCAGTGGTCTTAGAAAGGGCGAGTGCGGGTGCATAGATAACGATCCCGAGGTATAAAGCTGTTTGAATGATGAAAGCGAGAACAGCCATGAGTCGAGTGGCGTTTCCAAAGCGTCTTAGACCAGAGTTTAGTCAATTTGATACATTGAATTGAAGATCCTCTCATTGGATTTGATTATGATTACGATGCTGCTACTCTGTTCCTGTTCAGGTATTCATAAGTGGACTTGATCTCCATTTTGTAAAATACGGGAACATATACTAATGCGGTTAAGGCGCAAACACTTGTAAATGTGATGAGAAACCATATATACATGGTGTTGGAAGCTGGAACATCACCAGGTACGCCCAAGACAGTGATCGCTGACATGAAAGACGTCACAATGGAGAGCGCTAATGGAAGCACTTTTGCAGACTTACTAGCCATCATATACTCTTCCATGGCTCCACCAGGGTTATTTTTTGCCGCCTGTTTTGCCTTTCACTTGAGTTAAAAAAGGTCGTAAAAAAGGTAAATATCATAATATCTGAGAAAAAGTCGAGATAACCCTCGAATATTAATGACGAAAACGCCGATACGGCATTCGGAACTCAAACTGCATCATGAAGAAGACGCCCACTGCCATGGGAAATCCAAGACAAAAAACGAAAACAAGCCAATCTCCCCAACCCATGGTTGTTGAGCTTTGCTTCACGATATCCCACCACTCAGCGTCTTTAGCAAACTTTGAGGATTTGAATGCGAGCATCGTCGCCTCCTCTTGTACATTTTCGGAGAAATGGAACCAGCGCCCCTGAAGCCAGGGAAGTTTCCCACTCACTAAAAATATTTTTTTGCGATTTCGTTAAAATTATAATAATAATTTTTCGATATTAAAAATAAGCCAAATTATAGCCAAGGCCTGAGGGTAAGGTCTGACTTAATATTTTCCGTCATTCAGTCGCATAAACCTCTATGAAAATAAAATGTTACTCACTGTTCTTCCGCTGATCTCTGTTCGCCCTCTGGAATAGTGATAAGTCTTGAGGTAGTCTGAATGCCCAGTGAAGGCGCAACGCCCATTTATCACGAACGACACCCTCCAGCAGACAAATAATAATAATCGATCAACTCTAGTGGAATTGAGAATAATTTTATTGCAAAAATGATTTACTTTATTTCCGTGAAATAACACCTTACGAGATTGCAATATATTCTGCGTAGATTTTCAGAGAAAGCTTCTCTCCAGGAGGGTGCAGAATAGGATTCAGCTTTCTTAATTTTTAACTTCCTTGTTGTGATTTCACAACTTGTGAATTATTATCCCTTTGTTGCCTTGCACATTTGAACGCCTTTAAGTCAATCAATTGAGTAACCTGCGGTAATCCAAAGAAAGCTTAAATGATAAATAGCGCATGATAATCCCTTGATATAGGAGTTATCATTCATAAAAGTTTACGATGAACTAACTGTTCGTGAGTCAGGTGAATTTTATTAAAAGATATTGCAGATTTTTTACCAGCTTCGGCCTCCTTTATATCTTCTACAACTAAAATGAGTGTTTACTATTTTCCATCAGACCGAAAGCATACCTCTCGTCATTATCACTTTCATCAGATTCAGATTTCTCATCGTTGATTTTATCTAGATATGTTTTATCTTGAGGTAATTGCAGTTTCGGTCCTTCTTCCTTAGATTTTGCCTTCGTTGTTGGGTCGAGCTCATTCTTCTTCGGTTCATTTATATGTTTTGCAGGAGGCTTAGCTGTCACATCTAAGGTTGTGTTGCTCGTCTCCGAAGAAATCTTCCTCATGGACACATCAGGAGGTAAGCTCATTCGCGGTACATGTCTGTTAATAGTGTGGCGCGTCTTCTGGAAGTTTGGAATCTGCTCAGGCATTAGAGCAGTGTGGTGATGAGGCGCAACATGTTGATGAGGAGCCACATGCTGATGATGCACTCTCACCGGGACACTTTGGTGAAGAGTTCCATTTGTTGGAGGGGCTTGCTGCTGTGCCACGGTATTCGCATGTTGAAGCATATTTGGTGGAACCATATTTATCATTTTTGGATTGATTCGGATCACCTTCTTATCGGCAGGAAGAGGCGTCCCGCCGAGTAACGTTACCAACGCTGGGTCCGTGGCAAACTCATGCGCTTGCCTACCTTTAGCGTCTTTGATTGTGGTCTAGTTCCGGTTTCCCATAAAAGGTTGAACTAAACAGTACAGTATGTTCCTCTAGTTATTGTGTTAAACTAGGCATCTACTGAGAGTCTATGAGAAATAATACAAAATTAATGACATTTATTATTTAATTAAGTTAAGTAAAAATACCGTATTATTCGAAACGTAAAAGCCTCATAAAAAATAATTCAAGAGTTCTTTATAAAATAAATTCACCAATTATGGGAAACTGGACGAAGCGCCTTCTGCCATCAGTTTTTTGATACCATCGACATAATTGCCTTGGGCAGCAATATGCAACGATGTACGTCCCGACTTGTCCACGACATTGACATCAAGCTCAGAAAAGTCTTACGCATGGTTAACCAGCACAATCTTAGAACTTATACTACCCGTGAACAGGCAGTCACGCATATTAAATTGTGTTCAGATTGCGTTGGTTTACCCTGCTATCGAAGACAAAATGTAGAGCTCTTTTCGCTCAGTAGCCAAATGAAACGGAGTAATGCCAAGTTTGTCCGTCAACATTAACAATTTGCCATCCAGCAAGTTTGAAACTTGCCAGAGAAATCCCTTTTTCGTCGCTTCATGGAGAACACTTGAAACCTATAGTTCATTAGACTTGAAATGAGGATTACCTTGTCCCCGATTGATCGATTAATGCCAAGTCGTCCCTTTTTAAGAAGCTTCTGATTTTATACAACTTTCCAGTGCCAGCTAGAGTATGCATTTTCGTCCACCCATTTTTGTTGGACTTTCTAAAGTCTGCCATGACATTTGTTACAGCCTAAATACTCTTTTAGAAGACTAAGAACTCATCAGTTATCACATAAGTTGACTATATTATTAAGAAGATAAGGATGATTTTTCAAAGTACTACCTCGGCAGAGCTCTTTTCAGTTTTCTCCAAGAGAGATTTTTTGTTCGGCAACTCTTTTGTAGAAGTAGATTCTTTTTTGTCAGAAATAGTAGGTTCTGGTACATATTCAGGTTGGCGTACTGAGCTCGTGACGATTGGGACGACTTCACGCTTTGAAGCTTCTTTGGAGGTGTCAACTTCATCCTCATATTCTTCTTCCCCGTCGGTTGGGACAGGAGACGACGAATCATCATTGTTCTTGTTACCCTGATTAATAATCACGGATCGACGGAGGTCAGCAGATTCCGAAACATTATTATCAATGACTTTTGGGGGTAATGGAGGACCGAATTCATCAGAGTTATTGTTAATTTTTCGCTCGAACTGCTTTATTAAATCGACGTTGTTGGAAGTCTGGTTTTTGCTCGGCGACACGTTATTTGGGGCTTTACTTTTCGTTAGTTTGGCAGCTATGCGCTCTTTCATTGTGCTCTCCAGTCCTCTTAATTTCGCGTTGTCTGAACTAGAGGATTTGGTTGATGGAGGCGATTTCGGAGCCCACTCGTTTTCTTCGCTCGATTCAGCATTATCTACCGATAAATTAATGAAATGCTCTTTGAGTGAGTTATGATCGGTCTCATCGAAAAATAAAGTCATTAATTCGAACTTTTTTCTTTTATTTTTGTTAACAGTGAGAAGGAGATAGATTTTTCCGTTATAAGAAAGTTTTCTAGGGTCGATTCTGCTTTCTTCTTGGTTGTCGTGCTTCTAGTAGATATCCAAAGCTTCTGTTTTAACCGAGAAGGGCAACGCAGCTGGATTGCTGGCGGACTTAGGTTTGTCCTTCTTCACCGGTTTTGTTGGGGAGAAAAACAGTGATCGTCGAGCGGATTTTGTCGTAGCGGATTTCGGCGTAGTTGATTTCGGCGTAGTGGATTTCGGCGTAGTGGATTTCGGCGTAGCGGATTTCGGCGTAACGGATTTTTTCTGAGCGTTCATTTTGAAGCGGAGTTTCGCAGTTTTCATGGGACTGTTCGGTAGTACCATGGTAAGCTTTGCTCGTCCTGCTTTCGTAGCAGAGCGTGTAACTGCCATTGCGGTCTTTTGATTGTTTTCTTTTGGAGTATTGCTATTTCTTGTTTGTATTTTCTGATGATAAGCTTGTTTCGCGCTGGTTATATGCCATTTAACTGGCCGAAGGAGGGCGGGAGAGCGCTGACTTACTCAGCGGGACAGTGCTACTAGTATCTAGGGTTACGATAGATCGTAATCGGATTGAGATCGTCAAAGATAATTCTCAGCTGGAAATAGAACATAAGTCTAGACTCTAGAGGGTGAACAGTAAGTATAGATCGCTGTCTATCCGAACCAATTACAGTTCGTATTATTCTGTGCTGATCTTTACCTGAGAAGGGATTCGTATCCGGCATGATGAGCATGTGAGCAGGTGTAGTTTTCAGTTTCTCCATTCTTTCGATTGACTTTTTCCGCCTGCGTCTTGGCGGTGACTTTTCTTCGATTAAGTCGATCCTTTGAACGGAAGAATCAGGATCGACAACTCCACGATCTCGCTTGATCGTTCGGGTAATCGCTACTTCAGCGAAGGCTTTCTGCGTTTTCTGGACAACTCGCTTTTGTATTTTTGCTGGGCTGCGGGAACGAGTACTTCTACTACGACTTCTTGACTTCTTTTTTCTGTTTTTCCGGCTTATTTTCTTAGAGCGGCTTCTTGAGCGGGAATATTTACGTCTTCTTGTAGGAGACGAACTCGATGAAGAACTTGAAGATGATGTCGATGATGAAGACGAGCTTGAAGACGATGAGCTGCGACTTCTTGGCTTTTCGTGGGATCGTATACGTTCCCTTCTTCCTCTGATCAACGGAGGCGGCTTAAGGATATCTTCGTCGGACGAAACTGCGATCGGGGCCGGAGGACGGGCAACTGCCTTTTTCTTTTCCGCTTTTTCCCTCTCTGCTTTTTCTATTTGTAACCTTTTTTGTTCGCGCTTTAAACGTTTTTCCTCCTCTTTTTTCTTCCTCTTTTCAGTGGACTCTTTCAGTTTTTCCTTTTTGATAACATCAATTTCGTTGAATACCCATTCCACGAGCTTTGTTGCTAAAATGTTTTCATAGAACAAATAACGCATCAAAAACTACCTGTACCTTCAGCAATAAACTCAGATAGTTCATTTGTTATTTCCTTTTTGGCTTTGCCGTTTGTAAGGAGTAGAATCACGTAGTCTGGAAGTTCTTTATCAAAAAGTCCTTTTCCAATTGTCTTTTCAAGATGAACCGTGATCCTTTCTTTCAGAAGTGAGGATAACGTAGTCATCTGAAAAATGCGGTTGTTAATGCTGGAAATCACACACAAGGTCACAAAGAAGAGCAATGGGATGAGTTTAATAATTTATTTAAAGATATACCTAGAAATTGGAGCTCTACTTGGAGGAGCTCTACAATTTTTTAGCAGTTTCAAGAATTCTTGAGCCCGAGCAGATTTAATTAACCTAACACTACATTTTGCATCATGCTCGGCGATGGATGGCTTTAAGAATCGCGGTGACAATTTTAACGGATTTACCAAGATTACACAGAATAACAAAAGATTCCGGATTCGCTGCTCCTACGTGCTTGAAGCCAAAGCCCGCATCGGAAACTATCCATAATCGAGCATCACGCAAATGGGTTAGATTGCGATTTTGAACAGAAAATGGAACGCACTTGGACAAAAAAGGAGGGCAAAAATGCTCCAAAGAAAGGTAGGATTTTACGTTTTTGATACAAAAGTTGGTGTTGCGCTGTTTTGCACTGATAAATGCAGAAATCTCTCTAGAAAAGAAGCCCCACGCATATGTGTCTCATTTCTTGCGTCCACCACCGGAGGAGTCGTCATCGTCGATAAAGAAGTAGTTTCCAGATGTCTTCTGTTCAACATCTTTCACAGAGTCCATCTTGTTGATTCTGAAGAGAGTAAATATTTCCGATACATATAGACTAAAATATTACCTGGGTCTGTAATTTGTAGGGTCTCGTCGGAATGTGATTTCAAGCGATTCGAGGAACTTATTCATTCCTTCTAGGAGACCGACCGGAGAATTGGCAGTAGTCTTGATGCCAGGCTGTCCTTCAAAGACAATGACCATGTCTGCGAGATAAGTTGCCATGATAAAATCGTGCTCCACGACAAACGCAGTCTTTTTGGCGTGGAGAATGAATCTGTTAAATAATTATTATTAAAGAAATCCTCATTTTTACAGACCGTTTAATAACTTTGGCAGCGTGGAGACGTTGTTCGGAATCAAGGTAAGCCGACGGCTCATCGATAAGGTAAACCTAAAATAGTTAAAAACGGGAGAACAATTTTTAATTTACATCAGCTGGCTTTCCAAGAGCAAGAGTAATGGCAACACGCTGCAATTCACCACCAGAGAGAGTCTGTACTTCAAGATCCATGAGAGCTTCCATGTTGAGTGGCTTCATAACATCCGTGATGAACTAAAAGACTTAATAATTTGATAAAAACTTGATGGAATACCTGTGGATGAACGTACGCTCGCTGAATTTTGGTGTGCAGTAATTGTCGAACGGAACCAGCAAACTTTGGCTTGATTGTCTGGGGCTTGTACGAGATCTTAACGACATTAGAAGCAAAGTTACTTTAATGACGGCTCACGTTCATGGAGGGGACCTCGGCGCCATTGTCAGGATCGCAGCCCTTCGAACCAGCGAGCATACGGATAAAGGTAGTTTTTCCGGTACCGTTCTCGCCCAACATGACAACAATTTGCGATTCAACGAAGGATCCAGCCATTGCGGTAAGCTCGAAGCTGCCCGCTTTCTTTAAAATATCAATAGACCTTATACAGAGGAAGAGAGTGTACCTTGACCATTGTTGGATATTCGGTTCGGTAAGCATGCTTGAGTGTCTCGTGGTCAGCGGTTTCGGAAACCTTGAATTGAAGTTTCTCTTCACGGAACTTCATATTTTCGGTAGGAATAAATCCATCGAGGAAAATGTTGATTCCTTGAAATTTTGAAATTTTTATGGATGCTTTTTCAAAGTACCTTCACGGACAGAGAAAGGCATAGTTACCACGCCATAAACACCAGGCTTCCCATAAAGGCAGCAAACGAAATCGGACAGGTAATCAAGGACGGCCAAGTCGTGTTCAACTACAACGACGTATGTTTCAGTGGCAAGGAGCTTGCGGATCGCTCGGGCGGCGTTCAGTCGCTGTTTTACGTCAAGGTAAGAAGAGGGTTCGTCGAACATGTACACATCAGCACCTGCAACGCATACAATGCCAATGGCCAATCGCTGAAGCTCGCCACCAGATAGTTTGTCGACGCCACGATCACGCAAGTGGTTCAGATCCAACAAGCCACAGAAGAAATCCTGAGAATCAGTCGTATCTTTCCTATCCATTAGTTTCTGGACAGTCATGTCAGGCTGCTTCGAAAGAGCCTGCGCAAGTTTGTCGACGAACTGAGGCTTCATTTTGCATTCAATATTGTCCTCCAAAATTCTGGTGAAGTAGTTCTGAAGTTCAGAACCTCGGAAATAGGTGAGAATCTCCTGCCAATCTGGAGGATCATCAAATCGACCAAGGTTTGGCTTGAGCTTTGACTGAAGAATCTTCAATGCTGTAGATTTTCCGATACCTACAGAGAGGATAAGCGAATGAACAAGTGGACAGTTGAATTACCGTTGGTTCCTACAAGACCAAGAACTTCACCGGGTCGTGGTGTTGGCAGCCGGTGAAGCTTGAAAGAGTTGGCGTGATAACGATGGACAGTTTCAGACTCCAAGTTTGATGGCAAATTAATGATTTGAATCGCTTCAAACGGGCATTTCTTCACGCAAATACCGCAACCAATGCAGAGCGTTTCGTAAATTTGCGCCGACTTATCAGTTGGAGTCACTTCGATACACAGCTTTCCCATTCGAACGACTGGGCACGTTTTTTTGCACTCTTGGCGACACTTCTTCGGTTTACATTTGTCAAGGTTGACAATGGCGATACGCGTTTGCTTCGCCTAAAAACGATTTCAAATCGGAAAGGATCATCCATCCATTACCTGAACGTCGTCATCACGTTGCTTCGGCTTCTTGGAGCTCATTTCGAATCACAAGCCGACTGGAATTCTAAACGCTTTAATAAGTTAGAAAAAAATCGGAGATGATTTGAAGGGTTTAATAGTTATTAAATATTTCAACAGTCAGGAATTTCAAACCAGTGTCGCGGCAAAAAAGCTTATTTTTTGGCGAGCTGCCGGGATAAATTTGAACTGTACTTTGTAAACATCTCATTCAGCGTCAATCGCACTTCTTCTTGGTCATTTTTGACCCTGGAAGCAATTTCAGATACATCCTCGTCTAGGGAGAGAGAGTCTAGAGAAATAAATTTAGAGTTCGTCTTAGAAAGAGGCATACCTAGTCCAACTGCGTCTCCCATAAACCCATCTCTGATTTGGTCGCAACATAAGTAATCACTTAGGTCAACGAATTGAGCAAAAACTTCCTTAGTCGCTTTTGGAATCTTCTTTCCTCCCTTCTTAATTTCCATCAGGCTCTGTTCGTTTGATTTAACAAAGTTGAGCAGGAACATAACACTTTCAATAATAAACCATCGGGAACGCAGCTCGTCGCCTGCTACACATTCACGCAAGCATCTTCTATACTTCTCGAGTTGTGCCACTTCGGGCCTTACACCAGTTTTCTCGACGAGCCGATTGCGGAAATATTTCAGCAACTTTAGGGTCATAATGGTCACCTTTCGAGGCAATGTTGAAGGCCTGAAATATTGCTAAAACTTCTCAACCTATCAAGCTCTTACATCTTATGATAGCCACTGATAAGTGATATTTCCGAATCTTCGAAGGGTTTAACTACAGCGAGTTTCTCAAGCTCATCGAGATCCTTCTCCGAACCTTGGAGAAACTCCAGGCAGCCAGTTCGGAAACGGATGTAGTGTTCTAAGTCGTCGAAAGATCGCTTTTTCAGCTCCCGGATTCGGCTTTTTCGGTCTGGCCCCCACCAATTCAGTGCATCAAAGTCTCTATTATCAGAGGCGCTAGAATCATGTCGTCTTGATAATTATCTATTTTTTGTTCTTACTTGGAGTCTGACAACTCGGACAGGAGTTTCTTCCCATAGTAACCGCTAGTAACAAGGTTTTCGACTTGAAGAAGTTTTCTCATGATTGAGTTCTTCAAGGCGTCTCGGAACTTAGAAATGTCTTCAACTTGAGCGAAGTTTCCTTCTCTGAATCGGTTTTTTATCAAGAATCAACTGATTGTCGTGGACTACCTGAAACATTTTATAACAGCTTCCGTTGTGTCCTTCTTGGAATTCGCGAAAAATGTGAGCGGGTTGTCCAAAAGATCCGAAGCAGCTTCTTCATCGAAATATGTTTGACCATGATTTTTGATCGTGTGGCCTACCTGGGTTGAGCTGAAACACATGAGGAAAGATAACGTATCCAAGTGAGTCGTTTTGTATGGACTTCATGTCCAAATGAGTCCTGAAAAGCTTGATGGCTTCATTGATGCAGTCAAGTCGAGCATAAAGATTCAGGGATAGCAAAAGTAGATCGGGGCAAGTTCCAGTGGACTTTATTCCACGATCGAGAATGGCGAGTGCTCTAATAATTGACGAGCGACTTTGGTCTTTTCTGAGCACCATTAGCGCGGCGACGAGAAAGTGGCGATCCCAGGGTCGCCCTTCTGTGTCCATGAGCTCTTGAATGATTGGCGTTTCCTTTCCCATTTCGTAGAGACTGCTTCCCATTGATTCAAGCATCTTTGAATTGTTTTTTGTAATGTATTTATCTACTCCCCAAGACAACTAAATAATTCATTTTTCTAACTGTGTTGTTCGGCTTACCGCGAGTTGATAGGGTAAAAGGTGAGCGGCGCAGTAAGCGTCAAGCTCTTTGAGTGTTTTGGGAAGCTTGCTAGCAAATAAAAATGGAACTTCATCATCTTCTTCGATGAGTTTTTCAATGATTGCTGCTTTTTCTTTGGTCATCAGGCCTTCGGCATATAACTCCATATCAAATACAGTCGAGCTCTTTTTCTTCCATTTTAAACAGTAATCTTCGATCATTTGCTGACAGCTGCCCCAATAAACATAACAAGAGGATTCAGAAAACTATAAATAGCTTTAGTTATTTAATTTCAAAGTATTTCTTAATAATCAAATAATAAATAATCAATAACCAGATATTTGTTAACTTATGATTTGATAAAAGTTTTATCATAAACCGTACCATAAATTTAGCTAAATCGGGCCCTCTGAATTGAAATGTATTTTGTTTCTCGGTCCCCATTAACTTTGTAAAAAGACCAACTATGTCCAGTTCATCTTCCACAGCTTTTTGATTCCGGAACCATGTTTTTATAAGCAACTTCCATGCTCCAATGTCGTCAGGGTCGGCTTCGACTCTCTCCATAGCTCTTCTGCATATCATTTTCGGCTGTGAAGTTGCTTCCCATGCCCTTTTAAACGGTGCAAAAATATGTGACGATAAGATTTGCTTTATTTTCTATTAATCAAATGAATATATGAATCTAATTACAACTAAATCAGTTTTTTCACCCTGCCTCATCTGGAACTGATCAAAACAAAACAGAGTCTCGGTGAAGAGCTTTTCGTACTTTTCAACTGCAGCAGACATCGTCTCCCAGTCCTCGAGTTCCTGGAGAATCATCAAATAGAGCTTGACCTGTCGCTCCGTTTCGATACCCTCTAAATTCTTTTGGATCGTTCTTTTTGCAATTTCGAGGTTCATCTTCTTCATGCGCTCGTCAGAACAGCCCTTCGCCTGTAAGAATCCCGCCATCGCTGTCCAGTAAAGATACGGGTATTTTTGGTACTAAACGAATACAAAGTAGCCTCTACGAAATATAAATCCATTGTTACCTTTTGAAAGAGTTTACCGCCAATCTGTTTAAGTTTTCCGTAATCAGAGCTTCGCAAAAATGCCATGAAAGTATGACTAAAGTAGTCTTGTTAATGTAAAACACTAAGAATAAGTAATGATGAACATACGTGTAGACCTCTTCGCTTTCGTTCGTCTTCAATGCGTTTTCATAGACTGGACACATCATTTCAGGACGGTCCAGGTCACGATAAACGTTTGCTAGCATCTTTTAGCAGATTGATGAAAACGTAGTCATTATTCACTATATAAGAGAAGATAGAAACTGCTCCTGCAAGATGGTCTCATCACTGGGCTGGGCTTCGCAGACAATAGCTGCAGCTTGCAAAGCTTCTTCGACTCTATTCAAGCGCTGGAAAGCAATTGCCTTCAGCACATTCGTCGTCAGCCATACTTCGCCCTCCTTGTCGATAGCGCCTTTCTTGGTGATCTTCTTGAGGACTTGCTCGCATTCCTTGAGTGCACGCGAGGGATTGTCATTGTCAAGATGCGTGTATATTGGCGAAAATATCCTCTGAGCACTTGACATGAGACAATCTAAAAATATCAAAAATGAGCCGGTGCTTGGAGGCTGAGATATTTTTACGCGGAATGCATTTTGGACAAAAGTACATAGAAATTTGTTGGTTTTTTGGGGGAAAGGTTGAAAGCAAAGAAGAAAGAGAAATGGCTGGAATATTTTTAGACAGTTGTGTGAGTTTTCAGAATATCACGCGGATACATTCCTACAGGAAGACACATCAATTACGAGCGAAATAAATATAGATGGTAAACGGAGAATATCTGTTGCGAGATAAAGATGCGGCAGAACGAGCCGAAAGTAGTACAAGCAGCAGTGTTTTAAACAAGACTGAGTTTACATGAAGTATCCGGCATTTTTGTATAAATGATTTCGAATAGCAGACGAAATGAGCGAAGACAAGAAAACTTATAGTAAAAAGAGTTATTTCATTTCGTTTCCTTTGTTTTACAGAAATATGGAACTTATTGGTTATAATGAACTTTAAAAGTCGGTTTCCCGGTAAAAACTACGGCGATTGTCTTTCTTGTGGGGATTCGAATGAGAACGTTGCAGTTAGACGTACGAAGGGTGAAGAGCGTCGCCCCATTCCTTATCCTCTGCAATCTTCCGCGTTTCGAGGGAATTCTCGCGCTTTGGAAACGAGTTGTGGCGAGTTTGAACGCTTTCGCCAGTTGTTTGCTTCTCGATGTTGCCACTCGACATGGGCTGGCTAGAGCTGCTGGCTGTCGACAGAAGACTCTTAGGGCGGAGTACTTTTTGCTCTTCAAAAGATTTGGGACGAAGAACCACCTCGCTCTACAAACGCTCAAGTAAAAGAAGACAAACTGAAATTTTAACTTACTGTTGCGGGTGGCGTAGAGGTACTTGAAGATCGAAGCACGTCAATATTGATCGCATTCATCTTGCGCGAAATATTCTCGACTGACATTGAACGCTTAGCGACTGGGAGAACGTCTCGCCGTGTGTTCAAGTTTCTACGACGGATAAACAATGAAGGAATTGCAAAAATTGTCATTACTTTTTTGGCGAATCTTTTGGGACGCTGATATTTCCGGGAATAGCTTGGTAAGCTCCAGACGCAGTGGACAATGCGCTCATCCATCGACGTTGCTTCTCGTAGCTTTCCGCTGCAAGCAGGACATTACATCGCGACCCTGACAACTGGAAAGAATATTTTCTTTTGCAGCTATCGGGGATGCTCGCTGTCTGCCCTTAATTTCCGCATTGTAAAAATAACTTAAAATATAAATCATTATTACCATATAAAATAATTGGGTCAATCACAGAGTCTGTTTCCTTGCTATCGTTGTAAATGTACAAAGTATTATTCTAAGTCCGCTTCATAACTAGTTCAAGACACTTTTTTGGTTGGTCAATTTCTATGAAGCGTTTCCTGCAACACTGCCCATACTTTTGTCCACTTATTTTGTAAAATATTTGATTTGTGCTCGCTCTTGCGATAAAGCACGTCTCTTAGAACGATGGAAGGGGTGTTTCCTATTGAAGAGTTGGCTAGGACTGAGAGCGAGTCGGTCGAGTTTGAAAGAAGACGTGGTTCAGACGTCGTACGCATCATTGCAGTAAGATGATGCTGCTGATGGCTACTGTTGTTGTGGTTTTGGTTCAGCTTACTGTTAAACGCACTGTTACTTTGACGATGGTAACTGTATATTGCGTGAACAAAATAAGCATATTGGACTAAGACTTTAGTCTGCTCTTTTAAAAAAACCGCATATATCATATGATTATATGACCGTCTGATGATTTAAACTTCCGTTTTCCCAAATTTTATACTGTAAGCTGACTGCGGTTTTGTAGAAAAGACTCGATAATATCTGCAAGACATGAAATATAAATCGATGAGTGTTTATTTCCTTATTTATTTTCTTTGAAATAGATGTACTGAGAGCATTTCTATAAGTACGTAACAATTTGTTCACGCAAACTGGAATCTTTATGGTCTGGAATGGGTGGGATTGAGTCCATGGAGTCTGTGACAGCTTTTTGACTGGTTATTTGCGAATTTACAGGAGGGGGGTTCGATAAAACGTGGTGGCTTCCTCATTAAGTGCTCAAAAATGGCGCGGAACGTGGAAAAAATACAGTTACAGGTGTTAGATGATTACAGCCGCGCTGATGACACTATTGTGAACACTGCCTTCAAGGTTGTCCATTGACGAGGCCGATAAGTTAGAATGCGACGTTGAGTATCCTGAACAAGGTAATTAGTGAGTTAGAGGTAATTTTTGGACATACCAGTGCGACCAGAAGCAACGGAACCTTGTCGACTGTGGTAGTTGTGCGAATAGCGTGAAGGTTCATCATTTAGCGGGACTTGACTGCTCCTGTCAATATTAAAGACTATTAGTTCTGAACATTGGCAACCTTTGAGACTGAGATAAGGACGTGGATTCCAACTGCTTGATCAGGTTTTTTTCTTGCTCATCGATGAGCTTATCCACAGAACTAGAGAAGGCGCCGCCAGGACCGGCAGTGGATTGCGTGCCCTCAACTTTAGGTCGCTCTGGATCTTCGTACACTACTTTGAAGTACATGTCCGAACCACTAGAAGTTGGCAGGGAGACTTGAGACATTGAAACCGCCGCGTCCATCAGTGAGTTTGGCGATTCGCTTATAAATCAGTTTCAGCTTCTTTTGACAGTAAGAAAGACGGCATACCTTCCCGTTAAATTTCCAACAGAATGCGCACGCATGTCCATACTGTGCGGACGTTTGGGTCGATAAGGTTCAGGAGGTGGTGGTGGAAGTGACAGAATAGGCTTTCGGCGATGGTGACTCGATGCTCCGTTTGGTCCAGAATTGACGTTCGGTCCTGCAGAGCGTCGTCGATTGATTGATAGGCGATCTGCCCAAGTGTTATTCTCTTTGTTCAATTTTACAAAATACCTGAATCAGAAGGAAGCCAGACTTCCGGAGTCGACTGTGACCGCGAGTGAATCGTCATTCTCACATTTCCTTTTCTCTTGAGCATAAGTTCTGCGCATTCGCCACTGAAGATAAATAAATAACTGATTAACTTTCATTTTACTCACCAATTTTTCAACAGCTGAACAACATTTGAGAGGCTCCATCCAACGATGACTTGATTATTGATGGCAATTAATTCGTCGCCGGTCCTGACAAGCCCGAAAGCATGTGATTGTTCTGAAAGATATAAATCTCGTTTGGTTCCTATAAAAATAGAACCTTTTGCGCCGGTGATCTCCAATGTTCCGTCCACTGGCCTTTGCCGAAGAAAAAGACCCAGTGAGTTGTTACTATCGCGCTTTATTGTCACCGTCTCAGTAGTTGGATAATGCTGCGCGGCTTGATTGCGCTGGATTTTATCAGCGATTTGGCAGAGCTGGAAAAACGCCATTAAATTCACAGGAGTAAGCGATAGCACTGCATAGTATGTAGTACATACCTCTACGCAGCAAGAAGTGATGGGTTCAATGCCTAACCATGCCGGAAGAGGCTGAAGCGCTGTTTGAGAGAGTTCAAGCGCGATTTTTACAAATTTCGAGTAGTCCGCGTGGCTTTGGTCTAGCACTCCTGCAAGGAAACAGCATACTTGTCGAACCTGAGTAAGGACAGCAATCACCAGTTCCAGTTGCTGAATACTCATTCCATTTTCAAAATGATATTTTTCATCCACCTGATTGCTCAGTTTATTGGAATTAATAGCATTGACGCCTTGCTGGTGACCGATTGGAAGAGGCTGATTCGTTGGCCTTATTGTTTGCAGAGCGGAGCACTTCGAGGCCAGCTGTTGCGTCGCATATTTAAGCGAGCCGATATTCGTCCTCTTTCCAGTATTATTCTCGCTGCTCTGGCCACTTTCAGCATTGAACGTTTCAAGGAGAAGCGAAATCGAGTCCAGAATCGCTTCCTGGTGACCACATTTGAAAACTCCAAGAGTTTCGAGTTGAGTACTGTCGAGATCGAAAAGTTCTGCTCCGTTGAGTTTGCCCAGATTTCGCTAAATATATATTTACCGATATTTTTGCAATTCAAAAGCTTACTTTATATTCTATGAGTCCATCTTCGAGCCCGTTTATCCAAGAAGTGACTTCATTTGTGGTCCAGTCACGTGGTACAGGCCGGAACGACATAACACATATTCTTAATGAGCTGAGATTTTAAAAATTAAGGTAGAAATAGAATCACATATATCTCAAGTCGACGGATAAGAAGGAAAATTGAGCATATAATCACGTAGAGTCAATATTTAATTGAGTCTAAGCCAGTAAATCAGTGAAGTTTTTAATAACATGCGTTGGCTTTATATCCGCTTTCTCTAAGATCGACTGCGTAGTCACTCCAGTGAGGGTCAGGACGGTATCGATGCCACAGTTTTTACCGAAGACAATGTCCGTATCTAGTCGGTCGCCGAACATGACGAATTCCGAAGGGTCCAATTTTCCCAGGCGATCTTGGATAAGCTCAAAGGCGAGAGTCGACGGCTTTCTGTTAGTCGATTTCAAATATGGAAACTCCCAAGAATGCAGACAAAGAAGATGCATTTAGAGAAAAGGTTAAGCAATAATTTGAAATCCGTATTATCCACAAACTTGATGAGGCTCTCTCGGCAGGACTGCTTTCCTTACTGCGGCCACAATGCAGCCTACGCCTGGCACACAGAGATCATCCCTTCTCAAAGGCAGCTCAGCATCTTCGTTGGTGACGATAAACTTGGCCCCTTGCTTGATGTAACTGGCCGCTTTGAGTACTTTTGTGAAATTGAAATGGGGATCAAAGCCGACGAGTACGGCGTCGACTCTCTCGTCCAATCGCGCCGAACTCCAAGCGTCAACATCGATTTTATCGAGTGAGTAGTCTAATAGACGTTGATTTAAAAGCTATAAAATAAATCTCAGCCCCGCACAGTAAGTTTGAGCTTAGCAGTTGTTTGAACCAGATTTACCTGTTTCCTCTGTGACTATTTCGAGTCCTTTCACATTGGCTAGTTCCCCTTGAATGCCACTGTTTCCCATTACATAAAGCTTTCCATTAGGTGGATTCTTGGTAAAATAATAGCTGGCCAAGTAAGCAGTTCCAAAAACCTGAAAATTTCCTCTTAACTTCGAAAAATCATTTCCAAGAAGGGCCACTGCCCGCTCCAGATGGAAATTGGAAAGATCAACTCCCAGGAGAGTTCCTCTCATAGAGAATTACTAATTAGTAGCGCTCATCTAATTAATTTATTCAAAATACTACGAAGCTAGCGTAGCCTTTCATCTGCTTTTAAAATCCTCAACTTCAACAAGGCAGAGTCAAAATTGAGTTCGCAAGCAAGTCCGTGAAAACAAGTGGAGTCATTCTAACTGGTATAAAATTGATTCTCTACCTCATCGACAGATGCTTCGATCCCGTACTTTGCGAACTTCTTGACATACTCTTCTCTTGTTTTGCTAGAGTTATTAGTGACTGATTGCGGGGTCTAAAGTGCGTGTAAATTATTTCACGGTCGGAACTGCGCCAAAATGAAAGCTATATCAAATTACTCAGAAGTGAGATGGATCGCTATCGCTAATCATTACTGAAATTGTAAAACTCTTTATTCAAAGTTGACCCCTGGCGAAAAAGACGTTCTTATTTTGTTCTCTGAGCAAGGCAAAGAAGTCCTTGACTCCGGGAAGGATCTATGCCAAGCTTCACAAAATTAATCAATACTGCTCGTAATTAATGCTCTTTTGATTTTCTGAAACCCGAAGCTCGTTTCCACGCCAGAGCACACCGTCACAGTCGAAAACGAACGTAGATTTACGCGATAGAATCAATCCAAGCTCAGAGTACTTTCCACTCATGCTTTTCTTCTGAAAAATTGCCTTATTATTACTGAAATTTAACGAGTGTCGCTAGCTGAATATGTTCAGTAAACAAATCATTTTAGATACATGTTTATTTTAATTTCTTTCCGAAAATAAGCGAATTTTAGTTGGATAGAGGATTCTTTTGGGCAAATCAAATCAACTCATATGAAACAATCAAGACCGGCTTATATTTGAAAATAATCAAGTCAGCTTGACATCAATAAATATTTTGAAGATTGAAGAATCGCTTATCGATGTCTTTCATTGGTGACAATGAACGGATAGTTATCTTCTTCGAGAGGGGTAAAGTTCCTTGTCGTCTTCTTCGGATTGGCCAAGATCTTCGCCAATCGAGGCGACATCGTCGCAGTTTTCTTTGCAAGGCGGCAGGGGAATGTAATCTAAAAATAAATTGGTTTCTTATCGTGTTTTCTAGAGCTCGGAGCCTGCGGGCCATTTCCAAAACATAATTTTTCCACTTTAAATTTTTGAACATATACTGTAACACTGCAACACTGTACGGGGCTTGTAACTGCGTGGTTTTTGGCGAAAATCCCGAAAATTTTTGCATTTTTCAACAAAATAGCAAGCCCTGACTGTAATTTTCTTAAGATGCCCCGTGATGACTCCCGCTTATTTTGCCGGATTTGTGCATTTTCGATGTGCGAAGAAAGCAATCCGGACATCGTTATAGTCCCTTGTGGCCATTCCCGAATTTGTAAAACCTGCGTGGAGAAGGTCGACAGATGTCCTATATGCCGGGGTGAAAAGAGAGAATACATCATAATTCGAGATGGGAATCCTAGAAGGTCGGGGTCAGTATCTAGCTTAACTATAAGCCCTGTAGTACAAGGCATATGAACTGCCCGTGCCTATTCGTGGCTAGATGCGGACCCCAAGTCGAAGGGCACAGTTAGTCTGGCAACTTGACCAGCTGCGATATCGTGTTATGTTGGCAGAATATGAAGACTCTCGAAATGGAAAAATGCGCCCTTGAATGCTCGTTTCTTTGCTGACTTGTATGTTTCCTGCGAATAAACAAATTTTCGAGCACTAACGTTCTTCTTGGGCGTGTCGTTTAGCGGATTTCAGTTCGAGCTCAACCTCGGTAGGGTTCACGCCTTCCTCTTCGACTGGTTCTTCCTTGGTGACTTCAATAGCAGGTGCTTCCTCCTCACTCGACCCGAAAAGGCTTCCTATAGCCATGATTCCATTTCCAGTGGTTTTCACAACCCACCAAGCACCCATGAAAACTCCTAAAACACACACAATCGTCACCAGATCAGACTTGATCGGATACCTTTTATGGCAGCCCAAATCATTCCAAAAAAGCCCGCGATGGCACTCCATATGAGTCCAAAAAACTTGCCGACCAGCCAGAAACTATAGTAAACCGTATAGTAAACAGCGTTTGCACTGAACACTCTTTTAAATGGGGGAAATTCAAATTTAGGACCTGTATATAACAGAATTTTTGAGAGCCCAGATCGTCCATTCTCTGGGTGTCTCGTACCAAGCACACGTGGTTCCTAAGGGTACAGCAACTTGAAGGGCGTAGTTTGCTGCTAGAAAGGGGCGAGTGTACATGCTCCCATGCTGTCTTGATCTGATTTAAAACCCTCAAGAGCGAGTACTTGGGAAATTTGATCCGTTTTGAAATATTTTTTAAATCGCTTTTCCTAACAGGAAGGAGTCTATTCGCAAACTTCCTGCCCACAACAAAAGAACCCGCCAGAGTAGCCACCTATTATATTATTAATAATATTATTAATAATAATTATATTAATAATAATAATAATCAGTAGCAACCTGGGCCGCACCGATAGGAGTAAAAAGAAACTCCCGTGCACTGAGAAGATCACGGTTTCTATCAGCACAAAAGCTCAAGCTTGGAGTCTTAACGAAATCCCGAAAGCAATTTGTGAGCACGACTTCCATATTCGCCACGTCCATAGGAATAGGCTTGATTGCCGACCCTGGCGGATCGTAGATGGGTAAGTCTAACACTTTGACCATTCTTAAAAGTGTCCATCTTCATTTCTTAAACACACGCTGAATGAATCCTATCTCCGATAAAAAATGCCTGCTTTAAAACTCCGAGAGCCTGCAGAAAAAAAAATATTTATCGAATGCATGGTTGAATGTATTTCAATTCATCTGAACATATATCTAGAATAAGGAATCGGAAAGGATCGTAATAAGTTGAAAAAGTATAGTAAATAGAATAGTAAAATGTTAAGTAAGCAGTTGAAAGCATTAAGATGGTTGTAGCGAGAAGAACTTGTGCTTACGGCTTTCCTGAAATAGAAGGATTAAAGTCCGTGGGAGGAGGAAATTTACTTACTATCGAGTGACGAGCGTAATCAACTGTTATTTCCTCGCCCTTTTTAACGAGTTTTGTTGAGATGAGCACAGCCTTGAGCACTGAGTTACCGTCGTTTATTTTCAGTGCGCTGTCAGAAGTTGAAAAATAATCGAGAAGTCGGAATTCGCAGTTCGGCGTCTTCGAATGATTTACAAATCGACAGGGTGCCATTTGAACGTTTTCAATGAATTGCTCCGAAGGGGCTTGCTTGAAGCTAGAAAAATTATTGAAAGCACATTTCCGGTGGTTTATCATTTACCGAATGCTGAAAGACATGCGATCGGCTAGTTCTTTTGGAATGGCTCGCGATAGCTCAATAATAACTTGTCCGGGCTCGACTGTTAAGGAAGAGAAAAGACCGATTTCATGAATAGGTGAAGCTTGAAGATAGACATTATTTTGCTTGGGGTGATTGTGATGACTTTGACTTTTTGACGAGTTTTTATGTGCAGGACAGTGCCGCTTGGCTTCCGGAGCTAGCGCCTGCGCTAGTTTCTCAAATTTTCCCAGGAAATCTTTTCCTAGGAAGGAAGCGAGCGGCATTTTCTGAAGCAAAAGCTGGATCTGTGGAGCAGAGAAATTTAGAATAAACGCAGCAACGGTCATCGCCTGTTTTGGAAAGGACATTCCAATAGGCTCGAAGATGGAGTTAAGATTTGAGTCCATGTAATAAGTATGAGAAGCAGCCATTGTTTGAACTTTAAATTCGGCGCGCCCTGAGCTTCCACGCGATATGCAAAAGTTATAGTTGGATCTCTCACGCGGTGAAGTCCAAAAATATCGCGACCAGCTCAGGCCCACGGGCGCGATGAAGCCCTTAATTTCTTTGTATAGAAGCTGCATTGCGGGGTCGATCTCGCCAAGACTGAAGATCTTGAGTGAACCCACTCGCAGATGGGCTGACGGCTTCGCAAGTGATAAAGGCTTTGATAACTGAAGATTCTCTTATGAAAATTAATTTAACAAAGACTCACCGCTTCGATATCGCAGCCGTCTATAAATAAACGTCGACAACAAGCAAGCGACTTTAGAGCGTCGCAAGACTGTGCCTTCGGTAAATGTGAAGAGCAATAAAACTGTTGTTGTCTTAGGAAGGTGCCTCCAGATTTAAAGGCACATTCAATGTGGAAGTGAAGATCGCAGCGGAGGCGTGAGCAAGAAACAGAAGCTCCAAAACCGCCGCAAGTGGCGCAGGTCATTGGTTGGCACTTGCTTAACCCTTGAGTACGTTGATGAGGGCACCGGAAGGGTCTTCACGAACATCGGCTGCCCATAATATACAGTTGACATGAACCCAGCGCCCGATACCGACGTTGAGAAGCCGGCCAAGAGTGTCGGCTTTCCCGTCTCCTCTAATTTTGCAAAGAAGACAAGATCGCTTGTCTAAGCTCTTCCCAAAGTTTTGCTCGTATTTGACGCTCAATGAACGAGAATAACTTCCTTGATCTTGGGATGGGAACTAAATTCACTCTTGTTAGAAACATTTTTGCTGTCGCTACGGTTACCTTCGGTACTGGTGCAAATTTACTGTTCCAGACGTTCCAAAGAACATTTTTGTGCATAAGAGAGCGCCCAAAATTAACAAGATGGGTCTCCGACGCTTGGCGACGTCCGCGAGAGCTGATTTTTTGAGGGGCGATGTCGGGTAAATCATCAGAGAAAACGGTTGTGTCGGCATCGAGCAAATCTGCCAGACAAATTCTGTAGTTTCGTCGTTTGTAAGCATTAACCTGAACATAATTGTTAAGTCGGTTGACGTCAACTTGATACCTTTTGTTTTTTGTCAGCCGCAGAGGAATCGATCTTTAGCTTTGAGGCTTCTTCCTTGAACGTCTGATCGATCTTATAGCAGATTTTTATCTTTTACAAAAATATTACAAGCTTACCACTCGACAGCTAACGGTGCAATAGAAAGAGTCGGGATGCTGTTTTGATGTAATTGGCTTTTTGCTTGCTTCTCCAATAATGTGTTCGCCACATTTGGAGCAACGGCGAGTTTCTTCCTTAGCTGGCACCTCCGACGTTGATGTTTTGTGCTGTTGAGCGGGTGAACCGCTTTGAGACACTCGATAACCTTCGATCTTGATGCCGATAATATTCGAAATCGCTTTCAAAGCGTTTTCAATATTACTTCTGTCACCGGGCTGTCCTGCCTGGTCAGGTCTGAAGGTGAGTGTCACCGTCACCGGGTCCCTCGGATTATCGCTTGGCATCGGCAATTCAGGACTAGGACAAGTGCGTTCCTTTCCGTCGCCCGAGTTAGCTTCGAAGATTCCTTCCTTGTCAAGAAAGGTATAGACATTTCGCTCCTGAACTTCCGGAGACGCTGGGGCAACTGGAAAGTCGTGTGACATTCTTGGTGCAATTTCTTCTAACGAGCCGATCTTGCCCATTTCACTGAAATTATGTTTACAAATGATTTCTCGGATTAAATAGATCAGCTCTTATTGTATATGTAGTTATTTTGTAATAACTTACTTGAGCGACAAGTCGGGCACAGAAGATTCCTCATCAGAAGAATTTTCTTCGTCTGTTAGTGACACAGAAAAGAATGATTTCGTTTGACCGAACTTGGATGATAGATCTAGTATCGTTTGAATATCGTTTCCTTTGGGCATCTCCACAAAGTGTTGGAAATTCACGATCATATCATAGAAGCTTGCAGAAGTGTTACTCCAACCTCCTGACGCCCAATGCCCTCCCCACGTTTCCTCTAACTCTAAAGATTTTTTCGCAACAGCACCAAGAGTACCACCTCCAAGCGGAACACAGGGATCGATATTAATTCTAACAGGCGCTTCTGTGAGTCCAAGTTGGACTGACATTGCGGAATATTGGTTAGAATCAGCATCGCGCTTTCTTTTTTTCTGTGGTTTGCTTTCGAGCGATTTCTTTCGTTTGCGGGATTTGTTGAGCTCACCAAGTTTTTCCGAGTCATTTGATTTGTCGAGCGGCTGATCAGTTGGTTCCTGTTTAACAACAACCGGTGCTTGAGCTTCAGTTTTGACTTCCATTGACGGTGAATCCGTAGAGAAGGGGACAGAAGCTGGTTGACTCACTTTCACACCAACTTTAGGTGTTCCATTAGACTCCACGCTAGAAACCGGCGTCTCGTCACTTTTGGAGTGATGTTTCAACGAAATACCAAGCATCTTAAGTTGTTCTTCGGAGACTTTTGTCCCACGAGCAGACGGGTCTGTCGTTGGACTTGTGATTGTCAATTCGTCCGCGCTCAAAAGATTGTTCAGCAGTTCTTGCCGTTTAACAATTTCGTCTTTCGAATCTGCAGACGACGTCCTTTGGCTTGTTGTCCCAGAGAGAGAACTATTGGGCGGGAGCGTAACTGCAATGTTCTTCGCCATACTAGATGATGAAACAGGACCAACAGGTTTCTTTGGCATAGATTTTATATCTCCAAGTACGGGGAGGCGAGGTTGAAAGCTATTCTGTGTGCCCTGGTTGTATTTTTGAGCAGCTTGTATGTCGACCTTTGGTTCCTCTTTGTTCTTCTTGGATTTCTTCGGGCGGGGTTTCCGTGCTCTTGGCTGAGCTTTAGTAGGGTCTGCTGTGCTCGTTGTAACAACATCCGACTGCCCTTTTCCAGTAGCATCAATGTGAGACGAAACAACGATGGGAATACCATGAATCTGGGGAGAGTTGTTGCTGTCAGGATTTAAAGATCGCGTGCTCGCCGAAGGAGACCCATTTAAATTCGGTTGCATTGCAGTCTGATGAGGCATTTGAACTCGAATATCCGCAGTCTTGCCGTTGAATGATGCAAGACTGCCATTAGGACTTTTGCGGGATTGAATTTGCCTCAACACTTCGAAAGTCTTCTTTTTGTTGACCTCGGGTTTCTTATCGTCAGTGCGGTTATTTCCAGATTTCGTTCGATGGCGGGATGAACCTGGCGAGTTTGATCCTTGCGGAGTAGGTGAAGATGAGGATGGATCAGACTTCTTCTTAATTTGAACTGTTTTCCTACCCGAGGATAAATTCTTCTTTTGCCGCCCAAGTTCTCCCAAATTCTTTAGCTTATTATAGATAAGCTTCTTGGCTTCTTCGATCTCGTTATTCTATAGCGATTAAAAATAAGTTCGCTGAAATAATTGGGTTTATATACCTGATTCTCTTCTTTTGGTGGAGGTGGAAGCTCTACTGTAGGTGTTCGAGAGTTAGAAGTATCTTCAGAAGCATTATCTGTTACCACAACTTCTTTTTGTAGCGTGCTTGAGCTCGGAGTGTTAACTTTTACCGAAGTATTTACTACCAATGTTACAGGCTGGGTCAGTTTGATAAGCGTCGGCGCACTCTGGCCGTGTTGAAGAGGACGTCCTGGAGAGATTGCACGCGGGCTCAAACCGACAGGCCGATAGCTTCCAGTGTGGCTGGGAGACATTCGAATCTGACGATTGGTGGGACTTGAAGCTGGTGAACCTGGTTTTTGCACTTTCGCTGTTGCTACGATTGTCTTTTGCTTGGGTGACATCTCTTTCCCTGCCATTTTTTCGCCTTTCGGTGAGGTAGTACCAAGCGGAAGAACGACAAAAGGAGGCGTTTTAGGAGCTGGTGGCTTCGGAGGACGTTGGGCAACTGGGATTTCGTCTTCAGAATCATTCTGACCATCTAATTGTGGTATTTGAGTGGGAGAAGGAGTCGATTCTAAGCTTTGACTAAACATTTTATCGGTTGAGCTCTGGTCACTTCCGGTCGGAGCAGTTATCGGCTGATTATTACTATAATTATGATTTAACGGCGCACGTGCAACAGTAACGACGCCGTTCGAAGGCGACGAATTCCCATTTTTTAGCTCGATTTGTACAGCGCCATTGATCTTGATAGGATCAGAACCAATAATTTGTTGATGAGGATGTTGAGGAGTAATAACTTGAGCCTGCTGGAAACGAACTGACTGCGCTGTTTGGTTATTTGGAATAAGTCGGATAGGCTGCCGATGTTGAATTATTGGATTGAAAGATGCGCCAGGAAGCCCTTGAACCGCGGTAGAGCCACCAGGTCCTGGTTGCATTGGAAATCTTTGGCCGATGTGAATAGGTTGGCCTTGCTGATTGTACATCAGTGATCCCGGGTTTTGCGCAGTAGCTGTATTCCATATCTGATTCGAGGCTTCTTCAGTCCTTCGCATTCGCTCTTTTCGTTGAAGCTTATTGTTGATAATTTCACGAGCTAGAGAGCCTGACTGCTGACGTCCGAGATTATCGAATAAGCGTTCACAGTGATGTGGTTGATTTGGACGGATCTGTAGTTGTACAATATTCTGCTGAGCTGATGGTGCTTGCTGAGGTTGAAGACCGGTGGTCGGGGGTGAGTTCGTGCTGGAGGTGTGTGTTGTAGAAGGGAAACGCAAAGAAGGTTGGTTTTGAAGTCGAGGAGATGGGAAGACGTCGCCCACGGACGGAGACATGGCAGGAGGTGGCATAGGAGATCGTGGAGTCCCTGGAAGAGAGCCTTGGGATGAGCCAAAGTCAGAGCTCATTTTTCGGGATGGAGGAATCAGCGGCGAGCTAGAGTCAGGACTCATGTGACTGAACATAGGATCTGTATTTGACATGGCAGGCGCAGGGGATCCCGATTGGGGACTAGGAACAGGACTTTGATTCACTTGGTGACTAGGTGTAGCAGAGGGATTCGGTGAAAAAGAGGTGGCCGCAGGACTTTGTACTGGTTTTGGCGAAGGCACAGACGAATTCGGACTCGAAGCACATATAAATTGCTTCCAGGCTTGATCACTCGACTCTTTCTCCGGTGTTTTGTCCGATTGTTCGTTGGGCGACTGAGTTTTTGGCGGCTTATTTAAAGAAGTTGATCGGGAACGAGAGGAGCTTTTATTTCCGGTCTTTTTATCGCGGTTCTCTCTTGCCTTAGAAAGATAGGATTTTCGCCCTTCTCCAGGAACTTTTCGCCAAAGCCGCTGAATCTGTTTGTGTCTATCATTCCAATCTGGGAATTCTGTCTTCAAATGAGGGTGCATTGTATTCGCATAAAGAACTGGTGAAATAGTAGCTTTGTCACCACGAGCTTCGTCTTCCCGCCATTTTTCCGAGTTATTACGATTGTTACTTGATGAAGGCTCATTCTGGCTTTTTTGTATTTGATCGCGAGTTCCATTCCAATTCTGCATTTGCTGAACGTGGTTGGGGATGTGGCCATGAGGAGGTGGAGGACCATGACCAGACATTGGAACTGCCATTTGCCGCTGCAATGTACAATTGTTCATTGACAAGTAGTTTTGTTGATAGTTCTGCGGGTGAATTCGCGGCCGCACCTGCTCAGACATGACTTGCCGCACCTGAATTTGAGGAGATATGTGACCATGATGACTCTGAGTTACTTGGACGACTTGTTGCGAACCAATCGGTTGCGCTACAACTTGGGGTGGTTGATAAATAACTGGGGTAGGCATCGGACTGGTAATATGAGCTCCTTCTGGAGGAACATTTTGTGCTAGAATGCCATTCGGAATCACTCTGTTTATTCCAACATTTGCAGAAGTGGCCCCAATGTGTTGACCAGATGAAACTGGCGTGGGGGATGATACAGACCCAACAGGAAGAACTACATTGGGCTTCGAGTCTTCTTTCAATGTAGTAGAGCTTGTCGGGGTATCTTCCGGTTTATCTTCTTCTGATCAGGGTGGCTATTTTGGATTTGGGGGTTAGTTGGAATTGGATTGGATCCAATCCAATAAGGTTTGGATGGAATTTGGATGGCCAGGGTACCGGATTTTGTTGGGGAAAATTGGGCAATTGGGGGAAATTGGGGAATTGGATCCAATAAAAAATATATCGCTAAACTATGCAAAGAAGGGTCATTTTCATAATGAAAATGAGAAATTTCGGATAAAAAAATCATTGTTTTGGCTATGTTGACCCTCCTTTTGGATAAAAACTTACTGTTTCCCTTCTTTTCAAAGAGATAAAAGCCTTGGAAAAATTGGAAATCCAATTGGATCTAATTGGAATTGGGGATTTTTGGGTAATTGGGTAATAATTGGGTTGGATTGGATTTTGGATGGATAGTTCCGGCTCAAAATTTATTGGATGGAAATTGGATGGCCAGACCCCAAAATTTTGTCCAAAATAGCCACCCTGCTTCTGATTTGATGTCATTGATAATCTGACTCATATCTATAACATCGTCGAAGTCTTTTTCAAAATTCGTAAGATCGAAGAAGATATCTGGATCATTGGCACCAGAGCTTTCAGCCATTTCGGGAAGTGGCTGATCTAGAATGATCAATGAGGTATCTTCTATAGGCGTCACTAGCTCATTTATATTGTCGGAAGTTGACTGAGAGTCAGTTTCTGCATTGTACACATCCACTGGCTCCGACTTGACGATGACTTGGTTAATTCCTACTGACGTTCCAAGACTACTATCAACGGGTTCTGTTTTGATATTTGCCAAATCGCACATTTTTGAATCATGTGCGAGCTGCCCAAAAAAAGCTTCCTGGATGTATTGAGGATAGTTGTCGATAATCTTGCTTTTCTTCTTTTTATTTTGTTTTTTTGGTTCAGTTTTGACAGGGTTGTTCGAGTCAGAAGAGTTCCCAGTATCAAGAACAGCTTTAGGCTTGGCTACGCGATTACGAGTTCTGACGAGAAAACCGCCAATGCCAGGTCGATAAGGTTTGCGTTTTCGCGGTTGCTCCCCATTTGCCGATGCTCCATTGGTGTGATTAAGATCCTTTGGCTCATCGTCGATTTCTGGATGAGTCGGACTCGGAGGCTCACTTGGATTCATTGACTTCAGCGACGGAGTTCGAGGTTTTCTCATAGAGCCAATAAGTCGACTCAGCTCGCTTTGGAATGTTTGAAGGCCTTCATCTGTGAATGCGACTCCATCCTTTTCGTGTGTCTTTTGAATATCCGGTTCATTTGACCAGTTGAAGGTATCTATCACAATATCGTTCGAATTGTGGATACGCAAGGGCTTGTAAACTTTTTTCGAAGGGCGGCACATCGTGCACTTGAAATTTTGCTCAGCCATTGAATCAGCATCACTCTCTGAGTAAACCTGCTCATGCAATGCGTGTTGCCATCTGAGGCAATCAGAGCATTTTAGTAAAACGTCATCTTCCTTGTAGTTCTTGTTGCAGATACAACAGACCTGCTTAGACCAGCAAACCGGACAATTTGAGTAATCGTTTTGCCACTCGAGATTAGAATTGTTGAGAGTTGTCGTTCCACATGAGTTGCATTTAATGCAGTCGTCACACTTCCATTTCGATTGAGAGTTTTTGCAGTCTGTAGGAGTCGTGGCTGTGCCGTCGTCTGATTGAAGAATTGAGGATTGATTGGGTGTTTCCGCCGCACTGGCGATTGGTTTTCTATTCAGGCAGATGTGATGAAAGGTCTGATAGCACTGTGAGCAGGTCGAAGCGCTCGAGTCAGCAGGCTGCACGGATTCATCGCATTTCGGACAGATACGGCAATGGGGACAGGTCCATCCCTTTTCTAACAGTTCCTTGCTCAGCGTTACTTCAGCACAGTAAACGTGGTAACTTTGGGCGCAGACGATACAGAAAAGCATCTTTGATTCAAAGTGCTCCCTATCGCCGATGGCACCGCATGTAGCGCACAAATCACTACTTCTTACAAATTCATCTTCCTCCGCATCTCCGAGCAATACACATCTAAACTCGTCGAAAGTAGAATCGCGATCAGCCGAGCCTTGACTCCCATCCGTTCCAGCCTTCAACGAGTCGATTGCTTTTCGCTTGTTGCGCTTTTGAGCGTTCGATTGCTGGCCATCACTAGTCGAGTTTTTCGTGCGTTGGTCTTTTTTCATTTTCGTCCCCTTCCTTGCGCCTTTTTTCTGCGATTTCTTCGTTGGCGGCTTGCTACTCGGTGGTTTATTCGATGACTTATTCGTCGGCTTTGAGCTACTCGCAGCTTTGGAGCTTGTGGTTGTTTGTGCCGAGCAGCGTAAACTGCTAGTGATTTGATCGTTAGATGATATCTGCTCTTCTTTTGGCTCAAGCGAAGGAGAATCGTTACTGTAAAAGGGCTTGGGTGAATCTACGTCCGTTATTTCAGTAGATTTTGTCATGTCAGAGTCGATAGATTCTTTTGCAGAGATTTCGTCGGTAAAGCAGGAGTCCGACTTCGACGATTGGGGAGATTTGGGAATGTCAAACGGGCGACAGTTGGGACATTGGTAAGTCTTGTCAGGATCACACCCAAGGTGACAGCGAGAGCCACATTCCGAACACTTTATGAGCTCATCTTCGTCGAGACACTCGGCGTGACAAACGATGCACTCGGTCTTGAGACGGTGGTTCTTGCAGTTGGTGCAAAGCAGCTGCTCTTTCGCCGGCGAGTGGGTGTTTGTTGGAATCAGATGCCCGTTTCGTATTTTGTTGCCGCAATCGATGCAGTTGCGGCAATTGTTGCAGCTCCAGCCATCTTTAGGCACGGAGTCCATAACAGGGTTCAAACAGTAAGTATGCCAGCCTTTGTCGCACGTTTCACATATAATCATCTGCGCGTCGTCATCCGACTTTCGACATTGCTGGCAAATTTTACAAGTGTAGCACTGCCAGCCGGCGCGCACTTCGCCGGTAACGATGATTCCTTCGTTGAGGCAACGCGCGTGCGAGTGGGCCCCGCAAGTCGTGCAAAACAAGAGATCGGAGAGCTCACCCACTTGACTACAGAATTCACAGCCAGAAGGGTCGATAAGACGCGCTTGGTGACGATGCTCTGGAGCGCAAAGAACCGAACAGGATTCGGCGTCTTGGAAGGCGCCAGAAGCTACCGCGCACGGGTAGTGATAATATGACGAGCAGTTGGAGACTTTACAGCGCACGGAGGCTCCGTAGTTTTGGCAGTAGGAGCACTTCTGACGTAAACTCGAGAAAACAGCGCGATCGACGCCGACAAGAGTTACATCTTCAGAGAACTCACTCTTCAGACTACGAACTATAATTCTCATAATTAGGCTATGTTTAATGAACGTGAATTTACTTTTTTTGGCAGGATGATTTTCGTGGCTATTTTCGAAACCCCGCGCTGTGGCAACACCCTCACTCCAGGCTGCGCAGCAGTGGTGGGCAAAGACGTGGCCTGTGGATTCGAAGACGTGTATGGGCTCTAGAACGTCCGCCCTTCCGATTTTGCTGAGACTGTCTTCGGAATGAAGGGAGAGGGCGCGCTTGGTGCCGCTGCGGGTTGAGCGTCGCGGAGTTTTCGGAGATGGAGAGTTTCTTTCTGACGATTGCTAAACATGTTGAATGTTTTCGGTCGCTAGAAGGGAGTTCTCTACCTGAAATGGGTCGAATCCGGCTGAAGGCGCATAACGGATAAGTTCACCCTGGCCGAGGTGGCTAGATACGCAACAGAGCGCGCATCTAGGTGGAGAAGAAGAATAAGAATTATCAAAGAAAGAATCGCAGTCACTTCCGCTGTCGAAGACCGAGGAGAGAAGACGACCGGGCCGCTAGAATAAAATTTCAGCGCTTGTCCAATGAAATTCTGAGAATTATTTCTCCTTTTTATAAAAAACATTTCAACTTATGAATCGAGATTTAATCAATTACTTTGATAAGTTCTTATATTTTGGTTAAATCTAAGTGATCGAAAAATATATCTCAGTACCAATTATCCCTGATTGTTCGTCTAAATCGGATTTTTAGCTTTGAGCCACAAACATAAAAAAAAACAATTAGACTAACGCCTTTTCGTAAAGGATATTTATAAGAGTTAAAAAAAGAGAACGGTAATAGAAATAAAAGCGGGTTTCTGCTGCAAGAGTTGCTTTTGGATAGGTTTTAAGTCATGGCATTAACGGTGAACAATAAAAATGAAAGACGGGAGTGGTGATTTATTTCAAACCTTGAAATTGTTTCGTTTTCCTATATAATTTGGATTCTGTGAAATTGCGGCTGTTGACATTCACGGTTTCTCCGTCTCTAATGCAGTTTCGGATTCACCATTTTTCAATTTTCGTTTATTTCGTTCTCAATAGTTTTTAAAGTTTGTTTCTGTGTTGGCAAGTGGGAAAGGTTCTGAGCAGGATAGGGCGCGTTCTTCGGGCGTGCAGGCTACTATCGCACACTGCTGGGCTCTAACTCGCCGTTCTGGCTTACAATCGGCTCCAGTCTGTAGGTTCCTGGGAGGAGTCTCCGACGAGAGCGCGCTACAAATGCATCCAGTGAGTCATTGGGCGTTTGGGCGCGACGGGGACGCCCAATCCACTCACACAACTTTCGAAACCCACGCCCGCGTTATACGCGCTAAAAGACCAGCGCGGCGCGCCCGCTCCCGCCCCATCACAACTTCAATTCTGAGCAACAATCTCCTCTCTCCCTCCATTCTTCTTCCTTTCCTAATTCAGCAGAGACGATGTTAAGTTAAAAAAAATAACTTAAAATAGAATAAATTAAACTAAATAAATTATTTAAGAGATCGTTTGTTTATTCAAATAGCCATTCTGTCGAAGCTATAAAAGTTCAATAGTACTATTTGCTGTGTCGAATCAACGCTCATTCGTTCGACGAATTCGCGAGGACTATCTCTAGAACGACCGATATTGTTTTCTTTTCAGAGTACTGTCACTTTGTTTTTTTCTGGAAACGACTCGGGTTTATTCAGACAGAAAGCGTGTTTGCTCGACGAAATCTTCATCGAAAAAATAGAAGCAAAAAAAGTAATTAGAAAATAATGTTTATCCCAGCAAAAAAAAAGGGGGTGGAAGTTCCGCCATGTGGGAATATGTATCGAATTGGGGGTAGGAGGGAATTTTCGCGTAGTTCTGTCAGCCAAGCGGTTGAGTAGCACATGGTCCGCAGCGGAAAATGACTCGATGACACTGATCAATGTCTTTGACCAGCAATTTGTCCATTCGCTCGTGTTAAACACACTATAACTGTAAGTTACGAATATATTTTCAACGCGTCCATGGCTATGTTTTTAGAATAAGGACTTTCTTTCCCCAGCACCTACTGTATCTGACTGTGGAATATAGTTTGAGGGAAAATGAGCCGACCGTGGGATGACTGTCGCTACTTCATCATCTCTGAATGTCTCAGGAAGAACTGTATGTACAGACACCACCTCCCCGCAAAGACTGCCCAACTCTGTTCGAAGTGGGCTTCTGGAACATGCCAAAAACTCGACTGTGACAGCATGGTACCCACACTCCAACAGAACGTTCGAAAATAATTTATTTTTCAGCACTTCGTGCTCAAGCAGAAAAACGAAATGCTTTGTTACTTTGAGAATACGCCAAGTGGTTGCATCAATCTCAGCTGTAGCTACAAACATGTCAAGCCGCGACCATCACCGAAGAAAGACGCGATGGACGAAAAGGTAAGATATTCCCTTTCTCCCATCTTCGCGATCTTCATGTTTCTCTAGGTAGCCAAGTATCTTGCAGAACTTGAAGGAGGCAAGACGTCGTCATCGCCACCAGCTGACGAAAAGGTAACAACGGAATCGAGTTCGATTTCAAGGTAAATTTTTATTTTAAGAAATCGCCGCTAAAATCTGACAAAGCAAGCTCGGATTCTGATGAAGAAGAAGATCTTATGGCAATGAGGGCGCGGATCTTGCAATCTCAAGCCAGGGTTTGTTTCGTCGACTGTTCACGAAAATGGAATGGTTGATATTTAGGCACGCGCTAACATCGTCAAGAAAACGGTGAATCGAGAATCGCCACCGCGATCGCCGGAAGAGGAACTCAGACCGACCTTCAATGTCGCCACTCCGCCGAAGGGCTTCCTCAAATCCGGTCGGAAGATCGTCTCAACCAAAAAGTACGTCTCTGTCTTCTGGTCGAATTCATAAAATCTTAAGGGGCTTTAGCGACGATGATCAGTCGGATATCTCGCTGGACGAGTTAACTGACGAAGAACAGGAAGACCTGCGAGCTCAGCTTAATAAAAACAAAGAGCCAGTGGTGCGTCTTTCAATCTTTGAGAACTTCCTATTTAATCTTTGATTTTTAGACTATTCGTAGAGTCGAAGATCAGTTTCGAAATGTGGAAACCAAGAAGTCCGAGAAAAAATCTGAAAAGACGGTGAAGGTGAGTCCGCATGAGATCATCCAATGAAATGCTTCATTGTATCTTCGTTTCTTGTGCGGGGCTCTATTTTTCGATTGTAGCATGCTGGCCGGATCATTTCTATCCGCAACGAGAACGCGCCTGAGCTGAAGCGGGAGAGCTCGTCTGAATGGGTCGAACGAAAAATAACTATCAAGGTAAGAAAATGCCACTTGCTGCATGAACTAGCTTTTGTTTAAATATCCTTTATGTGTGAGTAAGGGCATCGAGCATTTTAGCATTAGCTTACAATAAACTAGCAGATCATAAAGTTCAAATAAACGAAGGAAATTTGCTAGTGAAGTAATCTTGAATCACTCTCTTTTTAAAATGCTTTTTTCAAGAAGCCGAAGAAAGAAAAGGCGAAAAATCCGTTAGTCACTCGAGTGGTAACCAACGTCTTCGCTGGAAACTCATCGGAAGCATCTTCGTGTGATTCAGATGAATCTCCCAGAAAATCGACTAAAAGGAGAAAACCAAATACATCTTGGGCTTCCGTAAAAGACGAAAAAAAGTAAGTTTATTCATAGCTTCTGCACGATAATCAACAAAAAAATCAGCGTAAGAAATCGCCTCGGAAATAAAAATGAAGAAGATCTGAGCAAACAGATTTTGAAGGCGCGCCTCAATCGCTTCGGCGGAGAGGTGTCGAAGAAAGAATCGGTCTCGGTGAATAGACGGTTGACGCTTTCTACTACTGGTGGAGGAATAAAATCTCGCCTCGGTGGTGGCGTTGCCGCTATTCTCACCAAGGAATGCCAAGCCGCCGCCAAACAAGCCAGCAGCAAGCCAATCAACGTCAAAAACAGACTCGGAGAACAAGCGACCGCCCCTCCAAGGTATTTCTAGCATGAGCTGCATTCATTGCTGAATTTTTGGTAATGTTGCGAAAAATGAGCATTGAAAGGCGCTCGAGCGTGTGAAATCGTGCTTCATTTAACATTCGCGGCTCAATAAATTTTAAATAATTTCTTCTTCGTCTCCAAAAGCAAATCGTAAACGCGTTTTCTCTAGAAGCGAGCAGAAGGTTAATGGAAATGAAAAAGAGTCGCCTAAAAAGAAGACTGTAAATCCGCTACGTAGAAAACGCAGTTTATCGTCAGAGAAAGAGCCGATCGTCAAAGAGAAACAACCAAAGACTGCTTTGAAGGAAGTGAACCCCTTTGAACATTCGTACGACGTTCCAGATATCGACGATACAATTCCCAACAAACCCGTTTTATCTAGCAATGGAGTGCGTAAAGAAGATAAAACAGCCGAGAAAAAAGAAATCACGCCAGTAATTCCTGACCCTGATGCAGAAGAGGAAGCCACCAAAAGGTTCAAACGTACTAATTGACATTGTTTATTATGCGTAGTTCTAGTCCACCAGAACAACTCGCCAGGAAGCCGTCGACGTCCCCCGTTAAGTCCAGGCGTCTGAGTTCACGTAAGTCTAACTTGACCTTGGGAATTTTCTTTGTTTATCCAAGCAGCAGTGAAAATGCGATTTTTTATTTAAACAAATAGGCGTTTTTTGTTTATCAATTTCTTGCCTTCAGGTGCACTTGACGATATGGACGACTTGGATGCCGAGTTGCTGCTGGGCGTAGAAGAGAGCGACAATTTAGACCTTGGTGGCGACATAGACGACGAAGATCTTTTTGCATAATTGTCAATTATTAATTGACTCCAAAAAATGTTTCAAAGCCTCAAAGTCTTCTACTCAAACTAACACCAGTAATTTCTTCAAGTTACACCAGTCGATTAGACAAAGTTGAGATGAGACTCTCTTCGTACTATTTACCTAACCGACTCTCCTTAAAATGATATTGATGCTGTATATTTATCTTCTTCAACGTTACGGTGCTTCATTCGTTTATTCTTGCTTCAGAGGAATGCTGTCAAGTTAATAAGAAACCCAGTTCAATGACTTCTCGCCTACATAATCTTATTTTTAGAATGAATGAGCACGATCTAGTGGAGAAACTAGCCCTGAGTAACATTCGAACGATCTCAAGAATCGTGAAGAGCAGGATCTAAAATCGGAGCGGTGCTTTCAATTTCGCCAGTTTCTTTATTTGTGTACCTAATTGCTTCAATTCTCGTGTAGTGTTTTCGTTTAGTTGGAACAATTTTCGATCCCTACTGCGAAGAATAAACTCAGGTCGCTCCGAATCAACGCTAAATCTAAAAATTCTAGAATGGTAGACACAAATGAGGTAGAATCTCATTTGATTGAACGGTACGAAATCAGACGCAGATTAGGTTAGTCCAATCTTCGTTTCGCGTTAGGTATATTTTTTCCATTAGGGAAGGGTGCGTATGGTATCGTCTGGAAGGCGAATGAGCGCAAAACAGGCCGCGTAGTGGCGTTGAAGAAGATTTTCGACGCTTTTAGAAATCCAACTGATGCTCAGAGAACATTCCGGGAAATCCTCTTTCTTCAAGAATTCGCAGATCATCCAAACATCATCAAGTGAGTCTTTTGTCATAATCAGCAGTTAACTTTCGTTTAGATTATTAAATGTAGTGGCAGCCAAGAATGACAAAGATATCTACCTAGTTTTTGAATATATGGAAACGGACTTGCATGCGGTCATTCGAAAGGGAGGCATTTTACAAGACGCACATCAAGTAAGCAGCCATAAACTGGACTTGATTTAACTGTTTTCCAAAGAGATATATTATGGCCCAACTGATGCGCGCAACTGCCTTCCTTCACTCTGGAAATGTAATCCACCGAGATCATAAGCCTTCAAACGTCCTCCTTGATTCTGATTGCGCAGTCAAGGTTCCAATCAGAAATTAATTCATAGAAATAATTTTCAATAGATCTGCGATTTTGGCCTCGCCCGATCGCTATCTTCCATTCCAAAACGAGGGCAAGGCGACGACACCAGCGTCCCAGCGCTGACTGAATACGTGGCTACTCGATGGTACCGTGCTCCGGAAATTTTGCTCTCGTCCCCTCACTACACAAAAGGCGTGGACATGTGGAGTTTAGGATGCATATTGGCCGAGATGTTGCTCGGCAAGCCGCTATTCCCCGGCGATTCTACTTTCGATCAAATCGAGAAGATCATCAGAGTGATCCCACAGCCTTCGCGACTGGACATTGACGTTATTGGCTCCCAGTATGCTTTGTCAGTGGTCGAGCGCGCTCAACGAAAACAACGAGTGACGCTCGAGCAAATTCTTCCGAAAGACTCGCCCAAAGATGGAATCGATCTCATCAAACAGTTGCTCGTTTTTAACCCAGAGAAGCGCCCATCTGCCGAGTCCTGCCTCAGTCATCCTTACGTTGCTCGATTCAACACGAAAAAAGAACCTCTTGATCTTGGCTATCAGGTCATTCCACCGATCGATGACGATGTTCAGCTCTCCGTGGACGAATATCGCTCAAAATTGTACAAAATGATTAGGGAGAAAAAAGCTGCAAGAGATCTTGAGCGAGAGCGTCGCTATGCCGAAGAGCAAGCAAAAAAAACCAAAAAGGTAGTGTGGCTTTTCTTGCATGATTTTACCGTTATTTTGCAGGAAGATCTCAACAGGACGCTAACAAACAGCTACCCAGAGTCAGGAAGCGCAACTAAGCAAATGACGAGCACGGGGACGGCTCCCGTCTACCCAGCTGCGTCTGTCGCTGCATCGAAGCCAGTATCAGTGCCAGCCCCTTATCGTCGATCGTCGAAAGTTGTGGCTATGGATAAGGGCGAACCATCTCGTCATTCTCGCAGTGCCCAAAATCTCGCGCCTCACCAGTCGCCCGTGATCCACAGCAGACACAGCTCTGCCCCGCTTCACAGACAAAACACGAGAGAATTTACGAAGCAGCAGGACCGCCTTGTAAGTAAACAGTCTTTATTCTTGATTTTAATCTTTTCATTATTGCAGAGACAAAACAGTAACATCATTCGCAAAAACAGTCACTCAAATAACAACAACGGGAACATGAAGGATGCCGACTTGAGCGTCACTGGCAAAGTGGTTGGCACCAAGTCACGGTCAAACTTCGTTCGAACTACCGGTGCGAAAAACACGCAGCCTCATCGATCTTCCTCCGGAACTTACAAGGTAAAATGACTCTCGGTCGGACGGAGGTTTTTCTTTAGAATATGACGAGTAGCGGGAACGCCGCCCGAAATACCGGCTCCAGTCACAGCCAACAGTATGGCACCGTTACTGCAAAATGGCTTAACGAGCACAACTGATGATAACCATTTCCACTTTTCTCTATCCCCGTTTTACATATTTCTATAATTTCATTTCATTCCCGCGAGATGTCCTCTTCGCATTTCCAGTCCCCTTTCTTATGATCCAAGTTTCCGACTATAACTTCTGCTAGCGCAGCCTACTAATTTACGTTTTATTTATTTCCTTTCTTATTTTTGATTAATTTTTACATCTCATGACCGACCTCGAACGTAATTCAATTTACACGCATCATCAAAAATAGTGATGACTCACAGTTGGGCAGTGTTATGCGCTGGTAGATATTTCTTCGTTTACCCAAGTTTTAAGTGAAGCGAACAAAATTTGAGAACAGTTTTCCCACCATTATGTTATGCTTAAACATTCCGCTCTTATCGAGAAATCATGTGAAATCCAGGACCCAAGAAGCGATTTTGGTTGAAATACAGAAAGTGAGTCACGTATTCTTCCTTGTTGTCGAACACTGAAGTCACTTTGTTTCTACTAGCGCTTTCTCTTTCTACACTTTCGCAGAAATTCTTAATAAGCACTTCTACAATGAAAATATCACTGATGTTTCGGATACCCACTTTACGCCTTGCGTTGGCTGCTAACTCTTTCTGTCTTTTGTCCTCCTTTTCCCAAATTTCTGTGCAAGATCAAGAACCAAAGGGATAAGCAGAATGAAAGTATGCGCCATTTAGTGCTCTTTCTCAAGAAGAGCAGAGCGATCACCGTCTCTCTCTCAAAAATGTATAATTTTCTATAAATAAATCTATATTTTTCAAATAATAACTTCGAGTCTTGCTTCAATTTGCACGACTCGGCGGCTTCAAAGTGTTTTTCTTTATTGCAACTCAGAGCAGTTTAGTCATCAAAACATAATTATTATTTTTAATGATCTTGAGTGAATTTTAATAGCAATTGCGACAATTTTCGAGCATTGCCATGTGTCCAGTAGGATTAATGATAATAAGTCACTATTATTGTAACTATTAGGCAATTCACAAAGCAATTCAATTATTGATAGTTTTAATTTGCAAATGCCAATTGGTTCGATGCACTAATTACCCTAAGTGACCCCGAAGGAGGTCAGAACATGTTGGTGGCTTTTTCTTTCGAAGCTTCTGGTGATTTAAACATTGCGCAATCAAAAACCGACCAATTAGACGATGGCTCTAAATTTTCGCAAAGATTTCCTTTTTCCCTTTCTGAGTTCCCTTTTCAATTTTATCCGATGAGAGCGCAACTTGCACGGCGAGTTCTTTTTCCGCAGCGCTGTGCGCAACTCGTGCGCCGGAGAGACCTGACGATTTCTGGGGCGATGAGAAGTGATGGATTCGCGTCAGAAGAATATCTCAGGGCTTTATCCAGGCTGGGTCTGGAAGGAAACCTTTTTCACTCGAAGGAAAATCTGAGGAAGGCGTTCATTGAACTGAACGCAGAGGTTGAGCTGGACGACGTCTCAGGTAAAGAAGGTTTTTAGTGAAATTAAGTAATAGTATTTTATTTCTCTGGATAAGGCCACTTTGAGAGAGCTCTGCGTTTAACCATTTAAATTTACGCTGTAGTAATTGTGTTTAGTGTAAGGCTCTCTTTTAGGTTGAATTTCGCTCTAGTTAGTCGTTGTTTAGACTTTCGGGTTGTAAATTTGTGTAGCGCTGTCACTAGTGCAAAAGAACATCAATTTCTTGGCAAAAGATAGTTACTTCTGATCACGGTTTTGTAGTAAGGAACGCATACGAATACTGCCTTAATTTCCATGAGGACATGTACGGGAGAAGCCAAGGAGTTGTCTCGGAGAAGATTGAAAACGTCACTAAATTGAAGCGCTCAGTTGGAGGTAAGTTACTCAAAGTTCATGGCAAATAAATAAATTTGCGGTTATATTCATGGTAGAATTCGAGGTAGTCTTACTTGAAGCCTTGCTCTGAGAATTCTTCATTTGGCTACTCGAATGTTTACTGTTGCTTTTTTCCAATTGACTGAACGAACACTTCAGGAATCAGTTACTGGGAGACACTGATGATGGGGACTCGGCTGTTTTTCCTATTTTGCGTTATGCTTTGGTACATTCTCCAGCTTATGAAGCCCTATGTCCGATTTACCTCAACATACTACATGGATGAGCCAGAATCGAGAGGGCTGTTCTCCGCCCGTCGATATTATCGATGATTTTACTGTACAAAATTCCTGAAACTCTTACAGAAAATACATTTGTACGTCAGAATGTTGATGTCTGTCTCTACTTCTCGATATTTCCCCTAACCCAACACATCAGGTCATGTGTTGTTATTGGGGACATACGCGGTTTCACGAGGCATTTCCTCTTCTCCAAGTTTTATCCAGATATGGAAGAATTTTAACTACGCGAGCTTGAATTCTTGTGCAATTGATCGAAGTTTAAATAAACTATTATGCGAATAGAGAAATGCCTTTAGAATAGGAAATCACGAGAGTTATTTCTCTTGGCAACTAAACAATTTCGCTCGAGAGAGTGAGCCAAGTTTTGTACTCTCCAAAAGTTCCTCTGATTGCAAGTCGCTCATTTCATTTGGAACGTGCATAAAAATAACACCCTCAATATGTTCTGGAACTGGGCGGGTCGAAATGAAGAAATTGTTGCCCTCTTATTCCGGACAAGAATTTCATTCAAGAAAAACAGGCCGAGTTGATTTAACTTTTCAAACTTGCCAGGGGTAATTTTGGGAAATCAGTATTTATTAGAAATATTTATAAGAAATAGCTGGCGGGTTACTGCTGAGTAAATCGTCTACTCGTGTAGTTTGCAAGAGTTCGTTCGAATAGTTTACAAGCGATGTAAACTAAATATCACCAACAGGCCCTTTTTCTTCCTCCAAATAATTTAAATTGTCTAGCTATAATGTTATTTCATAAACACTGCTTTAAGAAGCAAGAAAGAGCAGCCTCCGGCTCCGAGAATTGGAATGAAAACAAAAGAGGTCTATTTTTTGTAAACACAAACTTTCATTTTGTATAAATATCAATATGATTAGTTGAACGATCTTTGCTGCAATTATACTTGGGCAAGCCAAAATACGAATTTGTGCGGAAGTCCTCAAAATTAGTGGATAGACACTTGATTTTTAGTGATTTGCAATGATAGTTAATTTGATTGTTTCCTTTCGATCAGGAGAGGTTTGAAAAACTCAATCGCCAGCAGATGTCTGGGCTGATTTCTCTTGAAACTGACGATTCGCTCGTGATTTTTTTCATCTTACATATAAAGAAGCATCGAGAGTGGGATTTTTTCATTGCAGAGAAGCCTTCCGAAAACACCGGAAGCGTCGAATTTCGAAATGTCTCACGAAACCTACAGACGAGGCAACGAAGCGATAAGATACGTTGACAGAAAGTACGTCAAGAGTTTCGGAAAATATGGAAAGTGCGCGATGCCAAGCTGCTACAGGTAATTCTTTCGTTATTTCAACGTTTTACTTATCGAAAGGGTCACCGAGAAAATGAAGAAAGCAAACGCCTTTCGTCGTTTTGTCTGCGAACACTGCATGCTTGGCCCACAAGTGAACGAAGAACTAGATGAAGCCGAAGAAACAAGAATGAGTGATGCAAAGCTCACATGTCCTGCATCGAAATGCTACGCATTGTCATCTCCTCGTCAGTTCATCAATGGAGAATGCTGCGAAGATGCAAAGAAACACCGTTACTGGCATTTTTCATTTCAAATCATCAAATTTTCATTTTTAGAGAGAAAGGCGTTGGTCATTGACGCACACAGAGCGTACCTAAACTCGCGATTGGAAGAAGACGAGGCTACGTTAGAGCTTTTTGACGCTGAAAAGAGGGTCAGCAGCGCAAAAATGAAACTTAGGAGGGCGGAAGAGGAACTCAAGGATGCCCAGAAGGAAGCAAATTCTACTAGACAAAATATCTTGCGTCGACGAGAAGTTACTCTGGCAAAACGGAGAAAGCTTGATGAAGAAGCGGCAACTGTTTGTCGGGAAGAGAGTAAGTTTTGTTGTCAACATAATTTTACGTTATTGAAAAGAGGGGCCGAACGTCGAAGTTCGTGTCTTTGGACCAGAAGACATCAAAAACTACCAAGAAGAAGACAAATCCTCATGGGCACCCTTCAAATAGATGCGATTTTGAGGCTGTCAAAAACGATTTTGGAAAAAAAACAGTGTTAACCAGAAAAAAATATGTGGACTCAGATGACATGCCCTAACCAAATTCCGGCTTTTATTTCAACGATGAGCTACTACTAGTAGTACTAGTACATTGTATCGCAATTTTCGACACCCTCAAACTATCTACGGACTTTTCTCCTCCTTCACTCGTGACAATCTTATTCCCTTTGCTATTTTTCCTATTCTATTGAAAAAAAAACTTAAATTTAGTATAATAAACTCAATAAGTCTGAATAAATCCAATAATTGACTTCATTTTTCCCAAAATGAACTCATTTATCAAGAAGTAGTTGAAAAGATAAGTGCAAAATCTTGTTCAACTAAGCTTCGAAAAAATCGTTCTATTATTGAAAAGCCCAATTGTAGGGCCGTTTTATCCCCCAGTTTTGAGCGAAAAAGCTCAAAATTACTGTCCAGATTTATCGGCATCCGACATAAGAACGTGTTTTACGCTTAAATTATTTTTTCCATACGACTCATTTCCTGAAGCAAAAAAATTGATGAAATCGATCGAAAATCGCGAGTCGCAGCGGCCTTGGAAAACACCATAAAGGGACGCTTGACTTTATAGAACTGAATTTTTACGAATCCGCCAGGGTTATCGCTTCCGGCCTTTGTGGCTAAGATCAAGTGTAGTATCTGTTCTTCTCAGTGTGACAGCTGGGACCGTCCCTACTGGGACGTCTATTGTCACCCTGATTTTTGGAACTAGGGATGTAGTTAGGGGCTTGCTCCGCTCTTCCCACGGGTTGACTCGCTATTGCAGTACCGGCGAGCTCGGCCCACTCCCCTACTGGGGAGAAATAAACCATAAAAACGTACGAAACCACTTTGGGAACAAGTGATGATGAGCACAGTCGAAGATAAGCCTCCCTGGAAGAGGTGGAGAATAAGCTCAAATATTTGATTTACAGCGTTAATTTTGGCAACTAGAAATTTTCACAAATATTGTAAGACAAAGCTGACAATATGTTTGTTGCACCAAAAACAGTTGTTGGAACACTGTCTAGCTTATTCCTGCTAGACTTGTGAGATTGGCGCACTAGTTGGAATCTAATTGTTTCCCCAAAACGTGGGTCTCTACCGTAATCGTATGAAGCCACTGTTAGTTGGCCATACATATAAAGTCAAGTTCTACGTTGCTCTAAGCCCAAAATTTGAATTTTTGTGGCGACAGCGAACCGCATCGGCTTTTTGCTCTAAGCAAAATGAGCTGCTTCTCAAATCGACACATCAAGAATTTGTCCCAGCATAAAAGAGCTTGGTCTCTGGCAGCTCCAATCTCGATTAGCAGCACGAATCCGCTCCAGTGTCTCTAAAATGCATCACCTGGCAATCATGAAATCAGGCGGCTTCACTAATTGTCGCTTTCAAAACGAGCGAGCTTTATATTGCCGAACGATTCTTTCTCAAAGAATGCGATCTTCTACTCAAGAATTCAGAAAACCTATCATTTCTTGCTCAATTTAAGAATCACATACAACTTTTAATCGGCTTGACAGACCGAAATTAAAAAAAAAAACTAGGAAATTGCTATGGATAGTTGTAATTTTGATGCCAACCGTTTTGAAGTCAGTTGTTCTAAGTTACCGATTATGAAAAGTACACAACTGATTGAGAGAATCTATTATTTTGTGATTTGAGTGAAAACAAAATTATAAATACTTTCTAATTGGGTTTGGTTATTATTAGATCTAATTGAACCAAGGGTAGAACGAGAAGTTTACTCCTAATAATTAATTCTACGATAGTAAGCACCAGACCACGATTAGCCACAAGATTGCGCAGTTCGGTTCTTACTGATGGCGCTGCAGGAGCACCATGGTGGAGCACAAACTGTGCGCTCCAACCTTTTAATATCATAAAAAAATGAGAGGCAGAAGCCCGGAAACCGGATGCTCTCTTGTCCAAAGTGCAAGATTTAACTAGAGATATTTCAGAGAATGAAGGTCTTATATTAAAAACGAAAATCAAAGAATAACCAGCAATCATAAGAGAAACTGCCTTTTTTATAATCAATCCTTTCTGAAACAATTTCAACTATCCTTAGTGATAAGGATTCATGAGAGATTGTATTCTTTTTACTCTTGTTATTATTACTGATTTATCTTTTTCAGACTTTGAAACGGCTCTTGACGATTGGAGATATCTCCATACATATTTTTTTGAGTGACTAACGGTAAGTTAACGGAACGTTTCAGATTTTGGATATATCACTGTTTTGAACGGAGTTTTTTTCTCACCGATTACGGAAGGTGCGTCTTAGCGGTCGCTTGATCAGTTTTGAGATTTCAAGCTCGTGAGCACTGAAAAATCATGCGGTCTAATCTTCTCAGAATAATCATCGCCTCATTTCAGGAGCATGTAATCGCACTCGAAAATTTACTTTATATAGTGGTCAGCGAAATGGCTTCTTTTTAACGGGCTAGATTGAATTTAACATTGTTTCGTAAGAGATCTCCTTCGCTTGAATACAAAATTTTCTTGTTTCGATACTCGAGATGAAACCGCACGTTCTTTCAAGGAAGATATACAGCGCCAAGTTTATAGAAACAGTTCGTAAATATTGTTCTTGGTTGATCCATGAACCTGAGCAGATCAGCGATAGAGCGATTCATACTTGCTCCTCGTTAAGAACTCTTAATGCGTTAATGAGCTTTGTGCGTTATAATATCGTGAAGAATAAGAACTTATTTGCTTCATCGGCTTAGATGGAGATGAAATCCGAGCGCCGCTAAAAGCATCCCACCGACCTTCAAAAAACAGTTTTATTCCAATTATTCAATTAGAACCGCCTTATTGATGATTTTGCTTTCAGGTGTAACGACAGAGCAGCGATTGCTCTTAAATATATTTAAACGACTGAGCAACACACGTCTTGAACAAGGAAACGGATACTGCAACGCTGATGTCAATACATTTATCCTCAAACACTGATCAGCAAATGCATCCGTACAAAAGCATTTCGTGAATATAGTTGATTATCAACTTGCTCTTCGACAAATCAATTGTTTTAAATTTCGATTATTTTTTAAACGAACCTGCATTTTTGAACTTGGCTTTTACCAAACGGGTTAAATCTTTGACAACAACTCGGCTAACTCTTTAATTCCTTTCTCCACTCATTTTGTTTCTTGTTTTCATTTGATATACTTAAAGAATACTAATAGGCATAAATTTTTATATAAAAATTTAATATAACCCTAAATCTTGGGATTCACAATAAGACATTTTGAAATAAGGATTAAGAGTTTTTTCAGTGATTTTTTTTTGAATAATTTTTGCGATAAGACTTCCGAATCCCACCAGAGTCTTATTCTATCTGGTAGGTTATCGCTTCTATGCCCTAGAAAGTGTATGGCACGTGCTTCTATGTTTTTATCTTCTTAGGAACGCGACCTCCTCTCTTTCCAGCTCTACAAGCGATCGCGCTACTAAAGGTAAAGTCCACGTTAAATCAGTGAAAAGCTGACCGACGCCTTGTCTTGAGTTGAGCGGAAAGTTGAAACATAATATCGACAAACACTTTCCAGAACAAAGATAATCTGGGCTGGCTCAGTGGTGAAGCCTTGTTGAATCACTTTGTGAGTATTTTCGGGAACTCGAACTTACCCAGCTCCAACTTGGCAACTCAATATCCGACAAAAACCTCACGTGACAAATAGCAAATGCGTGTGAGCAACAGTAGATATTTTTTGAGGCCAGTTCGGCGAATTTTGCCCAAACTAATTGTTTTCTGCTCAGAGCAATTAACCTTGCACAGGGAGCAATTGTTCTCGCTCTTCTCTCTGGAATGAATTGCATCGCTCGTGAGCGATTCCGACAATCACGAATTCGACAATTTCGTCGGGGGAACGAAATAAGTTGTTGAGAAGCTGCTGTTCACAAGAAAGCGATAGAGTGTAGTTTTTCTTTTCTCCGGGGTCTCCAGCTGAGCTAGACGCTTATCTATATTGTAAGAACGAGAGATAAAGCTGTCTTAGAGCAACGCGGAGAACCAGAAACTCCAACCAGTGAAAATCAGAAGTCATAATTTATTTGTAAAAGTTGGATTTATTCAAGAGAGATATATTTTGAGAAAGCGCATCCAGGGGTTAGAAAACTGAAAACGCGGGAATGAAACCTTCTAAGCTGGATTTTTAGATCTCTACCAGACGAGAAATGGCGACTTACGATAACCAAGAGTCCTTGCCCTACATTTTGGAAGCCATCAACGATCTCCAGGGACGGTTACAACCATGATAAAATCTTGAATTTGACCGGCATTGGAGATATCTCTGATAAAAGAGGAAATGAGAATTTTGGGTGGGGACTGAGACCTGTAAAATAACCTTGCAAAGACCCGGTTCTACGGTTTTCAGCTGGAACAACTAAAGAACCAAGAGAAAATCCAGCAGGTGCCATCGTTGAACTCAATCTGGTCGACTAGCTCCGACTCAGCCTGTGGATCGACTCGGCCACCTTCAACCGGTTCTGCGGCATCTTCTGTCGATCGAGACTCTGGGAACAGTTCAATTCGGTATTTTACAGAGAGCAGTAGTGGGCCTGTCTGACCGCATACGAGCTCGATTTCCAAAGTGATTACTTAATTAAATGTTGTAGATCCTTCTCCCCTGATGTTTCTTCAGCCTCCGCTCAGCATTATTCCGCTCAGCTCAATGCTGCGGCCGCTCTATGGCCGCAAGCTGCTGCTGCTGCTAGTCTTGCTGCCTTCCTACCAAAGCAACAGAATCAGCTCAGGGTTACACGATTTAGATTTTATGATATGATTTCATCAGAAAAACTAACAACGTAATGCTCAACCCTGGCTAAGATGAACTCCGTCCATCTCCTTCAGAACGCGTTCAATGTTGGAGTACCCAAGAAACACAACATCAACTTCTCGAATGATAAGGACATCAAATTCGAGCGAAACCATTTTGAACAGCAAAAGAAGAACATCTCTCCAATCGGCAGCGGCATCCCAAAAAACAATTATATGCACTCTTCTTGGATTCCTAACGCCAGAAAAGGCGCTCCTGTCAAGCAAGGAGCTTCCCCATTCATGAATTTCATCGACACTCGTCAACATCAAGCACAGAGGTATAACATCGAAAATCATCCTCCTTGGCAAGCGGAATTATAGATCCTTCCAAAAACCATTCGCCCCAAAGAAGATGCACAACAACGCAAAAAAATCTAACTCCAACGCTGACAAACAAAAACAAGGTCCATTCAACAAAGTTCTCATCGTTGGACTCGGCCCTAACCACAGAAGTCTTCCTGACGTTGTCGGTTTGTATAATACATTCCTGCTTGATGATTACATCGTTCTATTATATTCTGCCTTTTAGATATTTTCCGACCATATGGTGATGTAGTTTCTGCGCGAGTGCTTCCTCCCTTCCAGACGCTACCAAATGACATTACTCGATGGGTACCCAGCGTTGAACTCCAGGTGTGTATATTTCAGCAACAAAACGTCCTACTAGAGAATCAAGTTCATTCCATCTTTGAATTACAAATTCCAGGGAACTTATTGCGCTATTGTCGAATATCCAACTGCACGATGCGCTAAATTTGCCGTGGGAGTTCTTAGGGAACGCGTCGTCAGCAATAAATACAGGTACTTCTAGGCTTCTTTGTCATCTCAAGATATAACCCACTTTTTAGAGTTGTTTTACTCAAACCAGGAGCTTATGATGAGCTCCAGCGACAACATCAGTTGATTTTGGGATCTACTTGCTCGTCCACCGACGAAAAAGAGCAGCAGAACGCAGAGATCAGTTCCGATTCCGGAAACGAATCTGTGGAACACCGCTCCACATCTGATTGCCAGTCTGACGCGTAGAAAAATCAACGAGTCTGACGCTTCGCTATGGAGTAGTGTTCACCAACCCCAAAATTGTACATATATGTTGAAAATTGATGTAAAATAATGATGATGATGACTCATCGCACCAAACAAAGCTGGCGACCATTCGCGCATGCTGCTTGATGGACGAAAGTTGCGATATTACCTCGGAACTAAAGACAAACTATTCTACGTTTTCTGTAATTTTAACTCTTTGACTTTGACGATTAGCCAAGTTTCACAGGCTCGTGGAACTCACCATTTGGCTCAAATGTTTATTCGTACTTTTCCCTGTATAAATGCTCCCTTCGTTTAGACTCACCTATTGAAATTTTCGATTTTTAATCAGTAATTTGAATTTAATAGCCAGAGTAGATTTCATGATATCTTTATAACATTTCGCGATATGCGCTTTATTGGACACTTTTGCTTTTGAAACTCGAAAAAGAGCTTTGTTTGTCTCCAAATTACCAATCTCGATAGCTTAATTTTTTCGCTTGCGCATAAATCAAGATAAAAATGCTGAGATTAATAGTAGCAGCAGTAGTCTCGAGAGAGAATTCATAAGCCCAATACAAAAAATAATTTGAAGACCCTTGACAAACGATATCAATAGACAAGCATAATAAAAACGTCTATCTTTGATATTCTAACCCGATCTTAACAAGTAAACTCTTGCTTTTAATAAAGTTTATGTTCTTTTCACTTCGTTGGCTTATATTGATTGCTCTGATTTGCATTTCCGCAGGGTCAAATTTGGTAGACTTGTAAGCGCGTGCTTACGAGCCTGATCGCCTTTACTAATTCTAATGTTGTTGATTCAAGGGTCAATTAAAGAGTAACTCCATCAATGCAACGTTTCATGCTTCGCCTAAAAACAAACTGCTGTTTTCGCAAAGCAATTCGATTTTGATATCATTATAATTAAAAACACGCGAAAATCAAAAGATAAGGCATTTTAGACAATTACCGGATTAGCGAGAATAAAGCTATTTGTTCACTCGCTGTAATCGCAACTTACAGTTTCTAAAAGTAGATTGATGTATTTGGAGAAGCGCAATTTCGAATGATTATTTTGCTTACGTTTAACACTTGCGTTCAGTTTTAGAAGCTTTGCCGATAAGAGTAGTTTGATGTTAAATTAATGTTTTGAACATGCCGACGTCGTCTTGCATTTTATCAATGCCTAGTTCTATCCAAAGGAAGTCGATCTTTTCAGATCTTTAGGACTCGCTTAATCACATTGGAATAGATTCGGAACGTGTTACCTGGTTTGACACGAATTAAATGCAATAGGAGTTAAAAAACCGGATTCAAGCCGAAGCATTTATTAAAGCCGGAAGAAGAAAAATCTTTATCGCAATTAGCAGAACCAAAGATCAGTGAATTGCATCTCAACTGACTCTGTTTTCAAAAATTCCATTCTTCTATTAAACTAGATATATATTAAAAACGTTTTCCTTTTGGGTCACTAACGCCGGTTCCAGTCCAAACCCCGTCAATCTAAATTTAGGATAGACGATAAAAAAGGCGAGAGCTCACCTGTTGGATGACCCCGTCACCAAAGTGCATCAGGACGAAAATTGGGATTGAGAGATTCTTCACCTTGATGGCGACGTTAGCTTCACAGGACTTGTATGAAAATCACGACAGTTTGTCATAGTTAGCGCTGCTTGAGAGTGATGATTTTAACTGTTTCCGAGCAGGGTCTTATTTTTTCGTCCACCATTTGCCTCGTAGGCACCACTTGTCTTGTTGCTAAATGGCTTTTACCGTGTTTTACCAAAAACCATGTGATCGACCGAATAACGCCCATTATGTCACCACCACATCGACTCTAAAACTTTCGACCCCTACCACGAGCCCTAAACAACAAATTGCCCAAAATTTTCGCTTTTCTGTTACGTTTTCGGCCATATGTCGAGAAAAAACACCGTTCCTGGCATAACTTGGTTCTTTTTTACAGATTTTCACGATATTGCTCTACTTTTTTTCCTTGAACAATAAAAAGAGCAATTTTTGTTATGTTAAATCCGGTCCTATTCCAAGAGAAATATGGAAATTGCCACCAAACTCGACGGAAACATCTTGAAAAACTTCGTAATCGAGGAGGTTGACGAACTCAAAAGAAGAGTCAAGTCTTCAAATTTGATATTATTTATTATTTTTTGGCAAACTTAGAACCTCGTTGAAGAAGTATTTCCCGTTGGAAGGTCGAACTCTAAAAATGCGAGGGACTCCTCTGTGGGCGAAAGATTCAGAATCTCCTTATTCATCAAGTGCTCTAAACAGGGTTGATTATGGGTCATTACTGTAGATTACCAGATGACTCGTCAAGGCTCGACAGGATGTTCTCATGAAAACCGAGCATAACTTTAAAAAGGTTCACATTATCCGCGCTGTGCTTGGCATGTCAGCCACGATTTCAGAACCCTTTTGAGTAAATGTAAGTGTTATAGGCTTACATAAGAACAAAGAGTGCCTGTCTCTTTGGCGGCACTGTTGCGCCTGGACCCATGCTTTCTAAATGCTCTAGAAAGCGAAAAGCAAAAGATATTTGGCAAACATTTCTGAAGCCAGAGCGGAAATACTTTCGGCGCAGAACCTTTTTCCTAATTCTGGGACGAAAATAATTTTGGAGTACAAACGAAGAGACTTGAATTGGTTCAAGTTGACCTCGTCATCATCTTCACGATCAAGAATGTCGACCGAGTTTTGCCACATTAAAGCGACGAGATCAGCAGCCAACTCGTCAGAAAATCCAGATGACGCGAGCATCAATCTTTGCTGATTTTTCTTTCTGTTGGATCGCAAATCCTTTGCCTATTCTATGTGTTAATGGGCCTTGAAACAATTACTCGCAGAAGATTTACTTTCCAGGCGCATTCATGAATGCACGTCCTCAGCTTTCCAAAAATGCCATGCCTCAGCAACGGAGCAGCCTGGCGCGCGAACTCAGCGAATTTCGGCTCTGCCCTGTAAAAATGTGCCTCGCGAAACTTACCCTTCTTCGTTAAATCGACCGCCGCGGTTTTCATCGACGAAGCTGAGAATAAGCTTAACCAGAGTTAACTCGGCTCAGCTCAATTGTCGGCCACCTGTCTACCAGTTCCGGCGGCAGTTTTGTGAACTTCTGGTCGCCGAGTGCGAATGACACCCAAAGCCACAGTGAGATCTTCCTCAAGTGTTCGATATTATAGATTAATCTCTGCAGGCTGTTCCGAAAACTTTTGCTTTTGAAACTACAGTCTCTTCACTTAGTAATCTCTAGTAAAATTTCGAACACGTGATTTCATGATAAGGTGCTATTGTTGTATCCACTGTCGAGGCTTCGATAATTGCGATCTTATTAGTGTCAAGTGCTTGCTCATATCCTGGAATGAAGTGGGTGATGGTAAGAGCCGTTTGTGCTAATTGTTAGCGGTCTGCGGAAGAAGCTCGATTAAAGTAGTTGTTGCGAATGTCGACACTAATAGGATGTTAGTAATATTATATTAGCTAACTTTATTTTCACAGGTCAGAAAACGTGAAACACTCGAAGTTATTTTCGCAAAGAAAATATGCAAGAAAAAATATATAATTTTCGTAGCAACGAGAAAACCGCGAGCCGCATCTTATCCAATATTACTTTTCATTTATTCTAATTTGCCCTTTTTCCTGAAGATAAGAACCAAATATCGATTATAATGGCTATTTTACGTGATTTCGCGAAAAGATCTAACATTTCCGAAAAATGAAAAGTATAAGTTATGAAAATGCGAACGCGAATGATTCAATTTTTCGTCCAGAGCTCGCATCCAAGCCAATTAGGATGGCCATTTACTTGAGAGCCAAAAAATGAATGGAAATATTTTGTGTCCATTGCAAACAGTAATTAATTAAATCAATTGCTGATTGCCAAAACAGTATTTAGTCGGCCAATGATTGTTTTTTGTTAGTGTCAAAGTCATTTACTGAGTCTATTTTTATTTCATGCAAAACAGTATTCGATTAAGGTGTCAATTCAATTGGCCGTTTTATTAGAGTGCAGTTCCTGGTCAGAGAATGCTATCACTTTGGGCCACGTTCTGAATGCCGTCTAAAAACGATCGACCACGCGGCAAGTCGTGATTGTGCTGAGTTCCTTAAAACCTGACTTAAAATTGACTTGTGATTCAACCGCCGCTGATTTCGCGGATTCGCTAACTCAGTCGTTCGTGGCTTCTCCAGCGCTTGTGCGAGTCTTTCTGAAGCACATTTTCTTTTGTTTTATAAAAAGCTTGTTACCAAGTGTTTGATGATAACGTAGAACATGAAAAGGATTATTATAATTACTGAGGCTTGATGGGGGTTCAAAGAGATGTTGCGACAATTAAACTATTCGCAGTCCTCTATTACTGCTTTTGAGCGGTGTTTTTATCAGTATTGAACCAAGACAAAAACCGCGCGCTCGAAAGGAACTACTCCAAACGTCGGGTCAGGAATCTTTGCTCTTGATGTCTTTGAAAAGGTCTATCAAGCTCTTTCATTTGTTTTCTCTGCTAGTTCTCTCTTGAGCGACCCAAAACAGTACTTCGGGATATCGTGTCGGCATTTCGAGATGATTTTTAAGAGTCAATTTTCGGGAGAAAGCGAAAAGATCCTTTCCTATTTCATCTAATTACTATAATCACCGTCGCTGTATGCTTGTCTTTTGCTGCATATAACCTTCTTCTCCAAACAAACGTTTTATTTATGCCAGTCATTAGAATCAGCAACGAAAAAGGAGCATATACTCATTCAAATAATGTTTTTGAATTGCAGATTTCCACAACGTGCACGTCCCAACCGCGGTATATAAAACAAGGCACAGAAAAGCAGATCGCCGTAAATAAAAAAAATACGTATCATTTTGTTGTGAATCGCAAATGCGAGTTTGCTTCGCATTCCAACCATTCCAAATTGCAAGCCTGTTAGTTATTAGAATATTATGTTAGTAGCAATTTTCTCACTGAAAAAAATGTTCGTCGATTCGTGACCTCCATCGCATTGTTCAAGTGTCACAAAAATAATTTGAATACCGTACGCTCCAAAAAGCGATAAAGGACACTAGAGTTCACCTGAGAAGCCAGAGAGCGAAAACGAGCAAGTCCTTCTTTTTTAGTTTATAAGAACAATTTTGATTAGAAAGAATAAGAAATAATACGCGCGGCGGTAGAAAGGCAGGAGGAATAATATTATGTAGCCATTGATCCCCGTGATCCATTTTCGCGGGAAATTGAATAAAATAAGAATCTCGGCTAGCGGCCCCAGGTCGAAAATGCAAACGTGTATAAGTGCCTGTTTTGCACTTTCAATTACTAAACACGACGGTAATAATAACGAGGTTATAATATTGAGGTTTCGATGGAAAATAGATCGGAGCGATTTGGTCCTTACGGCGATTCCATGACGGATAATTGACAGGCTTGGTATCGCTCTATTATATAAAGATGTCTGACAGATTCGCCTGTCAAATGTTAACCAGATCCTTTCCACAAAATATTCCAAGCAAAAGGAAGGTATTGGCATTCAAGATCATCCAGAGACGGAGAAAGAGCCTTTTCTTTCTTTTCTACCGTATTTTTCAAAACTTGGCTTTGGTAAGACAAAAGTGCTAAGGATGTTATTTGACTAAGACTTTGTCCACGCGAGCTTTTCCTTCCGGCAAAAGAATCAGTTACAGAAGCTGATTAAATAAAAAGTCTTTTTGACTAATTACCCCTTTCGGACGCCCCTCGTCATCAATGATCCAGTGAAACTTTCCTTTTTAGATACACCAGAAATAAATTGCCCAAACCTAGAGAAAACCGACTTAAGTAAGCTTCTTTTCTTAAAATCTGAACTCGACATGCCAAAGAACACTTATTCTTCGTGTCAATTAATGTTTATTTTCAGGATGAAACGCTCTTCATTAAAATAGTTTTTCTAGTAGAAAAAAGGCAAAGTCTTCTATCGCGAGAAGTTTTTGCTAGTCTCAAGAGTGAACTGGAAAGCTAACTCTTAAAATATTCTATGCCTTCCAAAAAATTCCACTAGGGAGGCTTTAGTCTATAGATATAGCAGTTTTTAATGTGCCCGTTGCTATTGATATGGGAGTATTGGCACTGCATTCGCATAATTGAATTCTCCTTCTTTCGAACGGCCCTATAATCGTGGACTAAGATTCTTACTCGCTATAAATCCGCACGCCGACCCTTTTAAGTTTATTTTTACATTTTATATCGAGCTGACAGAAGTTCCCGCCTGCTAATAATCTTTAATCTACACTGTACATCCATGTCCGCTTGCTTTAGGGGTTCATTCCATATAATTTATTTGTCCATGGTTAAGATCATAAATGAAACCTTTTCGGCTGATTGGATCACAAGATCCATGTAAATTTGATTAAATTGCCTGTTTTCGGCTTTACTGCGTCTATCTCGATTAAGAAAATCTAAATCAGAGCCAGAAGCATGTGATGTTGATTCAAACGTAGAAAATATTCTGTTGGTAAACCAGATTTACTTTTCGTTCAAAAATTGAAGGAGCCATGGATCAAAACACTGGCTTCAGTTTTTTTCTATTAGCGCTCGGAATTAATCCATCAGTCCTCAGTCGACTCTTTACATGACGAATTAATTATCACATAGTGTGATTTACTACCTCTGGCCAGGGCACACTGCATCTAGACGCACACGCTACTGGCGATAAAGCAAGGCTCAGTGGCGACTCAGGCACACAATCGCAAAGGCAGACAGTTTTTCGCTCGAGGAACTTTCACCTTTGACCATTATTCATAATTTTTAATCATTAAAAGTTTAGTAAAGAGAGAATCGTAAGTCGAACGTAAAAAGTCTCAAAGAGAAAAAAGGAAGGCATCTCTAATCAAATAAAGAGCTTAAAAATTAATATAAATTTCTTGGTGAATTCGAACTGGCATTTTTACATCTGATATTTTTTCCAATCTATCACCAATGAAAAAGAAATGTTACTCAGAGGATAAGATATCCATGTTTGTGACTCATGAATAATTACATTTTATTCTTGTTTTTGAATTCCTTTCATACCTTTCCCAAATTCAATAGTCTCTATTTGGTTGGCTTAATTTGCTGTAAAGACACGGGTGCATTTTGCGCTAACATAGAGCGTACATTTAGCCTAACTGAAAATACTTTTTATGGCTGTGCTCTACTTGCCCATTTCAGCGGGCGAACTGAACAGCAGTGAAGCCGAAGAAGCAAAACTGAAAACGTAACGTGAGAGAGACAGACTCAAGTGATGTTTGATGGGCGATCATGACCTCCGAGATGATTTCTATGAAACATGTGTGTGCCAAACTGCTCAGAAATTCTTGGACAAACGCTCCGAGGTAGAGGCCAGTTTCAGTGATATTTGGAACCAACAGTTGGACAAGGTACGGAAAAGTGTTTAATCAATGACAAAGCTGGTTCTGACAGTATTTGAAAATTGACAGATAATTGGACAGCCATCGTTCCTTATGGGCAGCTCTTTCGAGGACTCTAATTCCCTAATAAATGATTTTAGCTTCCTTCAAACTGGACAGCCGAAGACATTTACAACGAGAAGTGCGAGGTTTGGCAGTTCCTCTGCGCCTGCCTGTACGAGGAATGTCCTCTAACTGGGGAGCGGTTGCAAACTCAAACTCAAGAAACGTACTCTTTACAATCGTCTGACCGAAAAATGTATATTTGAGAATTACATTTCGTATAAGGCATTCTTTCCGACCAAAACACGGATAATTTTCCACGCAGCAAGAAATAACGGCATTATATATGATGTTTGCTAACCGCGAGAAAAGAGCTCAGAAGTTCGGATGGGTCGAGTACACTATCCTCGCAGTCTGCGCGGCGATCTTCGTCATAGGCACATGGTTACTTAAAACAGATTCCCTTCCTGGGAGACTTTCCACTGAGCCATACTAAACTCCGCAGCTAACCCGATCTGAACGCGGAATAGTCGAAACTTATCCTTACAAGCACTGCTAGTAACCTAAACAAGGAATCATTGGAAATGGACTGACTCTATTAGTACTTCTTAAAACTGGAAAGTGGCGCAAAAATACAACGAATCTTCTTATTTGGTCCTTGTCTATTGCTGACTTTTCTGTTGTTTTATTCATGGTGCCTTTGCAAGCTTTTATCTTCACTACAAATTCTTGATTTGGATTCAGATAAACACCAGAGAACTTGGAATGTTCGTAGAATGAACTTCATTTACCCAGGGAGAAATCGATGATGCTTTTGATAATATATAATTATTAATTCCGTAGAGGCCATGTTCAAGTGGATTTATTAATCAACAGCCATCTGAATCCTTGTGATAGGCCATTTTCAAATGCAATGTGCAAATCATTTCATTTCTTCATTTATCTCAACCTTTGTGCGTCGAACTATTTGATGCTGGCTCGGGCTAATCTCCACGTAGGAAAAATATACTACCCCTTCACCAAGACCGGTGGGCTAGCCCGCGTTAGATAATGAGCAGCGAGAGATTCTTCGCGATCGTCTTTACTATGCGATTTCTTCGGTTCAAGTCACGCACAGCCGCAGTCAGGTGCGTAATTTTTGCAAACACTGCGACATTAGAAATATCCCAAATAGCGAAGAGGCAGGCCGAAAATCTGAGCCGACCAAGAATGGTCAATTAAACCTAGTTGTAATTTTAGAGCAATCGTGGCGGCGTGGACGGGCGCCATTATCACATCTGCTCCAGTTTTATGGCGATGGCTTTATCAAATTACGGAGAACAGAACGCGCTGTCGTGTATTTTTGTAATTGCTTCGCGCTACATCAGTTACTATTTTATGTGAACCCTCTTTCGAAAAGGGTAATCTTTTAGAAGGGTGTTCTATGGAACGATTATTGGAATTTGTTGATTCTTCCGCTCCAAAATTCGGAGCGCGCGTTTGCAAAATAGAGGCTCGTGTCAGCCAGCCCCGAGTTGCAGATCGTTTTAAGGCGCTTGGCCACCCAATTACGATCCGTAGATTATGATGAGTATAAATTTTCGATTCGAGTAACGTTGAAAGCGCATTACACCCTAAAGCCATGAATGCAAGATTTACTCTTTGGGATCAGAAGAGTTTGGAAACCTCTCAATTTGCTCGCTTGGCGATCTCTCTCAAGCGAGCCACGTGCAGGTAATTCTATTTTCAGGCGCCTTAGTACAGTCAATTAATAGCGCTTGATTAAAAACACCGAGTGTTTATTATTGCTTATCATAAAACTAGTAAGGTCAATTTGCATCAATCACTTTAGGTTTACCGTATCTTGCTCATCGTCGTCACTTTCATCCTCCCAGCCGGAACAGTAACTGGTCAGGCATTTGCCATTTCAAGGTCCGTGAAGTCAATCTCATGTGAAAAATAAGACGTTTTTAAGCTATCTAAGAAGGCAGCCTCTGGGATACACAGAAAAGACTCAACGACTGCGGGTGAAGGTAATTCATTCCACTCGGTAAAGTGGCCTTATGAAATGTGTTAATTAATTAATTCACGAGTAAGAAATTAATAAATTTCACGTTCCAAAAGCACGCTTCAAAAAAAACGCAACTTATGCCAAACTCTAGGTGATGCTTATGACTGTTGCTTGCTGTGCTCTTTTCATCGTCTTTTGGGCACCTTATCACGCCAATCAAATGCGAATAGGTACAGTGCCTTACAATTCTCACCGCGTTTATCGAGTTTCAGTCCTTGACTACTACAGCAATAATGGCGGCACAATAAATGGCAACGACTTTGTCTACGAAGTGGTGTCGAAGCTTTTTTGTAAGTTGCGTCTCCTTCGATTGAGATGTTGAATTTTTAGCTCTCGGAAATTCAATAATCAATCCATTCATCTATTTTTCTGTGTCGGAGAGTTTCCAGCTTGAGCTTCGAAAACTTTGCGGAGGTGAGTGTGTTTGTTGCACTTTGCACGTTACGAGCATAAACACAACAAAACAAAAAACTTTAGGGGAGCCGGAAATTTCAGCCGAGTCTACCAACCAACAAAGCCTTTCCAACGAATCTTCCGGATTCAATAGGAGTGTCCATATAGGTAACAAACAAATAGCGTACCTCATCTTTGACTTATACAGACAACAATGCAGGGTTCACGCGCAGCTCCTCCTGGAACCGTTCAGAGCGGCTTCATTCAGCCCGATCAAAACTCAGGTTAGTACGAGTTAGCTCGAGTCGAACCAGTTCGTCCCTTTCGAAAGAATTCCGCCACCGTTTTGTTACGTAAAGGGGAGAGAATTTTGTTCAAACGTGTACTTCAGAACTGAGCGAAACTGCGCGAGCCCGTGACAACCCGTGGAAAAATATTAGAGCAGAAGGAATCTCTCTCTTTTTCTATTGTGCACGATCTCGCAAACGCTATTGCTTGATGGACAAAATCATATAAATGAAAAATACTGAGCGATTGAGGAAGTTTCTTCGTGTAGCGGGTTGCCCTAGCTCTCAAACTGAATTTAACGCGTGCACCATCGATCTGCTTTGAGGCACAATATTTTTTGATATGATATAATGATGTTGATATCTGCCTATTCTGGATAGAACCTTCTAATCAAAACCAAAACGAAACCAATACTAAAGCAAAAACAACTTTCAAATACATATGAATCTTTAAAGAATAAGTTAAGCAAATATTAATTATTGCAATAAAGTCATAATAAATTGAGAACGTAAACTTTGAACGTGGCATTGTGTGGGGCCAGAAAAGAGTAGTTTCTAATGTTCTGCCTCTGCCCAAAATGAAAAGGGAGGATATCAAGTGGAACAAATACTCGCCGCTCAAAATTCCACTTCTATGCTATTATCAAGTGGAACTGCTGCCCTCCGCCGTTGTTCTCCTGCCGTGAAGTATGAGCGAAATGTTATGTCCGCGGATTCCGCATAAGGAGAGCTGTTATTTTTGTCAACAATTTCACACATTAGAGACGCTATAATTTTCTAAAGCAGAGAGAGGACTAAGTACTCGTCGGCTGCGTCTTATCTTGTCACAACACCACTTCTCGCCATTTGAAGTGCTCGACATAAATCTAATGCTAGAGCTTCTTGTACATACTGGGAATAATCTGCCTCTGGAATGCACCGTGGCTCATTTAATTTTCTTAAATTATGGCTCGCCCCAGTGGTTGGAAAATGATGAGAAAAGTAGGCGACCGGACGACGTGCCAAAATATTTGGAGCTTAAAAGAGACCACTCTGAAGTGATAACGGAACTATGCTATATCGCAGATTCAATCCAAAGTGAAATAAACACACGTATATTGCCGCTTTAAAAATTCCTGAGACTGCCGCGGTGCGCTCCTTTCCGGATAGCTTTCGAATCTCTGTCGGACACGAACTCTAATTGCCCATCAACTTGAACTTTTCCGTACAAAGATCGCGATTCTCAAACCTCTTTGTTGGCAATGAATGTCGCCCAAAAGCAACAATCCCTCAGAATCTTCGTCGGCGTTAAAGATTCATTCTAAGCCACTAAGTACAGGCCAGTGAGTACAAGAGATGAATTATTTCTGACGATTTATTTCTTTCCCAATCGGCTTGCTCAAAACCCTAGCAAATCCGATTTTTTTCGAAGAGTTGAATGAAGAAAATTTACTCATTTTTTGCCACATTTCCAATAATACACACGCTCTTGATCACCGTTAAAATCGTCAACAAAGAGGAATATTGATGAGAAATAAAAAAATAGTCTGAGACTTGGTAGACTAAAATCTACGGTTCTTATCAAACGAAAAAAGGATTTAAAACAGCTCTCGAAATTTTCGGAGCGCTTTCAAATCGACTGGTTCACCCGCGAGACTTCACAGGCTGTTGGAAAGAACATTGATATGAGAATCAAAGGCATGGTATTACAAAGCTAATCGTATAGAAAAACTTTTAGCGCTGTTCGTGGCCCCGGTCCTATTCTATTCAATTTATCAAGGAATTTATTAAGGGGAGCGAAACGATATTACGAGAAAACTTCGAGGTAAAACGGATAGCATAATAGTAGTTAAAAAAACAAAGAGACCGTAATATTTTCAGCCATTTTAACTAGCAATAAGGCAGTCCCTCGAAAATACACCCTGTCGAAATTAATGAGCGCCATTAAAATATGTTGTTAACATGAGCATTTTCACGTGTTCTACAAAGTTTTATTATTAGCAAGACTCGCAAGGTTATCACTTTTGCTCGAATTAATGATTATTGAAGTATCCTTCGCAAATGATGTCCAATTAGTTTGATAAACACGACGTTTATCGAAGAGATAATAGTTAAAGCTAATTAATTAACAACTGTGTTTATCTATTTTTATGCTTACATAAGGGCAAGCGAATTTCAAATCTAGTTATAATTGATGGTCAACTGCTTCAATTGTTTATTATCATTGGTAGTTTTTTTTTCCATTTGACGGCGATTTTAGACTAGAGTGGGCAATGATCAGTTGTTTTCGATCAAAACAGGAAATATCATTTTGAATTTTGTTATTTGTTTAGATGAGAACGATACAATTCGTTAGTATTTGCCCTAGAAATAGACGTCCAAAAAACTGATATGCTTGATTTATCAAATAATTCCGGACTGAGGGATGCATTGACTTTTGGGAGGAGTATATTTGAGTAAAAATATTGAAGAATAAAACGAACTAAGCGTCGTCAAATAAAGAAAGATCACTATTTATAGAGTTGGGCATTACCTTCCTCGAGCACGAGTCAGAAAACGATGATCAAAAAGAGCGCTCGGCTGGAGCAGGTTCACGTGATCGCAGCGAACAAGATGCAAAAGTGAGGACGAGTGGAAGTGGAAGTGGCGAGCCCTTTGATCTCGAAAATGACGAGCACACAGCGCAGTTGGTACCAGTAAAAGATAATATTTGCTCAATGTAACTTGCACTTTACAGCTTCGGAAAATAGACTTTGAGGATTACAAAGATTGGAGCGCGTTCCGCGACTGGTTGTTTCTCCTCATGAGGTACGAACTTGAACCAATCTGTTACAAGCGTGAACCTTTTCTTTATTTTCAGAGCAAAATCAAGCAAATCTGTTCCTGTCAATGCGACAATAATGGGACTTACTTTTGAAGAGAGAGAACTCTTCATCGTAAGAATCGGTCCTAATTTCGCGCCGAAAATCGTGCTCGAATGTGGAATCCATGGTCGAGAGTGGTTATCACGAAAGCGGTTCAATTCTACTAAGATTGTTCAATAACTTATTTAACAATATTATTGACAATAAGCTAATCTTCCAGCCGTCACTTAATGACGGTCACTGTATAAAACTTATCCTATAAAAGCTTGAGAATTCAATCACTTCGCAACAGCAGCAGTCTGTTTCTACACAATCACACAACTTCTAACGCATAAACAACAATATGCATCTGATATGCAGTGGGTCATATTTCCAATGTTGAATCCAGGTTTCTGCCTTAATAAAAATTTCATACTTACAAATTATAAAGACGGATACGAATACAGTAGGCAAAAAGACAATCTCTGGAGGAAAAACCGAAACTTGAATGTGAACTTGTGCAGAGCGAATCAAACTGATCCAGAAAGCTACATCGTGCCTTGTAAAGATGACTGTATTGGCGTCGATCTGAACAGAAATTATGATGCCAAATGGGGAACGCATGAAATCAACAGAGATCCTTGTGGTCATATTTTTCAGGTTCTCTAACACAAAGTGGGTATCTAACACGAGCATCACAAAACAATTTACAGGGAAGTGAAAAATTTTCGGAAATCGAAACACGACGACAGAAGGATGAAATGAGCCTTCTCAAAGACGTCAAAGCTTATGTGTCCTATCACTCTTATGGAGAAATGATTCTTTATCCCTTTTCCATGTCGAAATCTGTGCCTGCAAAGAATAAGATGCAGCTGCATTTTGCTGCGACGAGTATCATGAATGCGATTCAGAATCGAACGGGCAACAAGGTTAACTCAAAAATGAATTTTATCAATTTAAAATGATCTTGCAAATCATAAACTAGTTATTCTTCTTCTTGATTGACCTCTGATATCTGCCAGATTCTGCTTCATTCATAGAAAGTATTTCAAGTACGAAGTAAAACGAGGCGGCCCATCAGACTACGATATTGTTGGCATCAGTTCCGATTATTACAAGCTTCGCGGCGTTCAGTACTGCTACACTATTGAACTCCCACCTTCAAGTGAAGAGCCTGGATCACTATCTGAAAAATTTCAACCTCATCGCAGCCGAATCAAAAAAGTCTGTCAAGAAAATTTCGCCGGAATAATCGCGCTTTATGAAAAAACTCGTCCAGAGGTAGAAAAGCTCTTTACTCAGGTTGAGAATAGAATTACTCTTAGAAAAATGATTGCACAGAAGAATGCGTACATCCGGCTGGATGCAGCTTCTTTAAAAACTCCATAATCTGCGATCGCAATAAGTACAGAAAAGGATGGTGGAACGGCTCAAAATATCTGTCGCTAAATCTCATTATTCCAATATTTATCTGTATGATATCTCTATGAATATATCGATTTATATTATTAATTTTATCAGTTGAAGACATTGAAAACAAGGAGGAAAATCTCGAGTAAGCCGAGCTTTGATTGTGAAAGGAACTTTTGTTTTGTATTTAAAATTGAGAAAGTACGCGCTAAAAGTTGTGAATGCACTCGCGCTTGCAAGACGGGCATACATGCATTTCTTCACGGAAGAACAGATAGGCGATGATGGGTGCGAGAGGTCCAGTAAGCAAGCAGAGACAACACAGAGTTCCCTTTCTAAATTCATATTTCGCACATTTTATTTTATAAGTATAATTATTGGTGTTTTCTATATAGTGGCTGTTTAAGAAAACAGATAGGTTTTCAACGAACGTGTTTTTTGTAAAAGCCTTTCGCAGATCGTCTTGTTCCAGGATCTGCTCGCAATTACAACACATACATTTTCCATCAGCAGTAGGATTCGGACTTTTCCCCATTCTCTATTTTCTCGTGAGCCTTGTTTTCTCTTTCTTACAAACGACGTAAAAGCATGGGTTTGCTCTGCTGAGTGGAGGACTTGGACGAATAATAAAGGGAACGGAGAGAACTGGTACGCCGCAGGCAACAGCGTATTCATAGATTAAAGCTTCTTGATCTTTTCTATCAGGAATTTCACTAAGCTTTTATATATCCTTGAATTTTAAGCTTTCTTCGAATATACAAAGACATGGAACACATTCCGTACATTGTACAGTGCAAGTGCATAAAATGTAACATTGCGATCAACAACGACAACATTAATTAAAATAATCATATTCTTTAAAGTTTGTCAAAGGTCAAATATTTCTCCTAAAGTAACCTACCCAAATGGAAATGCTTTGTAACGAAAAAAAAATGATTCCTGATGAGTTTATCAAACTGCTCGAGACTGCTCCACTCAAAGCTGATGGAATGTCTGGGTTTGATTAACAAAGAGATTAGTGCATCTCTTCTAGCGTGCATTTCGGTCGCTTTGTGACTAATGTCTTTTTGGGCCTCCGCCCTCCTACTCTCCCTCTTTCATGCCCTTGCGAGCTCCTACTCTTGAAACTAGCTCTTTAGCAGTCAATCTTCGATTTCAGAGATTTCAGAAATGCAAAAAGAACCCTTATATGTAAACACTCATGAACAGAACTCGTGGAAACGAAAGCAAGCTGTGTAAGAGAATTCAATGAAGCTAAATCTTTTCCCATAAAATAAAGCAAAATCTCCAAATCGATAACGATAAATTATGCAACTGTTGATGCCCCGCGCTCAAGAATGCGTTGACGCATTTTCACCCACCGGTCGCCTAAACGCCGCATCCTTAAATCAGCGAGAAAGAGTATAGCAATGCAGAAACGCGCACTTGTTTGAGGCAACAGTTGTCGTCGCCCGGGGGCGTTAGGGAAATTTCCTTTAAGCTGCCACAACCTCTGACCTTGTGGGATTACCAGCCAAGCGCCAAAGTCGCTATTTTTTAAAAGAAGACTCCTATATTCATAGTTAAGACTGAGCGAAGTCGTGAGAATCTCCAGAAATCCAGTTGCACCAGAGATATTTTGACGACGAGAAAACTAGAAAATATTATGAAGGTTAGTGAATATTATGAAACAGTGCGTTAATAAGAATCACTTCTTCATTTAGCTATGATAAGTAAGAATTGTATTATTGCAATAGTAGTTGTTACACGGTAAAACAATTATAATAATTAGTTGGAACTCCTTCCTTACAAGGAGGAAAATGATGCCTCATTCTTTATCCTTCCACCTAAGAAAAGATATTTTTCTTCTTTTAGATAACTTTTGCCTTCCATATTCTTGCTCTCGTTGCTGCCGAAGCCCACTACAAAAATGAAGACGGAATTTACGTTTTAGCCGGAGAATGTCGATCACAGAAGTCTGGTACTAAAGCAGGAGGTAAAGTTGAGATATTTAGCTCGCTTATGAAAACATATTTTAAGGAAATGCTGATATCTTCAAGAATGGGCGTTGTAAATACGGATGCATTACTGGTATAGAAATATGTCCAATATTCCACTAAGCATTTTAAGGTTGGACTGGAACCAACGCAAAAGGCGAAGTTTCGGAAGACAAGGGATCAGACTGCAAGACTCCTAAGTGCGACGAGGGTCATTGTGGTACTCATGGAATCTGTGTCGGTCCAAATAGATGCGTCTGTTCTCAGCTCACCGCTCAAAATGTATTTCTTAGAGATATTTTCGAAGATTTAAATCTCTTCTTTTTAGGAAGATGGTGGCTGCTATTCTCTTCGAGTCAGGGGTTTGATCGGCGCTGCTGCGTCTTTGGCTATTCTGATCGTCTGTATCACAACTTGCCACTGTATTCAGCAAGCTTATGAACGCAAGCATCCGCAGCCACAACTCAAGTCTGACTAACTCGAGCAATCCTGTATGAAAACTATATAATTCTTATTCGAGTACAATGCCGCTAGTCTCTAGTGAAAACCCAAAAATCCTCAAAACCAATTATAAGAATACAATCCAATCTGAACAACAATCACACAAGCATTATTAGAATCTTGCTATTACCAAATTAGGGAAATTAAAAGCACAAGTATATTCCGAGCATCGTTATTTTGCAACTGTACATAATGTTCTCCAAATTTTCCATTTTACTTCACTTGCCCGACCCTATTTTCGATTGATTTGACAATAAATGTTATAGAGCCGTTTTATAGATCCAAATACTATTAAAGAGTTCTCGGGCGTTATTGGAAACAAAGATAAGCCGGGTGATGATTTTGATTCTTAAAACTTGTCAAAAAATGCACTTCGCCACTTACTTCTTGATTGACGCTTCTGTAGTGAGAAATGCAAGGCAGAACGTAGAAAAATGGGCTGGAACCAATTTTTATCTGAGCGTATTGAAGTCGCACTAAGTGCGCAATTAGGGTATTATGGCCTAGCCAGTTGACCGAGCGTGTTTTCATAGGAATATCGAAAAACCGACCGCCCGGTGGACGATAAATGGGATCAGTGAAAAATAAGCCGCATTTCTATTGTGCCTAAAATGCTCCTATAAATTTCCCGCTAATATAGCTATGAATTGGTAGAATTGGAATATATTTTTCATAATGTTATTAACTATAATTAATAGAAGCAATAATTTGAGCTCTTGGATTCACCTTGAATTAGGGTTTATTCTAGTTAAGGAAATTTAATGAGTCTTAGTACGTCATATCAAGGGTAGAATTAGAGGGCTAATCCGTTTGAGCGTTGCGCAAGACTCCGTCCAGCTGCCGCTTTGAGCTTCTGTTTTTGATCACGAGCCCAGACTGTATGTTAATCAGACATTTATCCGGCGGCTCTAGTCTTAAACTCAGCCTGCTTTAATCATTCTGGCACTTCCGTTAACTATTCTAGCTCAGTTGCCCAATGAACCTAAATAATATCTTGTTTCGAAAAGAAAATGCCAAGAGTTATGTGGACATCTGGGTTGTTCACGGCGTGATATACAAGAATTTACTGAATCAGCTCTTGCTGGAGCAATATATCATCGGCGCAGGTAGGGGGTTCTATGCGGCGCAAATACAGGGACACAGCCTTTGAAGAGGCTTAACGCACTGTATATTAATTAGGGCGACTGTCTGTTGCTAATATGTGGCGGGCTTTGAACCGTCCTCAGTTATAATGGCACCCCCCTGAGGCCAGGTCAGAGGGAAAAGTTGCAGCTCAAGGCAAGAAGAGAGCCCCCGCAGCTACCGGCGAATTTGGGCCGGAAACGAGGTCCTGTGGTGCCACGCAAAATCTCGCAACTTGCGTATCCGTTACGCCTCAATTTCGACCTTGCACCAGGAAGTGCAAAGAGATGCTCTTTGTTTCTCTGACTAGGAGGAAATTTTGAGGACTTGGTAAAATCCATGCAAGTGATTCTAGTTTAATGTTTGTAAAATGCATAGAAATACAATTCAGTAATCTAGAACTGTCAGTTACATTCATATCTTATGTTTTTAGATTAATTAAATTACATTCAATGGAAAATTTTTGGTAAGTCAAAGACAGAAATCCCAAATAAATTATGTCAACGTAAATTGCTCATCCAAGTTTGGTGCTATGTAATATCTACCAAAAGATATCGTCAAAATTTGGTTTGTCAGCCAAAGTAACGAAAGCATCTCAACCTCGTTTTCCGGCTACTTAGGCGGCTTTAAGTTTTCTCGCGCAACCAGAAGCGCGTTTGCTAGGGATGAATTATTCAGCCAGGACAGGAAGGCGTTCTGTGCCATATGGGGAGCCTGACTCGAGGACCCCACTCGAGATTTGTTCTAGTTTTGAGACTTTCGCGTGACACCATGGCCGTTACACTTAGAGTTTTGCTGCCGCTAACCGTGAAAAAGGTCAAAGCCGATTTGGATGGCAGATAGAGTTTCGGTTTCTTTTGGAAATTAATCCAGTCCCAATCAAAAGAAGTCATTTTAATGATGGACAAGAAGTTTGCATAAAGTTGAGCTGCTATTGAATTTACTGAAACAGATTGTTCCCTTCTGACCTAAAGAGGAATCGATTAGCCTTGTCTCAGTTTCTGACGTCTATGGAAAGGTTTCTTCGCAATGATCTGACTTCGTGTTTTCCTAGATCAGAGATTCCGGCCAGCGCACACAAAATTATGCTCCTATCAGAATAAATTCAGAATAAATTTCAAATAAAACAGCATTATTCCGGTGCCCTTGATGTCTATTGTATTGATTTATAGAGGATATGTCAAAAATTTGCTAATGAGCAGTTGCTGGCCATCTCTGCTTTAGGATGCTTTGAAAGGGAAATGTTCCGATTTCCATGAAATATGCTGATGACAAGGTCTGGCATCGTGACGATCGTCTTTGATTCGAGTGCGGAAAAGCGATTGATCTCACAACGGAACTACCGTATTCGCGTAAAGATCATGCAACAGATTATATTTTGGTGGCTGTGATGGAACGCGCGAAAGTATTTTTCGCGGCACTTTCCTTTTAGCAGCACTTACAGTGCCCTTTAAGAGCCGCTTTCTGAAATCCAAAATTTTCAAGAGCGAGATCGATTTCGACACCCTCATTGATCGAACTTGTCATTTTAGATTTATCGTTAGCCTAAGTGAAGGTAAAACTTTCCTCCAGCTCCTTCGTCAGAAGGCTGCAGCTATGCTAATTCTAACTTACACATTTTCAATACACTGCCACCATCGTATAAATTATTAAGCAGTGACACCGCTTCGAATTCGCCGGTGTAATCGTCACTCATGATAACTGTTAAAACATATTCTAATAATTATTTTCGAAGTTGTGTCAAGGCAATAGCTTCCTCGCTGAGTTAGCTATTTTCGTTTTTCATTAAAGCGGTGATCTGCTTCATCTTTCGGTAATTGCCTTCTTCATCCCGCCATCACCTTCTGTCTGACTCTGTGTTCCCGGAAGCAGCTCCGGCGTTAAGCGTAAAACCGCCCACAATGAGGATAATTACGCGTGTTCAGCATGCTATGAGGTACTGCATCGCGACTCTCCCCAGTCGTCCATATGTCCAGTTGCGGTGCTTCAAAGGCTCCTGTAAAACCAATTTCAAACATTTCGAGTGCCATATTTTTCGATCTTGTTCAAGGTTGTCTGAGATAATCATTGTCTTCCGAGGGGTTTACATCTATTTGTAGCTTTTCAAGAAAATTTCATAAAATGAAGTTTTTGATATAGCTGTTCAAAATAATTTGTTACGAAATTTTCTTCAAGAAATTAATAAAGATTCGCTGAAATTTGATTTGAAAGTAAAAATATTTTTGAAAAATCTTAAAGTTGCTTTTGAGAATGAAAAAATCTTTTAATTAACTTCACAGGAGACTTTTCGACTGGTCATTAGCTATTTCTGAGTTAAAAGAGATTAACGGATAGCTTTTGCCGTAGACAAAAGTTGTTAATGCATAGCTAAAACTTACTAAGGATACTTTTTAACTAACAAGTACTAAACTAGATGCGGATAAATTGTCGGCACTTCAAAGGATGGATTAGGTTCCATCATAGTCGCGCCATCTACCGGCGACGAAGAAACAGCGCCTCCTTCTCGCCGAACCACGGAACAGCCGCCCTCAACCATCATCCGCCCAGCAAGCTAAAAAGAACTGATATCGATAAATTTTATCGACAAATTGAAAAAAAATTGTCAGGCTTCTGTTCTGAACTCTGTAACCCCAACTTGAAGAAAACACTAGAGATGATGGAGACAACTCCATTTCCGGGCTGTGCTGCCCAGCCCAACGTCAACGATCCATACAACTTGGGCAATGTCCACCACGGTCACGTAGGTCACTCGGCTAACTACCTGGCCTTAGAGCAACCAACATACGCCACACTATCTGCTTCGTCCCATGGCTCCCCTCAGAAACTCACTGGTAAGTCTTTAGTTTTTTGCATCGGCGAGAGGATAACTCGATCAGAACGGACTTATAAAAATAATTTGATTATGAGGACTCGAGGGAGATGAAATGACTAATCACATTTGATACTGATAGTTTGTATTTGGTTCATTTTGTTTCAGACAGATGAATGTAGAAACAAATGACAGTTCATTTTTAAATCTTTAGCTAAAAGATCTTAGAGATAATCAAAGAAAAAAATCACAGAAGCCTTTGTCATTTCAGAAAGTATTCTCTAATGTAAGAAAAATGGAATCAAAGACAGTAATATCAAACAACTAATAATCATCTTAAGGGTACTCCATGGCATTTTCCGTATTTGGAAACGAGCAGGGAATGGGGCAAACATTGCCACCCTTGTCTACACCGATGTCGATGTCGTACCCGAGCACATCAAGTGCACAAAACTCGACGATCTCCTCATCCGCGCAGATGACATCACTTTCATTCGAGCCAGTCTACTACAACTCTATTCCTTCTACAACGCCATCACCCAATACGCCTCAAGATGGATACGAGTGTGTTCCAGGTAAATTAAATGCCCGATATATTTTTGTAACAGTTTCTTAGTTAACAACTTGGAGACATTGAAAGAAGGAGACAACAACGCTAACACACTTCCAGCTTCACAGAATGTAACGGCGAGCTCTGAATGCTTACCCGCTCTTTACTACAGCGCAGGACAAGCTAACAGTACGACTCAGCATGGCGTGTGCAAAGTCGAAAACGACGTACTTGTCGGCGGACAAAATGTTGACCAGACATCTAGTATAGCTGCAGGTGTGCCGATTTCTGCCAGTCAGCCGATAACACCCAACAAAATTCTCCCGACATCTCAACATCAAATGGACCTTGGTCAGCCTAACTACATTACCCAAGGTAAGCAGCAGTCCCAGAGTGAATCAAATTAAAATGTTGATTGAATGTACTCAGACATATTTATTCTTCTTTTTTATCGCCACAAACTCACAGAAAATGGTTTCGGCGTGGCGACTCGATATCATGTCGTTTAAATAATTAAGGTAGTCCTTTTGGAAATGGATTGTGATAAAAATGTCGATTAGTTGTCACGAAATGCATTTATAATGCAACTTAGTTCTAAGCGTCGCCGCTTGGTCGATAAACTGAGGTCAGAAAATGGTCCTAGGTCATCGCCTTTTAGACTAACGCGAGAATATTAAAAATTGTCTCATCGATAAAATTTCTTACCCAGTTGTTAAGATATGAATCCCGGCTTCCTATTCTTCCCTTCAATGACAAACAACGGAATGGAAGGTGCCTCTTACGATGCCGTCCGCGATCCCCCTCAAATACAACCCGTGCAGAAAAATCAATCTCCTCAGGGTGCGGAAGAGGTGAGATTTGGCAATAATGTAACTGAGAATAAACTTGGATTCAGGTGGACACCAAAGCCGTCGCCGCAAAAATCACTGCCGAGCTGAAACGATACTCAATACCGCAAGCAATTTTCGCTCAGCGAGTACTTTGCCGCTCACAAGGAACTCTTTCCGATCTCCTACGCAACCCAAAGCCTTGGAGCAAGTTGAAAAGCGGCCGCGAAACCTTCCGAAGAATGAAAAAATGGCTTCAAGAGCCTGAATATCAGCGAATGGCGGCGTTGCGTATAGCAGCCTGCAAACGTAAAGAAAGTGGCGACCACAAACGGCCACCGGTAAATAAAAAACCGCGGCTTGTATTCACTGATCGTCAAAGGCGCATGCTTCATTCAATTTTCAAGGTAAAATTGCAAAACTCATGTTGATTGCCCTTTTTATTTTTAAACATAATGATGAAAAAGATACGACCATAGATCATTGAGTAAGATTAATGTAGAATGTGAGAAATATTATGCATGGTTTTTGGAGAGTCAAAAACAAACGTACTTTTGAAATGAAAATTCATCAGTTCATTTCTACTGTGCTATGAGCAATCAGCTTGGGCCTACTTTCCCTGCCAAGCGGTCCAGATGGCCAAGCCTACTTTTGTGTTTTTGGACACGGCGCTCCGAAAAATTTACACCGCGATAAAATATCCCCCGATCTGCGTGCCTAAAAATCGATCAGGCGCGCGGCTCCGGAGCTGGATCAGCTCTCCATCCCTAAGCCCCATCTGCTTCAATTTACACGTTTCCGATGGCGAAAATTCGTCAAATCTTTTGAAATCCAAGACGTAGCGGGATACTTTGAAAAGATTTAAATCCCTTCCTGCCCCTCTTTTAGACAAAAAAATATTATTTTGTTCAATTGCAAATTTGATTATTCCCCTTATCATCTTTAATTAACTCTTTATACTAGGAAAACCGTCGCCCAACGAAAGAACAGCAACTGTCTATTTCCTCTCAGCTTGGTCTGGAAGTCTCCACCGTTTCCAACTTTTTCATGAACGCACGCCGACGCAGCATGGACAAGTGGTCTGAGTCTGAATTCGCTAATCACGCCAAGAACGGAAATGCCCAGTACGCTGGTCTGCCCGGAGCCTCCCCTGAATCGTCGCCAACGAGTTCCTGTGCAAGTGGAATGAGTCCTTTCGATCCGAGCTCACAGGTCACTCACGCGACGTACGCTTCCGCACATCTCGTGCCAGGTGCCACCTCCCCCGCCGCTTACTCCCTTCATCCCTTGGTCAAAACGGAGAATACTTTTCAATAACGTTACCAAAAAAGCACGAATTAACTGTAACTCAGCTCCCAACTGTACATCCTCCGGGTACGCGTTCATCCTCACTCACACTACTTCCTAATGCGAATACTTCTAACGCATATTATATCATGTACATATTATTTTAACTCTGCACCTGCCTGTATGCTTTTCCGTTTAAAGTGGACTGCCCCTATCTACAGCCAATCAACAACCCTTTTGTTCAACAAACAAGTGTCGACCCTATGAAAACGCTCTTCTAGTTCTACTGGTTGGCTTCTCAGTGACACTATTCTAGTCACTGTGTGACAGGGTGTTTTGTATACCGTATACAGGTCCGCTATTAAATATATTTATCTTCAATGAAAATAAAAACCCAAAAACATTAAAACTCGCAAGATTACTTTTGTTGTTGCATTTATTGAACGGTTTGGATTTGAACTAGTCGCAGAAGTTGGTCAAATATACAGATATACAATTATTCATTTGTTCAAATATTACAATTGTGCATTGATATGAAAAATTTACAGAATGGAGTAACGGGAAGGGGTACTGCCTTAGACGCCAAAATTTAATAGTCGACGGTTGAATTTCAGGCATTTAGTGTCTAAGGCATCGGGTGAAGATGATATTATTACAGATGAAAGAAAAGTACATATTTGCAAAAATGAGGATAATTACATTTTGAAAACTATCACACAAACTTTCATGGGTACCAAACATACCGTATATACACTGAAAGAGGAGAGAGATTTACAACTCATCAAGATAGACCAGCTGCCCGCTGATGAATTTTCCAGTCGGGCAATGTTTTCGCGGAGAAGTCAAATGATATTTTCGGGAAGATTGGGCCTTGCTTGCAGCTCCTTTAGGGTCTAGTTCGACAGCAGTCATTGCAGGTAGCAAGCGAGTCTGAAAACTTTTGTTTTTCATTGAGGACGAGGCTTATTACCTTGATTTGGTTCTCGATTAATGCCGTGAACAGAAACTTGTTTGATTTTCGTTTGAGATTTTGGTAGATTCGGTTAAAAGTCACTGTAGCAGAAGCAGCAGACGTCTTTGCATTGTTCACTATAGCTCTCGCAATAGCGCGAGATTTACTGCGCAGGTCCTCATTCTCGAAATCATCGAGGACTTCGCAGATCTCGTCCATGTATCGATCAATAAGAACATTGTAGATTCGCTCGGAAAAAATAGTTTGCTGACGCTGAAAGGAATTCTCACTACCTAATTTTGTTTATCAAAAAGTTACATTTTCGATTTCGACTTGAGTTAATTTGGGCTTTCGCTGGTCAGGCTCATCCGCTTCTTCAAAGCATCTCTTAGTTCCCTTTCTCCTCGAGATTGGTTTCGGGGGCAGCGCATCAGTATCTGATTTTCTCCGCGTTGTTTTACGCATAGGAGTCGAGCACGATGGGACATTTTTCAAGAACTTTTGATAGTTCTTATCAGACTTGATTTTCTTGTCGAGTTTAGAAGGATCAGATGGGTACAAATCAGGTTGACAAGCTGATTTTTTAAGTCTGCGGCTCTCTGAAATTATAAATTTTTCGAAAGAATCTTTTGTTTTCTGTTACCATTGGATTTTTTGAAGTCTGAAATTTTGATCGGGTCAGTAAAAAGCGCTTTCTTGAGATCTGACTTGCCACTTTGACGCTGATTTGCCAGTGTTTTCTTCGTTGTTGTTGCTTTCTTCCTCAAAAACTCTGGAGTTTTTGAGACGGAGCATGAATTCACGGTTTTTGTCGTGATAACACATGCAGTACTAATATTTTTAAATGAAAACAGAATGAAATATGACAAACGACTGATCGTACCTTTGAGTAGTAAGAGTTTTTCGTAAGTTTCGGTCTCTAACAGTGAGTACCATTTTTGCTGATTTCTCGATTTTTACTTTTCAGTTATGAAAATCGAAATTTGAAACCAGATTTCCGCGCAAGATTTTCTGCGATAATGACCCAATGACGGTTGCGCGCGAAAACTGACCGGTAACGAGGCACTTTTTTCATTTTTTTATTAAAATATTTATTTTCCGAGGTTTACAAAAGGAGAAGGTGGAAGTTCATAATTTGACCGTTTTTTCCTTGCCAAAATTGAGGGGATAATTTTCTCTGGTCGGCAGAGTGCTTTGATGTCGATCTTCATTTGGACGAGCATTTCATCTTCGTTTAGGACTTGCTTCACGGTCAAGTTCAATTTGTCTAGGAAACGAGTGTTTAATTTTCGATCTGGTCATCTAAAAAGTTACCTAGGATAAGACGAAGTACTTCTTGGACGCTTTCTTCTGGCTCAACTACGATTCTTTCTCTAATGACTTCTGCTAACGTTTCGTTTTGAAAGACATCTAGGATATAGATTGCATATGCAGCAGCTCGGCGAACTCGTGGATGTTCTTCGAAACGGACTGCATGCGCCAGAGCAGCAGTTATTTCATCCTTTTGTCTTCCTTTGCCTGGCTCTAAATATGCGTCTGTAAAAACAGCTACAAGAATTCACCAACCGATCTTTGCTAGAGCATCGATTGCGTCTTTTTTTATTTGAGGCAAAGTTTCGTAAGAGAGAATCGTTATCAAATTTTCAACAATGTCCTGGTGCTTGATTCTCAGTTCTCCGACCGTAAAACAAGTCGCAGATCGAATCGTACCAAGTTTGCTGTTGAAGCAGAGCAGCAGAGTGCGGATGAGCTTGTCAGATACAGTTCCATTGTTAACGATCCATTCCAGCGCAGTAAGAGTGACATCATGTTTGGTTACTGATTCAAGCGAGTCAGCTAGCAGATTGAGAACGAATTCGAAAACCCTTGACTCCCGACCGGTCTTGTGTAGGCAAAGTAGCGCAGATCGCTGGACAGATTTGACCTGAGATGCGATGAACAGATATTCTGTGCCATTCAATTTACCTGATCATACCACTGCATCTCAACCAATTTATCTTCAATAGCGTCGGACATCATTTTCGTGTCTATTTCGCTGAGCACATAACAAGCGATTGCTCGTTCCTCTGGAATCCCAGAGTTTAAGAACTCAGCGAGAATTTTGTGAGTTTTGGAGTTTCCCTTCGAGATTTTCTTCAACAAGCTAAGAATATAAGGCTTTCTCGATTTCGAAGTCAACAAATGATAAAAAAAAAAGCCAAGGAAATTTATGGACATTGTTGACTTCTCCTGTAGGTCACATAATCTTGGAAAAGAATAAAAGAAACATTATCGTGAATGTTTTGCCCGTTTATGTGTGCGAGCATGCAGCAGGCGAACAAAACATCTGATATTTCTGTCTCCACATTCACAATTTCATTCAGTGCCTTTAATTTTGTTTAATTTGGGAAAGAGAACTCGAAACAAGACCTTCACAAGTCTTTCTTCGTGTCCAGCAATGGGAGTAATGAGTATGATTGCGCACGCTGCCAATTTGACGCGGACGTTGCTTGAGTCTAGCTGCTCGAGCGAAACTGTCGAGAGTTCTTCGTCAAGCTTGAACTTTTCGTCCGCACTGAGGTGTTTTGTTTTACGGCCATACATAATTGACGCAGCAAGAGCGCTCATACAATTTTCTTTGAGAAGCGTCTCCTTACGCTCAAGAATTAGACGCAGCTCATGAAGAGACAGGTCGATCCAATTCGCACTGTTTCCCCAAGCAGCTTGCCAAACTTAACCAAAATCAGCACTTGGCAATGGCTGCAGGACTGACCTCACCTTTGACAGCGATATAAATTGGCTCCTCGTGTTCGTCGTTTTCGAATTCTTCGGTGTCCGTGATGGCGGCATGAATAGACTCGTTTGAAGTAACTCTGAGATCAAATGCTGCCGAACGTGGTCGGTTCTTTGGCATCGTTTCGTCTCGATTGATATTCTCCATGACAGGCAGCGTTTTTTTATTTTTCTAGTTGTAATAAGCGCAAGAAATACTCAATAATTATACTTTACTGATAAGTTGAAACTCCCACTCCATCATCGTTCGCTGATTTCCAAACATATCTCTTTGATTTGCCATCGCTAACTCCTAAATATCTTCAGCAGCTATTCTTCAACATTATTTTTATAACCTTGAGAGTCATGCGTTCATCGTTCGGAACCGGCATATGTGGAATTTTTCGCATCATAATTCCATGTGTAGCGCATCGATTGTAAAAACTCTCACGGTCAGCTTCAGTAGCAATTGCAGGAAGCAACTCGGGCTCACTTCCCGCGTCACTGCATTCTCCGTGGAATCGTAAGATGTTCCCAATGACCTGTTCTCGTGCGGAATTTGGATCATCGTGCATAACTTTTGCGATCCACCAAGAGCATCTCTTTGACAGGCGGGCAATCGTCGTCTTTGTCCAATCTCGTTCTCTTTTTCTCGGTCTTGGTGGTACGAAAATGCTTTTTCTGTGCTTTGTGAAGATATCAATGCTTTTTTAAAGTTACATCAACGTTCAAGGGTGTGCTATCTATTCCTGTGATAATCTAAGAGGAGGAAGTTCTTCTTTAGATTTCTTTCTACTCCTATTTTCTTCAATCATAAACCCTCCAAGTGGACGCTGAGGACACATCGGTGGACACTTCTTGGCACGGAACTGCTTTTTATTTGCGAGAACATGGTCCGCAGAGAATAAGTATGATGGAGCGAGGCCTTTGAACACTTTTTCCCGTTGGTCTATCTTACTGGGATTGCTAAACTAGAAATTGTTAGAAGCTACATGTTTAATACAGACAACAATTTACCTTTAGAACTGATAAATTGACAGGAGCCGTGACGAGAGCTTTCAACTGCTCTTCTCCTTTTATTCTTGCTAGCTTCCGCTGAGCGGTGGATCCATCGAACCAACAAGTCGTGTCCGGCATATTACCCCATCTTTGAACCGGAGTCGCTCCATTCGAGAGTGTCCGAGCAGACTCTCTTCTTGGGATTAAATACTGCTTTTATAAATAGCAAAAATATAAAACGCTATTCTTCTACTTTAGTTTAACTGTGAGCTCTCAACTCTAATTTGATTCTGATAAAATAGCTAAGTTTAAGGTCCCTTTACGAAAATAGGTTTTGTCAATTCCAAAATAAATTTTGGCAAATTGTCGACTCCTTAACTGAACACCCTCGCTGGTCCCAAAGCAATAACAAATTTTTATTCTCGAAAATCTTTTTTCTATCGTTTGGCTGAAGAGGAACTCGCCGAAGAAAAATCTCTTTTGTAAAAATTGAGCAGCGCTCTATTTACGCGATCAAAAAACTGTCAGCAGAGAATAAATACAAAAGAAGCTGATCACATAATACTCCAGTCCATAATTGTACTTTCCCTTCCGTTTATTCTGACACATTTGAAATTCATCCACAAAAATTTTCGAGTTTTGACAAAAACTTCATGAAAGAAATGGATAAAAACTAACAAGATGTACAAAATTCTGATTTTGGTCATTACTTAGGGAAAATTCAAAATGCGGAAAACTATAATTGATAAACCATTATAAAATTTGAGTTTTATGAAGAGAAAGTAAGACTATAGGCTTTTGGAACTACTTAGAACGTGGTCTTATTTAGAGTAGTATCCATGGCAATAAAGGATTTATTTAATTATCAACTATTTTCCGTCATTTCTTTCATCTTCATCGTCAGTAAAATCGAGAGCCGCAAAAATTTTAAAAACAACGTTTTTGATGTTCCCCCACGGCTAGATAAAGTACACGGACCTAGATAAAGTGCAAATTTATTTTTACCGAAACATAATTAATCTCTTTAGAAAGCAGCGATATGCATCAGGAAATATTGCTTAGATGGCGCTGACGAGTTGATTTCACTCGTGAAAACACACTTTACGGTCATAGTAAAACTCAGAGATTACAATGAAACTACTATGGTTTTTTGTAGGCGTTGCCTTCGCTAAGTAAGTACAAATATGTCCTGCTATTTTTGCCGAAATAATTGTAAATTGTTCATCTTCAAATGATTATCTTAGAAATGATGAACTCACTGTACAAGAGCAAAAAATCAACCATTTGACGAGAGTTACTGCAGAATTCGTTGATTTATACTTGAATGCAACAATTCATGATGAGGTTCTTAGCCCTTACAATAAACGAAGAAATATGGTTCGCCGGTTCAAGGTGATGACTTAGAAGCAATAAGTACATATTTTGTTGATGATATAGAGACGAAATTTTATAATAGGCAAATTTTATAGGTTCGACTTGCAAAACTCACGAATATAGCTGATAAAGCAGCCATACACGACTGCTATGACGATGGATTCTCGCGCTCTTCTGAAATCGGACGTTTTGTGAAAAACAAGTTTCGAAAAGGTTGCGAAGATATTATATCCATTGTGCAATAAAACTTGAATTCAGGACGGATTCAAATTGTGCGAAGCTACGTGCGACTCGGTAAACAAATCCCAGAAGACTCGTCGAACAAATGTATAAAAAAGCGTGAGAATTTGGTAAGTGTCCGAATGTAGTTAAATACGGTGTCTCACAGTATTAATTATAGCTGAATAAAATTGAAAAACTCGACAAGCAGCTGTTCGACTTCTACTGTACAAAAGTGAGCGTTACCGAAGAGTGCACCAAAGAATACAACAACGAGTTTATCTCAAAAGTGCAAGCCTAGTGCACTTATAACCTGCATATTTCTGCGATATTTATAGTTTCGCTCAAGCAACTAATTCATTTACACTCAGGATAGTGAGAAAATATTTCAACTGCCTGCGATTAAGAAATATCTTCAATTATCTTGATATTTTATGTATATAAATATACTAACACAACGGTACAATTTTCGCGCTCTTCCTTGATTTCAAAGGTTAACATGAACAATACAAATAAATGTACAAGAATCAGCATGGGACTTGTACATTTAGTTAAATTGGGATCGTAAATGTATTTTCTTGTGACCGCTCTTGACAGTAGAACCGGGCACGGCGTCATTCATCATTCCAACCTGGCACATAGACGAAATGTAGATTACGTCTAGGTCGAAATAACTAACTTTTTCCAAGACTGTTGACTGTAATTGAGGTTCAGCTGTCATTCATATTTACAGAACGAGACGCCGTGCCGGAGCTTCATGCCCACTCTGGTTTCAAACAATTCGATCTCTCTTGTAAATGGCTGAGCCACAAGGTGGCATAAATGCAGTCTCAGATAAATGTTTGGCAGCCTACTGTTAAATGATTTTTCAATTTTTTCTTTCATTCTTTGACGTTCTTAGAAGAAGTCGTCTTCTTCTTCCATTTCGTTTTCCATAATCATTTGGGCAGCAAGGCGCTCGAATTCCGCGTCGCGGGCCTCTTCGTCCATCATAGCGAACTCTTTCTGTCGCTGTTCTTCCGAGATCTCTTCATCTCGCGGCTCATCGAATCCCGACGATGAATTGCCAACACTTCCGACGTGTGGTGAAATCGCAGCACCGCTTGCTTCGTTGATAACCTGTGAGGCCATGAGTTCCAGCTCGCGGTCTCTGTTCATAGCCTGAGTTTGAGTTGGAGCTAAAAAGAGAGTTTTGAATTCGACTTTGATATTTTTATTTGCGATTATTAGCTTTAATGAGAGTAATCAATAGGAAATAGTAAATATTCCTAAAAAATAAGAGAATCAATAGTGTTCTTATTAATCCGAAGTTAAGGATAGTTTGGACAGCTGACTGAACATATTTCATAAAGGGTGGATACTTGATCAGTGTCAGGCGCATTCGTGTAATTTTGTTATTGAGAAAATAAACACTTGAGGAAAAAGTTATTCAATAATTACTCCGTCGCGAGGGTTAAAGCTTTACCTGGTGCTGCGATCTCCACTGGTACTTTCTTCTTTCGCCCAACTTTCGACTTAATCTTGGGCTTGTTTTTCTCCTGGATCTTTTCGAGTGTCTTGACGAGTGTCTGTGCGCAGTTGGATGGGATGAGGATTCCTAGACAGAGTGATTAAAGCAATCAAAACAAGTACGCAGCATACCGACAACGCGCACTCGGTCGCTAGTACGAAGACGGACGACTTGGATGCGGCTGCTCTTATCCACTTGATGGAGAATGTCTGTAACATTGTTCCAGACAGCCAAAACTGGGCCAGTAAGAATAAAAAGCTCTAGCATTCGACGACCGCTCAGGCACCCTTCGACAAGTTCTTCGGGACAGTGACCCTGAAATATTACTTTAAAATCTAGGAATACGTCAAATGAGAACAACGAAAACGTCAACAAACGGAACTTGTTCGATAGGAGCGAAGACAATATCAGTCTTTGTACAAAGCACAAGATTAGGAGCATGCTGTTCGCTTTAATTGATGGTTTATCTCGAAAACTTCGGGAAAATTGGCCCTGCTGATTAAAATTTCACAAAGAGCGTTATTTTTGGCCAAAAACTACTCATCGTATTTAATCGAGTTTCTGTCGAGGACAATTGTTCTGGCGGAGGTAATCATTTACATTTACAAATAAAGAATGGGGCGACGGTGACTACTGGCAAGATCAAAATTTAAGTGCTCGAATAATCGATCTCTCACTCGAAAGTAGGCTGCTGCTAAATTAGCGGTACATAATGAAATAGAACATAAATCATTAATCACGGCTAGTAGCCATCAAAAATCTTCTAAAAGTCGTAAACGCAAAGAATTTCGCTAGGCATGATATAAAAGTTTACGATGTTTTAGGCAAGTTTGTCAATGTCAGGTAGAGCACTGATCGGAGAACAAAAAATTACTCGGCTCACTTTAGAAACAAGTCCCAACCCTAATCACGTAATGTTGTGATACAACGTCAGGCAGTGATAAATAATGCCTTGAATTTGATTTATCTGATTTATAAAATAGCAGCAAGACAAAAGTGGGACACACAGTGACTATCCCTCAATCGATTAATAATTTTCGCGGGGCAGAAAATTATCGATTAAAATACGCAGCCACTGTAAAGGACCGTTAATTAGGCTTGGTGCTCGTGCTTCTTGTTGTTAGTGAAAATCGGGCCGGAACCAGTTTGGCAACTGTAGCATCAAATCCCGAGCGCCCTCCGGCTAATTGAATTGTCTGTCAGGGGGTCACACGGGGGCCGCCATTCTGATCAGAAATGGCGAGCAGGGGGTCACTTAAAAATCGCTCCACCCGCGTTGAGTAGAACCTACCCAGCTCAACTCCGGCTAACAACGTGCTAGCTCTATCCAATGTCGATGAAGGTGGATAACTAAGCCCCCTGCGTTACTGTGGACAAAGGAGAACACGGGAGCAAGACAGGGGAAGGGACGAGGAGACGTCTCGCGCTACGGTTGGCTGAACACTCAAAACAGCATCTGGAAATAATGCTGCATACTAGGATATCTAGATTATGCATAATTAGGTGGTATATAAATAAGCGAGTGAATAGGAAGTCGGGGAGAAGATAGAGAGGGAAGGAGATCGAGGAAGCGAGGCGTCAGGTCGGGGGGTCTTGAGATCATCATAAAACATCCGATCGGGGGATTGCGGAAAGTGCGCGAAAATGGATTCAGCGGCGTGGGCGGTTGGTGACCCCCTTGTTCACGAGTTGATGTTGAGAGTTGAGTTGTGAGAGCGCGGACCCCCCAATCGGACCTCGCTCTATCTATAGCGTCCCCCGTGTATATCGCGCGCTCTCTCGCTGTTTGCCTTGGGTTTGCGCTTGGATATTGCGTAGCTCAGCGCGACCCCCGTATTGGTCTTCTGTCGATTACGGTGGGGCGACCCCCCGGTCCGAGCCTCCCTCGCGCCGCAGTCTCAAAGTTTTGTGCCACAAGCAGCCGCCACAGCTCCTCAGTACCAGAGAAAAAATGGAAGTCGACCAGGTCAGCTCGCCGCTCGACCTGAAGAGGAAGACGGAAGTCACTCCAGAGGTTGAGCCGGAGAAAAAAGCCAAGCTTGCTCAAGAGAATGGACAGCCAGAGAACAATGAGCTACCAATCACAGCAGAAGACATTCGAAAACTAAAAGAATTGCTTCGCCAGGAAGAGGCAAAGCTACTGTTAATCAAGCGGTAAGTGAATTATTAAAACAATAGCCCCGACTGAGCTGCTCGCTTTAGGATCAAGGCGTCGATCGCCATCCCAGAGCAGAAAAATGCGCGAGCTTCGCCGGCTTCTGCCAAGCAGCCGCTCAAGTTGCCTGTTTCAGTGAATAGCAACTCCACTGTGAACAACGGGTTGAGCAACGGGCACGGCGCCGGTGCCCAAGCCGCCAGCAACAGCAACATTTTAACCTCGAAAATTACGGCGGCGATGGGTGAAATGGGTAGCGCGGTGGCGGGAGCTGGCAAGGGCAAATCATCCAGCGAGTCGAATAATACGCACTCGAGCAGCTCGCACTCGACACAGTCGGGAAGCAAGCTCGAACAAGTGACTCAGTCCTTCGAGCGCAGCAAGTCGAAGCGCGAGGAACTGAAGAACGAGCTCAACCAGACGTTGAACTCGATCACGACGATGCCGCCCTGCGCACATCACGATGTTAACTTCTTCCCAACGGTCGCAAACGCCGAGTTCTTGGCGTTGCTTGGTCTGGAGAAGTGCGTCGGACGTCTCAAACGCGAGGAACAGGCGCGGGCTGGCTATTTACCGATCGGAGCAACTAATGGGAACACTCGCGTATAAACTGTTATGCTCCGATATTTTACGATGCGTAACGCGCTTCCCATTTACTCAATGAATACTAAATAATCACAAAAGCGGGGAAGCCTAACGTCCCCTTAATTTCCGAGTAGCTAAGGAGCCCTGATAAAAGTCGAAGAAAGTGGAGGCGAAAAGAATGGAGTGTTCCAAATGCACGCGTGATTTCTCGCCAAGCTGGAAATATGACCAAAAAGGTCGTTTATTATGCACTAAGTGTATTAATACCGAGGAATTCGAACGGCAGACGATTGTAAGTGTCGTCCATTGTAAATAGTTATTAACGAAATTTAGTCTCAAATAAAGAAATTCAACAATTTCTCAGACTTCTGGGAAAAGAAAGAAGAAGAGCTGACCGTCATTGAGTTGCAGATGGAAAAGGTTGAGCGCGGTGCATTTTAGGATTAGGCGATAAACTATTAATTAGGACCAAAAGGAGCTGCGGCAACAACAAATAGAGGCCGAGAAAATCCGCCAGGCCAAATACCGCCAGCAAGAAAAGGAAAGGAAGAATAATTTGATGAATGGCGACATTGCAGGCGTCAATAGAACCGCCTTGGAAAATCTAATGAGATCGGTGAACACTGGCAACCGACATCGCCCGAAAGGCAACAATATCGGACAGGCGTCGACACTCATGAATCAAATAAACCAGATGACCCATGTAAGTCACTACAATTTGCTAAAGTTAGAGTCTCACAAATAAAAACACTTTATTAAAATCAAACTAAGGAGCAAACTCTTCAAATGATTCATCGACTACACCAAATGTCGAATCCTTCGGCGGCGAACTCAACGATTACTGCCGATTATTTGGCGAATCTCAAAGTTCAGAAGATAAAGGAACAAATGGTAAGTGGCGTTTGAGAAACTAAGATATTGATCATTTTTTTAGATGGAGCAGCAGAAACAGAAAGAGCTCCAGAAACAAATGGAACTGGAACGCATTCGAAAGCAAAAACAACGAGAAGAGCTTGTCAGAAGCCAATTAGAACGACAAAGACAGCAACAACAGCAGAGACAGAACAACCCCTCGAACTCGGATTTACTGCGTGCTATTTCGCAGATTCAAAGTAACGACCTCTTATGTGAAAAATTTTAAATGGTTTAGATTTGACAAATTTGACGCAGCCAGCTCAAAACAGCTCACCTGCTCAGAACAGTGGTACACAAGTGAACCAGCAGCTCCAAGCACTGCAGCAACTTTTGGCTGCTGGCAACGCACAGCCGAATCTGCTTACAAATCTTATAGCATGTAAGTAGAAAATCTTTTAAAATAAATTGCTACTGTCGAATGAGCCGTTAAATTGTTTTCAGCTGGAATACTCGGAGGACAGAACGTCCGTAACTCCTCGCAGAACTACGCTGAGCTGCTCAAACCCCCAACTGCCCATACAAACAAACGTTGAGATCAAAACATTTCGCCCCAATTCTACAAGAAAAATGACCCATATAGAAGAGAAGAGTACTCCACTCTGAACTAGTCACATTTCTAGGCTGTATCATGACCGATTGCAATTATGTTCTATTAAAATTCTTCTTGATCACTTGAATTTTCACGTCTGTCTTTTACTTTTTTGCTCAAATTAAAAACAATAAAGGATGAAAACACACAAAGCCTCGTGTTGTAGTTGCTGGCTCTTGTCACACTCCAACTTATGCGTGTCCATTTATCAGTGTAACACATACCTCAGTATATTGATGGATGCAATTGTTGGCAGTTCCTTCATAGCACTCGCGCCAAATTTGAGCCATCGCACTTGGATTGACAGACTCATCTTGGAGTTTGAACTGCGCTTGCCAGTGGCTCATTTCAAAGGCTACTTCCGAAACAGAGTGATTCGGTCTAATGCAAACGAACTAAAATCGAAAATTATATATGCCACGATAACTAACACTACCTTGTCACCCTTTGGGTAGAGCATGACTGGCAGTTTGCCGGATTCGTCAACATAAAACTTTCCATTGAGTCGTTTACTCTGGTTGAGAGCATCAACCCATTCTACGCCCTTGAAGTGGTTAATCTTGAGCAACTTGAGTGTGCAATCCTCAGACGTTGTGAATACATTCTGTCCAACAACATGTAGCTTTCAGGGTTTTAAATATTATTTGAAAGCATTAAGATTTATCTTTATCTATGACCATGGGCGGCTAGCTTTATTAATGAGAACCCGACCTTATCGGTTGCATTACCGACGTCCATCACACCCTCGTCGAGGGTTCCATTCATTCGTGCTTCCGTCATAATATCGTCCAATGTCTCCGAGAAATAGTGAAACAATCCCTGTTGACAAGCAATCGACATTCCCAAAAGCCGATTCAAGAACTTCGAAACTGAGATGTCTCCATCGGTTCGCATTCGAGTCTTGCTTTCGTCTTTCCATACGAAAATTCCGATCTCGTAGAGAGCCCTGAACAGAGTTATTAATAAAGTGAGTGATTGATAGAAATACCGTTTCATGTCTTCTGTAAAGTTGCCGTGGTAGAACTCCGGAAATTTGACAGAATTGCGCTCCTCCCCAAGAATAGATTTGAGCACTAGATCAAGCGACTTTTTGCCATAGTTCGTATCGAAGTTGAATCGAGTAAGGTCGCCGTGCTTCTGGGCACTACGTCGATCGCCATGGGTGAGAGCTCCCATGGATTCCAAGCGACGCGCGACGACTGAGGCAAATCGCTGTTCTCCAGCCAATTCGGAGATAAGAAAGCAGTACTTAGGAGGACACACCTGAAACGCACAATTAAAACGCATCTTTCATCCTTAAAAATTACTTGATTGGAGCGGTGAGTACGTCCGAATTGTTGGACAGCCTTATCGGCTGACCATGGCAGTTCTAGGGTAAGGTGAAGTCGACGGTTCTGATTCGCGCATCTTCGATCACAGTGGAGTGATATCCCCGAGCTGGCTGCGTCGGAGATGATTGCGAAAAGCTTTTTGCCTTTCATGAAATTGTCTTTTTCAATTAGATTTATTTGTTCTAACGGCACATTAGCGGACTGTGCTCGATTTTCATACTGAACTCCTTGAAATAACATCGTTAATGGTTAAAATGAGTTTCTATTAGCTACCTTGGTCGGTAATAATTTGTCGATTCTTTCGGCCAGTCAATTCAGAAACCATTTCTGGGCCACCAAGGCCATCCATCAGCTCATCGAGGGCATTTCCAGGCAAATTGGTAATCTTTAATAGTTTCTCCCAGAGAGTCCTCTTCAAATAAGCACACTGCTCGATCGCCGCTGCTCGTTTGCGATGTTCCTCCGCTTCTTTGTCGACTTTGCGCATTTTGAAACCGGCAGCTCGAAAGTGATCCGAGATAGAGTCAACGCGAACGCGCTTCTTCGAGTCGCGGTTCTTGCCGTTCTTGATGGAAGACTCATTTTCCTCGTCTTCACTCTCGCCAAAGGCAGCAGTCAAATCACCAAGATCATCCTCTGGATCAGATTCCACATTCGAATCTGCAGTAGTAGTCATACTCATGTATCGAGGTTTTTTATCGCGTTGGTCTTGAACTTTCTCGGGCGAATCAGGCAAATCAAAGTTGATGCCAAGCTCTGCGAGTTTATCACGATCAGAAACGGGAAAGTGTGTATCCAATAGTCGTCTAAAAACACCCTTGCAGCTAGATACCATCTCGTTTAGTTCTTCTCCGTCTGCCACGATTCGTTCCATTTCTTCATTGGTTCTTTGTTCGCCAGTACTCTGCAGGCCGATGACGACGCATTGATTTTCTCTAACTGCTTTCCGTGCGATCTGACAGGCTTTGTTCACTTTTGCTGCCATTGTAAGGTATTTGAAGAACCTCTGGTGTGCGCCCCAAAACTGCTGCCACATACCAGGCATCTTGAAGTCATCACCAAGAAGACTGGCTGCCTGGGCAAAGTACTCCTTCGCGTCACGCCAGAGCTCTGCGGCAGCGTCGTACAATGTCATGAAGAAACCATCTAGGGGTACTTCTTCAAGATCAAATTCACAGCCTTCGAATGAGAGCTGACGTGCTAGGTAGACCCCTCGTCGCTTCATATCCATTGCCACCAGTTCCATGGCACCTACTCCAGCTTTGGTGAGTGCATCGACAAACTGATCGGAGCTTTTGAAACCAGTTCCGGCGCCCCAAAGTCCAAGTCTACTCATGTACGACATGTGCTTCGGCTCACTAGCACCTGTCGCAGAAGCATAAACAACTCTAGCTTGTTTCAATTGACGCTGAAGCTCAAGAACGGTCGTTCCAGTCTTCGAGGGCTTTCCATTTGCTAAATAGCATTAAACATCTTCAATTTGGCTTTCATCTTACCCTGGTATAAATTTTTGGCCTTGTGGCATTCATCGAATACAATTACTCCATCAAAATTGCGACCACACCAGGTGACGAGTTGATGAAGTCGAGTGGCCTGGGCAGCTTTTTTAGTCGTAGTACCAGCTTGGTGGCGCTCTCCGATGAGAGATGCGTAAGTGCCGAAAATGACTCCATTTTGAACACGGCCGTTTTCTTTCTCCCCGAGTTTATGTCCATATTTGAATTTGTGCAAGGGATATACATCTATAAAAAAATGGCTTGGTATAACACGAAAGAACATACTTATCATAGTTGCGCCTATGTCTGTCAAATCTCGAACAGAGTCATGTCTAAGATCGTTTGACACGGAGAGCCAAATTGCCTTCTTCCGGCCTTGCAACCAGTTATCGTAAATGATTCCCGAAATCGATCTTCCCTTGCCAACGCCGGCACCGTCTCCCAAAAGGAAGCCTTTTCTTTCGCCGGATGGATAGAAACCTGCGTGTTGTTGTGCTGCATAAACTACAGCTTCAAGCTGTAAATCAGAGAGCTTGCCTTCCTGAATGATATCAGAAGGAAGAGAGATCTTTGCGGTAACATCAGGCACTGCGACCGATGAAAGAGCAATGGATTCTATAACAGGATCTGGATGAGGCCTTCCTTTCACTTTTCGGGCACGGTAGGGCTTAAATTTGGTGTGTTTAATTGTGATGATAATGTGAATCCTAGCGAAAATTATGAAGTTGGCTAGACTTACTTTGAATGTTTCATCCCGACGAATTTCTGCCGCTTCGCGCAACATTTCGTACCGCTTACGCATTTCACTGCGTTGTTTTATCAATTTATCTTGTGCAGTAAGGCCAGGATGATATGGTTCAGCGGGTCTGATGGATGGGCTGTTTATTTGCATGGTTTTGAACACTGAACCGAGATTTGTTCCATTTGGGGTCGACGGCACGGGCGCGGATTTCTCCGGCACATTGGGCGTCAAAATTGAAGACGGACGTATGACCTGTTGTCGACTGGGCTGTATTTCTTGTAGTGACAGGCGGCGATTCGGTGTAGAGTTTAAAATCATGGGCGATTGAGATTTGACGAATTCAGCTGGCTGGGGGGTCTGGAGACGAATGACACGTGGTTTATTATTCGGGTCGCTGCTTTGGACAGTGCTCGGTACTTGAAGAACGTATTGCTGGATTACTGGTTGAATAGACGTAGGTTGGAGAAGTCCATTCGGTCCGAGTTGAAATATTTGAGTAGCACCTCCGTTAATCATTTGCGCAGCTTGAATAATTTGAATTGAGTTGAATGAGTTCTCGCCTGACACAGACAATACGCCTGACACTGGGCTTGATGCCACAGTTGTTGTAGAAGCTGTGCTCACAGCGCTCGTTGGGAGCAGTGTGAAGATTGTAGGAGCTGGGGAAGCAGCGTTGACGGATGATTTACGTTTCGTTCTTGGTGCTCTTACTCGGGGTGGTTTTTTCTTTAGCGGCGTCGGCGATACACCAGCTGGCCTTGGTTGGATCGGCGTATTTGACGTTTGGCTCATCAGTTGTACAGGAGGTCTACGAACAGAATTGGCCTTAAGAATAATAATAATTAACTACCTGTTTTCTTGCAGAATCAATGTTGGTTTAGGTTTCTCGTCGAAGATGCTGTTTTCAGTTTGAGAAGTAGACACCTCGTACTGTGTGCCAATATGATTCTGATCCGAATGACCATTTTCGAATAATTCCTGTCCGGCGTCGTCCACTGGTACGAGATTGACCATATTCTCTTCATCTGGCACAGAGTCAAACGGAGTAGGTTCTATCGCAGCGGAATCAATCGGACCATCAATTATCTCGTAGTTTTCCAGATTCAGTTCGTGCGTTTCGGGAACAAAGTCTTGCGACTCATTTTGCGATTCAACAATCAACTCGTTCGAATCATCTTGCGACTCCTCAATCACCTCTTCTGTCGTATACTCGATCTCCTGCGAGGAAAAATGCACCTGCTCGGGTTCTTCAGAAGCTGATGCGAAATCTGATGGATTGATTTCATCTTCCACGGGGACGCATCCACCACCTTTCTTTTCTTCTTCAATCGGGATCAATTCACCGACGATAGCTTCGAGTTGAGATTCAAGGGTCTTTCCATCCTCAACAGGAACAGGAATCGAGCCCGGATCAATTGATAGCATCGACTCTAATGTAGGTTCAGCTACTTGTTCTTGAAACGGAGGTTCTTCAATCACCGTCTCTTCGGCTACGGCCTCTCCAATAACGACTTCAGGCACTTGAATGTGCTCTTCCACTACTGTGTGCTCCTCAGTGGTGGGTACTTCGACATAATCGACTTGGTTTTCCTTGTTGAATGAAAACATTTCGTCGAATGCCATGTTGTCTTTAACAAGTTACTTTATATTTATTGAAATTGAAATACCGTTATCAAGAACCGCCTCTTCATTAGCGATTGGAACATTGACCTCAATACCGTTCTCTAGCGTCTCATCACAAGCGTCGTTCACTTCAACATTGTTGATTATCAGATCCTCATCAGAAGTTATAGTTGGTTTTTGCCCGAACATCTCATCAAACTCCTCGCATCTTCTGTAGACTAAATATTTCCGTCAGACCACGTCTCAAAGAATATGTCCCTAGCCCTAATTTTAATTAGATTAAAAGATGCTTCATGCGAATGCAATTCTGTAGAAAACTGCTTAATCTAAAGTCTATTTAAATATACACAAGCAAAACGGTCAATTTGGCCAGATTTTCGGACAGAAATTTAAGAAATCCGCTGAACAGTCTGATTTTCACCTTGGAAAGCTTCGAAATTGAATAAATACAGTAATAAAATGAAAAATTCGACGACAGTCATGGCCGAAAATTTGCCGAATTGCCCCTTTTTGCCTGTGAACTGACGAATATTTCTAAGAAAACTTTTCGAAAAAACTATCTGCCTACATCGCCGGCCATCTGCGGTATCGTGATCGAGAGTTCGGGCTAAATATTCATTATATTCCTCTTGGCATCCTATGCAAGTGATTGGATAGTCTTGGCCGTAATCTGCAAAATCTTGACTGCTAGACGCACGCTGCCGTAAACTACGTATAGAGTGTGTAACTTCGTCAATTCTTCGTATATTCATCTGTTTAAAGAAGAGCTCCATGTATGGACCCGGAGACTGCCGGGCCGGAGTTGTTTTAACTTTCACAGGCCTCCACTTCTTTAGTATGGCCGGTTTAGCACTGGTAACCCTTGGTTTCTTGATGATATTTCTGTCAATTCTTTCGATTTTCTGGTAATTCCGTTGGGAATGATGGCTTTTACTCGTCGACGGAATATTCTCGTAATTGGGTTGAAAAGGATAGCCTTGATTCGTAGATGGTATGTACTTATAATTCCGTTGAGAAGGATGGCCTTTACTTGTCGACGGAATATTCTCGTAATTGGGTTGAGAAGGGTAGCCTTGACTCGTAGATGGTGTGTACTTATAATTCCGTTGAGAAGGATGGCCTTTACTCGTCGACGGAATATTCTCGTAACTGGGTTGAGAAGGGTAGCCTTGACTCGTAGATGGTATGTACTTATAATTCCGTTGAGAAGGATGGCATTTACTTGTCGACGGAATATTCTCGTAACTGGGTTGAGAAGGGTAGCCTTGACTCGTAGATGGTATGTACTTATAATTCCGTTGAGAAGGATGGCCTTTACTTGTCGACGGAATATTCTCGTAATTGGGTTGAGAAGGGTAGCCTTGACTCGTAGATGGTGTGTACTTATAATTCCGTTGAGAAGGATGGCCTTTACTCGTCAACGGAATATTCTCGTAATTGGGTTGAGAAGGATAGCCTTGACCCGTAGCCAGAATATTCCCATATTTCCGCTGAGAAGGATGATCTTGACTCGTAGTCAGAATATTCTCGTTATTAAATTGAGAAGGATTGCCTTTACTCGTGGACGGAACATTCACGCAATTAGGTGGAGAGGGATGGCCTTGGCTTGAAGACAGAATATATTTGTAATTCCGTTGAGGAGGATGACCGTGACTCGTAGTCGGAATACACATTCTTTCACTCATCGTTCGCTGCGAAACTGCATCGATAATCGGTACGGTCTGACAACCTGGAGGTGCCTCAATGATGCTAACAGTCGAGCCTCTAGGAATTTGCAGCATGCCAATCGGGGTTCCCAGATTTTGCACGCTTGAAAAATCTAGCGGCTGACTGACAGGCGCATCCACAAAATCATAGATAATATGATTACCTAAATTTGAAAGTGATACTGAATTATATATATATCAATATTATCAATTGATTTATCAATATAAATATATATTGATAGAGAAATTAGGTTACTTTACGACTACTGAACTCGATAATCAAGTTTCTAAAATAGAAATTCTACTTTTTAATTCAAATTTTTATCGCGAAATCTAGAACTTATACGAGAAGTAGTCGCAAAATATTTTCATGCACGAGTCCTAGCTCTGGAGAGACATCCAGAGGAAATAAATTGATAAATGAGAGTATATTAGTCGTATGTAACATAGCGGTCACTATGTAACAAACATAAAATGTATCATGCGATGATCCTGACAGAAATATCTGGGAGTAAGATAACCTTCAATAACCTTTTTGATAAATGAAATGTGGTTTTGTCTTAAGTGCTTTGCGTTCACTATTCGTCGGCCTGCATTAGTGCCGTTTATTACTCTGCGAAGAAAAATGCAAAGAAAAAAAATTGATAAGTGTAGACCTGAATGTGAACATACCGGTACCTTGCATATTCTGAGAACCATTTTCCGACATCCAGATTCGGTTAACGCTCAGGAGATCAAAACCGACGTCTCAATTTCCTGAAAATTAGCGTCGCATTCACGCTTCTTTCAAAAATAGACATTTAATACAGTAGAAAATTAACTTCAAAAGGAAAGTAAAGGATAGTTCTTCATTTCTGTAGTTCTCTTTGCCTTTGCTCAAGCATCAGGAGTTGTGTGGACTTCACGGACATAATGACGGGCTTTGTCAGTGCTGGAACAAAGTTGCGATTCGTAGATAACAAGTACCTAAAAGGTTACGCTTGATTACTTAGCTCATGATCATCATCACCCGGTTTCGGCACGGACTAAATTTATTAACTGGCGGTGCTACTTACGGTTTAGGAACGAAGAAAGTCAATTTTGGAAAGAGCGGCTCCTCGTTCGACATATTATTCTAAAAAAGGGCGGTAAACAAATTACTAGAATTGAACGCAATTATGAACAGTCACTGTGATCATGTCACATTTTATCAAGGGTGTTCATTTTACTTCGTTTCTTTCCGCCAGACATTTTCATCTCCTGAAGGCGGCGTTTCCGCCTGGCCTTCTCTTTTTCTTGCTTGGCGATCTTCGCTAAGTTGAACGCCTCTGGATTCGTAACTGCCATCTCTTGCTTAACTCTTCCTCTTTTTTCCCTCCTGCTTGAAAGCGCGCTACGGGCAGTGTCCCAGGCTTTCGCAAACGCAACAGTACCAACCATCTTTTCGACAACGGTGGCACCTAAAAGAGTTCGAAACGAAAATTACAAAATCCAAACCTTTATGCGATAATTTCCGCAGCTCCTCTGGCGTTTGCCTAGAGTCTTCCTTCGCCGTCGCCTCTCTCGCTAGAACCTCCATCATCACGTGCAAGTGGGGAATTCTTTCGTTCTTATGCTTGTGGATAAACTGTATGAATAGTTCAATAACTAGCTCGCGACGCACAGTTTCTTTTGGCCTTTGAAAAATTTATTTCTTTTTCGAGAATTGAAGGATTTACCTGTCTGAATTTTCCTCAGCTGCCACGCCGTTGAGTTTCTGGGTAAGCCATAATAGTTCCGATCGTTTGCCTTCTTTTTCTTCGAGTTCTTGATCGTACTTTTTCACGAATTCGTCCAATATCCAAATAACTAGCAGTTTACAAGGTTCCATTTCTTCCCGTCCGACAAATGCACATTTAAACTGCAACACGCAACTTATAGCGACCGATCTGACCTTCGCATCATCCCAGAATTCTGGGTAGTCGCTGTTGAGTTCTTTCAGCGTCTTTCCTTTTACCAGCTGGTAAATAAGCTTGGCAGCACGCTCACGCACCCAGGAATGAGGATGACTGAGATGTTGCTCTGCTGCTCTTGAAAAGCACTCAATCGCTGACTGATACGACCTTTCGAGGTCAAAGTTTTCTAGTAATCCCTCGAGAGCTACAAAAGGGGATGAAATAAAGAAAACTCAGCTGAGTTACCGTCAAATAATGCAACCAAGAGTGCATCGTCGACTGATCCGAATTCTTCATTAGTCACCAGATTTTTAATCGCGTTGATCACTACTTCGATCTGTAAACTACCCTTCAGTTCTTCCAACAGAAATCCAATAAGAAGCAGCCCAAGTCGAACCTTTTCGGGGTCTTCGTGCTCCAAATACTCACAAGTAAGATTCGCGTAGTCCTCGCTTGGGTACTTAGATGTGAGCTCCTTCAAAACAACAGAGGCGTCTTCACGAACTTTAATAGATTCGTCTGTAGAGAACGAGGTAGCAAGGACCGTGAAGAAGAGAGAGCAGCGTGGACGCATCATTTTGTCTGGAAACTTTGAGACGACATGTCGAATACTAGCGATGACGGACTCACGACCGGTATCAATGCCATAGTTCGTGTTTCCGAGAAGTTTATTGATATATCTGTCCAGTACAGTCGGGCCGAGTGGGTAATCAATCAGGAATTGAATAAAGAAGTTTCGAGCAGAGGAACGCCCGGCTTCAGTATCCGCCTAAAAATGAATAACTACTGACCCAACGAAAAGCAAAGCTACCTGAATTGAAAGCTTAAATACTTTCGTGCTTATGTACTCCATCTCGTCACACACTTTATTCCTCTTTAGCATTGCATGTAAAAGCGGAAAAGCCGTAGCCTGCCTTTCATTGTTGAATAAGTCTTCCTCAGCATAGCCAAGTAGAACCAATAAGTAGTCGTCACTCAGTGGACCGTAATCAGACGAGATCAAGGCAGTAACAGCTTTGAATACTGCAGAGACATACTCCGAGTTAGATGCATTTCCACGGCACTGATTCTTGAGCACAAAAAAGAGCTTTTCTGCGAGCTTTGTGAACTGTTTCGAATCATGAAGGGTTGAAAAGCGGGGATTTTTAAGCATCCTTTAAATAGAAATTAAGCTTCTTTTATTCTAAATACTCATTACCTTTGGAGAAGTCTAAAGATGAACATGGCCTCGTCACTGTGCCTGTTTGAATCAAGCATATTAATGATAATGTGCAGTATTCCATCAAGCTTTTCTAGTTGATCGGAGTTTATCGAAAGATCAATCTTGTCAAACTTGATTCCAGAAATGAGTAACGATAGGGCAAATTGATTCAAATAATGTTTGTTCGTGATTTTCTTGTGCCCAGCTTTGACTTTTGGAGCGACGGTATCATTATCGTCCAGAAGAAGGCAACTTTTCTTTTGTGACTGGTCTTGCTTGCTTTCCGCACTTTCGTTTTGCTTTTCTTCTTCGGCAGCGTTGTCAGTTAGAATTTGAGCAGAGAGAATGATCAGATGATCACCAATGAATGCGTCATTAGATACCAAACCTTCGCATATCGCCTTCAATGCACTAAAGAGTGCCAAGTGATCTTTTAAATCCGTTGATTTTAGAATACGATCTTTAATTGGTTGCATCAGCGAGGTCAAGGCACCAGGAGAAACGATTTGCGCTAGACGTTTGTAACATCCGATCGAATAGTTCTTTCCCTTTGCTTCGGGTGTCTTCCCAACAATCTTTCCAATTTTTTTCTCTTTTCCTTGCTCACCGACGAGATCGCTGAGAAGAGTTTCCGTAATCGCCGGAATCTGCTCGTCAACAGCACCAGATTCATAGTCATGGCCATGAAGTAGCGCCGAGATAGACGCAATTTGGACATGCTTTTGGTAGCCACGCTGAAGACCCGCTTTGAGCTCCTCAATGAAAAGGCCGAACCACCTATCGCCGAGAATATTTAATGCAGAAACGAGCGCTTTTCTTGCAATCTCACGCTGAGAGAAGTTCCTCGATCGAAGCATATCCACAATTTTCAAAATTATAGATGGACAGTAAGATCGGATAGCTTCCTCGCCAAGAGTGCAAAGAACTTTAATCAGGGCAGAAGCTAGTGGAATGTGAATAACTTGCTCGTCTGCTTCTGCGTCCACATTAACATCTTCTCGGCGGGTAACCAGTTTATACAATTTTGGACGGACGACCAAGTGTAAATGCGTGTAAACTTTCTTGAGAAGTTGAATCGGGTACTTGTCTTCGGTAGACTTATCGACTTCCATCGTGTCATCATCCGCTTCATTATCGCTCTCCTCGGGCTCATTTACTATCTCGTCTGGTTCTTCTTCGTGATCATCGATAGTTTGACCTTCACTCGATTTCAAGGCATCGATTACCATTGGCTCGTCGCTCTCCTCATCGGATTTCTTTTCCTTCTGTAATTGAATCTCTTCGAACTCGCGAATATGTTTAATAGTGACGCCGCTCTCCCGAGAAAATCTGGTTACCGAGTAAATGAAATTATCGTCTAGCTTGTCCAGGGGCCAGTGGACAGAGTCCAATACTTTGCAAATGATTTTGACCGTCATTTTCAACTCAGCCTCATGATCTCGTTGAGGCATGATTGTGCGCTTCGATTTTTTGTCTGGTTCTTTTTGATCAGTCGAAACCTTAGAGTTCTTTAGCGCCAAGTTTAGCTGCATATCCAGGAGTCGTCGGTAAGTACTCCAAGGCATGGATCTCGCGATTGCCCCGACCACATCTAGAGCTTCTTCCAATACTGCAGTCTGACCACTTAATTTCGGGTCTAGCAAGGTGCTCAACACGATAGGAAACACGTATCGACTAGCAGCGATTCCTTTTATATGACCATCGTTTATATATGAAACAATGATCTTGTACCCATGACGTCTTTTGTGGTACTGAATATGTGTCACTAACTGGAAGAAGTCTTGATCTGGATCATCGTTTGATAGCCCAGAAAATTGTCCAAGTTCGGGATCAGTCGAGAAAAGGACCACCAGTTTAGCGAAAATACCAACATATTCGTGTCTTAACCTTTCGTTCCGAGACTTCAACATTCGCCGAATTTCAGGGAGAACAACACCCTTTATTAACTGCACGAAAAAATTAGAATCTTTTTGCGAGTCAATCTTTTCGATAATTGAGAATATCAGACGATTTGTGGCGGTTTGAATTGACATGTCATCCACACTTTTGAATTGATACAAGCAGCTAACCATGACGCATCTCCAATAGAGAAAGTTCTGGCTGAAGTCTGGCAAGGTATTTGCCTCATCGGTAAGCGAATTTATTGTGTCTATTCTCTTATCGAAATCAATTGGATCGTGAAGATGTTTTCTTACTGCATTGAATCCTCGAACGATTTTAAAAATACCCTCGTAGCTTTTACTTTTTTTGGATAGAGCCTCAAAGCAATTTACAAGCTCCATCCGTACCCCAGTCTCATCTCCGACTGTTGTGATGAGTCCAACAAGCTTACTGGCAAACAGACTCTGATCGCTCTCGTTATCCTCTGCTTTGGGTATTAGCTGTGCTATACTTGACAGTAATTCTTTTTTGAGATGCTGTACTCTTGATTTAAACTGATCAAGAATGATGAAAATGAGTTTAGAACAAAACTCTGGTTGGTCGATGTCGAGTGAGATGAGAATGATGAGCTGGAGTGTTTCTTTGTCCATTGCACCGGATTTGCTGTTCTCGATTGATGGTACAAAGTAATTTATTAGTATTGGAATGATTCTGTCGACAGCGTTGCGAAGAGATTCTGGCCAATAATCCTCTTTATCGGCGAAAATTTGAGAAACAACTTTAATGATTGACGCAACCACAGGTTTTCCTACGTTCGAACATTGAAGAAGAGAAACCAAATGATAGAGAACAGTGAATTCATCGAGCTTGAAAAGCAACATGTCTCTCGTGTATTCGGAACCTGCCCAAGCACAAACAAGACGATGTGTAGGTCCAACCTGGTCAATACTATCTTGCTTCATGTTGACAATCAAGCCACCAATCCATTTGAAGATGATTTCCTTTTCGTCTTCCAAATACGGTATTTTCGTCCGCTCGGAGAGGTCTAGCAGCGATTTGATTGCAAGGGTTCGTATATCCTTAAGTTGGCTCTTGCACATTGGACGCACATTTTCGAGGCTGAGTAAAAAGGCGGTGTAGTTTCCGAACTGGACCAGAGCTTTTAAAATCTGCACTCGGAAACTTTCCATAACTTCTTGACTACCCCAGTTCACATTGTTTATGATGGCGTGGATGGTCTGCAGTGTTCCAATTTGCTTCCCAAGTGGCCAACATTTTGATCCGTCGTTTGCTTCTATCAGGTAGGGCAGACATTGAGTTGACAGATCATAAAAGTTCTGAAGGTGGACAACAGCAGAGTCTGCGATTTGCCGGACAATGAACTTTTGGCGAACCTGGGCTGAATTCTTACCCGCCTTTTCTTTGATCTGCGAGAGCATTTTCCCGAAGGATATGCGCAGTGCATACGTTACAACTTGATCGTAGTCGACCACGTTGATCTCATGGTCAGAGGACATAAGTTTCGTGAATCTGGAGCGATAAGCACCATTGTCGCAAAGTTCTTGAAGTAAGACATGATGTCGAGCAGCCACTGATTTTTTGTATGCTGCCAAGTAATCCACTGCACATCGCTGAAGAACAAAATCCTGATGAAGCAAAAGCTCAATACATATTGCTTTAAGCTCTGGCTCGCGGTACAGGGAAGTAGGATTCTTGAACTTAGCAAATAGCTTGAGTACACTCTCAAGCATCTTTTTCGTCTTTTGACGTGATACTTTGGCCTTGTCTTCAGAGGAATTCACCAGTGGAAGAACATTTTGGAATTTGAGTTTGCGTACGTACTCTTCTTGATAAAAATCGAAAAACATTGGCATGATCTTTTTCGAAAATGGCTCGAGAAAGTCCGCAAGTGACTCAGAAATGCTCCAAACTTGATCTCGTATATTCAGCCAATCTGGTAATTCTTTCACTCCTTCTCTTGTTGGGCAAAATGCTGCTTTGAGGTCAGGGAAATCCACAAAATCTTTACAGTAGTCGCCTTCGTGACTTTCAGGAGCAGAAGTGATATATTTCATACTATTTTCCATGTGATTTAGCCAGAATTCCGCCGTTGATTTTCTATCACTCTCGAATTGCCGTCGAAGGTTATCCGACAACAGTTTTCTCGTCTCTTGGCTAAGAAGAGTAAAGTTGATCGTGAGCGATCCGTAGAGATAATATGAATAGATTTGACTTCCAATGCCCTCTGCGTGGAGCGCTGTTCCAATCTTTCGAAGGAATCTCAATCGATCTCTGTACGTGGCCATAGAGACTCCTTCTTGTTCTGCGTCCAGCAAAGTGTTGAAAATATCGAGTTGTTTTGTATCGTCGCAGATCCTGATCAGGATTTGCAGGGAGTAGAATCTAACGGCGTAATTCCAGTGTTGTAAATTAGGCGCGACTATCTTCTCTATCTTTTCTTTGTCGATGCCCTCAAATTTATATTGCGAATAAAAAAGAGCCGCTTTCATAGCTCTCAGTAAACTGAGATTGGCAGGACTCTTTTCTAAATCAACGATAATAGTCTTTTCAAATCCAGTGACGAAGTAGAGCTGCCCTTTGCAGTGGTCGGATATTTTTCGAATCTGTTCTTTGTAGTTCGCCAAGGACGCTATTTTACTTCCCAGGTGACTTAGAATGAACAGTGCTGGCCAAGAGAGCTCGGGATCGACTGATTTTTTCGATAAGAAGTTGTCTGAAAGTGCTCGTCGTGCTTCAGTAGTCATCGAATCAAAAATCTTGAACTGATGTTCCTCAAACATGCAGGAGGCATATCTTGTATTGATATATGCGAGGAAGAACGCGATAATTGTAGCTTGTTCAGCGGAACCACGAGCGCCTACATAAGCAATGTCCGTCATCAGGCTATTTTCCGAAGATGCGCCGTAATATTGAATTGCACAGCCGAACCAATCTTTCCCCACGATGGAATGCAATATTTGTATAATTCGTGTTCCCTGTTCATCAGTCATCAACGCCTCACGCAGATAAAAGATAAGATGGCCACGTGTTTGATTCCCAATTGGAATTATTGACTGCAGGAGAGCTCGTACAAGTTCAGTGTAGCCGAAAAATGACCTTTCGTCGTGACGGCTTTTGATGAATAAAAGAATTTTCTCCACGTCATATACACAAACACCGCCCTTGAAGTCGACTAGCTGCGTGAGGACCTCGATTCTTCTTTCTTCTTCCATAACGGTAGAGAGTAGAAGAGAAAGAAGATCTTTTGCTTTATCGCGGTGAATATGTCCAAAAATAAGTTCAAGCGATTTCTGGATAGTTTCGGAGGAACCCCGATCTTCACAGGCCAGGAGAGGCTTCATAACTGATTGAAATCGGGAGTCCAGTCCATTTTGAACACCACGGACAGCCTGAAAAACCAACATACCAAAGGCATCCCAAGTAGCTGACGACGAGTTATCTTCCTTTTGAAAATCATTAAATATTCTTGACCAGAAAGAGACATTATAGTTTGGAGTAATTGCGTGTTTACGAAGGAGAAACGCAAACGCATCGCCGGCAAATGACTGGATATAGGGGCGTGTGTCTTTTGTCACTAATTCGACGAAAGAACGCAACGTTCTGAAGATCTCTTCTCGGAGGTATCGCTGCGAGAGCTTGATTAGACGCGATAAGCAGGTGAATATGTGTTCCAAAAGTTCGAGATCCTGTGTTTTCAGAAGATCGCAAACACGATCAAATGTTTTGAAAAAGTATTTGTTGAAGTCCGATGCTAAGTCTGTCGACAAGGCGACGAAAAACTCAAGCAGGGCAGGTAATGCTAGACGACTTTATTGAGGTTTTTACGAGCATTTTTAAAAATAAAAGCTCATGGCAAATTACAGTTGTAAAGGTAAAACCAGTTCCTATTTTCTTCTAGATGTTTAAGCGAGATGTGTCGACATAGAGTGTTGAAAATCATGTCCTGGTTAACGATGACCAGAGCATAGCTGTCGACTTTTATTCCTAGTTCGCGCGTGAACATTTGGAACGGCCGGGAGAGGTCCAATTCCATCCATCTGACAATCGAAGCAACAAAAGCTGACTCCGCATCTTCTGCAGCGAGTTTTACAGCCCGATCACTTCGTAAACGATGAGCAGCAGATACCCGAACGCCTGTCAGTAACGTTACTCGATGAATAGAGATAAGACATAATAAACTCAAGTCGTTTTTTTACAAGAAGTAACCTTTCCTTGAATTCGTTCGTTGAAAGAACGAAAACGAAACTGGTTCGTCTCCTTATGTCTTCCCTGGGTCATCTTGCGGCGTTAGAACATTCTAAAATGCGATGTTCTTAAGTATGATCAAATAAGAGGGCTTGTTTCGGAATAGAACGATAAAGAGTGTTATTTTGCTAATGAAGAGTGTTTCCTAAAAGATTGTATTCAATGAGAACATTCAATTTATTTTGTAACTCCAAGTTGTTAACTGGAATGCCGTCATATGCAATTATTATGTCGTTTTCGTAAGTTATTTTTTCAAAAATGAGCTCTGCTAATCCAGGTGATTTAATGGCAGCAACACATCCTAATTTTTCTGGCCCCGTGTGGAACATAACTCCATTTTCATCCATAAAAAGAGAGCAGGGATCAAATTTATGTCTCATTCTCGGTCTTCTTCGAGAATAATACGGATAAACGGTTGAACGAAAAAATTTATGTATTATCGGCGAAATTCTGAACCGATTTCTGAAGGTGTTACTGGAGTCAATCAGGTGGTTTTTGGTGTCGATCTTATCAAAGATGACGGGAAGTAGATCCACTTGGATGAAATTACTCTCGTGTCCACAAGGAGATATCCAGTTAAAACCCTCGTGACGCGCTTCTTTTTCTCTGACTGGCCTGAAATGCAACCATGATGATATTTATGTTGCTAGAACGTTCAGTTACCGAATGCGTTTGTAAAAAAAGTTCAAAAATACAGGATCCTTGCGCGGGGTCCACCAGCGCTTCCAATCAGAACGTGATAGCCTGGGGCTAGTGGAAAGAAGACTCGCGGGGAGCGCACCAGTCTACGAGACATGAGTGGACCCTCGCTCCTTGAAGCATGTTATAAAGTTTTTTACTTTCGCGTCGTGCAGAAACAGTTGCCCTAACTTTGGTGTCGTAATTATGCTTTACAAATCGACTAGACCTTGATGATTTATGCGATAAAAGTATTCCCTTTCATTCTTTCGTATGCCATTTTGTCCTTGAATATAAAAACGGCGACTAACTCGCGAAATAGACATTCTGAACGGTATGCAAGCTCTTTTATCATTTCATACTTTATTTTTATGAACCAGAGACAGTAATAAATAATTAATTTTGAACGGTTTGTTGATTCTCGTAATCTAGCTTGATTCAGGAGTGAATGGAGTGTACTGTCCTTGAGCAAAAGAACCGATGGGAGTGTAGTTGCCACGGTCCATATCAATAACCTCGATTTCCCAGTTGGCTCCATCGGTAGCAGGAGCGTAAGGTCGTCCGTACTTGGAGTTATGCTGGTGCCATCGGTTGTACTCGTAGATAGCCCACATGATCATAATGAATCGGCACGTGTTGGCCTGAACGTTGAATAGGCTACTCTACTGCGAATTGCGCTTACCAGCAGCCAATAAGTAGAGTTCCAGTATTGGTTAGAAGTCATTCTGAACCATTGAGAGTTCGACCAATCTTGCTGAGTAACTCGTCGATCAGACCATGCCTCGGAGAAGTAACCCTCCGTCTTTGGGTTGTATCGCCAGTTCCAAAACTTCCTTCGGGTCTTGGCAGCGTGCTCGCGACGCTTATGGAAGAGATCCTCTTCTTCGGAAGTCACCGGTCGCCAGTTAACTAAACATTTAGACGGTTTGCAGCATAAACCGCTCACCTGGGTCCACAGGTCCCGGGATTCGCAGTCGAGACCATCCAACGTTGTAATTCAAGTCGACCTTGTGTTGCCACCCGTCGAGTTGCGGCTCGTGATAGTGCACAGCGTCACCAGGCTTTTTTCCGAGACGGTTAAATCGTGGCAAGCGGAAGTTATCCTAAAATTAATCAATACGAATGACCTGAATTCATCAAGGATCTTACAGCAAGGGTAGAACCATCGAGCTTAATGTCGGTGTCTTCGCGAGCCCAAACAGCGGACTGGTAGGTGTTCCAGTTCATGTTCTCCGGAGTGGGATTCTGGGCCCCACCTCGTGGGCGAGCGGTGAAAAACGGAACCGACAAAACACGCTTCGACAGTTGTTGTCTCATTTCGAAGTCTGCTGGAAAAATAAAAGATTGACTTAATTGACCTATACAATTACATTTATTGATAGATTATTAAATAAAGAATAAAGATAGGGTGCAAATGTTAAAGCAGTTTGCGCTAGAAGCACTTACCTAGACGATTTGAACTTATTTTATTTTACAAGCAAACAGTAAGCTTTGCGGATTAAATTCGCAGAAAATTAGGCTTTATTTTTCTACCCGGTGTAAAGTGATGTTTGTAAAAGAAGAAATGAATATTGTCGCCAATTTACAATATACTGTTTTTTTGCCGGAGAAAGTGGCAAGCATCAGGATTAATTTAAAGCGGGAGGTTTCGGTTGTGTATAATATGAATTTTAACGTTGTTAATAACTTACGATTAGCATCGAGGGAAAGTTTGGCAAATTAACTAGACCGACGAATATTCTTTTGCAATAAAAAACTTCAATTGTGTCTAGTCGACAGAAAATAAAAATAACTATTAGAAATTAGCTTATTGATAGAAGGGGTGGCCCTTACGCATGTACCGATGATAGAAAACTCAAGTCAGGGGTTAAGTCATCACTACGAGTCTCGAAGCTTGTGATTAGCTAGTGGCAAAAGATTTTCGCCAGGAGGTGGCACCAATCTTTTAATCCCGGACATGGGCCTGCTATCATCGGTATCTTCTCATCGTGTTGAGAATTGAAGAAAGCGCATCTACCTGGAAGTAATTTGAAACTAAAATCACTTTTGAAATGATTGTGTATTGAAGGAGGAACGAGGAAATTGAACAAAGTTAAGAATTGAGCTGTGAAAACGAGTCAATGAAAAGAAAAGTTCATGAATTCTTATCCGTTTTTAGTTCTGTCAAGGTTTATTTTAGTTTTCTTTTCGTCAACATTTTCTGCTTCGACTCTGTCGTTTTAAGTGATATTGTTGTTGTTAGCCTCTTTGTACGCTCTTTGACGACGGAGCTTGATCGTCTGGAGCACGAACTGGATAGGAATCATCATCAGTGGAGTCAACAGAATGAGGTAGAGGCAGAAGATACTGAAGTTAGGAGCGCTTGCCTTGTCAGGCCCCGTGAATGTCACCGAGTCCCAGTAAGACACCTTGACGGGCGCTGTGAACAGGTCATACTGAGAGAAAATGATTTACTGAGAGGCGATTTCATTATCAGACTTACGAATGAAAATCCAATGATAACGCCGAGCAAAACGGGCGAGATAAGCTTCCAGCAAATATCCCAGAACGGCTGCACAGTTGGAATATAGTCGAGCGCCGATTTGATATCTTTGCGGATTTTTTCGACGCCGTAGACTACTGCCGACATTATACATTCGTGAAATGCGATAACCAGAAGAGGGATAGTCGATGCGTTGCTATCAAAGATGTCAAGCCACTGGATCCCGCTTCGAAGGCTAGAAAATGTGATAAGATGAGCTACTAGTCGTAACCTCTACCAAAATATGACTCCAACAAGCGTTAGAGTAACACAAGAGCCAGCAGTGAAGTAGGACTGTTTGATTTTCTTTTGAAGGAAAGTATCGTGAATTGGGAGCAAAAGCCCAAAAGAATTCCGATTTGAGAGGAGATACCAACCATCAAAATCATTCCGAAGAATAGGACCGACCAGAGCTGAGGAAATGGAAGCTTTGTGACCGCTTCGGCAAACGCAATGAATGCCAAACCGGGGCCTCCTTGGAACTTGCTCAACATCGTATCCTTATGATAGAGCTAGTCGATAAATAGGGAAATTTATGAATACCTGTGAACAGTTCGCGAATTCTTCAAAGCCAGCGTAAGATTTCGATTCCATCACATCGGTCACTGCTTCGATTGTCGTCTTATTAATTGCGTCGACTCCGAATACCGGCAACATTCGAGTTGCAAGCTCGTTGTCGTCGAGCTTGCCCAAGATACATCGGTCGGTACTGCTGAGCGCTTTGAAGCCGACGATTCCAAAGACCGTCATCGAAGCGATAATTGAGACAATATAATTGGCTGTGGCAACAAATATCGCGTCTTTCTGGCAGTTGTTCTTCCTCGGATTGAAAGAACTGTAAGAGATGACTGTACCATACGCTAAGCCGAGATTGAAAAACGTCTGAATGGCTGCGTCTTTCCATGCTCCAATTTTGAAAGCTTTCGAAATATCGGGACTAGAATTCGTATGATTGGTTGTTTTCGATTGAAATAAGCTCACGTGAAAACCATTCCTATAGCACCGGAAGCACCACGAAGAGTTATAGAACGGAAGAAAAAATCGTGAGGACAACAATGGGGAATATAACAGTCACATACATGGCTTTTCCTGCGGATGAAATGCCCTAAATACAAGCTCAATTTTACTCTTGAAATCAAGCAATTTACCTTAACACAAGAAATGAAGACCAATCCCCATACAACCACATTGGAGACGAGCACTTTCGTAACGATGTCATTGGAGCCCTCCTCTCCCCAGCCGGAAAAGTCAAGAACATTCCGGTAGTAGTAGTACTCTGTCGGACTAGTTTCTGCACATTCTTGCACTGGTGTTCCGTTGATAGTCGGACAGTCGGTCCAAGGGAGCTTCTTTGAAAAGGAGGTGCCAAGATAGATCGCCGCCCAGGCAAGAATTACGTTGTAGTAAAGGGCGATAAGCAGACATGTGACGGCACTGAACGCTGTCGTTAACCAATGCAAAAGGACACCTTAGGTTATTAGAAAATGAGTCAAGCCGAAGCAAAAGAAACGAGACTTGACACTTACCTAGCGCAGCCAATACCAAGCGCCCTCTTGTCAAACTTGAACCATAATTTTACACTACCCACTCGATGCACTTGACCAAAAAGTAATTCCAAGAAGAAAAGGGGAAAAGCTTCGAAGATAAGTAGTACTGTATAGGGAATCAAGAAAGCTCCGCCACCATGCTTCCAGCATAAGAAGGGAAATCGCCAAATATTGCCGAGACCAACTGCCCAGCCGAGAAGAGCGAGTAAATACTGGAATTTTGAGTCCCAGGCTGGGCCTTCGTCCTCGTCTGATTCTTCTTCCAACTCATTTTTATGTGACGTACTCTTTTTCTTCTCGCTGAGAATTAAATTGCCGTTCTCGTCCGATTCCTCGTCTTCATCATGCTCTGATACATCTTGGAAGGCCAAAGTCTCTAAAATCGCCGTTTTAACAAGGAAAAAAATTGCATTCATTATTCCATAAGGAGGTGCCTTAGTCCTTAATCCATGAAAAGCCGGCGAATTTGATGATTGGAATAATTTATGTACACAATTAGGAAAATTTGACGAGCTATTTCCATTTAATGGTGGCGTGCAATTATGAAACTACCATAAAATAAGTCAATTGGTGTTAATTTAGCCAGGTTTGGGGCATACTTTTTATAAAATTACTTTTCATCATATCTTAACAGCGAAAGTAGTCTCAAATTATTTGATCCTTTCTTTTGGCAAAATGCCCATTTGAACATTAGTGAGTCTTGAAACTCATGAAAGCATATGATTTATACAAGACCAATGCTTCCCAAGCTTATAACTTACTTTTATTATAAACATCTGCAAGCAGACCGGGCATAGATTGTTTTGAGGCTTGCCTCTTGACCCTTGGTGGAGTTTTAAAGAATTTTAATTCTTCTTCGTGGGCATTTTTCAGCCTGTCTGTCGAGTTACTACAAATAAGAATGAGCATAAACGACGAGTTTCTACCTTTTATCCTTGTTGAGCGTGTTCACACTCTCCAAGAAATCGTCAGTTAAGCAGCCGGAAGCTCCGAAACTGTGTCTTCGTCCGCCTGACAGCGACAAATGCGAATTCATGGGATCTTCAAAGCCCTGAAGATCATCTTCTTTATCCATTCTTAATTCTCAACGGTCAGATTATCATTTCAAGTTAATGAATTTTCTTTTCGGAATGTATTTCGGAGTGATACGTAGAATTATTATAGCAAAATAAGGATCGAACTAAATTGAATTTTTCAGCAGCGTCGAGTTTTTAAGTTTGCCGTCAGTTTTTCTTTATGTTAAATATCTTAGATCTTGAGGGTTTGTTTGATCTTCTTGCGCACGTCGTGGGCGATGAAGTTCATGATCAGTCTCATTCCTCTGTTGCTCATATACTCATTCATTTTCCTCCTAAAGGCTGAGACCAGCACCTCTTTGTGTTCCTCCCACTTATGCCCACACTAATGCATAGCTGATTAGAAAAGGCTTACTTGGCAAATTAACAAAGCGGAAACATTTGAGTCATCTTTAATGTTATAAGAATTGTAAAAAGGAAGTCCTCGTCTTACCTCTTCGTGCTCAGACATGTCGTAGCCTAGTTTTTGATCTAAGTATTGCAAGTCTGCATATTTTAGCTCTGGCAAATCTGCGTTGACCAACATCAAAAATCTCAGTTTCAAATCGTGTCTTCTTTCCAGCACTCTCTCGTATGCCCAGATACATTTCTCCACGAAGATCTATTTTTGGCGGATAAAATTGGGCCTTACTTGAGAACACTAATGATTCTACGTCTCTTGTTAGTGCTGTAGCGAAAAAAGTGAAACAAGGGTCACATGAAATATTCATATAGAATGCGTCAGATGACCCCACGATAGTCAATAAATGGAAATGATAAAAAGGTCAGCCTTTTTCGCTGCGGTTGAATATCGACTATGAATTATAATAATTCGATTTCAAAGGGAATTACACCGAGTTCCTTTCGTATGAGATCCTTGTCGGGGCCATGTGCAAACACCTTCACAAAATCTGTGGTAAGAATGAATTCGTGCGGCTCACGATCATAGCCGAGCTTCTTCTTCCGGTGGTCTAGAATGTGCCCGTAATCGATGTGGAATATTTCCCCTTGGAGTCCAATCATGATGTTGTCATTGTGGCGATCTCTAATTCCGATAACAAAAGTTGCCACTGAATGAGTAATTGATAGTTTATCATTTATTTCAAAATGAAGTACCCGTAGAGCCTGCTAACGAATTCATGAAGGCCCAATACAAGTGCTCGTTTGTCACGTGCTGATGCTTATGTTCAGGATTTTTGACTGACATGCCGTCTAAGAATTCCTTCATGCCAAATGTGCCACTTCTTATGTAGCCCATTGTCTTGCCGTACGTCTCGTTGATTGAAGAGAGGGTTTCACCAGGCACCATTTGAATGAAACCATATTGACGAAAGCCATCAAGAGAGTAGTCTTTTGTTAAGCACTTAGGAGTGGCTGAACAAGGATAAAGAAGTGAGGTAGATAAATGATGATTACTTACCCAACACTTGATAAGTGGTCATATTTAGGTCTAATATAATATTAGCTCTTTCAGGTCTTTTGTGTCTGTGTGATCGTCTGCTTTTCCAAGCAGTGTCCATGCAACGGATAATCTGTAAGCCGAGGACATCTTGTCGCAGATCATCGCCTTCTTTGAAAATAAGAGAGGCATTCACCCAGGGAAGCAGAATAGGTTTACGCGCCGAGGAAAACATCTTCATCTTTTCCATGTTCAGATCCATGAGCAACATTTCTGGCTCAAGTGGATTAACAAGGCACTCCCAATCGCACTTTTTATACTCTTTGTTCTCACTTTAGATGTTCTATATTAATCTTTCAAAATATATAATACAAAAGAAGCATTGTCATAGAACTCTACATAAAGGCCTTCTTAATTCGCTCAATCGCATCAGCATAGTGCATGTAGTGATTGTGAAGACTGATAATTTGCTCCCAAAAGTGCACTTGCTTATATAGATGACTTCTCACTAGCTCTGGCGTTTTGTAATTTCTGTGCGGGTTATGGAAGTATTGGCCTCCAAATTTCAGCAAGCACTCCATTATCACTTAATTAACAAGTTCAAGCTCTCCAGTGGGAGTAAAAAGGTTACGCCCCAGTTTTATTTGCTAAACGAGCGAAAAACTAACCTGTAAAGAAAAACCTCTCCAATTGATGGCTGTTGGCAATGTAGGGAGTTCCGAGTTCGCTGCCTAATTCACGCGCATAAAGCTGTTCGCATTCACGACGCAAGTGCCAATACAAAAAATGGGCATATCAATGAGATCTCACAGACTGATACTCATAGAGAAACTTTATCATTTAAAATCTATTACTCAAATGGCGATCTATTTTACTGAAAAAATGTGCGATCCGTACCGAAACGACGATTTCTCATAGAACGCTGAAGAAGGAAGCGAGGAAGGTTCATGCGCCCGAGGACTGTTACGCCTTCAGGACTCAGCGTTATGTCATGATATGGCTCGTATTTTAATAAGTGCACAATTTGGAGAAGCAGTTCTTCAAGTTGAGCGTCCGAGTACTTGTCTAGTTGCATGATTGCCCAGCACCTAACGATCGGGTCGATGAAGTCCTGAACAAAATTTGATTAGCAGGAGCAAAGATATTTACAACGTCACATTCTCATAATATCGCAGTCTACTGATAAAACTAAAGAAGCTGATAATATATACTGCCTCATTCTCAAGGCTCACAGGCATGTTTCCCTTACTCGAAAGTTTAGTCTAAACCAAGTTTTTTTTGTTTTCCTTCCATCATTTTGTAATCGTGGTAAATCATACACACTGAGCAGTTAAATCAGTGAAATGATTTTCTATAATTACCCGATGACGGTTGAACAATCAACGCAATTTACCTGACTCAAAAGTGGCAGAAAAGTCTCAGGCGAGAGTTTTGCAAGATTCCAGCGGTCCAGAGCTTTGTAAAGTTCTTTGGAATGTTCGGCGCTGCTGAATGCTTGAATATACTTGTGGATCTGATGAGGCATGCTTTTAATAATCTCTTCTTGCAAAAGCCTACTCTCCCGAATCTCACGGAGTATAGCATCTGTCTGGCTTGTTTTCTTTTTATCGACGTTCACGCTGAATGGACCGATGCTCGAGTCGATGATTCCAAGAGTTTTTCGAATTTGAATTAGGTGGGTTTCACGCTCCGCCTTCAGTGCTATCCATGGATGACTTTTGGTACTGGTTATCGGGATTTTACTTAAGAAGCATTGTCTATCCGTTCCTTTATTCGTGGACTCACTGAGAACATCTCGCTCAAGAGTAAGCTCACTACTGGCCGCAGACGTGTCATGCGTCTCTTTTAGTGAATGTTTGACTTCCGGATCCTCTGGCTCATCTACAATGAGCGAGTTCCTACGCATGCATGGCGGGGCATCTTCTTGATTACAGTGATACACAAGCTCTCTAACTCTTTGTTCTTTCATCTTTTGGTCATCAAGCGAGATTCTGACCGTGATTTCGGATGGACTATCTCCCACATTTCCAATAAAGAACAAAGCACCTTCGTTGTCTCTGATGAAGGCGGTATCTAGAAAGTCAAGAGGGATATTCTCTTCAGCCAGTCTGTTGAGCTTGATGTCGAAGTTTTCCCTCACGTGGCATACTCCAAACTGATTGAAGAGCTTGAAGTTCGTGAAGCCGCCAAGTGTTGGTGGTCCTAACTTGGTCTGACCAGGTCCTATTTGACGAACATAGAATGAAATTGAGATCATTGTGGCTGATTTGGATAAAGAATAGTTCTTGAAAGCATAAAAACGAGCGTTGTTTTTAATAATTTATTAAAAGTTTTTAAAACTTTCTATCCATAATTCTTGAGGCAGATCGGCGAAGATGAGGTTTTTGAAGCGAAAGTAAGGCTTTAAAAATGAGGCAAGGGTTGTTTGTCCGAAGTTTTGGTCGAGTTGAGATGCTAGAATTTTTCTGCCATTGATAACTGCTACTTTGTAGTAAATTTCATGGGCAACATTGTAAGGAATGTCTTGTGTGGTCATGATACGCATTGCGAGGGCGTGCTTGTATTTACTTTATTATGTTTTATAAATCTTCATCTTTCCCAAAATAGCGAGTTAGATAGAAAAACACTCCTTTGTTTACTCTCTTGCAAAGTTGAACCATCATATGGGTTTTCAAGAACAATGTTATTCACCGTGAGGTTATCGTTATGCATGTTCCCTGGATTCCAAGGAAAGTAATTAGGCACCATTTTGTCCAGTCCTCGACAAAGATACAAGTTTACTTGTTCGAATTTGCCGATCTGAATCGACGTGAAATTGCGCACTTTTTCTGTGAGTGGTAGCAGAATTTCCATTTTTCCAGCGACGATGAAAAAATCGAGCCCGTTTCGAACTGGCAAATAGCGCTGTAAAGCCACATTTCGTTTGTAAAACGGACTGTTATTTACATCTTCGAGGAGATCCAGCACTACAGTAGGACGTTCTTTCGCAGTCTTTTCGAATCGAGAGAAGCGAATCGTCAACTCGAAGCTCAGTTTTGCCTCTTCGTATGGCATATCCTCTACCCAATGTCGGAGATAGATTCTTGCGTTCACGTAGGTCTGCTCATTATCTTTCTGGTTGCACCAAGATCGCGTAAAGTATTGAGCTTGGATGACATTCTGCACTTTTCGCGCACCAAAATCGCGATTCCATCCACAAAGAGGATTCTTATTATCGTCGTCTCGAAGCTATAATCTTAGTTACAATCTCCACACATAGTTTCTATCTATTTACTAACCTGAGTTTTCTCCTTCTCGCAAAAATCGATCAGGTGTCGCCTCATCATATGGAGAGAGTAGTGGGGATCATTCAGCCGCTCACAAAGAAGTTTTTTATCGTCTTCGGGATCCTCATAAGAAACCACATATTTGTTGTAGTCGGCCATTTGCTTGTTTCCTATGATTTTGTTGATTGTGGCTTCTTGAGCTTCTCGATCATGGTTTTCTGAGTTGCTCTCTGCGAAACTGACGCGTACAAGGAATTCAAACAAGTCCAAAGATTGAATCTGAATTTGCATCTCATCGCCTTTAAACTCCTTTATTTTGAAGTTGCTTTTTGTGACAGCTCGTAATCGTACGTCACTTTTTTTCACGTAGCGATAGAGTTTTTGTTTCTCCTCCTTCGGTGGCTCAGGAGACTTTGGAATGTAAGGTCTACCAGTTAGTGTGACCAAGGTGTTATGATATGGGTTGAACATGGAATTCAGAACCGGGTGCACCTCATCTCTGAGTTCACTGTCCATCGACTGAATTGATTCCTCTTCGGGCTCTGGCTCTGATTCAGACTCGGAAGACGAAGAAAAAAACTCAAACTCGTTCTCATCAGCTTCCTCGTCACTCGAATAAAGTTCTTCCACTTCAATAACAAAACTCTTCCATATCTCTTCTTCGCCCCCAGCATCCCAGACATCATCAAGCGCCTCTTCGAGCGTCTGAGTAACTGAGTACTCTCGCTTGAAACAAATTTTAATCTGGTAGTCCTGGGAAAGCTTACATAGATATTCCCTCCATCGGGAAGCACGAAGTTTATCTCAACTCTGTCATCGGCTGTCCTCTTCTTGTTAATATCGTGTAATGACGAGTCCGACATTTCATATTCGATTTCGATTCCTAAGCACTCTAAGCCTAAGTAAAAACAATTGCGTTCAGAATAAGAATGGGAGTTTATTCAGACTTTGGAGACGCCAAAAAGTTGTTGGAACGAGATGGGTCAATGAACTTTGAATCAACAGAAACCATCGAAGGGCGACTATTGAGGAAAATAGAAGGATCGGTGTGAGTCCAGTTGTCGTCAGCCAAACTAAAGTGACTAAAAAGTGTTATTGGGAGGAAAGTGAGTGGCGAAAAACCTGAACTGTGGGGCATCAGGGGTTTCCACTGGCTGCAATCTTTGAACAGGCTGCAGGATGGTCGGTGAGCAGGAATTAGAATTATTCGCCTCCTCTGAGGGCTGTGAAATAGATGGATGAGAAATAGAATCCAACTTGGGGAATTTCAAATTGACGGGATGAATAGATTGCACAGCGCCAGAGCCACCAACAAGCACTTCGACTGGTTGCAAGTCAGTTAAGCGCGCTTTGTTTACGGTCAGAGTGTACTGAGAGTTGGAGACGGGAATTTCGCTTTCGAAATTGGGAATACGTGGTGGAAACACTTCCGGTATGCTTAACTAAACAAATTTTTACTCAAAATAAAGAAAACTAAAGAATCACCTGGCTCGCAATCGCGGATACCAAAATATCGCTAGCAATGCTCTTCTCGTTGGATACAATTACAGGGGCTTTCTTTTCATTTTGACTCTTTCGCGACTTTGTCCGTTTACGCTTAACATTGTCCTCAATGTCGACATCGTGTAAGCTCTTTAGATGACGACTGTAAAGCTCTTTTGTTTGGAACTTTGCGTCGCACAAGTGACAAGTGAGATGCTTGAAGGTCGCTAGATGAATCTTTTCATGTGCTTTTAGACAGTCGGGGCGGAGATACGCTCGGTCGCAAACATGACAAATAAACATTTTTGACTTTGAGTGACTCCATTTGTGGTCCTAAAAAGACCTTAATGAAATAGAATATGGACGATTCTTGCCTGTAGCTTATCTTTCCGAGCAAAAGCTTTATCGCATCCGGGAAAATCGCATTTGAAGGGTTTTTCCTTCGAGTGGATCGACCTAATGTGTCGAGTGAGCTTGTAGTTGTCAGCAAACTGAGCAGGACAGAACGAACATTTCTTGATATTCTTCTGATTATGATTTCGGCCTTTATGGCGTAAAAGAGTAGCATGTAGACGGAAGGATTTCCCACATAGATCACACAAGAAAGCTAAAAAAAATCATACTCAGGTCAAAAAAATGGCCGAACCTCCATGTCCTTCGTGAGCAGTCGCAATATGATTAGTGAGATTTTCTTTTGACCTGAAAAACCCGTTACAGCCCTGATATTCACAAGGATGAAAGTGGGATTCTTCACGCAAGTGTTTTGCCAGCAAGGACATCTCATGACAGCGGAAATCACAGCTCGGACATTTTATCGGCGAGGTTTCTTCGTAGACAATGTCGACGTTATCTGGCTGACCTTGTTCTAAGATCGCTTTTTGGTGGCTTTCGCTTCGTCGGTGTTCGTTCTGTTCTCGCTTAGTTTTGAAGGTCAAGTCACAGACATCGCAGGAAAACGGCTAAAAATGAGTTAAAAATCGCCACAAGTTGGTTTGATTACTCTTTGCTCATGAATTCGATTGTGCTCGACGAATGCTTCGAGACTTTTGAAAGAAGTAGAGCATTGATGGCAGCAATAGGCTCTGCGGTAATGATGGGTATTGGTCATGTGCGTCTTGAATTCCGATAGGGACATTTTCGGTTTTTTTATGCAGAGATTGCACTTGATATTGCGCCAGTTTTTCGTCTTTTTTGACGAGTTTTTGTTACAACTGCGACCGTGCCGTAATCTCCAGGGTTCCATCGCGCCTAAAATTTATTTAAAAAACGAATTTTCTGCTTGAGGATTTACCTTGCGAATGCTGTGTTGACCCAGCAGTGATCGACGAAAAGGGCACGATTGGAATACTATTAGAGCTATCAGTGTATAAGGTCATTTGCGGCGAAATCCAACTCATGTGGATATCTTCCAAGTGGGTGCCCAAATGCATTTGACTATCGAACTCTTGATGACATAAAGGGCAGAGAGGTTTAGTTAAACCGGTGAAAGAGTCAATAAAAGAGGTAGTATTGTTAGGAGCTTTTTCATCGTCCGATTCAGGATCCCGCGCCTCAACTAGCGTCACCACATCGGAGGCCTGAGCGAATTGTGACTTGTTCGTAGTGTCGTTCAAATCTTCATTTTCAATCTGCAACTTTCGTGGCTGTGCTTTTTTGCGTCTTTTTGCTTGAGAAGGGAGCATTTCTTCCAAGTCGCGCTCCGAACCGAGCGACGAATTAAACACATTGTCGGCACCATGCTCATCCGAACAGGCTTCTGGCTCGACGGTGACGGTAGAATCGACGATCGATCTAGCAATATCATTCATGGACACAAGTTGAGCCTCATTTGCCTCTTCAAGAATGATTTCCGTGTCGCATCTGGCTCTTGTGATGGATTCCATGATCACATGTTTCACAACCGCGATAATTTTCTTGGCTGCTTCGCTCCTCTCTACAAAGACTTCTTTCTCGTCGCCTTTGCTGAACTCGGTGCAGGATTCTTCATGCTCAATAATTGAATGCGCGACGAGGAAGTTCTTGTCCGAGCACATGAAAAGACATCTACTGCAGGAGAAAAGCAACGGCGGTTCCTTCGGCTCTGTGGAATGAAATTCTAGCTGAGGAGCAGAGGCAGAAATCTTTTTTGAAAGTGATTTCAATTTTGATTTTTGCGATGATTTCTTGACAAGGGGCTCCGTTTCAACCTTCCAAGTGACAGCGGCCACCTCACGGTCGCACTCCTCATCCCAATTGTTTTCCCAGTTGTTTTGAGGCTCCAGAATCTCCCCAAAAAGCTCCAGCGAGTCCATTTTCAAATCTAATGTCTTTTTCTTAGAATCTGCTATGTTTCGCTCTCATTCTTACTCTTCTCTTACATCCGCGCTTCATCTTATTCAGTAATGATGACCACCGTGTGAAAGTTCTCACGCTTAGTTACGTGCCCGGAGGACAAGGTAAACTGGAAGATCTACCTTTGCGATGAAGAAGAGAAAAGAGACAATCTGTTTTAGTTGAAGAAAATGAAAATAAAATCAAGAAATATGAATAAAAAAGAACAAAGTTGGTATGCATGGTTTTTAATTATTCATCATAAACAGTAACTGGGCCGAAGTGAAATAGTATTTTAAATATTGGAAAACCATTTCAAACGAGAATTTTTATAGAACTTGTCTTACAATTTATAAATTTTAAGTCTTTTACTTGTTGATTTATGGAAAGATTAAAGGAAAAAATGCAACGGATGGAAGTAAGGAAACAGTAAAAATATATAAAATAGTAGTAGACGTACAGATTTAACAAGTAGAAGTATAAATCTAGACTTTATCGTCATTCTTCGTGAATATGCCATGAGCAAAGACCCGAGGATGCATTTCTGGTGGACATGCGACAATTGAATTCTGCACTTCCCCTCCGAGACTCTCGTGGTATAGCTACAGGGAAGCATTTTTTCAGTACGTTCAAAGGAACTTACGTGAGTTTCGTTAATGCACCATTTGAGAATGTCCAATTGAAGAACGTCTGCTTTTCCGGTCAACACAGCGATTCTCTTCTTTATCTTCCCCAGACCAACGTTTTGGAGGGAAACCTCACCTTTTGAATGGTTGAATAAAATAAGCTGACAATTTCGTACTAGAGTGGATTGAATAGGTAGTTCACTCCTAAAGTCCGGGCGAAGGGTACATCAACGCCTCAATCGCAAAGGCTGAACCACCTGCACAATCTGATGTAGTATCGAATCAATCAACCTTCCCTTTCGCACAGAGATTGAGGTCATCGTCGACCCAAAAGGCAGCATCAGTGCCGAGTGTCTCGTCCCACCAAATTGCTTGTGGTCGATTGGCTCCTCTTGCATAATCGCTCATCGCCTCGTCTCTGTTTTCCGCCCGAACCCAATCGTAGCCGTCACTTGCCAAAACTTCGCAAAACTCCTCGTCATCCCTATCGCCCGAGTTTTCCTGCAGGATCATTCGCGTGTCTATGCTCTTTGCCTCTGCGTTCAAACTCATCTCAGACAAGCTGAACTGTTCGATAACTCGCCCTTCTCTATCCGGGTCGTATTTTTTTAGCTTTTCGACAACTTTATCGAAATCCCGCCATTTTTCCAAAAACTCGACGCTGACCCGAACGAAGTCTCCATCTTTGTCGACTGTTTCTTTTCTTGCCTTCCGTTCAATCAGCGCTAAATATATTGAAAGTTTCAATCATAATACTAGTTGTCATTTTGGTAACTTACATGCTTCGAAATTCACCCGTAGTCGCATGTTGTCTGCTTTCTCACAGTATTCGATTTTCCAGCCGATTCCCCGAATCTGTGCTCCAGGAAGATAGAATTGTCGTTCGTCTCCGATCATCTTCATAGAGGGACTTAGATGTTGCATATTCAGACGCCAGCGAAGATGAATTGTCCCATCAAAGTTTTTCTCGTCCCATGAGTGGACCTAAAATAGGAGTCGCTTATAGATATCATATCTAAGAGATGCTACCTGGATCACAACTCTTTCAATCTGAGTGATGATGTTTATCCAAGTATCATCGTTCTTTTTGGGAACAACAAAGATTTCGGGAACATCTCGATCGAATCGTGGGCAGTTGATGCCTAATCCTGCAGCATGAGCGGAAATCGGCTCATCTAAAAGCATTTCCAGCCCATTCTTCACCGTCCATTTCGCCAGATAGAGAAACGAGTACTGGGTCGATGTATCCGCAAGTGGCTGAGCTTTCCCAGTCGACTGGCTTTCCACGACATTGCGGTCGTCAGGCTTGTGGAACGCGAAGTATTCTCGTGCAGAGAAGTTTCTACTCTTCCGCAGAGAAATTGACGCGGTAACTTCGCCGAGGATGACCAAAGAAGGCTTTGCCGAACCGCTGGAACTCAATCTTTTATAGAATAAGAAATTTTGAACATTATCCTAACTTTGATTGGGAGACACTGAATCAAAGGCCCTTACGCGCGCATTTTCTGGAAGAGAACTCATTGGGTTGGGGGCCCAACTCTCGCTCTTGTTCAGAACTGTTTCCTACTGGTAGGTCATGGTTTGGCCGGATGAGAGCCGATCGGTTCCGGACCGGGCGGCGCTGAGCGGCGCAAGGCGGCGCAGGGCGCCACAATTCAGCACATCCCCTTTGATTATCATGAAGACTAGTAACTTCTTATCCTTTCCTGACAGACATTTTCCCAGTCTTCTCGAGAAGTTTACTTTTTCTATGAGAAAATTCGTTTGGATAGCATACTCCATTCTTGCAAGAGCAATGGAAAGGGACCACCGACCATGTCGCCCAGATATTTTTGCTTCCTTTCGACATGATTACATTCATTATCGAGGCTGTTACATTCATTTCGTTGGAGAAACATTTGAAGGACATCTCTGTTGCTGGAAAGCGTGCGTGAAGTGCCTCTGTGTCCCAGTCAAGTACTCGTAGAAAGACGCCAGTCTTCCGGGACCAAATAGTCACGCAGCTTTTCTTTTGCCAGTAATATTGTAAGAACCTCGAGAAGGTAGGCTCAGACCAGACGACAATGCAGTCACCAGAAAACAGGATTTTCTCCACGCTTCCGGGAAATGTGGAGGACAGCGTAAAGGATTCGCCTGTCACATAGTTCTGTACAACGACAACACGCTCTCGATAAACGGCGGCGTTGGGCTTTCTTCCACCGACAACAATCGGCCCTAGATTTTCAAATGTGAAATTTGAGATTTCAAATTTTTACCTATCAACCGCTCAACGTGAAAAGCGATTTGATCACCGTCACGGGCCATCGGTCGAAAATGTCCATTGAACTTGTTGGAGAAGAAGGGACCCATCATTAGGTTTCGCACATTATCAGCAAGAAGAGGAAATCGCGGATCAATCGTCTTGTGATCGTGTCGATCATCCGATCCACTGGGTTGATTGGGCTTGACCATCTGAGAAAGTCGAAAGGCCCATTTTCTAACGAAACTCTTCGCTGTGATCAGTCGAAGAGGATAGTTCTTGTGACTTTTTATGGCTCCTTCTTGGAAGACACATAATGACTTATAGATGATTTTCTTCGCGCCTCGAAGAGCTAATAAATAATTTTCATAAGAAATATCATGGGAGCTAACCTTGAGTGAGTCCACGCTTGGCCCAAGAAAGCCCTGGATTCTGACCTGCTTGCCAGTAAAAATCGGGAGGCGACTGTCCTTGTCCAGACCAGGCTTTCTTCAGGATCATATCTGCTAACTTGACGCCGACAACTCTAGTTATTTGTATTGGCTCTAGTTGTCGGCTGAAGTGCGCTCGGCAGCGATTGCGAATTCCGGCCTTGATTTTCTTCAGCTCAGCAATTCCAGCGTCGAAGTCGAGTAAAAAGCTATTCCAGAGATCTTCAATAAATATGAAAAGCACGATGTATGGGGCAGCTCCACGGCTAAGAACTCGGTTTTCTTGGACAATATCTGGGAGACTATCGAGGCCGTACAAAAGTAGATCACTTGAATACAAATTTAATACCGAAAAAGATATTCTTTCATACTGGAGCACAGCGAGGATGATGCAATCCGACCGATATTTATGTTGATTGATATCAAAGTCGGTATTCTGCGAGAGAAGCTCCAGAAAATCTGTGTACGTTGGCTTCGGTGAAAAAATTTCGAAAAGACCGTCGAGAGCTTCTTTGATGAGCTTGCAAACATGGAGAAGCTCATCTATATCGTCGATGATTGTCTGCAGAGTAATTTCCTAATTAATAATTCTTTCCAGTGACTAACCTCAACATTTAATACCTTTTTTGGCGGTTTATTGGTATAAACTGGTTTGTTGATTGTATAAGCAAACCTTCGATTGTTCCGGACTTTTTTAAACTGGTCACTGTTCTTTTGATACAAATTGTTAGTCTCTATCGCAAGCTTCTTCAATATTCCGTATGCTTTCGTCCATGTCTCCGGATCTTCCAAGTACGTAAGCCGCATTTGAAAAAAAAGAAGAAAAATCGGAAATAAGGCTTGTGAGTGGTTGCTGGCTCAAAACACGTGTGCTCAGTTTTCAGGAGGCCGAGTTTCCCTAGGTGCCAGAACCGACTCAAAACTTTGGACACCGCGCAGTCTCGGAGACATGGCTGCTCACACGCAGCTCTCTTTTGGGCGGCCCTTTGATTTCTTTCTAGATTTCTTTAATAGACCGGTCTAACTTTATGTTATAAGCTAAATAAGCTAGATTATCATGACTAATGATTTATTAGAGAAAATGGCAGTCCGTACTGTAAGTCAACTCTAATCCTATGTTTGGATATTTATTACTAATGGCACAAGTTCTGCCGCAGAACCGAAAACTTTCATCGATCTCGGAAAACAGTTTGCTCAAGGAACATCAGTAAAGAAGGCGACAGACGTTAAAAGGAGCCCTGGAATGCAACCAAGACCATAATATTCCACGCGAAACTTCTGACGAATTTCCCGCGCGAATTTTTGAGGGAAAAAAAACATCAGCCTGAAAAATCGTTCAAAAAATTGTCCCGTCGTAATGACCTGGTCTTTTTATTTTTAGGATTTTATTTACAGAGAACAGATTATAATTTGAGAAATCATGTTGAGTATTAGTCTTATGATCTAGCAGTCACCAATAGCGGCTATGGATCCATCCGAGCAACATTCTTGAGACACCGAGTTGAAAATTGAAAATGGTCCGATTGGATTAGCGCAGCACTAGGAACTTGATATTTTTCATTAAAAAGTCTAAGCTTACCTGTCCGTCGTATGCTTCCTCAGGTCCCACATTTGGTCGCCCAACAAGAATGTTTGCGCCTTCTCCAACAGAACCATCCTCGTTTGTTAAATTCCAGCCTTCTTTTGGAGGACACGCTTGGTCGGAAAGGTGAACAAACTCTACTTCCCCATCTTTCGTAATCTCCCATCTCTGCTGCTCGCTGTTCCAGACGATTTGAGATCCGTCTTCTTTTTCGTAGCATTTTCTACCGTTGACAAGGAATTCAAGCGATGGATATCGCCCGTCCGACGTTCCTTCTTCAAGGTGCTCGCTCGAGTTGCTCAAATCGAACTTCTCTTTATTGCACAGATGCGCTAAAATCAAAATATTCAGAAATTAAGGAAAACAAACAATTTTGAATAAAAAAATACTCACGGCAGATTTCTTGATGCTTGAACATAGGGTAGTTCATGTAATGGAGGAATCCGTTAGTAACGTCGTCGATAGCTGCGTGCTCGACGGCAAAGAGAGCTGTGCATTCGCAAATTGCACGTTGGCAAGTATCCGCTTGGTCGGTGCACTGAATGTAGCCATTCGACTCCTTCGTGTAGCCGTATTCTTGAAGCTCTGAAATGCACGTCGTTCCGTACTTTTCTCGGGCGCAAGAGAGACAAGACTTGAAGTTTTTGCACGTTCTGTCAAGATCATCGACTGGTGGTCCGGTTCCAGGTGAAGTGAGAGGTCGGTCAGAGGCAAGGAAGGCGCAGTGGCAGCCGTAAGAACCACCGTAATAGACGTTAAAGTTTGAATTTCGATGAGTCATGATGTCAGTGAACAAACTTATCGGGCTTAGCGAATTCTTATTTATTATGATACAACAATCTTGTACCCTTCATTGAAATATTAAAGCTCCAAAAAGGAAAGACTCTAAAGCCGATCCTGAATCTTCGAGGGTTGTTTGGAATCATGCTACTGATTCTCGATCTCGCCCCGAGAGTCTGTCCAGTTACCCATCTTCCCTTCTCTTCACCTTGAGCAGAAACTGCAGTCATCAAGGTAAAATGGCAGGCAAGCTTCATTTTCTCTTAAGTTTCTATCTTCTTTCAGATAGACGATTGAAAGTTTTTTTTGTTCGCTCGGATTCGGATGGTTCTTTTCCATTGCAATGCTGCTTTTATACCTACCAGTTGAATAAAGTGCACGTTTCTTGGACAACATTCGCGGCTAACCTCAATGAATTGTAGACACCGTAATAATCGCTAATGCAGCACAAAATTTACGGAAAGCAACGTGCGAAGAAAAGGATTTGGTTTTATATGTTTATTTTTGATGTTTAGGGCATCTAAGAATCAGAGCTCCATCTTCTTTCACGGCTTCAACAGATAGTTTTTTCTGATTCACGTCAGAGGGGATATTGACTTCTCGCTAAATAGACCAAGTTATGATTGGTTTTTTTATAATTTTTTTACGGAAAGGGTCGAGGTTTTCGAAGACTTGGTCACAGAAGCTTTGATTGAAATTTTCTTCTTCGAAACTTTTACTTTCACATTTTCAGGCGCTTCTAAGAACATAGCTGGGACATTCAAACGAACTTCCCATTTTTTGTCCGAATTTTCAATAATTTCACTTAATTCGATCTATAAAGTATCTTCAAGAGGAAGTTTCTTACCAGACAGGTCCATTACCGGACTCGTCTTCTTGGGATTCGGCATCAGTAGCAGCTTTATGAGCCTCAGAAATACTTGATCGACGCGATGAAACGGAAGATTGTGAAACGTTTCTAAAGAGGTTCTTATTCTGATATTACTAAATGTAGGAAATCGCCTGTCAGCTAACTTATCGGAAATACCTGGAGCGTTGAGTTGGGGTTGCTCGACTAGAACTACGGCCAAGATGTTCTTGCAGCTGGAAAGACTCAGTTTTTGCGGCGAATTTCTCTTCCTCAGGTTTTGCAGGTTGAGTTTTCTCCTCCGTTCTGGCTTCTGCTGGCTTTTCGATCGCATTTTTTTCCACAGATTTCGCTGATTCAGTTTTCTGCTCTGGTGGAATAATCGGAGCGAGGGGTTTCTCAGGGGATTGAGGGCTCTCTGGTTGCTTTACCGCGGCAGGAGGAGCAATCATCGTTGGACGAGAGGGTGTCAAATCAGTAGCATTCAAGGAAGATGTCATCTCACGGTGAATTTGGGCTTGTGTGGCCGTGTCGATTTTAAGATCTCCAGCACCGTTTGGGACAAAAGTTGACTGGCTTTGTTTCTTCATTCCCATGATTACGACAACACCATCTGAAATATCTAAGTCACTTTGTCCAGGAATCAATATACCTTTGATAAAGGTTGACACTGTTCCTAGCTGGACGTCACTAGGAATAGGGATTTTCTTCTCAATTAAAATAAAATCATTTCGTTTGTAGCTTCGGATCGAGCCAACTTCACCAGCGAAATTTTCGTCGAGAACCAAGCGGGATTCCCATCGCTTATCACTGTTTTCTACTTCATCGAGTTCTGGAAATAAAATTAAAATAAACGTGAATCAATTCTAGTTACCCGTCTTTGAGGTGCCGTTGATATTTCGACCTCCATTCATTTCACCGTAAAACGATGATCTTGAGTCAGGACGGGATGGTTGGCCGAATCTATATTTTGTTTCATGTTTCTTTGATCTTAGGGAGAAACTTACGTTGGAGCAAACATGTTGGGAGTCGCGAGTCCAGATCTTGGCTGATCATAAAAACCAAGTGCAGAGCCCATCCGGGAGCCAGCTCTTGACGCTCTTGAGTTTCGGCTCATGCAACGGCTGTGACCTTTTGTAGACTTTGTTAGTATATTGACCAGTTAGTAAGATTACCAGGTATTTTATCACAAACGATCCGCACGACAGTTCGTTTCTTGTCAACAACAACATCGAGGGTTTCTAGTTTGCAATCGTCAGGAAGAGTGATTCTTTTGTTTAGTTTGTACTCTGAAAAAAAAACTTATTTTCTGAAGAATATTTTAGCTCTCACGTTGAGTTTTGGCCATTCTGCCCTCGCCGATTGTATCAAAGACCTCGCAAGAAATTTGAAGCGAGTATTTGACGACCTTTACGTTGATTTTGTCGGTGTGCTCCATGAAGATCGGGTCGACAGGAATTTCTGTCAGCCACTTGTCTTCGTCATCTTGCAGGACTCGATAAGACGAGTTCTGAAGAGACAGAAAGGACGGAAGCGAAGCTCGAGAGCTCGGTCGGTAGAGAGAGCTTCTTGATGTTGCGCCCGAGCGGTTACTGTAATTATCTAGGCCCTTGTTAGACGGTGCAAAAGGTAATAGTGTTAAATCAATTATTTGGCGAAGAAATTTAGTACTTTTTGCTATGAAAAGGCGTGAAGTACTAAATTTTATGTAGAAAAAGGGAAAAACTGCTATACTTGTATCTACCTGCAAAGAAACTCATTTTCAGAGTTTTGCAATAATTCCGTTTCCCGTCCTTCTCTTCGTCACTCTCGTTGCTTAGCCGTGCTAATCATAGGCACACTCAAGTACTCTGCGTGCCCAATCCCAACAGGAGGATGACTTTCAGAGTTGGCACCCAATCAGTCCCTTATCAGTTTATTTACGACGAAAACTTTGCAAACTGGAAAATGCACTTCAATCACTACTCGCCCTTTGACTTTGAAATCAACACATTTTTAACGTTTTTAATTGCAAAATTTATTCAGTAAAATACTTTGATACTGTTTTTGAAAAATATAGGGAAAGGAAAAAATAAAGAATAAGAAATAAAAAAAGAGAAGAGAAAAATGAGCGATCGAGAGCTAGAAGAATGTTCAGATGAGGCGCATTCGCTTGACTTCCTTGGTCGAGTCGAGAACTAAAAATTAAAAACAATTCTTAAATTCGTCTTCAATATTACCGGTGTAGAGACTTTTGGAGTCGTCGACGAGTGCCATTGCTCGTTCGTCGGAGGAGATGGAGATTCCGTCGAAGCGATCATTGCATTGGATGTAGATCGTGCTCTCGCTATCGAATTCGCTCTCAGTCGTAAGGCTTAACAGGCTTACTCAGAAGCCAGGATCTTATACTGCGCTCTTACCGGGTGGTCTTTGTCTCCAGGGAAGGGTGTCGGTTGAATTCTTCGAAGTCAGTGACGTCGAGATCGGAGAAGTCGATGTCCACTCCACTGTCCATCTCGCATTTCGAGCTGGTGAATTTTCGCTTGATAACTTTCTTCGAGTTACAAAAAGAGCTAAATAAGCTATCAAAAAACTACATCTATTTGTATGTCCTCTGGAAGAGTACTGTAGTGGTATATCTGTATTAATTTCTTAACCCTGTCTTTGGAAAGTCCGCAGCCCATTTTGCTCTCTTCAAACTCGCTGTTTGTTGGTTGTTTTATTTGATAAAAAAGTGCGTTTACTTGGCTTTTTATACTTTTGGTCGAGGACTTTCTAGCCTGTTTCGATTCGACCGGTTGCGGAAAAAGTCTCTCCGCCGCAGCAACATGGCCGGAGCAGCAAGTAAATCTTTCTAGAATCAGAATAATGGAAAATTCCCCGTAAAATATAAACCGTGTCCCATGAAAAACCCTCATCGAATCATAAATATACTGTCTGTCTGTAAGCAACATTAAATATAGGTAACCGTAATGCAGCATTACTAATGCTGATTGACACTTAGTCCTCAAGGAGGACCTGAACTTTCGAATAAAGCTATTTCGTCGAATATTTACGAAAGTTGCGATTATTGATGATAGATAATGCGAGATCAGGAGCGATTCGTATTGATTTGAAAACACCAAGGAGCAATATTTCCGTTTTTTTGACGCGGGCCGCGTGAACCCACCCGTCCACATTACCGACAGATTTTATTTCAGTTGCGCGAACAGAGATTCGAGGTAGCACAAAACTCCGTTTTTTAAGTGAGTGACAAGATGTCTGAAAACCGAAGTGCCCGGTACAAGTTTGGCGACAAGAATGACAAGGAAGCTCGCCGAAAAGGACGCCAAGAGGAGGGAATCAAGCTCCGCAAGAATGCTCGGGAGGAGCAAATGCTGAAACGCCGAAATATCTGCATGGGTACGTACTGTTAACAGTGAAACTGCTCAACTCTCATAGACGACGTCCACACCTCTCCTCTGAAGGAGATTAACGTCCAAACTCGTCCCCATGACCACCTTCCAAGCATCGAGGAGATCGTCAAGGGCCTCCAAGCTGCCGATGATGACGTTCTCTACGAGGCTACTCAAGGTAAAAAGAACCGCTAGATAGGTTTTTTTATAATTATTTTCAGGGGCCCGAAAAATGCTTTCCCGTGAGCGCAACCCTCCCATTGATGATATCATCGGGGCCGGAATCCTCCCGACCTTGGTTAACTTTCTCCAGCGAGATGATAATCGAAAGTTGCAATTTGAAGCTGCCTGGGCGCTGACTAACATCGCATCCGGCGCGTCTCACCAGGTATATAATCCTCTATTTTGAAATATAAAAGATGTAGACCGCTGCTGTTGTGAGCCACGGCGCCGTGCCTTCCTTCGTGCGCCTTCTCCACTGCGCTGTACCGGAGGTCGTTGAGCAAGCTGTCTGGGCGCTTGGAAACATCGCCGGAGATGGAGCTCCCTTCCGTGACCAGGTTCTTGCTGCTGGCGTCATCGAGCCCCTTGTCAAAATCATCGACAACACTCAAGCGTCCGTACCATTTTTACAAAATATCTCCTGGACAATGTCGAACTTATGCAGAAACAAGGTGAAGCCATATCAGACTCTTTCAAACTAAAATACTATTTCAGAACCCTCCGACTGACATACAATATATCAGTCAAATGCTTCCGACTCTGCTCCAGTTGCTCGGCATGAGCGATAAGCAGATTAAAGCTGATGCGTGCTGGGCCATGTCTTACATCACCGACGGTCCTAACGAACGAATCCAATTGATAATTGATGCAAGTTTAGCTTCATTAAACAAAGTGTCAATTGAACTTTAGAGTGGAGTCACTGTCCAATTGATTGAGATGTTGAACGCTATTCCGGACGTTCTTCTTCTCACCCCAGTTCTTCGAACTTTGGGTAACATCGTCACTGGCACGGATGTTCAGACCCAAACTATGCTCGAGCAGGTACGCCAGTTAGGTTGGACCATGACTCTAACTATGATAGGGTCTCCTCTCGCCGTTCCAGACCTTGCTGCGCCATCACAAGCCCAACATCGTCAAGGAGGCCTCATGGACCTTGTCGAACATTACGGCGGGAACCAGAGACCAGATTGAGCAGATCATCTCGGCTGGGCTCCTTGAGGAGCTCATCCGAGTTTTGGAAAACGGCGACTTCAAGGGAAAGAAGGAGGCTACTTGGGCAGTTACGAATTTGACCTCCGGTGGTTCCGCCATGCAAGTATTCAAGCTTGTCGAACTCGGAGGTCTTAAGCCATTGTGCGCAATGCTCGGATGCGCTGATGGCAAAATCGTTCAAGTGGTTCTTGATGGCCTCACGAACATGCTCAACATGGCGGATGCTAGCGGCAAAACTACCGAAATGACGACATGCATTGAGGAAGCCGATGCCATTGATATGCTCGAAAAACTTCAGGAGCACGAAAATGAGGTAAGGAAATAGTTTGTCGCTCTCTCTGATCCTCATGTTCTAGGACATTTACAAGGCGGCGCTCAATATCGTGGAAACCTGGTTCAGTGAGGAGGAAGACCCACAGGTTTGTGATAAAGGGCAATTAAAAATTAGCAAATGTTCAGCCTGCAAGTGGCGATGTTTATTCTTTCCAGGCACCAAAAGAACAAGTTCCTGCATTCTCATTTTAAAGCTATTCCATTACTCGTTTCTCTCCTTCGATCAACTAAATTCAAGGTTCACTGCCTAAAGTTCATTGGAATTCAATAAATTTTAATCAAGAATAAGCGATTAATTTTCATGAATTTTATCCGTGCAAGAAATGTGTGACTGCGTTGAGTAAATATGTCAGAATGCAAACAATCTTTTTGCAAAACTCAACTGTTTGCCTTGTACCTCCCCCTTTTTCATAAGGATCGAGTACTAAAAGAGAGGAGATGCTTGGGCGATCAGTAATTTTCGGCCTTAGACAGCAAGCAAGGCAAGATATTTTGCTAAATAATTATATTCGTGGGATTATTTATGTCACATAAATTATGTGGAGTTAAACTTTTTTAAAGATTTACTTCGTTTGAGACAATCAAATATGAAAAAATTGGTAAAGTTGGTCTAATAACTCTGAATCGACCGAAGAAATTGAATGCAATGAACACTACAACATACAGGAAAGGGGTCTAAATGCTGCTACACTGATAAGCGAGTGTCTTTCACTTACTCGTATACAGAATTGGTAATTTGCATTGAGTTAACCCGATTCAGTGAAGTTGATCAAGCTCTCCGAAAAATCTCCCTGGATGATGATCTGACTGTCGCCGCAATCACCGGTACTGGGAAGTATTTTACTTCTGGGAATGATATGGGAGACGGTATGAAGCGTATGATGGGTAAGTTACTCAACTATCTTTCCTATTGTTCCTGACTCTCACTTAGAAAGCGATTTGACGCCCGAAGAAGTCTCTGCTCAAAACACAGAAACGTTCAAATCGCTAGTTGGCACTCTTATAGATTTTGAAAAGCCCCTTGCCGCACTTGTCAATGGACCTGCCATTGGAATCGGTGTCACGGTCCTTCCTCATGCTGACTTTGTTTGGAGCTCAGATGACGCGACGTTTCGAACGCCATTTACGCAAATCGGTCTAGTTCCAGAAGCCTGTTCATCATACTTGCTTCCTCAGGTTCTTGGTTCTGCAAATGCAAGCGAAATGCTTCTATTTGGCACTCAATTTACAGCGCAAGAACTTAAGGTAACTATTCCAAATATTTTATATTGATAGTGCAAATTCATATAGAAGCATCTCGCATGCTTCATGCTAAAATAAAATATTTTAGAGACTTGGATTGGTCTCTCGAATCTTCGAAAAAGATGATTTTATGAAAAAAGTTTGGACGCATTGGAAGAATTGTCCGTCCTCCCGCCACAGTCGATGCGACTAGGGAAGAGTCTCATCAAGAGCAAAGAAGTGCGAGATACTCTTCATCAAGTCAACGCCGTAAGAATTAGAGACATTTGAGAACGAACTCATCTATGATTTCAGAATGAATGTGAAGTCCTTGCAACGCGATACACCTCAGAGGAAGTCATCGAAGCTGTTATGCGTTTTAACTCTCGAAAATAGGGAGCTTTCATCTAATAAACACACATACAAGTAGTTAGCCTTCTTTATTTTGTGCTTTTGGAGTCCAGTGAATTTTGCAGATTGATACATATTTGACAGGCGTTTCAAAAGCATTCGCTTTGCAGAGAATTTTAGTTTCGCTGATCTTTCTCCTGGGAGGGATTTCAGGAGGAGTGGGGCTCAAAGCTGTTTCCCGACAGCTTACTTGATCTGCACTTTTCCCGGATCGCTCCAAACTGCGAGAAAGTTTTCCACGAGCTGAGAAAAGTAAGCTCCCTGTCAAATAACCAAATTACCTTGAGCGAGAGTTCGTATCTTTCTTCCTTCCCGTTCTTTTTGAACAGGACGAGGAGGCCGTCTTGCTAGAGTAGTAGACACGGGACTAGGAGGACACCTCGTTGGCGAGGGTGAGCATTGTCTGCGACCAATCTTCTGCATTTGCGACGATAAAGTGGGAACTTATAAGCGTTATTCTTGCGTAATCATATTTATTACTTTGAGTGGACCATGGCTGTTCATTCCGATTAATAGGTTCAGCACGCGCAGGACTAGAGAACCTAGGCGAGCGTGGCGAGGATGCTGACGATGATCGTATTCGTCTTGTTGTCCTCGTCATTGAGTACTCGCCTGATTCGTTTGACAGTCGTGGAGATGCTCTTGAGCTAGGGCGCGACAACTGTTCAATAACGAGTTCATTGACGGCTTTTTTCTCTGCTCAAACGCGTCCCTTCGCAAAAAAAAAACAGATGGAAGTCAGATATAAAAGTCAGCGCGTATTTTGAGCGATTCCTTGAGAGAGCATATCATCAATTTGCTTGAGAGAGCCTTTTTTCTCCCCGTTATGGACACGACAATCCTCCCCGTCAGTCAACTCCCCAAATACGTCTTGTGACTTCCGGTAATAAGCTTACTTTGATCGACCTGCGGTTACCTTTTTCAAAATTGAGCCTCATCAATCTCTTTCTTGTTAACATTATTTCAGCTTTACGAATCAAATTTTACAATACTTGTCAGATACTTTCTATGGCCAATGTAAAAGAACATATCACAGCTGTAGGTGCAAATTACCAAGCTCAAGAAGTGAGGAATTTATTGCCGAGTGGCTATTGTTCAATTTTCGACGCCACGCGTTTCAACCTGACTTCATGCTAGAATAAGAGACATCCAAAAACGCGCTTTATGATAACAAGTTTCCTTGCGATTCATAAACATAAACCAACGACTATTTGTTAAATTATATATTCTTGACGGCCAGAGAATCCATCGAAATTGCACAGAAAATACAGTTTTTTAGTACGATTGTAAGTCGCGGTAGACGTATCAAACAAATAGGTAACGTTTTGTTTCGCGAGAGAAATACGCTTGAAAAGGAAAGAGACAGTATCATGAAGGATATTCGATTTAATAGACAAGGATAGCAATTTGTTAGATGATTCAGTTAACGTTTGCCGAGTATTAACTGACTTGCCGTAAATGAGAAACGCGATCGTTTGATAGAAAGAGTTTGAACTCGATGTGAGAATACTTATTGAAGAGATAACGCGTTAAGAGACTAACGCGGTGAAGGTGAAACAGACGGAGTTTGAGCATATCAGTTATAGACTTTTAAAATATGAATTTTCAGTAGAGACAAATGAAGGCCGCTTTTCATGTGCGGCCTTGTACGAGGCTCTCGAGCTGCAGTCGCGGTTCATTTGGATATCGGATGAGGGCTTTTCTTATCGCGGTGAGGTCGAAACCCATCTCGATATATTTCGGGCTCTTCTCGAAGAAGATTTTCGACTCCTCGAGAGAGTTCTCGCAGATTTGCAGCACTTGGAGAACTTTCCCTGAAGGGTACCCCTTTTCTATTAGCACCGAGTATGCATTCAGATAATCTAAATAGATTTTAGCATTCTTGACTTTGATAATTTTAAAATACCCATTATTTTTGACCGATCATCGCCAAGAATCTGAGTAGCCTTGGCTATTATGCATCGGTTGTAGCCCATCTCAGCTAGCTGGTCGACGAACTTTTCCTGCTCCGTTTTGGGTCTCGCAGGAGCCGCGGAGATCGGTGAAATGCCGCGTTGAGTTGGCGTCGATGACCTGTTCTCTATTACAGGGAGCGAATTGAGGGCGGCAAGGGCGGACTAGAAAGAAAATCTCAAGAGTCACGATTTCAAGAACAGCTAACCTTAGAGAAGTTCTGTTTCCGCTCTTGCTCGTTTTGATTTCGTCGCTGAGCAAGTAAACTTTCGATGTCAGCAACAATCAAGTTGTCAGTGAGTTGTTTCTGCTGCTTCTTGGGGACTAAGTAGACGGTTTTAAATTTCAGCAAAATTGCGATAATTTACCAGGGGTACTCGTGATTGCTGGGGACGGCGCTGGTTCTGAGTGGGTGAAAATTGACTTGAGTTCTTCGTGCTCATTGATGGAACTGATTCGGGCCGCTTCCCAGGGATCATCGTGGAAGTTTTCAAATACGTCTATCACGGAGTTCGATTTACGCGGAGGAATAATAGGCTGGGCAAGGGAGCTGGGCGAGGGCTATTAATTGTGCGTTAAAAAAGTGCCCTCCCCTTAAGAGAAACCTGTAAGATCTTCGACGAGTTGTGTAGTGTGAGGAGATCTTCGGTGCCGTTTTCAGAATTGCTCGACGACACTCCTAAAATAATAATTCCCTTTTAAATTTCAATCTTTACCGGAATCGTTTTGATCCGTCGTTTTGGAGCTTCTTGGAGGTATAGGAGGGGGCGTTTTTTGAGCTGCAGAGATTGTTTGATCATCTCCTTCGTCAATTACTACCTCCTCGTCTGTTTCTTCATTCTTCTGTCGTTTGAGGAAGATTTCTTGAAGCCTTTCTTCCAAAGAAAAGTCATACTAAAGTGATTTTAGGGGAACTCATCGAATTAAAATGATGCTGACAATCTGCAAGGAAATGAAAAGGGCTTCGCGCAGACTGACGGGATGCAACTATCGAAATAAACACTTCTAGGAGATATGCGCCATTATTACCTGGAAGGAATGTGAATTTTTGGGCTCTCTTCTTGCTGGTATTTGATACGTTCTTTGATTTTTAAATCTGGGATGAAGTTGGAAGGATATTTGCTTGACCGATCGGTCAACCTCAGGGTACTCGTCCGGGTCCATCTACGGTAACGACCGATTTGCTTTCGTCTTCCTTTTTCAAACTATTTCTGAAACAATAAGGAATAAGATTAAATTACAAGGTATCTGTTCGGTTCATTATTGCAAGAATTAACGATAATCATGATTCTTATTTCTCATAATTTCTGAAGAAACAATTGGTGGGTGGCGATTTGAGCTGCTCTTTCATTCTATTTGGTTTTTTTGACTTCGTCTTCCGGCTGAATAATCAAAACGTAGAGGGCGGTATATCGAAAGTCACTTACAGTGTATATGACTTTGCCAACTTTGGGGTACTTGGAGGAGATATTTTCATACCAGTCGTTTAGGGACGATTTCTGATCGCTTGTCAAATCACTAAGATCATCTTTTCCCTCCGGAATATCATCTTCGTCCGTGCTGATGAAAACAAAAATGACGAGTTTTCGCGGAAGTCTATTTACCTAAATGTCGCGAAACATCGTGACGCCTCTCTACCAGCAAAGCAATTGTAAGGGCCGTCTGGTCCGTAAAAGTTCTTTCCTCGAGTCACTTCGAAGATTTCGTCTTTTATGCCCAGACAAATTCTGTTGTCCACGGAAGCATCGCGGCCACTGTATTTCTTCAGCTAGATAATGTTTTGTAAACGCACCAGTCTGCTCAATCGAAAATACCTCTTTGAGAGTCATATCCTGTTTTAAAGGTTCTAGCGGCTTTGGTGGGGGCTCGTCTTTTCTGAATAAATCGCAACCAATTTGGTAGACGAGGTATGCGGAGAGCGCGAGCAAGACCATGCTCGTTGGACTTTCCTTCAGCTCTTGGATCCAGGACTTATCCATTCTAAAGAGGCCTCGGTTAGCGAAAGATGAAAATCCAAAAATAGTAGTGCGCAGTCGACACGCGGTGGATTAAGAAAATAATTTTTTTGAAGCAGGCGTAAATTCTTATCCTAAAAAACAAAAAAAAAAGAAAATGCTCCTGCGACTCTAAATTATTGTTACGAAACGAAAAGATTGTGTTTGACAATATTCACATTAATGAGAGATTGGGTAGGCACGCGGCTAGCCGTGAGAAGAGATGCATTTTTCAGATGGAGTAAGTTGGTGACGCTCGAGGCGTTTTTTCGCTGCTTCAGCGAAAAAGAACGTCTGTTCCGAGGAAAAGGCCTTAGCGTTAGAATTAGATTTCGGTCGAATCGGCGGGGCCAAGTCTAATTGACCAAAATTGTGACAAATTGTCGCTTGAAAAGCCGTAAGGATGTAAATCCTCAAAATTTGCAACGTGTTAGCTAATCGTTTCTCGAAAATGTTTATTTGCATCAAAAGGTCGAATTCGGCAGAGCAGAAAACGAAATTGATAAAATCATTCATTTATCATTTCAGACATAAAAATATTCATTTTTAAGAACAATTGCTGAGAGTAAGGAAACGGCTAGCGCAAACATTTACTCGCCCCGATCCCCTGTTTTGGCCAAAAACTATACAAGTGATCACTTGATTATTCTCGGTAGTTGACGTATCTAAGCGAGCTCCACTTTGTACGTAATAATCTAATGGACAATTAAGAATTAAGAAGTCTTAACTAGGAAGCGTTAAGAATCATTACTAAAGATGGACTTGGGAAAAATTTCTTTATAAATTAGATTTTACATTTTATATATATGATAATATTTTACCGAACAAAGTTAAGTCAAATCAGATAAATGAATTCTTCTGTCAAAGATTTTCACAATAACATTTCAATAAAACATTTTTTTTAATCAAAGAATAATTTACTGTTTTAGCAAGAAAAATTCTCAAGTAAAAAAGAATAGGATTGAAAATCAGTTGAGCATAAGAGTGCGGTTAAAGTGTGGTGGTACGTTTTTTTGGGGTGCAGCGTCACGTGAGAGGCTGAATGGAGCATTCTGACATCACGCTCACTCAATTTTAAGTGAACTGGCGCCACCACCACCGCCGCCGCCGCTTCTTGAGCGGCTTTTTGGCGCAGCACCTTCATTCTCGCAAAGGCCGTCTAGAGAGCTGCACGAAGCTAAATCGGGCCCTACCGAAAAAATACTACCCAACGAACCCCTATCAAGCTGATTTTTCGGATCCAAAACTCAATATTCTTTTACTACATAGTAATCAAGAGGGATTTGTCTGAAGAAAAGCTTTCGAACCTAAACTGGTCAACTTATTCGCAAAACGAAAATCGTGATCATCAAGTTATTGGAGTTGCTTGACGATTCAGATTGAATAGAGAAAAAACAGACCAAGAAACCTACCAGAAGAAATTAGAACATGCGTTACACGACACTCTTAAACTTATTAACAGTCGCCAAAGCAGGCGGATGCGATCAAAACCCCTGTCTAAACAATGGACAGTGCTATGATATAGGGGAGAACGAATATGAATGCATCTGCGATTCGTTTGCTGGAAAGAACTGCCAAATACGTAAGTAACCGGCAAAGAATTTTTTGGGAATATTCAATCTAGCTGAACAAACCCTAGGATCAAGCTCAAAACATAATTGGATAAATGTCTTCGATCATGACATTCGGTCGGCGGGTTTATCGATGACGCCATTTCGCTGAATACGGTTAACCACACCCGCCCTGTGGGATAGACTACTAGCACCAAAAAGCGCTCTCGCGCGCCCCGCCGCACCACCATATTTTGATGCTTGCGCAACAATCCCCCTTATTCACCCAAAATGGTCGCCTTCTAGTTATGTAATAAATTTTTAGCGCCGCCATCTGTTACATGTGACGCCTCGAGAATTTCCGTGGAAATCGACAGAGCCTGGCTTCTAAACAAAGTCGGCTCTGACAATCATCGTCATATTTACATGGGCACTGGTCAGCAGTCAAACGAAGGTTGCAAGGCACAAATTTCAGAAGATGACAACTCAAAACTCACAGTGGCATTGAACAACAATTTCCGACAGTGTGGCACGCAAATTAAACGGGCTGACAACGGCGACTACATTTACAGTAACACAGTATATATGTCACTACAGAACGCTGGAGTCCAAACCGGACTGGCAGCGATCGTACAGTGGAACTGCGAATACGAGGACGAATACACAGTCACTTACAACGGGGGCATGACCGCTGTGAGAGACGACAGTGCGAAAGCACGCGCCGTCATCGGCACATTCGACCTGAACCTTCGCGCGTACTCGAAATCGGTTTTCACGACTGATAACATGATGACTGCGTTTGTCGCACCTGGAAGTAACAAAGTCTTCCACGTCATCCCGGACCAGAAGAAATGGCTTTCCTTCCAAACATCGTTAACCGGCGAAGCACAGCTACGAGGAACACGAGTGAGCTTGAAGAAATGTTTCATTTCCTATTCCCGCTCGCCTTTCTCGCAGACCGCAGAAACTATTCCTCTCGTGGAGGAGGGGTGTAGTACTGGCGGCACTGCCACTCACATTTACTCAAATGGCCAAGGGCCACAAGCAAGCTTCGCCACCAACATCCAGAAATTGCGTCAACCATGGATGCGAAAATCACCATTCTACGTCCATTGTACGACCCGTTTATGCCCAGCCGGTGAAATATGTCCAGTTGGATGCTCGCAAGAGCGCTCCGCCCCACAAGGATCTGTCGAAGGGGACGAGCTCAAAATCCACGTCACATCTGGACCCTATTTCTTCCAAGGCAGTGATGCTCTCAAAGAGCAGACGCAAATGACTGCGAACATGGAAGAAAAGGACGCAGAACATAGCAGCTTAAGAATTATGGGGGACACCTTTGAAGTCATTGAAGAGGACGAGGAGATTCTAGTTGACCGCGAAAAAGACCTGCCACTGGTAGGCGCTGTCGCAGTGGTGTCCCTCTTGGCTATCCTCGTTGTCGTTGGATTCGTTACGATTTACCAGCGACGAGCCGCCGCTGCTAAAGGTCAACCTCGAATGGGACCTGAAATTAATTTGCACTTTGCCCACGAAGGAAGTCTCAGAAAAACCAAGGCAAAACACGACTACACAACAAAACACGTAGTTATCGAAGGCAGAGCACTCCCTTTGCCTGGAACAAGGTAAATTAATGAAATAAACTTCTAGCCCTAATCACCCTCTCTAGACCGGCCGGTCACAACGTACGTCCTAACTACGTGTAAAGCGCCCAACTTTCTGATCACTGAAATTCACACAAAAACGCCCAAGATGAGCAGTACTACAACAGAAAAAACCTCAACTGATATTCCAAAATATTCTTCATGAAAATTGTGCTAGAATCGCGCCATTGTAATTTATTCAACCCGAATGCGCCCTGCTGGACATGTAAATATTAAAACCTTGGTAAGAGTCGCATCATAGAAATTATCTCTAACCGATTTTCTAGCGAACGACAAGTGAAAGAGTCCTAACGCCATGATCCTGAACCCTTGACCTGTGTTAAGCTGTAATTATTAGCCATTTAACACAAAATAAAATCATAACACACTGAAAAAACTTTTGACATTCTTTATTCGTTTGATTTTAGCAAAACAAACTGATTGCCTTGATTATTAACAAGTTGGCCGGGAGCACGTTTAAACTTTCTGAAATGCATAGATATATGATTCAGTCCAGATTTTCTTATTTCTCTATTATAAAATCCGTTCGACTTATTGCCTCCGTAAAGCTTGTATTGGCGGCCATCTTCGTGTAGTAGCCACGAGTTAAACTCACCCCCCTAAAATCATTATTCGTTAGCGTTCTTTATCTAATTCCGAAAATGTTATCACCTCAGAAGCGCGACCGATAACGGCGACGCAATTTCCACTGAGAGCAACGTCTTGATCATATAAACTTTGAGGGGTTTGGTCGTAAGAGTTTTCTCTAGAAGCAAAAACGTAACACAAATACTTTGGCATGATTGGCACCTGTGAGTGGCCATGCAATCGAAGTATCCTTCCCACGGGCCGTGCCTGCCCGTCGCGCGTTTTTGCCTGCTATCTTTTTTCTCCCAAGCCGGCAGTTCAATACTTCCGTCTTCCATAATAATTTGCGCGTCGATTCCACCCATTCGATTGTGAAGACCCTGATCACTCAATACGCCCTTGTAATTTACTTTTCCAGCAAATCCAGAGTTAGTAATTCCTTCCAACGACGCATACGGAAACTTTTCGAGTAGATTTAAAAGAAGCTAGCGCTATTTTTAATAAACGTGTTTATCATCTACTTGTTTGATGTTTTAAATCTTTCCGAGACAGTTATCAAAGAATCCTTATCGCCTCGGCCGAGTCGACCCGTAACAATGCCATAACGCGCGTTTGAGTTCGCGAAACGAGCGCCAGATCCTTTTAGACAATCATTACCAAAACTCATAATGGAAGAAAGTACCTGGGAACTCTTCGACCATACAAATTTCCGTTCCAATAGGTAATGATTTGAGCATGTAAGATCCATTAAGTTCGAGCTCTTCCGCAGTTTTCTGCTCGCCAGATGCATCGTTAACAATAATATCGTCTTTTTTCATTGTGGATGTTGCAGGGATCCAACGAGGCTATTCAAGGTTGAAATAGATGAGTACTGATTTTTATCTACTTTCAAAATAGCACGATCTTTGCAACTTTCCTTAGAAGGGCCAACAACGAGGGCAAGGTGTCGCATCAAGTTCTGATCTTCGACGACTTTTAAAATCTTCTCCTTAAACACGGCGCTTCGTTGACGCTGCGTGGGGTTAAGCCTATAATAATCGACCATGTAACCGGTTCGAGATAAGAGAGCAGGGCCTCCATGCTGCATCGCCTTCATTCCTTTCGCAGATGGTGTTCTTATTACATCCTGCGTTTCTGGATTATCCCGATGGCTTTTATCAATGTAAAGTGACTGTTGCTCGCTCATCGGCTGTCTACCCTCCGTGTTGATCATCTTAAACGGCTTCGTCGTGTACTTGGGCAATTCTACCGTTTTCCCATTTTCTAGTTTTTGAACCGAATATTGTTTGTTGTCTTTCTGGTCCCAGTACGGTAACTGGTGACGTCCGTGGACAACCCAGTATCCTTCGCGCATAACACGCGGAGATCTACATGAGATCGAGAGTGGCCGAATCGATTGCTTGTACATTCTTAAAGTTAAAATTTGTGATGACCAGGTTTAAAAAAATAGATATAAGTCATATTGAGTTTCCTGAACGGAGGCAGAATGAGTAGCATGAGCTTAGTTGAGCCTTTGGATTTCGAAGGCCAGATACAGCGCCAAGACAAGAAGGATAACAGAGAAAATGATCACCAGTCGTATCTGGCGCTGCATCTGATCAAAGCGGGCGCTGAGATCGCGCAGGTCCACTTCTCGCTGCGAAGAAATTGTTGTGAATGAACTATTTAGAGAGGCAATTGAGCTGTCCATCTCTTCGATGGCTTGACTGGGTTTTTCTGGTGGCACTATTCGAACGCGGTTGAAGAAACTTTCGCACTTTTTTTGTAAACTAGAATCATCATAAGGAGCATTATCGTTGCGAATAGAAATTACCAATTCTCAAACTGGATAGTGGATTCAAATTCATGAACTTCCCAGAAAATGCATAGGTTATTAGATCCCTGTAATTGTCTCACAAGTATTCTCTATAGACTATAGTATAGATAGTATACTCAAACTTTTAGTCTCAAAGTGGAATAGTGATATGAGACGATCCTGAGGTTTGTTTTGCATAACAACTTGAAGACTTTGATGTTCTCCAGGCATCATGAAGCCCTAGATAGTTCTGATTAGAGACCGGTGACTCTGGCCCAAGTCGTTAAATTACGACTATGTAGAGCGATGCGATTCAGTGAAACCTTTTTCTGGCCTTTGAGGGTAATCCCAGTTTCATTCCCTCGACCTTTGAACGAGTAAGCGACTTTCTTATCTCTGCTAATATTTTTAAGCGTGAGCTCTGTTCTTGAGGTAAAGAAGCCGCCGTCGTAACACGGGATGCTGTTCTTCGGTACCCCATTCCTCTGAACATGGGTTTGCCACAATTATAATGAGTAAACTCACTGTTTCCATCGGTCGCTTTTCTCGTCGAATTGTAGAGTAACGTGGGATGGAATTTGCAAGGGACGCTCCCGAGTTCTTAGCATCTCGGATCGCATTTCATTCCTCGGTGAGTCCAAAAACTGGACAGATTTTGACCCCGCAATTGTGCTTCAGATGGCTTAACCTAATTAGTTAGAAATCGAAATGAGGAAAAATAAATGAATCGGAGTAAAAAAATATAGGTCAAGTGTAAGAAAGTGAACAAGAATATGTTTAGACTGCAGCTTTAACTTTCTGAAACGCATTTTGTGCGATCGGATCGAGTTGGCCATCGCCTCCATATTCAAGACTTGTGATCGGACAGGAAAATACTATTTTCCCCTGAATAAATTCTTATTTATACCAGCCGGAAGATCTTTCTTTACTTTGAGGGAGATTGAGCATTGATCGAAGTTGCTGGAACGGCGAAGAATAACTTTTGCTCCTTCATCTTTGAGTAGCCGCTGGATGCCTTCAAGACGCTCGCAGCCATGATCAATAATGTTGAATCGTTTGTACGGGCCGTGTTCGATCAGCACGACGGTTTCGCCCATTCTAGAATCGAGACACGTTATTCGCTACTAGTAGCTGACCCGAGAAGCCGTAAAAAGAAGCTGAGAAAGTATGTGTTGTTGCTCTCTACACCCTCTCTTGGCAAGCTTTTCAAGTGATCACGGAGAAGTTTTTCAGAGTCTAAGTCCCGTACTAAAGACACTGTTGCTATGAACCTGAGTGTACTTAATGTCAATTAAAAGAGAGCAATTTTAAACTTGAAGTTTTAGTCACTCGAGGGAAGCGAGCTCCGTCCTGTTTTTGATGTTTTCGACAAGAATAAAGATAACTCCATCGACGTTGCTGAGCTGAGTTTAGGAAGGTGCTAGAAATCAAGCTGATCTATTTCGTTAAAAGTCATTTATTGTGAGCACAAGCTGTAAGTCATGAAAGAGCTTGGTTATAAAACAACGAAGAGAGAATGCGAGAAGTTGATAAAAATCGTGGACCTAAATCACAATGGGAAAGTGGAATTTAACGAGTTCAAAAAAATGATGTCTTTGAAGCTGATGCGACAAACGAAAGAGGAAGAGATGCGTCAAAAATTCAGGTGAAACTAATGATTTCGACCAAAAAGAAAAACAGCTTGTTCAGGACCTTTGACAGAAATGGGGACGGGTTAATTTCGAAGGAGGAGGTAAAGCAGGTTATGGAGATAATCGGGGAGCCGATGACGGATGCGGAGGTCGATGAACTCGTAAGTAGCTGTACGTAATCTACCACTCTGCAAATTAATCAGCCAAAAGTTATGATTTTGTGTGTTTATTATCCGTTTTCGTGAACAAATCGAAGTACTAAATGAAGTGTAGATAGCCGATGCTGACACTGATTTCGATGGAAAAATCAACTACCAGGAATTTGTGGTATACTACATGGAAAATGGGAAATATCACTGAAGTGCTCGAAACTGTTTAATTTGCTAAAATTGACTGTACGAATAGTGTCAAATAAAATCTCAAACAAAAGTTGCTTCTTGAATGGTTGACGGCTGAACTTCGATTATTAAAAAATTATGTCAAGAGGAACTGGTTCATGGTTTTTATAGACGTTCTTTAAATGTTCAATCCGTGATAAATGATAAATAACTGATAGGTCAAATTGATTGATTACTGCAATCAAACGAGCTTTTCTTTAATTTCTTTATACAAAAATTTGATCAAGTTGTGCGAAGTAGAAAACTATTAGATACATGTATTAAAGAACATGGTTTCAGTGGTGAAGAAATGGTTTTAGGCTGAAGTAGATGGTCCGGCACAATCGAAATCCATCGAGTTATTATCTTGAAGGCTTTGAAGACTTTTCATTATTTCTTAAAAAGTCCTTATTTCAAAAATAGTTTAAATATGATGCTCACCTTGGATGCATTTGCGAGCACAGCTAGCAACGTTGGCGGCCATTTTATCGTCGGATCGTTTGTGTTTATTTTGAATTTCAAGGAGCTCTTCGCGGACACCGATACCGTCAGCCGCCTGGCACAATACGATGTCCTAGACAGAAATGAGCTTTTTAATTATTTTAACTAATCTGACCTGGTGAATGAGAGTTCCCAAAGCAATCAGCAGCCGAATTTGAATTTTCATGTCGGCTTCATTTCGACCGATTTTCTCGCAGATTTTCTGAAGAAGTCCAAGCTTGGTGTCCACATTAGCACTAAACAGACCGATAAATATGCAAACGCTCGAGTTGTCGTTACCCGAATTTTCTTGCAGCGATAGAAAAGTTGAGGAGAAGCGAAGCATGAGCTTGCTTGAGAACGGGTTTTGGTTGAACAGGGAGAGAGTCTGTGGCTCTAGTTAGAATTTCACCAAAGTGCTTCAACGCTACTTTTGCACCAATTTCGTGACGGAATAGGTTGACAAGACATCGCATGGTAAGTAATTGAACTGATGCTGGCTTTTCTACATTAAGTTGTTTCATCAACGGTCGTAGGAACTCCTTGACCCGGTCCTCATCTAAAGTACTCTAAGCTTGAAGTACAAATAGAATAAAGGCTTACGACAAAGAAGACCAACAACGGAATAATTAAGCAAAGCAAGTCGGAGAATGTCTATGAGAGGAAATTTGACATCCCAGTATTCATGCGTTTTCATTAGACATGAGAAGTAGACAAAGATATCATCTGGCATGAGAACATTTTCTGGATCACAAAGCATAGCAAGTTTCTTTAACTCATCTTCTTCAAACTGGATTCCCTTTTCGGAACATTTTTTGTTGAGCATATTTATGATTTTCTCCACTCCAGGAGCTGGGTCATCAAAAAGGAGGTATTTTTCTTCGGGAAAGAACTTCTTATCAACAAAGACTATGTTGTACTTTGGCTTTTCCTCGTCATTTCCGCTTGGAATGTATCGTCCTGGATTGTCCTCTGGGTTCACCATTCGGGGTCCACTCGGCGCTGAAGAAGAGCTATCTCCAGGTAGATATCGAGGAGCGTTTGGACCCATAGAAACATCGTCTGGTTTGTAAGCACCAGAACCTGTAAAAGGGTCGGCGGCGCCACCTTTTTTTGTTGTCGTTGTCTTAGGAGCCGTATAATCAGGACGATAGCCTGACCCGCCGGTTAACGGATCGGCACCTCCTCCGACTTCTGGCTCAACAACTTTTACTGCTTCTTGTTGTCGTCTCTCGGCAGTGTTAGTGATGATGAAATTTGCGACTTGTTCTAAGTAGGTTAAGGGAAGTGCATTGTTGTTTATGAACTTCTGCGCAGCTCGCCAAGGATCCTCTGTTAAATTATAAGGGAGCTTCAAAGGTGGCGCGTTTTCGTCGACGTCAACAGAGAACACAAAATCATATTCTTTCCCTTCGAACGTGTCTTTATTGCTAACTCCTGTGACGTCACCAATCTTCTCCCATTTGCCTTTAGACCACTGGTACGCAACGACACCACTAGGTTCGTTGATCATCATGGTCTGTCCTTCTTTCTTGCCACTTGGCGGCAACGACTTCGGTAGCTTTGAAATTTCCATTTTGTCTTCAAGTGCTTTGGCCGGGATCTGCATTGCTGCCACAGATTCTTCAAATGCAGCAACTTCTTCAGCAGGCGCTTGGAATCGCTCTCGATAGGTAAAAACTCTTGCAGTGCCATCTGACAGAGAAACAGCAATATCGCCCATCGTTAATGCAGTACAGGCCCAAGCAGACTGTGCTGGGAGCATGATGGTTTCAGTGGGTTCTGAAGAGTCCCAGCTCCAAACCCGTACACTACGGTCTTCCCCTGATGTGATGAAGCCTTTGTTTCTAGGCATAGGTGAAACGCAATATATAAAGCCAGTATGCCCAGAAAATTCTTTAGCTACAGAGCCGTTCTCCAGATCCCATAGTCTTATTTTCATATCATTTCCCGTTGACAGCAACCTCTCATCTGGTAGAATCGTGAGAGACTGAATTACGTCCGTATGTCCCTGCAACGATTTTAATAGCTTTCCATCCACGTTGAATATTCTCAATAATTTGTCTGCGCAGCCGGTCACTATTCGGTCGTCCTCGAGCATACCAAGAGCGAGCACAGAGCCCTGATGCTGCCCAGATATTGTAGCCGTGCACTTCTTCTCAGCAGATCCCCACTTCCCTCTCCATACTAGACCATCGTTTAAAGACGAAATAGCTAACACGTCCCACCTTTTACATTTTTATCCCAAGATCCAGATACGACAGTTTGTGTTTTATTATTACAAGCAAGCGCAGAGACGCACTCTCCATGGCCAACATATGAAGCTTTTTCTTCTGAAGATATCGGATCATAAACACGTATCTTTGAATCAAAGGACCCAGCCACTATAAGACCATTCAGATTGTCTGCATCAGGTTCCAGAAAACAAATCGAGCTTTTGACCGCTACAAACGAGTTTCATATTGTAATTCTAAATGGAAAAAATATTTGAGCCGTTCCTGATCCAATGCGTGCTTCCTCTGAAACTTGTCATCATTTCGTAGCCGACACCTTCTGCCGAAGGAAACCATAGTTTCAGGGATTTGTCTCTAGAGCCTGTTAGGAAGCCACCGCCCACCGGATAGTTACAGCTAACGAGACATCGAACATCGGAGCTGTGTCCGCTCACTGATGCGCGCAGTCCGTACATGCTTATAAAACACGATCAAAATAAAATAGAATATTGGCTAGTTCGCTTTTTGCTCTCTTACGAAGTAAAACAATCGAAATGGTTCACAGAGCAAAGTGCAGGCTATGCGTTTTACAATAACAATGCCGATACAAAATTCAGAAAATAGAGGTGTTAAAAAACAGATACAAAAATATAATCTTGGTGGATATATAAAAATAAAGAAGAGAAAATAGTCGATTTTACAAAATGGGTTCAAGTGATCCAACTGGAAAGTTAAGGAACTCCTCGTCAATTTCACACTCTTCGCCGAGCTCTCTAGCAAGTTTTTCGAAAGTAGATTTCTCGATCCGGCTTTTTTCCAATAGTTCATAAACACAGGACTATATTAATTTAAAATGAATTTAATAATAACGTGAGCCGCTCTTCCCACCTGTAGTAGAGGGCGAATGTTGATACATTCGCTTTCTGTGGATTGAATTTCGTCTTGATGATCTCTGAGTTCCTTTGCCAGCCGTTTCGCTTCTTTTTGCATCGCTTCGAATTCATTGCTTTCCGACTGAAGATGCTCGCGAAGTCTAGTAATCAGTTAATCATGGAGGTCAACGATAATTCTTACTTATTCAAAGTGTTCTTGTTGGCCTCCCTCTCTTCTTCGCAAGCTCTGTACTCGGCAAGCTTCTTCTTCGTGTCTTGTAACTTTTTGCGCAGGAGTTGGATAAGATAGCTCTTGTTGTAAGATTGCTGAGCGAGATCCTTTTCAGTAAGGTGGAGAGAGTGAAGCTTTTCTGGGACGCCTTCCATTTTGGCTTTGATCTCGGCGGACTCATCATCGAGATGGCGTTTGCAGCGATTTAGCTTGCGTAGAGTGAGCTTAATTTTGTCTTGAGATTATGCGCGGCTGGGACGAGCATTTACTCTGAATCCATGATTCTCGCGGATGGCACGCTTGATTGTGGGCGGAATTAATTGATCAGTGTCTCGCCTGAACTCAGCGGCGGTTGCGTTGACCTGACGTATCATTTCGCCCCGTAAACGAATAAGATCCTGTTCGTCCTGGTGCTTCAAAAGCTCTAAGTCACTTATTTTAATATAAAAACAACACTCGTTAAATTCACTTACGCTTGAAAAGCTTCCTTTTGCGCTGCAACCTCTTTAGTAAGGTTGACTTCGTGCTCTTCCATTTGCTCACGAACTTCCTGGAAGTGATTCAAAGATGCAATTTCGTCTTTATAGTCATCAATTTCTTTATTCAAAGCACGCTTGTTATCCTCGAATGTCAATTTCTGCGTCTCAATCTTCTCCAGAAGGCCGTTTATAGAACTACGCGCATGCGATTAGGGATTTACGATAATGCATAACACAAATATGTACTCGTTTGTATTTTTCTTTTTGATTTTATTCAGATTAATATTGGGAAAGGTAATTGTGAAGCGTTATTCAGTATGTATTATCGGTCGGTATCTTCGTCTTGGATAGAGCCTCTCGCAGTCGTAGGAATCGATGAGGTCTTGCTGAGTAAATAAAGTATGATGTCTCTTTTCCGGGCGCCGGTTCGCGAACTTCTGAGCTTGCTCTTCGTCGTCGTCTGGACGCTCACATGGACCATTAAATATGCAGTCATCGAACTGAATGTTCAAAACTCCAAGAATAGCCCGAAGTTGAATCATCTTGCAGCGACTGATTGTACCTATGTCGTGGCCAATTCGGTTCAGGAAGCTCATGGCAACATGGGCAAAAAGCGGCTTGACGAATTCGAGAAAGACCCTCTCCCTCTCCGTTGATGTCTTGAGGATAAGTCGGTAGTCTTCGGAATTAATATCGGCGAATTCCTCCTGGAGAATCATGACCGGGTTGTTAAGATCTAAAGTCATCACAGGCACGAAATTGGAGAGCTTTTCGGCGGATCTTTTGATGAGGAACATTCGAGGACACTCAATTTCGGGGTATTGGTGATGATTGCCGTCGAAATCGAAGAAGAACATCCAGTAGTCATTCATCTCTTGAATCATCACGTGACACGCGAAGTTCAGCGCGAATTCGTTTCTTTCTTTGAAATCTTCAGTGTTCGGCATGTTTCTTTTTTTTTTGTAAGTTGCTTTTGTTTTTTGTTTGATGGAAGTCGACGGCGTATTTATGGTCAAGTCAGTGGAGGGCGGCAGTGAGTTGAACTGAACCCTGGGAAGCATTGCTTCTTTATCAGATCATCACTCCCGCCGGAATTTTGACTCCACAGCGGGAGAAGATATTATCGCAGCAAAAAAATAAATCCTTTGAAGGTTGAGGATTAGTTATTTCACCTCGAGCATGATTAACGAATCTATTTGACTACCTTTCATATTCTCTCTTAGCACCATCAAGATGATCGCTAACGTCCTCGGCTTCTTCGACTTTTCGCTTGAGCTTATCGTTCAAGAATGAGATTGAGCGATGTTTGTCTTTTTCGGCATTGACAAGATCCTCTCCGATCTGCTTGCGCCTTTCAATTTTTTGATTCAGTTCCTCGGTTAGCCGTTTTATCTTATTGTCAAGGGCGAGAATTTGAATGTCGTATTGACAACGGTCAACTTCGGAGACTTTCTCCGGATCCTCTGCCGGAGCATCTCCACTCTCCTCCACTTCCTTCTCCTTTTTCCCTGCCTTCCCTTTCTTGCCTTTTTTATCTTTCGCCATTTCTTAAAATATTGCAATTAATTAGAAGCACTGCGAACGAGTTAAACAAAAAAGAAAAGATTTTTTACATTGGAAATGTGAAAGTTTATTGAAATGTTTTTGCGCGAGTGGGCAGTGAGAAAACTGTGACGTTTATTCAAAAGGGTTGAAATATCCAACGGATGGCTCCTTTGTTGGAGCAATGGTGAAATTCGACACAGAGCTTTCGTCGGCCAAAGAGGTCGTTGAAAACGATGTGACGGTGCGAGAACCGACTTCACGGCGGAATGTTTTGTGAAGAAGGTTCTGAACTTCGTGACATGTCCTTCGATTTTTGGGACGAGGAGATGCTCGAGTCTTGATCTTTTCGACTTTATTTTCGTTCTCTATCGTGAGTGAGTCACTTATGCCGCCTAAATACACTTAGTGATTCCGTCCAAAAGTAGAAATAAATTACCGTTGATCGTTTTCATGATATCAGCGAATTCATGGATACCCGAGGAATCATTTGCTGCGTTCTTAGAGGTAATCTCTTCGCTCGCCGAAAAATCATCCTCCATTTGATTGAACAGATCATTTAGGGATCCGATCCTCTCCTCAACATTGCAAGGACGTTCAAAGAAAGGACTGTAAAATGGGTAACTTGTCGGACAAAAAGAGGAAGCTTACCGTAAACCGACTAGCTGTTCTACAATGCCCACGATCTCAATATTGGCGTTCCGTTCTTTGAGCGGTTCTTGACAAGAAACCGTTTATAAAAATATTTTTAACTAACTTTGGTCGTGTAAAATCTATCGTTCTTTTTATGTCAAAACCAAACCTAAAATTCTCATGGTCATTTCTTCAACATCCTGTTCAATCAATGAGCTACTGAGAATAGAATAGCACTCTGTTATTCTTTTTTTCTCAGCTAGCGTCAGCGGTTGGAATTCAAGTGAATTCGCTCGATCATCAAGTGCAATAAGCTCTTGTCGTAGCGTTTTCAACTTGTTACTGACATCGCACTCACAGATCGGATGGGCGAATTTGCTCACATCAATGACAAGCGTCTTAAATTAACTCGTTAATTCTATCAACTCGGCAAAGTCTCACCTTTAGATGATCGTTCTCGATCGATGCGATCATCGCCTGGTCTACTTTTAGTATGACCATCGGAAACGGCTCTGGAGTCAATATGGAGTTGATGAACGTATGGAACAGCTTGAAAACATCTTCCCCATAAGGTCTATGGTTTTATAAAGCGCTGACAACTTGAATTGACCAAACCTGTCATACAAATTCGCTTTAAACTGCAGCTTATCATCTTTTGTATTTTTTAGATAAGCTAGGACAGCCTTGCGGAAATCACGACGCTCTTTCAGATTGCCGAAGAATTTGACATCTGCCGACAAGCTCTGTTTGATTTTCTTGGCATACTTGAGATGGTGTTTTTCCATCAAGAATCCCAAGATCGCATAGAACTGCATGTCATGCTTTTTCTGTCTTTCCGAAAAAAGCATGCATGTTTCTAACACGCGCGCATTTGTGAAATCCTAAACTCATATTTGACTACGCTAAAAGTGGTCTTTCATACCAAATTAAATAGGGCGACTTTTAGGAGTTCGCCTTCGTGAAGTAATTTGGACATGTTAGCTCGTTGCCGTTCTTTTCTCGACTGCAGCGTTTTCGTTAGTTGAATCTGTTTTTCATTATCAGATTTTATAATCTTAAAAACAAGATGATGAAATTTCGGAGAAAAATCAATCTAAAACTCCAAATATGGAAATCTTAGAAACAATTGCTGCAAATTTTCGTTGAAAAAGAAAAAAATAACAAACGATGTTTTGCAATGTTACAACTCAAGAAAAAAACGAGCTCCTTTGGATTATCTCAACAAAATAAATCATTCTTGAAGAAAGTTTCTCGACATTGAAGAACAAAAATATACATGGACAATCGCGAATTAGACGCACATAGTAAAATAGAAAACAAACAGTATTGAAGAGTGTCGTAGAAATGAATTACGCGCATTCTTTACTCTACATTTTGGCTCAGCGTGGCATCTCCGGACGGCGAGTTTGCGGGATAGAGAACTTTGGCTTCTTATCGAATTTTTCATACTGCTCGTCCTAAACAAAATGTTGCCCCTTCCGATAGTTGCTTCTGTGACAGCGCTTACAGCACAAGCAGACAGTACGATGGACGGATGCATGTCAGATGATTCGACGATTTCGTGGGACTCGCCGCCTTTGAGCGACGCGAGCCGTTGAATCAGTTCCAAGGCCAGTCCAGGCTGGTTCGAACTTGGGCGATCCTCAACTGCCTGTACCCAGCCCTCTGGTGGCGATGGTGGCGGCGAAATCAGAAACACCTTTGTCGGTTTTGGCGGCTAAATCGAGATGATGAACGGAATTTCAACTCGATTCGATTTTTACCTTAAGGTGATCCATCTCTCGGGAGTCGTGTTTGGCAGTGTGGTTGGTGAGATAAACACGGAACTGCTCACCCATGTAACGATACAAATGGAAAATGACTCGAGCCTTGCATGCCTCTCTTGAGTCTCGAAAAGCAACTCTTGCCCTTCTAAAATTCGGAAAGTAGGAAAAGCCAGTTGCATTTGTGAACAAAGATTCGAACTCTGCTTTGGTCTCTTCAGTACTGAAAACTTTTCGCGGAACCTGAACAAATTTAATTCATAATTCGCCTTGAAGTTAAAGTATCGGTCTTACGGAAGTCACATAGACGGACTTGGGCATCTCAAACTCCTCAGACAAGCTTTCATCATCTGAAGCAGACTCTTCTGGATTCAAATTCGAATCTGGATAAACAACGTTGTTTATGTAGACAGATGACAAGTCATCAATGTCATCCCAATTTACCATGCTAAAAGAAATGAACGATAAAGCATCAGAATAAGTATGTATTCACATATTTGCACAATGAAGTAGAAGGTTGAAGGAACAGAAGGGCGGAGGAAGAAAGCAAGAGAAAGAAGTTCGGAATGGTACGCTGAAAGTTAGGGGCAGAGAAGTTCTAGAAATTTTTTCAATCGTCTAGATTTGAAGCTTCGTTCGAAAATACAGAACATTCGCGAGGTCGATTTCCAGGTAGCTCTTCTGGATGGTCGGTCGGCGGCGCCATTTCTTGGTAGCTATTGAGACGCTGGTACATAATCATGTTGGATATAAGCACGACAAACGCAATAATGGTGGCTTTTAGTTGGGTTTCTCAAATGAATGCTAGGATAGTTGCCGAAAAGAGCAAGAACATGAACCCGGGCCTAGACAAGCGAATGTTATCAACGCTAATTCAGCGTAATTAAGGCAAGAGCTCTGGAATGGATTAGCAATAAACTTCCCATCATCAATGTCTTCGATCACGCACCCACGAGGAATCACTTGCCATTTGTAAGCTTGAAGCAGTGTCAGAGTACATCGCGTCGTATTAGAAACTGAGAAAGATCTATTTATCTAGTCAGGTAAAATGACGTTTACTGAGATATAAAACCAAGCCACCGAAAGCAAATCGCATGATCATAACTCGTTCTGCGAGACCGAGTTGCTGCAGACTATATTTCAGGTCAAATTACGCATATTTGATTGAGAACGTAGACTTTCACGAAATTTGACCTTCCTTTGAGATTTTACTTCAACCATGATGATACTGATTCCGGCAAAAACGTTCTCGATGACGGCAAGAATTGATTTCATGGGCACAAAGACCTCCGGCTTCGCTGTTATAAACTGAAATGAAAGATTTTGGGCTTGAATCATTTCTCGAATGACTACCTTATCAACATAAAAATATTCACAAATGAGGCTGGGTATATCGACGGTGAGATGGAGAATTGTCATGGCAAGAATAATTCGAACCTTTGTGACGCTAGGCAAGTAAGCCTCAATCGAAATGTTTAGTTATTAATTTGAAGGGAGCTCACCTCTTTATTTTTCGAAAACTTGTAGATGACCATTATAATGGGGAGGCTCATGCACATTCCAAATATGCTTATTGCATATATACTCATGGTAATGTCCTTGAAGGAAGCTTATCACCTGAAAAGTGATTCGGATAAATACCGTAGGAACGCGAATTTCTGGATTCGTAATATTTTCATTAGCGACGGCTTGGAAGTACTTGTAGTCCAACGAGGAGCGAAAGAAACGAGAGAAAATTGGTGATAAATACGATCCGATAAATATCAGGTTGATGAAATAACTTTTCCATTTTGCAAGGTCGAAGCCTTTCTGAAAAATAAGTTCGAGGATAAACTTTAAAAGAGCGCTTTCTTACCCCGTTAAGTTCTTCCCAGCCATTCTTTAGGGAAATACCTAAAAGGACTGTCGACAGTGTGCCAAAGACACCAACTATCACGAGAATGGAAATCTCGTGAGCACGGACGACTTCCGGATTCCATGGCTCCAAGATAGACACATTGGTAGCGTTGCTACTCATTAGATTAGGCTACATCTGATATATCACCCATTCTAAAGTAATCGCTTGGTCAGGCTAGCAATCAAAGAAGAATTTTATTGCAATGTTCGCTAAAGCAAACGAAACCCGGCGCTGAAACCAGCAACGTAAATGTAAATGTTTTATGTTAATAATGAGCTTGTCAAGTCGATAAAAACTTCTGCATTCGTATTTCCTAATGTATTACTCAGTGTATCAGTAAAGCGGCAGTGGATTCAGTTAGTCTGCTCTCCTAAAAAAGACTGGCTAGTTTATCGCACAAAACTCTCAGTATGGACCTTGGTCAAGTATGCAAGCCCATTCGCCGTCGGCCATTTGTCGCCAAACTGTAACGTTGTTATCCCCGCCTGACACCGAGAGTAAATTGCCAGTGACGCTTCAAGAAAGTAAATATATATAATTTTAAAACATCCATTCACCTCCATGAGACATCCCAGATCGGATAATTATATTTTTGAAGAGTAACGTGCTCCCAGTCGGCGCCAGTTTCTTTTGTCCATATTCTGACTTCGCCGTGGTGATCGCAGGAGGCAATAACATTTCTAACATGTTGATAGTTACGCTCTGGCAATTTAAATTAACGAGCATACCGTTTTCGTCCAGTTGACGGCGCCCATGCCACACATCTGACCCAATCTTTGTGCCCGTCAAGTTCTTTACAGAGCTTCCATTGACCAAATTCCTCTACGAAAGAGTTAGTGCCAAATAAAGCCAAGAATTGATGTACCTTCTTCGTAAACGTGAATAGTGCTGTTATTGCCGGAGCAGACGAGACGTTTTACATTTTTCTTCTTCTTTTCGTCCGAATAGGGTTCATCAAATAAGCTTCCGCTTTCAGCTGGAGGAGCCCAGGAAAGTGAAGAAACTCCAGATTTGAGCGCAGAAAACTTTGCCGTCACTTCCCAGTCAGTTCCACTTTGGCTTTTGCTTTCAAGAACAGTGACTTGTCCATCACTAGATCCACAGGCAAGGATGAGTCCGAATTCAGGCGGCGCGAATTGAACGCAATTTACTTCAAATAATTTTAATATAGTTATATAATGATAATATTCAAAAAGAATATTTTCCCAACCTGACGTCTTGTTATCTTCGAAGCAGAAGACTTGCTTCCACTGACCATTAGCATCTTCTTGGTGGAGAAGAACTCGTTTATCAAAGCTCGCGGATGCCAGAAGGGATCCGTATTTAGGATCGGCCCAACTGAGCTGCCAGACGGCAGATTCGTGAGCTTGAATTTTTCTACGATAAGTGATTAAACACGAGTAAATTAATTTTTTCTTACGTTTGAAGCTGAGTTTTTTCGCCGTTGACTTCGAAAATTCGTATCGACTTGTCACTGAAAATATAGAAACTTATTGGATTCTATTTTTTTATGCTTACCTTGAGGCAGTGGCTAGTCGAGTGCCATAGAAATCGAATTGACAATCGTGAATCTGATCCTCGTGCTGAGTGTCGATATTAGCAAGTAACGACGACGCTGCCATTCTATTCTAGTGAGCAAAGCATTTAAAATGTGATTGTTAGGATTATAAAGTTGATTATCTTTAGATGAATAGTAAAAACAGAAGGCATTGGAAATAAAATAGGTGGGAAGAGCAAGTTCCCTGATAGTTACATTTTTGGCGAAAGACAAGATTGATTATGCTAGGAAGTTGAATTTCAGAAGACGAAAAAGAATTGCATAAGCGAAGTAGTAATCCCTGTTCATCTTCGGTCTACCCTGGTGTTTATATATGCATGGGCAGATAATATTAAGTTGAAAGGTATGAGAGTACACTAGGTTATCGAAGTTGAACTTGGTTGAGTTGGAAATGATCAGCCATTGAGGAGGCGTTCTAGAACACTCATGTCCACTCTACAACGAACTTTGGGAAAAATGGAGGTAAAATCGAAGTCCCGTTGCTCCTCCATCAAGTCAATTTGCTGCTGTTGTCGAATAAATATCTTAAAGGCTTTATGAGAGCTTGAAGAGGAAGAGAGTGAACAGACACCAGAGATGACACCCGTCGTGAATTTTGAATGATCAGAAGGTTGTGTCCTCCTCAACATCAGAGTTTCCCCCTGCATGAAGGCTGACCTCTTTGTACCACTTGGCAGTTAGCTGACGCATTTGGTGGCGGTTAGCTTTGAACTCTTCCCGCGTCACTCGCCGAGTGAAAAACGGATACAAATAACGGGCATCAATCTAAATTTTTGTATTTATAACTCAACCGCTTGAAAAAGTTGCTAACCCAGGCGAATCCGGTGAGAGGCTTGAAGCTGGTTCTTTTTGTTTCGTCCGGCCTCATAATGTGACCTTCCCCCTCCTCTTCGTCAGAGTTGTACTCGTTCGTCGGACACTCCGAGTCGATTGCTGACCCATATTCCTCGGTCTTCGAAAGAGTGAAATTGCTCCTAAAGAAATGATTACTGCTTCGTGGCTTTTTAAAGGATAATTCATCTTCTAATCATATATCAAGGGCTTCATGCAAAAACAGGGATCAGACATTCTATTCGCTAAATGGAGGGAATTGCGTTGCACTCAAACCTTGTTCCACTGTTTTTGTCTCGACGAAAAATTGAGATCCTTTCAAAAATATTAAATGGTTTGATTTCAATCGAACACATTATAAATATTCTAAGCTTATACCTAGACACATTCATCCATTTGACAAGAGGATAGGTCGATCCACCGAGCACTAGAATAGTAAACAAGACGACACACAACGCTGTAGTGATGAGAGCACGTCTCTGGTCTTGATCCTCGACGTCCAAATGGAGAGAGACCGCGTACGCGATAGCACCTCTGTGGGATAGAAAAATAGGTTACTAATCTGGACGGGTTTGATGTCACTCACCTGAGGCCCGAGAACCACATGACGAACTGCATCTTTCTCGATATTCTTGTTTCTCGAAAGTGATTTAAAAACCAGGAAAGCGGATAGATATTCAGTGCTCGACCGAGTAAAATCTAAAGATTTTAAACTCCGATAAACTCAAAAATGATCGTTTACCAGGATAATCGTCCAAATTAGAAAAGCGGGCTCCAGTTTATGCTGGAATGAAAATATCGCCATACCAAGATACGCGAAGACGGAGGTTTCTGCGAGAAAAGACATTGCACGAAAGGCGTTTTGGACATTTATTTGTGTCACGAGGGACAAATTGGGATGGGCATAATGAGACATCACTATTCCAGCGAAAAGAATTGATGTGATACCGCTGAAAATAGCGTTAGAAAGGAAATTGTTTGAAGAATGAAAACCTCAATTCTAGTGCTTCTGCAGCGCAGTAAGGAAAGTATGAAGCAAGCAGCATGAGACCGAACTCAAGGGAGGCATTTCGGCGAAGATCGACGTGTTTGAGAACTAAGGCACATACCATCGCACTGAGAGTGCCCAAGATAGTCGACATAATCATCATCCAGGTGAACTCGCCAAGGACGGAAAATAGAATTCCAAAACCGGCATTTTCTGATGATCGACCAGCCTTTTTTGGTTTTAACTTGATATTTTCGAATCAATTATTTCTTTCTTTATCAGTTGTGAATTATCAAAACTGGCCTTCATCATTATATTGCACAATACAATAGAAACGGCGTCATTGAGAATACTTTCGCCGAAGACAAGCATGTTCAAAGTAGGCTCGACATCCATGGCAGAAAAAATAGCGAGTGTGGCAACAGGGTCAACTGCAGAAATGAGAGCACCAAAAGCCAAAGCGTCGGTTAGCCTCAGCTCCATGATAACATTTCCGGCGCCGAGTAAAAATAAACCTGAAGAAGCGATACTAACCGCAATGAAAATAGTTGAAAGCTACCTAATCCGACAAGAACAGTCGAAATAATCGTTCCAGCGATGGCAAAAACACAGATACTTCCAAGATTAGTGAAGAAGTTACCCTTGTGCAAGCTGTATCCAGCTTCGAAAATAATGGGCGGAAGTAAAATGACGAAGAATGCTTGTGGCGAAAGCATTTCTTCGTGGATATACGTAGATAGGTTCATACTGAAATTAGTGTTAGAAGTGTTCTGCTCATCATGAGGCATCCACTCACTTTTTTAGAATTTTCCCAATAAGGCCGATGACTGCTCCAAGAAAAACGACAGACACCGATTCGGGCACATGATGAAGCTTTTTGAGAATGATATAATGAACCAAGAGAATACATATTCCTAGCACCAAGATAATAAAGGCGATTCGCGCTGAAGTATACACATCTTCCTCCGCAGCTTGTTCGCCGACAGGGATCTCCTGTAGAGGATCGGGGATGATATCGGAGGCGATCACCTCTTCCACCGGAGCATCGTCGAAGTTGCCAACTGGAAGAGGCTCCTCCTCGATCACCTGTCCAAGGGGATCATTATCTGTTTCTACGGGAGCTAGGCCAATGTCACCGTCTTCTTGCGATTTCAATGTATCTATCAGCAACCAGAGGAAAAAGTTAAGTCTCATTCCAATTCATGCGGGTCTAACCTCAGTCTGAAATTAATTACGTTTATCGAGTGAAAATCAGATTCAAGAATGAGATTTGTACCATTCAGAAGGAAACATTCAAAAGGCGTTCGAAGAAAGTACAGTAGTGAATATGACATTTGTACAGTCAGGCAGACAGGGTGACATTCTCAAAACCAACGGAAAATTATTCGATAATTTTGCTTTCGGTGACTAGCTTACTGTTAACCCACATGTGTATAATGAAATAAAGACGTTTATAGAATAATTAAAATGAACAAATATGCAAATATACTATTTAGGTGTAATAGTAATCATTAATTTCGGTAAATTTTCTACTGCAGCCTTCAAATCGGAAGCTTTTTCTTCCAATGACGTATCCATGAATTGACAAGGGGGGAATATAAAAATTTGCCATTCCTGATCTTCGTGGGTGATCGACAGGTTGCCACAGCAGTCTGAAAGAGTAGTTTAGACCGTAGACTCTAACTGCTATCTTACTTTTATCGGCAAAGTACTTGGAGAAGTTTTTCTCTAAACACTGTTTCTGTTTTTCAGTATCGTCAGGATCGACACCGTACGGAAGCGCAAGCATCGTACAGCATTTGTATGGAATATCATTCCATTTTCTCTTGATCGTTTCGACCGCTTTTCCATCTACAAAAATATATCAGCGAATTCCCAAAAAGGGATGGGCTTACCAAGTTTCACTCTGGTTTTTATTTTCATAATTGGATGTTTACTTCCGTCAGATGAAGGATGCACTAGGTTTTTCATCAGAAGACGAGATGAAATGTGTTGATTTCCGCCAATATGATGCAGTTGAATCATTGCTGCTTTTGATTTCAGTCCAACGAATCCCAACCACACGCTTGGATACATAATATAGACATCGTTGTAAGTCTCTTTTTTCTCTTGCACTATTTCTGGCTCACTTCTGCTCATACTGAGCATTGGAGGAAAGCCTGGTGGCGGCCCACTAGAGGAGTAGATCTGGGGCTGGCTTGCAGAACCACTTGGCATCAGCTGAATATATATTTACAAAATTGATTACACGGTCATTTGCCTACCGGTGGTACCGCAGGCGGCGCCGAGGGAGGAAGTGTCGGAGGTGGAACCGATGTGCTAAATGGCGGTCCAGGTCTGAACGATGGAGGAGGCAGAGAAAACCCAGGTGGGGGCTTCGAAAAGTCTATTTCAAGTGGAGCCTTGTTCTGATTGAATTCGAATGCCGGTTTGCTTGAACTTCGAATAAATTTTAGAAGAGAATTAACATAACTCGAAAAACCTTGGTAGAACGGCTGGTGCACTAACATCCCGGCGAATCACAGGCGGTGGTGGTCGATCAATAGGGGTTTTAGGAGCTTCCAAGGTATTGTTTACTTGATCTATCGTTTCTGTCTTTATAGAAGCAATAGAAGACATGGAAGGAATGCTGGTTGGCATATTTGAAGTCGGAGGCGCTATCTTGAAACCAGACGATCCAGCGTTTAGCTTCGGAGATGAATATACGGTTGGTTCAGTTTTAATTGGGAACAATGAAGTAGGGGCGGGAGATGTCGCTTTAGGCACATGACTCTCAAACCGTGGAGTATTCTCAACAGGCTGACTCTTTACTTGCGATAATATTGTACTAGATTATATATCGCGAAAAGATATTTTGTGGAAAAGTACCTCGGCAGAACGATTCCTGATGTTGCTCTCCTTGCAGTTGGCTTTGGCTTCATTACTGGTCTTTTCGGGCCAATATTCTTATCCAGTAATGGGGCAGTAGATAAAATGTCGCTGGAAAAGAGCGTTTCTTGCGATGCGTTTTCAGGCTGAATCGGGGGCGAGATCTGCTCTGATGATTGAGGAATATCTTGTGTTTCCGTAGAAGATGTTGGAACTCTTGGCTTGACTCCGAGAATCTTCGGAGCTTGAAATTTCGAAACAAGACCCTTAGAGCCACCAATTTTTAGCTTTCCCTTCGTTGACGCATTTGACTAAAATTATTAAGAACTGAATTTGAAACTAAAGCTTACTGAGATCTGAGCAAATGACATTTTCGAGGTAATAGGCATGATCTTCATGCCTCTTTCACTGTTAAATTGCTTGTTCAGATTTTTTAGAAATTCAGCATCATCGTCAATCGTTTCCGTTTTGAGAGGAGGAAGTGATGCTAGTTTTGGAGGCTCATCGTCTTTCTTCTCCGGAACTGCGGCTCTAATGTTCGCAGCGGATCTTTTTCTAGCCAAGAAAGAGCTTGCTAATTTCTCCGCTTTCATCTAAATGGAAGTTGATGCATAGCTAACGTGAAAATTGTACCTGGGCAGCAATAACTTCTTCGGGGTTCTGCGCAACCACTCTACTTTTAATTCGCTTGTCCATTTCTGCTTGTTTTTGAATGCTCTCTTCAAGAGTTTTTTGCCTTTCTTGGTTCTCTGCTTCTTGCATTTGCTTTCTTAAAATTGACCGATGATCAAAACTATCTTCAGTCAGAATAATCAAACCTGAGGCCCATTCCACGGTCAACATTAGGGTCAAGCAAGTGCGCGGGTAAGTCTTCGAAAAGACGAGGCTGGGGAGGTCCACTTCGGATCTGAGGAAAGCTCGGCTGAGCCGATGTCTCTTTCATTTCTTTTCGAAGAATAGGAGTTTCGTTATTTTCAAACATGTCTTGATTTGAAAAGCTTTGAACGAATTGCCCGCGCCGTATCTCCTTTTAAAATTGTTTTCAAAAAGACGAAATGATGGTTAAGTCTTACCGTAGCGCCACTCGCTAGTTGCTGCATTATTTCCTGAACGCGATCATGCGATACATCTTCCTGGTCCTCTTTGAGTCTAAGCTTGTCCAGCAAACCAATTTCTTTGGGAGGTTCAGGAGTGGGACTGCGGCCTTTCATGTGCTCCGGCGTATTTTTCATGTCTTCAGGCGTCGTTGACCTGGAGGAGCTTGAAGAGTACGACTTCCTTCGTCGTCTTCTACCTCGTCTCGACTTTCTGGATTTGTGTCGCCGAGATCTTCTTCGTCTACCAGATCTGGAGCGTGAGCTGCTAGAAGACGATGAGTCCTCGTCCGAAGTTCCGCCAGGGAAAATGTTTCTTCCGATAGCGATGTAGTTTGGGCGATAGTAGCCTCTCCCTCTTAGCCCACGACCTCTGCCTCTTCCTCGGGGAAATTCTGCTCCTGGCCACCTTCCTCCGCCGCGGCCCATTCCTCTACCTCGAGGTGCAGTCCACATAGGCCCTTCTCCGAGCCCATACTGTTCCGCCTCATCATCCTTTGGCGGAGCTTCATCTTCTGAATTCGCATCGTTTTTGTACTTATCGTTTTTTCGGCTCTTTTTTGACTTGCGCCCTCTTCTTCCCCTTCTTCGCTTTTTCGCTGGCGAACCAGCTCGGGAATCATCAGATGTGTTTTGATCATCAGAGTATTTACCACGATCTCTGCTTTTCGACCTAAATAATTGAATTGGACGATCGACATTAGTTATGCACCTAGAATTCCGTTTTTTTGGAGACGGGGAGCGGCGCCGTGAGCGCGACCGAGATCTTGAGGTTGATTTTCTGTCTAAGGATCGCTTTGATCTCTTCGATACCTTAAATTTTTGTTTGTCACTAGACACACAAGCAAATTTCATGCGTACTTTCTTGGATCTCCTGCTTTTCTTCTCGGAGCGTTCCACCGAAACTGACCCAGACCCATCATTTGATCTAGATCGGCTGAAAATAAAGTGATTAGTAATCGAGGCCGGGAAAAAAATACAAAATGTCTAACGCGTAAATGAGGCTGAGAAACTGAGACTAGTAAACTGAGGCGCAACAAAAAGCGACTGGGGTACGGAAATGGAACGAAATGAAAATATGCTCTGGATAGTCATCCGGTGACCCTTCATCTGGTACGATCGTCGTTCATTTACTTTCTGATAATTTTTCTAAAATGGAAAATATTTTAGATGATGTTCGTTCAAATTTTTAGCAAGTATAATCTTTTGCTCAATAATTTCGATCAAGCACGCCTCAGCCAGATTCTGAACTTTTACCTCATCGTCTCGTTTAGGCCGTCAGTCTAAAACTTAGAAGCGTTATCAATTATCAACTAGATAAAAAGAACATAGGTTCTTTTTATTATAATAAAAAAGATTGGCAGTGATCATGCTATTGCTAGTTTTCACTATTCAAGGTGCAAAGTATTATTCCAGAAGTAGCAATTATAAGTCCAAAGAGTTCTCGCATTGTCAATGAATGCTCCCCAAGAAGAGTGCTCGTTATCTGCTATGAGTTAAAAAAAAATTTGTCGAAAACCAGATTATTTTTTTTAACCCTGACAGAGTAATGAACAAGGTACAAGAATTAACCACTGGAATTGCAAGAGAAATTGGAAAGTTTCCAAGACTGTAGTAGTAGATCTACCGATGCTATTCAGCACGCTTCTAATTTTTAGGGAAAATTTAAAATTAGCTTGAATAACAATTCAGTGAGCCACATTGGTTGACGAGAAATGGTAGAAAGAAAGACAGATTGGTATACAATGCGATGGTCCTTTTGATAAGACCCGAATTTTCGTCTTCATTATTGATGCGTATAATTGATTGACCTAACTGTTATAAAATAAGCACCATCCCTAATTTAGAGCCGCCAGATTTCAAAAAAGGATTCGTTATACCCCAGAAAAGACTCACGACAATCAATTGCCACATTCTGGAAGCAGATAAGAAGGAAGATTGACAATTGTTATCAGCGAATATAGAAAAAGTAATTTTATTACAAAAGATACAAAAGTAGATATACATGGGAATATACAAGCTTTACAAAAAATTTTTACATAAAGTTGATGTGCGAAAAGCTGCCAGCGTCAGTTTGAGTGTGTCCATCGAACCAGGATGGCATCTCGGTTTGTGTTCCAGCGGATTCAAGAAGCGAGCTCGACGAAGGCCCGAATTGAGTTGCCTAAAAAGAATATATTTGGTAATCCTGGGAAGTTTAATTTACCTCCTCGTAGAAAGGCTCGGTTTGCGTAAGAACAGTGTCAGTGAGGAAAGTATCGTCAAATGTTTGGCATCCAAAGGTGTTCGTTTCTAGTTGAGCTGTACCTCCCCAGTCAACATGTTGAATAAGATCACTGCTTGTTTGATTGTTTTGCTCGATAGTCTTCAAGAATGAAGTTTGAGTGCTGATAGCGACACAGGCGGTGTCCAGAACAATCGCATCGTCCGTTTGAGCGGAAGCATCGACGCAAGGTCTGACAGGAGCGGTATTCGTGGATTTTTCTCCTTCTGGCATGAGTGGGCGGTTTTTTAGAGGAACGAAACGAATAATTGTAAGCGATGGAACCTTATCGATCTTTTTCTTTGGTTTCCGTTTGATTTTCTTGATGATGTCTAGCGATTCCTGCGCCAGCTGGTGTCCAACATATCTCTTGATGTGGCGTTCGGCCCCTTGAGCGTTCTTGAAGTTTTTGGGACAAGTTTCGCATCTCAATCGGCCACAAGTTCGTTGATGACTTCGTAGCGCTACCTCGTCGCGGAAAAAGACGCCACAATTCAGGCAATCGAATTCCCTTGGAGCGTGACAATGTTGATAGTGAGCTCGCAAGTGTTTCAACTTGCGGAAGAACTTCGTGTGATGGTATTTACAGGATTCTACAGGACAGGGTACTTTAACTTCGCCAACTCTCCCTGAGCATCGATGTATTCCAGTCAAGTGTCGCTCCAGAGTATCTATCGGAAAGGTACACTCGCATTTTGCGCAGAAGAATTTCGCTGTCCGGGAGTAATTAGCAACGAGAAGCTCGACGGGTACGATGTCATTGATTTCGATGCGACATTCCATTCAAGCTCTGAAACAAGCAAGAGATTTATTTCAAGAATTAGTTTGTATTGCAAAAATTTAGAATGGGGGACTGGAAGGAAATGCAGTCGACATAACTTTGAACGGACATACAAATTGTAAAACATCGATTGTTTTAAAGTAAGAGAAGATATATGTAAAGTTGAACAGTATGTAAATGGTATCATCACTCAGGATGCACAAAATGGCTACTCGATTGTCGAATTGTTTATCATCGCTTAGGATGCTCCAAAAATACATCGTTTTTTGATGTATTCGTACAACGGATTTTGAAAGTCTCGGACTATGTTTGTCTCGGACTGTGTTTGGAATCACACGGGAACTTATAGTTTTGATTCTCTTGTTGGTTTAGTTTGCGGCTTTTCGTCCTCGTCTTGCCTTTCGCCCTCGTGGAGCAGGCTTTGCCTTCGCCGGAGCGGGCTGCACAGCAGGTTCTACTTCTGCTTCCGCCTCAGCGGGTGCTTCTTGGGACGCTTCGGACTCCACATTTTCGGCAGACGATTCCTCTGTATTGTTACTCACGTGAAACTCGTAAGATTCAGTCGACTCGGGTTCTTGTTCAGATTCAACGGGCTTTTTACGGGTATACATTTGTGAATTGGCTTTTGCAAAAATGTAAGCTACTTTCAAGTTGACTCACGTTCAAGTGCTTATGTTATTATTCCCACAACGGATACCGTCCTGGTCAGCAGCAGTTTCTTCTGGAGCTGCTTCTTCTGCGATCATCTCTTCTGGTGGAACAGAATCAATTTCATAGGCTCCCTCGTTAGGATTTGGCTCTTCAAGTGGCCTTGATTTTTTCTGTTCAGGCTCATCTTTCTTGACCGCTTGACCGTTGTTCTTGTTTGCAGCGCGCTTCTGGCCTGCTTGGTTCTTGTTCTGCTAAAAAACTCTTAGAGGAAGAAGGATTAACCTCTGCGTACCTTCTTCTTTTGGCCACCACCGAAGACATTAACGAATTTTTCAAGGCCGACGACTGTGATCTCGCCGAGACTCTTTGCCGTTTCTTTTAGAGAGATAATGTCGAAGTCAGCGATATTCAATTGCTCTGCAGCGAGGGGCAGAGCATCGAGAAGTGAGTCCATCTGGAGATACGCGGCAAGGACAGCGACGTTCTTGATAGACCTCTCAGTGACACTGATTTCACCTTTGAAGACGAACTGGAAGATGATTTTCAAAGCAGTCTCGGCAGATGAGCTATTTGGCTAGGTAAAGAATTTATTTTGAGAAAACATTTGCTGCGCTACTTGGCGATAGTCAGGAAGCTGGAGGTCTATGGTATTGTGCATAAAGCCATTCTCCATCATTTTCTTCTTTGCCTGGTAGAACTCGCGGTTTAGCTTGGGAATGGCGATCGAGATGGCCGAAATACTGCATGGAAAGCGGATTCGCTTTGTCTCGGAGAGACAGACAAGGGAGCCGTCGTCAAATTGCTTTAGATCTTTAATTTTGACAAAGTTTTCGAAGAAGTGCTGCTTGTAATTCTTGAATTAATACGAGTCAGAAGATTTTCTAGAGAAAATCGAGGCCCACCTCGAAATCGTAAACGAGCTCATTTTCCTTGGATGGAGGCTGAGTTGGGTCCACTACTGGGACTTCCTCTGTTACTTCTGGGGTAGTTTCTGTTTCCGCCATAATTCTGAAACGAAAAAATTGTTAAAAAGATGATCTAAAATCAGAGAACAAAATTGAACTAATAAAAATATAGTTAAATCAAGAAATTGAAAAAATAAGTTTCCCCAGTACAAATATGTGGAAAGCGAAAAAACGAGGTTTCGCAAAGTCTTTTTGGGAAAACGTTCTTTTTTTAATTATTTTGTTGAAAAGAAAACGCGAGCGACGCGAGAGCGCAGTTTCGCCCGCGCGCGTTTCCTGGAGACGCTGAAAAAGGTGACTCATACTGGCAGCTTCGAAAAATTTACGGACCGTCTCTAGAACAGCGATTATTAGATTTGTTTTCACGCGCAATTTGGAAAGAAGTCAGTTAGAAAGAAAATGTCCACAGAAGTGATACCGCAGAAGACAGAAGAAGCGAAAGAGTCTTTCTCCTATGCGTCACATCCTAAACCTCTGCAGGCCAGGTATTTCATTATCAATTTTTGTTGGGAAATATAAATTATCTTAAAAATATAAAATTGTAAATTTCACTAGAATTATTAAATCTATTTTGTCTGCCGCGACTAATTCTGATTGAGTCATTGTTCTTAAAATTGAATTTCATTTGAAAACCTAAAAGTACAAAATTCTCAAATAACGATGTTTTCCTTTTAGGCGCAAATTCCGCAACGATCCGGGAAACGAGCGTTATGGAAATCTCATGTTCGATCGTCGTATCGTAAGAGGAAATACATATGCTCAATCTACATTTCCTCCTACCACCCAGGTAAAAAAGAAAGAAAGAATCGTTTTGCATGATCAATTTGTTCGAATTAATACTGAAAAGTTTAATTTGAAAGAAAAGCGAGTCAAAAATTATTGATTTTTGGCTGCTCGTGATTGAGACTTTGATTGTAGATAAACTGGTCCAATGCGGTTATCGACCGAGCACAACTTCAGGACAATCCGATGGATCTCCAGCGAAAGGCTGAGAAGAAGCGAGCCAAGGAGGCGAGGCTTCGACAGGAGAAGGAGCTTGAAGACAGCCGCAAATCTCCTCTTCCTGTCGACGGAAGACGACACATCAACGTCCAGGTAAGTTAGACTCCAGAAAAGCGTCGTGATATTTTGCGATCTAGACTGAAACATACCTCGAAGAACTGACTAACCGAGTAGAAGAAGCCGATGTGACTTGCCAGACGGATCTGTTCCTGGACCGCCCTCCAACTCCAAAGTACATCCCCGCCAAGACTGGCGTCGACACCTCCACTCAGATCATGCCCCACGAGCTCTTCGACTTCGACATGGAGGTGAAGCCAATTCTCGAAGTGCTCGTCGGAAAGTGCGTCGAACAATCCCTCGAAGAAGTCTTCGAAGAAGAAGAACTCGAGAACCTCAGAGAGCAGCAGCGAAAGTTCCACGAGGTATTTCCATTGGTCTAGAATTTAAAACGAGTGGTATTGATTCTTAGGCCCGAAAACGAGAGGTCTTGGCTACGCAGCGGCTGGAAGAACAAGAACGGCGACTTACAGATGAGCGCGAACGACGAATCACCCAACAGAGAGAAGTCCGCCGAAAAGAGAAACAGACGGCTGAAAAGATCGCTGCCCGTGCTTATGCACAGAACTATCTCATGGGTGCGTTTTTCGCATTTTTAATCCTAGTTTACCAACTCTCCTTTAGACATGATTCCAGTGGTCTTCGGCAAGCTGCGAGATTCGGGCTACTTCTTCGACCCTATCAAGCGCGACATCGAAATGAACTTCATGGCAGACCTCATCAAGAAAGTCCAGGGCAAGGTAACAGATCATATATCAATTTTTTTTATGTTAACGAAAATTTCTAGTGCGACGAATCGGAACTTGCGCGACTCATCGCCGACGAACTCATTCGCCATGTCGTCATCTCAAGGCTGGAGGAGTACGAGTAATCTCGTAATAATTATATTTTTATATCTTCAAAGAATATATTTTAATAAAGAACATTCATACTTACTAAAAACGGGGCAAAGAGAAGTTTTTTGTAGAGTTTATTTTGCAGGGCCTTGAAGAAGAAGCGAGGCGTTTCAAAAGATTCTAAGGGTGTTTATCGGTTACTTTCTTTTCCTTTTCTTTCGCTTTTAAAGGGAAAGTTAAATTAAATGACAGTGAAGGGCGGAAAGCAGAAATCAAGGAAGACTTTCGTGAATTTGTGGCGCTTAGTTTTCTCCTAAATTAGGTTAATCATCGAAATGCGCAAGCTATTGTTGCCTGTTCTTTAATCGGACCATGTAATTTGAACCGCAAATGAGAAACGTCGCCCTGTCGACAGTATTCGACATTGTTAGTTCGTAAACTGGAATGACGATGACGGACGATTTGAGCGAAACATTGGTCGAATTTTTTCCTAGCTTTTCGAGCTCATCGGAAAAAATGTCTTTCACCTCGCTTTCAAACTCGCATATTTTCGTGTCATTCTTGTGAGCTATATAACTGTTAGATTGACTGTATTGTTAGAGCGTTCTCACTATCACATTTGACTTGAGACCCTGCAGCTTGCGTCAATCCATTTAGCAACTTTTGATCGATGCCAGTCGGACTCCCAAGGATCTTCTTCAGTCTGCGTGATTGCGTTTCTTGCTTTTGCCTCGTTCTAGTTTTATTCTTTACGATTTTGCCACGTTCACAGAATTCACACGAAGGCTGTGGATTCTTTACGCAGCGGACACATTTTACGAGGAACTCTGAACACCGGTTATTATCTTCTCTTCAAAGCCGCGGCCGAACGAGCTTTCTATATACCTTCATCTTTAAACGACTCTTTTTCGACAGTGATAGATACTTCCAGTTCCGAGATAACTACGTTGAATGAGCTCTTCGCTTGCACAAGGCCATATTTTAGCAGGAAATGAAACCACCTTTGCTCGGTTGAAACAACTCTATTTTTCGTTTTTTTTTTGTTTGTTTGAACGGTGCCTTGGTAGTGCGTTCTTTTGGTTTGCCTTTTTAATAACTTCGTTGACTATGTTCAGATCTGGTTTTGATCGCAAAAGTTGATTCAAGCCAGTAGATGTAGGAATTACTCTCAACGTTCCTCCACCGGCCATTTCATTGATGGCCCTGGATACTTCTCTTAGTCGCCTGAAAACCTTTTCAATAGCCAGTCAACGCGCATAAATAAGTCACTCAAACGACAAAATGCGACAACATCTTTATGATTCACGAAAATAATAGAACAAAAGTTCTCTTCAGAGCTGATCAATTTTATTATTGGGCCACGTTTTTGATGTCAAAAATGAGGATTAACTCACCTTTTAGATCTTGCAACAATCGTGTCTTTCTCTTTTATGTGAGTCAATAAATAAAGATTTAAGGACGATGCTCAGAGCGAAAAGCACCCTTTACAACTTTATAAGAAGAGCCTTTTAAAAATCTTTCCTGTCAATAGGTCCGAGAGAATATTGATATCAGCTTCTTCTGTTTCAAAAACGTCGTCTTCTAATTCCAGGCTAGATTTTTCTGATCTCTCAATGTCTTCTTGTTGAGACAAGCTTGTCGAATGTCTTTTCTGCTCAAGCGCGTACAGAACATCTCTGAGTTCTTCTATGCCGTCCTTGAGCGCGACTCTTCCGTCTGCAACATTTATTGGTCAACAAGTCCAGTTTATTCTTCAATACAAATAAAACTCACTTTTCATCTTCGATAAAATTGCTTTAAATCGCTCTTTACTGCCGACGTCTGTGGTCATTCTCTGCAGCAATTTGGAGATCACAACAGCAGTACCTAATTGCCTCGATAAGAATAGGCCCCTTTCAAGATCTCAATCAAACCATAACAGTCTGTCCCGAAGGAGAGCTGCGACAAATTTTGCATGAGTCCTTCGATTAAGTTCAAATATGCATGTTTTTAGCGAAAACAGTGGGTTTAGAAGGGAAACAATAATGAATCGATTTTGTGAACTTTGCCAAAGCAAGTGGTCCATGCGGCCGGTTAGCGGTTTTAGGCTCCTTCAGGACGAAAAATGCATCAGTAGAGAGATTATTGTGACTGAGTCCATTTTTATTCAAATGATCGACTCCGTCCAAAACGTCTTAAACGTTATTAGTTAGACTTCACCAACTCATCATACCCTTTATAAATGCTTTATAAGGTCAGCAGGCTGACGTTAAAACAGTTTGCTATACTCGTTGATTATGTGTTATTAAGCGGGTTCGCGTCAGTTAAGGCGTTTTTGCCATTTGCGTCTTTTAAGGCATTGCGTCAGTTAAGGCACTTGCGTCAGTTAAGGCGCTGAAAAATGACTAGTGGAATTCTGATATCAACTAGGGTCTGCTTAATTACCTCGATTGTAAGTATCCTTGAAATTATCCTCATTTCAATCTCAAATTTAACAGCGTATTCAAAATATTTAAATTTCAGATAATTTCAAATACATTGAAACGATCTGAGAAAATTAACTAAAATTTTAGTGTCGAACCTTTATTTTTAAAAAAAAACTTCAAATTCAATCATAAACCAGCGGTTCAGCTTATAACTGAATATAAAAGATTTTCTTGAGAAAATATTAACTCTGGCACTTACCCTAGTAATTGGTAAAGTAATATTTTATCAAGAAATCTAGCAGACCCTAGTTGATATCAGAATTCTACTAGTCATTTTTCAGCGCCTTAACTGACGCAAGTGCCTTAACTGACGCAATGCCTTAAAAGACGCAAATGGCAAAAACGCCTTAACTGACGCGCACCCTGTTATTAAGCATCTTTCCTTGATAAAATTGACGAGCACGGGATAAAATAGCTCTTCCTCTCTGAAAAATATACTTCCATTTTATCCTCATAAAAATATCTCTGAAAACGAATTTTGTTGTTAGTCTCGATTCTGAAATGAGTCAGGACTGAGTGAATACCAGATTTCTAAAGCTTTACCACGCGTTTGGTGGTCTTTGCTAATCGGTTTAGGGTATGGCGCATGAATATTCTTCCACATCATTAATCATACTGTCTTACCTGTCTTCTAGGAAAGATGTTAAGTTGCAAAGAACCGGCTCGGTCCGAATAATAGACAAAGACGCACAGTCCTGAAAAGTTAAAAAGCCCGTGTGGTGATAGAATATCAGTTTTAGTTACGAAATTCAGATATTAATTATTAGATAATTCGCCAAGTATGTTTTTTCTCGTAGAAATAATCATTACAATTTATCCAAAAACAATGATCTTTAATAGACGGAGTACCGGGCACGCAGTGAGTGCGTGTTTCATTTGAAGAATGTTCTTGTGAGTCGAGAATTTCTTCCAACGCGGCAGATATTGCTTTAAAAGCCAATCTTCCTTGTGGCCATAAGGGTCTTTTCGTATCTGAATTCCTAATTTATCCAAGGTAGAATCATAAATGACAAGTTTTACCCAAACAGTTTCATTTCGAAGTTGGTCGTACGCAACTGCAATGCCGTTATTAGTCGATTGAAACTGGAGTTGCCTTTGAAATTTATAAATGCGGTTTATAATTTAGGGAATCGTGTTTTTTAACACCAAACCTTCTTATCCTCAACTGCGTTTTCTCCTAACTTCCCTGTCGGCGATAAGTTATCGCAAACAATGAAAACAGTCATCCGCGTGCAATTTTTATTAAATACTTAATAAACATTGGGGAAAACGTAGTTGGATATAAGCAGGTGTGGGGCTAAAGAATACAACCCAATTGAGGCTATTCGCTTACTCAAACTCAGGATGCTCTTCCAATAATTCCAACCAATAATCCTAAAATTGAGCGGTATCTAAACATCCATGCTTGGATAAACGTACCACCTCACTATGCATGAGGCTTTGACGGCTTCCAATAGAGTCACCCGACATGTGCTTATTATATTGTTAATTAAACAGAAGCGATTATATAAAAACGACTCAAGGCTCACGCGCCCAAAGAGTAACATACCAAACGAAGGATGAATTTTTGTGCACTTTCTTTCTTTTTCTAACACAGACAGAAGCTCTCTCGGGTGAGTCCAAGTTCAAAAATAATTTCCTGTTGCGAATTTTCTTTAAGCTCGATCACGATATTCTCCGTGGTCTGCTCTCATGAGAGGTCGATATTTCACTAACGATGATGGTGAGTTTCTCGTTTTCGTAATTTTTCGCTTCAACTTATTCACAGAGTCATCTGCTCATGGAAATTGGGGGAGAACACTCCACGGAAAACGAAGAAAATGAAAGAGACTTTACGAGGACTTGAATAAATTTAACCTTTCGCCAGGATTTCCAGATTTTCGGAACTAAATGTCTCCGCGCTTTCTTTTGAAAGGCGCTTATCACTTATCGTAATTTGAGTTATAATGAGATCGATTTGATCTTTTATTTTCATTTTTAATGACAATGTCGATAAGGGCAACTTATCTTTTAATCGAAGCCGGCAAATTGGTAGAGACTTTGGCTTTGTGCCTATCATCTTTGGTAAATTACAGGTTGAAGATGCAATTTTGGATGTGGGGGCACGACCGTACCCGTTTCGTATAGAAATTCAAGAGTTATGTCGTATATTCCTATTAGAGACGTCTGCATTTTCTTAAGACGTCTTCTTTTGACTAGTAGCTTGATGTATCCTTGCGGAAGATGGACTATTGATATCCAATAATTAAATTTATTATTCTTTTCAATTAAACTGTGAGGAAGCCTAGACTTTTGATAGTATCAACAAGCTACCTCTCATTTCACACGTTATAAAATACATTTCTTTTTAACTGAACTACTTAAAGGATAATGAAAAATTTTAATTGCTAATATTTTATTCGATACCCTTTAAGAATATATAAATATCATGTCGTAAGTCATTATAATTGATAATTTATCATAGTCGAAAAAATATCATTTTCTTGTCATATTTCGTTAGATAAAAGAGCTGAAATAGATGTAAACTGACCTTGGAAATAACTAGGTTGTGCAAAAGAAAAGAGGTTAATGTCGTCATGTTTATTGACTCATAATGTTCGCGAAAGAACAAGCTTGTAAGTACCCCAGAAATGCATCGGCTCAAGAAATTAGGTGTCGCACTTGGCCACCACGTGAGCGTCGAAACGTTCACGATAGTGACTTGATGCAACATTGTGTAACATTCAAAGTAAAAACTATTTGACTGTTTTCGTTTTTCGGTTTTTATATTTGTTTCCATCATAAGAGTTAAAATAAGAGAGATAAGATGAAGAGCGCGCTTGGGCTTTTGCTAAATGTGGATGCTCTCGGAGTTTTGGGAGATTACCTCTCGCTGCTAAATGCAAAGACTCAAATGGAAGCAGTCAACACACAATTCGCTCATGGTCTTGATGAAGATCAACGAGCTGAACAGGAAAGGCACACGACCAAGTTACATTCTCCGTTGCTCACAGAATAAGTGCGTGTCCGATCTGAGCTACTATCCGCGAATTATCTTTCACCGAACCTCGGTCAGTCGGTCGCCTCTATTTTCTCGTCTGGCATCGTTTCTCCATCTTCGGCAAATAAATTCTATATGACGGGAATGAAGAACCAAGCCTTGGCAGAAATACAATCCCTTTCTCCTTACACCGATTTACTTTTTGCGTACGCGCAAGCTCAGAAGAATAGTAGGTCAAGGCACGGCTACCACTTTAAAGCGTCTTATTAACGTTTTCATTAATTCGTTAATAATCTCGTTGATCCTCACAGGCATCCGACGAAAGTCCTACTATTAAAGAGTCCTGTGAGGGTTAATTTTCATCCCATTGTCCCAAAAACAATCGCCGTGTAGTTTTCTTGGTGATAGATTTTTCTTTGGTGATTTAACATCATGTAGAAAATGTAGTTCTTATTGGTGCAAGAAATTTCTGAGCACTCTGTGTAAACACCAAAAGTAACGGCTTGGTTATAGCTGATCAAAGCACACAAGAAATAACTCAAGAAGAAGTTCTCTATTCGTCGATCCTAGAAGAGCCTATGCGTACGATAATGTTGCTTCGAAAAAGTGAAAACACCAAAATTCGTGCACACGGTCAAACCCTACTGAAAAAGGCTGCAGCAAGATGCTTGCACTTAGCCTCAGGTCCGAAACGAGACAATTGCAAACAGACGTATGTTATAATGATTATATGATATTAAGAAAATATTATATAGATGGTATTGAAATTTTTGTATCCTAGCTGCTCTTTTCAATTATATATTTAGAAATCCTCTGCCGAATGCGCTGATGGACCTTGTCGTTGATGGAGACAGTACTGGAAGCAAAAACTTTTTGCTTTCATCTCTTTTGAAAGGTGAATTTCCACGATAGAGCGATAAATGTTATCAGTCATTAGAGCCTACTTCGGCTGTCGTCTTGAATCGACTGATAAACGACTTGGATATTTCCTCGGCAGTCAACTCTAATAAGGAGCTTCTTTTCTTGCGACTCCTCGGCGCAGGCGCATCTTCTCCAGACACACCAACTTCGCTAGACCAGATTGCACCAAATGACGCTTATTTGATGTTCAAGTTAATTGAAGATCATTCAGAATCGAACTCGCATTTTCCTACAGGAAAGGGATGAGCGTTGGTAGTTTTCATACTTCTCAAAATTAAGAACCAACGTTGATTCCTCTGAAGATCTTATTCTTTCTTTGGCTTATGGAAATGATGTTCTCGACATTGAGGCAACAAGTTTCCAAGAGACATTTGGAGTGTCGACGTCAAATTTCATCTGCGCGGTTCACGAGGAGTCGCTTAGATTGCCCTGTCTCGTCAACCAAGACACAATCACTGCCGGAGAATGCATCTCTCAAGGATGCTGCTACAATGAGTTGGACGAAAGCGGAGTAAAATTGGCACTCACTACAAAAACTCCAAAGTGCTACAAAAATATACTTGGCAAAGTTGGCATCGGAATCGCACGCCACATGATAAAGAAAGAACATATAATCGATCTTTTTGGTGGTGTTGATAAACTACCAACGTTGAACGATCTCACAGAGGCTTCCAATTGGGCACAATCTCAGATGCCCGACGTTCTTCGCCGAATGGTCAAAGAACCAGGAGACTACGCCGGTGCTCCAGAAAACCATAAAATGTGGAATGACGTTTTCGACTCGACCGAGAACCTTTTCAAAATCCACGATGTAGTGGATGACTTTCCCGGTCGCGATGACTTCGTCTGGAAGCCGCATGGACCAACAGCCATGCCTGGAGCAGCCAATATTGAGATTCCAGAAGTCGGTGGATTTCTGTCTGGATCGGACGAACGAGTGAAGAAACTAGACTTCTGGGTCTCCTCGCACGCGAACAATATTCGAGCGCAGCTCAACTCCAACTCGTATACATGCCAATTAATAGAGCCAGAGAACATGTCCGCATGTTTTCCACAAAATTATGCTGCGCTTAATTTTGAAGATCCAGCTGGAGAGTGTGAAGCAATCGGTTGCTGCTTCAATGAACTGAATCTCTTCCATAAGGGTTTTTATCATTTTTAATATATTGACATGCAGACAATAATCTGGGGTTTCTTGCATCAGAGAAAAATAATAATTTTCAGATGGACCTCTTCCGGTTTGCTATCGATCTCTAAGAGCAGGCTTCTGTGATATTGACATCAGTGAGCGAAACAAATTCGAAGATGGTACGAATGGCATTTTCGACGATGGATACCTTGAGAACAAATTTTGGAAAAATACACCGAATCGAACACCTTGTGGAGACCCAGCCATGGATAGGTACGAATGTCTTTCTCAGCATCCAACATGCTGCTTTGATCCAAACCCGAGAGTCGAAGGAGAAGCATTCTGCTACAGAAGAGGAGGCGCGGAGTCAAGAATCGATCCAAAAACTAACAAGGCCTCAGAAGGAGAACTTGATGAGTGCTTGATTATACGAACGGACTTTAAATATAAAAAATTGGTCTTCATAAGCTTAGTTAGAGCGATAAATTTAAGTCCGAATGAGCTCCACATCAGCGAGAAGGTTGCTTTAACCCGTCAACAAAGCATGGAGAATTGCTAAATCGTATTGCAACGGTTGAACAATGCGATGCAATGGGATGCTGCTTTGACGGAGAAGCTGCTATTTCTAACAAGAAACTGCCTCTCTTCGGGCTCACCCTAGGTATAAAATCACACTAAGCATCGTCCTTATTGAATTTAGCTGGCCCTCATTGCTACGCAGGACCTTCAAATCTTGATCGAGCATTTATAAACTCAAATTACAACGATCTTCAACGCAGAAGGCCTTCAGAGCTCCAACGTGTCTGTGCCAACAGTCCAAAGTGGCCCAAGCTCTTTGTCCGTAAGTGGGTCGAACACTCAGGCCGGTATCAGCTTGAAAATACCAACACTGAACGTCCACTTTCTCGACAAGCCTGTCTGAGTGAAGGGAAGAAAGTGCATGATCGACACAAGTGCATCTACCAGCTCAACTGTTGCTTCGAAAAGTCAGGCGATCCAAACAATCCCTGGTGCTACAAATCTCGGCTGGTCGAAAAAAATCCACAGTAATCCACTTGTCCAGCTGTATATTTTATAAACTCGCAATCTCTCTATCAATCAATATGGTTTAACTTCAAGTCCGCTGTAAATCAAAAATAGTAATCTGTGCAAATACTCTAATAAACAGAAAAAACGGTGAAGAGAGGGTTACAGTTCTGAGACGATGAATGCAGGAGTAATTAGATTTGAGTATAAAGCTAAATATTCTTGTTTTTCAGTAATTAGAAAGACGATTTCACGGGTGTGTTGTGGCTTCATTCCATTTTGCGTAACGTACGTGTTGTCATACTAAAGCCACGCCGCATCAAAACCGCCACGAAATCGCTTAAAATCATCCGAATAGTTATTCATTTTAAGAAAACACGGAATCTTTCTTACTCGTATGTTCTAATTACTAATTTAGTCACTTGTCTCAGAATCTAATTAGTTTTATTGTTTGACACTAAAAGTAAAATTATCGTTGATAATTTTTTCCCGAAATTTGCCTTCTTTCCAGAAGTCACCGTTACCCAATATACAAACGGTAATATGGTACTCTAAAACTACGGAAGAGCTAGTCTTTTACTGGTCATGAGTAAAACCGGTATCTAGAATTAAGATTGATAATGTCAACACAGGGGCCCCATCTCAATGTGTATATAATGTGGTCTTTTAGCGATAATCGCCGAGGCGCTGGAGAGCATTCTAGCCATCTTTGTCGGACAATTTGCGGAAGTAAGGTGTTTGGATTTTTTAAGATTGAGAAAAAAAAAACTTGTGATTAGAGAGATAGAAAAAAGAGAGATATGGTTTCCGACAGAAAGCTTGGAAACCTCGTGCATTGCTCAAGCTTCAGCGCAATATTCGCCAAGTTCGACAAGAAAAGATTTAGAGATATTGGAAAATGTGCAATAGAGAAAACACACGACGCTGCGTTTGAAGTATGTTTTTCTTTGCTGAAGAATCATTATTAGTTCTTCCGATTCGGAATCAGACTAAATAAAACGAGATAATGAATAGATTGAGATTGCAAATGCAAAAAGTTTAGGTGAAAGCAAGAATTAAAAATCGAAATCAACGGCAGCATTTTGAACCATTGACTGGCGGAGAAGATGGGGAGGACGATGTCGACGAGATCGAATCGTCGATATTCTCATCCACTGCACGTACCGAAAGCCAGATAAGTTCTACTTCCTCAAGTTCCCAAATGGTAACGCTACTTTCATTTTAAAACTGACAAGACCCTCTCAAACATATAGTCACGCGACGAAGAAATAAGGGCGATACAAGAGAGGTCTAATCAGCTGGGACGACTGGCGAAGCAAACTGATCGAGCTCAACTGCGCTCGAATATACGGGCGCGTTACGGCCTTGAGCCTGATATGCTCGACCAAGAAAGAGTTCTGATCACCATCGATAATGGCGTCAGTCTGATTGAGTCGATCGGCGATAGTAGAGAACTTAATAAAAGCGTTTGTTATTGGCTCGAAAATGATCATGTCAAAGGATCCACTGGGTGCGTCTGTTAGATCGACCAGCTCCATCAGTACTAGGAAAAGTTCGAAATCACTAGCTTTTTAAAATATTGAAAAGTGTTTTATGAACTATGTTAAAGCTCAAATGTGTGTAAAAGACTTATGTTTTGGTGAACAATAAAAGAAAACTGTATATTCGTTTGGTTAATAGAAATTCTTTATTATCATACAAAAAAAAAAGACAAAAATAAATATTTAATTTTTCAGAGATTACTCTTCTTCGTTGACTGAGCTTGAGTCATTGATTGTGGAAGCTTTTGAAATCTATGAAGGATATAAAAATGTATTCATTAAATTTTTAAATTTTTTCTTTTGAGTTTATATCTTTCCTTGTTATTCAATTGAGAGGCTGACTGAAGATCGTACAGGCTTTCTCGTAACGAAGTGTTTGATCCCATTTTTTCAACGTCCGATAAATCTTCTTCATCATCTGCATCATTTTCGGAGTCATCTTCGTAAATCGTGCGCTCTTCTTCAGTCCGCTGGGATGGAGGCTATGAAAATAAGGAGATCATTTGAAATAGGCCTTTTTACCTGTGGAGATATATGCATTCTAAGTGGCTCAACCAGTTCCAGTAAAGAAATGACCTTGTCCAGATCGAGTTCTCCTTGTTCGGAGAGTTCCCAGCCTAGCTCAGAAATAGGCGAACAACCTTCCGTGAGTTCTATCCATTCCATGAATGACACCACTTGATTTTCTGCGCTTCGAAGGGTTTCAAGGAATTCTTCAGTGTATTCAATGCATCCAAAGAGGATTTTCCTCCATTGCCGATCGCTCTTTTCGATAATTTCTTCACCAAGATAATAATTGTTAGCGATTTCGCGGAGATCTTGAGTTCTGACGCTGTCGGGGCCCAGACATTCGAAGTCTTCCTTCATTTGGAGAACAGGGTGCAGATCGTCAATTGCTTCTTCCAGGGGTTCCGGGGGACAGATTGGCTGAACGTTTTCGAAGTCAAATCGTAGTGGAGTGACGATGTTCAACGTGGGCTCGATTGGTTCTGCGCTTTCGATTCCTGCATGGACGACTTCTTGAATCGTGTCCATGACAACCACTGTGTCCTCACTGTGTAGCTTGAGGATCTCGTTAAGGTGTGAGTACGTATCGACATAACGTGTTGTAATCTCGTCAATAAAATTCAGAAGGTTACTTCGAATATTTTCAACTCGGCGACGGGCCGCCATGTGTTGCAGGCGAATGGCTAGAATTGATTTCAAAATTAATAATCTATTTCAAGAATTACCTTCAAGGCATTCTCTACGGCAGACATCTTTTCGTTTAATTTCTTCTTCCAAAGCAGGATCGATGGGTTCCGGTGTCTTGTCTTTCTTTGGTGCGCCTTTTTTGTCTTTTCCCTTGCCTCCAGCAGCTGCACCAGCTCCCTGCTGATCTGCTTTTGCCTCGCTGACGATTTTCTTTGCCATTTCAAACTCATAGTCGCGTCGGTCGTCGATTTCCTTGAAAATCTCCTTGCAAAGGTCTTCGGCTTTCTTCATCACGAATTCTTTATTCACGACTGGATCACTGTTGTCAACATCCGCATCAATCACTAAGCTAGAATAAGGTTTTCCCTTCCACTCAGTATCATCTTTGGCTACGTCTTCTGCACATGCTTGGTATGCATAATAGCGTCGAAGAGTCAAGCATTGGGAACCAAGTCGAATGGCTTCCACTCGACAAAGCTAAATAAAGTTAATCTTTTTTACTAAAATATCTTTACATGGAAGAAGTGCTTGCCCACGGCCTCAATTTTCTCTTTAAGGAAGTTATTGTGAAGAAGTTGAATTCGCATTTTTGTGTTTTCTTCTTTTCTTTCGACGGTAACTTCTTCAATTCTAACCCACAAATCAGCCCATTTTTGATGAAGCTCACATTTTGCTTCGTCATCAGATCTCAACTCGTAATTTGTCGAATTGTAATCAAGCTGCCATTCCAAAAGGAATTCCTGACGCGGGTCCGGTCTGAAAATCGAAATAATACCGGTTTCATATTAATATGAACTTTACCTGTTAATAAAGTTGTTGAATCGGCAAACAACTGCAGCAAGATACTGGATGGAGGTCTCGCGTTCATTTCGAATATTCCCAAGAATGATCTTGGCTCGATTTTGAGCAACACTTTCTCCCTTTTCCCAGATATTTCGCAGAGTTTGGAATACCTCAGTTGAAATTTTCTTCTCACTAAAATTACGAACTTATCACTTTTCTAAAATTGAGTTCTTACAATGGTCGATCTTCGATAAAATCAATAACTCTGCATTCGTTGGTTGAGTCATCCATTGGTAGAGTTCGGATACTCGATTTTTCGGATACCATGGTTTCAGGAGTTGGATTCGTCGGTGTGGTTGTCTGGGGTGTTCGAGGGAGAGTTTCTCCAGATTTCTTTTCTGATACAATTACCTCAGAAGGCAAATCAGACGGAGTTGGTGTTGGCTGAATCGACAATGGCCCATCTTGAATTGTCATGGACTGGAGAGAGACTGATGGCGTTGGAAGTGGGCTTTCTGTTGGAGCAAACTTGTAATAGATAGCTTCAACTTCGTCACACGCTGCTTCAAGGTCTTCGCACGCAACTTGATAAACATTTGGAGCATAGAATTTTTCAACTTTTCCCCAGTGCTCGTGATGGCGCATTAGTTCTTTTTGCACGACACAGTCTTGAGCATTTTGGTTTTCATAACGTTGAATGCACGTGTCATCTGAAGCTTCGACAAGAACGAGCGCGTTGATGTCGATTCCTCGATCCACCATGAGTTTTACTTGCTTCGTATTCTCAGGGTATCCATCAATCATCCAGTGGGATCCTGTACTAAGACGCTCTATTTTGTCAGCGATGAGATCTACAATGATGGCTTCTGGAATTTCGAAGCCCTCATCAAGTAACTCATTTATTTGCTTGCCGATGACGTTTCGATTTGTTGGCACTTCAAATTCTTCTGTGACAAATTGAGGAGTCGGAGGTTTCGGTGTTGGTGGCAATTCTGGAGTAGGAGTCTTTTCAGGCTCTTCTGGTTCGACGATAGCAGTTGAAGAACGCTTCAAATCCTGAGACGATTTCGTAGTTGATATGCGGGAAGATCTCGATGACCTTATGCTCGCCTCCGACTCTTTTTTAATTGATTGTCGCGGTCCAGCGACTGATGAGCGAGGTAAAACCGACTGACGAGGAGCTTGTTTGACTGATTGTCTTTAAATTGTGTCTTTTTTCATACAGTTCTTTTGCATATTAGATTATACTTTGAAAGAAACACTTTCCTAATAGAAGGTCTTGGCCCTCGAACAGACTCACGACCAGCTGCTATTGATGATCTTTTTAAGCTTGCAACTGACGATTTCCTTGAGCTCGCAACGCTCACTGATGATCGCTTTGTCACTGATGTGCGTGATGGAGCCAATGAACTCTTACTTTCACACCGTTGTTAACATTCCGCTAAGAATAACCTGTACTTAGACTTCGATATTAACTGTAGCTCTTAGAAAATAACGATTCCTTTGCTTCAATGATTGTCGAGATGAAGCTAAACTTGTCTGAGATTTCGGCGCAATTTCTGCATTTTCTTCTGGCGTCGGTTCTCTAGGCGGTTCAGCAGGAGGCTCTGGAGTTGGTTCTGGTTCCGGAGTCGGTGCCGGCACAAGAATAGTTGTAGTCATCATTTCATTGTCATCAGCAGCTTCACGCGCCTCGGCAATAAGGTGCAAAACGTTGATAAGCACAAGATCAGTGGCATCTGTAACTCGACGACTAATAAAACTCTGAAAGGATCCAAAATGTTATTATTAAAGTAGCTTTATTGACTTTGGATTTTGATTATCCCTTGCCTTTCCAGCAAATTTTTTTCCAACAACGGCCATTCTAACAGGGCATTTGTTCGGCTTTATTGATACAATTGACGGCTCAGGTGGGACAAGAACTGAGTCGAGGGTTGCAAGCATTCTTCTTGAAAGCATCAAATCTATTAAAAAATGTCAACTGTATTTAACCCGTGAACGCATATTGTACAATTAATTAGGCATCGCGCCTTTTTGGTGAAAAAAATACGGAAGCTTTAGCGGCAAAATATGACACTATTGGGCGCATACTTTCAGTTATCATATAATAATACTTTTGTATAACTTATATATCAAACCTGGACTTAGTGTTTCTCCAGAATATTCCCACTCTCCAACCATCGAGTTGAATTCCACTAAATCTCTCTCGACAAGCAATTTCTGCGTTTCTTCTGCCTTATCTTCTTTTAAATCCAAACTCTTTTGAAAGAGAATTCTCCATTCTTCCTTCATTTTTTGAGTAACATTGTTATTTGTTAGCTTTCTAAAAAAGACGATGATGCAGAATCATATAAAATAACAGAATATTTCTACCTGTATTCAGCAACACGCATTGCAAAATCGATGATTCCTTCCAGCCCCTCGCTGCAGAACTTCAAATGCTTTTCGTACTTGACCTGATTTCTTTCTGCAAGGAGTTTCCGCTGAAGTTTGAAAGCGTATTCATGATGCCGTCTGTCAACCAAAGCTGAATTTATTGGAGAAAAATCGTTGAATTTAGGATGAGCCTACCTTCGAATGCTTTGCGCTCATCATCAACGTCATTCATCATTGCAATTTTATCATTTCGCTCGTCCTCGACTTGCTTATCCAAGCTGTATCGATTGTTTGCCATAACAGCTTTTTCGTTTCGCGTTTCCCGAAGATGTGCAGCAAAGAACGCCTCGTAGTTCGTATCACGGCAGAGACTCACTCCAAGGTTCGTGTCTCGACGGTAGTCTTGCTCATTGTTGATTCGCCGGATTTCGTTTACAAAAACTTTTCTTCGGCGTTTCTGCCTTAATTTTCTTTCTTAAAATTTGTAAAAAAAAGTTACGAACCTGTAAACTTCTACACGTTGTCGACGAACTCGTCTTTGATGCATTAGTTCAGGGCGTGTGACTTCACTTGTGAAGAAAATCTGGTCCTGGTCTCCTGGGTTATCAATTTTTTCGTCGAATTGATTTAAGTCTTCGAAAGTTTCTGTCGATTCAGTTTTGAAGATCGCTGGCTTTGTCAAATTGTCTTCAATCTTTAAAGTTGTTGTGAAGGAAACTCAGAGAATCGGACTAACCTTAGCAAGAGAATGATGTATTCCACCAAAAAGAAACGAGTCTAAGCATCTTTGAGACGGCCCGCGATGAATGACTGTCCACATATCCTGCTCACGGTTGTTGCTGGAAGGCTGTTGTCTTTCATGACCGAGTCGGTGAGCAAGCGCTGTTACGGTTCTTCGGAGCTCATCGCTCTTCACCCCACTGTCAGTGCTCAGCTTTGATCCTGGCCTTGGCGATCCCCTAGATCTATATAAGAATACGCGTTCAGTTCTCGGCTTACGGAAGGCTTGATCTGGCTGAGTCTGGCCGAGTTTTTCTGTGATGAAGCGCCACGAAGAGTTGTCGAAGAGTGTCCATAGTCATCTCGTGATCACCGGCCATAAGTTTACGAACAACTGGAGGAGATAAACTCAGACCAAGTTTTTGAAAAAGCGGCTTGAGCGAGACTCATAAAGATTTCTTATTTTTTAGTAAAGATACTTAAACAATTTGATGTCCCATTCCTGGAGAGCAGCGTAGTTTCGCTGAGAAACATCAAGTGATTTGGTCTTTCTTATTGGAGGAGTCTTGTAGTCGGACACGTCGTAGTATTTCATAATGCACCCGAACAAGTATCCCGAGCTTGAATGTGTTTGAGTAAATTTTACTCAGTAAAAAGTCTGTAGAAAATACCTGAATCTTTGACCGACATTCTCTAGGTGCACTTCCTCTTTAACTCTCACATCGTTGTTGACCCAGTTAATCAGGATCTCCGACATATCTCCACGTCGCCAGTTCTCCTAATTCAAGTGACTGCTATTTCGATGTAAATAATGCGAAATGTAGTTATCTAGAAAATTTCCAGAACTCATTCATTCTTGTTTTTTCGGAAGAATACGGAGAATCTTCCGAACTGTATTACAATTCATAAAGAGTGGTTTATATTCCCTTCAGCTGCCCGGAACACCCTTTTATTGTTTTTTTGATCTTACCAGCTGGTCAATTTGGTAATAGAGAAATGATTTTCCTTCGCGATTTCAACTTTGACGAGAGCAGATGTACTTCCTCATAAATAGTCCCTAGACCGAAACGGAAATACCATTTTGAAATGAAACAGTTTAGAAAAAAGACTCTTATAGGAATTATTTATAAAAAATAATTCCGATGAGCGTATTATTCTACCGTTCAATTCAGGCTCTAAGCCATGTTCGATGAAAATTATATTCAGGTACCTTTATGCGCTGCGTAATCTTCTTCTCTTCGTCAAAACATTCTACTTTGCTTTTCAAAATAGTCATCAAATATAATTATCAACACTTTTTGAAACTATCGCTTTTGCATATTCTATTGAAACAAATTTTATTTGCCAAGACAGGGAAGATCTTTCATTTTGGAGGATTTTCTTGTGGTCCAAACTCTTGAGGATAGATCTTCTCCAATTTGTCGACGATGTCGACGACCTCCATTGAATGTTCCGGCTCTCCATCGAAATGAGGTGCATCTGGGTTATCTGAAAATCTTTTGACTTGGATTTTCGCTGCAAGCATACCGTTCACAATGCCAATAACTTTGTAGAGCCGTGGTGCACCAACGAATCGATCGTAAAGACTTTTTAGGTTCAGAACAAGCTGTTTTATTTAAAAAAATATGTTTCTAAAACCGCGCTCTTAGAAGTACAATCATAAGCACGACCACAGTGATGCTTTTTACGACAAACATCATAGCACTTCCGAAATATCCACATATCTTCTTCTTCTTTTTCTTCGGCTGGAATCTTAGAGAAATAATTCATTACTTCAAGAAAAAAAGCACTTACCTTGGGAGATTTAGATCTGTCATCCTGCCTTCAAAATCCCAGAGGTAAGCTTTTCTAAACGTTTGGAATATCATTCAACTCATACGAAATATAGAAACATTTTCATTTAAAAAACTAGTATTTATTAAAAAAAAAGAAAATTCCGTAAATTCTTTGACGTTCCTGGACCTGCTGACTTAGATTTTATTTCTCTAAATTGACTTTGGATTGAAAATTTGTGAAAACTATCCATTTGAAACGACTCGTAGAAGCACCTGCCCGAAGATGTTTCTAAATTTGAAAAACATTGTTGCTTTTTCCAAATAAGGGAACACATCTTAACTCGAAATAATTTATGAATTCAAAAGACTTTCGAACAGTATTCAAATTATCGAGTAAATTTTCGTGAGCCTTTATCGGGCTATTCTTCCGTAACTAATCATTACGTAACGTAAGACTGTCTACTTCCCTAGAAACGCTCAACAAAATAAGTTTATTTTTTTCACGTTTTTTTCGAGAACATCACTGTTTTCTCTGAGAAAATCTGAAAAACGAATCAGTCGAGAAGGAGCATCGACGAAGCAAGCAGCAAAGAGGAGATGAGTAACGGAATGGGTTTTGATGAAAGTTCTCTTTCTTAATCGATTAAATAAAATAATCTTAACAAAAAACAAACCATAATAAGAAAATCAGCAAAAGGAGTCTTTCAAGTTTTCTCAGGACTTGAACCTTGTCCCTGATATTTACGTTCCCGCCTGGAAGTCGAATGTCGTAAGTAACTCTAGTAGATTTTATCCAGTTGAGTCTTGGCTAACCGTTCATGTTAATTTTTAGAAACATCAGAAGCATTTCAAAGAACTTTGCGAATTGAGCCACACTTGCGATTCTACTCATTGCGACACACTCTTCCTCAACAAACGAGAGAGACTCGAAAAAGGTAATCAGCGCATCTGGCGATTTCTTCACTATACTTTCAGAAGAAATCTCAACTGAACTCCCTCCACGAAAACTCAACCACTCTAACGTCTCTCATCTCTCCAAGTACAACGCCTTTCTGCGATATAGAAAGTAAATCACCCTCTACTGCAATTCAATAGAAACTTGCGAAAAATAAAACCAAACTTATATTATATAAAAGCGTGTTTTTGGAATGTAGAGTATAGGAATGTCGGTAGATACAGGAGAATATACATAAAATGGTTGATGAGGCTAGAACGGCTGAAGTACAAAGTAGAAGTTTCCGGTTTTTCGGGCTCAGAGCTTGATCCAGTTTTTCTTCGATCCTTTCTTGTTGAAGTTGTCGATGTTAAGTAGGGTAAACAAGTCGTGAAGGATGAAGTGCGTGTCCTTAGTAGCGCCACGAGCACCTGGATTCAATCTTGTCTTTTTGCTTCCGGGAACTCGGACCTAGAAGAGTATGTTAAACTCTATAGAGCATAAATCATTTAAATGCATCAGAGATGGTCTTACCTTTTCAGGGGATCTGTTAAGTCCAGGCGAGTTGTTCGATTCGAGCAGCCAGCATTTGAGTTTATCGTCAATCATCACGTCGAGGCCGAAGACTTCGAAATGACGTCCATGCACCATTTTCTTCATGTTTCGCTTAACGTTGTCGTGAGCAGCAATGGCGTTCATGACGTCACGGGAAATCCTGACAAGTTGAGATGTAATTTGTTCTGGCTTGAAATCAGAGAATCGACTTTTCATGTAAGAGATGAATTTTCGCCATCGCCACTCGCAGCCGATTCCGACAACCTGTAAGAAAAGTTAAGATTGCTGCAAAAATCGCAGTTATGCTATAACTTATGCAATAAAAAAAGATTTCCGACTTACCGGTTTGTCTTCAAGAAGGGCAGAGAAGTTGTCGGACAAGTGATGAATTGACCAGTTGGTGAGATGAGCATGCTTGTCAAAGTTTTCTCCAAGCGAGTCTTCGTCTCTGCGGTATTTGTGGGTAGAAAAGAGCACTTGACCTCCCGTGTGCATGTACCCGCACAGAGGCTGCATGGATGTTATTACAAGAAAGACTCGGAGGTGAAACTTGTAGTCGCCCAAAAGAAGGGGGTTCTCGATGTATCTGAAATTCTAACCGTTAGATACAGTAATTACTAATACCCTTGCAGCTACTTGCTTTTAAAATTGCTACTTACCGCTGAAGAATGAAATGCCGTCTTGACTGGATCATCTTTGCCATCTTGCGTCTGAATTCCTTATCGTGAATATTGTACACAAGACATCCCGATCCGCCATAATCGTTTTTCGGCTGAAGAAACATCTCTAGAACCTATTTTGTTTGTTTCGAAAATACCTTGTAGATCCACAAGGGCTGCTCCTCCTTCGCGATACTGGCTTCGAATCTGTCCTTTTCGGCTGGAAGGTAGTAGCTCTTAGGGTAGTACGGCTTGTCATTGAGTCTCTTGGTGATGTTCGTCTAAATTTTCAGTCAGTTCGGAAAGAAAAACGTTAGTTTAACCTTGTAATTAGCTGATTCTGCGCCAAGAATGCATCCAATCTTGTGTCGTCCTCCCGGGATATTGTCGGCTGGAATTTTCGAAAGAATCTGAGCTTCCTGCTCATCGACGAGCCAGAGACAACGCCTTAATTATTCGTTCGGTAGAAAAACACTAAACGGTCGGTAGTTGCTTACTTTGGCTGTGCTTTCTTGATGACTTTCTCGAGCGCGTTCATATCGTCTCCTTTGTAAGGTTCCCCGGCGAATTTCCATCCGCGCTCTGTCAGAATCGTGTACAGGTATTCGTAAGCCGAGTCCTCTGGGAAGGTCTAAATTCGCGATAAGTCTTACCGAGTTCGATTACTTTGGCTTTACTTTGAAGAAAAGCTCCTCTGCTGGCCACTCGCCGCGAAGTACTCGCTTCTCGTTCTTGTTGGCAATTGCCTCTTTTGCCGTTGAGATCGAGATGCCCAAAGTTTTGGAAATCTTCTTCTCGAGGGGCACCGCATCTGAAATCAAATTCAGCTAGAACCGGCTTCAGTCCCTCGAGCGAACGTACCTTTGGCGAACTTGGTTCGCTTGGTGATCTTGTTGGTGCCCTCGGATTTTGTCTTTCTGGCGCCGTTGGCTGCCTTGGTTGCCGCTCTAGCCATTTTTCGAAGCTGCTGATGAAAGCGCTTTTCGAACTGAATCCAAAAATCCAACTACAGTCACTCATCCCCTTCTTCAACAACATGTTCTAGAAACGCATAAATCAAAATGACATTTTTCATACTTTTAGCGATTTTTAAAAGTTTTTCTTCTTAAAAAAATTATTTTCAATCTTTCACGTATTAATTCAAAGAAATCCTTGTCGAAGAAGTGTTTATTTCGTTGCATTTATTGATGATTAATTGTAATTTATCGAGAAATAATAAAATTAACGCCGGCAAAAGACGCGCGAGCTACAGGATTCGAACCTGTGCGGGCAGAGCCCATCTGATTTCGAGTCAGACTCCTTAACCACTCGGACAAACTCGCCGTGCTTGAAGCCCGTCGAAGCAGTCATTATAAATCAGCATTCTCGTATTGCGGAAGTTGCAACTTATCGCGGTCAATTTCCGCTCCATCGATAAAATGTGTGTTTTGATAGACGACCCTTCTACGATTCCCGTTGCAGATCTAATAGAGGATCCCGAAAAATGGTACAAAAAGAGACTTCTCGCTCTATTCGTTGCTGATCTCGTGGAATTCTATTTTTTCTGCGCAAAATAAACAATTTACTTTCTAGAGAAAGTAGCAAAAATTGAGTACTATTGGTACTGTATCAAAAACTGTATTTATAAAAAAGTACTTCACTATCAAAGTTGCTTGTTATCCTTGATTGCGGAGAGTTGCCTCGGTGTTCAACTTGACGGGTTTAAATTCCTCACAAGCTGTCAAATGTGACGACTTTGATTCCGGTGCTTGAGCGGTGTCCCTTCGATGACAGCGTATCTGGCAGTTGCGGACTGGAGCAGTCCCCATTTGTCAACGAAATAACAAACAGTGGTATCAATCTATCACTATTCGGAATTCTTCACTTGAGACTGATGGCCCAAAGCGAATATATCAGCGCGTTTAAACCTTCTGGAGGCGATTGGACGCCTGTCAATTCAAGCGTCATAAAGTACTCGAAAGAGCTATTTTCGAAGAATCGCCGAATCGTCCATAGCGACTCTCTTTTGCTATATGATTGATTGTTTTCAAAGGTTGAAAGTTGATGAAGCTCTCGAATACCGTTTCTTTAGTTTACTTTTAGGAGCTATAGATCTGGAAGCAACTGTTAATTGCGAGACGCAGACTGGAAGAGGCGAATGCGACAGCTAGATTTTCAAAATGCCACTAAGGTCATCAGGTCGTAACTCAAGAAAGCTTTGTCGACAGTTTCGAAGACGTGGATCATGTTCACTTATCCCCAGCCGATCAATCATTTTATCCTCCACTTAAGTCATCGACGAGGTGCTGTCGGCAAGTTCACTTGCTCAAATTGACTACTGATTACTCCCTTGAGCTCATCCAGACAGCTTTTCATCAATTTCTTGCTTGATCATTCACCCGTCGAACATCTCCGTCATGTATCTTTTCGTCTATTCGGTTATTTTGACAATTTTCGATCCTTTCTTTCGTATTAATATTTTAGGTTTTTTTAGAAATATCTGTTCTCAGGAAGAATGTTCGATTCTTCGAGCGATATTTTCCCATGAAGAGTAAATTGAATTGACTCTTACTGAACTCAAGATAAAAGATTAAAATTCCTTATACAGTGCTTATGTTCAAGAAGAGCCCAAAAAGCTAAGTTGTTGATTGATTGGTTAAGTTGTTGGTGATCGCTGATTGATTAGGTTTGATTTTGAAGAAAAATCGCACTCCCCCCAGGCAGTTTGATACCCAAAGTCGCTAGCGCCCTCCCGTCATTTGATTTTATCCGCCTTCTATGATTTTCAGATAAGAGCGTTTTACAGATAGCAAAGAAGACCGAGGAAATGTCCGAAAATGATTGCACTCAGGTAAAAGATAAAAGTAAAAGCATAGAAGATGAAATATCCTATTTACATGGACTTTTATTTAATCTTTTGTATTTTTAGCTTGGTAAATCGCCAATAGATTTGTTAGAAGCCTGTTGCGCTGCAATAAAAGATGAAGGAAAATCCAGTCTTGTTGCTGCTGGATCGAAACGTAAGCGGTCAGACTCGTCTGACGAGGCCAGTCCTGTCGAGATTGTTGACGTCGTTCTTCCCACATCGAGATCTCCTCCAAACTCTAGTTATTACCAGCCTCCACCTCTGAAAAAAACATCAACTCAAACGAACTCCCCTCAGAGGAAAGAAATCTCCTCCAGTGGCAGTAGAGGAAGGCCGTACTTTCGCTCTCCCGTGTCAAGTTTTTCTAAATTGTCGGCTCTGAGACATCCTCTTAGCAGTTTTATTTCTCAGCGTCCACCAGAGATTGAACGAATTCTCAGATCGTGGCAGTATCAAAACTCTCAATACTCTTTGATCAATGGATTAACGTAAGATTCAAAATCACTCATAGTCTCCTAAATTCATATTATTAAGTAACTGGACATTATATCAGCAGCAACTGCAGCTGTCACTTGCCGCTACACAGCACTATCTTCCAAATCAGATGCCCTCTCTGAACGCGGTCCCGTTGCTGCGTAACTTCTCCCCTGCACTCAAACAAGAAACACCGCGACTTGCTCAAAATTTCTCCTCGCATCCGGAAGAACGCGCAATAAATGAGTGTCGCTGGGCCAACTGTTCAGAGAGTTTCAAGACGGCGGATGCGTTATCAGAACACGTATTTGAACACGTGACGGCCACATCGAAATCACCTCATTCTCTGTCGAGCAGATCCAAACTCGCTTCACCTCCAAACAGTGCAGTGAGTGTCATCGGAAAAATGGGAAAACTCGTTTGATATTTTGAATATCATATTTATTATGTCTGTTTAGTAATATGGGAAATAAATTATTAGAAGCCTTGCCATCTGTTTGATGCGCGGTGCTTTTTGAGCAGCTTTCTTGTCGAGCAGTTTCCTTGGGCTCGTTGATAGCCTTTTTTCTTGCAGAGGCCTTTGAATCGACGGACACACCGCTAAAAAGTTGTGAAACTCAGACACAATTTTATTGCTAAATTTCTGCGAAACTTACTCCGGTTAAGTATCTGCACTCGTCACAAGTTGCCGGTTCTAAGCATTTTTTTGCAGCGTTTTGATTTTTTCTCGCGGAGTTTGCGCTTTCTCTTTCATTGTTCTCCTCTATCCACGCCGGATCAAAGAAACTACTGTATCCTGGCGTAAGAAAACCGTGCACGGTAAAACATAAAAATACTGAAAATACAAAAATATTCATTGTTTTTTTTTTGTTCTAAGCAAATTGATGCATCCTTTCGGGATGGCGAGTAGACCAGTGCTTGATTTCATCCGAAAGTCACCCAGGAAATCGTAGAAATAGCTAAACATTTATTGCAATATTGGCTGCAGATAGTTTGTTTCACTTTTTTCTTCACTCTTTTCCCCATTGATTTCCGAAGTGGAGGTAACATCGCTAATTCGGCGGTGAGTGAAAGGTCAGAAGACCCAATTGTGGGTTTCCAAATTATTAAACAACGCATTGAACACGTCCATTACCACTTCAAACGGCTGTTTTCTGTTTAAAAGCGATAGCAGCGCTTGCTCTTCAGTCAAACTATCTTCTGATATAAGAAGAAAGAGAGAAATTGCACAGTCGTAAAGAGTAAACAACGCGCAAAATACCGATGAAGGTCTTCTACTTTTCTACGCTTGCAATTGCCCAAAGAAACTACGACAACTTTAGCCCCTTTGTGGGCAACGAGTATGCATATGATGATGCATCTATGTTCGAAGGGTTTGGTAGTGCTGCTACTGTTGCTAGGGATTCAAATCATACTCTCCGGAAATAAGTTGCTCTACTATGTTTTGATTTTCCCTGAGCTGATTTGAATCCGAGTAAGATCCACAGTTCTACAACTATGAAGAAAACTACAGCACATATTTTGACAGTCTTTACGGAGACCTCTCCAGCGGAGACAACAGCGACGAAATGTTCGAAAGCAACGTTATCGAAACGACTACAACTACAACGACAACTACCACCACTACAACAACTACAGAAGAACCGACAACAACAGAAATCCTAACTACTTCGGCGCAGACAACTGAACCTACAGAGAATGAAGATGGAGGACTAGAATTCAAACGAAATCCGTTCACCCCCTCGCTGAGAAGTGGCGTTCATTCGGTAAAGTCAATTATATTCTCAATATGCTAAAATTGTTAAGGACTGTATGGAATGCCACGGAGAAGACATGGCAACCTGCCGTGGTCGATCATCAACAACATGTGCCGGTCCGAATGACGTTTGCCTGGTCACCCTTCGATCGCGCACAGGAACAACCGAGCCATTGATCTATTCTCGATGTGCCCCTCTCAGGTAAACATTGAAAAGATAATAATCAAGCTGATCATCCTTTAAATAGTGTGTGCTTGGACCACGAAGCTCAAAATTTTATTGGTCCCGTGCCTCAGTGCCGAACGAAACACTCTGCAAGGTTCAGTCGAGGTTCCGTGTGCTCATTCTGTCATAAATTGGGCGATACCAACACGATGTTCCTTCTGGGAGCTAATGAAATCGAAACGGACTCAACTGGATCAACAACGGTGTCGATCGCGACTGCTCTTTCTAATCCAGAGCTTTATTTCTCGAGCTCTGGTGCGAACTATATTTACGGATCCCAAGGCTGGTACTAATGAGCACAGCCTCAATCTGAAAGACCACATTATGAAGTCAGTTCACTGTATAAAATAAAACCAAAGCCAGAAACAACAGTTGGTGATTGATTGATTGAGAACGAATTTCCCACCATGAGGACTCGTAAACATTAACTCTTTCTGGATTATCATAGTTCCCATAACTACAAAAATAGGAAGGCCGAACATAATCTGGAGCGGATTGGTTTTCCACTTGTGGGACATTGTGCTTGGCGCCACGGGCTTTGTGCCCGAAAAGGCCCACCGCTTTCAATGGGGACAATGCAAGCAGCGTTACCAGATACTGCTAGAGAGTTTTCATCCAAAACTCGACAGCAATTTTGCTCATTCCCAAAAACCCTTCGCAAGAGAAGGACTGAAATCGAAAATCAAAGTTTTTGAGAGAAGAAATATAGTTTGATTTTAGGAGCTAAATGCCAATGCCTTTGAAAATTTATAAACTGTACTGAATCGTCTCTTGAACACGAGACCAATAATACTTTATCAAAGCTGAGAGCAAAAAGGAGGCAAAGTTCATGATTGTCGAAAGACAAGGAATACTGTCATGGAATTGCTCTCTTGTTGCCCTCGGCAAAATCGACGATTGCTGACCAAGAGAGAGGTATCTATGTTTATTATAAACTTTTATCGTCAAGAACAAGGTGATCTCGTGAAGGGTTAGTGATGCTCCGTTTCGCTGTGCAGGTGAAGATAAGCTGAATGACACTAAGAATCGTTTGAAAACCAGAAACGACGGAAACAGTTAACAAGATAGCATGATTTGATGTTTCAAGTGATTTTTCTTCTTTTTTTGGGTTTCTCACGATGATGCATAGAATTATATTTTGATGCAACTCTCAAGCCCGGCCTAAAATTTCGAAGAATCGTCCATTGAGCAAGCAGCTGTCTAGCTCACCATATTTTGTCTCACTTCTTTGAATATCAGTAAAAGTGGGTTCACAGTCGAACGCTCCTGACCCAACATCATCGTCTTCAGAGTCAAAATTATCGAAAATTTCATTCTTCTTCAGTATTCTGTAGATGTTGATATCTGCAATGGCAAGTGTTAGAAACTTTTGAGTTCTAAAGAATTGAATAACCTGAAAATCTAAGCCCAGAAAAGACAGATATACTCGCATATACGAATAAACTGCACGTCGCCAGTACTATGTGTAAATTAAGACAGATGCCTGAAGCGCAGGAAATCCCAAGAATGCCTACCACTGAGACAATAATCGTCAATCCAGAAAGAGAGATTCCAATTAGTGGCCAGAAATTCTGTATCCGAGTATCTTGAATAAAAACAAAAATTGAGAAACCAAGAAGGCTAAATGCAATAATATTTTCTTTTGGGAGCTTTGTCTATTTGCAAAAACTAATTAAAGTATGAATGTTATAGTCATTTAGTGATAAATTATTGGGATTAAAGCTCTTTCCTATTACAGCTACGATCGAAAAGGCTCTTCTCAAGTCTAAACACATTTATTCTTTTGCTTTCTACTTCTCTTGTTTTATCGACAAGCCCTCTAGGGAAGTTCCGCTTTCGACTGATAAAGTTTGAAGCCCTGGTCGAACGCTTTTCGTTTAAACATTTTCTATAACGCAAAGCTTTTCATCAACATCTTGATTATAATTTCTTAAATTTGCCCTAATTGCGAGTTTCAAGGTCATGCATAGAGTCAAACGCTTACCGTGAAATTCGTGGCCATACGTCAGAATGGATTTTTATAGCAAAATTATGAGGGTAGTTTCATAACTCGCAGATAACATGTTTTGACTACGAAAACCGCCTTAATAGATCGCAACTATTTCAAGGTTAGTGACGTCACTAACCTCATACATCTTTGAAAATTTTTATTGACCACCTCGGAAATGTCAAAAGTTGATTCCACACTGATGCAGCTGTCATGCCTCGAATTTCTCTTCTAATGCGCATGGAATTTTCCTTGTTGATGACACAGTAAAACTGTCTTGGATGCGAACAACTGTCTTCTTGGAACTAATTTATCAAGTTCAAGATTTTTCTTGGCAAGTAGCAAACAGAAAAGACTTCGAAGCTACTTCAGATCTATAATTTGTCGCAAGATTCGAAAATTGAAAATGCAGTTGAAGAAACGACGCCAATTTCGTTTTCTTTTTGGTTTCGTAAGGAATTTTTAGAATGATGAAAACATTTACTTTCTCGTCTATAAAAGTATCATCTCGCTGTCAATATGACGTACATGGCTTAGGTGTATTGTTATTTTGTGACAGAGAACGTCACGCGTTTCAGGGCCTGTTGCAGAGGGATCGAGAGTTTGCTTTGGTTCTGAATAGTTGGCCCGCCAACATTCCAACCAAGCTGTTACAGTGATGTTTGAACAATATACAGGAAGTTTTACAAAGAATATAACAAAAATTTACACTCTTGGTTACGACTTTGCCAGGTGCTCGTGAATGCGCCGTATTTCCGTGGCGAGCTGATTTCCAGCCACCTAGAAATGGAACAATTAAAACGTCCGTCGCAACATTTACGAAACACTTACCCTATCATACCACTTTGGATCCCGACCGCGAGTATCAAAACGAGTTATATGCGTGAGATGGCTTTTGCCGTTTTCTAGCGGCTCGATAGTCCATTGAGACAAGAGAATCACTCCCCGCACATCGCCGATTAGAGGTGCCTAAAAACAAAATTTATGCAAAAGTTGGTTTAAATTCTATTTGAGCGCTAGTAAAAGACTTTAATTATGTGGTGACATTTTATATGAGGGTAACGTTATTTACTGAGGTCTACGGATGGGCCGAAGATAAATAAAAGTAGAATGAAGACAATGAGGCCCTCACCTTCGAATGACGAGTGCTTGTGACGAAAAGCTCACACTTGCCGCTTGGTCGATATCGCCAAGCTCTGTAAACCACGTAGTCACGGTGAGGATGTGGTGACATGCTTCCGGTGACGTATTGCGTGATGTCCGATGTGTCGTCCAAATTGTCAATATTGCGCATTTCGAGAAGATCGGGATCCCACTGGCTTCTTTCGTTCAGGACGGCATTGAGAACGGCCTTAAAATCAAAGATGACTCGTTGTTGTTTTCGATAAGTACTGGCAAACACACATAAGTTGCTAATTCAATTCCTGGAAAATTCAAAATGTCTTTGATGATGATAAAATAACTTCCGGTTTGTCAGAGTTTGAGAAAATATTAGGCTTACCTTTGGACAGCCTTGAATCGTCATGCGACAGCGGAAAAGCTTTAGCGGCATGTCGTCGTCGCACTTCCGTGTATGCACAGAAACTGAAGAGCAGTTCGCATTCAATTGATATTTCGACCAGCTCGAACTACTGTAGTCTGTTTGAAGTTTCCTAGAAAGAAAACATTGTTGGACTTTGAGAGGGCGGAGACGTGCACTTACTTTTCGACAAACTCGTTGAGTTGGTGAACAGATGGCATATTTCCTAGCTCCGCTAGAGAAGATCTTCCGGCTGTTCCATTACACCAAGGTTGCATTGGGTAATAATTTCTTTCGAAATACGGAAGAGATTCTTGCATTCTTTTATCATGAAGGTAAAGCACTTATGCGCGGCCACGGACTCGTTATGAATTCTTGTGCTTTCGTCAGGCGAGGGCATGCTTGATGAGCCGTTGCGTCGACGGAGAAAACTTCCTGTTGAGCGAGAGGAATTGAGGTTGAGTTGGAAGAGAGAAGGCGCAAAGCAAACGGCGAGATTGTCAGCCGTCATTGAGTTTTCTTCCGACTTGCCTGCCACGTCGGACAGAAAATACAGCAAAGTCTGGAGGACTTCCCGATTCTCGTCGGGGAGGAGCATGATAGCGGGTTGAACTGCTTTTAACCAGTATTGAGGTGGAATGTCTACAAATTCATTGAGCCGTTTCGACTTATCAAAGTTCTACCGAGAAAAATTGAGGTGAAGGTCTGTGAAAGTTTTCCAGTCATGAGAGGCTCAGGTAAGTCGCGAAAGTATCCTTTCACTACGTCTGCGATATCGTACGGGGAAAAATTGTCGAATTTGAATTCGAAATCTTCGGGATTTGCCTCCATCGTCTGTCGAAGCTTTTGAATTCGAGTTTTGACTCCTGATTTTCGGAAAAGTCCCTTTCAGGCGTGCTCGACAATGATGTAAAATGGAACGACAGGCTTGTCATAGTAACGCGTTCTGCGCGACCGAAAGAATCACGAAATAGACATCAGATGGAAGTGATAGTGCTGTCTGATAAAATCGGAAAATGTTGTCGAGCACGATCCTGTTGTGTCATCGCGTTTCGTCGTAGATACTGTAATGCTCGTTGCATCGGAAGCGGCAGTGGTTGTCCATAATTTTGAGCATTTTTTAACAGGCTCACTCCGAACATATTTTTTCGCTCGTAAAGAGTTGCTCTTTAGCCGTTTGAAATTGAGTTTAAACGGAAGAGACCTTAAAAATTAAGTTAGCTATTGTATAGTCTATAATTCGTGGGTGATGAATGCGATACTCTTCTATCTATCTATTCAAAAGTTACTTTTATAATTCTGCTTTGAGTTCAAAGAGTTTTGAACTTTGGGAGTATCAATGTTCTATTTACTGAGAAGCCACATATGCGCATAAACGAACCACCAACTCATAAAAGAGTACTTCAAACGATGTTTACTGTAAATGACAGCATATCCTTTCACAGCTAGCAGAAGATAAAACATCTATTGTCGAATATACCAAGTCGAGTTTTCCGATAGAGCTCAAAAAAAAAAACTCGGCAGTTATTTCGACTTTGATAAAACTCCAGGAAGAGATAACTTTAAGTGTGTTTGAGTAAGAAATCAACGTCAAGTTTACCCAGTGATCGATATATTTTCGCTATCACGCGACTTTTGTTTCTACCAACGAGCCTAAGGACTATTTGGGAGAAAGTACTTACCAGGCCATTGTTTCGTTGTTTCGTATCGTGCTGTATCTTTCCATGTATGACGTGAGCCTGAGCATGGCAATCTTGCGAAGCATCATAACCTAACTTCTTTGTGAAATAAGTTCTGTTTATATAATCACTTGCCTGTCCAGCAGAAAGATTGCTCAACTGAACATTACGACTTCGAAAGCTCGGCTGATGATCCCGATAGAAACTCTTCCAGCGCAAACGTTTTCGACAGCTTCGCGTTCTCACCGGAACATGCCACGTTTGGTCGGCTTCGAAGTGGTCTGACTCTTGACCGGAATCGTCCATCGTCGAGTTCGGTCCACGAGAGCCCGCGTCATCTCTGGGGCACATGGATTCGCTGATGTCGGCGGAAACAGAGAAGGAGCGAGTTGACGACGCGTCATAAGTTGATTCTGGAATAAAAAGCTCCACTCCATTCTGTTGTTCTTCGTCCTCGTCGTCCTCGTCACCGAAGAAACAATCGAAGGCGTGGCGCTGTTCATTTCGTGACTTTTTATGAATTCCCGAAATATCTTTTTATACCCATGAACTTATCATCGAGTGCACAAATGTTGCAGAAATCGCAAGCGAACGACCTTCATTGCTATTTACACTATCCGTGCAAAGTTTAGTTTAAGAACGTTCAGTCCCCGAATGTTGCTTGGCCACAGCCGCTCCGAGCGCGGCCTAACAATTACGAGCCTTCATAAATTAGCTGCGCCAGTGTTGAAACTACAAAGTCACTCTGGAATACCAATCAGACCTGCCCCATTTTGCGGGCTGTTTGAGGTCATACGAACTTCACGAAAAAAAAAATGGTAGCAAAAATTTTCCAAACGTATTGAGAAAAATCGTGAGCTACAAAATAAATAAGCCCTCGAAAGTTTTGATGTGCCCGTTCTCAATATAAATAAGAAATGACTTTCATCGGGAATCTTTCCTGTTTCGGCCGCTCTAGGGTGTCATCGTTCTTTTCAAAGAGCAAATTCACATCAGTGAGCATTCGCTTGATGCTCTCCAGTTCTTCGAGCATGCCTTTTTGGAGCGTGTCCATTTCTTCGGCAAAGCTTTCGTCTTTCCTCTGGCTTGGATTGAGGGTGTTATTTGGGGTTTGAATCTGATCGAAATCATCGTTGTTGTTTACGCTGAGCTCGCTCGATAAGTTCGTCGTTTCCTCATCGTTCAGATTATCATAAATACTGTTTGGGCGGCGCATGGAACCCGAGGTCGAGTCGGAGAGATACAGTTGAGTAAATCGCTTGCCCGAGTCAGAAATAAAATTTTCGGAGTTCTCCGAATCCGAACTAGCCGTGTTCAGCCCAATGTCGAGGCCAAGACCACTCGTTGTGTCCGAGTCAGTTTTATCGGAGAGCTTCGTCGTCCTTAGATTACACAGTAGAGGGACCTCTTTTTATGATCCTACCTTTGTCCCGTTGAGGAGATATCTCGGCAATTGTAGCGGTATAAATTCTCCATGCCTGATTTTAGAATAGGATTCCCAATAGTGATTGTTTTCTTTCTAACTGGTCGTTCTCTTGTTCTGTGATTACTGATAACAGCTCATTTTCAATCTCTGGGAAATATTGGTCTGCAGTTGATAACTTAAAAGCTAGTATACGAGAAATGATCTCATCTCCTGACCACTGGGTAACCAGTAACGATAATGGTGCGTATTGTTTGGAGAGCAAGCACAAGCTCTGTTGAGGCTTTCGCGCGCCCTCACTTATCCAGAGCAGATATTCGCCTTTCGGCGAGTTAAGTCTGGAAGAAGATGACATGCGCTCATGCTTACTCAAACATTAAAAACAAGTGAAATTAACAGTGCCCAGAAAGTACGCCATTATAATTTCAACTATCGTTAACTAAAGCGCTAAAACAATCAAAAATAGTCACTACCGGCAACGGATGGGCAACGGCAACGATAAGTGAAATCCAAGAACTCTTAGAAACAGATAGCCACGCACATTTTCGAATAGCGTTTTACGCGTAATACTCGTCGTGACAATAGAATTTAAACTTTGAGTCAGAATTTTGGAATTCCGGAGATCTATGGGATTTTCTAGCTAAAGGACTCGCAATACTTATTTTAATCTGTCTGAGTTAATTTTAGTGAGCTTTTCCTGAGTGGGCGAAATTTGCGCATGAAAGAAGAAGTCTTCATCATTCCTCGGCGATCAAGTGAGGCGAATTCGTTGTTAATCTCGTTGCTCTGGTCCATATCGGAGTCTTCGGAAGTGGGCTGGAGCTGAGTTACGCGCGGAGATATTCGGCAGCGCTAAATTGAATTTTCGATAGCTGTTATTTTTCTTGAGTGGGGTTGAATACTCGCTCTCTACGTGTATCAGGCGCCGTACTCGCACTCATTTTTACTACTCGTGCGTGTTTTTCGCAAAATCAGCAGGCTTGTGTAAAGTCTTGTTCTGAGAGTTGAATGAGACTGATTGTGTAATAAAGGCATTTAAACGTTTAAGAAAATATAACATCGCCAGATGAGAACACAGTCAAATCGCATTGTGGTGTGACACTTGCACAAATATAGTCAATTGAAGCATAGTTACAGTAGCACTCCTGTCAAACACGAACTTGCCTCCGACATTTCACTTTCAAGAATTTCAATAAGAGATATGAACTATTTCTATAACTTATTTCAGAACATACAGTATTACCTCGCAAGAGTATTATTACCAGCTTTATCGCTCGGACATAATGGAGCCTTGAAATACAGTAATATCTGCCCAAAGCTAACTCAAAAACGATTCTCTCTATTTAAGTGCAGATGAATAGAAGTAATTCTTTTGATCTTCTCTACTGAGAGCGCGGGACGGCCCCCTGCGAGTGACAAAAGGTTATACTGTGGCCGCACAAAGCTGAAATTCCACAGATTGCAGTGTACTTACAGAGTTTGGCGTGCTCGCACTTCGCCGGACACCTTGAGTCTTGTTCCGGGCCCAGACTTGTTTTTTCCTGTCCAGCGTCCAAAGTTGGGAGAGGCAAACATCGTCCTCCCCATCCATAATGTCGATCCCATGCATCTTAAAATAATGTCAATCTCCATAGTTTTTGACAAAGTTAGCTTTGAGTTTCACGGTCAAGTTGACTTTTGCTTGCTAAATATTGGTTAAATGTTCCTTCCGGAAGTATTTTTGGCTGGCATGTTTGAACAGCTTAACCGAATTAAATTTAGGCATCGATAAATAGTCTCCTAATGCAACAGTAGTAAGGATACAACCGGAGAGATTAATAATATGTTAATTTCTCGAGCCAGATGACCAGTGATTGATGAACATGTGAATTAGCGTTGATACTCTGCTTTCAACTGAGCAAATAGTTAGCGCGATATTAAATTCCTGGGGTGAAAATATGAATTTAAAATGATTCCTGCCTTTACGAGAGTCATGAAGTGACTGTTTCACAAGGCAATGGGCGATGATGAGCGCCGCGAGGTGAGAGAACCGGACATAATTTTATCGAATGTGTGATATAATCTGTGTTTGGACACGTCTGGTCCGTGGGAAGGCAACTGTCGGATGTGCCTCGACTAGCAGTCGCCTCAAGCACAATATCGCCCAGAGCCAAACACGAGTAGAACAAATAAAAATAAATTCTCACCGACTGCACGAAAACATAATAATCTGGCCATAGTTAATTTCAAAACCTGTCAAATTGGCATTAGGTTGCAGACTAGTGTCACAACATGTTGTCTCTGGGAATGCATAAAGTCCCAACCCTCGTCTTTCCCAGGACTGGAAATATCTCTGGAATGTCGGAGAATCTGTCTTTTTACAAGTTATAAACCTTTTTAAAACATATCATTTGAGTGGCTTTCTCCAGAGATGGGAAATGTCTCTTCCGCCTGGGTAGATCCTTGAGTCTGTTTTTGTTGACAAAGGGGCTTCTCAGGTTCTGGCGGTGCTAAGGTTCTGAGCGCGCTTGGAATATCTTGTTCGGGCTCAGGTTCGCCTCGTGTGCCCAAAACACTAATTCTCTTCAAGACTCTTTAGAACGTGCGGGCGGTCCATTCTTTTGTATCAGTCTCTTGCTCTGTCACAACAGAGAGCAACAGTCTATTCTAGCGCCATCTCGGCGTTCCTACTATGGGTAATAAGGTTGCATGGTTGGGCACGCGCCAAATTGTGCCCTGAGGAGCTGCATATCAAATGGTATTGTCAAAATTGACGTTCACTTGTTCAAAAAAGTCTCATCATCCACGCAATCAAGCAAGTCAATGCGTGTATTGGGGAAAGAATACAAGACGTTAGTCTTATCTTTTCTAGCGAGTTCACTAAAATATATTTTGTCTTAGTCAATAAATAACAGAAATCCAACATTTCTAAGTGTCTAAAATTCTTCACTTGATTTATCTATAAAATTGAACCATTTAAACACCACGATCTTTAGTTATTAAAATAACTTGAAAATATTTTCAGCAATTAAGTCAAGACCAGGTTGCATTAACCTTTATGGCTAGTGCAGATTGCTTGACTCCGAGGAGTCATAAATTTTCAACGAAAGCTGCCGGAGGCAATTCTTGGCCAACCTCCTGGCATAATGCCCAGAGGATTCAGCTGTGAGCAGATCGGCTTTAGGATTATATCTGAAAATTATTAATCACCAATTATAAATGGGCGAGTTAAAAATTGATAGAATTGACTCGAGTGGTGATTGTTGACAGGGCATGTGAATTTTTGCAATTGTATTAGGTGAGAAGCTGAACTCTAGTGTTTCCAGAGGAGAATCTATTAGGCACTTTCCGGCAATTAAAGATATCTCCTGTGCAGATCACGAGTTCCGTATAGAAAGAAAGCGAACTGTAACGAGTGTTTGCGCAGCGGTCTCAGATCGCTCTGACCCACGTCAAATTCGTTTGGCTAAATAATCTTTACTCTGAATAAGGATCGCATGAAACCATTTACTGTTGCCAGATAAAAATGTAAGAATCTGAACACTCGTGAGCGCATCTTCAAAAACAGTATTCCTGTTTGATTTTAACAGTCAATACAGTTTTCTGTGCCGTATTTATGGGCAATCTTGGTTGAATACGCTGAAAAATATTCTCAAGAAGAATTTACCGGACAAATGCGTGTTGATTGTAGCTTCGCTGCATTCAACCTTTCAATGGGCCGATAAAGCTTAGAAAATATATTTTGTTTGTGTGGAGTAGTCACGCGCAATCTCATTTCAAAGAGATGAAGGGGTCATGTTAACAAATGTGATAAAGATTTGATCAAGCATCAATTTTGTAAATATAAAATCGACTTACTGGAGGCGGCGTCGCTGCAATCGTGTCCGCCGCGATTGCTGCTTTGTTCAACAGCTCGAGTCTCCTAAACCAAAAATCAACTTCATATATTTAAAAATGTTTCTGAAATGACAGTGGATTTGCATGGTCTAAGTGACCTTTGCAGAGGTTGACAGATATTCGTATTTGCTGCAGCTGATGCCCCATGACGAAAACTTTGCAGAGGAAGTACTTGGCTATTTATGGAAAGCTGTTCTTCGATTGCGAATTTTTACGTGATAGAGTATCGATCATTGACCCATGAATTATCACAAATTTATGTGGCGCCAGGTAGAAGTGTAGCAGCCACTGTAAAATCTGATCTTCGGTCTCAAAGGAACTACTGAATCCCCGTTAAATTCAAAGTAGAAGTGATTCTTCCAACTGACCCAATTTTGCAGGAGGAAAAGTCGCTGAACCCTGCGGAAAAGAGTATATACTAGCCAGAATCTACTAATCCACGCTCAAATTTGGAAAGATTTGAGCTCACTCAGCAGTTGTTTTTGTTTGGTTGAGGATAATTTCGAAGAAGGTCAAATTCAATATTGCAAAATGTATCTCACCTGCGGACAGCACGCTGGGAGTCTTTCTCCAAGAAATCATGCTCGTTGATAATGGCGTCTATGTAGAGCGGGAATTTGCCATCTAAATCGAGTAAACAGAGTTTGTTGCCAGCACAGCTTACCTATAAAAAGCTGCGCGTACTGTGGGAATCCAGTCTGCCTCAGCCATCGGCAAGCTTCGAATGCCCGCGTCTCTAAATTGTTTTCGTCAGTAATGGTAGTCTTTGATTTTAAATTTACGGAAAAGGGAGAACCCACCCTGAGAAAACCGTTGAAATTCCATAAAACTCATCAAAACAACGTCCTTTCTCTCTAAAGCTTTATGGACAAAAAATTTCAAGTGGTCAGAAAAAGCCCGTCGCCGAGTGGAAGCCTAAATAACCGAAAAGTCGCTTTTGTTCGAACAGGCGGCCCCAAGCTTTGGCTTTGCTTAACCTGTATTCAATAAAAGAAGGAGGGTTTAGTCAATCCTATTAGCTTTTGATAACTCCTTGTCGACATTAGCGATATTTTTGGCGGTTTCAATAAAAGGAGGGTGACAACACTGCTTTTGTTTAGCGCGGATTCACTGTTGCTCAACTTTTAATACTTATCGTATACAATTTAAATTCCTACGGGTATGCAACGCCGCTCATTCCATGCATAGTGGGGATGCGTATAATTAACCGTGTCTGAATGGAGTGAGAGGATGTACGCATCGATGCACCGTGTTATCAACAATCGGAGGTCGAGCATGCAACATGTTAGGTGCAGCATTTTCTTTCCTCCAAGAGACGGGACTTTTTCAATATTACTGTTCCTACAAAGAGTATGAAGAGTATTATGATCCTGAGCTCGAAAATGCTTATTGAGAGGAAATAAACAGTTAAGGTGCTTTTAGGCCAGATTAATAATCGGGTTTAACACGTTTGGATTATTTGAGCGCGCAATCTAGGAAGAATCTAGTTTCCTTCTTTTTTATGGATGGCAATATATATGTTTATAGCGTGGATATTCTTTTTGGCAGGCACCAGTCAACTGGCGGGCTCTTTTTGAACGACAGTATTTCCTAAAAGGTCACGGAGACTGTATTAACTTATGATCCAATAATGCTGAGAAAAGTGATCAATCGGTGCATTTGTGATTCGACTTAGGTAAATTTGCTCTTACCGTAATCATTGCGTTCGTTTTTCTTCAGCCTCAACGAGTTGAGTCTTCTTATCATCAGTCGAGGACAGTGATCTCTCTAAAACTTCTTTGTTTCTGATCTCTTTGTCGAAAAAAAAAATATTGAAATTTTGAATGAAGGAATGTTCTCTCGACGGGTCAACTGAATCGCGATCTCGGAGCAACGGGCGGCGGAAGCCGATTGAGGTCGCCCAGCGGGGCCGAGCAAACCTAACACCTTACCAAATCCTTGAGGGAATGCGCTCGAGCGGATGTGAGACCTCCAGTAGGCCCAGTCTCAGTCTGTGTACTAACTGAAAACTTTTTCTACAATTATCTTTTTTCTTCTTTATTCGGATTGCGGAGCAAGTAAAGCCCTCGTAATAGACAAAAAACAACAACGCACTGAGTCTTTACCAAGATTTTTTCTCATGAACTCGAATAAGCAAATTCATTGATATAATACAATCGAGTTAGCATTGGCATACAACTGATATTTGTGATGTTGAGTAAGCAAAAATAACAGCTCCCAAAAAGAAAAAGGCAAAGGTCCAGCGCTCCCCCGTTGTTTTTCCTATTCAAACTTTCGGTATTTTCCACAATTTCAAACAGCTGGCCGAAATTTTGCGAATTAAATTCTCCGCAAGTGATCTTTGTGAACTAGTAAAATTTGAAATTGACCGCGTCGGGCGACTATAATTGAAAGAGAATCCTTGCCAGCTCCTATATTTTCCCTACGAAAATATAATTTCTTCCTTTGATATCGAACTTATTAGGGGACTCGCTGACCAGTGTTATTTTAGATTTCGAAGATGTATTCTTATTCTGCAATGTGGCTTTCCGTATTATTGAGTTTTTACTAGTGGAAACCAGCTAAGAAGGTTCTTTTTTGAGATTATTGATTTTATCGTTGGTTGCGCGATGAAATTTTGCATTGACGCGGTAATAGCATTGTGGTAAATTTGGAGGAAGGAAAGTTGGATCCGCGATAAGCGCGCATCTCCACATCGCAAATAATCGGTTTATCTGACACTGATTCTTGGGCTCACCACAGCAACACCTGCTTACATATCCGATCCGAAGAGAGATCGAATTTAATTTTCGGAAGCATAAATTTTGCAAAAAATCCCAGTTTCCCCGTCTGATCAGTAGGGAACAACAGTTGTTATCTATCCCAATTCCCTACTTTTCCAATGTCGAAATTTAGACTAATTTAACGTTTGATCAGCCTAGTGGGCGGTAGTAATTGCGAAAATTTATTTCACACCGAGGTTTTCAGTACCACTCATGTGCCAAATTGGCTGACATTTAGCTCGAATTCAATGTACTTCTTCGGGATAGGGAGAGGGAGGTAAGCAATGTTTTCATTGATTGGACAAATTCCGTGAAAGCGGTTTTGACATATCTTAAGTTTTATTCTAAACGCTGACTGCACAGGAGAGGTGTTTACTTACCGCTTTTCGCGAAAACAAGAACGAGTTCGCCACAAGGGCGGAACCGACTTCGATCTGTTTCAATAAAGATATGTCGGTAGTTTGCAGCGACCAGCTCCCTCTTGGAGTGACGAGTTGCATGGAAAATAAGTTTTGAGGGAATTGGTTGAATTGAGGCCAAATGGTTGATGATCGAAGGCTTGAGAGAGTATGAGTCAATTGGCAAAAGCGAGCTGGAATGCAGCAGAAGTATTGCGACGTGAGCTCAAGCTCCAGAATATGTCAAAAACGCCAATGTGAGATTTTACGCCGACAGTGAAAAAAGAGCGAGCTCAGCGAGGAATGTTAAACGAAGCAAATAATTTTTAGCCAAAAGGTTGCGTTTACAACAAAAGCAAGCAATATTACAAACACTTACAGTAAGTCAGATAAGCGACTTAACGAAGTGTTGGAGTACCTTTAATGCGGAATATGCGGAGTTAGCGGAATTGTCATCGAATAATTTTTGATAAGTTAACATAATTGACAGTCAATATTTCATAAAATGTAGTAATAATAGCGCTGTGTTAAAGTTTCTCGGTTAAAAAAAAATGATTGATAAGATGTTTCGGATTCAATTTTTAATCGAAAAGCGATTCAACAACGCATGAGCGAGGAATAAATTGAGGTGGTGGTTTTCAATGTCAGGATAGATTTTAGAGTGATTTAGTGACCGGCTGGGAGAGCCGCTGAAATCGGAAACGTTAATTTGCCGCCGTTCAGGAGCCCAAGCCGTGGGTAAATCTATACTCTCAAACACTTTCGGCTATTCTCATAAGAATACCCTTTAGTTGATAAGAATATGCGAGATTGTTTATGTAGGCCCATTTCCGGCCGATGAAATGGGTCTTTTATCAAAGTTCCTTCTGCAAGCTTTGAGCGAATATATCGAAGATAAAGAACCTTTTCCTGGTGGAATGATAACGAAGGAAGTCTTGAGGTGACTGTATGCTCTTTGCCATCGTCTTCATAGTCTTTTCTTTCCAGCGGTTCTTCTTGAAATTGTTCTTCGTGTTGCTGGATTGCCTAAAACAGTGTTAGATTGTCTTGCTCATTAGTTGTCTATTAACCTTGATACTGTGTGCAGCAGGGTGAGCCTTGAGTTGATTTTAGATTCTTTTTTTTTTGGACGCCAGATTTGACGCTGAGATACTTGCCTAGTTTCTAAACATAAAAACGTCATTTACTCATAGTTCTGACAGGCTAAAGTTTGCCAGATTTAATGTTAGCTCGTTCGAGATCATACTCGTGACGACTCTCAAACATGCGATGTTCCAAAGTACTCACAATAATATTTAGATCTTCTTTCTTTCTTCTTGTTGGTTTGACACTCTACCATTCAAGCGCATCTTCCGTGCTCCGATGCTTAGGTAGGACTGACCCGCGCATTCTCATTCTTCTCTTCTTTTTCCATGGACTGAAAGCACATTTTAACTCTGAGTTTCTCTTGCAGGTGTATTTTTTGTGGTTGAACATTTTCTTACCGATCATGTTCTTCTTTCTCTTTTGAACGGACGAGTGAAGAACGACGGCAATCGAAACCGAGGTGGTAGAAGGCGATCTGGCGCTCTTGTCACCGCGCCACCACGTCCATAAACTCATCATTCTAACGCTCAGTTCTTATCTCCAGAACTTCTGATAAAGTATCAAATAAATTGACCTCTGTGACTTTCAAGAGATCGAAGCTTTTGATTCTAAAGAGAGCACTACCAATGCGCATGTGAGTCACATTGTGAGATATAATCACGTGCTTTATTCGGATTCTCAGATACACTTGCAGCTTTCTTTTCTAGTCTGGAAATTAACACAATTTAGATTTACTTTGATGCCAACAATAACCTTTTCCGGACTCTAGGGTATTGATATTTAATCTCTTTTATGACTGATTAGTTCTGATAACATTAGCTTATTCTGTTTCCGAAATTTCAATTTAAAAATTATCTTGTTTTCGTTTTTGATTGATGATGGCATTAACCATAATTGCCAAAATCGAGCTCATCCGAATCGAATTTTCAAAAAGGCATTCCGCCCTTATTTCAAAGAATATTCCAAAATCAACCTTCTTCAGTATATTCCCCGTAAAGAATTCAAAAACTCATCGGATTTCTCATCTCAGCAAGTTTTTTCTAGTAGATCGTCTTTGGGCATTCATGACTGAGTGAATAGCATCAAAGAACGAAACTCTTGTAAAACAATAAAATTAACTAAAGAGGATCGACAATTGCTAGATAGTATAAAACATCGTATTCATGCGAAGAAAAGTGGCAAGTTTCGTAGTTGCTTTCAGTGGTTCATTTAATTTCTTCCGGTTATACTTTGCTGTGGTCGGCGGTTGAATTCGCCGGACGCGCTTCCGACATCCAACTAAATCAACAAACTAGAACCGCGTAAACGGCCAAAATCTTTCCCCAAATCAGAAAATCAAATTGCGATCGCAAAGTTATGTCTAACGGTACATTTGCACTATCGCATGGGCAAATCTTGACTAAAAGCGCGGTCAACATTTTGAGATTTAGAAAGTTTCTTTTTCGTTTTTTTAATCATCAAAATGGGGAAGGATCGTCAGACCAGCGCTCGGAGGGAGTGGATGCGACAGAAAGCACGAGAAAGAGAGAACCAAGATGGCGAAGGACGAAATGAGCAATCCTCTTTAGTGAGCGGAGACAAATCCATTAACTTCTGTACGAAGCACGGTAATCCATACAAAGCAGATATACAGGTAAAATATTTCATTATCATTTACCAGCTTCAAATTAATAAAATTTAGATAACGTTGACTAACTCGCAGAGATTCGTAACCTCACGGAGCGACTTTGACAAGACACTGCGCATGCCAACTCCTGATGATGGCTTCGTTGATAGTCTTTGCCGATTAACCTCCGTCTCTTCAATAGATTCAATATATGAAATTTCTGACTACTCTCGATACGCAAAAATGTCTACAGCCGCCGAATCTACTCATCAGACTTTTTCAGGAAAGATAAATCTCTCTTGAAGGTCCTCCTTAAAAAGTATCGAATATTTATCATCAATAAAAGATGCACCAAAGTCGAAGAAGACTGCAAAGAAAAAACGGAACACGTCAAAATACGTGAATAAAAACAAAAAATCCTTCAAATCCTTCGGAAACGGGCCAGACACTCGCAATAGTCATCTCTTGCAAGAAAGTAGCAACTCAGAAAGGTATGATTTATTTTATAATTTATTAAATAAATTTATCACAAAAAATAGAAACGAAAGCACATTTGTTCCAGAAACATCTGTTTGGAGCGATAACTACAACCGCAGTTTCGGCAACTCACATTCAAACGATACAGATTGTACTTTTGTCCCGCAAACACTTGACACGACCTGGGCTTCTGTCTATAGCCAGCAATCTGAAAATACCTTCGTCCCGCAAACACTGGATGACACATGGAAAACTAACAATGAGTCTGTTGCTTACGTTCCTCAACTCATTAACGAAAATCATAACACCTAAGGAAACAGTTAATTAATTATAGTTATACACCCAAATCCTTAACTTAATCAAACCATTTAATACAAATCATACCATATATCATCTACATGGTATGAATATATCATATCAAATTATACAATCAAAAATAATTAACTGGTCCACAAGATCGACAATTCAATACATCTAAAATCAAGAAGAATAACCGAGAAAAAAACGCTAGCTAGTGACTTGAAGTCTGGAATTCGTATAGTTATCACTTTTTTAATAAAATATTTCTTTTTTTTTCAGAATTTTTCATCTATGTTTTTATTATTGAAGCATCATAGAATTCTTGCAGTATACATCTGGTGTGATAATTTGAGCATTTTCATGTAATATCAAGTGATAGCAAAGATTCAGATTTGGAGGACTACATCTTGCTAGAAGAGGAAGAAGTGATTGAATATTTATCTCTGAGAATTAAAATTAAACAGCCGTAGTTCTGTCGGTCGCACTTTTCACAACGCTATCGGATGCACTAGAGCGACGCAAACCTAGAGAGTGCACTTCTGAAAAGAGAATCAAGATGCAATAAAAGCGCAAACAATTAAAGAGTTTCTATATTTTTTACGATGGGATCAGGTGTAAGCCTTGACAAGGTACAAGAGCCTGTCTCTGTTGAATTTCCTTCAATATCGTCAAAGCGTCATTCTTTGGATACTTCGCAGGTCAATGGTTCAGAATCTGAACTTCAAATAAGATTATACAATCACAGCATGCAATATCACCCATTATTCTTCGCTAAAAAACTGTGTAATAGCACGGCAAGTTATTGCGAGGCCAGACTGTACAATCTTTTCTGAGCTTGATTTAAAATCTTGAACCCTAAAAAGCGTCGACGAGCACCAATAGAAAAACCAGTATCGAGACAAAAGACACTATCGGAAGTAGAATTTCCTCCACCGCCATCTGAGTTTTTCAACTCCAAAATTCCAGCACCGAGCCGTTTACAATCGGAGAGAATCCAGGTTTCATCTCGCACTGGGAGTAATTGCTCGATAAATCCATCGCTGGCGGTTCCAACAATTGGCCCAAACTTTTGTCAGACTGGCTTGTATAGAAACAGGTTTTTCTTGAATTGATTTCGTGGGTTTCAATTTTATCTAGCACTGTATCGTCAAGAGCATCAACGAGTCACACATTGAAAACAGCAAGGGTCCAGCAGAAGCGAACAATAAATTGCGAAAGCGTCTCCTCTCTCAATCTACCGCCGCCACCTCCGATCCTGACACAAAGCAGAGGAAGTCGGGCTCAATGCGAATCTAGATTGCTGTCGAAGAGGGGAGAAACTCTCCCATCAATAGCAATAACGCAAAGAACACGGGTCCAGTCGTCAAGAGTGTCCAGCCTTCCAAAAAGAGAAAACTCAGGCAAATTTCAAAAATGAATCATTTTAAAGTTTTATAATTTAAGAGTGAAAACATTTTTTGATCTTTGTAAAGCACGATCATCGAAATCGGTTCCCAATGCAAACGCCAAGGCAGACATACATAAAGAGCTTTTGAAGAAAGCGTCTTTCCGCCAGCAGCTCACAACAGAGGATATTGAGACAAAGATACAGGAACAGAAGGATAAACGAAAGGGGAGCTTGCGACACGATGATCAAACTTTGATCGGCATACTCAATCAAGGAATCGAACGTGTTAGAAAAGCTGTCGATAACGAAGCTGACGAGGAGGACTCTGGATATTTGGATGACTGGGGCACGGAGCAAGAGAGATCGCCAACGTAATTTTCTCTTTTGGGTTACATTGATAATTATGTTTTTGCAGTATTTCCGATGGAGTTTCACCCCTGATCTCCCCAAGTTATAATCAAATACGGCTAGGTAATTTAAGGAGAGTCTGCATATTCATGTTTTCTCTAGCTAACCAAAAAGCGTACGAAGAAGTCGAAAAGGCCAAGCTCTATGGCAATGGAAATATTATGGAAGGAAAAAAGCTATGCGTGAATAATAAGTTCGTAGGTCTATTTCTAACCAAGTTGCCAAATAGTATAAAATTTCACCCTTGTAAGTCAATTGATCTCATGAAAATGGAAGAAAAACGTAGAAATATTGATCGACTCCTGTCCGACACTCCTACTTCTGACGCTCCCGCGATGTCCATAAAAACAGTCTCATCGATGCCAACTCGATCTGTAAAGGTAGAAGATGAGCTCTTGGACGCAGTTGAGGAGAGAGTTCGCAAAGTTCTTCAGGTGACATCACTCATTGAGTTTTTGAGAAATAATAACCTTAGGACTGGAGCATCGACCAACATCAAAAATCTGGCACTCTTCCGAGCATCAAACAGTCGCTGGTGGTGAAATATGATTATTCTAAAACGTTTAGTAGATCAATTTATCCCCGGTTTTTCTATGATTGTCAACATAATCAATTATTCATCACTTTTGGAGACAGAGGAAGTCGTCCCTATCAGACGAAGAGACTCTACTCGATTCCGATTTGGAGAGCCTTCGAAGTTGGACTTTTTCGGAGAGGAGCAATCACAGGACAAGTTTTGCTCCTAAGATTCAGAATCAATTGCCTCATATACTTTTGCTCTCAATAAGAACGCTTCAATAAGAGTTTAACTTGATAAAGCAACGGTCAAGGCGGTACCAGAATCATAAGCTATCGCCCGATAAACAAGCACAGTCGTATTTTAGCTTCGATGCATAGGTGAACCTTTTCGAATCTAGGACCACAAAATTATCAATCTTCAGTGTCGGCGAGGCAGCGTACTACCGAAACATTCATCTGTAAGACCCTTGGGAAGAAAATTGTTCAAAATCTTTTTCATCAAATAAATTTATTGTTCATTATTATCCGTGAAAATGTTATCAATAATCAGAGCAGTGTATTTGAGTTGCAGGTAGTTCGGTTAGAGAGGATCGCTTATGTTCTCTGTCATTTCAGCATATTCGTTGTAATCTTAAAATTTAAATGATTAAAATAAGATCAAAAGAATACCTTGCAGTGTTTTTTCAAGCTCATAGCAAGCTCTCATCAATCGACTTCGTTCCGAATTCAGAAAAGGCAAACACTCTTTCAGGTGCTTGAATCAGTTGGCATCAAGTATTTATTCAGATTATACCTTTGTTTTGCTACTGGCAAAGTATGTCTCCTCGCAATGAATGCATTTTTCAGAGGGGCAACGTTTTCGGTGGTTCTCAACTTCTACAAACGGGAAGATCTCGTTGCAACCATCGACTTTGCATAGAAGCATCGATGTTTCAATTGCTTTCTTTTGAAAAGTTCGAGAATAATCATTTGAAAATCCTAAAAAAACGGAAGCTACTCGAGCTTAACCTGTCCTTGATAATCTGTGAAGGCGGTAGGAGAAATTTTGGGGGAGATGGACATCGATTACATATTCCACATTCTAGTTGACGGCAATATTCAACTTTGAAGCATTGACTTATACACTTGTTGCACACAAGCTCTCGGCAACACTGAAAATAAGCTAGAAAATTATGATCTATCTCTCACGGATGTTTCTCTTGGATCCTCCACCAGTTCTTCGCAGAGTTTACAGTTGAGGTTGATCATTTGTCTTTTATGTTTCGCAAACTTATCTTTCAATAATGAAACGAGTTTCTTCGAAATACGATATTTTGCAAAGTTCCTGCAATAAGCAACTTCGAGCCCAAAATATAACGATTTCTTCTTTTTCTTAAACTCCGGCATGGGAGCATGCTCTTTTCGAGTGTAAACATTGTCCTCTTCAGACGAAAAAGAGCTTGCTGTAGTGCTCGGATACTCTACGTTGGAGATTGTAGGATTCTCCTCTTTTTCATTCCCCTCTGGAAGGCTTTCTTCGCCCTTTTGACTATGTTGACCTGTGCTCTCTAATTTCTCACTCATTTTTGCTTCTATGACTTGCACTCTCCTTCAGACTGGCCGGATTTGGAATTATAAATACCCTGATACCAATCATGCCCTATCACAATTCATTTCAGTTGATTCTGAAAATCTGTCTCTTTTCTTGAACGGTAAGCATTCGTCACTAACTATCCCACAACAATATAGTTTGAGAGAGATGTATTTTGATGGCATATTTTATAAAAAAGAAGGAACAGGTTTAAACATGGACGGATTCCGTGGAGGCAAAGACTGCATTTTCTTTTAGTGTCACTGTCTGGTCGTACTAAATTTAAAGTTATGAATGGCTGGGAGAGTCCGATCGCTTATTTTTGTGAGTCTACTAGACATTATCATTTATTAGCTGTGTTACGATTATATCTACTTGTAGATAATGTTAATTTCAAGACTACCGTAGAAATGCTTACCAATGAGCGATAAGAGTAATAATTATTCTGAATCAAATTGTGACTGAGTTTGTTACCTCAATTATTTCTTATTTTTTGAGGCTTTTGATATCTTTAGCCACGTGTTGAATGGCTACCAAAATTGTAAAAGATTGAGATAACAAAATTTAAAATAATGATTCTTCCTTGTTTTCTTGAGAAAGATAAAGATAATTGTCAAGGAAGAAGCATTCTGTGGATGATTTGTTGTGAATTAGTACCTTTTCTGATTCGGGCAAAGTTTGTGTTGAGGTTGTTCTTTTTGGAGCTGAGTGGAGTGAGCTCGAATTGGCTAATAAGGATGCGTTTTCTTCGCCATTCGGGACGTTCCAAGTTCCGCTTTTCGAGCGTTTAACCGAAGCTGTCTTTTTTGTCTCCGCCACTTCGTTCAAGTCCACGGAAGAGGTAATATCATCAAGATCAGAGTCTTAATGTATATTCTCGTCTTGTTATACTATTGAGTTCTTACCTTTTTCATTTGGTCGATAAGCTTCCTCGTGTTTGTTGAAGCACATGAAATAAATGGCAGCAGCAATAATAAAAACAACGGCAAGTGATCCAAGTACAATCGCAGCAACAATAGCCCCGGCCATTTCAGCTTCATCTTCAGGGCTTACCTAAAATCAGTAACTTACTGAAGAAGCTCGAGATCAATTTGCATTGTGCTGTAATTACAGTAATCCCATCACAGAAGACTCACACTAATTCAAAATACTTTTTTGAATCTATCTTTTAATCCCAAAGCGCTCAGTGACTAAAACACACAGAAAATTTTGCTCAATCAAGAATTATCCGCAACTACTTTTTCATTATCGCAGTATACTGGTGCTTAGTTACAGATGTCGATATAACTCATGAAAAACAGTTCTAAGCTGCGATAATTAAAAGCTTTGCCGAGAATAAATGTGTCAAAAGCATACTGTGTCATTCAAAAGTTAGAATATACCGTATAAAAGATTTCATCCTCAAGACCCGGGTCACTTCTTTTGGGTAGGAGAGAAAATCGTTGTTTGCTCGAGCATACAGAGGTCGGTTAAGATCAGTTAAATTCATATTTACGAACAGAATGAAATTAATGATTCTACCCAAACTGAACGAGCCGGCAGATCGCCCCTGCCCTTCGAGAACAACTGATTCATAGTCGTTCGATGGCCGATGCCCTCCAGTAGTCACGTCATTGACAACCGTGGTTGTCTCACTTACCGCAGCCGTGGTAGTCGGAATCGGAAGGCAGTGATCTCTAAAGACAAATGCCACTGCACTTGCACCAAGGATTGATTCCGCGACAACTTTAAAAGTTTAAAGTCACCCGTCTTCTTTGGTCATTTTACCTGTTACGGCAGTAGTATTATCGAATGCGGATGTAGTAAAGTTCACTGAATTAGCAACTTTACTATCGAACTCAAAGCTGGGGTCTTCTTCAGGGCCTTCCCACCTAAGAGTCGCCGGAGGCTGGAGAACAGGCGATGAGGAGCTCACGTAGACTTAATTAATTGTATGAAATTTTTACAGCTGAAATATGACTGAATGAAATAACTAAACTATGCTTACAGGAACACTGGTCGCCTTCACGTGTCATTTCTACGGCAACAATAGCCAGTTCCCCGGTTTCGACTGTTTCGCACGTTTCTGTTTGAGTTTGGCCACAGCTGCTACTTGGCTTTGGTGCCCCAAGCCTGAATTCTTGCACAATGGAGCCATCAACGTATGTCGGATGTGCGACTTCGCAAGTGACAGCCTTAATTTATTCTTTTCTTATTTTTTTAGATTTAAATAATGGCGGGGAGCCAATTCTTAAGCTCTTGAGCGCAAATAAAATGGGTGAGTTCTTAAAGTTCTACAATGACTTTCCCAGCAGCTACAAATCGGAAATTGAGCTTTCAAGTTAACAATAGCAGAAGTAACTGTAAAATACTAAACTCAAATACCTTTCCGTCAAAAGCTTTGGTCAACTGATACGAAGCATTCACGAGATCATTTCCATTGATTGTTCGTCCAAGCTTCTCATCAATGATAATGCTTGCGCTTGCGTATGGCTTCCCATTCTCTGCACCACAAGAGACAAAAAGAGTTTTTTCCTTGATGTCGTGCTGAAACAGGATTTCATCGGGACGGACTTGAACTTCTGCTGTGACTACTGCTTCACTGGATATTGGTCGGGGAATATCTGATTGCACGAGTTTAGCGATAAAAACTCCGCATTTATATACCTTGTGCAGTAAGTCCACAGGTGAACTTGGCTTGATCGAATTCGAGTGACGATGACAAAATTCGTAAAACAGCCACTCTCCATCCATCAAGATCTTCGTTGTGTTCAAGCTCCGATTTCTCGGGCCAGTCGCCGTACCAGTTTCTTTTGCCACTGACACCCTCAGCGCTGACAATTATATCTTCAGGGTCTAAATGATTTTGAGAAAAGACCAGCTTAGGTCACACATTTTGATAGATTGGTCGCGAGTAACTATTGTTATCTGAAGGCTGCTTTATGTGATCCGGAATGGTGACGTTCGACTAATATTTACCGTCGCCAACGGTATCGAATGCTCTGTTTGAAAATTATGTGATGTTCAAATGTTTATGGCGAGTAGTGCGAATGAATGTGTCTTTGGCAAATGTGCGCTCTTACGGTAAGAGTCTTACCTATTAAAGAAGAACCTGAGTATTCGCCAAGAGCGAAATAAATGGAGGTAAGTGTCGAACTTTCTGGCAGTCGGTAGCGGCATTTCAGCTCTAGTGGCTCTTCTTTGATCCCAACGGGATCCTTCATAAAGAATTTCTTGGATTACCAAAGGCATATATTTTTACCTGGAAATCTATCTCGACACTGTCTCTAATTTCATCTGCCCTCCCAAGAGCGAGAAAGGCTCCGGTGAGTATCGATAGCATCATCTGTCAGATCTTCGTTTGGGAAAAATTCAGCAATCCTAATGAAAGTTGTAAATTCCGCCGAAAATCTCTGTGAAATTGTGAAAATTTGGCTCCGTCCGTTTCCGTATGCTGTCAAAAACTCTTCTTTATGAAAAATTCAAGAAGAGAAAAAACGTTGATGTGCTCGACACGTCCGACAGGACAAGAAAAGTGGACCGGCGCTCCTTTTCTTTCAAGTTCTTGAGCGGTGATTGACAACACAGCGCTATTGTGCCACAAATAAAAACACCAGGTATCACTTTCATATAGTAAGTTACTATGAGATGGTCAAAAGAATTTACGTTGCTAAAATTAAAGTTCGCGACTAACTAGCTGGCTACATAACAAAATACACATTTGGGAACTAAGCTCAGTTGGATTAAGAAACCTGTCAGATATGATAGCGCCACTGTGTTGAAACTATTGCTCAAGTAAGTAAAGCGAAGGTAAATGCTCTCGAAAACTTATACGTTTCTTACTCTTTTGTAAATCGACGTTTGTTACACGAATTGCTGGGAATTTCTAGATCAGGGGCCCTTTTTTAAATCGCGTGATTCACCGAAGTGGCGGCTGATTCTTTGATCTTCTCCAATCTCAAGGTGAATGCTCGTTTTGCTACACTTTGAATATCTCTTGAAACGACAAGAATTTCATAAAAACATTCCCCGTTAAAAGATTTTTTATACTGAGGTGTTAACGCGATTGTGTGGAAAGATCGAAGAAGAAAGGAGCAGCGCCGGAAGAAGGCTCTATTGAATTCGATTCCCTGGGACAAAAGACAACTCTAGTCTTACGAGAAATTTTTGTATGCGCTAATGAGCATTGCAAAAAATAAGACTTACTTTTTCTTTTCGCTATTCCATGTGATCTTTGACAAAGCTTCTCTTCTCTTCCATAGATTGCCGATCCTCTCGTTTTGCGTGCCCAAAAGAGCCGACTCAAAGGATTTGACATGCAAACAGATACGGTCATCGAATAGGCGACCATTTCGGGGTCCGCAAAGACAAATAAGAAGAAACCAAATCAAACATCGCAAAATTTCCAATCAAGCACATTTCCTGCGAATTGATGCTATCGTTAAAATTCCCCTGCGTAGAAGCAAATGTAAAAAACATCAATCAAGTCACAGTGATGATTTGATCAAGTGAAATATGAAGTTGCTTTGTTTTATTACGCAGGGTCGCAATTCTGTGTAAGGTGTTCTAAGTAGGGATCACGGAATATCAAAGATAAAATTAACGAAATAATCAATTGACAGTGCGAGTTAAAAATATTTCAAGAAAATAACAGTAAAAGAAATTTACGGAAGATAAGGGAAATTTCAATCATAAAAAGCGAGGAAGTGGATTAAAATTAAAAGGAAACTAAATAAGGATTCTTTCAATTTAGGCAGGTGTAGAAAAGATGAGGGCCGGTTATCTACAGGGTCGTTTTTCTGGTTTAACATCAAGGGTCATTTATCTGCTTCTTCTACACGGCCACCGTCTTCAGTGGTGACGTCGCTGCTGAAAGAAGTGTTAGCAGAGGTGCTTGTCCGGTTGAAGCTGAGATGGTTCTCACATCCTATTGGCACATTGAATGTTGATCTTTCGCAGTACGTGGACCTTAAAGGTAAGATGAAAAACAGCATTTTGGAAATCATTACCTGTTCAATGTATCAATTTCATCAGTCAAACGGTCAACCTCATCTGTATAGGTCTCAATGTCATCTTCGTCTTCTCTAAGCTCTGCAGTGAAGAGCCGCCATTTTGCTTCAGCTAGAAAGATATCAATAATTCCACGAAACGTTATCGATAAGTTGAAATGTAGCAGTACTTACTCAAGTCGATATCCGCGTGGACGACGCCGTCGAGGAGAAACATCGTTTTTGTTTTCCTTACTTGGGTATTGCCGTGTTGTACTTTTTCTGCGGGGATGTGACAAAAAATGTATCCTGAAAATAGTCAGTTATTTCTCAAAGAAAAATTATCTATCGAAACATGCCTTGTCTTTTTTCTGTAATAGTATCTGTATCTTTCTTCTTCGAAATGTAGATTTTGTGATGGCTGCTTCTCGTGTAGAAATGGACGTTAACAGTCTTCTCTTCTTCGTTTTTAGAGAGCACAGTTCCATAATACGCGCTCTCGTACATACAGCCAACGAAATCTCCGACTGAAAGATCTTCGATTTTGTGAGTCGCCTCTCTATCTCAGTGCTTTGGAATCAAGTCTTACGCCATTTTTAAAAGATCAAAATTGACATTTTCGAAAGTAAGCTCTTTCCTGTATCGCTGTATAATGACGTCTTCTTCGTCTTCTGACTCATTCTCTACCTCAACGGGCTCTGCGTTGGTACCAGATTGCTCTTCGGTCAAATCGGGTGATTCACGCGGGGACTCCAACTCTTCAGAAGCTTCGACCGATGATCCTGAGCTGCTTGAAGGCCTTGATGTTTCTGGAGAGTCGAGTCTTCTTTTTTTCGCCCTGTTGTGCGTGTCCCACTCGGTAACAAACGATGTTTCGTCGGATTGGTACCGAAACCAACGCTTTGCTTTGTCGCCATGGGTCCACATTTTGGGAACGACTTCTCCAGAACCATCACCAAATTGAAACTTTACACCCGTGTTAGTCAGTGCTTCCTAGAATGAAATTAATTCCTAATCAGAGAATTGGTAGAAATCTTACTTTCATCGCTTCTTTGATGTGCTTATTTTTTCCGAGAGTGTCCCTATTTTCTTCGAACATCTTCAGCTTCGATTCAGCGATCCAGCTTATCTGATGAGTACCGAAGAAGAAGATCGGCCAGCTAGGATAATTTTTGTGTGTATAGAATATCATTATTCTACCAGAAGTCTATTGAGTCAGGAATGTTTCCTTGTTCCCGAATATTGCAGTCTTTCGGGCGAACGCAGTCGATTCGTGCTGGCCAGTAGGGAAACCCGCGCATCTTGGCAAAAACAAGATCCCCATGATGAAATGGAGATCTGTAGCTTGTCCCACGCGCTGCCTCATCCCGAGCTTTCAAAGGGTGCAAGTCTAGTAGTTAGACTCTAGTTATAAAAAATAATCTTGCACTTCTGTAATTTCATCAAAATTTGAATTATTAAAATTATTAATGATCTAATTTCGAAATGCTTATTTTTATAACTATTTATCACGATGATGAGCACCCGAAACCTAAAGAATCCATTCTGAAAATAATGATTTAAGTTTTAAGCATTGTAAAAATTGAATTGAATAAAACCTTCGTTATAAGTCAAAAACTAATACAGGCACGGAAAGAGTAATCATTGCATCAGAAGTTATAATTACAAAAAGCATTTCATCAGCGTTCTATACAATATTGAAAGTGATTGCGCTGAAATTTCGAAAGAAAAATCGAAGGCCTTGAAGATAAACTATTTAGAAAAAAAAAGTTAATTTTGAAAAATATTGAACAGTGGCAGTGATTATATAAATTTATGACAAGGGTGACCTAGAGTGATCATAGCGAGAAGTTAAAATATTCTAGTGACAACGTTCCTTCAAGAACTTCTATACTTTTTTTACTGTAAAGGCTTAACACGCGTCAAAGCTTGCCAGTCTTCATTCTCGTTTTCCACTTCTTCAGTCGCGCCATCTATCCATCTTTGAGTCCATTCGAGAGTCTAAAATAATGATTTAGTTGGAGGTGTATTCTGTAGAATTGTATTGATTGGCGACTGCGAAAAGAAATTTCTGATGTTCAGATTTGATAATCATGTTAAAAAGCTAAGAATCGAACTTACTTTTGATCTTTCCTTTCTAACAAAGTCTCCGTTTTCGTCCCCGAATTGAAGCTTTACCCATGGTTTGGTCAGCGCCTCCTGTAAGTAAAGATATAAAAGGAAGATTATTAGGCAACTTTTCTTGTACCTGGAAAGCTATCTTCAGCTTTTTTGTTGTTCTTTTTCTACCATCACAATATTCCTTGGCCTTTTCAAAATCTAGCGGTCGCAAATTTTCATAGTTGATCCAGGAGATCTGGTGCGTTCCGTAAAAGAAAACAGGGTGCCTTAAAACTTATAGTTAAGACAGGGAGTGTTCTGATGAGAATTACTTGAAGTCGCGTTCTGCCATGAGAACTGGCCCCTGTAGACGATGAGGACATTGCGAAGCTCTGACGAAATCGATTCTCGAGGGCCACCACGGATACCCTTTAATCTTTGCTAAGCAAGGCAGTCCATGTTGGTACTCACTCAATTTTCGCTCTTTCTTTACTTTTCTTTTAACCATTCTAAAATAGGAGTTAAAAGAAACACGGAGGATACATTTTCGAAGACAATTTATCAGCTAGTGTCGCTGCTTTTTGCGAATTGTCAAAGTTTTCAATTTTAGAGATAGCAATTGTTTTAGGAGAAATGCCAAACAGTCTAGAAAGTTCCGTATTTTGGTTGACATGAGTTGAGTTTGCAGCTCGACTGATTCTTTCTTCATTGTACTCATTTAGATAAGTCGTGATTTTTAAATGGACGTCTTGGTAGAATTTATCTTCAAGAGATTTTAGTATTATGAACGTTTATGAAATCAGAAGTTAGTAGCCCCTAACTATAGGCATGCATTTTGATAAAGATAATAACTTACCCACTGGCGACAAAATAGGAAGCTCTGAGATGTCATTATCTTCATAGTGCCACAACCACTGAATGATTTTTCCATGTTCATTAAATTTATGAACGATTCTAAGTCTTTCGATGTGAGGCTCTTTGAAAATGTGGTGAGGCGTGTTAGAGTCTCTCCAATAAGTTTTCATCTCCGCTTCTTGTAGGTTGTTTATCGGAGCTCTCGTAGGTAGAATGAGACGGCGATCCAGTAACAGAGTAACAACTGATGAGTCGCTTAAAAAGTTAAAACTACCAGTGTAACATAACTTTCATTTACGTGTAGTGATCTATCCGTTCTATTTGGAATTTGGTGAAGCATGGCATAAGCCGATGACTATCATCTTCTACGTAACTCGAAAGTTGACGAGGTGGCATGCGGATCAGATGCTCATCTGATGATCGAAATTGCAGCTTACGGATGAGATCGTCAGTCGGTGTCTTCGTTTCCGGTGCTACAAGACTACTGTATTCACTAAGGCAACTTTGAGAAATTTCCATAAGTTCAGTATGCTATCTTTTATTCGCGTATATGAAAACTATTCCTAAGCCATTGAAATTTTATTTCTGACTCTGAGAGAAATCTTGCGAATTCAGAAAAGCTTTTGAAAGAAAAAGGAATCGCTGCAGTGTTCCACTCCCAGCTTTGCACATGTCGTTCTCCGTAAATAATCTCACAATTTTCAGAAGAGAAAAATTCTTTCATACGATCTACTGCTTGCATTGCACTTGTTCGGGATAAAAAATGGTATACTCCGAAAGAATATTTTAGTAACTGTAGTTATATTCTGATAGCCCGTGGCTGTTTACATCTTGCTTCAATTGAGCCATAAATTCAGCAATATCATCAGGCCGAAAAAGGCGATAGAAGTTTAACCAGCAATTGAGATCGTGCTCTTTCAACACATGCGAAAACTTTTGTAAGGGAAGAAATCCATTCTCAACATCATTCCATAAAGACTCGACTACAGCAGATCGTGAGCCAAGCAACTTTTGATCATCTAACGGGGTCGACTTAATTTTGAAAAGTCCTTGGTCGTTCGACTCGCCGCGTCCTGCGCCGGTACTATCTGTCCTACAATATTGGGAACGCGCGTTGCACTGAGCATTGGTTTTATACTAAGAGTAAATATGAATACTATACTCGAGCGAGAAATAACACACGACCGGGAAAAACCATTACTGACGGATGATCTGAATCCAAACAGAAGCGACCAGCGTTCCAGCTATAAATTTGATCGCTTTGGTTGGATCTCGAGCAGTGCGGCCGAGAAGCCTAACGGCGCTTATTCTCAAAGGTATCCTCGTTATCATGTTGCTTTTTCTGAATTCAGAAGCATTTGGACTCTGGATACTCATGCACATGCCTTGCAAAGGAAAACAAAAAAACCGAGCTCAAGGATTAAATTATATATGATCTCAGTGTATTCTTTTGAACGAGCATAGTTATTATACAGAAATTAAGAGATTTTCGAGTGTTTTCTTTTCGTAAATGTAGTGTTAGATGCAGATGGAACTTCAGGATTGAACAAAATCGTCCATCGGTAGTAATAGCTACTTTATTCGGCAGGTAAAATCTCGCTTAGTAGAAGTGATTGTTTTTTGATCGCGCTGAACGGTCAGGAGACATGTTCAGTTTCTGTTGAAAATAGGTAAAACTAGGTCGGCGTGGGGGCAATATCGGTACAAGTTGGATTGTCGACACCGTCGCGTGAAAGCGCCGGTGGCACAGGCAGTAGTAGGTTTTGCTCGAATTTCTCCTCGAACTAAAAAACACGTTACTCTAACGCTAACAGTGGTGGTTAATTACGGCTATCATAACTGAGCCAAAGCAAAGGGATGATAATCCAACAGGAGGCGAGCCATCAGGGTGCCGGGGAAAGAGAAGAAATGAAGTTGCGACTGCCGCAGATTGGTCTTCGAGTATTTCGTAGCAAACAGGCTGGGGTGGCTCGTCAACAATGGTTTTCTCGGTTGAGAGATGAACTTGAGCAAATGGACGCGCTGCCATTTCGCGCATCTCGTTCAAAACCGCTCGACGTTGCAGATACAGGTCGTACATTGTTTTCAACTAGAAAGTAGTCAGCAAGGGCCCACGTCAACTCTTTTCTATTTTACCTTCCAGCCTATAACAGCGAGCAAAAGCAGGGATAGGAAGCAAGCGAAAAACACCAAAAAGAACGTCAACAAACTCATTCTGCTCTGTTGGCGTACTTGAACCTGTAAAGACTGTTGTTAGCTCACGAAACTGGATTAATATCATACTTTGATGAATATTGGTGTAGAAAAATCATGGATATAAATACGCATTGCGCGCTGGGTTTCGTTCCCAAACTTGTACTCTTTATGTGATACATTGAGAACGTATTTTTTTGTTGCATTAGTTGAGCCATTGATGAGCACTTCTTTCTCGTTGGGCAAAAATGTCGTTACATTCACCATGAAGAATTTGTTTGTCATATTGAAACCTAAAAAAAGTAAACTGATGCCTCACTGAGCTCCATCGATACCTTCAGCATTGTCGTCGATGGTAACTTCGACTTCAATATCCGGTTCCTCTTTCAGCTCAATAACATGACAATTCAGCGCTGTGACAGCTCTAAACCGATGCATTTTAAATTCCGTTTATTCATCGGCTAACTTACTTGTCGTCGTCTTTATTCAAACGGAAGCTGTATGCATATGCACCAGTGATATTGTAATAGCAGGAGGAGTTTTCTGGATCGCCCCAGTATTTATTCCCGATATTGCACTAGAAAATTTAGGACAGATAAAAAGGCAAAGACTTACTTCGTCACAATGTTTGCCAGAAATGCCTTTCGTGGTGCAGTGACACTTGCCAGTTTTATAATCACAGCCCTTGCTGTTCTTAGAACATTTACACTCTTCGCAAATTCCACCATTCAATGCATTGCCGTGGTAGCCCTCCTAGTAATAACAATTGATAATGCATTCATATATGATTTCGCTTACCGCGCAACGTTCGCAGTTTGCACCAGCTGTGTTTTCTTGTGCGCAGTTTAAGCAGACGTTTTGGTTGTTACGGTCGCACTTGGAGTGACCAGAGCAGTTACAACTCGGGCAATGGATCCAAAACCAGTTGTTAGCCGGACAGACAGAGGTAGCGGATTTACTAGAGCCGACTAAAGAAGGTTAAAATCTTCCTATGTATTAACAACTTACATAGGGTTCCATCCATGCAGGTGCCGGATCCAGTTTGCGTTCCGTCATCACACCAACCACAACGAGGATCGCTTTGGCAGCTTTTACAGGTTTTGTGTCCTCCGCATTCTGTCTTATCGCAGTGATCTTTGTTAAACCACTCAAAGCATTGCCCAAATGGAAAAGACGTAACATAAGCCTCATTGCTGACGCAGACACCAAGTCTTCCGCACCACATACAAGAAGAATTATTCTTTTCGCCGACGCATTCGCCACAAGTTTTAAAGACTCCACACTCGAATTCTGTCGTGTCTGTACCTTTTAGACAAGAATCAAGAGTATTGTGCCGAGTGATATTGCTCGTTGTTGATAGCGATTCCGGCAAGATACAGCTGTAGTGTCGTTTCTCATTATCACTAAGTCCATTTAAGAAAAATGGTTAAGAATATTGCTACCTTTTCACAACGTAGGAGCAGCCAGATGTTATACACGAAGTACAGCGTTTATGGGATAGGCTACATGTCCACTGTTTAAAATCTGGGCAGTCGCGGACGTTGCTGTAACATTTATTCGTGTTTCTATATCCCTTCTCCGGCGACGCAGCGCAGCTATCTTTGTCAGGCGCAGACGAATCCTCACAATAATGACATCCGTCATCACGCTGACTGTTTTTATATACACACGAGCTACAGTAGGTACTCTCGGCAAAAGGATGCTCAACGCGTTCACATGAATCGTCATTCGTTCTCGTCACAACTGAACACTCATTTGGGATCTGGGAAGGGGCAAAGGTGATGATCTCATTCTTCAACTCTCCGTTATAGCCTCCGATGAGCATAATCCGATCTTCAAACGAAAGAGCCGTTGAGCCATATCGAGGAAACCACTTGGCTGAAGACTTAAAAGTAGTCCATTTTCCACATTCAATCGAATAGAGCAGAATTTCATCAGAGAAACAGAGGGTACCCGAGCTGTGAGTAGAATCAGTGTGTGCGTTGCCAGAAAGAAAGATCAAGTGACGATTGACAATGCCGCCTCCATGAAGCCACCTTCTCGACGCTGTCTCAGCTGTTCTCAGTTGGCTGAAAATTCTACTCGTTGCGTCATATAAAACCAACTCGTTCCGCACATTATTGTTTTGAAATCCTCCATACAAATATACATGAGTTGGGTTTTCTGGGTCAACGACGGAAGAATGACCGTAACTGCCAGGAACTCGGAAACCAAGCGTTTCTGGATATCGAAAGAGTAGCTGATCGATCTTCTCATCGTGGGGAATGAACTCGATTGTCAAAGAGACGAAGCCAGCATCTCCGACATATCCACCAAAACAGAGAATCAACTCAGTGCCGTTTCCAAAAGTTACAGTAACCATCGAATGGCCAGACATTGTAAAAAGTTTTTCCTCTGTCTGATCATCTGAGTATGGGGTCGCTTTTGCTTGAGTCCAGCCGATGTTTTGCGAAGTGTCGAGAACCCATAGATCGTTGAACAGGTGATAATCTGGAAATTTTGCTCCTCCATAGATTAAAGCCAGTTTTTCCTTGAAAATGGTCATTGGGGCGCCATATCGTATTGGGGGAGAAGAGTATTGTAATTTCTTCGGCTCAATGGCCGCGTCTATGTCGATCAGCCAAGTTGCATTATCAGGAGCAGTTGTTACGTCCGGGAACTGATAGCCTCCCCAAAAGAATATCTTTGCTCCTATTCGCGCAGATGATGGCAGCGATCGAGCAATCATTTCTTCTGGTAGAATAGATCGGTCAAGAGTGAGCAGTCCAAAGGCTGTATTTTCGACTAACGCTGGTAAGGGATTGAGAGGCTCGGGAATCTTTGGAATTGAACGGATGGTTAAATCGAAGCCAGACATGTTGTATGCCATGTCGGAATAAAAATGAAGAAATGCATGACCAGATGTTGCGTAAAGGAGCGGAGGATTGTTCGAAATTCCGCAGAGGGAGGCGAGTAAAGTCGATTTTAACGAAGACGTGCCATCGTATATGTACAAGTGATCCCAGCCGCATTCAGTTTCGAAAAAGGTCACATTTATCTCGATTGGAAGTGGCTTCTCAGCATCGTCAAGCTCGGCTCTTACCAACCACGAGCATTTTGCGTTTTGGTGACTTGAGTAGTTCTGATTTCCGTCGTGAATCTGTTGCAGCTCGTTGTACGCTTGCATCTCTACTCGTCCGGAGCACATGGAGCAATCTTCGCCGGTCCAGCCGGGCGCGCACTCACAGTACTGCGTACCGCTGGTCGTGATCGCACAACTCCCGCCGTTTTCGCATTTTCGGTTGCAGTTTTTACGGCTACCATCGCTAGAAAATGGCTAAAAACTATGTCCGGACATTATTCGTGTACCTTGTGGAGATAGAGTCGTACGATCCCCTGGCTAGAACGAGGACGAGTGTGGCGAGTAGGCCATTTAGCGTAAAGAAGCGAATCATCTAGCATGCGTGTCGTAGTTCCTCATTTTTGACAGTGATCCGGCCGAGTAAAGGTCAACTCGGCAGGAAATCGCGAAAATCAGACACGCTTGAGAGTCTAAATGGTTTACCGTTTATTTCAGCTCAACGAAAACGATACTAACGCATGGACAATAAAAAGTAGTAAAAGAATCATGTGCCGCAAGAAGCGGATCTTTTCGCTAAACCGGAATATTTAGCGCCACAAGTCTAGGCCAGATCTATGTTCACTGGATCTTTTGGGCGATTAGTTGCCGGTTTTTGTGCTTTACCCGGATCTTTTTTTGACATGTAAAACTCTTCGAAATCGAGTGTGGCATTATTTCGATAACGAATGCACAGTCCCGGTTTTTCTCTAATTTAAGACTCGGGGAAAGTACATTGTTTTGTGTATCTACAAGTTTAATGCTGGCTGCCAGACCAGGTCTTTTGAATAATCTACACTTGATAATCGATAATTTATTTTGCGGTTACTATCTTTTCAAGTGCTGGCAATGTTTAACGCCAGATCTTTTCGCGAACGGCTTTTGAAATAACGTGCATCACTTTTATTGCTCTTTGGGTCGAATAAAAAATAGTACTGAAGGAGTGCCGATACATGAGAAAACGTACGTATGACAGTAATTGATTTGTAAGACCAAATTAATTAATCTATAAACAGTAACCACACTGGCTTCTGTTATATAAAAAAAATATGCAAAATGGACTCAATTTAAGCGCCATTCGATGCACGATGAATAGACTAGACGGGGACTAAAGTCGGAAGGGGACGATAACATGAGTGCGCACGATTACTGTTAAATACAATAAAAATCAGCTACGAAGGGTGAAACTTTAAGGTGTCATTGTCTTAGTCAAATAGTAAATTATCAGGTGAAAATGCATTACTTGTGGACGCGTATTCAAATGGCCAAAAATAAGTGACATTGAATTCATGAAGCTTTCAGATGTAGTTCAGGAGAGGAGAACTTGGTAGTAAAGGATCAGTCAGATTTAAAATAATAACAGTCGATAAACCAAAAACAGCGCTAGTTCGCTGCCAATACTTCCTCTTCTTCAGCTTCCGCTTCAGGTTTAGCGGAATCAAGGGTTGACTCGAGATCGAGAGTGTCATTGATATCTTCGATATCTTCGATGTCCTGTTCATCCCGCTGATCATCTTCGCCATCTCCTTCTTCTTGCTTATGCCAAACAAGCACCAACTGTCGCCCTGGAATCCATCAATTAAACGAAGCGACGAACATACAATTCTTACCATTGAACGATTTTCCCCGGTTCTCAGCACTTTCTGCCTGCTGTCTAGTCCTGTACTCAACAATCATGGTGACACCTTCCTCCTCGAACGAGATATCGGCGATCTCTCCGAACTGGGCAAAATGCGTAATGCACTCGTCGCGCTCGCTCTCTTTGAAGCCGGTGATTCGCAGCTGCCGCGGTCGTCGGTCAAGGGTAGCAGTTTGCGCAAAACGTTGAGAACGAGGCCGCCGCAGCTCAGCCTTAATTTTCATTAGCTCTTAAACTAACATCAGAAGTTTACCTTCGCTTGACGTCTCTCAGAGAGCTCAATGTCTCTTTCTAGCGCTTTTATCGAGGATCTTCGTTGATCAATGGAGTTAGTCAACTGCTTTAGAGTGTCAAGAACGACTTGGCGCTTCTTCGGCCCTAAGTTGCCCTTCTCTAGCATTTTAATCAACATTTTCTGCTCGGCTTGTTGTCCTTCTAAAAGGCCAGTGTACTGATTTCTCAAATCGATGCTCTGAAGTAGTTTTGTTGGAACATGTTAAAAGTGGATAGTAATTAACCTTTTGAACAGCTTCTGATCGCTTCTCTTTTTGTTTGTTTCTTGCTTCTTCGACAATCTTGGGTTCTTCTTGGGGATTACAAAACTTTATCTCACTGAGAAAAAAATATAATTTCAAAGATTGTTCTTTTGTAATCTGTTCCTTCGACAGTGACATTAGTGACAGTTCGCTTGATTTCGCCGATAGTGGTTTCATCAATCGCGGTGGTTTCTTCAGCGTTCTCTGAGTTAGGGCGTTTTCGAGCAACGCGCTGGCCAATATTGCCCTTTTGCACCTGTGCTGGTGGCGGTCGGTAGAAGAAAACGCGCACGAAGCGATTGTTAAGCACAGGCTCGGGCGATTGATACGCACGGTTGGCCATTTCCGCCGACGCAAATTGGACGAGCGCGTTCTCTGGGTGCCCAAAGGCTACCTTGGGGACAAGTGTGAAATATTTGCGTGAATATTAATTAGTACCTGGATATTTGTAATTTGACCAAACTTCGAAAAGTGATCGTTGAGTTTTTGAATAGTGTTTTCGTGAACAGGAATCTTTCGAACTTCAAGACTGAAAATGAAACGATTCCTTCAATATTCTAAGAAACTGTTTTTACCTGCATCCTTGCTGAGGATTAAGAACGGTCCTTGAAATTTGGCCTGGCGCATTGCCATTTTTAGTTCTTGTTAAACCTTGCACAACAGGAGGCGGCATATTAGGTGGAGCAAAAGGAGGTATTCCTACGGGTGGTACAGGTGGAAGACCGAACGGTGGGATTGGAGGCATTCCAGGAGGAATCTATGACGATTAAGCTTGATTTCGGCGTAACATCCTTACCATGTGAGGAGGTGGTGGCATGTTAGGGGGGACAGGTGGAAGAGACATGTTTGGCAGTGGTGGCGGCTTGGCGGAGTCAATGGAGATTGCGTCTTCACCGTGATCGAAGGTGCATTGATCTCCCTATAAAACATAGGAACTATTCACAGAATAAAATACTTACAGCTAGGCAGTAACCCTTTTCGTGGTAGTCAGTGCAGGGGTCCCTCTTTTTGGAGCTTCCGTTCTGACTCGTCTTCGTAGTTTTGGAACGAGGCGGGGAACGCGATTGCGCTCGATGAGTGTTCACCTTGTCCGAAGACTTTCTTCGGGGAGATCTGGATCGACTGAATGCTATGTTGATTTCTTATATTATTGAGGAATACATACGATCTTCTATCACGCGATCGGGATCTTCGCCGTCGCTCTCTCGAACGGCTCCGTCGTCGACGATCACCTCGATCTCGCGAGCGGCTTCGGCGACGAGGACTTCGATCTCGTTTTCGATCTCGCGAAGACGAGTCTTTAGACGGTTCCTTGCTTGTATCCTAAATAAGAGTCAAACTACAACTTTCTAAAATTGCATTACCTTCAAGTAGTCCTTGTATTTGATCGTATAAAAAAGCTTGTCAATAAAGCGCTCCGTATCGCGCTGAAGGAAGACTTCAAGCTGATCCGAGCATAATTTGCGAATTTCCTTTTCGGACTGATCTTTCTTGACGATAAGCGCAAGCACGTATTTAGCAAGCGCTTTTGGGTCTATCAAAATGCGTTAGCTATTGTCAAAATTAAATCCGCATTACCGGCATCACAGATGGGGGACAGAGTCTCTGTCAGCCAAGACTTGAATGCATCTTTATTCTCGATCACAACTGCCATGATTCTCAGTACGATACGATAAGTACTAAGATTTATACATTTGTTTATTTCGAGTGGTTGAGCTTTTGTTAAATCGAAAGATTGAGCAATTTAGTTGAAATATTGAAAATACGCCTGGTGAGAACGCTCCCTAACATTTACATTCCCACGTTTTTAGGGAAAATAAGCGTAGCTTTAACTTACCACTTTTAGCCCGAATATTAAACACAATCTCAGTAATCAACAGATAACTTATCCCTATGTTTTATTACTTATAGTTATTTACCACTAGTTGCCACCGGAAAAGGAAATATCACAAACAAATAAAAAAGTAGCACAAAGAAATTGTTACTGTACAGTTTTTTAGTCAGGAACAGAACTTTGGCGGTGATTTCCTTTAGCATTCGAGGATTTTTCATTCAATATCTTTTCTAGGGAGTCAATCGCTTGGGATCTCGGGGGAATAGCGACGCCATTCGAATATTATGAAGACCCAAGTAGAGCATCGTCACTCGCTCCATACCGATTCCACCACCAGCGTGGGGAGGACAACCGTATTTGAAGGCTTCGATGTAAGCATCAATGTGCTTAAAAAGTATATTCATGGGAATAGAATGTTGGACAAACTTTTAAGTTGATTCCATGATGAAGTGCTCTTTCAATGAGAAGGTCGGGATCGTGAATACGTTGGGCGCCCGACAAGATCTCCTCTCCTCTCATGAACATGTCGTATGAGTTGGAATATCGAGGATCAGATGGATCAGGCATAGTGTAGAAAGGACGCACGGCGAGTGGGTACTTGTCCAAAATGTAGAAATCAGTATTGTATTTTTCTTTGACTAGCTTGCCGAGGAACTTCTCAACGGGAGTGCTAGTATGAAACGTTAATTTGTAATTTCACTTTCCTAGAATACCTCAAATCATCCTCGTCGCCGATTTCGACGCCGTTTTCTCGGAGCATCTTGAGAGCTTCCGGGAATTCAAGGACAAGAGAAGGCTCAAGGAACTCGAACTCGTCTCTCGGATACTGCTCGTTGACAGTCGCGACTTCTCGTTGACACTCCGCACGAAGACCTTTGAAGATGGCGATGAAAGTATCGCCAATTTCTCGGAGAACTTCGTGGTAATGATATCTAAGTCAAGATTATTCTCGAGGTAAATATATATTGGTTTACTTGAAAGCCATTTCCATGTCAAGGCCGACGAACTCCGTCAAGTGCCGATGAGTATTGGAGTCCTCAGCTCGGAAAACAGCACCGGTAGTGAACACTTTGTCGAAATCGGCAGCGATTGCCATCTGCTTGTAAAGCTGTGGACTCTGCGCAAGGAAAGCATCACTTAGTAGAGGTAAATATAGCAAGAATAAGTTTTCTTTTTTTACCGCTTGAAGTATGAAAGAGTGAAAACATTCGCACCGCCCTCTGAAGCTGCAGAAATGATCTTTGGAGTATGGATCTCCGTGAAGCCTTTTTCGGACAAATGATTTCGGAAGAGACGGCAAACTGCAGCTTGGATTCGGAAAATAGCATGCTTCGTTGTTGTCCGAAGATCCAAAACACGATTGTCCAAACGAGTATCAGGGTTGACTCGGACGAGGCCGTCATCTGGCTCCCCGTCAGCCTTTTCTGGGCTTAATGAATTGCTGATTTTGTTGTTATTTTTAGTGTAACTAACCGAGAGGCATCTTCGATTTGAAGGGGCAAGATCGGCAAGGACTTTGAAACGACGAAGAGTTTCTTGACCTTGAGTTCTACATTTTTCTGAGAACAGCTCTCAATTTTAGTTGGGCTCTTTACGACGTCAGCGTGAATATCGATGATCGATTCTTTTGATAGCGACGCTGCATATTTTAACATTTGCTTTGACACTCCCTGAATATCTATGATAGAATGATCGCCACCAATCAGGTTATACCTTCTCGATATCAGCAAGGAGAAGAGCTTGGCAAGTGTATTGACTTTCTCGCAGAGTCAAGAAAACCATGGCGGATCCTTGAGCTCTTGAGTTATGAATTCGAGCGCGCACCCACACGGATTTCTTGTCCATCTTTTCATCCAAAGAACCAACAGAAGCGAAATCTCTGTCAATGACTTCAGATGAGTTGATAACTCCATAATCGCCGTAATTCTTTATGCTCTCTTCTGTATCATCTTGAACTTTTGCGGTAGATTTCTGAGGCTTTGCATCTTCTTTGATCCCTTTCTCGGCCTTTTCTTTCGCTCTAAATCGATGATGCAGGTGTTTTAGAAGAACCGAGAGTTACCGAAGCTCAGCTGCCTTAGCTTTCTTTGCTGCTTTTTTGGCCTCCTTTTCTTTCTGTTTTTCCAAGTTTACTTTTTGCTCGACTTGCTTCTTTTCCTTTTTTGGTGGACTAAGAAGTGGCTTTATTAATTTTTCAACAAACAAAACAAAAAGCAGTCAAATTGCGACCGCTTTAGGACTTACCCGTAGTCGCATCCAGCGATTTCTTTGTACTCAGCTTTGAGAGAAAGCAAGATCTTGACGGCCTGGTCAATATCATTCTTCTCCGCTTTGGCAGTCTTCAATTCTCGAACCTTTTCGCCTTGGGCGGTGATCTCCGCCGCTTTCGCGACTGCTTCTGGTTTGTCAGCCATTCTAAAGCGGGAATAAGATGAAAATCGTACTCGACACGAAGTTAGTAGACGAGCATGCTTTCTATTATTTTTTGGTATTTTAGCGAGTACATGAATTGTTAATAGGAAGATATACATGGATGGCGAGGTTCGTTTGATGCTCGAGTCGGGGCTGTATTCTCTCACCTTGTGTGTGAAAGCATTAGAGATCGAATTTGAGAATTTCGAAAGGTCAAATTTGCCGGAGAACGTAATAATGTGACTCGCGTAGAAGCACGAACGAAATTTGAGAGTAACATAATTGGCAGTGGCTATCTGAAACAGTAATTATTCTATACTTTTCAAGGTTTATTCTTAGTTTTATACAATCTATGAATTTAGCCTAAATTCAGATGATCAACAAGAAAAGTCTGCGAGGTCAGGAAATAATAACAAAAACAATCAAAACTTCGTTTGTAACAAAAATGGTTCATCATCAGAAGAAGGAGCAAATATACGGTGGCATTTGAATTAAGCTAATGAACAATGCCGGATAGACATGAGTGCGATGGAAAATTATGCTAAGAGATCTCTGAATAGAATTATTCGTTTTGGCGGGATTTGATTATTTCTATCAGTTCATCACGGTCCTCTCCTGTTTTAACGCGGATGAGAATCGGAATAGCACCATCAACACCGTCGATCGGAGGGTTCGGCACGAGCTATTTGATATTCTAGTGAGCAAATAAGCGTACAAACGCTGACATACCGGAAGTAGACAATTGTTCTTTCCAACCGCGCTTGGCTCGGGCTTTTTAGGTATTCCAACGTTCATCAAAATGTTTCCAAGCGTGTTATCAGCTCTCACCAGGATCTGCCCTTTATTTCCGTCCAGCGGCTTCACAAAAAGTTTGCCGACCCCTAAGGATTGAATCGAATAAATAATGGAAATGTGTTGTGCAAGAACATACCGATTTCTTTGTAGTTTCCGTCCTTCGAATAGAACAGTTTTGCTTTTTTGGTGTAAAGGGAGTCTTTCTCGTCGTCAAATTCAGTCTCCTCTACTTTAGGTGGTTGGTATTCCTCATCCCCTTCACCACCGGTTGACGCTGGAGGAGCGGCGACTGATGATGGGGGCGCACCAAAGCCGAAACTAGGCGCGGCTCCACCAGCAAGAGACGAAGCACCAGATCCGAATTTGAAAGTGAAAGCTGGTTTAGCTTCGCCACTGTCTGTTTTTGACGTACCGCCAAGATTGAACAGTGAAGGCTTCGCAGGGTCGCTTTTAGCGGGCTCACTCGATTTGAAAGAAAATTTCGGCGCTTCTGAAGAGCCATTCGAGGGCTAGAATAATATGAGAAATTGCTAACAGTGTGGATTTTACTTTGAAGGAAAATTTTGGAGGGTCACTGGACTCTGTTGGGGCGAATGAAAATTTCTTTGCTTTTTCAGGATCGCTTGGTTTGAAAGAGAACTTTGGTGCCTCGGGCTCAGTTTTTTCCTTATCTTGACTAGACGGTGCGCTCGAGTAACCATTGTCGTTATCTTTCGAAACAGAGGAAATAAGCTTATTTGTTGGTTTATTCTCGATAACAGTAGTTGGCTCTTCAGTTTCTTCTGTTTCTGAGTTGACGATTGTGGACGAGCCTCGCTCTTTCCAGACGGTTTTATAAGTCTGAAAAGCTTATTAAAACTTTCGTCATTTTTACCAACAATGACTGACAGTCATCATATAAAGTCTTTCGCCCATGAAATTAGTGTGGGTTTTACCTTGTCAATTTTCGCCATGTGAGCGTTGTAATCCTCAAACATGGGACTAAAGTCGCAAATGGGTTCTTCGTCAAAGTGTTTTTTCACGCTGTTCAAAAACGCTGTGTTGAGCTTGAGGATTTCTTTGTCCGCCGTTTTCTCGCTCTTGTTTTCTTTATTGCTCTCTGTACTTTCAGTGCTATTCGACTCTTGAGAAGCATCTTGAGATGCGATCGAAGGAACGGGGGAGTCTTCCTTTGCAAGAATTGAGGACGCATATTTTCGAAACAAATGCTTTAATGGAAACTAAACAAACTCTATGTCTTCTAATTAACTTCTTGAGCATCAGTCAATACTAATCCTTTGGCTTGAGCTTAGCCCCGAATCCAGCAAAAGCAGATTTCTGTTCCCCTTGACTTGACTCTTGACTGGAGGGATTGCTAGAGGTGTTCAAGTTCCGTCTGCGACGCGCCTTCGCGATCACACGCTGTTTGACCTGCTCACTACTCGCCCTTATGGTTTTAAGGTTACTTTTCCAGAACTACATCATTATTTAATCACCTTTGAAATGTGCCCGCTTCTTCTGGCTCGTCCTCCTGATTCCAATTCTCATGAGTAAGGGTCGAAGTCGGCGCCCTTTTCATATCTATAACCAGAGATTCTAATTTCGTTTCTCTTTCTTCAAGAGCTTCTAACTCCAATCGTAATCAATAGAGAACATGAAATCAAGGACAAAAAGAAGAGTTTTGTTAAATATAAAATATAAACTTTATTGAATTATAAAAATAGAGTGAAGAGTAATAAAATAGAGTGCGCAGTTCTTTCGATTACTGAAATCATAGTCGCCAAATTGCAATAGCGCCGTCGCAGGAAACAGAAACGAGATGCTAAGAAGATACATTAAGTTTTATGAAAAGATTGGTTGGTTTTTACCTTGTTGTCAGGCGAGAGTTTAAGCTTCAGAATTCGATCAGAGTGACCTCTGCCGACATGGGTGACGTTTCCACTGTCGTAGTCCCACACTTTCACGAGCTAAAAAACAAAAATTCCTAAAATGGACATCATCTATCATTACCTTATCGTCGCCACCAGTGATGAACTTATGTCCGTCCTGAGTGATGTCCATTCCATTAATGGCGCCGGACATGCTTCCTTCGAGCTCTCGAATAGGCGAGCCATCCAAAGTCTCCCAGTAGGCAATCTTTCGGTCGGTGCCAGACGTTACGATTTGGTTTTCTTCGTAGTTGTAAACAAGACACTGAAGAGCTAGTTGAGCGTTTTACGGACGCCAGAAGCTTACCTGGAAAAGAGTATTTGCCATAACCATTTGGCTCCTCTTGTAAGTTGCGAGATCCCACATGATGCAAGTTCCATCTTCTGAGGAAGTAGCACATTCTCTGTTGTTTTTGCTCAACTAAAAAAGGAGCGTTAAAGACCGGTTCATACTTAACGGAATACCGTGATGGTGGTGACTTTGCATTTGTGTTCCTTCATTGTTTCTTCTAGACTGACAACGGGCTTGGCTGGATTGGAGAGATCGATTCGCCAGATTCGGATGGCACCCTCACAACCTCCCGATATGATTGTCCTTAATCAACATTAGCAGAGTACTTGAAGAGAGAAAACTTACGTGTTGCAGTTCGTGATGGCGAGAGCAGTCGCTTCCAAGTGGTGAGCGTGAGGGACCTCATATATCAACTTGCCGGAAACTGGCAAGTAAGCTCGGAGCCGCCCATCGGACCAAGCTGTGACCAGGGAGTTACCATCAGGTGAAAAGGCCAAGGCATGGCAGGTGATGTTGGGCACCTTAATCTCATGTGTTTTAAATTGCCTGTAGGTCCTAAGATTATGCTTACCTCGATCCGTCGGAGCTCCTTGCCAGTTACAGTTTGCCAGATCCGGACGTCGCCGACTCCAGCGGTGGCGAAGAGTTCGTTCTGGTTGGCCGGGAAGACGACATCGTTGACGTCGTTCTTATGACAAGTCTTGAGCAGAACAGGCTCACCAGGCATAGTTAGAGTTTTGGCTAAAAAACGAGTCAGTCTTTCAATTCAAAAGAAAATAACTCACGGCAAAATGGAATTCTGTAGACGTTATTGGCATTAGTTCCGACAAAGATTTGATTTTCGTTGATGACGAGTGAGGTAATACCACCAGCATTGTTTTTGGGAAGGCTGCTGGAGGAAATTCGTCTGTAGTTCTTTTCCGAGTCGAGCACGGCAATATCGCCATTTCCTGAGCCGATGAGCAATTTACCGTTCAGTTCCTGAAGAGAGTTAATTTTTCTCAAGCACGTTTAGTATCGCCTTGCCTTGACGACGCCAATGCCTAAGCTAATAAGGTTCTTGGTGGGGCCGGTGTTGACGAGAAGCTTTGTCTCGAAGTTGATCTTTAGGACGTCGCCCGTAGTAGTACCGCAATAAAGATATTTATCCTGGGGATCAATGGAAACGGAGAGAACGTCTCGCTTCAGAACGCCGAGGTTGCAGTCTTCTGGGACTAGCTTTCTGTTCTTGAGGTCTGCGGTCCAAACGCGGATAGATTTGTCACCGGCTAAGGAATATAGTTTTAACCGAATCTAATTGCTAGCAAATACCAGTAATGAAGGAGAAAGGATCATGGTGGGACGCTGCGAGGACTCGAATGCAGCCGGCGGTCTGGGGAGCACAAGGGCTAGCGCAGATGGACTTTTTCTGTTCCATGTCCCAAACGACGACGGAGCCATCATCTTGTCCTCCAAGAGAATAGAGCAACTTTGAGTCGCAAGAAAATGCCAAGGCTTCGATTTTGACCTTGTGAAGCGTAAAGGTAGCATAAGGCTGTCGATCTACAAGAGTGTAGACGTTGATGGTTGCTTTGTAGCCCATGTGTGTCACTTGGCCAGATGCGAGGAACTTGCCACAGGGAGAAACGGCGATGGCGGAGACGGGGTTAGAGTGTCCACGGAAGAAGTGCTGCTTGTTCACGTTTCGATCCATTGACTCGATAATGCACGACGCTCCCAAAGGAAACATCATCGAAGGCGTCTGCGATTTGTCGCCGGTCAGCTTGCCTAAGCAAAGAACTTTGCTAACATCAAGGTTATTTCAAAAGATACCTTCAATAAGGTGGAGACCATTCTTGACGGATCCGTTGAAACCAACGATTCTTTGGAGATTAAGAGCAGGGCACTCCTCACATGGATCAGTTTGAGGTTCTTCGCCAGACATTATCTGAAAAGAAGCTGCTGATCAGTAAACGCAAAAATCAGGAAAACACAACGACAGTATGATAGTCAGAAAGTATCTCCGCGCGGGATTGAATGTCCTCCATCGCGTACAGTCTCATTTTGAGTTGCGGTTAAAATCATTACCTTATGAGTTTCAGGGACCGGGGTTAAAACTAAATGAGACCTACGACGAGTAAATAAAATGCCGAAGAGACTTCTAGAAACTTTTTTTGATTTTTTTCTAGTACCGAAACCCACAAACTCGTATTTCCGGCGATGGGGAGTATTGCACGTTAGGAAGAAAGGGCTTTTTCGAGGGTTTTTTTCTATGGTCGTGATTCACTTAATTTTCTATATAAATGAGTAATTACGAATAAGTAACCCGAATCCCAGTGATCGAGTTCTAGAGACGCTTTCTCGATGTCAAGCTCGATATAAGAAACATTGGCAGGAAGCGTTGATATGCGATTATTCACCAAATGACCCAAATTAAGCAGGCTATTAAGCAGCTAATTTGTTTTCACCCAGTGTTAGGACGTTTAGAGTCTAAAGTTTAGACAACTAAAGAAGTGAAAACTTCCCGATGCATCTCCAGCTACGCTCGCGTCAAGCCAAGTTGTGTCTGCACTTGAAACGCCAGTTTGTTAATTCGAAAAAGATAATTAAAACGCCAATCTATCTGATAGAAATACTCGTTAAAGTAAATTGGCAAATGGCCAATTTCAATAAGGAATAGAAATTCCAAATCCTTACCTCCCATTTATTTATGATCGTTGGAAAGAGCGTAAAAAGTTACGTCAGAAAAAAATATTTCTAGAGGCTGAGTCATCACAAATGACGTCATGGCGGCTGGTTAAAGTTCCGAAAGCCCAAAGGTTGGGTCCCCTCTCATTTTTTTTCTAGAAATGGAAAATTTGAGTTCAATATATCAAAATGATCGCCTTGACCTACTCTAGGTGAAGAGCTATATTTTTCGGAAAAAATTTTGAAAAAATCGAAAAAAAATTTTTTTTCTTGAGTTGGATCTTTCATATATAGCTCTTCACCTAGAGTAGGTCAAGGCGATCATTTTGATATATTGAACTCAAATTTTCCATTTCTATAAAAAAAATGAGAGGGGTCCCAACTTTTGGGACTTTTGGAACTTCAACCAGCCGCCATGACGTCATTAATGATGACTCAGCCCCTAAAACTATTTTTTTCTGACGTAACTTTTTATGCTCTTTCTAACGAGCACAAAAACATGGGGGGTTAGGATTTGGAATTTCTATTCCTTATTAAAATTGGCCAATGAAAAATTTCGAACAAAAGTGCCTGGAAAAATGCGATCGCGCTTCTCGCAACTTTTGAATATTCTTGAAGAGAGACCTTTGAATTTGGCATCGATATGGACTTTGTCGATGCATTCAAGGATGACATCGTTATTCAGTGATTGGAAAAAGATCGGGTCTTGCGTTTCGTTGTGAAAAGTAACTTCTCTTTGAATAAGTTTTTACGTTTGTTATTAGTCATGCTATCAAATGCGAAATTTTAAGGTATTTCACACACAAAGGCCCCGAAGCACGATACACGACCCCAGGATAGAGCGCAACAAGCGTCCCTTTATCGATTGTTCCTTTTTCTAAAAAGACCCCACGCCCGGCGTTCTCAATCGACGAGGGCCCAATCGAAAGTTCGAAACCAAATTTCGCGAAAAACGTCTCTTTGTTTTGCCCTTCGCTTTGTTCCGCAGCAAAGGTTAAATATTCACCCAGTTGTCAAGCTTTGGGATGAAAAAAGAGCGCACTATGCAAGGCCTTTTCGACAGAAAAAACTTTCAGTCCATCCCTTTCTTTTAAGTGTTGCTTTGAATGCATCCGCTTCTACACCGGGAAGAACTTTTGTTTTCTTATTCTAGGGCTTAGATTTGTTGTTTATATGATGTCCCCTTCAATTGTCCCTATAAGATCTATTCCCCTGGCTTATTCGCAGTTATTTTATCCTCGAGACCAGGTCGAAAACGAAATCGAAAGTTTTTTAGCCACTGCGACATACAGTAATACTAAATGATTGAAACACTGTTTTTGAATGTTTTTTTTCTTTGTTTTCTTCTTAATTGATGATACAGTGCGAATAATAAGAACTTTTCAGCAATCGACAGAACATTTAATTACAAATAAGAAGTAAAGCTAAGGGTACATTGTGAATAAACAGAGTGCAATTGAAATAGAAATAACACACGGAAAATGAGGAGCGAGAACTTGAATTGATTATATACTGAAGTGAGGTCTGAAGTGTTTTTTAGTTTTTGTATGTACTTGAACGCTTAAGAAAGAACTAGAATAGGTAGTATTTTTAATATACTATATATGGACATATATAGAGAAACTTGTATATGATAAGTCAGCGGAGGGAGCTTCTTCTTGGGGTCTTATTCGGAGCTTTTTGTCTCTACTACGAGTCATATACGCTTTATAAATAAGTCATTATCATTGAAAGAATGGAAGAATGATACTTCCAAGAAGGAATCGGTGCGATGATAGAAAAACTGATTTTTACAAGGAGGCAGCATTATTGAGTGGTTTCGCTAGGTTGGTGAGAATTCTCGTCTGGCTCAATTATAGGCGGCTTCGGAAGAATTATTTCTTCGTCGCTTGTTAGCGAGCCGGACGATGAGCTTGAGGTGTCTAGTAGAGCTGGGTTACTGAACCCTGCGTGAACAGCTCCTATCTAAAAGAATCGAAGATGTTTCGAAGAGAGAAAAGGCAAGTTACCGTGTCAACATCGGCTTTGATTTCTCCCGAGTTGTCGGAGGCGCCGTTATCCCGATCAAAGTTGTATTTGCCCATTTGGAGGTCGTAGACAAGCTCGTGTAGACAGATATACTGAGCCTATGAATTTCGATAGTTTTTTAATAAATAGTCGAGTTTGTACCTCCGTCTGAACCATGAGACAACGAGACATGCGCATCTCGTAGACCATGCCGAAGATGTCAACATAACTCTTGTTTTCGTAATCTTGAAGAAGCCTGTCAAATCCAACGAAAGTGCCAGTTCTCCCGACACCAGCTGAGCAGTGAATGATCGTCGGCCCGCGATCCAGGAATCTGTTCATTTCGAAACGAACTTGACGCACGAATTTAACAAGCGGCTCCAAACTACTCGGAACGCCGTTGTCTGGCCAAACAGTAAAGTGGTACTAAATATATCGACTACTTCAGTGAACCACTTTTTTCGTTTTACCTGTTTGATACGACGGCTTGTTTCGCCTTTTGTGAGAATGAAGTCACGTTCCGTCCAGTTGGGCAGGGTCGATTCCCGTTCCTAGAAAATTCATTTCTAGGCCTTTTTCTAATTGAAGTTGCTCACCATTACGAGCTGCAGGTCAGAACCAACCCACTCGGGATCACTGTCATATGGCCAGTAATGATCGCATTTGATTCTTCCTCGCTCCACTACTTGGCAAAGGGCGACGATGATAGGCGTATTCTGTTCCCAGCACATTCGCCAGAAGTCTTCTTTTGTGCCCGGTAAGGGCCCTTGCGTAGCGATAAACTCCCGCTTCGAGTTGTTTCCAGCGATAAAGTTTGCGTTGATATAATCGGAGCCAGGATCGTCATCAGTTGCACCGAGCTTCACTAGAGATAAAAGTTTAACAACTAAGCAAGAAACGATTCAGAAACGCACCTCTGGTTTTGTCATATGCTAGAATATTAGTGTATCTATTCTTGCCCCTATTGGCGGAGAGCAAGCTTGCCTCTGTTGTCTGATCTTTGCCGACTTCCTTTAGCTCGAAGAACTCTCCGGCAAATTTGTAGCTCGAGTCTTGCCTCAGCTCATCATAGACTTGTTTGAAGTCGACGAGCTGGATGACCTTGGACTTCCGGTCAACGCTATTTAGCTCAATTTTTGGTCTGTCTTGTGTAAAAACGGGATTCACATGACCACCACCAGGGCCAGACGCTCCGTTCGCAAGGCCGAGCTCTTGGTTCTTCGCATTTTCTTTGGGCGTACTCAGCTGTCGTCGGCGCAGGACATAGTATAGAACGATGACCGCAACAATGAGCACGACGACGATTGGAATAACGATGGCGATCGCCTTCTTGGCATCATTCATTTTGATCGGCTAAATTTGTTCTCTCAAAGCTGTAAAATGAAAATTTCGAAAGATCCGCCAGAGCAAACAAAGACTTTCCCTTTGTTCAACAGACACCTAATCATCAGTTTTGGATGGAGTCTTTGATAAATTGAAAAGTAGCACAAAGATTGTAGGAAAAGAACGAGTAGTAAGATTTGTGTCTGTTACGCACCTGAGAGTAGTAAAGAGCACTTGCTCCGGCCTCGTTCTCCACCTGAATGGAAACTCTGTATTCTTCTCCGGACTCAAGTGGCGCGTTCTTGTAGTATCTGTCCTTGTTCTGGCTCTCTTTTCCGTCGCCGATCACGAGCTTCTGTTTCTTCTGGCCCTGGCTCTCGCCTTTCAGCTTCACCCAAAACGCGATCCACTCTCGGTTCTTGTCCTAAACGCACAACTTTGCGGCCTTATCCACGCGAACTAATCACTCAAATAATCACGCAAAGAGCTGATATGTCACTCTTGCCAGACTTTAGCCAATTATTTATTGTCTCAGTATAGTTGCTATTACTGATAGCCTTTATAAGAATAAAAAAATAAGTAATATTCCGAATACTCGTATAAAAGTTAAATTTTCAAGCCTATTTTATGCCGAATGAGAGTTTCCTAGCAATCATCATAAAGAGTAATAACATAGAAATGTTATTGTTTCTAACACGACTTCGGTCATGGAGTCTCCATGATGGAGATAAAGAAGCCCTAGAGACAGTATTTACTCAGCAATCACAAGAACACAGAGCAACGAGATTAAGTTATTACTTAAAACGAAATTTCATTATTTTCTCTTGCGTTTTATTATTGCTCGATATAAAAAAATGAATATAAGCATATCTTTTATATTTTCCACTTACATTTATCCAAGGCTTTGGAATCGGTGGCGGTTTGAGTTCACTTTCTCCAGCGTCTTTTCGGACCCAAACTGCAAATCTGAAAAGTTGCCATGTTTCCTAGTATTAAATTTTGGATGAGGCTTTTGAGTTCAGCGAAATCGCCGAAGCCGTGAGAGAAAAGAAAGCAAAGCGCTTTTTCCCACGAGCGCCTACGCCCCTCGGCGCTGAATCGAAGACAAAGAGGAGAACGATTGCCGGTCAAAGCCGCTAAATCCCTCGCCGGAAGGACTCATCCGGTTCTATTCTCCTTCTTTGTCATCAAGTAGCATCGCAAAATACCAGATGCAGCATTATTTACCTGAGTAATGGCCCGAAATCATCCGAAAATGGCAAACTGTTTATCTCGAAAGAAATCGTCCCTTTGCCGATATTGACTTTTGACATGTCCAAATTGAGTCTGTCGGTTCTTTGGGGAAGAAGAGGAGGTAGCTCTGCGTTCGTTTTGCCTAATCGAAAGGTGGGGTTTATCTCAAAGAGAGCTGTTTCGCACCTGTAACTGTGATTTCTCTGGTAACTAGGTCGTTCTCGTTAAAGCCGGTGTAAAGCGACGACGTAGAATTCAGAGCAGATCTAACACTAAAGTCGTAGTAGCAATATGGATGTAGCCCGTCGATCTTGTACTGGACAAAGTTGGTTTGGACATCCCTTGACTTCTCCGCTTGTTCAATCGTAAAAGTCCTTTCTTGCTCAAATTTGGCCGGACAATCTAAGTCCGGCTGCCATTTGATCAGATAGTAATCGTAAAGGCTGAATTTAACAGTAAGTTTAGCACTCATGTTTCGAGTAATTAATCAACATTCCCTAATCTTACATACCCCATGTTAATGTCTGACCACTGAAAAGTCAAGGATTCGGAATATGATTTCTTAGTATTGACGCTGAGGTAAGTTGGCGGCTCTGGAAGAATAAGCACCATTCGCGAGGTTGGATACGAGGATACTTCTTGGTCATCATCGCCTCCTGCGTTTGTTTTGCTCAATGCGACTATGGAGACTCTGTAGACATTTCCAGGAATGACCGAGGCGATATCGGACTTGATTATGTACTCGGTTGTCTTTGGACTGAGAAGAATTTCTTTCCTCGTCGGCCTCCTTGCGAGCAGGTATTCGACGATGATCTTGTACTTGGTGAAAAACACTCCCAGTGGCTCCCATTGAACTGCGATTGCACTTTTATTGGGAACTTGCGTTGCATTAAAGCTTTCGGGTGCGATTCGAGGGGGGATAGTATAAACAGATATGATTTCAGGTGCTGACGAGGATGGAACGGGATCAGCTGTTCTCGTGAAGACGTTGATATCTGCTAGTGTTGAGCCGGAAAACCCAGTGAGGGTTATGTTGTTCGTGCCCGCGGGAACAGATTGCTTAGGAACGATTCCGGGAACAAGAATGTCCACGAAATCAAAATCTGAGTCGCTCATTAGCGGATTCGTCCATGACAGAGTAATAGTAGAGTTGGTTACAGCGTCGACAACTGAAATTAATCTTAATCAAACGTTCGCATTTCAACAAGCTCGTCATTACGTAAATTTAGAAATGTAAGGATTTCTCTGTAGGGTAAAAACGCTTACCAAGTTCAGAAACGGGCAGCGGCGGAATTCTAAAATCAACTTTCGTAGATTCCGAGGGAACACCATTAACGACAGCTTGAGCGTAATAATGGTAGAGGCTTCCCGGGTGCACTACAGAGAACGTTTTCGGCATCTTCGCTGATATAGTTGTGTTCTCCCGCAGAATTGAGCTTTCGTTTTCTTTGAAGTACCAGAAGTTGTATGAATCGACCCTAGTCGAGGCCGTTTCGCCAAGCGGAGGGGAAAGTTCGATTTGCACTTTCTTTGGGCTCAGTGGATCCGGAGATACTCGCAGCCTCGGCACAGCAGGTGCTAGTTGAAATGTCTCATTTGCAATCATGTTCATCGGATCGTTTACTGAGAAGAGCACAAAAGTAAGCTGGTTTCCTGCAAAGTTTGCGTCGAATGAGAACTCGAATTCCCCAGGTTGATTTTGGGGCAGTTTCTTCGTAACAAAGGTGTTCGTGTTTTGGAGGCTGACATTCTCAATCAACAAAGGTTCTGTCTTGAACAAGGGTGAGGAGACGGCGATAATTTTGATCAGAGGCTGACGTGAACAATGGCGCCCCCGCCGCGACACCTTCAACCCTTTTCCTTTACTGTGATGACTGCAAACGCGTCGGGTGACGAGCTATTGTACTATTTGACGGTCTCGTTTTAAAACCTCTTTATAATCCTCAAACATTGTTTTATGAGTTCTTTAATTAAGCTCGGCAAGGTTTTTGGAATAAAATTGGGATCAAAATAAACCGTTTCCTTTGCCGTAATATCGAGTAATTTTGCGGTTTTTTCATTTTGACTTGTCGGTGATCGAGTGGTTGAATTCGTTGGGCTGGCAGTTTCATCTTGCCCGTGAACAAATCGCTTCTCGAGTAGACAGAGAAATAAAAAGACGGAAAGACGGACGATGGATTCTATGTTCATCGTTTCTCATTCATTCCTATAAAATTCTCTTGAATATCGAGCGGTGTTTCTCTGGCCGAAGTAAAAAAACGCGAGACTGGCGCGAAGAATCAAAAAGAAGAAAGCAACCGGTGCAATATAGAAAGATAGCAAGCGGACAATATGTTCCCATTATTTTATCGGTCCAGCCAGGCGAACCAGGGGCTTAGTTCGAGATAGCAACATCACTAAGCAAGCTTCTTACGTTTGGACATAATCAAGAACAACAAAAATATCTACAACCCTTGTTGACCTCGATACTCTTTGCCTGAGATAAAATTCTCACTATTCAAGAGTGGCATTCTCCGAGAAAACGAATGTACCAAATAGCGGAATTTATGTTCGACGAAAGAGCTCTGTTTAGACAAGTCGAAGATAATTTGTATTGGGTTACAAAGGACGCGACTTTCAAAGTTCGATCTTCTGTTCAGTTCTTGTAAAAAACGTGCTTCTCGCAACAGTTAGATCGGAAAAATTATATCTCTGATCATTAGCACGTTTAACGTTTATCAATCGATTAATTGTCAACGATGCTGAATTCTTGGTGGAAGTTTTAAAGTAACTCTATGAGTTACCTTCTCGCCGTTTATCGCGGACGCGCCAAAATTATGGTAAAAATATAACTGATAACAAAGATGATAACAAACACTTCAGTAAGGCGTAGCGCACCTTTGCGTCCTCCAAGCTTCTCTGAGCATTCTGTTCTGTCTTCTCTGCTTAGAAAGATCCGGTCAAGTTCTCTCTTATAACAAGGGATAATCTTTAAAAATTTGTTGGATTTTGAATGGTCGCTGTCCGCTCATTGAGCCCTTTTTGGCTTTTACACTCGGGGGCAAGTGAGCCGCAACCCGCTGAGCTATTCGCACAACTCATGCTCCTCATCTCGAAAAAACAAAGAAGAGACTACAGATAATAAAAAACATTCTGATTATGGTGGAAACAAGGATGGAGTCAAAGTGGAAGAGTAGGACGATGTGAGGAAGAATGTCACTTCATCCTTGAGAATTTGGCGAGTAAACCTCCTGAATGCAGCCCATACAATCTTTATAAAGTTTATGACATAAACTCCAACATCTTTGCGCCATTATAAAAGCAAAATGGTTATGTACTCACTGCTAAACTGTCATAACAATCGACTGTATTCGTCCTCTATAAACAGCCTATCGACTAAGTTATCCTTGTCGAACTAATCTATAAGTTTGTTTCCTTGGATAAATCCTAAGATTATAGCTTTAACATTATAGCCCAACCCAAATAAATCATACAACACTAAACAATATGTTTTTTTTTATTTTCTGAGTTTATTAAAGTCCCACAAAATCAGTGTACAAAAATATCCGTAATTTTTGAAGTTTCTTCCTTTCAAAATCTTATCTTTTCAAGTTGAATGCATATTTCGTCGATCCTCTTGAAGAGTCTTCTTTTCATGTCAAGTTCACTAAAATCACGAATTATAAACATCCGAAAAATAGCAAAAATACCTTTTGTATCGGAGCTTACGGCGGACTCTTTTCAACCGTTCCGATCGTGCGTCAGCTGGACTGATGGCTTGCTCGTCGCCTGATTCATCACCAAGCATTCCTGCAGGAGAATGGGGTTCCAGTTTTCGTCTTGTTGCTCCCTTGTAAAACTCCCTGATTCTTCTTTCATTCTCTACACGAAGAAGATGCTGTTTTCTTTCAAACTCTTCTCTCTTTTTTGCCGCCTTTTGAATCCGCCGTCGCTTCTCTGATTGCTGTGACACTTTCAGATTCCTCCTGGCCATTGAGTAGTCGAAGGTCTCATCGATGAATCTTGTTGGAGGTTTCCGATTTCTTCTTGAAGGCCGTGAGATTGTTTCCATCGTTTGAACTCTTCTGATTTCTTAAAATATTGATGCAAAGAAATTTCTAAACTTCCAGCGACACATGCTCGAGGGTAAAAAACACGCTCTAGCGCCAGCGTCGCGATTTATCGGTGGGATATCATTAGTTTGGGATCCAACTAGGTTATTTCTACATCCACCTCGAATACTTGTTTCTCTAACTAAAGTTAACTAATCTTACCACCTTCTGGCCGAATTTCTCTTCAATTAAGTTTGAGTTGTCTTGTTTAGTTTGAACGATACTGCGACGATATTGCTGAAGTCTAGAAAATGAGTTGACGAAATTTCTGGATTTAACATAGTCATCAATATTCGACTTTGATTTCATCTCACCTCCATTCATGCAATAATTCCAGCTGATAGTATGGCGATCTTCTCATATTATTTGATAATTGAATTTCGACTTTTCGGCAGGGTGCGCGTTTTTCGGGCGATTTTGAAAACAGTGTCTTTCCTGTCAGTCGCGCATTTTCTGGTACTGAAGTCTGATTCATTGAATTCTTACAAAAAGAAGAATCAGCAATTTGCTAAAATAATTGCTGAGACTGTTTTTGACCTTCTTGGTCCATAGCCTATGGACCATAGGTTTGGAGTGCAAAACCCTTAAAACTTTTCAAATAGGATCATGTTTATTAGCCGTTATTCTATCACTGAGATCAAAGAGGAAACTATGGACGATAAAAATATATTTCCTGAGAAATTACAAAAAAGCGTGTTTTGACCCTTCTTGTTTCAAGCTTTTCGAGTACAATCAGTGCTCAACTATGCTTCATAATATACCAATAGAAAGCTTAAAGCCTCTTCTAGGGGGATTTTAATTCAAAAAGAGAAATAATGGACCCAAAAAATTATTTTGGTACCACTTAGATACTTTACTTTGGCGGTGATTAAAGGGTACTTCCAGCTTCATTTGTTAGTTACACAATTTATTTTCTTCAGTTTTTTATTCAAATCCCCCTAGAATAGGCTACGAGCTTTCTTTTGGTACATTATGAAGCATAGTTGAGCACTGATTGTACTCGAAAAGCTTGAAACAAAAAGGGTCAAAACACGCTATTTTGTAATTTCTCAGGAAATATATTTTTATCGTCCTATGTTACAGCATAAAACATGCATTTGCGTGCCGTTATGGATATTTTTCTGCGATTTTTTTTTGATCTGATAATCCGAAAAAACAGACTTGGGTTATGCAAGTTTCACTCTTTCAACAACAAACGCCCAGAAAGCGCGCGCTCTGTGTCTTTCAGGGCAATCGACAACGGTTTTTTTTCTCAAGGTGGCTCGTTCGTGGTGCTCTGATTTGACGGTGTCGGACAGGAACCGTATAAAACCCATCTGCGAAGGCCAAACTTTGCACTTGCGAGAAAATTTTTTGAATTCGTGAGATCCAATTGTCCTTTGCTTTTAATCGTCGAGATGAATACTGACCGGGAACAGCTTCAAGGTAATAAAGAGATGTTTAAATTGACAGATTTTCCTGATTTCAAAAAGTGAACGGAGTGTTATTGCTATTTTAGCTCTTAACCGAGATGTGAACGTCCAGGAAACTGGCCCGGTGAAGGCCATTCAACCTACTGAGATAACTCCTAAGGAGAATGTCGAGGAGATGGCCTGGGAAGCAATCGACAGCGGAGCGCAGGCTTTGTCAGCCCAGCTCAAGAAAATTGAAGTCATGGATGAGGTATTCAAATAAACTGTTAATGCATAAAGTGACGCTTTCTTTAGTCGGACGAGCGGTGGTGCAAGGACCACGTCGAGCAGGTCTATGGGTATTTGCGCTTCCTCGAGCACTCGAAGGAAGTGCGACCTAATTTTCTGGCTCACCACGGTCAAAGCGCCTCGCCGAAGATGCGTCAGATCCTTACCGACTGGATGGTGCAGGTTGGAAGACGATTCCGTCTTCTCAACGACACAATCTTCCTAACCGTCGCGTACATGGATCGTTATCTTCAGCGCACCGAAACTGTTGAAAAGTCGCAAATGCAGCTGATTGGCATTGCATGCATGATGCTTGCATCGAAAAATGAGGAGATCTACTCGCCATCTCTCAGCGACTTTGTCTACGTCTGTGACCGGGCTTACACCACTGGTAAAACAAAGCTATCGAACAAATTTAATATAAACAAATTAAGACGAGATAAAAGACATGGAGCTGGAAGTGCTTGGTCGTCTAGATTGCGATCTATCCGTCGCTTACTCGCTTGAGTTCGTACGACGATTTTCCAGAGTCGCAGAGGAGACGATCGATCCTCGAGAGTACACTCTGTCAAAGGTAATTTTCAGTAACTCTCCATCTTTAAATATCGCTAATATTAAGTACTTGTGCGAGCTGGCTTTGATGGACTACGATTTGGCGAGCATGAAGCCATCTCTAGTTGCTGCAGGTGCTCTGTGGCTGTCTATCACGCTCATCACCGAGGGAGAGTGGCTACCGATTCTTGAGCACACTTCGAGATACTCCGTTTCAGATCTCGAAAATGTGACCAGTCTACTGGCGAAATGCCTGTTTATGGTCCATTTCGGTGCGCACTCGAAGAAGTACACTGCCACCAAGCTGAAGTATGCCTCCGCATCGGTAAGTTCAAAGATCAACATTCAATGCCAGTAAAGTATATATTACAGAACTACGCGATCTCCAAGCTGCCAATCCTAAGCGAGAAAGAGGACGTTCTTCTGGAGCTCGCGAAGAAAGGAAAGAAATTTGCCGAAGGTCGTCGATGATTCCCGACGCAAATCTTCTTTCCTCTAAATCATATCTTTCACTTCTTTCACTGCCTCACACAATACGAACAAGAAGTGATTGATTAGATTATGTTTGTCGTTTCTTGTTTTGCAGGGCATTTTTGAGTCAGTATTAGTCAGTCGTCTAAAATAATATGCAAATTGCATTTTATTATAAAATAGGGCTAAGATCAGAACCGGATATAATTAGCACCCATATGTCGAATTGATTATTAATTATTGCTCATCTTAGATCTGAAAGTTCGAAGTCTTTGTTCGTTGATAATTTCAATAATCAGCTTTGACTGAATAATAAATGCAAAATATAGAGCGGCCGAATATCAAAGCGTGATTTCTGATGCGTGATGCAACATTATTAATCCGTTAATTTGCGGAATTGAAGATATTTGATTTGGGAGAAAATATCATTATTCTCCATCGCAAAAAAAGTTTGAACTTTACTTACTGAAGTAATTATGCACATCGAAGCTCGAACCTTTTAACGTCTCCCAGAGCTACTACCCAGTAGCTTGAAACTTTCAGTCAATTATAATAACTAGGATACATGATTCAATGAATCAGCTTCATACAAGTGCTTTGTAGTATCTTGTAGTGTAACGCATTAAAAAAGAGTTGCTTCTAGTCTAACGTGACTTTGACTAGTGTAATTTCTTTGCAACAGTATCGATTCTATTCTGTAGGTGGCGCGTTTTCGACTCCCAGCTGATGGCGCATCACCACATATCAATAAATATGACATCTCATTATTCGTGACTCGAAATACAAGTTTTTTTACTAAACGAAAGTGCGATTACTGACGAGCTGTGACTTGAAGATGGGAAGTATTGACGAAGGATCAGTGTCGGCGTTTGATGTAAGTGACACGCACTGTATAATTGGCGAAATTCAAGAAGCTCTTGATATAAATATCGTTTCGTTTGCGCTAATTTTAGAGGTTTGATTTTCGATAATAAAGGAATGTAGTGCACCAGAGTAGCGACTACTGGTGGCGTCAGTCATCTTACACTTAATAATCATACTTACCTTTAAAGATTACGCCTTTCTCACAAATGAGCCAGAGGACTGTTCCAACCTGCGAGTTCTGGTTTGATGCAAACAGACAACAAATGAACAATCCACAAGGTATTTCCAGCCAGTTCCGAGATATAAACTCGATTTTAGACTTCAATTTTCCAGTAGCAAATCCTAATGGACTAAGTTACATGAACACTGGAATGGGTCACAATTTCATTTCAAGTCATACCGGACCGTCGGAAATTGCAGAAGAAGCAGCGAGAAGGCGAGAAAATAGGTTATTGAAAAATCGCGAAGCAGCTAGAGAATGTCGGCGAAAGAAGAAGGAGTATGTTAAATGCTTGGAAAATCGAGTGCAAGTTTTAGAAGGTACTTTTTCTGCCAAAAAACTGCTGATCAGAATTTTTAAGAGCAAAATCGATCTCTTATTGTAGAGTTGCAAAACTTGAAGGAAATTCACAGCAACTCGACGCACAGTCTACCCAGACCCGTGAAAGCAGAGGCCCCATGAAAACCAAAAACTCTGTCCATAGCGATTAAGGGGGTAGAACTAGGTTTTTTGAAAATAGGCAATTCTAGACCGGCGCTCAAAGCCAGGAGAGCTTAGATTTTCAAATTCTCTCTTCGGCTGAAGATAGAACAAACCTAGATCTAACAACATTTTTCTTAAAATTTTTTTTCGTCAACACATTTTGGCGCTAGAGAGCGAAACGTCAACCCACCTCTTTGAAAATCGCAATTTTAGCGTATTCGCGTCCTCAAATTTCTCGAGTCACGTGACTAGCCAAGTTTTTTAAATCTCATTTTAAGATAGTTTAACCATTTATCTAGCAACATTTTTGAGGAAATTGCGTAATCATAAGTAAAAACAGGTTTTTCTTATTTAAAGTGCCTTCCGAAAATCACGTTTTTTCCAAAAATCTAGTTCTACCCCCTTAACGAATTGATGCTCACTTTCAGTGGAGTATTTTAGTCGTTTTTTCCCTGCATAACAAAACGGCAACAAATAAATTTTAAGTGTATTTCGGAAGAGAACAAGAATAGAAGGGGAAATGCATTGTCGGAGCGATAGGCATAGCATATATTTTCATAAGTTGGTTCTTTTTATACTGGTTTTCGTACAAGTTTGCTGAAGTTGAGGAAATGGGTTCGTTAATAGTCGCACTCAAGAAGGCATTTTAGTTAAAGTCACTTATGGTGCGTTTTTTGATAAGGTTGAGCAGTACTTGAATAGACGAATGGAGCTCTGAAATCCTATCGAAGGAGAGCTCGGGCATTGAGTAAAGTAAGAGTGGGAACAGCGGATGCTAGAATTTTTCTAGTAGTAGGGTCAGTTGGTAGCAAGCAAGCTGTCGAGATGTGAATATAATAAATATGGACCGGCCATGAACTAAAATAAACTGTCAGCAAGAAAACAAAGATATGCAGCTTACCTTAGAAACGATGAAGAATAAATTTTAACTTTCTTTATTCGTCTATTTTATGTTTCGCCAAAAACGTGGCTCACCTAAAATAATACTTAAATTTATTCACAAGTGAAAAGTAATTTACCGTTGGAGGGAGAACAGGAATCGGCTTCTGATTTCTCGGCAGTGTACCATTTGACGTTGAAGGAGTACGACGTATTTGAGCTCTTTTCTGACCCTATACGTTCACATCAATTACACATCAAATTAGCGAATTCTTACCTTAGGAAGAGTAGCATAATGGCTAACATTGTTTTGCTGATAGCTTCCTGGCCAGTTGTAGCCACTAGTCGACGTCGGCGGCGATGTTGCGTGCGGCTCGATATCGATGTTAATGGTAGATATGTTGTATATATTGGCGGGATTGTCGGAAGACACCGCGAAATTTTTGGAATTGGAGCGTAAGATGGGGTAGTGTTGATTTCCACGCGTTGGGGAATTCGCAACCTGAATTATTTTTAACACTTGGAAAATATAGAAGTTATTATAAGTTATTATGCGGCATAAATGCCCGAAAATTATGATGAAAAAGTACCTGTTGATAGGCGCCTGGTCTTGGACATGATTCGCTTCGATGGTAAGCTGGTCGATGACCGACGGTGTTGTAATGTCGGAGGCTTGAGGTTCCTAGTTTCGGCTTAGGCGCTCCACCCAAAGTAGACATGCCAGGCGTCGTGCTCGTCGGTGTCTTTGATGAGGACGTTGTCAAGAAATTTGTAGAACCACTGAGATTGTTCTGTGCATTTCCATTGCGCGAGGGGCGTGCTTGTGTGTAATAAATTTGCTGGTGGCCGAGTGTATTGTGCCCACCACCAACGACACCAGTGTTCAAATATTTTGGTCGCTCGCGCATCCGCCCTGTTGTGCCGACTCCATTGTTGAACCCGATCTTGTACTCGAAGTCGCGACGGGAGGAAGGAATCATCGCTTCCTCTTCTGAGCTCTTTATTCCGGAGTCCCGTGACGAGTCAGATGACGTTGATTCGACTCGCTGCTGATTTTCGTAAACGCTAGGATGTCGCTCGCTTCTTTGACGATGGAGTGTGCCATTTCCACCAATAGCATAACCACCAGCTGTCATCATGTTTGGGCCCATACCATCTAGGTTAACGTCCACTTCTGGTACTTTTTCGCCATTTCCTCCTGTTTTTGCACACTTCTTGATAACAAACTGGAATACCCCGCCAATAAGTATACCAACGACGAGCATAACAACAAGCAATATGGTAGTACTATTGACTGATCCTTCATCTGGATTTGCTGCCTCCGCTTGGCCACTGGTGCCGTCGACGATTGTTTCCGAGCTTATGCCATCGTTAGGGCTTTGAACTGGCGCAAAACTTTCATCGGACTCAACAACTGGTGACTTGAAAACAGGAGAAGATGAGACTGGGCGATACGCATCTCCATTTTTCTTAGGACAGGTAGAAAATAATTGATAGGTTGATGATCTGGGCATTAATTCCGATGAGTATGAACATTCTGTATCTTTTTCGTTCCACGAACAGCCTGGATCGCCACTCGAATCGCATGCGATTTTACAATCAAAGCTGGCGCAAATCCTGTCGGTCGAAAGCTTAACCGCACAACCTGGCATGGAAACAAAGATATCGGTCTTTGAGCTGATGCCACCAGTAGAGCCGTAAAGTTGAAGATCCTCAATCTCTCTTCCTCCTTCGTGACACTCTTCGGGAAGGAAAAGATCGGTTTCACTGAGAAGCTCAAAGCGGCGGATCTCGGCAGTGAGTTTGTTTCGTTCGACATTTCGAAGTTTAAGAATCCCGCGCAAAAGCTTGCCATTGGTAGTTGCCATCACGACGATTGCGGTTTCGTTGTTGGAATTGAGCTTCTGGATCTCCAACTGCGTGATAAGGTCTCGATCTTCTGGTTTTGAAAACGTTGTTCGGATGAGAAAGTGGCTCCCGTCGATTGCCTTCGGCGTATGGTCGGAAAGTGATGCGCTCCGTTCAATGTATTGCAAGTACTGATAGGAACTTGTTGCTGGCACAAGGCAGCTTGCAGGATTTTCCCGAGGCGCATTTTTCCAGGGGTTTAACTCTTGTGCGTCTTCGAAATCAACCCCCGTTCCAAATAAGGCATCCTTGATTTCGTCGATAGCAAAGGCACAGACGTTAGAGCCGGGAATACCGTGACTGCTGGTGAAGCTGACGAGAATAGACTCGGCCCCGTTAATCTCGATTGTGTCGGATACGGCGGTCATGATGCTGAAATTGAATTGTTAAGCTGGCAGAATTGTTTTTATATATCAATTTACGTGGCGCCTTACAGCCCTAGCCGGCCATTTGCGGGCCTAATTGTCGCCCATTCAGAGAGCATATTGACGCTCTTTACCAACGACAAAATGGAATACTTGAGGAGCCTGCTAACGCACTCAGTAAACAAAAAATAAGATAAATGGCTCAAACAGAATCATCTTCTGATCAAATATAAGTTCTCCTAACTAATTTCGACTGGTCCTTATATTAAGCTCAATGTCAAATATACGGCTCAAATGTGGCTTAGACACGGAGAAGCGTCGCAATATCCGTGGGAGAACGAGTTAAGCTTGGAGTTAGCCCAATGGGATTTGGGTGACGATTCTGGGGAGGGGAATAGATGCGCCAGGCACTTGTGCTATCGGGGGATTTAAGAGTGACCAGTTATATAGTCCACTGAGTGGCGATAAGCGCGCAAATCGGATCCCACATGTCCAGGACACAAAAAAAAGATACTATCGGATAGTAAAAGCAAAAACAATGAGCCCTTGTAGGGCTCTTGGGTTCCTCAATGTGAGCAAATATGGCCTTTCCATGGCAAATAGCTGACCCTCATATTGAGCATTTATCTTTTTAGCATAGCTGTAGTTGGAAAATTTTAATACTACCGGGATTGATAATTCCGTAGTGATTCAATAATTGTGAACGATTTTTGATAATAATTACCTGAAGGAAAAGTCGTCTTTCACTGGACAAGTCAGAGATGTCTTGATGAAGGTAGTAAACTTTTTCGTAAGCACAGAGAGACTTCCACCGTCGTCATTCTTGCAGATAGTGGCGACGCGACTGGCAGTTTCTCCATCAGAAAGCACTTCGGTGAAAAATATCATCACGTGCTCCTCCAGGTCAATCATTTTGATAAAACGAACCGGTCCGGATGAGGAGAGCGCACCGTCTTTCAGGGCCAAAAACCTTCCGGTGAAAATGAATCACCTGACGGAGTTGTGCGGCTCAAAGCACCGCCCTTTTCTAATTCTTTGGCAAAGAACATAAAGTTTTTCTTGTCGCTGTTTTTGACAAACTCAACTTTGATTGACTTTCCAGGCTCGGCTTGTGTCATTGGGGCGTCCATTTCCGTCTCCATCGCCTTTGCTTGTATGTCTGCCAGTGGCTCGTCCGAGCTGAGATCATAAATGCGGCATTTAGGCCTTCGTGCATTTGTTCCACAGACAAGGAAGTGACCTTTTTTATTCCATCGTTCTACAATGTTGATATGATTTCGGCATATCTCGTCTGGGTTTTCTTCGTCGAACTTGCAGTCCTCTGCATCTTCTGGTCGAGCACTCCATTCAATCGTCGTGTCGTCGCGGTTCTTGAGGTTCTCAAAGCGGATCGTGTCCACGCCATAAGCAACAAAGCTAGGGCCAGTGCGAGTGCGAGTGCCAGACTCGACAAGTTTAAAGTGATGGAATCCTGCTGTTGACCAGAGCTCGTGCTTGCCAGCAAGCACGGAAGAGGGAATGCGCGGGACGGCGTCTTTTGGGAAGTTGATGTCTGGCAGCCTGCACAGCACAAAAACGGGAAGGAGAAAATGTAGAGTTGGGATCTTCATTATAAGATAGGGAGGTTTGCTTATGCTCGTTGTTTATGGAGATCCAACAATGAAATCAGTGATACAGCAGCATATCTGAAATGATAAGTTAGAATGAAACTTTTGGAGTAAAAAAATGCGAATTAATGCTAATCGAAAGGGTGTCATTACGTTGACATCAGTGCCACCCGTAATTGGTACCAAGAGCCAGTCATTAGAAAGTTTTGATCGTGACGGCTAATCTTTCACGCACCGGCATCAGATGGGGAAGATGAAAGCGAATCAAAATGCGCAATGTAGGGCGCGACAATGCAACATTGAACCTCGGAAAAGCAAAATTTCCTTGATAACAAAGTATACGCAGGCTGTTGTGATAAGTGCCCTAGCAATTGACCTCTTGACACCTCAGCGGCAAAGGAAATAAAGCTACTTGCAGTTAATAAAAATTTCTGGTCGGGAGTTAGTGGCATTGTGTCGCGCTACTCGCCATATTAAAATCATAGGCTTGATCAAATACGATTTCTGTCTGTTCAGGTGAAGCAAGCGCAACGACGGGAGTTGAGCGCTATTGAAAGCCACTACGCGACGATAGTCCCTTTGTCCTCGTGTCGAAGGCTTTATCCACGGCATCATTCGTCCTGTTGTCATGCGCACTTAGCCGAATTATTGTTTTTAGCCTGGCCAAAAGAAGCCTTAGCCCTCGAAAATTTCCGTAAACAATGCGCCTTAATCTCATAAAATACACTCCCCCGCTTCTTGCCATTTTAATTGAGCATTACTGCAATTTTTAATTATAAAGCGCAGAGGATATTTATCCTCATAATAGCCGGTAAATTTATACTCAAAGGCGGAAGTTAATTATCTATGTTTGTGGCTCTGCTTTAACTTATCTTGCACTGACGGGCAGTAAATGCAACTACTCGAAGGTCATCGACTTCCGATGAATGAAGCTAGCGGAAGTAGCTGCGTCTGGCTTGCTGCCGCACAGTCGCCCATGCATAGACTGCTTATCATATTACCGCCTTTAATATCGCATATGCATAAGCCATATATATCCAACCATACTAATTTGTGCTTGCCCGTCTGCCAACCTTATTACCCTTCAATTTTCGTGTTTAGGGGCATTCTAAAGGTGAGAAAATTATAAATTCTGCGATTGAATATTCCCAAAGGGACCCCCGCTGCGCGACTGTATTTCAAAATGTCGAAAGGTTGTGTGCTAGGGAGCAGTTGGGCTCATTTGTAATTTAAATCAATAAAGGACGTCCCCTTGAAATCGCCTGCAGAGCAGACGGCCTATCTCACGCAGTAGTGAAAAATTTCTCGACAACGGGATTAAAATTTTTCGACATCCCAGGATTAAGCGGGCCGATTCTTTCAAGATCCTCAGATTTAATACCCTGTTCATTCAATTTCTCATGATTTATGGAGAAATCCAATATATGGTTATTTTTAGAAAAAATTTTCACGCGCCATTAACTGTCAAAAAACTACCACTTCACTAACCAGGCTAACTACACAAAAGGAGAGGGATGATAGCTTCGTCAATTTCGAGTTTGAATGACAAGTAAAATGAGAATCCAAGAACTTCATTTGATGGACAGACGAGTGGATACTGGGAGTAACTATGTCTATCTATTAGCCCTCTCTATTGCGTGAGGGGCCAATATTTGTACGCAAATATTATTCATTTCAGCGCCAGGTTTTCCTGGTTCCTGAGTTTCACGCTGTATGTCAGCTGTAGATCACGACTCGGGATGAAAAAGTGAGCCTTATCGCGGGGTTGAAGATCAATGGGCACGCGACGAGGCACTTGCTATCTTCAAAATAAAAAGCCGAAGTTTCTAATCCACTAGAATACAAGCTTCCACCAGAAAATTAAAACGAATACTTTTCGGGAGACGGATTTCGCCCCATTCAGCGTTTAATCTGAGTATGATCCGTATTGAATCGTGCTCAATGGAGCGATTTTATTAAGTCGAATTAAAACTCAAGCTGGGGGTGATATTTGCCCTCGGTTAGAATTTTTAGCGCATGGTAATTATAAGCACGTGATGATATTTTGCTGGCACCTGAGCAGTTTGAATGTAGAATGAATGCACCGCTCCTCGTAAATACTCGCCATAGCGAAAAAACGCTTTGCGGTTTGAGCACTATCTCGATCATAAACACTGAAAGAAACTGAAAGGGAGAATGATTTCTAGCTTCTTCAAAAGCGGGGATGGTTTTTCAGCCAAACAAATAAAGCCTGAGACATCAAAGGGGTCGAGCGCACGGATCAAAGCACCATGCCTCTGGACATTAAATTTACTTGCCTTCTCATTTTTAAAGGGATGAATGGAAGAAGAGTAAAAACTAAACAAAACTCGAAAGGCGGACGGGGAAATTTAGGACGAGCAAATTTGGAACCGGGTCGCGTTCCACCATAAAATTCTATTGATCCATATCGAACTAGCTTATCTCCCTGTAGGTCATACAACTCCGATGGTAACACTTTTGGCCTGCTGTTTGAAAAGCAATGTTTGAAGTAGATTGGGCTTCTTGATGGGCCTAGTTCGAAATACGGATCGAGTGGTCATTGTGGTCTTATTTATCTAAGTCAGACGAGCTCAGTTACTTGAACTTTGGCTCAATCGAAAATCGCTAGTCCAAGTTACATAAAGGGGGTTTCAGGTGCGAGTAAATTGAATTCAGAACCAATTTTGGCTCGTAATAAGCATTTCACTTTCTGTGGATGGAGTGATTCTTTCGCAAAATCAAAAGCCGCAGAATCAAAATAGCAAAAGTCTCCTGTTTACGTCAATCAAGAGGGAGTTTATGGTGGAGAATTAAAATTAAGGCTCTCTGACCATGGCGATTTTGACTCGCACTATAATTAGATAACTACTCACAGAATTGCCCTTTTCGCCTGTCTTCGCCAGCCAAATCAGCGGCAGACAATTAATTTCCGCTTATTTTTGTAAAACTACCCAACGTTCTCAACCGATGTGAAAAAGGCGGACGTCAATAGTGAGTAGTAAATAGCTATCATGTGTTGAATTGCCGGTATCGCTGATTAGGCGACTCCGCCTTGGTTGGAAGTGAGAATGAATATTGCCTACTATCGGGCGGATTTAGCCTGGCCTGAGCATCCTCCTCGCAGCACTTGGGCTTGAATCTCAAGCTCGTTCGAGCACCAGCAACTCGCTTACACTTGGAACGGACACAAATCAAAATTACTGTTTTTAGTGGACGAGATACGCTCTAAATCGAAAATACACACACAGCCTCTATTGTCCCAATAAATACACAGAGCATCTTTTGACTTTTTGGCAAACTAAAGACGCCAAGGACGCACCATTTGCTCGAGTACCGTATCAGCTCGAATCACTTATCAAATTTCTAACGACACCCTTTCAAAGTTAATTATAAAAATTCTAACAACTAAAACATGCAGATCAATTGATCACTTACCAAAAGGTTCTGGTAATTGTTTCGTTTTTCTCCGTTTTTCTCCGCCTGTTTCTTTCCGTAAAAGTTCTGTCTTCTGATAATCTTCTTGGATGAGATCTCTAAAGCGCAATCTGCGTCGCGTTGTGCGCGCGTTTTCTCGTCCGCCAATTTTTTTTTTATTTTTCAAAAATTTCGAATATTTTCGTCGTTTCAGTCGTGGCGGGTGACTCGCTCCGCTGCGCACGATTTGCCCGGGGCAGCGACAATTTTCAAGAAAGGCTTGAGCCACTACGGCCACGATGCGGCGCTGTTCGTCGCCGCGCGCATCGAGCGCGGGAAGCCTGGCTACGCGCTGTGAATCAACCCAAGAAGCGCCAATCCCACCAAATCCTGACTTGTTTAGACTTCTCAAGGGGGAGTTTCAATGAAAAAATTGCAACTTGTATTCTTCAGCAAATTGAAACTTGAGACTCTAGTGCGGGCAATCTCTAGATTTGAACATTTTCAATAATTAATAAAATTAATTATCAAAATACTAGATAAAAAACTATTTTTGCGTAAATAATTATCATATATAAACATATATCGTTACAATAAGAATATTGCGGGGGGGGAAGAATGCACTTTTGGAGACTCGCTGCCAAGATCGGACAAAAAAACGCGAACAGATTGGTGCCAACTTTTCGAGAAAAACCCTCTTTGGGGTGGATTCGAACTCAAGGGCTCTTCCAGCTCGAGAAAACCGAGAATGAGTTATGCTTACTGGCAAGTTTGGGCATGTTTGCGCTGATTTCTGACTGAAGCAGTAATGTAATTTCATCAGTCAGAGTTTACGAGTGGCGGTGATTTACGCTGCGAGCAAATATTTTCCAGCCTGAAATCAGGCACTGTTTCATTGAGAACTGGGTGGCGAAATTGTGCGTGCTCTGAAATTATCAACTTCCTTACAGCAGTTGTTAAACAGGCCTTTGAATAGCCGAGAATTTGAAAAGCCGCCATGGAGGCGAAAAAAGATGCTGAATACATCAATGAAAAGAGTGGAAAATAATCTTTTTACGTCAAAAATTTTCCCCTGATTGAAGCAACTAAGAATTACTGTGTTCAACAGGAGCAAGCTTAGACCAGGCTCGAGAGCGATTTTCATAAGCAGCTTTTTGAAATCTTCGATACTGTCCTATTTTTGGTTGAAATCTAAAACCGAAAATCTCAAGATCAAAAAAACATCAAATCCGATTCCGGTGGTTTTGTCCTTGAATTCTAGCTTGAAAGAAAGTCCGCGCTCGATGGGGCGGAAAAATTTTCCCGCCAAAACGAAATTTTTACGAGCTCTATAGCTTACCAAGTCAAAATTTGGATGAGAAACGTCCAGAATGGACAGCTTCTCTTAGCTTTAAAAATTGGTTCTTGCAATCAAGCGAAATTAGATCAAAGTTTGTGGGGATATTTTTCTTCCTGATGAGATATATTTAAAATAAGATTTGGTGATTCTTGACTCCACAAAAGGCTTTCATAAAAATGATAATCCAAATTACGGTTTTTGAGCGTTTCTAAAAGACGAGAAGTGGCCTCGATTGCACTCAGTCGCGGTGCCCCATGGAGAGAGGGATTGGGAGGCGAGACTTCCCATGGGGTGCGAGATCAAAGGGATCAAATTTCTGAAATAAAAAATCGAAATTCGTCATTAATCTTCTTCTTTTTTCTTTTCTGTTGTTTCAAATGAGGAACCATGACAAATCGGGCACAGCGCGCGATTATTACGAGTAAACGCATCGATCACGTGGCCATGTCCTCAAAAGCACACTTCATTAACAGCGAGAATTTTATGCTTCTTTCATTCCCACTCCTTAGACAGTTGCCAATGATGAACTCAACCGCGAATGGGAATTTACTGCTCGATCATTTTTTGATAATTTTATAAAGCGTGCTTCCTTAGTTTGAATCAATCATCGTGTTTGACCTTTTTTCTATTTTATCCGCAGTATGACCTTTTTCCTTCGCTTTTTTAATTAACTCAAAAACGCGTTTATAACTGCTAGAAATCTCAATCGACATGATATAATATTATTTGCATTTATTCCTCGAGAAATCGTGATGACGCGGTTCGTAATGATTTTACGCTGGCCCCGTTAAATTTATCTCTGCTAAACGGTCTTTTAAAATATCAAGACCTTTGATCTTCATCGCCAACTCGACTGAATGCTCATATGCTTCAGTGATTGGAAAATTGCCACGAGCAGGTATTTGAAGTCTGAATTCCTGTTTATATAAATCACTTTAATTTTTCTAAAAATTGTTTGGAAAATTACCAAAAGTTAGTCTTTTACGCCAAAAGTCATTTTCTTACTTTTAAATATATACTCAAAGAGTTTTTCTGACAAATATACTTGTTTTAAGAAGCGCAAGAAACTCTGGCGCGAAAAGGAGCCACCGGTTGGAGCAGCTTCTTAATATGATTAGGGTTGTGCAGATGTGTTGAGGATGAGTAACGTTCACGGATGATTGAGCCTTGAAACATTTGCATCTACAATAATACCGAAGCTGACTAGCTTGGCTCAACGTCTGCTGCCGACAACAAACACATTCGATAATTTTTACTTATCCGTCCAGCTGCGCTGTTTTCTCTATACATTGATAAGGCCATTATTCTCGGTAATAAACAAGTCAATAAAATAAAGTTTCATCTCAGATAATTCTAGATTTTTTCTGTATAAAACGTCTTTTGAACTGATTAGCGCGATCACCTGAATTTGATTTGATATCAATGATATCAAGGAAGAGGATTCTAACAATAAAACATCTTTCAACTGTCAGGCGCAATGAACTGAATTTGATAACAAGGAAGAGATTTTTCGAATCTTTTTTTTTTGTTTTTGTTGAATAACAATATATATAGTTACACACGCAAGTAAATGAAATATGGCAGGAAATATTAAAGTTGGCAGCTTTTCTTGGTTAAATTAGTGCTTGAACTGTTTCTTTTAGTTGAGTTCGCCGCCTGGGCCGTAGAGCTCCCAGGCTTTCCACATTCGCTCTTCGACTAAAGAAAGATAGATTCACTGTGAAATCGAATACGCTGAATGTACCTGTTTCTTCTTTGTAAACAACGTCTGAGTGCATGAGATTTTTCTTGCCTAAATGTTGACAGAGAAACTGCCCTTTTGGAATGCCGAAAATGGGAATGCTATTTTCGTCCCTGAATTATCAATTTATAAAGAACTTTGCTTCGGATAAGAATACCTCAGAACTCCGGTGACGTACATATCCTCAAGCTTGAATTCCTCGTGCTTGTAGGACTCTTCAACGAGCTTCTCGTTGGCAACGTCAGATATGAAGTAGCAAGGGCCATTGCACGAACTCGGGTATCTTTCTGGCTCGTACTCCTCTTTGGTTACTGCGTATTTGCCTGTTCTTCTGACTGGGGCACCGGGCATCTTCCACATGCAAGCTACCCAGTCCGGTTTCGACGTGAATCCCTAGCGGAGCTCGTTAGCAACGGAAATCAACCCTTATATCACCACCTGATCTACTGTTAGCGCATTTATGACTTTTGGAACGTCTATGAACACGTCATCGTCCAAGTGAGCCAAAATCTTTGCACCCGGGCAGAACTCTTTCGTCCATTTCAGCTGACCAATTGTTTTTCTTGTCAAGTTCCAGTATGATTCCACGTAGTTCTCTTGAATAATATCTTGGTTCTCGACGGCCTCTAGAAATTGAGAATAGGCAGCGGCTTTTATGTCGAGAGAATTACCTTTTCTGAGGTGCTCGTTAACATTTGGATCGCCGTTGTCGCCAACGAAGAAGAGGAGCTTGACATCTTCTGTTTTGGCGTACGTTCCCCAAGTTTGGCGGATTATTTCTCTGCGCTCGAAGGCGTAAACCGCAGCTGCAACTCCGAGGATCATCGTGGGCGACTGAGTGTTCCCACGTTTAAGATTTTCAAAGAAATGGTGCTACCTTGTTCTTGCAGGCGTCTGGCTCATTGATTATCCAAACAGTATCATCTGAAACCTCCTCCAGTGGGACAATTTCCAGCCTTTCGTCGCGCAGTGCCTTCCCATGATCCGGATAATCCACAACCGCCGGGCTACCTGCAGATTCAACGACTTCTGTTTTTGTTTCCTTTTCAGCGGAATGGCCTGAAGAAATTTTCACCAGATCAGAGAGCTTATCCATCGGATCGTAATCATTTTCGGGACCAGCATCTTTTTTGAGTTAAAATTCATTCTGCAATATTATTAATAAATAATTAATAATCGCGCCTTCTCGAATTTCAAATCTCATTCCTATGTTGAGTTTCACTTCTCGCAAGAATAAGAATGTGACGATTCCAAGAAGAATGAAGAACAAGTTACTGCGGAAAATTCTCGGCATTATTTGAGCATCAGGCACTAAATCAATCTTAATAAAGATACCAAAAACTTTTGCGAGCTAGCTGGGCGAACAAGATTTCAAGAATTCTCATTTTTCACCTGGCGAAAGATTTACTAAGGGTTTCATGCTTCACGTCTTTTTTTTCCGATTTCTCGATTTCTTGTGTTCAAAAAGAGTAAAAAAGAACTTCAAAAAGACTTTGACGATGCAAAAAAATACAAGATTTGACATCCGGTTTGACATCCGGGATTTTCTCTCCAATTATATTATTTCAAATCGTTGATTCAATCTGATAACTTAAATTTAATACTTCTGAGATGCCATTCTCGCTGTTAATAGCATCGAGTACTGAGGGTCGTTTAAAACGTCATAAAACAACAATAAAAATCTTAGAATTAATGTAAAATCGCCGAACAAATGCCCAATGTCAACCGGCCGCTAGTTTAACTCGGGGGTTGAAGATGTTTTGCTGAAAAGATTTTTGACACCTTTCATATCAATTAAACACGTTACGCGAATTGAATTGACTCGAATTCACCTGGCAGGAAGCTTATCACTCACGGATTCTAAGTCGAATGAAAAAGTGCGCCAGCATCAGATCATTGCTTTTCTAGTGCGTTCTCTTACTTTTTTCTAACTTTCTGTTGCGTACATATTTCAAGCACTATTTGATTCGTAGATTTTTCGGTCAGTAAGTTCGAAGGCCGGCCTCAGTGACATTTCGGTCGAGTCCCAGCTAGCGTACTGAATTGCGCCTCCAGCAATGACGCAGTATCATTTCCGAGCTTCAACCATCCCTTCTTCGCCATTACGCCAAACAACCTGTCGGATTTGGATATTCAAAGAGTTTCAATTCTGGTTTTTTATGAGAGCAAAAAAATCCAGAATATGCAGTGCACATTAGAATTCATTGACAATTGTGGATAATTGGGATGTAAAAACATCAGTCCAAAGCAGAACATAATCGCCAGGTTTTCTGTGATTGTATCGTAATGCAGAAACGAATACCTAATGAACGTGTAAGTGCAAGCATCTTTAATTTTTGCCCAGTGTTTTTCTTGTGTTTTTGATTCGGCAACTCGGTACGAACGACTCGATCTTCTTCTCCGATGATCCCATCCAACTGCTCCAACTTGTCCATTTTCACCAATATCTCTGTTTGTGTTATTTTTTTATCGAATCCAACAATCTATCCTTGCATCCACGTATTTGCTATTTTTCTTTTATCTCAGCGACTTGCTATTTCTGTTTAGTAAATTGGATGACTCTGATTCTGAGAACACAGTGACATGATCGGCATATACTTTCAAATTATATTTTGCCATTGCTTATTTAATTAGCGCAAATTTGCTCCTTGGTTATGGACTCAAAAATAAACTTCAACGGTGTCAAGGCTTTGCACTGAGTCTTCCATGATTTCATGTCTCCAGTCAAAAATGCGCTAGAGACCGAAGCGAAATTCAAACTCACTGTCACAATAACAGGAACTACCGTGGCTTCCTCCGATGTCAGCATTACTTTAACTCATCCGTTTGATTATATTTACTGTTTTAGCCCGCACCTGTTATTAATGTTTTGTTACGTGTTAAATTGTTATTGAAATATACGAAATTTCATAACGTAATGATAACGGGATCTTATTTATTTCTGGGATGTAAGATCATATGGTTCGTATCATTAAAAGAATGTTTACAGTATTGTTAGGTATTGCTCACGAAGTTCTGTTGAATTTGACGATAGATCTAATTGACCAGGGGTGATGTAAAAGTCACTCGAACATAATAAATAAATTCAGATTACTCGGGAGATGTGCTTTGTTTGAATTGGGAGGATTTGGATCGTTCGAATCTGTGCATAAACCCAAAATAGTACTGCCTATTAAGAAGAGGCTCTTCCCGTGAATTGCCCTTCATCCATATCTTATTTTATGACCTACAAAAATCCGCAATTTCAATTTTTTAAACAATAAAAACCAGCGATTTCAAATGGCGACGAAATAGCTTTCAAGAGTATAAAAACGGCTCTTAAATGTTCTTGGTCTCCATGAAAAACCAAAAACCAACTCTAACCCTAACCCTAACCCTAAGAAGAGTTGGCAAATTAAAATTAAAGATTGTTTCCAAAACGATTTTATACTCAAAAGTAAGTCCAATTTCTGAGTTTTATACTTTTTGCGTGGAGATTCTGAATATATTCGTTCAGAACCGCTTTCCTTAAAATTTTTCGCATGAATTGTGCGAAAGGACGTAAAACCTCAAGTATTTCTACGAGAGAAAAATTATCATATGAGATATTTTTCAATTGTATTGTCTCTAGAGAGACTAACAATGACAGAAAATAAGCATTTGAAGACGGAGTTTTATGATAGAATTTCCATCCGAAAAGTTCAGGCAGATGTTCACGCAAGACGCCAGTTTGAAATCAAGATGCTCGAAAGTTGGAGACTTAGACGGCCTCTCTATTGAAACATGATCGAATATTGGTTGCGAACGTTGAAGTCGAGAGACAAGAGAAATCCAAGAATGCTCGTCAGAAAGTACTTAGTAGTACTCGAGCGCTTGAGGGGCTTGGTGTGAGCATATTCAGCAGGGCAGGGTCACAATAACGGGAAGTCTTATGTTCCCCTCGGCGGATTTGCACGGACCTCAAAAATTACTCTTTCAAAATTAATCTACTTCAATTTGTCTAATGCGATCAAGCTGCCGGAATTATGATCATTCGTGCGGGGACAATACCGGAACCAAGGCCATTTCTGCGCAGAAAATAACGAATCCAGAAATTTTGAGACATTATTCTGTAGTTCCCCGTTAGTTGCTAAAATTTCATCTTCCGTTTTATTAGGGCAGGTCCATCTTTTGCATAATAAACAGATCGATCCCTCATTATGTTATCAATCTCGCCCAAGACAAGGATACATGATGTGGCGGTCGTATTTTCGTGCCAGCGAAGGGTTTTTGATATTTTTTGTTTCCATAAACTTGTTCTTAGTTGTTAAAGAATACAAACCGCCGTTAAAAGACGATCTCGCCATAACAAACACTGTTCTATTCAAGCATTGCTTGCCCCTATACATGTCTTATGCCGTTCACTCCCGCTTAGGCCTGTCGAGGTCAAGAAGAACACTTTTTCTTGAGAGAAAGAAAGAAAGATCGCTGGCGTTCGATTTCTTTGTGTTCTTGTCAGCAACAACACTATGATTTAACCCAAGAAATGAAATTATAATCGAATCACACGTAAGACAATAATAGCAATCTGCCGTTTATTAAAAAGACGAATGCAAGTCATCAAAACATTCTCCTTGTTTTCATCATCCACGCTACGTTCATAACATTTTCAGTCGCTTCAATGAAAACTAAATTCACATGAAAATCTGGATTCAGCGTTCGTTTATGGTCTAACTAACCTGCCGGATTTTCGCAGCAAAAATTCCTTCTGTTCAATATTTTGGTAGCGCCATTTTTGTTTTCATTATTTCAAGTACACGCAGGATATACCTTGATGATTGTTCGTCTTGTTTCTTCTTTTTTGTGTCATGCTTTTACTGATTCTTTTTTAATGTGCTGTTCTTATATTCTTGTAGACATAAAAACGGACGATTTTCACCAGCCGGTTTTTGTACGAGAGCGAGAGCAGGCTCATTCAAAAGCTCTTGAAAAGGGCTTTCTATTCGGCCAATAAAAAACTCGGCCCTCTCTCCCTATTTCGAGTTAAAGATTATTAGTATTTTGGGGTGAAAATCATCTTATATTGTAAAAAAGAAATGAGGTTATGTAACGCCGGTACAATTATTCCTATTTGGCCGTTTGAGTATAATTATATTTCGGTGCTATTTCTGTATCTCGATTTCACGTCGCTATGAACAAAAAAGATCTTACGTAACAAAGAAAGATTTTATCATAGAAAATAATCTAAACTTGCATTAGTTCGCTTCATAAATTATTCAGAAGAATTATAGTCATTGGAATAAGTTAATCAAGAATTAGTTAGAGAATAAATAGTAAGCCGGAAAGGTGGAAGCTTGAGATCGAGAGATGATTCGCGCATTGTGCGGGAGCGCTCATATTTTCCCACAACGGGATCGTGAGAGCGCCATCGCGCACCACTCACTACTGCCCTCGCGCCCAATGATCGCATGGAATGATATCTGTCGAGGGATGAAGAGCATCGATTGAGAATTAATTTGACGATCAAAAATACGATTTGTTTTTTTGAGAGAAATCCGCTACGAAATATTCTTTGAGCAGAGAAACAACTTAGTTTCAAGGAGACTAAAATTGACAAAAAAAAAACAGTCGCCTTTATACATTTCGTGTGAGTATGCTTTTTTAAACAAAAGACAACTGAAATATTTGTTCGATTTCCGAGGTCATTTCTGTGTGATTATTTTCTGGGACATTTAAAATGAAATTTAAGTCCGAGTTCATGAAATTATGAGAAGCGACGTAACGCATTTACTCCAGTGTATAAACGTGCACTGGAAGACTAGTAATTTACTCCTAGCTTGAGACGAATTAGCGGTTGCCGATTTGCGATGAACTAGAACACCCACCGTGGCAAATGTGTGTTCGTTATTTTCCTACGTATCTTCTTTTTATCCCTATTTTTCATTTTTTCCTTAGAAGACAATCTTTGAAAAGAAAATGTCTGAAAAATGATGAATCATTTTGATGCTGAAAAACTTTTGATAGCATCTTCAAATTGAACATGAAAAAATGATGATACAGTAATTACTAATTAGGTTCTTTCCTTGATTTATGATTGAATGTCTTACGCATGACAGATAACCCTAACCCTATAGGTTATAGCTCGAGGTTCTGTCGAGAGCAGAAAACATGAATTTCTAAAAAAATCTCAAGGGTCTTTTTTCTAGTGGCGCGCTGTATTTTTGATGGATTTATGTCGGATTTTTGAATTATCGGCGGAAGAGTCCTATTTATTGTGAGAATACCTTTAAACGTACGGGGTAAGTGAAAACATCGAGAAAAAGAGTTTAGTAGATCTGTTTTCTTTTTCGATTTCCACTTCCATGCTCCGATTCGCCACTTACACATGTTTAAAACAATATCCTTTAAAATTGGGTTTAAAACTGAAATTAATAAGCTTGCAAAACAAATAAATTTAAGTTTTGAATCCTCGAAACGAGAGAGTCTACGACGGAATATGACATTGTTTTCAAGTCCGTTAAATTCAATTACTTTTTGAGTCAGGGGTTGCGATATGGCTAGAGTGATGAGAGGTCGGAAAAATTATCGCCAAAGCGGTTGATTTGTGGCCTCAAAAAGTAAATGTCCTCACGTCGGACATTCGCTAGTTCGATAAGGGTAACATCGCCCGCAGAGTATTGCCCTTGACCACGATGGCTGTTGTGATAGTTTTTATCTTTTCTGTAATTTCTAAATAGAATCCTCGAGATAATTTTGATGCCAGTGCAAGTCTGGGAAGCTGAGTCTTAGGCGAGATAAGGCCAGAGAAACGTGCTGATCTCAGTAGAGTAACTAGAAGGCGTATATCTGCGACAATCACGCAACGCTCAAGCTATCCGGCTTTATTCCGTTGTTCCTTTCGATCCCTTCCGCGTGTGAACTTAGCTTGTTGCAGAAACAGTGTTCCTCGATCATTGCAAATTCGCTGTTTATAAACGCAACCGCTAACCCAAGCGTCTAACCTTTGTGTATGACGTGTGCCAAGGGTCACGAAAAGCAATTATGATTTACAAGGGCATGTCTTCAAAATAACTATTGTACTTAAGGACTCCCCCGTCAACAATTTTCCTCGAAAAATCGAATTTGGGGTCCTTAAACCAATTCGCCAATGCAAAAGGACTTTGATTTGAGAATCGGACAAAACTTGATTCATGGAGCAGTCTTTCGTCTGAAGTTTTCTAAACTAGCGGAAATGATGCGGGAAAGAAATAACAACGGAAAAAAGCTTTCTAGTTTTGAAAACAATCGAGCGTAGAAAAATTGAATGCTTGCGCAAGTTAATTAGGGGATCAAAGTGTTGATTTATTTTTTGAACAAAGACGTTCTGTGATGGCAATAAGGGAACTGGATGGGTAGCGCGATGAGACCGCGCCTTAGAAGCCTGCCTTGCATAAACAGAAGCAGCTTCCGCCCTGCGTCTGGCTTCCGGACGTTCCACTCAATCCCAAAATCGACTCGTTTAAATTCCCTAGTCCATTAAAGAAGCCATTTCGGGCGCTTCATTACGAAAAAAGGATTATTTGTACAAGGATGGATTATTTTGTCATAACGTGATTTCTTCGGCGCATTAATTTTCCCGGTGGATTTCCAAGCACCATATTCTATTTTCGATTGCCAATTCAAGACCGCTTTTCACATTCATCCAGAACTTGATGTTTGCTAGTTGAATGTCTCATGTAAAATCAATGGGCTATCGACAATGGAAAGTGAAGAAATCATTCTCCCTTAGTACGACATAAACAATAGTAATCTACTTGTGTCATTCGTATTTTCAAACGGAGGAAAACTTCTGTCAAGCTCGGCTGACAATGATTAGGACTCGTGGAACGATAAACTGTCGACAGCTACAGTAATAAGAATCAGGGTGACTATTCTTTTATAGAACACCTTCAACTAAAAGAAACCTTTAAAGCTGAAGGTGGTATGCTCAGTCCGCTATAATGCAAGAAAAAAGCTTAGTGAGGTGAAATCTCGAGGATACAAACAAGGAGGTTGTTGGTGGAGCGGAAAGCTGATCTCAAAACTATTTATTAATAAATTAGTTTTTCTCCATTTTTCATAAGTTTCTGTTTTGAGAACAGAACAGTTGCTCTTCTCAGCTTTCCCCAGTCGAAGTAGATCGAACTCATATAATCGGTAATTGTAGAAAAGATGTACGAAATTAGAACATTTTCTGTATCTTTTACCTTCTCAATCAGAAATGACTCCAGCTTCTACCGAGCGAACTTCACGGTTCCTTGAGAATTCTAACGTCTCATCCGATCGTGCCGATATAAATTGAATCGAGTTTATATAACATACATAAATAGCTTAGCCGTGAAAGTTTACAGCGTTAAGTTAATTGTAGTCCATCTTTGAAAATATTGAAAGTCACCACACAAGTAAAAAAGAAGTAGGAGAAAAGTTTTGCCAACATTTGTCAATTGGATCAAGTGTTAATTTTATTTAGCGATTCTTTTCGAAAGAGAAGCTTTTCATTTTTGAATTTGACATTTTTTCTCATAAATAATTTCGAAATGAATTAAATGATAAATTATTTATTCTAATTTTAGACTTTGACGAATGAGAACCATAACCCTAACCCAGACTTTAGACTTGACTAACCATAACCTAACTACCTTCTTTGATATAAGGTACATAAGTTGCATGAAAGGTTTCTGAATAAGTCCGCTCGCTTTTGAGAATAATTATAGAATTGGGTCACCTGAAAATTGCTGGATAGTAGATTTACGTCAGACAATTAAAGATAAAAAAAAAGTGTCACTTGTTTGGTCACATCTGTTGACCACGGCGCACTCCAGGAATGCGTCTCAATATGTCGACGGGCTTGGTTGGAATGCCGTCAAGGGCGACTTCCGAAAATAACTTTTTACTTTTTCCATTTTATATGGTAGACGATGCGCCTTCCGCTACCCGTTAGAGTCGGTACACTGTGTAGCATTGTCTTATTTAATTTTAGAGAGGCAGATGGAAATATTAGATGCGAAATTGCTGACGTCGGCTAAAAACAAGTTACGTTTGGGCGGTTGGGGATGCGGTTGGACTATTTTATGTGACGGAGTTAATGCTATCAGTCTCGATTTGTTTTATTGAGGTTTTTTGCTTTGTTCATTTTGAGGGAGTTAGAAATGAGGAGTTTTCTCGAAGTTTACGTGTTCTGTTTGGGCAGTTGAATGAATCAATTACACCCAATCTAGGGAGCACGTTTTTGGGGCGAGTTTATTTTCTTCCCAAATTGGAAAAGCTTTAAAAAAGTGATCGTTGCCAAGCTGAGATAACCAAAACGCGCAACGTTTGCCATAAAACACGCTTAGCTCAACCAGGATCCGGATTATAGGGCTCTAACTCGACTAACTACACAGTGTAGACGGTATCTTCTAATTCAAAGCCATATTGTTCTTATCAACACATACTCTTCAGTCCAGACTGTGGAAAGATCCTCGAACTCGCTTTGCATTTCCATAAAAAATCTCGAAAGTCGTTCGAAAACGCTTTTTTTTTCTTCGACGTTTCTAAATGATTTCCGAGAATTAATCTTTACTTTAATTTCAGCGAAAAAATTATGATCAGGCTTAATCGTTTATTTCGTAAAAAAGAGAGAAATCCCTTTGCTTTCAATATCAGCAGATTGAGACTCTAACAAAATAAAAAACACCGAATAAAAGCCCAAAATATTTCATAACTGGCGAAGAACCTCAATGTATTATGGGCAAATATTGTTGGGTTAAGGAGAGAAGAGGCTACTACTTTGTAGTCAATAAAAAGATCACAAGATGAGACCGTTTAGCATCATCTTCGGGGAAATACTCGCTAAAACATTGCTATACATTTTGCAGGGATAAACAGAGGCCGTGTTATTCGTGCTTAGTTGGTGAACATGGAATTGAAGTTGTTGGCAATCCAAACCGTCCACTAAACATTCGATTTGATCACAAAAATGACAGAAAGTAGATTAACTTTCCTTTCACGAAAGTATGCGATTTTTAAGTTACGAAAACAAAATTGCTAACGACTCTGATTTTTTAGATCGCTAGATGATATGGTTACTATATTATGATATGTCAATGAATGACTGTACCAACTCTTTCTACAAAGGGAAATTTGTCTCCAAATTTCCAAAAATCCAAATCCAAAAATGTTTGAAGTAGGACGTAAACGTTGCCTTCTCTGAAAGAAAGTCTTACTCTCCACTCACTTACGAAACAGGAGAGAGATAAAAACACCCCGAAATTGCGCTCTTCCAAAAGGACTTGAGATTCAGCAGCGCAACAAGCACCAAACGTGAACTTCATTTAACACATTTCCAAAGCTCGAATTATGTCACTTCGTAGAAAAATTCTTTCTCATTTCTTTCTGAATTTTGTGGGTTTGTAGTCAGACAAAATAAATTTGATATTCTGAAGTTTAGCGATCTGCTTCATTTACGCGGTAACGAGCTAAAATTGAGCTTGATCGAATGTTCCCATCACAAACCAGTTCAAATAGATTGATCAAAAATAATACAGCTCTGGAGAAAAAGCGGTGCAAATTAATCGCTTTGTTCACTCTCGATTTCACACTCGTCTTGTCGAATAGTAAATTTCGCGGAATTCATAACCACGTTACATGGCCTAACCGCACATTTTCCGGGTTCTTGCATTTAATTTTATGTACCGCTACTTGACTTTACATTGTCGTTTTTTAATGTTGCTTTTGAACTCGTTTTTGGACTAATTCAATTTCGACTTTTTAATGAAATGAGCAGTTTTACAGTTGTCATAAATAATTCAATTTTCCGAGGATGATTTTCATGTTTAGAAACGTAATCATCTGCGGAGCTACAAAACACGCCCGGACGCCATTCAAAATTTGACAAAGGTGAGCTTTTGTTGATTTTTACTTGTCATCGGCCGATGATCCAGGTCAGACATACAATCGAAACTTGCGTTTTAAAAGAAATCAAAAACTTTAGGATTGATTTATTTCCAGTAGCTAGAGTTCTGTAGAGTGTTTTCATAACAGCGAATTTGATTGCTAAAATAAGCAAAATAATGAATTTAATTTAAAAATTAAACTTAATTAAAAGCGCCGTTTGCTCAAATTTTGATTATAGAAAAAGATAGTTTCGTAACAAGCACTTGGGAAGGGCAGTGAAACAAATTTGGGATAGAAGCCCTTGTAGGGACAACAAACGGGCGATATGCTAACAATCCATTTTCCCGGACTCGCGGGGTAGATTTTCGCCCAATGCCGGATGCCTTCTTTAGACAAAACGCGCTTAAAGTTCATTCAGTGCTTATCGCCACTTTCTCTAAATTGTCCTATTACAGTAAAATCAGCCACGTTTACCGGTCGCAGCAAATCTGATTAGTTCATTCCTCTAAGAAGCAATTCCGTTGCTATTTTAGCTCCACCAGAAAGATGCGATAAACGCTTTTCCCCAAGATTAATTAATTCTTTCTGTTTCCCATATTAACCGTTTATTCAGCTACTTCAAGCTGCATAAAAAAACTAACTGAGGGCGGCTCAATCAACCAGGTAAGAAATTTTACTTTTATATTTAGCCTTTAGGACAGCCAGAAATGGGATCCGTCGGGACAAATTTTTCATTTGGACGATCCGAGTTTGACTCCATCGTTCCCGGAACTCCACAGGCTTGAGCTTATAATCAACATTGTTAAGCGATAATATGCATGCACAAAGTAAAGATTTTTTGTAATTGGCGACTAAAATGAGCTCTGAACAAAGATCATCCGAACAGACTCGAACTTTGGACGAATAGTAAGTGTGATCGAGCAGCACTGCTTGGACCTGGTGGTGGACTCTAATTATCCACAAGCCGAAGAATGCGCGGAGATAAACGTAAGTGCCGCCGTCTATCGTCGTCGACGAGTTTATTGAAACTATCGACAATTCAAGTGCTCATTGAGAAGCTTTTCTTATCGACTGTTTTTTCGCAAACGTGAGATTTTTTCTTCTAGGATACGACCAACGCGCAAGCCTGGCAAATAACAGAAAATAACCAAGTGAGATATCTTGACATTGACCAGGAACTCGGTTACGACGACTTTTTCGTCTGCCTTCATGCTTTTGGAGATAAAGGAACGGTTGAAAGCAAGTCTAGACCGAGATAGTTTGACAAATGTTATGTTTGATCATTTTGTAATGACTCTTGAAAACGCAATACGCTTCATAACGACTCGCTTGCTATTAGATTAGCACCATAACAAAGAGCGTGTTTTGGATCAACCAATTGGTAGTTTAGCTGTTTCGTTTTCGAATTCGAGTGAAACTTATACAAATTGATCAAATAGTCATTTTATTCATCGAATGATTACATTGACCTAGATAGAGAAGCAGTTTGCTTTAGAATTGCGTTACAACTTTTTTGTTTCCCCAATAGTTGTAGAATAGATGGAGTGGAAAAATAGCTTCCAAGGCTGAAAAAGGGTAGCTTGAAAACCATGACACAGACGATAACACCGGATTCGTGCGTGTACGCGAGTGCCCATCAGAATCTGACGACGACTACTTTAACTCGCAGTGGGACTTCACGTTCAAAAATGGCGACCCGCTGCAATTTCGGTTGCGTAACACTGCCGTCGACATGTGTTTAGGAGATGACGTTGTTCAGGAGCCGAATTAGAAATATTGTCAATATCTTACGGTGGAGAGGGTTGTATTGTTTATACCGTATGCTGCATACGCTATGCATCATTTAATATATTGTTCACAAACGATTAATCATAACATTTAGAAAAAAAGATGTTTTATCCGAAATTTGGATTCCAAATCGATCAATTATTTTGACTTTTTTGAAGAATTTCGAAGAGGATTTATTTTCATTCCGCGGGAGAAAATAAACCCTTCGTTTTAGCACCTAAAAAATTCTTTTAACTCTGCCGCTTCGCGAAATTTATTTTCTGGTTCAAAGTAAATTCTATTTACAACACTTGAGCTCGAAAAAAATTAAAACGGCCACTGCTTGAGGAACTCATGTTGTATGCAATAATACTTGAATCGAGTTTACCAAACGCACCGTTGTCGTCATATCGAGCCCTTTCGTCTTTTTTGGGGAGCAGCGCTCGTTAATCCAATATGTTTTCTTCGCTTAGTGAATAATATTGCGCACACGCTTATTTTTTATACTGTGTGGATCTGTTATGTTTGCCCCTTTTACGGCAACACTTACACGTCTTCAAACGTAGACCGATTTGATCAGTGATCATTGAGGGACTCTTAGTATTCACCTCAGTGGGGAAGACGTACGGTATTTCCCAGCCTGACTTCACCATTGATTGAAAGAGACATGTGAAAAATGCAGGAAACGCGCGCCCTTTATATACTTTCCTCTGGGAAGGGGGCATCTAACCATAGACTGAATGCGAGCAAGTAGAAAACTCGGTTGAAAGGTGAAAGCAGGCAAACCCGGCAAGCCCGGCCCTGCCCGAGTAAGAAGCACCTGGTCACTGGTCGAGTGCGACTCAGCTCCCTGGTGGCAGTTCCTCCATCTCTTTGAAAACTGGAAAATTGACGAACGACTGTGCAAGGTGATTAGAGAAGGAGCAACTCGCTCTCTAGAAATTCAAGGGCGGAGGGAAATTCTTATTCAAATTCATTTCAGGTTGCGGGAGATCCGGAATCTTGCCTAGCATACAAGAGTAATGGGAAGGATTTCGGTAAGTGAAATTTTTGTTTTCATAATTTAATCTCTTGCGACCCAGGCGGAGGAGAGATCTTGGACCTGAAAGTGGAAGATCTCGACTTGAACACCCTAGACCTTCCCGAAGACTACGATCATGATCAGCTTCAAGAACTCATTGAGCAATACAAAGGTCAGCAAAAAATCAACTACTCTTCGTTACATATTTTAGACGCGTTCGCCTACTACTACACATATCAGTTTGACGACTACGACTATGCTGGATACGACGGATAAATTTGAAAAACAAATGTTCGCCTGTAAATACTTTACAAATCCAATTCTGTAAAAACCTGTACAAAGTTCCGAAACTAGCAAAATGCATCAATAAATCATTTTTTCTCGATTTCAATTATTGAAATCAAGGAATTCTTCAACTGCAACTCGGCTCATTTCTTTTCTTCGATAGCAGATGCGACGACTTTAGCGCATTTTAGAAAGTCATACTTTCCGTTATGTATCCCCGGTATGTGCTCGGTCGGATTCTTAGCCGTTCACTAAAAATATCTCACAATATCCTACGAGCTTAAAACTTGTCATAATCCTCTTATGTAAGCGTAGCTCTCCTTGATTAGCCCAAATCATAAGTCCGCGTTTATCAACCCTGCGTTGTACTTAAGCTTCTGAATAACGAAAAAAATACTGAACATTGTATTTAATAGTGGTCAAATAGTGGCTTGAGATTGGGACAAACTGTGTTTATTACGTGATTCGCGGTCTAAAAGTGAAAGCGTAAAATTTCTAATTACAGTCACAGCTAATCCCCCAGCCCCGTTTTCAAATAGTCCAACGTGATCTTAAGAAGTGCCCATTTGGTAAAAGGATGAAGTCAGTTCTATGCGTTTTATTCTCGTAACGAATGATTGCAAGACGCACTCGACTCTGTCTAATCTCGTTATTTCTCTGAAACAATCGTATTTTCTCCATCACCGAGACTGTACGAAACGCTCTTTATTGGACAAAAACAGTCACAAAAAAAGTCACAAAAACAGCGTTCTGGTGAACAAAAGCGGATTTTCTCCAAATATAAAAACTGCCCTTAGAAGCTCCCCTAAAAATTATATATAATATACATTTTCACGAAGAGGCGGAATTCAAAAACGTGCGCCCAACCAGCAACTATGAGTTTGTAGACCATCTCAACGTTCCATTTCTGCGGAATTTGCCACTGCACTAATTAATATTGCTTAGCGAATCGTCCGCAGTATTTCGAGCCGCAGTTTTGGGGCGGGGATTATACATTCTGTGGGGGATGTTTGATAAGGATAAGGGTCGAATAAATGAGAGTGATATTCAAAGCGATCCAAAAAGCGGAAGGATTTAAATTTCCTCTCAATGAAAGAGAAACAGCTCTATCCAATGGTTTCGTAAGAATATTTTCTCGGCAATATTCACTAGGTACACACCAAAGCTATCCTAGTGCCAATCTCAAAAAACCCTCAAGAAGGCAAAATAATATTTACGAACCTCGATCCTAGTCGATAACTTCTGATAGCGGGAAAACTACGTTCCCAAATCCGGAGTTCGATTATGTCAGATCAAGGTTGCACGGAGGCTGCTCCCGCATTTCCCAAAATCCTGGATTTCCCAAATCCTGGATTTCCCAAAATCCTGAATTTCTCAAATCGCCAAATCAGGATTCTGCCGATTCTGGATTTTGGGAAATGCAGGATTGGGAAAAGCAGGATTTTGAGAAATGCAGGATTCAGCTGAAATTTCGTCGACTAACACTGTTTTCCTCTACCAATCTGTCAAAACTAAAATAGTCCTCGCTAAAGCTCTTGAAAATCTTATTTTTCAGGGCAAATCTACTGTAAACAATAAAATGCTTCGATTCGAGGGCCTCGAGCGCTGTCTATAATCTGCTCTTTTTGCCTTGGCACATTTTTCTGGACTATATTTTGAGTTGACAGTACCAATTGGTACCCGAACTTTCTCGTCTAGGGTCAGGCTTATTTGAAGTATGGACCATACTGTATGGTCAGATTAAATAATTTTCGCTTTCAGAATCAAAATCTACAAAAATACCCTACAAGGAAAGTATTTTGTGAAATTACAATTTTTTACTCCTTTAAAACTTCACTTTCGAGCTTAACCTCGATATAGCTTGATCCGATTTGTTGCGCTTGTCGGTGGGCCCTTTGATTTTTTAGGTTTGATTTTTAAACCAAACCATGGCTGTTGATTTCGAGTCCTTTGGTTTTACCCGGCATTTTTTTCCGGACAACCCGCAGATTTTTCAGCGGGTTTCTCGCACGGAGACTCTTTTTCACGGGCTACCCGCCCTACTTGTTTTCTCCTTTCCGCCGAGTAGCTCGTGATTACCCGCAACCATTTTTCTCGAGCCAATCATACAGGCGAATTTTCTTTTTTCTAGGCGAAATTTTCGCGAGTAGCTCACGATTATCCTTTACCCATTTACTCGATCTACTCGCACGGGTCTCCGCACGAGTAACCCGCAGAAAAATCTGCGGGTTGCCCGGAAAAAAATGCCGGGTAAAAGCAAAGGACTCGAAATCAACAGCCATGAACCAAACAAAAAAACTAATTCAAAAGAAAAAAAATCCTGCATTTCCCAAAATCCAGAATCGGCAGAATCCTGATTTGGCGATTTGAGAAATTCAGGATTTTGGGAAATCCAGGATTTGGGAAATCCAGGATTTTGGGAAATGCGGGAGCAGCCTTGCACGGAGGTTCATAACGTGTCCCTTCCTAGAGAAAATAAAGGCTATCTAATGACGATTTAATTTGTCACTTCGTGTTCAACGCTTTGACATGTTGTCTTTTCCTCTTTACGTTTTCGATTCACCGAGCAAAATTGATTCTTACTTGAACGATCGTTGTGGCAATTCGCAAAAGATACACTGATCTACTTAAATTCTAACTGCACTCTCTCAATGTTTAGAGGTTGTCAAACGGCTCTTTGTGGAAAGAATAAATCCCTAGTTGAAGCCTAAATCCGACAGAGTATAGCAGGAGTCATAATTTGGGACAATGCGGTTGATAATTTCCCCCTTTTGAAATACCGCACACCATTTTTGTCTACAAATCATGGTTGCTCATCGATTGCCTCGACGCGATTTTTAAAAACGACGAAGACGGATCATAAAAAACTGCTTCAATTACAAATTTTTTGGAACATGACATGATCTGAAGGCACGTTATCGATAAGGAAATCGCTCCACGCAATTTTCAAACTAGAAAACCACTTGAAAGAAGCCGGCTATGCTAGAATTCAAAAAGATCAGAAGGCACTGCCATTTCTGGAATCGCCGTTCATCAAACAGCGATTCCGTATTTCGAAAAAAGTGAATCTTTTGTAAATAAGAGTAGATCCGTTTCCTGAAAACAGAATTTACTCTGAACCTTATCATTCGAAGACACTAATATTATCATTCAAGTTTCTTCGTTTGCATTGATAAGAAGAGAATAACGTCTATTAAAATCCCTTCCATGCAAAAATTTAGAAAAAAAGAAGCCAGTGTAAATATCGTTAGAAGAAATAACTTCTTTGTAATATTGTGCTAAAAATGGGTAATCCTCTGGTCTACTTGCCATCTCAGGGGTGATGTTTCTCAGGTTAATACCGCGTAGAAACGACCGATTCCACAAACCGTTAGCGGTACTTATCTTTGTCACGGATAATCCTCACTTTTTTCAGGTGGCGCTGATCTTGGCCCAAAGTGAAAAGTCATGCTGTAAACAGATTTTAATGCATTCATTACAAAAATTGCCGACTTCGCGAATATTTCTGCGCAAAATAAAAAAAATAATTTCTGATAGGCGTCTTCAAACAGCGCCCCGAAAAACTGCCATCCAGTGTGAATCTTGCGTGTCATTTTGGGTACACTGTTGCTCACTTCAAATTGAATAACTCTCTGTTGATTTCAGTTTCTTTCGGTGTCCAGTACATCTATAAATCAATGAATTCGATAATCAAGCAGCATGAATTTTTGAGTTTGGTGGTAGTATCATAAATTCGAGCCATTATTGGTGGTCTCCAGGGATATTTCCGGGCGGATAAATATTTAATTAGGAACAAGCCTTTATCCAAAAGGGCGAAAATTAAATAGGCTTTGGCCGCTTTCTAAAGAACGATAAAACAAAGGGTGAGCGATAAACTTGAGCTGTCAAGGTCTCCTCTCCATTCTGTCCGCTTGGGCGAGGTGTCAGAATCAACAGATGTCTGTAGGATGGAGATTTATCCTCGGGCTCGGAAGGAACTGAGAATATGCGCGTGATTAATAGTCTATTTTCTTCTCTCTCTTCTTGTGAACTGCCTAATCTAATAAGATGGCTCGGGAAAGCCAGCTCAGGCGGGCGCTGGAGAGACAAACTCGTCCAGATCGAGCACTACATCGCGCTTTTTGTCGAAATACAGATAGCTGAAAATAGCTGCAGACGGAGAAACTACGTATAAAGAGCAAATGAAGAGAAATGACTCAACGCGCTTTCTAGGGGATGTTCTTGAATTCTTGTTTATTTTGGAAAATGTATAGCATTATGGAAATATAAAAAAGCTCCAATATTTGGACTGCTTGAAATCTCGTAAAACGCAAAAAAAATGACTGACCACTCGAACATCCATCTTGTAGAATTCTACTAAAGAGAAGTAGCACTAGCCGTGAGAAGAAGATCACCCAACATGTTCTTTACTACGCTTTGTCTTCTTTCGGCCTTGGTTTTGTCTGAACAGGCAAAATGGCCGATATCGCTTTCTCACGGAAATGGCGGCATGGTGCTGATGCCGAAATGGTTGAGTTGATCAAATACTACTCTTGAAAATTTCAAGTTGAAATTTCGCTGAATATATTTCAACTCGCAAAAGACCACATCAACCGGTGAAAAATATTTTTCATTTTGTCTCCCCGATGTAGTCAAAACAGGAAAGAAAAAAAAGAAGATCGGGAAATTTCTTTGCAAATTGGCTGGCTACAAAAGATATGGCAAGTTCATTGGCACAAGGGATGAGTATCATGAGTGGAGAAGAAATAAAGGCCTAGACGAAATAAAGAGCTATTTTACTGATAAAAGTTGTCTTCCGAAATTCGGTGTCATAGGTTGGTTCTTCTCGTTGTTCGCAAAAATAAAATGATATTTACAGGTCTGCGATGTCGAAGAAAAAATTTAGAGAAGTTGGAAGACTGCAAACCGAAGTATTCATGGACCCATCCGACGGAAACGGTCATTGAAATGTGAAATTTAAGATTCGAACGTCATTATTTATGATCTTCCGAAAAGGCTGCATAATTGGAAAAGACGAAATATTTCTGCATTGCCGGAAAAAAATCCAAGAAAATCCCAAGGGCGACCCTCTTTGGTCCGAGTGGAAAGCTACTGAATCATTTTGCAATGCGGAGAATGAATATCAGGAGCGGGTTAAACAGGATTAAGTACAGTTGTACGCGGTCTAGATATCTTAGGCTCAGATAGCTTACTTGTCAATCAAAGAGATGGCGAACGCGTTCCATTAAAGTTTAATTGATCAGAAGGCCTAATAAGCGAACCCAAAAGTACAGCAGTTAACTAGGCAGTGTATCCGAGGAACGTGCTCTGGCCCATGGTTCATGGTCAAAGGAATGTCTCAAAGTGACTGAAACTCTTAATTGATCGGTCAAATTTGATTTCTTTGCAAAGCGTGCGACTCGTGCGGGAAACCAATCGATGGTATCAAAGATTACAACGAAGACTACTACTCAGCGTCGTCCTACAGCTCTTCATACAATGACAATGACGAACAAGTCGACAATAATTATGGCGATGGGTTCTGAAAGCGAACGACATCTTGTCGCTAAAAGTAAAGAATTTCGAATTATATTAACCCAGCAAAGAGAATATAATATCACAGATTTGATGTCTAGCGATAACTACGAATATGGAAACTATGACTACCGTAAGAGATCGAAGCGTGAAATAAAGGAGTGCCAATGCCAGGTAAATACTTATTTGAATGATCACTAAGTTAACAGTCTGTTACAGTCTGACTAATAATTAGTCTTGTAGATTTATTCGGACACCGATAAGACGAATAAAGGGAAAAGTAAAAGCAAGAAAACAACAAAGAGGAAACTACCAAAAAAGAAATTGAAATGTCTTGTTGATTATTCGAACTGGAAAAGCAAGGATGGCTCTTCTTGTCAAGAGATCTACCAGGGACTGGTTTAGAATCTTTTAAGCTTCTAAGTTTGATTTTTTTCTTTTTTCTAATCCAAAAAAGGAACGCAGAAAAGACGCTCGAAAAATTGAAGGCTACGATCTCTGTCCACAGAGCAACAAATGCGCCTTTGAGAAAAAGTACACTCGTGGGAATTGCAGTGCTTTTCTTATTGATTACGAAGAGAGAGGTTCTTTTGCAAAAGCGAGAGAATTCAACGGAAGACTAGATGAATCTTCCTGGTGGAAAGGGAACTACACAAAGTTGCCGGATGTGGTCAAATTCGGCGACCACAGCGTCTACAAACTCGATAAAAAGATCACTTACGCGATCTATGTGAAGCAGTGCTGGGTGATAACTGGTCACTTGACCGATCATATACCGTTTTTCAAGAACGAAAACGCCAACCCAAAGTACGCATCAGTCTATGTTTAATTAGTTTGTTTATTTATGCGTTGAAAATTAATTATTTATGTGATTAATCCTCCCACCGGAGAAAAAAAACTGGAAACAGTTTTGTCTGATTAACTTCTTTGGGAGGGCGCCACTTTGCTGCATAATCAAAATAGTCTTCTCTTGTGCGATTAGTGATAGTAAAGTGGCGGTCCAAAAAACGAGTTGATTTGCGTTCTACTAAATTATAGCTGCCCAGCGTTATCGGATACCAACTCTTGGGAGTTCTGGGACGACCCGGCAGAAAATGATCCACGACTAAGATTTGAGCTACCGCAATGGAAGTATATTCATGAGCGAGTTCCAAATCCAAAATTCACCACCAAAACGCTTCAACACTCTGATTTTAGCAACTGCAATAAGACCGTCCAGGATGCCATTATCTTCATTCTTTTCAGGTTGAAAAATGATGAGAGATTTGTTACTAAGTTTTTTTTCATAGCAAACGATTTTTAGAAGACGAAAGAATATGGCTGATTATGTTTTTTATATTATGATATTTTATTTGATATTTTATTTGATATTTTAAAAGAGCAAGATCTGGACTAAAATGATCGTACTCAACCACAAGCAGTAAGACGGAAATTAAGTACAAGCCGAAATTTACTCGAATGAAAAATCGAGATATGAAGAAATTCAAAGAAACTCTAAGCAAGCTTGAATCCTGTCAAGACGATTCCGTTGAAAATGACGAGTTAAAGAAGCTCTGCGCTTACTTGAACAACCTAAGAAACGATGTATGTGGTGAAAACGGGGAAGAACTATCGAAAAGGATGAAAAAGTACTTCCACGACAGCCACGGGTCCCAAATGTTGGAGCGCATCAAAAAAAGCTTCGATTCTTTGATGGAAACCAAAAAAGACTCATAGCAAATTAAAGTTAAATAGATGAATGTGTCACTGTCTTTTCAAAAACTGTCTCGTTGTACCTCAATAAATCAGCATAAACTCAACATAAGATTTCATCAGGCTTATGCGAAAATTATTGAATGTCAGCAGTTGCAGAATCAACGAATATGGGTTATTCTTGTGATAAATTCAAATTGATGAGTTGAGTTTTCAATAATTTTCGAATAATGTCGAAAAAAATCACTATCGAGCCTGATAAATCATTTCTAAACAAAGGCGAGAAGGAATACCAGAGAAAATTCAAAGGGGCACGGGTCAAACAGCCAAACCCACAATCAGATACACCGTGTTATTCAGCGTTTAGTGAAGAGAGAAAAGAGAGTTTTTCAATGCCAATAGAATCACTTCATTGCGCCCACCTCGTTCCATGGCAAGACCCGCTCCCCAAGGGTTGTCGAAGAAAAGTCGACGGCAAGGACTGTGACATGTAAGAATATATTTCAAGCACTTTTAACTAAGACTTCTAGGTTCACAGAAATCATGTTCGGAGACGAAGACAGCGCATATTGCCATATCTGTGCCTCTGTTTACGAGCAAAGGATGCTTTTGGGCCCACGATATCGAACAACCGCGCTTTTTACATGCCCGGGAGGAAACTGTAACTCACAGCTTACATTTCAACAACTTGTCGCTGGGAAATGCTGTAAGATAGGAGGCAACAGCGTGCAAAAAGGCCATCAGGGGTGACAGAAGTCTATCGGTATTCTTGACGGCATAATTTATTGCTCACCCCATCAAAGTCCTTGAAGATAGCCGAAAAACATACTACGATAAGAAAATGAGCGAAGTTGGAAAGCAAGAACGATTCTTCAATCGCACCAAGACCCATCTCCAAAAGCTGAAAAAAGAGATGGAAAAGCTGGCGCAAATCCTTGAGATTCCTGAATGACTCTACTCAAAATACTTCTTTTCACTTTAGTACTTCAATTTTAATTCTACAAATCCTTTCAAATTTGTTCAACGGCGACAAAACGTACGACAGATATAGATACATATGCGTTTCATTGATTCACTAATTGATTCACTAGTTTTATTCCGATTGATAACATGCTCCCCCAAAATTTCAAAGATACATATCAATAAAACATCAACAAATACAAAGGTATTTCTCTTCATCGACTTACAGTATTTATTGGCAGTTCTTAATTATGATCTTATACACGAAATACAGTGCGTAATACTATAAAAACAGGCTGAAGGATAAATGCAGAACCCATGAGAGCGGTTTTTGAACTGTTATGACGGTAAAGCTCGGAAATAAAGGAGGAGGCTTTTGATGTCCTTAGCATTTCTACTGTTATTCTAATTTTCTTACGGAGCAGCAGCGCAGCGGACCAGAAGACTATCGGATTGCAGGATAAAAGCAAAAGAGCATCTGTACTTTTTCTGGCTTAGAAATAACTGCTCATAAGTCTCATAAAGCACAAGAATAACCTAGATATTTCAAGCCGTAACAGTGCCGATGAGATAAAGTGTGAAGAACTGTGCCGAAAAATATAAGCGCATGAGGAATAAATCGCCAAAATCGCTTCTCTGGTCTTCTGAAGGCATAGACGAGTTTGCTTTTTCGTTTAATAGTTGCCCGGAAGCTGCCCAGAAATATCTTCCCAACAGAGACGATAAGTGGACAAAGGACGAGAAATAATAAGTTTCTGTACACTTTGGACCACAGTGAATGACTAACGAAAGTGATAATAAGTACTTGCACTGAGAACTTACTGGTCAGTTATTGTCTCCGCTTTGCCAAATTGCGAGACGGTAAGGTACTGAATGGGCAGCTTGGCATACTCAGTCAGCTTCGCCGCTCGCCCGTTGAGACTTTTAAAGTTGTAGGTTGAATCGCCAACCATATTATCAGTTCTTCCAACTCTGTTGAGGAAGAAAAATATGACGGAAAAGGTGCCATATCCTATCAGCGCCATTCCTGACTGGAAAAGAATCCAGTAAACGTAGATTGTTGCCTTCGGCAGCGCGACGAACACGCGCGAAGACCAACTCCGTTTCCAAAAATCACTCCAAGTGCTTGTGATGAAATTGAGCACATTTTTCGCGAAGGAGAGAATCGCACACGTTCCGTGCATAAACGCACCGGGACAGATCGCCGAGATAGATATTAAAAAGGCACCAGCAAACTTGATTTGATGTTACTATGATGATTTCAAAAAACTTTTTGTGGGGCCGGAAATCGTAAAAAAACTGCAAGTGCAGTTTTCTTCAGCTCGTCGAGACGAGTCGAATGATGTGTCTAACTCCTGATAATTCTAAGCATTGACCGGTTTACCGTTTGGTTACCGGAAAATACGTTGTCACCGGCCGTTTTTGTTCTAGAAGTGATAGACTAATGTTTGACACCGGAAATTGTTCCTTATAGTCAATTCTCCTGCAGGCTAAAAGATGAAGGTTTTATCAATACTCTGAAGAGAGTTATCACTAAAATACTATTTTTGGCGAAAATGGGACTAGAAATTAGGAACGTGCAGCAACAACAAAATTTTAGTAAAAATTACTTTTTTTAGTGATAACTCTCTTCAGAGTATTGATAAAACCTTCATCTTTTAGCCTGCAGGAGAACTGACTATAAGGAACAATTTCCGGTGTCAAACATTAGTCTATCACTTCTAGAACAAAAACGGCCGGTGACAACGTATTTTCCGGTAACCAGCCGGTAAACCGGTCAATCCTCCGAATTATCAGGAGTTAGACACATCATTCGACTCGTCTCGACGAGTTTGACAAAACTGCACTCGCACTTTTTTTACGATTTCCGGCCCCACAAAAAGTTTTTTGAAATCATCTATCATTCTTATTGGGAGATGGAAATGACGAACCTGTGCACTTCCGCCTTCATACAAATAAAAGCCAAAAATGGCGAGAAACGAGGCCAGCGGAAAAGGACTCAGTGGATCAATGGTCCATAATGGAGTCGCGAGAAAAAACAGGACAGTCGATAAGTCTGCCACGACGACGGAATGAAGTGCCCGTCTACTCACACCGGCGAAGGCAGCAACAGCTCCAGCTTTTTTGAGTCTTATAGAATTCTACTCAACGATCAAACGAGTATTTTCTAAGACACTCTTCCTGTAAGAAGTAGATTGAGGAGAAACGACATAAATACGATGCGCTGTCCGTAATCGTACAAGTGAAGGACATGCCAAATCGGCCAGTTGTAGCTGTAATCCGTCGCGTACCGAATAAACCAGGGCCAGGCTATGTTTCTGCTGCCGTAAACGCTAAATAAGTTCAAGGAAATCAGTTTGGTTTTCAATCCCTCGCTCTTTGATTGCATGTATTGCGTAAATTAAGGTAGACAAGGTCAATAAGGTCTCCTTGCGGTCGCGTCCAATATATGTTTTTAGAATTTTGATTGATTACCTCTGGAGGACAAATTGTTGTCCCTCTCTTGTAGCAGAGTTAATGAGGTAAGAAGGTCTGATTTAGGGATCGATGGTCGTATATTCAGATTTCGACGGGAAAAAGGTCTGAACTCGAAATCACAAAATTAACAACAGCCGACAAGTGCGCGCCTCACAATTAATTTATCGACTTTTTCAAGATTCTAAAACAGCAAGAGATAATTTCACGATCCTGTGTTTTGCCGAAGACAGAACAGCACGTGTCAGAATAAACCCAACATAGCCGTTGTCCGCCACAGGTCGAACAGGAAGACTATCTCAACTTTGCTTAGACAAAGGTATTTAATAAACAAAATGATGATTTCCGACCACGAAGCAAAGGGCCCTGGCGCAATAATATCCACGAGAAGAGTGGCTAGAATCGCACAGAGATTGTAGCAGATCGACGTCAACGCGAGACTTCTCTTGCTCAGCATGCTTTTCTTAATTCTTTCTCCTTTCTCGATGGATTAAAAATTTCTCTGCATAGTTGACCACGGAAGGACTAGGGAGGAACAATGGTAGAGAATTTATTTTATTTTTGTTCTTTTCAAATTGCTGATCACGTATTTGATTAACTATGACGCACGCAAAGCGGTCATAGTAGAGTGCCTTCGGGCCCTCTTTCGCGATAGAATCGTAAAGTTCTCCCTAGAACGGGGCGCTAAATTTTGACTCAGAATTTTCCAATGCAGATCATGATTTATGGCAAATACTGGATCGGAATGGTATTTCGTTGGCATGGTTGAACCCATGAATTTTTAAATTGGATGAAAGTAGACAAATCTTGGCGGCTTCATGGAATCCGAATTAAGCAGAACAGCTCGTGGCTTTTCTGCTGCAAGTTTCGTTCCAAAGGGGGCTAATCCACGATGCCTTGGTTTCCTAAGTGGGTTCAGTGGCTTAAATTGTGAATAATTAAGGTAGGTATTCCGCCCTTTGATTTTTACGACTTGGTCTGCTCGAGCTTTACGACGAGTGTGAACGCCGTAGTGAATTTTCGTTATTCCACGCGTCAGCATTCAAAAGAGAAACATGCATTTCCCTTTTTACTAGCAGGTAAAGGAATTTCGAATTTCTAAAGAAGTAATTGCCAATCAATACTGATCAGATAATGTTTCGACAGTGTGCTAGGACGAGTCTCAATTAATGCTTGACAAGGTTTAATTTTAAAGGCCACATGTACATATAAAAATCGACCGAGCAGAGATTCAGTCGCTCTCTCGTGGACGCCAGGGTGGCCTTTCACTATTCATTCCGTGTTCAATGCATCGCTGAAATAATTGATAAGCGGTTTCATGCATGGCACTCGGCTTACGAGATTCACGCTTCGCGGCTGTTTACAAAAATCTTTTTGTTTAGAGAAACTCGCCCAGCGCACTGCACAGTCTATGTAACATAGAGAACTCAAAACCACTGAAAACAACAACGACAAAAGGCCGACTCTAAACAATGGTCCTGTCTGTAGTGTTCTTGATCGGAGCAGCAAATGCCATAAAAAATTACGACGAAAGCGAGTACATTCGCTGCAAATGCAACACTCGGGTGTCCACTGTTGCGGAAAATATGTCCGTCATGTTTGGCGGCGAGGATAGGTGCATTTATCCCTAGTAAGGTGTTGCTTTTTGGAGCTTCCTTTTCCACATTTCTAGCAAGCACGAAATTAAAAGTCCAACTGCCCCGTTCCGCGATTACGACGCCAAAACAGGGGAGACCTATTGTAAGGTAAAATTGGAAGCATGATTTGAACAATGTGTAACTTGTGTCGATTTCAGGTGCTCGCAGGGAGTTGCTTTCACGTGGAGTACTATCATCGACACATGGTGAACGATGAAGCGAGGCAGGATTGTGTTAAATCTAACAAAACCGCAGGCGCAAGTCTTGACGACAAAGCTAAGTGCGTTAAGTCAACGTTTTACTTTGCCGGATGCGCTGTTAATCACACGAGACGGATGGAGGAAGAACTTGGTATGCTGCGCGAGACGCTTAATTGGATTAATCTTTTTATAGAGCTACAGAAATCCGCCGTCAATGAAGCAGCACAAGACGAGCTAGACATGCAGCATATAACTGTTGAAGAATTCCCCTCAATGAAACGGATTTATCACCTTTTTTGTAGAGTGACTTCTAAGTGCAAGAAATAAATCCTCATCAGTGCAAAGGAAAAACGAAGAAACACAACGTAGACGACAGTAATTACGACATGAAGTCAATGGGCATGAAAGAAATCCATCACATTGACATCTCGAAGCAAACATTCAGCCGTGTTTACTGGTATGTTGTTTATGAATTTTATATGCCCGTTTTTGAAGTTGTGACGAAAACAATTGCAACCGAGACGATGTTGCGTACAAAGGAAAACTGCGGAAAGAATGGATGTACGAAATGGATCTGAAAATTCGCGAGTTCGATCAAAACAAGACGCGTGGCTTGCTCAACTCTTCTCCGTTGCCTAGCATATCTTTTTTATTACTATTACTTTCTTTATTAATTTCCTTTCTAAACGTGTGATGTGCTGGGCCGGCTTTTAAAATGCTAGTACTATTTAAATTTTTTTGTCGCTCAAGTAATTATCGTCTTCCAAGAAACCTTTGAAATGTTTCTTAACTGTGACAACATCTCAAAAGGTTATTTGCAAATGAAAGATAAATTTGCATCGAAATATCACTCGCGCCGACTGTTATTATTATTGCTCTTTAAATTGCCAAAGATAGAAAACGAACTCAATAAAAATGAATCAAAGAAGAATTCCTCATTTCTGCTGTTTTATTTCCTGCATAAGAACTTTACAAGATGTTGAGCATCGAAACGGAAAGGAGGGTGACAAGTGAGTGTGAATAAGTCATAATATTAACATAATTCTTTTGATATACGTATATAAATATATCCATTCTCGCTGAGGTTTCGTGTTGACGCTTATGTAAAGGATGACAGTCAGACGGTCCGCCAGACAGTGACTTTTTGTTCATGTTCGTTGGATTAATTTTTCGGTTGTTACTCACTGTAGATTAAGTATTGCTCAGTTATTGCTGCTGTAACGTGCGTTGCGCCCAGTATTTCTTCTGAGCAAGGAGAGTATTGAGCCGCAGCAGGAACTCGCAGATAATGAACGTTCGACTGGCTCCGCCGGTAGAACTTCTACAGTCTGCATTTGGCTTTGAGGATCAATGTTTACTGAACTAAGTTGATCCAAAGGAGCTACCTAGTTGCTCACCTAATAATTGTGCCCCTTCACTGGGTTCAAGTTCTTTTTCAATTTGATTTTCAATTTTTTCTAAGTCAGGATAAATTGTGTCTCCCGATGCGTCGACAACGGTCTGCTTCCACATGCGCAAGTTGACTTCCAGCTGTCGTCCAATTATTGAGTGCCTGTCGATAATGAAGTTGTTCAATGATAGCGCCTCGTAGCAGGGTTTGACCATGTTTGTGATAAATGCTCGTTGGTTACCGATCATGTCTGGATCGGATCGGTCCATGAAGCGTGTAATGGGCAGCTTATGAGCTCTGAATGGTTTTCGTTAGTGGCGATATGGTTACTATTATTACTTTTCCTCGTCTCCTTGTCTATAGAATTCTTTGGTGACGCGGTGGCTCCACTCGACGTGATTTTTGTACTCCTTGGAGGGGTTAGAAATATCCGAGAATTTAATGATCATCTTTAGCATGAGCAACTTCTTGTGCTTGTCTGTAAGATCGATCTTTGATGTGTGAGCAAAGAGCTCTTTCCACTGAGAAAGGTAGTAGGTATGCTGGGCCATGTCGGTCGAAAGAACGAGCTCTATAGTATTGTCGCGGATGGTTGAGGATAGGGTCGGGTCGAGGTTGGCGAGGAAATTGAGCTTCGGGTCGGAGATGAGCAGCTTCCAAGCGGCGGCCACGTGGTGGTTCTCCAACACCGAACGGTCATTGTAAAGAATAGCAAGCGAATGGCGGGTTTGAATGAGGAAATTGTTCGTATAGCCCGGGTGGTCGTAGTCGTGCACCGCGGCGGCAAGAAATATAGAGAGTACGTCCTTTTCGTCCAGTTGGTCTTTTAAACACCTAAAAAGTCATTTGATGTGAACGCTAGTATCAAGCTACCTTCCAGTTTCTTTGTTGGGAACGTTGATTATGTAAAACACGCTTTGAAGTACGTCGGCGGCATGGACTGAATTATGGTATGCACAGTTTCGGTATCCAGACTCAAGTGCTCTAGGAAAATAATATTTCACTTGCTCTAAATGCAATTCTCGCCGCCTTATATACAAGATTATACATCGGGCTAAAAATTGACAAGCGAGCGTGTCTAATAGCACTTACCTGAAATAAGCCAGAAATTTCTCGCGAGGAAGCTTATAGTGTGAAAATAGCTTTGCTAGATCGAAGAATCTATAGGCAAGACGTGACAGGACCTCATGGGTGAGTGCCCGCAGCTCGAAAATCGGGAAATTCCATTCAAAACAGTGAGCGAGTACCTCGTCCAGTGCTGTGTCGCACTCTGACGCGCCTTCGTCCGTTTCTCTAAGTGGCTCTATCATGAAAAGTTCTATGCTTCTTTGCAGCCATTGCCGCACCTAAGCTTGGCAGTTGGGCACGCTTTGACTCTCATTTCTTGGGAGGCGATATCGACGCCCTGGATATGATCGAGTGATAATCTAGGCGCACAGAGGAGCTGATGAAAACCTAGGACAGGCATTAAGGAAACGTTCCTGATTTTTCGGCGCTAGAATGCGAGGACGAAGTAGTCGACGTGCGTGTTTCTCTGGATTGTTCGAGCTGCTCAAAATGGCTGCGAGAGGCGGATCTGGCGAGACCAGTCACAGGAGGTGGCGATGAGGACATATCTTTGTATTGCGCATTACTGTGTGCTCAAGGTGCCAACTAGATTATAACAATGGAATCTCTTTTCTGAGACACTTTTTGATGAGAGCATGGCAGCCTCACTAATAAGAAAGCTTATTGGAAATCGGCACTTTGGGAGGAAAAATGATTACAGCCGAGCTACTATCGTGCTCAATAAATATTTATTGGCGAGTGATTCTCAAGGGGACTTATGACGAGCATTATTCGGGAAAATACAAGATGTGGCACTTGATTTCCTTTTTATTGAGTCGAAGTTGCCTTGGCTCGTGATGGGCCTGTTCTGTGTCTGCGAGTGGAGGAGATAAGAGGTCGACTTGCTTTGGGCTTGATTGTTGTTGCTTATGTAGTCGTGAAAATTGGCTTCAGCAGCTGTGGTGGTGTCAGTTTCATAGTCAGAAGTGCCAAGTGAGCCCCGTATCGAGAGCGGCAGTAGCTTACTGTGGAAAACACTGGTTGAATCTAAAAATGAACAACAAGTTAATGTCTCAAAAAGATTCTCTAGGCACAGGTCGATTCAACGAAAACTCGCCCGGCTACTTCAAAACGCCAAAACCAATCGCCCAGAATAATTACCGTCACGAGACCTCCTTTTACCTCTCAAACTTTCGATCAAGGGCAGCAAGGATTCAGGAATACCTTCTTTCAAAGTCAAGACTAACCTTTCTCAACAAGACGTTCCAGCGAGTTTCCAGCATTTGGACGACTGCGTTTGGGCAGTGTTCGGGAAGGCTCGTTGAAGTCCCTTAAATTCGCCGAAATACGGCTGTCTTGTCTCTTCGTCAGTGTCTTCCAACTACTCTCAAGCTCGACTTCACTGTTTTCACTGAGGTCAACGAGGTTAGCCTTGATCGTGGGCCACAATTTATCTCACCTGTCTGCTTGGCAGTCATTTGTCGCCATCTCAAGATTTCTCTCGTAAGGTCTCTAAATTCCGATCATCGCTAGCTCGCTCACTTTAACTGACCATGATTTTTTTGACTTTCTTTATACTGAGCAACACTGGTTGACTGAAAGTTGGCGCAAGTTTTAAAAGGTCGTCGATGATCTCGTTGATTTCCTTATTGAATACAAATCTGAGAAAAGAAAGAGCGCACTTCCGAACCTTGAAATGTCGCTGGCTCATCGTGATCAGACTGGGAGGCTGCAGAACAGCCGGCAAAGAGGTTCGCCGGTGGGTGAAACCGCGCGGACCTCGCGCTGCTTCAACCAGTTCCGCTGGTATATGCACAGAGGATTCCTGAAATTTTAAATTAATTTTCAAGAAAATCGCAAAATCTTTACGAGTATCATTAATAGCAAGAACTTATTCGTTGCATATCTAACAAGTTCTCTAAGACGTTGGAAATGAGAAAAGCGAAAAACTCAAAATAAATCCCCGGAGATCATCAAGCCAGATATCATACCTGAGGTGAGTCAACATCGTATTCCTTATAAATTGCGCCTAACGAAGCTCGACGCTGGCTATTATATCGCGCACGAGGCCGTGTCTTGAAAGGGTCTCTCTCAGTTATTTTTTTCTCTTTAGTTGAAGTATTATTAAAATCTCTTCTTGTGACCCCACCTTCATCTTTGCTCCGCTAAGGTCCAGAAGCAATCCCCGTGACTGGAATTGCATCGCAGTGCCAACATAAGTATCACAATCTTAAATTTCCAACAATTTATATTTATCCGACGAAAACATAAAAGAGTGCAGCTATCCTCTTTCTTCGAAAATTCTCTATTTCTCGCAATATTCGCCACTTCTTGTCAACCATTTGTAAGTCTCTTTTTGTGTGTCGTAAAGTTGACTTCAAGGAACCAGAAAAAGCCATTGTTTGGATCATTTAAAGGGGATGCTGCGAGTCACGATTTCTTTCAATACTGTGCTCGGCCCCTGTGCGCAGAGAGTTGGGCGCACTGTAGGGCACATTTGCGACGGGTACCTCATTAGCGAGTGGGTTCCATTCAACCGATCGCCTCGAGCGCTAAATTATATACACTCGGATATCATCGGGCTCACGCCAATTTCATAGACGCGCTCTGTTCCTGAAAAGGGAGATTTTCTCTAGCACTCTCCCTCGGTATAATTTGTGCCTCATCGTAAATGGTAAATGGCCGAGAGGGGGATCAGTTTTGCCCTGAGGGGGTCTCGAGGTGTTGAGAGTATCGATTTTGTCTCGGTTTGCACAGTTGAGCTCTTGCACTGAAATCAATAACGCCTGAGATCTCGAGCCGCCTTTGGGCACGCAGCTTAACCCATCCCCTAGATTATATGAAGACACCTGTAAACGGAGATGTTTGACGAGCTAATCTGCCTTTTGAATTACCAGAATGAGTTTACAAAGACGTGACACATGCGTTCTTCTTCTAACTTTATTTCTTTAACTACATATATGAAAAAATATATCAGGCCGGCTATAATTGGACCCGAAATCTTCTATGTCAATTTGAAGGAAAAACGAGCTTGATTTCATTCATCTTCGTCGGCCATTAAGCGAGATGGCGGGAACTAAATTTAACACGTTTGAGGATACTGTTACCGCACCGTCCGAACTCTCTTACCTGGGCTGTTGTGAAAGTTACATCCTTCATAAGCTTCTTGTACTTGTCATCATTCAGATTTGCCATTGGATCGGAATAGAGGTGCTTGAAGCTAGAGCGTAGGAAGTTTGGATTTTCGAATGTCTTTTACGAGTTCTTTCTGTTTGTCAATCAAATCCATCAATATGAACCTCAAAAACTCGATTTCCTTGTATTCTTTAGGCGCTAGTTTTTTCAGGGCTTCCGCGTCTTCTTCTGCAGTCGTCGTTTCGATTTGACCATGCGGACTTAAAATATCTGTTGCTATTGAATAACTTCATTGATTGGAGTAAATTATTGAGATTTTGAATAGAGCGGCTACTTGTAATTGAGCAGATCTTCGAGAGTGTCTAGCTTGAGCGGGAGTCGCTTCTTGAATTGATCCTCGTATAATCTTTGACCGAGTTACTTTTTGCGGCGTTATTTACGGTATTTTATTGGCATATCCCGGTTCCCAGAGGGCGATGATGCTTGGGCCAGCCATTTTGGGCTTCGCACATTAACATTCAATAGGTCTTCAATTTCTTCCTCGCCTTCTTTGCGCACCGCTCTGGCACGTCGAATCTTTTCTGTACGTCGATCGAGCACTGATGTCACAAGGGACTAAATAACGCATGAATACGATTCGCCGTTATTGCCTTCGCCCCGTCGAACAAACACACACGAACATATACATTTCACCACTCGATCGACCATTTACGCGATGGATATTCAATATTGCTCTTATTTTAATGACTCTAATTGCTTACCTTGTGTCGGTCGAATAGCTCATCGACAGAGGTGCCGATCTCGTGCTGCTTTCGCCGCGGCACATTTATCTTTGCGTTTAGAATTTCTACCGCGGGTTAACAGCTAAAACCCGAAAACCAATAGAGTTATAGATAGTTATACATATGCTGACCCTGCCCTTCTTCATCTTCATCTACTCCGTACTTTTCTGCTCGTATTTGTTTCGCAGTTTTGAATGGCTTGTGATGAAACAGCTCTTCTTCTTCTCTGGCTTCCATTTTGGCTTCTTGTGCCTTTTGTACCTCTAGGATCATGATCATTCCAGCCAAAAACTCACTTGAATTTGTCACCTAAGTAGTCATTTATCGAGTACAGACAGGCATCTTTCTCGGACGGGGCTCCCAGCTTTGCTTTCGGTGCGGTTCCGATCCACTCTCTTCGTAAGCGTTCGCTTTTTGCTGCTTTTATTGCCGCTTTTTCCTCTCTAAAAATTAAATTCAAACATCTGAAGAGCAAAAATTAGAATATAAATGATGGAGTAATACGGTATTACTATTACCTAACTAGTAATATTTATTACTAATACCTGATTTCTTTTAAAGAGTCTTCTACACTTCGACCTTTTGAAAATCCATATAATGATTTTGATGGCTTAGCTGGCTCGTAGTTAACCTCGAGAAGGGTTTCCATTGGAAAAGATAGAAATTGAGACTATTGCGAAACGAAATATTCTTATGAGAAACTGATTCCTGTAATTGGTCGTAGTCAACATGATGAATACGGGAGCGGCGGGGGGTCACTGAAAGACAGCGTATTTTAGTGTTCTCTGTGGTTCGAGACTTTACCGCGCGAGGCGTTCGGATCAGCTAAACTAGCTGGTTCCACCAAACAGAGGTCCGCGGTTGCCAGTGAATCACGGTACCACTTTCTAGACGACAGCGGAACATGTGCAGCAATCTCTTCATCTTCTTCCATCATTTTTGCACGTTCTTCATCAGTGCTAAAGTGACTTTCAGAATTTAACAATGGCAATATTTTTTGTGCTTCCGCGTTATTTCTGCGGTAAGGCTTTTGTTCAGTAAAACTAGTTATCGGAATGACTTATTCATGCAGGGTGTTCAAACTAACCGCATTTTGGGAATCGTATAGAGCCCAAGACCCGGAATTGTCTGCTCGCCGAATCTTTCTTCATCAGATTTCTTCTTTATTGGTTTCGGGACATAAGGCTCTATTTCTTCGTCAGAAAGCTCTGTCGTTATTCGGTATCTAGGCATTTTGGCTTCTGAAAATAGTTCGAGTAACTCCCTTTTTGGGCTTTTTTGTGCTCACTACGTTTGGGATTACTGCTGCACTTTTTAGGGCCACTGTCAACTGATTGTGATAAGTTAGGATAAGCTGCGTTTGAGTCAGCTGATGATCTGCTCGCAGTTGTAGAAGGCAATATAAACTGAATGCACGCATTTTATTAATAACGCCTGGCGCAATATCTCGAATAATAAATCGCCGCCGCGAATTTCCAAAAATTACGCCAGCAGTTTACAAATAACAGCGCAAAATGAGATCTTCAATTTAATGAATTCGAGCCTTAGACACGTTCCCACAATCAAGCAAAGATCGATTGTTTAGCAAAATGATGATTTCTGCAGTTCTCAGTTTGGCTTCAAGACTCTTGGAACTTGGCATTTTTTGTGGAAAGGACACGTTCAAATGTTCCAGATGACCTTTTCGCGATCGGAGATTATTGCTTTAGTTACGTTCTATAACAGATATTTACTAAACTTGGCGTCCGCTTGCTGCGGATGGAACTTTTAAGCTAATCGCGAAAAATGACAATTAAGAACGATCTTAACGTTATTTTGATGAAATTTGTGTGTCGCACTTTCCGTAACGCCGCGTGCGCTCCAGCGCCCCGACACATCCGAACCGTAAAACCTTTTTTTTTCTAGAGAAACCATTTTTTGCACCGAGAAGGTAACGTGATGAGAATTTCGCAGATTTTGTTTTTTATCAATAAGTCACTCGCGCAAGATGATTTTTTCGGAGGTACTTTTCAAAAAGAGAGAAACACCTTGCTATTAACGCTTTAGATTTTTCTTCGGTAGAGGAAACTCGAGGATCTCACTTGCGCAATCTTCTCGGAGAGGTACTGAATGCAGTCGGATCGGAACACGAGGCGGACTCCTTCTTCGAGTATGGGTGTTGGTGTTTCTCTTCGCCCAGAGCGAACAGACATGACTTCACAAAAGGAAGATCTCAGCCTGTCGACGAAATCGATAGGTACCAAAGCGAAGAAGATTTCAAAGTACTTAATTGATTAAGAGTGTGTCGAGATATTGCCTACTGCCACATGTGCCTCGCGATTGACTTTGACGAAAAGTGCGACTTCTATCAAGAATACAATTACACAATCACGAACGGCGGGTAAGTGAAAAGACCAGCAATCAAAAGCAGAATAAATCTTGAAGGATGGAATGTGTCGAAACAGAAAATTCATGCGCCTGGGCAGCTTGTCAATGCGATAAAAACTTCATTACTCAAATAACCGAGAAGGAGGGTTTGTGGGATGCCCGGAATAACGTGCGTGGGGGTTTCGTCACGGGCTTATTTTGATTCTTAATTACTAAAATACAAGTAAATGATTCTTCGACGAGTGAAATAAGCCCCGAAAGACTTCGAAAACGCTTGCATGATTCCTCGGAAGACGTCGCCCCCGTTTGACATGTGCTGCGGTCCCGCAGAAAAAAGGTGCGACCATTTAACATTCGATTCTGGAGCATTTTTAGATTCCCCTTCAAATCCGCCGACCACCAAAGAGCCTGCTGCGGTGATCAAGTTTACGAAAACACTTTTTTGCAGGTCAGTCTGCTTGCCACTCTGTGAAAACTCATCTGACGAGTTCGCGCGCTGAGACTATTTTGACAGTTTCGAAGTTACTTCAATAAATAAATTAAGTGCTGCGAACTCACTGGACTTGACCAAAATAATGAGACAACGACGATTACCAGGACGACGTTAGGGACGGTTCATTCATTTATACAATTCAACTTGTTTTCTAACTATTTGAAATTGTCTCTTAAATAGTCTATTTTGAAGTATCATTTTGAACGAAAACTCGCAGAACAAACATGAAACTTAATTGAGCAAATGATAAAAAATGAAACTTATGAAGCAAACAACGACTGCGGCATTCTAGCGCAAGAAATGGGACTGATAAATGGCTTCCAATTGCCGTGATAGTACTTGAACAAGCAGCTGATAATCTCCTTTTCTCTGTATAAATAATGTCAAATAAAAAATCTGTTTCTGAATTGGGTACCATCCAACGTCTTTATTGTGAGCAGGCAAAGATTAACAACTCTCGCAGAAAATATTAATTTTCACCTACAGGTTGCAAGAATTTAAAGAGAATCAAAATCATGAACGTATCAGAAGATGAGCAGTCCCCAAAGTTGCAAGGAAATTCGCCAAAACTATAAATACTCTTTATTTAGTACTTTTTGCGAATTTCGATAGAACAAATGCCTATCTGGATTTATTTTATGCTTCTGGGCTGTTTGTTTCTTCTTGTTTTCAGGTATTCTTCATGATTTATTTTTTGATTTTATTTTTCTTGTACTTCATAAATTATGAATCATAATTTGAAGTCATATCATGGAAATTTCACTTCTTCTATGAATTATTGGCAATAATTTATTGCTCAATTTTGATCAAGAAAATCGACTGTTTATTTTTATTTTCCCTTTTTAGCTGCTATAAAAGGCGACAAGTGAAGCGACAAGTGATCTGCGCACAAGAAATTACAGAAAAAGCCATTGTTTATAGGTGTCTAGGAAGAGGAGTAACAATTCACCAGTGCATAAATTATCAATCATAAAGTATTATCAATATATATGTTAAATTCGCTTTCTATCGATTTGTTCCTCTGCTGAGATTGCGAAAAATCCACGCTGACAATCCTATGCAAAGATTGTTTCGATACGTCTGAGCATCGCTTCCATGATTTTAAAGAGCTCAAAGGTGCCTTCAAAGATCTGCCATCGATGGCATGGGTTTATTTTTAGGGAAGTCAGGTTTCTGCCACTGTGGGATTAAGGAAAGCTGGAAAGAACACAGACTCTGCACTATGCATAAAAATGAGCTTCAGGCAGAGAATGTCAACATTAATCGAAACCTGATGTAAGATGAAAATGACCTCTCGCAGAACAGAGCACAATCGCGAATACAATATTACGAAGTGAATGGTCACAAAATTCCAATAAGAAAGGAACGCTTTAAAATGACTTTAATATGATTGTAAACGGAAATTTATTTGACTTTGTCGTTTTGAATAATTTTAAAAGCGTCCAAAGGGTCAGAATTTTCGAAAACAATTCCGAAAGAACAGACCACTTGATCCAAAAACAGTCCTGACGGTATTCCCATGCTGAATATGGCGAAACCGGTGGTAACGCCGACTCCAACCCCTGTTGCTCTTCACACTGGACCCCGCAACTCGGTGGGGCTCAGAAGCATCATCATGGGTGAAAGGGAAGACATCGCACTGGCCGGAAGTCGTATGGCGAACGACGATGGCTATGACGCGCTCAAAGACGCTGTCAACGAGATCTTACTACGACAGGCACAATTGATCAATAATTTTTTATCTTTATCAAGTGATGCATATATTTTTGATAAATTAGACAGAACGAACTCTGTCGCTTTGATTCGGGTGATGCGAACTTGGTCGAGCTTGACTTTTCGCGGCACTCGACGGACACGACCCGAGACGCGGCATTGCTTCCCACTTTCAGCAATGTAGCGGCCAGCTTTATCAAACGAGACGGCAACATGGAAAGCGTAAAGATGATTTTGCCGGCACAAAAAGGTAAATGTTAATTACTGCTTTTGATCGGCTGTTTTTCTTTTAATTTATCGAGTCACAGTGTGATATTTATTTGAGAAACGCGAGTGACAGTCCAGATAAAGGGAGACGAAATACACACAACAGTCTGGCTTCTTCTGTTCAAACATCAAAATAAAAAAAAAGAGAGAAAACAAATAAAGATGAATGTATACCTGATTTTGTCTTCAATAATGCCACAAAGTGTGTTTGCTTCGGTGATGACAAAAGAGGAAGCTTTTAATTTTCTAAAAAATCGAGTGCGAAGGGACAACTCATGGCTTCATGGAGAAGAGTTAGAATCTGGAGATTTAGGTAGAATATTGCAACGATCAAACTATCACAGATTCAGAGCGTGAATGCATAGAAGAACCTTGCGAGTACAAAGAGTTCTCTGAAATTTTCGAAAATGAGCAAATTTCGACTCATCTTTGGCTGTCCTACGGGAAATGTAAAGAATCATTTTTGATGGGATTCTTTATACATGAATAAGCTAAAATAATATCAAGAAATTCTGTGATCCCGAAGAAAGTATCCAAGGGCGATCATGACCTGCCTTTCGAATGACCTATGTTTGGGATTAGAATTGAATGATAACTGTTGAATAGACAAATAATTAAAGAAGATCAGGAATCTGATCCGAGAAAGCCATGGACGAGGACGCTGGATTTGGGCTGCGAAAGGATGCGTTTGTCATGAACCCCTCTATGTTGAAGGTTTACATCATAATGTAACATTTTATTTGTCAAATTTACATCTAGGAAAGTACTGCGAGAGAATCATTTACGATTACGAATGAAGTATTCTTCTTGAGAATTTAAGAGTAGTTCTTCACTTATTGACAAGCAAATACGTCGCCTTCTTCTCTTGAGTCAATTTTGTCTTCTGAAACTTCTCCGCTAATAAAACATTTATCCTCAAGTTTAACGATTCTAATAATTTTGAAGTTGGCTGTAAAATACAATTTGATTCTCACCTTTCGCTCTTATTAGCAGGCTTATTAATCACTCGTAATACGTAGACTATTGCAATGAGAATAAGAAGAAGGAAACCAATAGAGATCGTTCCTATAAGAAGAGTATTTTCCCCAAAAGAAAATCCAAGCATGAATCCTCCTTGCTCGAGCGATTCATCACTGATTGGAACTTCTGGATGGCGCAGCTGCACACTTATTTCCGACAGGTCATCTTCAACTAACGGCTTCATCGTCGCCGTTGTGCTCGTTGATTTGTTGATACGGGTAGTGGTACTTTTGGTTGACGATTCACACAAAAGTGATCTTTTGCTCCGCTTGAACAGATGTGTGTCGTAACAAAATGATTCTTTGTACTTTTTCTTTTCGACTTGTGGTCGCGGAGCTCTCGCGGAATAATAGTCCAAATAGGATGGATCGAAAACCTCTGTTTCTTTATCGGCATTGTCTAGTGCGACTTCCAAAGTTGAGCTGTCGATTGAACTGGAATCAGAAGATTCGTACGAGTAGTAGTCGAAGGAACTCTCAGTCGAGAGCACTTTGTCCTCTAAAAATAGAGCTCTTTTGAATTCTGTCAAATGATAATCGCTCGATTACCTATGCATCGGCAGCCTGGGCTCATTTCTAGCCAGTGTCCTTTGCAAATTGAACCCTTCTGGCATTCTCTGGAGCGGTGACGAAAGAACTGTTCAGTCGGATCGCACTGACTCCAGTCCGACCATTCTCCGTGTTTCTGTCTTTTCTTATTCTTTGGAACGTTGCATTTGATCATAAGTTCGGATCGACCTTGATGCACGATCCTTGGCCATATTGTGATGAATATTTGAAACTACACTGAAGAAAGCTCATGTTTATGGAAACATTAATATGCTACTCACTGAAGACGGCTTATCGTGCTTTTCTTTCGAGCATTTCCCACCAACAATAAGAAACGAATCAAGACACTTTTCGCAGGCATTTTCCCACTTCTCACATACATACTCATCACTTTCGTCTTTTTCTTCTTTGCTACCGACGAAAAGGACCTCCCCGAAGCCCAATTCACGACAAATACTGCTCGCTAACCGCTGTTGATGACTCCTTTTGAACATTGCCCCACATACTGGATAGAATCGGCCGCTCCTTTCAACTAGGAGTGTTCCTTCAGACCCACCGAGTAGACGAAAATTTTCCATGTTTTATTTTCTCTTCGCAAAATTATAAATTACAATCTGAATCTCTGCTTTAGAATCTGAATCTTCTCGTACGCGTATCCTTCTTTATTTTAGCTTGACGTGCACTGAGGGCATCATGGAGCTACTGTGATGAATGAATAACTACTCAAACAATTTTTATGTGGAATGGAGTCAATAATTGCTTCGGAAAATGTTACAACCATGAGTCAACATGAAACTTTAGTTTATTAAATATTAGTCAAAGAATCATTTCTTTACATATGTACAAGCACGTAGAACAGTGGCTGAAAAAAACTTCGCAAAGCTTATGCCGAGCTTGATATGTTCTCTTTCTCGCAAAAGAGGCGGGCTTTTCTAGCAGCATTTCGAAATCGGTACTCCAAAATTAAACGCCGTGTGCGCTCAACAGATTCAAGATAATTTTCGTAATGATGACTTTCAGTTGGGATCATCTTCAGTGGTTTGTTTTTCGGATTTCGAAGGAGGACTTTTGGTATTGGGTGCATGTAGCGCATCATGGGAACATTTGGTGGAACCTGAACGGTTAGTTTCTAAAACGATCAGTGATCTTTTCACACCTTGGGAATAGGATCGTATGGGAGCACAAGACGATGCGAATTCGGCACTTTTTTACGAAAAACTGAGCAAAATTTTGAATCTCCTGGTTTAGGCGCTCCAAACGTGACGCATCGTATCTTTTTGGACTGATCGGAATCGAGGCTCTGGGAAAAGTCCACGGCGCATAAACTTGCAAGTGCTCCACCAAGTGAGTGACCCGTTATTAGTATTTTTGCCGGATTGTATTTGCTGATAAAGGCGGACGTTTTTGAAAAGAGCTCATCTTTTATTGCAAGATACTGACTGAGGAACCCGCTGTGGACGTTTCCTCCTGCGTAGGGAACCATGTTCACCTTCAAATCTTTCAAAAACAATAAATATATCTACCCGAACGTGATTCCGTACCTTGTTTTACATCTGTAAAGCTAAAACCATCAGAAAACGTAAAAGAAGTGCCACGAAATGCGATCACAAGATACTTATCGCTGCAGAAAATGTAACAATCTGTGTCTTCTTTCTCGTCTGTGATGTATTTAAATGTTCTCTTCTTGAACTGATTTAACACTGGCTGGATCTGAAAAAAAACAAGTTAAAAATGTGGCAATAATTGAAACTTCTATGTTAGAATAATTATGCACCTGTTTTTTCTTTTTCAAAGATTTCTTGCAAAGAGTACTATCGCGCTTTTCCGCAGTTTCTGGAAGAGAAACAATCTCATTTTTATTTATTTCATTTTGAGTTGTGATTTCGCACTCCTCCAAGATAGCGAGGAACTCTTCGTTGGGGATGTAAGCGAGACGGGAAGAGCGAGCGGCGAGAACCCATTCCAAAAGCACATTGATCGGAGTCCTATCAAAGCCGAGTCAGCACTGTTCCAAAGTCTGTTGTTACCTCAAGACGGCGCGTTCTTGCCATCGAAGAGTCCACTTGTCAATCCACGAACGGATACTACTGCTACTCAGAACAAGAGCCGAACTTAAGACTGCAAGTTAGGCTGCTCATAAAAATCTTCAAAGGAAAAATCGTATGTTTCACCTGTAGAGTTTGAATTTCATTCTCAAAGAATCCATGCTCTCTTTCCACGCAAAAAAATGGACAAAATTAATGGCGCATAACCGGGATACTTGTCCGGCCAATGAAATTTTAATATTTTCTTAGTTCTCGAAATCAACTGTGACGAGTTTTAGAACGATGATTGCCAAAAAAAAAAGAAAAGACCAGGAAGGATCTTTGTGTTCCTTTTTCGGAATGTCAATCGGCAGTTAAAATTATGTTCGATATAGGTACGATTTTTGTCGTTATCCGAGTAAATTTTCCTTTGAAAAAAATGAGTGTTTACATTTCTCCTCTCTTTTCAAATAAACTGGCGGCTGACAATTGCGTGACCACTCCATTACTCTGCACATAATGTTATAAAGCCCCTTATTGTCAGGGAGCTTTAATTTTTTAATAAAATTACTACGAGCCACCTCTCCTATCAAAAATACCGCCAGCAGGAGCATTCACATTTAGTTTTTTCTCTCTTTGTTTATCCCAGGTGACAAGCTCCCCTCTATGCCAAGTTTAACGAGTTACCTTTCCGATCAATAATTTAATGTAAAAGACTCACTTTCTTGCAATCCGCAGTTTTTGAATACTCGCTTTACACCGATTATCACAAAAAAATATGGACATATCGTTTTATCTATCGTTGACAGAAACGATCGTAAATAAATTGTGCACTTTGTACTATTAACTAGCCCAAACTATCTCGTTTAGAATCTCGCTATGAATATCTTTGTGGCCTTTTTTCTGGTTTTGGCAAACAATCAACGATAAAATAGGTGGTGGTCTAAACTTTGAAGTTCTTATGTGCGATAAGAACTTCTGATGGCCTAAACTTTGATTGTTCCCATGTGTGATTCTTTGAGAAAGTGGCCTAAACTTTGAATTTCCCCGGAGGCGGTTCTGCCATCGGTGACTAGAGCACCGCCCGCTAAGGCCACTACGCTTTATGCAGACCAATAAGGTTTACGTTTTTCATTCAAGGTGAAAACTAGTCAGAGCGCCTCAGGGGAAATTCAAAGTTTAGACCACTTTCACACATAGGAAGAATCAAAGTTTAGGCCACTTTCTCAAAGAATCGCACATGGGAACGATCAAAGTTTAGGCCACACGAAGTTCTTATCGCACGTAAGAACTTCAAAGTTTAGACCACCACCTATTTTACTCTTTGCGACAGAAAAATTGCTTACCCCAAAATATCAATCTCTTTTGCGCTCAAAAACATTTTTTTGCATTTATTTTTTAAGTTTTTATCTTCTTAGTAAAGTCCATAACTATTTCTAATTTGATCATTTCCGCACAAGTATCCTCGCGAGTTGTTTTTTTTTTCTTAACAAAAATGAAAGACACTTCTGACAGAACTGCGCACCAAAGAAGACGGTAATCATAAATTAATCAACAATCTCCCACAGACTTCTCTTTGTAAGACGGCTGTCTTGGAGTATCAATTTGATACTTTCAAAAGTTATGTAAAAGAAAATGTATTTATTAGAAATCTGACAGTGCTGAAAATATTCGATTACCTTAGAAAGCGCATCACCTTTTTACATTTTCATCATTCTAATTTGTCCTGCTTCTAAATTGAATCCCTTTAATCAGCTTTTCGAGCTGCTGAAGATCTCACATCGTATATTTGTGTTTAGTGAATGCTACAGAAGAAACAGAAATATAATTTGGCAAAACTTAAACACAGCTAAAGTAGCTTTACAGTAGACACGCGGCACTTTTTGATTGATTAACATTTGACTAGTGGAACAGAAAGTTTTTTTTTCTAAAAGTTTGACGGGCTACTCCATTCCCTAGATCGGAATCGATCAACATTACGATTGATTATAAATTAACGGCAAAGGGTGGTATTTAGAGTTTTGCATTGTCAGATTGAAAGACTAACGCCTAAAGAGGGTCTGGAGAAGGCCCACTGTCAGGCTCATTCTCGAGCATCTCCCGTTGGAAAGATCCTTCGCGGTTCTTCCACGCTTTCCAGGCATAGAAAGCCGAGCCAAGAAACAGAAAAATGTTGAAAAAGTAGATCGCAAGTGGAAATCCAAGCACACTGATGAACTCTTTTACGTCCTCGGCTTCTAGTAAACTGCTTGGCTTGGCTGAAGTAGATTCTGTTCCTGGTGCAACAGTTGTGTTAGCAGCGACTTCGTGAATTTGAGGAGCAGCTGTTGGGTTGTCCAAGCTGACTTGACTGAAAGAAACAGACTTTATCGAAGCACAACCTGAAGCCTCTTACCTATGCATTTTCTTGTACTGGACAAAAGAGTCAATGAAAATGGCGAAGGAGCAGAGAGACAGGAAGAGAGCAAAGATAAAATGAAGGAAGTAACACCAGCGCGTTCGAGTTCGTCCTCCATGAACACCAACTGCACCAGTCAGAATTCCTAGGCTTAATAATTTGTTATGATTGATAACTGAACGACTGTCCTACAAAGCAAAGCCGGCGATCACGGAAGCAACTGTTGCATCGTCGAATCTGTCTCCTGCTGAGCCAACGTTCGTTCTTATTGTATCCACAGCCTTGTTATACAGATTCTGCAGCTTTTCTTTGGTTCATTATTTTTTGTAAAAGGAAAATCCTTGCAGATCTTATGACGTTTTTATGATGAATTTCTCTCGGGTAGTAATTTTACTAAACCAGCCTTGACAGCTTTAGCAGCGATCAAAAAGGCCAAAGAAGAAGTTCCAATTTCTATGGCCGAGGTGATGAGACAGCCTTTGTGGGGATCCGAGCACATCTTTTCACGAATTCAATTTCTCTGAATCAAAGATTCGATTTTGAAAAATATAACAAAAAACAAGGAGAGGCAGGGCAAGAGGCAAGACAAGGCGAAAATCTTAAGAGAACTCTTGAGCTTGTTAGCGTTATTGTTAAATGAACCCGTTCCCGGCAGTTACCGCGCTCCACTTTCCCCCCTCAAGCCACATCACGGTGCGTAGCGTTCACCCCTTTTTCGCTGTCTGTATAACGGATGCTTCATGCGGTCTAATTATCATTGTCTTCTTTTGTAGCATATGCAACATTTGATATAAAGTGGGTATTTCATTATTTGACTATCGATTCTTCTTGTCCAGTTGAAACATTTTTTTTACATATTTAGTTTTTTATATAAGTTTAGACAAGATGTTAACCACAGAAATTAGTTTTTTTATGAAAAGATTTCTTTTCTGTTGGCGTCCGGTAATTTATTTTTAATGAGTCTCGGAGACCAGTGCTGTATTCCGTCACAGGAGACAGTAGTATTGATTCGTAACTAGAGTTATATCAAAATCAGAGAAAGAGACTTCGAAAGATGCAGACAAAGGGCGACAGAATGAGGAGTGGGAACAGGCCGAGGCACATTAATCGCCGCATCTAACAATCTATCAAGCGGTTTAAGGACTGATGGGCGAGTTTAATTGTAATTGTGCTCTATGAGTGATTTTAGTTAGTCTCGTTAAAGCCCATGAAAACTGTCTTTTTGAGGGAATTTATATTTTTCTACCTCTGCGGCGAGCAAGTGACGCGTTCGTTAGAGATTGCAGACGTGGCGAATTGTGAAGGCGAGTTCTGTTACAGGAAGATTTTCCAACAACTATTTATTAGTAGCTTCAAATTGTTAAGGAAAGTAAGAAAGTACGTAGCTCCTGAAAATGCTACCACGGGGATAAAACTTTCGATCAGCAGTCTCAGAGGAGTGAGCGAAAGCCAAATGGGTCAGTTGTGGGAAAATTTCGCGAATTTAATTGCACCAAATTTAGAGCTTGATTTATCAGTCTTTATGACTCTAACATGGACGGACGAGCGTCTGCGAAATTTGACTGTCGAGACAGCCAACGCACAGAGTAGGAATTAAAAATAATGAAAGATCGAGCGAAATTTCTTTTAAAACCTAAAACGGGCCGTGACCGACTTGATCTGGATGCCACAGATATCTATTTTAAACATGGTCGGCAATCCATCAATCGAGCGAATCGAGGCGCTTCATATCGATAAATCTGGCGAAATTCAATTGCTGAAACGAGTCGACCTTTTGCTTATGTGCTTTATGGACTTGACTTTCTATGTAAGACTTTTGTTCGATAGCTGTAACAAATCAAATAAGCCTTTCGACAGTCAGGAATGCCCAGTTTCGTTCTACTCCGACGAGAGCAAACTGGACGTCGTTGCGGTCTCCTCTTCCTTAATTCACGAGTCTCCAGCTGGATTCAGAATCGCCACGATTTCCAACCGAAAAACGAGCAACCTGACTAGTGCGCCTTGCCATACGCGCCGTTTCATGCAGGAAGTCGACTGCTCTGAACTATTCATGCTTCTTGAGAGGCGATACAGTATAAATATCATCTTCCAGGAAAATATTTCGCAAAGAATATTTTTAAAAAGTCATTATATTTGCAAATATTCAAAAAGTTTTTGCCAAGCTTTCTTTGCGTGATTGTTAGCTTCTTCGCGTTCTGGATAAAAGTCGATCACGTTCCTGCTCGTGTCACACTCGGCGTCACCACCTTTCTTGCGATTCTTGGACAGTCGCAGTCTATCAACTCGAGCATGCCAAAAGTATCATATCTCAAAGGTAACTCGATAAATTATTTAAGCTATTAGTTCCTTCCATAGCTCTTGACGTCTGGCTCATCGTCTGTAATATTTTTGTCTTTGGCACCATGATCGAAAACACTGTTGCTCAAGGATAGTATTTATTATATAAAATTTTGGGAATCGGGAACTTGTCAATTCAGTTTGCCAAATATTTTTAAAAGTCTTGCTCAGAAAGAAACAGCGGCAGTCGTCAGGAATAATCGAAAACTTACGTCCGTCATTATTGATGGCCGCGAATGCACTAGCTGGTAGTTACTTTCTTACATATCACAGTATTGAACACTACCATATTGTAGCTATTCCGACAGGGAACATGGACTGCGATAAAAATGGCTCCGAAAGCTCTAGGTCCTCAGAGGTATTAAATCCGAATCAATTGGATAATAGCATTATTAGCACGCCCGGTTGATGAAAAAAATAAATCGCGCTGGGCAAAGTCGGCGCCGTGCGAGTCTTGTTGGAAACATAGAAGAGCTTGACCAACAGAGGAACGTTGTCATTTCCGGATTAGCGGCGATGTGGCTCGACTCACTCGCTAGAAAAGTATTTCCGGCTCTCTTCCTTGTCTTCAACAGTGCCTTCTGGACGATTGTTGCTGCTAACATATTTATAAAAAGAAACATTGCTGCTGAAATTGTTAACGACTGAATGTAAAAGTCAAATTAAAAGAGCACTATTTTTATAAGAATATGAATATTTTTGGAATCCATGAGTTGATATTTCAGCGAAGAGGACTGAATGTGTGAAAAGCGCTCCACTGGCAATTTGTTTTATGACTAGAGAAAAGAGATGATTAGGCCAAGTTTGAAAAAAAGAAAGGAGCCCCCAACCTCGCAACCAGAAACAGGGAAAACACGTTGAGAATTATACTTTGATTTATGATGGTGAAAAACAATTCGCTCGCTTCCGAAATGAAAAAGAGAAGACAGATATTAGTTTGATACTGCTATCCATACTCTGCAAAAGGTAACGAACAAAATCTAAATTTATATGCTAGGGAAACTCAAATTTATATCGCCTGTAAGATTCAACAGCTATTTTGTCAGTTCGAAGCCAACCCTAACGTTTTAGCTTTTTATGTTTAAACTTTAAAGATAAGCTAATCCCCATTTTGTCTTTAGTCTGACTGCAGTGATATTAATAATTACGAGCAACGAATTTGGCAATCAGATCGTTTATGCACTCCTCGCCATACTTGGGTAAGTACAACTTTAGCAAACCACTGCCAACAATGCGAATTTTTCTCGCTAATCCTTGTAAATCTATGCTTGACAACAACGTTCACCCGTTGATTTATGATTATTGATCGTGGATCGAGAATCTTCAAACGAGAAAGATTCTCATATTCTTAATAGACTTTACTATCTATATCAGAGTTGGTAAAATAGCGCACTTTCCTTGTCTTTGTATTAATTTGTAACTTATTTTTCTTGTTTTAAAAGCAATGAGTGAGCATTTTTGTTTCAGATTCATTTACGTCAGCGTCCGACTGTTTTTAAGTTTGTTCTCTAAGAAGACAAAGGGAAGGGCTTGTTATTTGCCGCTTTGATGAATTTCAAAAAGTCTGAATGCCTATTCAAATTAACTTCTCAATACACGGGCGCGCAACTAAGCGCTCAAAACACGGGGTCGGGTGAGGGGACCACAATGCATTATTCAGCCCCGCGCGGCGCGCAAAATTCGGAGTGTGATTAAGAGCGCTCAAGATTTTTAGCTCTAACTTGCGTTTCCGGCAAGCAAAAATTTACAAAACATATCGCTGGAAACTTGAACACTTACCTATCAAGATTTACAATTACTTTTGAAAAAAACTTTTTGGATTTTCAGCTGCAGAATGAAAGATAAATGCGGTGCAAAACGCCACCACTTTTGAGAAAACATCCAAAATTTGACAAAGTGGTTCGTTTTAGTCATCTCAGCTCACATTACAAAAATCAGGTCGAATGGATTATCACATGAGAAATTACGGCGGCTCAAAGTCGCCGTGGTCGGTTGAACCGACCACGTGTATTGAGAAGTTAAAGAGCTTCATTGAAAACATGAGGACTCCCACGCTGTTAGTTTTTGATCCAATTGAGCTGATCAAGTCCTTTTCAAAGTCTTCAAAATCACGAAAAATTACAGTATCTATTGACTTATTCATTGGACTACTGTTTTTCTTGAGTGGCGTTGGATCGATCTGGAGTTGCCAGACGAATCACTGTAATAAGACAGTTGCCATGACCTTTGCCGGAGCGTTTCTTGTTGTTGCTGGTGTCTTCAAGTGGATATTCGTCTATATCTCCACGCATTCCAGGGAGGTTATCAACGCTTTATAAATTATAATTAAATAAAAAAAACCCTTGTTATTTGCTTAAATTCTGACTAAATGCGATTACCTATAAAAGAAAACGGCTGGCCTCGATAGGTCCTGGAACGGAAGAAAGATCAATGTACGTTCAAGGAATATGAGAATAGAGGTCGTTTCTTTTCGATGTAAATAGTGAATGTGTTTCGTACTGTTCCCTGCTATAAATCTGCCTGTGTTCCAGCTTTGCCTAAAATACATTTTCCACGAAATATATTATACAAAGCTAAGTCACTGACCTTTTCGGAGCGTTTTGCAGGCTTCACAACCGCATTAGTCAATCTAATTTTTCGTCGCCATGAAGGAGAGATTTCAGATAAGAACATAATTTATGAACAAAAGTGTCTTATCGAAATTATTAACAGCTGCTTGCAGGTTTTCTTGGACTTGGTGCAGGTTCTTTCTACGAACAACCTCGATATTGGAATGCTCTCGTGCAGTCAGAACAACGAACTAGCTGGGGGCGCCCTGTCAATCTGAAAAAGAGAAAAACGTTTAGAGGTCATGAAGATTGCCCGGCTTTGGTTCCGGATGAGAATATGCAGCCTTTCAGATGCAGTGGAGCCACTTGTATGCTTGTCTGCAAATCAGGAATGATAAAAGACTAGTGTACAGTATCCTTGACTTGTTTAAAATAATCTGATATAAATTATAACAACTAATGCGAATTTTAAAAAACATTATCGTTTGAAAGGCTTTGTACCCGCTGGAAGAAAACGAGTAGCCTGTAGAAATCGAGGGGGAACCTTTATCTGGACAAAAAGTCCTGGCAAATGCGTAACTTGTGACCCACTCGTACCCCAACGTTAGTCGACAAAATAGAAAGCATGGAGGGAAATTGTTTTTAGCTAATGACGCAGCGGTGAGGACTCGTTGCAGAGTCACTGGAAAGGGAAAACGACTCTGCAGCTTGCGCTGCGAAAATGGATTTACTCACAACAATCGACCTAGTAATTTTGACTTTCTGATTCACTGCATTAATCTTCGTTTGTTGCAGGCACGAGACTGACTTGTTCTTGTCCCCGTGGAAACTGCCAATGGAAAGAGGCAAGAAGAATCGCTCTTTGGGAGGATTTCAAGTGCAATGCACCGGGTAGGGAATCCAGCATATTTACGATTTTCAACTTGAGATCAGTAGCTCCAACTCCGCAGCCGACACAGCCACCAACCTCGCCAGAATCTGAGCTTCAGCTTCAACCAGAAGACGAACCTGAATTCAAAACCGGTCCGAAAAGACTCTCGTAAGTAAACTTCGATAGTTATGGTGACATTTTGCGTTCGGAAATGGAACATTCTTATTCAGTGATATTTCTATTGCGTGAGGTTTTCTGGATAACTTCTAATTAAGAGCCTCGGACACATGTTCAGTGGAACAAAGTGTGTTTCCAGTTTCTCGTCAAATGGGAGACTCAAACAGAATCATTAATGGAGTAGATGCTAACAAAGCTAAGTGGCCATTTGCAGTCAATTTGAGAATGATTAGGACCGGTTCATTGCGGCGTTAACAAAAAGCCTAGATTCGAGGCAAAGAAAAACAAATATGCAATGAACGCGACAAAGCCAGTTCGGAGGAGCCGGACTTTGTGGTGGCTCGATTCTCAATGATAACTGGATAATCACAGCCGCACATTGTTGCAAGGAAATGGTTTAACACTCCTTACAGCATTTTTATCACGTTTAAGGAGGTAGTCCCTGCTTTTTGCAATTTCGGCACTTTTTGAACAGCGATCAGACGAATTTGGGCTGTAGTTAAAGCATGAAAACTATATTGGTAGAAAGGTCGAACCCTGTTCTAGAGTTGCCAGTTCGCAAAAGATATCTTTCTTGGCCGCTTGAGGAGCTAAAATGCCGAATTCTAACTCCGCCCGAGAAAAATCGCCATTTTGGCCTATTTTCAAACAAGCGTAAAGCCGTAAAAATACTGAAATATATTTTATCAAAATATATATTTAGGAAGCTTATTCCCTCGTCTAGAGTTGCCATCCAACGAAATTTAGAAACTCAAAAAAGTCATCAGTAAAACCTTCGATCAAAATTTTGGACTGAAGAAATTGAAAAATCATAGTTTTTGAAGTAAGATAAACCTATTATAACCTTAATATAAGTAATAAATATTAATTTTGGAATAATCAATAGATCAAAAGACATCATAAATGCACGTTTTTGTTTGATAAAATAATCAAAAAATATCAAATTATCAATTTTTTTTATAAGAATCTCAACTTTCAAGTGAAATTTTAAGGACTTTCCTCTGATATTTACAAAAAATGATCAATACAAATTTTGACGCTCTTTTATTGAGCTTTCAGAATATGCATAGAAAATTCTAATATTTTGACTTTCGTCAAACCGGGGACTACCTCCTTAAGAACCCCCTGCAAGAAAGAGAACTAAGACAGGAGCTAAAAAACTTGAAGCCTTCAAGTTGAAGTGCCTTATCTTCTTTAGCTCTATTTTTTTTGTTTAAAAAGTGATAATTTTTATTTCTCTTTAACAAGAAAGGAAGTACAGAAGAGTAAGCTTAAGCTCCACAGATGATCAGACTTTCATCCCTTGAGATGGTCAGCGAATTCTTCATTCTTTTGTAGAATGTATTTCTTAGCAACAGTCGCTTCTTGCGGACTGATGCTTCTCGAGAATCCTTTTAGGATCGCTTTGAATCCTCAATAACATTTTCTAAAAGCATTGAATTTTAACGGAATTGACAAATAAATACCTTTTTATTCTTCGCGCCGGACTTGAAAACTCAATTTCAAGAGTGAGTATATTTTTGATTTTTCCTTTTAGAACAACAGATCCTTAACGGGGTTCTAGAGACGTTCTGAAATTCGGACGCTCTCTTTTGCTGCTAAAGCTTAAGTATAATCAAAACACGTGTTTTCAAGCCAGAATAAGGGAAGCGTAAAAGTGCGAGCAAGCGTTGGAGACATTAGTCGAAGCACAAACGATCCGGGCGAGTTCGTGATCGAAACTCAACGCGCAAAAGACTTGCACATTCATCCTCTTTACCAAACGGGCAACGGAATGGACTGGGATGCGTGCCTTGTCAAAGTTCCGTCCATCAAAGCTGCTGCTCCTGCGTCGTGCAATAACTGCTTCTCAGCAGCATGTCTTCCAGATAAAGCTCCGACTCACGGAGATTTCTGCTGGGTCGCCGGCTGGGGAAACAAGAACGAGGGCTTCAACCTAGCAGATTCGCTCCAAGAAGTCGGAGTCAATCTTTACGACTGGGAGTACTGTACTTCTAAATCCGTCTACGGATCTGTAAGATTACTATTTCTCAAAGAAAAAAAATGTTCTATAAAATGATCAAAATTCAGGTAATCAACAAAGTGAGCGAGCTCTGCGCTGGAACAACCGATACTGATGGAGACGGCCTTATTGACGGAGGTAAGCGCTATGGAAAAAACTTTTCTATTAAAAAAAAAAAAATAAAAGGCAAAGATGCTTGCCAAGGCGACTCAGGAGGGCCTCTCGTGTGCAATGAAGAAGGAAAAGCAACCCTCTATGGCGTCGTTTCTTGGGGTCAAGGATGCGCTCGAAAAGGATCTCCAGGTGTTTATGTCGATGTTTGGGGTGTTCGCGACTGGATCAAGAAAACAATCGATGAAAACTAGAAACACACTTGTCCCGAAAAACACTAATAAAAGTCGCCATCCAGGCTGCATCTTACGCGTATTGACTTTTTCCGAAGCGATAAGTAACTTGTTCAAACTTTGATGTTTACCGCGAGTCCTCGTTTGATCAAACTTGCTTGCACTGGACTTTGAGAAAGCAGCGGCAGAATTCACATCCGCTAACTACTTATCCTTTCTCGAGTTCACTTCTTGCCAGCGAGCAATCTGATCATATAACCTGACAAACATGAGGAATGCAGCCAATTAGAAATATTTAAGAATAACATAATATCTTCGGGTATTTTATTAAATCTGAGTGCAACTCAAATGTCTAGTAAGGGAAAATATTTATCAACATTGAATATTTCGTCGAATTTTCAGTTCAAATTTAGCGGATGTAAACTTGTGTTCTTACAAAGTTCTCTGATTGACAAGGACAAGTTAGAACAGATGGCGATTGTCGCAAGACGAAATTAATTCATGGGATCGGAATCTGACTGCAAGAGTTGCAATAAATTGTAAAAAATCTCTTGTCGTTTTTAGAGGACATCTCTGAGGCTTCGCAAATAGAGCGATGTTTGTGAGAGGAATTATTAACCAAAAGATCAAGCGCATACTTTTTTTATAGTCTTACTCTATCTCTCTCACCTTGCTTTTATCGTCGACAATTTTGCTGATTGCTGAATAAACTACCGAGAGAAACGCAGCGAGAAGAGGGAGTAGAGTTATCATGCGGAATGGCTCTTCAGGCGCCATCAATGCCTGCTTTTTCTTGATATTGCTAGGAAGAACAAGTGGTTACTGGCTGGAGAAGTACAAGAATGATCATGCTACAACAATTGAGGTTGAACCCTTCAGTGGCGCAGGAATCGTTTCAAAATTGAATCGAATTTATTAATTAAAAATGTTTTCAATTGTTAGTGAATCCCGAAATTAGGTATAGTAAAAAAGGTTGCTTTAATTTTAACTGTAAGAATAATGATAGGAACTCAGATAAGCAGAAGACTCATTGATTTCCTTTAACGGTTCTTTAGGAAATCTGTACAACATCGAGGAGTAGCTTCCTAACTGACTGTTGACGTAAGACGTCGCAAACAAAGTCGTAATAGATCAATAGAATGTGCGATCTCGCATTAATCTACGGGAAAATTGTTACTACAGCTAATTTAGAAATAGGAATTTAATCATTAAAAACGATTAAAAACGAATTAAAGGTGACCTCGGAAAGTTCAAGCTGACTGCTGGTGCTCAAACATTAGAATCTGGATTTATTTCTGCATCGCTCAGTGAATACAGTCCGTATGATGATGAGAGTACTCCCGCAATCAATATTATTAACTGTTACACGAACTGTATTGGAGAAAACTTTGACGACAACGACGAAATTTGCGAGAAAAACTTTGATGGATTGTATGAAGACAGGCCGGAGATGAATCCAACTGTGGAAAAGAACATGTTTGACACAGAAGTTGATATTTTGGGTGGATTCGGTTACTACGTTCCTATAAAAGATCAGTGCGAAGAATTAGAAGACGAAGAATACAAAATGTTCAGTTTCAAAGAGTACAGTTGGAAGCATTACGGCGCAAGATCAAACGACAAGCTCGGCCAAATGATCATCCGACATTTTGATCAACTGGGTGTTTACTTCTTTAGCGACCGATTTTCATTTGACGATTTTCGACAATTTTCATCCGAGACAAAAAAGAACTCAGATGTCAGAGGACGAGTTGGAGACCTTCTTTTTGGCTTTCCAAGTTTTAAAGTGCCGGAAACGTCGGACAGCTTTTTTTGGTGGTTGAAAGGGGATTATTTCGGTGCAGAACACACTGTCAATGGCGAATGGAAGGTTTCCGCATTAAAAGATATCGCCCGAGATGGCGAAGGGCTAGACGGCGGGCCATTTATGCTCGTACATAAGAACAAAAAAGACGTTATTATTATTTCTCCAGCAAGTATGGCTTCATTCTACACATATTTGGATGATTGGATATATACAAAAGACAATGCCTATAGTATGCTTATGGAAGCAGCAGCTCGCCTCAAGTTCAAGGACCCGAAGGAGGATGAAACCTGTTTTGTTGAGCAGTTGGATCTCGAGTTCGGATCATCAAGGGGCGCCCGATCTCATATTGGTGGAGCTTATGAAGAATTCATCAAAAAGCGAGAAGACGGAACTGGCTTTGTCCCGTTTGAGTCGATGACCATCCTTGTGACTTCTAACGAAGGTCCTCGAGCTGCTATCTCTAAGTGGGGAGAAATGATCAAGGTTTTCGGAGCTATGGGACTCTCCGAAGACTGCCCCTGCTCAACCTTCAAAAGTGATATTGTAAAAAGCGATTTTCCCCAACAAGCAAAAGCTATGTTTACCACAGCTGCAGGAAGTTACTACGACGGACTAGTGACAAAAGATGGAAAGAGTCAAATTGATTTGTCTGGGGAATTAATGGAACTCGGAAAGGAATTAGTCGGTGGAGATGCCCCTGTTCTTGTAAATTATTTTCATTTGGCTGACTGGTGGGCCGATACCGACGAGTTCGGCCTGAAAAAGTATATGAACAACAGAAACAACATTTGGGGCCCTCCCTCACTTGAACCTCCACAGACGGAGCCTCCATCATGCGACCGATGGGGAACCGCTGCGATATACTTTGAACTGAGCCGAAATTATAATCTCAACTTTGGGATGGACTGTGAGTATGGCTTTCCAACTGCAAAGCTTGAAAGTGTCCCACAACTGCAAGATCAGTATCTTTGTGAAAGAGTTGACGCCAACGTAAGGTGAGTTAAAAGTAATTTTTTGTAGAATATTCAATTCAATCAAGACCGGAAAAGATTCACTCTGAACCATATTCTCGGAACAAAGTTTGTTGGAACGCAGAAATTAAAGGAGAGGATGCAGATGCACATATTCCTTGTCCGTACAGAGAAGAATGCTGGTATGGTGGAATCACGATTGTCAATGATAGGCAGTACTGGAAAGCTCTCCCTGAAATTAAAAACTATAACACACGTAGTGATATATTCTTTAACGATCGCTGGTCAGGCTGTTCTCAAATGACAATGAGATATACCAAAGAAATTCTAAACCAGCACTGTCGTGCAAACTTGGAGGTTGGCGGTGGAGAAGAGTGGCTTTTTACGTAAATTTACGAAACTCGTCAGTTTTACTGAAAACATTTAGGATGCATGAGGGTCTCTCAAACGCTGCAGTTCCTGCTGGAACGAAGCCAAAGAAAGGTATCGGAATGACTTTCGCCAACGCAAGTCCGAGAATTGGAATCTACGCAGCATTACTGACTCATGTTCACTCTTTGGAGGTCACTTCTCCATTCAATTTTGATTATGGCTTGACAGGTCTTTTCACAAATGCTCTTGGACTTCGACCGATGACTGGTCCGATCTTGAGTGGCAAATATGATGGGCTAAACAACTACCAATACCAAGAAATCGACGCTGAATTCCAAATTGCTGCCGTCACCCTTAGGTAAAAAGCAATAGAAAAAAATTCTAGCCGAGTTTAGCACTGGCCCAGTCCGCTTCGGCGACAAAAGAGGGAAGTTTGACTGGGATCTATTATCAAAGTGCTGTCGAAACGATGGAGTCATTCTAAAGCCAGACGTGCCAGCAGCACCAATGGACACAGATTTAGCCGGAATAGGAAGCAAGGAAAATGGACTTGGCAAAGGAACTCAAATTCGATGGCAAACTTACGTGGAAGTCGAGGAACGTTGATCGCTTTTGATATTTTTTATTGCGCTTCTTAATTTAAAATTAATAATTTTGCTTTCCTTAATTTTACCATAGATCAAAATGATCGACATCTTAGCTCGAGTTTTTTAATGGCATTGATCCCGATAAAGCAAAACTCACAAACAATTACATACTCTTGCACAAAACAACTACACAATTCTCTCTTCCAATAGCCTAGGGTCGACTCTATTTCAAGAAAAAGAAATGATATGAATACACATTAGTCTATAGATAACGAGTTATGTTGAATTATGCCGACCCTTGACTAGCTTCGCTGCAAGGGGCCGATAATGATGACACCGAATTCTACTACATTCAATCACAGCCAACTCCTGGAAACCAATGCTACTCGAAGAAAAGCACCGAAACGGTTTGAAACGTTGAAAACATAATCTTACAAAATTAAGTTTTCCTTCGCTCCACAAAGTGGATATTCCCTCACGACATTCGCAGAAATCACCTCATTGAAAGACAAGAAATTCGCTTTCCTCGGAGATTTCTCCAAAATTGTAGGAATATCAAAACAGCGATTCAAGAAGTTTGTTAGCAATAATAGCGGAGGAAAATTCACGTTTTCAACTCTTCCGACGTCTGCAAATCTAAAGGATGAAAAATCGCTCGACGATGATATGCTTGAACTTTCGGCATGTTATGATGGAGAACTCATTCAGGGAAGGTTCTTCGATTTCACTTGATATAAAACAATAATGAATTTATGTCTAGTGCTATAAATCGAAACCTTTCGAAAGGAATATTATTTCGTTAAATATGCTCGTGATGCAAACTTCTCTTTCGATGCGACTTCAAAATCGTTCAAATGTGAAAGCTCCGAAACTTGCTACAAAGCTTCCTGTTCCTGTCCAAATGGCTGCCAAGACTGTTACGACATCCCAAAAGATGATTGTGCCACTAAATGGGCATCTTGTGAAAATAGTATTCCAAAAAATGGCAACTGCGAAGAAGGGACGTTTATCGAAACGCCAGGAACTGAAGATGGTTATCAATGCGCAGCCAAGCCAAAGTGTGTCGTAAAGGATGAGTGTATTCCAGAAACAACGACCACGACATCGACTACTACAAGCACAACGACAACAACAACGACTACTACTACAACTAGCACAACAACAACGAATACGACCTGGAGTTCGACTACTACAACGTCGACTACGACTTCAGCAACGACAAGTTCTGGTGAAGCGACGACTACTTCTTCAACAACGTCAACTTCAACAACGACAACCTCAACAACTTCAACGACGACAACATCAACAACATCAACAACTCCGACTAATACGACCCCGACAGAAACTTCTACAACAAGCACAACATCAACTGTAGCTACAACCACGACCTCAACAACAACTACTTCAACAACAACCACTTCAGCGACAACTTCTTCAGCGTCAACTCCTTCTGCGACAAAATATATTATTAAAGATGCCGTTGGAGTAAGTGAAAATGCGAAGAATGATGATGTATTAACAGATCTAAACCGACTTATTTGTGAAGACGTAAGTTTTTATTTGATATTTCAACACTTCATATCTATATTCTTAGACTTTCAATGAGTGCTCTGTCAGTCAATCAATGGGGAAGTCTTTCTCTTTTCTATCTGAAATAACATCGGAAAAGTCAAAAGACCACGTCGTTGCTATTTACAATAACGCATTTGAATATGCGAACGGCAATAATTATCCAGCCCTTGTTCTAACGGATCACAACAAAGATCTGATCATTTGTGAGACTGACTTGAGCGATTGTGAAGAAGTGGAATATCCGAAAGATCCCATGGACCCCGGAACTGCTATTGGGATCTTATTCGGGGCAGTCACAGGCACGCTTTTGGCAGTTTATCTTATCGTCGCGTTTCTCTGGCCCAAATGGGGTTGGAAGTGGCTTTTACCAAGAGGAAAGTCGAAGCCCACGACGTATTATTCACAACCACCTAAGCCGGCTCCGAAACCGACAGAGCCGACTCCCCGACCACCTTCTCAAACTCAGGTTCAACCTGAGTATCCTACTTCTACTGTTAACGTGAACATAAGCCAGCGTAATCCCCACAGGTAAGCCTGATTTTTATCAAAAAAATCTATTCTTGTGAACGTTATTGTTTAGCTTTACCTACGCACACACTTCTGCTTTGCAAAATAGTAATCTGTACAATCAAAGCAGTCAAGGAGCGTTAGAAAGTCAGCCAGCAATCGTTTATCATGGAACTAGCCATGAACGAAGCTTAGGTAAAATTTATCATCCATAAACATGATTGGAAACGTTGTGAATCAACACGTTAACTAATTAATCTCAGATCCAGGCTCAGTGAGTCTCCAGCTTGAGCCTGCTGCATCAACGAGTACAAAATCTATGAAATTCCCGCCGCCATCGAGATCGAAATCGAAAAAACGAGCTGCCCCTCCTCCATCAAATCCGATCGGAGATGTGAACGAAGCTTTCTCGGATTCTTAATTCTACCTAGAGAAAAGCGGCGACCCACACACAGAAGTCCTTATCAATTAAACGAATACATCCAAGAGCACACACTGTAATTGAAACGAAGATAGCCTATACTGTTTATTCTGTAATTGTAAATTCCATTTTGTGAAAGATAAACAAGAATTCTTGAGAAAAAGAAAGCAAATAGAGCGACAGCTAATGACACTTTTTGGCGTTTGAAGTGTGCTCTTTTTTCGTGTTTGCGTTTTTCTTGCAAAGACATGCAACTCGCGACAATTCTTTATGAAACAAAAAGCAAACGTCACGACTCGAACAAACTAAGTTTATGCTCTATATTAACTATCATTTATTTCAGATAGGTGCAGTAAGTGTTTGTACATGATGACTTAATTAGTCAATTTGTAGTTCCGGATGTCTTTTCTTTCAACTTTCATTCGATTGCAAATACACTATCATCTGGATTGAATGGCGATTTGTGTTGCGTCTCTCCGTTCTCCTCCTTGTTTTGAAAAAATTGTTAGTGGTACAGTGTTCTCAAAGTTCAAATTTCATCAACAAATTTTTCGGTGTCTCGAAGAGACTTTGAAAGAGGAAAAGTAACTAGCGTATCACAGGTTTTTAAAGGTCACCAACTTATTTTTCACCGAGTAGTTTAACGAAACTATTGTTAACGTGCTAACTTTAAGGTGTGTTGAACAATCATTTGCATTCAGATAGGACTGCAGCTTTTTTAAATTTGATTTGTAAGACCGATCGAACTGCAATTGATATTTGAGTGTTAAATGCGAGCGCTGTACTCTAAGGGTTAATGACACCTAATAGTTAGGTTCTCTTTGTTAGTTAGAAGCTCACCTCTGCTGAAAGCGTTAAACTCCCGACGTTGATGGAGTCATCGTCTGAGGTGTTAATTGAACTATCCTGATCTGCTACCTTTAAATTACCATAAATTGTATGATAGTTAATCAGTCTCTTAGTTTATGGGTTTTAACATTATAAATGCAGCTTTGATCACTTATCATCGATATCTACCTTGTTCCAAAGAGTGTTTTGCAGTTTGTCGAATCGTCGCTTCCATGCAACCCTGTGCTTTTGTCTGCACTTTTTGTGCGTCGCGAAAATCAGGTCAAGCATGTACGGAAAGAAACCTATTGCTGTATTTGTTGTCTTTATTCCATTCTGAATTTCCAGTGGCACGACATTTCCTTCCAAGTGATAGCAGTTCTTTTTGGTCGCTGTGATCATACGGTCCATAGTTTTAGTAACCTGCGATGATGATTACATTGAGTAGGGTGCTGGTAATTTTACCTGTTTGATCTTTTCTTCCTTCTCTTCTTTCGAGTTCATTGGATTGTTTTCGATATCATCTAGGATCCGCTGCCGAACGTAATCGACAGCATCCTCCGCACCCGTCACTAAACGATGCTTTACTACGTAGGCCAGTGCTTGGAAATGACTAGGTCGGGGATACATACAGTATGATAATTTAGTGTACTTATGAATATTTGATTTTTTACTGTACCATTGACGTTCTGCATTTTAGGAAGGACTCGCCACTCCAATTCAAAGCCGGTGTGTTGAGTGTCGCCATCGGTTACGAAAATAATTCCTTGATGCATTTTTCAAAAGCAAATATGTCTCTTTGTTTTTGCTCAAGATCAAATTTTCAAAAATGTTTCCTGCGTTGTTGTTCCGTAAGTCTGTCCACTGTCCATTGAAGAATGTTCGATTGAGCGTGTCATCTCCGCTGTCCGAAGTTGGCACCAGCGTGCTTTTGTCGTTCCAGTCATCGTCGCCTACGTTTTGAGGGTCTTTGATGCTTCCGCAGAAAACCCCTTATAATTTTATCAATAGCTTCGAAAACTAGCTATCAAACCTTCTGCTTTAACTGTGTCGTTATGCTCTTTGTTGTTGAGGTATTCCATCTTGCCGGAGTAGATCATCGCATAGTCGAACCCGCAGACGTCTTCTCGCTCAACAGCAAATCGATTAAACCGCATAAGAATGGTGTAATCTTTCGGCGCGTGTAATTTCCAGATACAATTCGTATTCGGCGCATAGAACTTTGTCCCGTTGTTTGATTTGAAGGCACCTTCCACGCCGAAAGGAGCATAATCGACGTCGATCTTTTCCGAGCATGGGCAGTTTCCTTGTTTGGCGCACTGCGTCAGACGAAATCTCCAGCGCGATTCAACCCCGAGGATTTTGCTCCCACGAGCGAGGTATTTTTCTCGAAGAATAGCTTTTTCCTTCTTTGTATTCTGAAAACCTCTTTAATTAATTTACCCAAGCGATTCTTTTGAACGAGGCTTAAAAGCTTACTCGGCTTATAAGCACAGAACCTTTTAAGCGCTCTTATACTAATCAACAAAATTCTCTTCCTTTGGATAAGCATTATTGATACATCTGTAGCTTTTATAGCAAGAAACACAATTGATAGTTTCTACTAAATGATTCAATTTCGACTAGTTTTCGAGAACTATTCGAAAGTTAACCTTTGGCGAGATTGAAGGGGGACTTTGTAGGCGGATACCATTTGCTCGAAGGTTGCCTTTCCATCTGGCGAATTAGCCAAAGCGTCGTTAATCATTTCATATGGAAGCGAAATCTCCTTTTTCTGGAGCAAACCCAGCTCCGCTTGTCGGCTCACTTTCATTGTCCTCTGTGCCATGCTAAAATTAACAGATTCAGATCTATCTCTCGCGAAAAAGGGTTTACCTCAAGGCAATCGGTAGAAATGAGCTGATCCTCATTTTCTATCGCTTTTCGATTTTATGATTTCAACATGCTCGTGTAGATCTTTATAGCCGCAGAGGATAGCAGCCAGCGTTTTGGGTTTCTAAACCTATTCTTCGCGAAAGCGTGAACGCAGGATTACGAATTCAAAACTCTGGATTAAGGCGAACGAGCAGGGCGCGAACGTGCTGCTGATTAGGCATTTCATTCGGTGATTAGGCAAATATCCGGTCAATCCAATCACAATTACAGTAATGACTCTACCGAGAGAATAATTTTTGCTAAGAGTATATGTAGATTTTACTTGGCTATCCGAGTTCGCAATAAGAACATCTGGCCTTCGAACCCTCAGCATTTCTCCGACGAAGAATCAAGAGCCAGGCGTACCGACTTCATGATAAGCATTCTGTTGATATTAGTTGTTGTGTCGAGACAAAATTGTTTTGTTTTGAAGCAGATAACTCAGTTCCCAGAGATGTCAGAACGCAATCGAAGGTGATCATCGTTCAACTCGTCATCGCGAAATTCCGACGTCTTTCTGACGTATCTCCTGAACTGTTTTGTCCGAGAGAAAAACTCAAATTTGTGCCCTTCGCCGGAAAAAATCGCAGATTTAAAGGGCCACGATTTAATATCTTTAACTCAGGAAACTTGTACTATCGGTCGATTCAGAATGTCTCATTGACAGAGGATTAAGCATGTCTAACTTTGAGCCCTTCAGTTTTCGATGATTTAGATGTTATCCATTTTTAAGACTACGCAAATATAAATTCTTCTTTAGAAATTCCTCATTAAATATATTTTACTTAATTTTAGTGAAATTTTTTCAAGAAGAATGTTATAAAATTAACTATTGAATTATGAACAATTATTTGCCACAAATAGCTTTTGTTTGAATGTTTTTATGTGTGTTTGAAGACGTGGTATGGGCTAATTCTTCGGCAAGACCGAAGAATTGATGCTTTCAATAACACTGATTCTTCGGCAAATTAAGAATTGCCTTGAACCGAAGGATTATTGATATTATTGACAGTGATTCTTCGGCAAATTTTCTAGAATTCATTATCAAAACTCTTTGATTGTAACTTATGACTCATAACTTAAGAAAAAGACATTTTCTAGAGAATAAACTCAATTTGGCAATAAGTATTTTCTATAATTTGAGGCTAGTGTTAGGGGGCACTGGGCAAAATGACAGAAAAAACTCACCCGAGGGGGATAGGCTAGGGTTAGTTAGGGTTACTGAAGGTAACCCTAAGTAACCCTAGACTAGACCCCGGCATTTTAGGACCTAAGGGGCGAAGCCCCGTGGTAAGGGGCACAGGAATCTGTGAATAAATTCACCTTAGCCGAAGAATCAGTGCATCTTCTATCACTTATTCTTCGGTTTTTTGCCGAAGAATCAGTGTTCTTACACGCATCAATCATTCGGCCTCCTATCCGAAGAATTAGGCCGTATCACCTTTGAAGAATGCATTTCTTTTTTACTGTGGCAAAACATATGTGCTTTCATGTAATATGCATATTGGGTAATAGGTGGCTGCAGAAATTGCACGTGCACCCTTTAATAATCTCCCATCCATCGGCCTACTTCCACTATTTCTATTACATTTTTCAGAACGAAAGAAAAAGAAAAAAAAACGAAAATCGAAGAAATATTAAAAAGAAACGAGAAGGAGCAATATTGAGTTACTGTGCAAGAGAGAGCGAGAGAAGGAGGCCGCAGAAGAAGGAGAAGAAGAATAATTATTTGCGCGTGAAAATAAAAGAATAATTAGCTGATAGCCTACTAATCAATCCTTGGTGGTATTTTGGAGGAGAACGGGCCTTTTGGTATTGATCATTGATCAAGAAGAGGAAAGTTCATTTCGAATACGATTGTGAGCGAGAGGCGGTTTTTACTTTTTGATGCGCAAGTTTCTTAAAACAGCGAGTGAACTTTGAAAAGATAATAACTAGAGCATTCTTTGTTATTTAATATGTTTGAATAGAAGAGAATAAAAAAGAACCCATAGCAACAAGAAATCTAAATTTCAAAAATGGACGACGAAAAACAAGAGAATCAAAAAGCAAATTCACGAAGGAGTAATCCCTCGACGATAAGGCTCACCGCCGAAGACATTCAGGTGCCTAAACAGTTTTATTTCAATCATCGAGAATGGACGTTTTCGCTAAAGCACCAAAAATTAAAGAAAACAGTGCTCTACGAAACGGTTAAATAAATGACGAGGGCGGGGAATGAAATTGAATATCAATAATCCGATAACAGGACAGCCAGTTCTACTGGGTCGAGCAGACATTGGCAAAAATTATTGAATTCACATATGATATGTTCAGTACCTATGCGAGCCCGAATATTACGACTGGATGGTCGCGACGGGACGCATTCCAGAATTGCAGAGTTCCAAGTCCGAAGATGGTATAGGTTCGTCTTTTGTCTTTCTTTATGATTTGAAGAGCTTGTAGAGAATTCGCGGACAGGCTCTTCTCCCGATTCCGGCAGTGATCACTTGGTCCAAGAAAAGCCACAAAAAAGAAGACGCTCGACAGCGGTTGTTGAAAACATCAGAGATGTCTTTAGACAAGGCTCCGGTTGGCAGATCTATTGATCTAAGCAATTCTTACCCAGAAGAACACTCGCCAACCTAAAATCAGAGTCTGTCGACGGCGAACAAGTGCGCGTGCGAGATAAATTAAAAAAGCTATTCTCTGCATAAAAATTCGTTTCAGTCTTCAAACCTTTTGCGAGCTTATAAAACATTCGAAAATGTAAATAAAGAATCGTAAACCCGTTGCTTTCAAAAAAGTGATCCTTGATGATTTCACAATTTCAGAATTAAGAAAATAGACTGACTGAAATTGCATTGAGAAAGTGATGAAATACTTGGGAATTTTAGACTTTGCCGTGTTGTAAATAATCTTTCATCCTCCATCATGCGCGAGATGCATGCGTTGAGTTCCAACGCTTCAAATTTTCGGAGCAATCAAAAGTTCAAGAGCGTTGCTCTCTATTCTCGAAGCGATGGAATGAGTTACGCAATGAATCGAATCTGAGCAGATTATCATTTTCATTTAGCTTAAATTTATTATCTATCAAGGTCATTTGCTTTATCTTCTTTTTTTTTTGTACTCAGCTTAAAAATGAAGGCACCAAAAACTATAATTAGAAGCCGTTTAATGTGACAAATATTGGAAAACGAAGAACTAATCGTTTCTAAATTCATATTTTGTTTCGAAGCATACAAATATAATCACTCTTCTGGTTGTTCTTCAATGCAAAAATTAGATATCTAAGTTATGACAAATCATGGCGAAGCATCGACTTTCACAGAAGTATTTTAACTTCGAAATAGATCATTTAAAAGTCGAGAAATTTGCGTCAGTAGCCCAGATTTATAAATTATGGACTATAATGTTGCACAAAGATGACATCTAAATCTGCCTCATTCCATTTCTCGTTTATTTATGCCGAAGGCTGTTTATATAAACTATTTTTCAACTTCTTTATATACCGGCTTTTTCTCGTCGATTTGCCGGTAGTTTCAATCCAAATCCAAATTGAAAGGAAAAAATGAAAATCGCACTAGTATTTTTTGTTAGTTTTTCGGAAGCGTTTCCCTATATTTCCAGTTTGAAATCAGCAACGAGAAGTATGAGCTCCGGTCTAGATTCTTGGGCTGATATGTACAAACGACCAGATAGAGCAGAAGACGGTGTGCAGCCGCCGCGATTCCAGGACCCGTTCGGCTTCAATCAGTGGACCAAGCCATTAGATGTTGACGACAACGCAGAACAATTTCCTATCTTTGGATAAATCTTCTTCCACAATCCTTTTTAATTTGATCTCATTCAGTTCAAAACTGTTTAATCTGTTATTCATGTAAAAAGATTAAACATTCAACTTTTATAATAAAATTATTCGTGAAAAAATATCTCCTCGCCTAGGAAGCTGAGAGCTTGTCAAACATAAAATATCTTTTATGGACAATCCAATATCCGTCGAGCATTGTATTTTCGAAAATTGGTATATAAAATGATCAAGGTGGTGATGTATCTCCGTCAAGCGTCAAGATGTGTAATCTCTAGAATACTTTTTCGTATAGATTAAAAAAGGTGATATTACTCAGTTCTTCGAGAGAATGAGTTCCCTGAACGCTGTATTAGGAACTATAATTGTGCTGCTTCTTGTCCTTATAGGAAAAGTTTTCATAATGAAAAGAAAGTTCCTTCAAAGATAAATTTTGAATTCTCAAAAAAGGGCTGGTTAGCTACCTAATAGCCACGCAAGCAATCGACATTGGCATATTTGGCGAAAGCGCTACCAGCACTGAGCCTGGCGGGACTACTACTTTACCTCCTGTTGTACCCATTGAAACCGGTTTAATTTGCGCCGATCCATTTAACCCGCCGTCGATCTACTCATCACGAATTGTTGGAGGTCAAGATGCTGTTCAAGGAAGTTGGCCATGGATAGCGCATCTTGGAGTTTGTGGTGCTACAATATTGACTAAGAAGACTGATGGTAGTAACGATATAATAATGACAGGAAATGCTATAAAACATATACATAAAACCTATTGTATACAATGATTGAGCATTATTAAAGCCGCTCACTGTTGTGGTTATTTCAGCGAAGCTTACATTGGCAAACACGACGAAAACGGAAACGATTATTTCACAGTGCCAATTTTGCATTATGAAATGCATCCTCAATACAATGAAAACACGGTGTCGCACGACTACTGCATTCTCTTTGTACCAAATCTGATACAAAGTGCAAGTCCTGGGGCCGTCTTCGAACCTGCTTGTCTACCAGATGGTTATTTTGGACACGAGAAACAATGCAACGTAGCCGGCTGGGGTACCCTTTCTTCTGGCGGATCTACGCCTGATATTCTCCAAGAAGTCGATATCACGCTTATGTCAAAAGACTACTGCATCCAAAATAGTGTTTTGACCGGAAACGACTTAGATGAATCTATGTTCTGCGCAGGACGGCTTGACGGTGACGAGGACGGACAAACAGATGGAGGAAAAGACTCTTGCCAGGCTGGGCTCACAAATACCAACTGAATTTTAGATCTACTTTTTTTGTGATCCAATTGCTATAGGGAGATTCCGGCGGGCCAGTTATTTGTTCTCAAAATGGAGTACCATTCTTGTCGGGCGTGGTTTCATGGGGCTTCGGCTGTGCTGATGAAGGAGCGCCAGGCGTATATGCAGATGTTTCGTTTGGGATAAAATTTTTCTTCATAAATAATTGATCACTTTTTCGTCAAGCGAAATTTTAGTTTGTTAAAACTTGGGCAATGAGTTTTTTCTCTGCAACTCCGCCGTGCTTCGCCGCCATCAATTATAATCCAGGTGCATTCACAATAAAGACTATATTTAATATAGACTATTATGTAGTATACTCGTAGCATTTTTCCATAGATAACGAGTCCAACTTCTGCGACATAACTTCTGCTGGGATTCATGAGGGACAGCAATATGGAATCACGTAAGTTTTTAAACTCGGACGATTATATATTTATTATTCAGGATTCCTCAAGATTACGGAGAGGACAATAACTGCACGCTGACTATAAACAGGATTTCTTCGACAAAAGCGATAAATCTGTACATAGGAATCGGGATTTAAAATGCCTTGATGCGGAAAATTTCTGGTTGACTGTCATATGCACCAGACGTAAATAGATCCCAATTAAGAATTTCTTGATTTGGAGCCTGGATACGATTTCCTTTACATCGATTCAAACGCACAGTCATCCTTGTACAGCAAACTGATCAGCATCGACCAAGATAGTGTCCAGCTAAGATTTACATCTGATTATGCGATTTCTAATTACAATGGACTGAAAATGTCTGTCATATTAGGAGACTATGGTAAGTTTAGCATTTGACGGCTTTATTGTTCATTTTTAGACAACAACTGTGACATCGTTTCATCAAGATCCCTGAAAGATGCCCGTAAGCCAAAATCGCTTACGAAAAAATCGCAAGCTCAAGAAAACTAATCTACGAATAATGAAATCATAACACAAAATATGATATTCTTTCCGAGTGGTTATTTAAAACGCTCTTGTCGATTTGTAAATCGTCCTTCAACGTTTTTGCTAAAAATAAAGGTACTACGAGAATATTTCTATTTCAGACGTCGTGTCATCCGGATTCTATATTTGTAGTTTGGCTATTAAGTACATCAGTTCTAGTGACATTATTTTTTTCGCAGATCTTCGCTGTTTACCGGCTTGAAGCCTACTAAGCTGCGCGCATTTGAAAAAACATACTCAAGAAAAAACGTGGCGCAGGACACTCAAGGACTCACTCAATTTTGAGAGGATTTTTCGGACTATCCAAAAATGCGTCTTTTCTAAATCAATGCTTCTCAATCGAGATAATTGCTTGCCAGACGAATTTTCAGCTTATCAGAACTCCATTTGTATCGTTCGAAAAAGGTAACTTTTCGAAAAAAAAAAATCTTCTCATTTCCAGTTGCATAGAATACGGAAAGGAAAACAAAATGAATTTTAACATTCATATCCACGTGTGTTTATTTTAACAAGGCTGTGGTTGCTTTGTTCGCAGTTTATAAAAATCACCGATTAGTTTTTTTCAACACCAAGATTAACTACATTTGTTCAAAAGTGGGGACAGTTGGGAGTAAAGAGCGATGGTGGTATTTTTGTTGTTGCGTGTCCGACCAAATCGTTATTTTTCGCAAGCTGCGTCTATCGAGACGACTCATTGGTTGCAGGATCTGGTGGCGCTGCCAGTCGTGTGCCCAGATCCGGACACCTCAGAGCAAAACCAACAGAGCCACCAGAGCCAGACGGCGCCAACGCGCTCGTTTTATATGTTCATTTGTGCAGTGCGCGGGCGTCGGGGAGGAGCAAAATATCAAAAATAGAAACATCACCAAAGGTTAATCAATAAACGATCATAAAATGCTTGATGAACGTTAATTGATTAATACAAGGTTATATTAATATAGAGTTGATGGACACGCAATTTGGTTTGAGGGGCAGTACAAGGAAGGTCGAGCGCTGGGCGCGAGAAGATCAAGCAGAAAATGAGACAAGGCAAGGAGAGCCTTATTAACATATTTAAGTTATATTATTTAATAATATATTAGCAGTCAGAAAAGCGTTAAATTGTAATATATTATCAAGTAATATGATGTACAGTTATTTAACAAGAACTCAGATGCCAGGTCCGACGATCTGTCCAATCGTCGACGCCTCTTCGGGCACACAAACCTACACGTGTTTTTCTATTGAGGAATATACAGTTGTGGAAGCATTACCACATTATTTGACATTGGGGGTCGAATGGGGTAAAACAACGTGAAGCCAGGCTGGTGGTAAGTCACTTTTTGCGTAGAAGGGTCGAGTTGTTGGAAGTTAACATGACTTGAAGGCTCCGACGTTTTCGGACTTTTGGTTGACGGCTGAAATTATTTATTTAGTGCTTTTCTCGCCATCGAGCAATCTACCTTGAACTCGCTTGCGTTCACGTTAAACATAGTAGGCGTTCTGCTCGGCTCGGGCGTGGTGTTGCTTGGTCGATCGGAATCATTTTCGGAGCTCGACGAAGTTGACGATGTCGAGGGAGAGTTGTTCTGCTCCTGGCGAAGCTGCTGCTCGTACTCCTCTGCATTCTTCACGCGCTCCAACTCAATCAAGTTGAAAAGGTCGTCTGAGTCGTCGTTGATTTCTTCCGTCAATTCCTTCAAGTGCTGCGAGCGGCGTACTTCGCGTTCCAACGAAAGAGCTGCTTTTCGCAGTGTTTCCGCTTGTTCCGACGAAACTGCTCTTGTCTTTTCTAGCGACTCAAGTTCCTGAAGAATAATTTCAAGGGCCGAAGAAAATGACCGTCCTTGAGTCTTCCTTGATTTCATTAAGAAAATCTTACCAGTTTGGGTCGATCTTCGTGAAGCATACTGTCCAGTTTGTGAATAGCGCCATCTATCTCCCTGAGATTTCTTTGCGTTTCCGCGAGTCGCTGCTGTAGAGTTTCTAGCTACAAGAGTCGTTGAAAAGCGATTTCAATAAAATAAGCTCCTACATGATTAAACGAAGGCTGAACGTTGAGGAGGTTTAAGCCAGATGAGACGGAGTTTTGCTCGGGGCTCACTCGTCTACTCGTTGGACTGAGGCGCGAAACGGGCACAGCATTTGCCGATAAGAGCTGCGCTACATCTGCGTGCTGCGTACTGCTCGGCGCCGTGCTCGCAGTGCTCGAGTTCTCTCCTCTAATAGCATTTGCGAAGGACTTCTGACGCCAGAGGGACTGTACGGGCACTGTCGTCGATGGATTCTTAGGTTTCTGCCAACTAGCCATCTGCTTGTAAACGAGCGAAATTCTTCAATTTTTTTACGAAACGCACCGATTTCTAAAAGGCGAAAAGGTTATTTTTTAATCAAAGTACTCGCATGCAAAAGCATCATGTCATAAAATTGAAGAAAAATAGAGAGATAGATCGTTGCCAAGTCAGACAAGGGAGGAAAAACATTATGCTCCACGTGTTTTTGCGAGTGATTTTCGATTATTTTAATAGAAGATAATGTAGTTAGTGATTTTTCACGTTATCGCCATTCAATAACAGCAAAAAGGTTCTGCCGTTTGAAGAAGCAAAAGTCGCTTTCTCTTTTTTTTCGGTTAGGCAAAAATGAGAAGGACTTTGTATTATCTACGAAAAAAGTCTAGCTAAACAGTTCTCGGCTTAGTCCACAATTGAAAGGAGCTCAAATTGACTTGAGCTCCATATCATCAATTATTCTAAAGCCCAGTTTAATTTATAATGTTCTGGGGTAGACGGCCCGCTTTTTTTGTTATCTTCTAATCGAACATCGAGAAACACAATATGCCTTTGAAAAGTAGACTTGTAGAACGGAGTTAGTATTTCATAAATTTAAAATGAGGAACAGAATGATGAAATCGACTGACAAAAAAATAACATCACAGGCCCGATTTTCCAATTAACTGTTCTCTTGTCGAAACTGTAGAGGTCCTCTTACTGTTTCAGCGTTATCTAAAAGTTCAACGCTTTGATGAAAATTTTTGTTAAAAATTTCTTGTGTAAATTGAGGTTTTGTGGTGAAAATAAACTAAGAAGTTGGGTGCAAAGAAATATCAACCCATTTTAACCGTAAATTCCCAAAGATAGTTCTTAGTTTATTTTGTCATTAGCTGCCGATACTATGAACATGAAGAAAAATTATTGAAACGTAAGCTGTTTAGATTTTCTCTTGCGAGCCTCTTTTTTATTTTTAGTCGCTTCTATTATCTACAATAATCTTTCGTGAAATTCTCTTACGTTTCGATGTGTGTATTTATGGAAGGGCAATTTTAATCTCTAGCGATGCGCATCTCCCCTTTTCTCTCTCCCTCTTTTCTTTGAGTGAGTTGATATAGATTTTCGCGAAATCAAATCGCGTGTGGCGAGATTTGAGGAGGATATGAAATATCGATCGTCTTTATCGAGCGGCTTCGGCGTCTCATTCGGTTAAAAAAATCGAGCAAGCTAATAAGCCCGAAAAGGCCATCAGTCGGTTCGGTCCCGCCTTTAATGCCATATTGGCCGAAAAATAAAAGACAAAATAAGTCTTCTTTTAATTTAAAACTGCGAGGCCCTATTAATCAAGCCGAAAATGCAGTCAGGGAACTGAGGTGACCGAACAAAAAGACAGCAAAACTTGCAGTACTACAGTAGTGGAGTCGACGCTTCTGATCATTTTCAAGGCCCCTCTCTCTCTCTCTCTTTATCGTGATTTTATAACCACTAGCCAAGACGTTCATAAGAATGCGTGTCAGTTAAGGGTGTTGCGATTTTTTTTTCTTCGATGAAGGAAGGGTGAAATTCGGATGTTCACTGGAGGCTAGCTGCGAATTTCGCAGTGGCGGCGATTTCACACCGAATTACCTCTCTTTCTGCTTCATCCTTTTAACCCGCTGTCGCCTCCTCGAAAAGAAAAAATATCTTAAAATTAAACTCATCTTTTAAGGCAATAATTAAGGAAATTGACACTCGTATTTTTGCCCTTAGGTGAAAATATTGTTAAGTTGGTAATGGGCTGTGATTTGTTTTCTAGCGATAAAAATGAATGGAGCTGGAAAGGTGAGTCCTGTCTGTAGCAGAATCACGTGAGGGGGAAATGTGCTTCTCTAGTAGCTGGTGGTGGGAGGAAGGGTCACTCTCTGTCTGTTGGAGTAGTCCGTTTTTTCTGTGTTTTCGGGTGGTAGCTCGTTGGAGCAAATCGCTCCCGAGCTGAGACACCGTTCAGGGATTGGGCCCCGGGCGGTATCATTTCAAAGAGGACTCAAGTGTTCCCCGAAACGCAGCGAAATCCCAAAACGGAGGAGCTCTCAACCGCCAGCCGTCGCCAGCGAGCGTATTTCGCTGCTGCCCAAAGTCCGCCAAAAGAGGATGAACAGACAAGCTCCTGAAAAGGTCACCTCTAAATTTCAAATTACTAAAGGTCCAACTGTTAATTTTCTCCATTCTTACTTCCGAATGCGCTTTCCGTAATCAAGCCGGCTAAATTTTGGACTGTAAAAAGGGATGAAAAAAGAGGGAAACTCAACAAGCCAGTAAAGGCATAGATTGACTCTATTATTCAACAATTACAGGCCAATCTAAGCGCTCACTTCGACCTGGACTTTTCTACAAGCCACTAAATGAATGCTTGAAATCGAGCGTTTCTTGAATATTGATAAGTGAAAACAGGCACCCGGAACTGAAAATCGGATTTGTCAACGGGGAGCCTCTTTCCCAAATCGTTACTGTAGCTCTGGGAAAAAAACATGCGTCCTCTCTCAGCAAGTACGGGATCGATTTTTTTTCATAAGGAAGCCTTTTGATGAAATAATCAAAGCTCGCTTCAAATGTTGGAGAGCTGTAAATGTCAAAAACGTTCTGACGTGCGCCCCGAGAGCGATATTTTCAAGCGTCAAGATTTGGGTTTTATCATCAATTGAACAGCGATAATAATTTGTTGAGGCGCTAATAATTCTAGTTCCAAATTCCTGAATGAAAATTGCACCGTTCGAAAGTGTTCAAATGAGATCAATAATTAACATCTTGAGCTTGAGCTAAGTTGGCTTTAGAAATAACGCGGGGTTGAATAATTAATGCTGAAATATCAATGAGCCATCAACTGAGCAAAAACAATAAATCCCTAGTCTCAAGGTCTAAAAACTCATTCTCAGAAGGTGATTTAATCTGAATACTCTCAATCTAAAATTTCTCTTTTTTTTTGGTCCAAAATAAGAAAATATGACGGCAATGTCGGTCTGCAAAGCGCTGCTCCCCTGAGAGGAAAATTAAAACCACTCAATCGACGGGACGTTAGTAAACTATTTTACATCCTCCACTCCTTAGAAGTTATAACTAACTGGACTGAATTAACAACGGCATTGCATGACAAGAGCAGAAAGGTGATTTTGGAAAGGCTTTTTGTCATATGAATAGATCCAGTTAGTTGGTGGTTTCTGTTTGATGTGTCTTTCGGGCGCAAAATCGACATTTGCCACTCAGTTGACTTCACATACTCGCTGTTTACGCTGTTTTAAACGAAAGAAATCATAATTTTCCCAATGCAAAAAGAGTCAAAGCGCCTTTATGATAGAAAAAAGGGATGCTTTCATTGACGAGTTCGAACATGCCACATTAAATGGATTGATAAATGAAATTGCGCCAATTCCTATTCTCCTCTTTCCAATAAACGGACTCTTAACTTGCTATAGCTCATAAATTTCCGAGTTAAACTACTCTTTAATACTTTTTTCATTCAACTTTACCTTACATTCCGAATGAGAGCTCCAAAAAAGCCGTCATCTCTTCACTCGAACCCCTTCTTTCTCTTCTCGCATTTAATCTCTGACACGTTAAAAAAAGTTTTAGTTAATCGATCACGAAAAGGAAGACAGGCTTCCTACCTTCCAGCTGACTCCGGGTGACATTCGACATTGCCCTTTTCCGCGCAAATGTCAACATCTAATGGGCCATTTCCGAGGCGAATTCGCAAAAATTGCCTCTTCGGTCAACTTTCAGACCTCTAACTGTCGTCTTTAGCGGCTTTTCAGCTTTCTATTTTATTTTCTAATTGCGCGGATTACGTCAAAAAGACAACTTGAATTTTTTTTTTATCTTCGAAATTGAGCTTTTCTTCCTTTCTTGTTTTTCTCGAAAAAGACAGTTGTTTTTGACGAGTTCGCGAAATTGCCCAATTTTTTTATAATTCTGTCTGTCAGATCAAGAGAGATTTAATAAACGTCCGAGATGAGAGAAAAACAAATCTCAAAAAGTGTTAAACGAAATTTAAAAAGAATCTTTGTTGATTTCAGAGCTCTTTCTCTAAATATTTCTTTACTTCTCTACTTTCTTTACGCTTTGGTGCGACTAGGTTGATGAGTTGACTGTGCAGTGGAGACGAAGATGATGAGTCAAACTGGCCTCGTAAATACGTTCTGTGAATAGTCTTTGCTTCATAATTACAAACGGGAATGAACGTCATCATCTAATTAGCGCTTGGCTGATCAAGCCTCAGCGCGAAAAAAAAAGATAATTGTCTCCGTCAAACCAACTTCTTTCACTTTTCAATTAGCAACAGTTGATTGCCTTCTTTTTCACCAAAAATATACAATACTCTTTTAAATACTGAACGGGCTGTTCAAAATTGACTATTAATAAAAATATTTCCTGCTGAGGAAGAGCTAATAAAATATTATTACTTTGATCACACGCACGAGACTTGCGGATTAATTTCTAATAAAAAGGGTTTTGGGAAATACTTAGTTTTCCTTTTCTCTGAGGAGATTTCTCGCTTCTCTAATTTGAAACTATGAAAAAACATTTCGAGAATATTAATTTCGACGATCTCTTAATTTCTCGTGAGTATCTTATGGCGGACGGGAAAGTCATAAGATCGAAACACTCGGATCACCTGACGCGCAGTTTTAAACTTGACCTTGACCCACCTTATCTTTTCGTAAAAACACACGCTTTTCCGTATTTATGAATATGCTCATTTTGTTTGTCGAATGAATCAGTAGATAATTGAATTAATGACTGAGGGTAGTATTTAAAGACAACAATTAATAATTCCCTTTTCACTCATAAAAAAGTTTTTCTTCATCATTTCAAAACAGATCTCTTTTTATATTATCGAAAAATTGTTAACTTTGTTCAGCTGTTTTTTTTTTCCAAGAGAAAAGTCACAAGACAAAAGTCGCAAGGGTGTTGAGAAATAGTCCTCATAATAAAATTGTCACCTTGCGATAAGGACTGGACCACAAAAAGGCACTTTTAACAAGATTGATAAACACTCAAGAACGAAATAGCAAAAGATTGAATCGCCAATGGAGAATCCATTTTATTGTTAAATTTAGTCACAATTTAAATCATTGAGCTCCGTAAACAGAAGTTTTCCAAAGATTGTGACGAGCAATGAGCATCGGATCGTTGCCAGATCGTAGCCTGTCGCCTAGAACAAGCATATTTTAAATCAAGCAAGCGAATATATAATTGTACCTTCTTTATTAAGAACATTGCAGAGTTTCTTCGATTTGTCGTATTTGTTCCAGCCGGGAGTTCCTGTCATCGCAAAATTACTCCAAATCTTCATGATTCTCCTAGCGAACTCTTTCTCTTGCTCAGTGAAGGAAGCTCCCTCTGCGAGCAGATAGAATTCAGGGAGAAACGCGAATCCATACACATAGCAAATGTCGTCGAAGTGATCCGTTCTCACGAAATCAGGTCGAAAGTTGGGCGAGTTTCCATGAAATTCGTTGTCGTGGAACATCTCGGTTCGCGAGTCCATCTCGTACAAGTACATGTCCTGCAACTCGCTGTTGTTTTCCATCCGATCGACAACTCCGTAGAAAAACTGGTCAGCCATTGAAGACAGTAAGATTCTAGTGTATGTGATTGGGTCGTTTGTATCCTCCAGGTAAATTTTAAGCCAGGACTGCAAAGTTTTCTCTGCGATTTCAGCTGCTTTTGCTTCGTCTGGTACCAGTTTCGCGACTCCATGATGAATGACACCCTTGGTTCTTTTTGAAATTAAAAGCAACAAGTTTAATACCTTCAAGGCTGCTTTTGAGATGCCTTTTGATAGCCCGGGAATCATGTCTTCGAAGAAGATGAGAAGCATAGCGCCCATCTCAGCTTGATTTTTGCCCGCTAAGACGGGGACCTTGTTGACGAACTCTTTCATTTCCCACGGGGCGTTTGGAAAGAAACCGTCATCAGCAGATAAGGTTCTGAACATTTCATCCATGCCTTTTGGGACCTTTAAATTGACATTTCCAAAATAGATGCTAGTATTTGAAGAAATACGAAACAACAATTTCCTTGGCATAAAACTCGACAAGCTCCTTGACGGACGCTTTCTTCACTTTTGCTTTGAGGCAGTCGAAGTCGTTAACTCCAAAGTGATCTTGCGCGAATTTCATGGCGGCCCGTACTTCTGGCTTCGGCTTCAGAATTTGAATACTTCCGGACTGGCAGATAGCTCGATGAAAGAGACCCGTAGATTTTTCCGACATAAGATGACACTCGACTGTTATTGAGTTTCATTAAGAATTGTCACTGCCGCTACTTGATCAGTAGAATCTTCTAGCAATAATTAAATATTTGATCTCAACTGTTTGCCACCAACAAGTAGCGATACAAGGGCCGATTGTCGGGGATTGATTCCCGCTATTTCAGCAAACAAATGCAATCTCTAAGGTCTCGTAGACTCGATTCATGAAACCCAGTCCTGACCAAGAACCAGCAGACTCACCAAAAATAGTGACATTATCACGATCTCCTCCATAGTCGCCAATATTCGCCCTAAAAAGAACTACTTCCAATTCGAAAATAGAAAATCACGTACTTGACCCATTTCAGCGATTCCAGCTGATCCCATAGACCCCAGTTCCCCCCAAGGAAGCCTAGCATGTTAAGTCGGTAGCTTAATTTAACAAAATTATTGGAGGCGAGTGCCTTATTTTTACCTGACAACCACAACGACACAGTCTCCGACCGCAACAAGTGGTGCTGCATTGTAACTAGTTTTAACTTTAGTTTTTAGTAGTGTTTCAATAGTTACAGGTATGCTCCTCCGCAAAGAAAACCACCACCGTAGAAAAATACCATAACTGGTTTCTTCTAGACTCTAGTTTAAATCAAAGACGTTCAAAGTCAACAATCGAAGAACCTTTGTAGATGATTGAAAGTTTGAAGGAGTATAGACACTGAGATGTAATACTTCGTCATTGGTTTCCGTTTCAGCCACCTTTTCTGTGTTTTTATCATATTTTTTATAAAATCTTAGTCATATTAATTGTCAGTTATGAAAACAATCCAATTTGTCGAACATTGGGCGATTAATAAAAGTCTGTCCTTCCATTCGATCAATTTTGTCGATGAATCCGTCATACTGAGGGCACATTGGAGTGTTTCCAGTCCCATCTATCGTCTCGTCCCATTTACCGTAAGATACCGGCTTTGCTAAGCGTGGGCTCTTGGCAAAGGGGATTTTATTGAAATTGGCGACTTCCAAATGCAATTCTCCATCTAAGTAACAGAGAGTTTCTCTATGTTCATGATAATAATGATAAACTTGTAATTCTACGGTTGAAAAATATCTTCCAAGTGACTAAATTACCCTTTGATTTGATCTCTTCGCTAACATTCCACAGTCGTCCCCTGATTTTGCCTAGCTTTGTTTGCAGCTCCATTTTCTCGACTTTTCCTTTTGTCGTCTTTATTCGCTTCTCAGTGCTGCTCTTCGCTGCCTGAGCTTATTCAATTGTCGCTGGCGACAATTTTTTCTACAGAAAAGATCTTTTCATGATCTCTTAGGGGGCGGCCATCGTCCCGTGTCAATATTGGACGCAGAGAATCGCTGATAAACTGATCGTAATAGATTAAGCAAACTGATAGTTTACTTAAGTTTATTATGGAAGTGTGTGTTGCACAATCAAAGGCCAAAATCCCCCGAAATTAACGTTTTCAAATTAGTTTGTTTTCTTATAAAAAAAGTAAAAAGAGTCGATTTTATTATGGTTTATTTATAATCGCCTTAAAAAATTGAAATATTCAGTGGAATCAACTTGGGCGAGAGCAAGGAACTTTTGGATATCTTCGGACGGGTTTCTTCTTTTTGCTGGATCGAAGTTCTTGGCGGAGATATCTTGTCAACGGTTATTTATCTTGATTCCAATAAATCATTTCTAAGGATTATCTTTGAGTGAAAACCGAACACTTGACAAAGTGCATCAATAGGCACATGCTCTGGACTTCCTTCGGCGTTTATGTCAAAATTCATCCTGTTCGTTTCTCGCAAAAAGAGAAGTCTTTCAGTTATCACGGCCTTCTCAGTTGTTAGTAAAAGCGGGTTGTATCTGATCTGCTTGGTGGTGAAGCCCGCCTCGTGGAGCAGAAAGAAAAGTTGTTTATCTAGATCAGTGTATCGGTTCGAAGTTACATCAATCGAAAAAAGCTTTGACGTCAAACAACTAGGATTCTGAGTTGAGATGGCTTTTGCGGACTTTGGAAACTGCCTGGAAACCCTGTAACAAAGGGGAAAAGAATCGTCAGCCTCGTTCCTTTAGATTCCACTAGTGTAAAGTCGTGCATGAAGAAGATTCGGGCAGTGGCCTTTATATGCTCAGAATTTTCTAACAGGATGTCTAAAAAAACATAAATAATCGATTTGAATGAAGATCTCAGACCAGGATCGAGAAGAACCATCTTTCGCAAGTCATCGTCGGAAAAGTAAAGGGATACATTTTCTACTAGATCACCAAGATTCTTAAAAGTGTCGATTGCTTTTTGCATTCTTTTCGGAGTTTTTTAGCGCCACTTTATCATAAAGGGGACAAAAAATGTCCATTGCCAATAAACTATTAGACATTTCTGATAGAACTCTTCCTTGTTATCGGATATGTAAGGAGACCTGGACAGCGCACCAAGGTTGTCGAAATTTCATCCTTTGTCAGGCCGATTTCTTTATTCAAAAGCGCCAAGTTTTTCTTCCAGTTTTCTTCGATATACCCTCCTCCGAATGATCTCTCGGACAACTTTGGATCCAGCAACAGCGGGGCTCTAGTAATCATTTTTCCGACAAGTATGTTCGTATCCACATGATTACGCTTCGCTATCTTCAATATATTTCGAATTATGAAATTTGTCCGCGCTAAATATTCTTCCGGCTCAATCAATTGAACATATTTGGCGCCGTAGCGATGATCTTTATAAAAAAGATGACAGTTCTTCTTCATCTGCTGAATGTCGACTGTAATCTGCTCAATATAAAATTGGCAAAAGTCATAAGTATCAAGTTTAGACTTCTGGAAATATTTAAGCATTATCCTTGGAATCTGTCATGTAAATCAACAAGAATCGGGTTCCGGTTTACGTTTGTCTCCACCCTGTTAGAGTTGATTCCTATTCTGATTGATTGCGAGGAGCCTTGAACGTCAGACACATGGATAAAATTATCAAGCTTATCTTTATTTTGTCTAGACTCAGCCAGTGGGGCCATCGCTGCAGCAGATAGCTTTCCTATAGTTTGAGCATGAGAAATAGAAACTATTCCGTCATTGGAAACTCAAAAGCAAGAGAAAGACCCAATTCAACACGATGGAAAACTAACTAGTCAGCTTCGAAATCAGGAATTGTGCCACTGTTATTATGATTATTTTCACATACTGCTCAGACGATTTCCTTATTTGCAGGCACGCCGTGTTGAATGGCCAAGCCATCTTCGAATTGTAGATCGCCAAAGTTAAACATATCAACATCAGTAGACTTTCCACGGAGAGTGCTTACTCGGGGAACCCGAAATTTACGAAGCATTCTAGGAGCATGTATTTTCATTTCATTTATTGGCATCAGGGGCAGTTTTGTTCTGGATTGTTGAATTCTCGCAGATTGGTCACACAAATGGAGACATAGAAGAGTGTCAGCTGTTTTCGTGAAATTTGTCGATGTATTCCTCTTGGGCAAATGCAGTGCTACCCATAAACTCAAAATCAGCATCTCGGTTTGCCGCAAGAAGAAGATCCTCATCTCCGATTTTCATTCCGATCGCGGAATTCGCCTATTTTTTAAACTTGAAATCAAATTTTAAAGTTATCAACTAACGTGGGAGAGCACAACTTGAAGTAGCTTCTCATCTGTAACCACCAAGGGATGGAATCTGACCAGTCCATACGAGGTGGCAACTTCTGCCAATTGAGCGGAGACCCTTTCACGAATCCGTCGACGTCGAGTTTTCCTTCGCACAGGAACTTTTTGTTCTAATTTTAACTGTTTAGAAGAGCTTCAAATGAGGTAGGGATTATCGCCGCTAAAAAGGAAGCGGTCGGCTTGGGATTTACCTTTATCGGTTTCGTCGTCTGATGCATCGAGGAAAAATCTTTCTTCAAAGGAGATTTTCAGCTTGTTTTTTACGTTAAAATTTGAATATGATAAGGAACCTTTGTAGTTGGCTTGATGTGACTCGATGTTAGTTGGGGTCATCGGTCATAGGATGGGAATGTGCTTACTAGATTATTTGTGGCATTTGATTCGCCGAGATCGAGTCAAATTTTGCAAGGCGCTCTTTTAGGTCTGGCCGAGGCCGGCTCAGTCACTCATTTTTCATAAAGTCATTTCGTGAAAAAGACAAGAGATGATTAATTACTTGTGAGATGAAAAAGCATCAGAGATTTTTTGAAAATTTTGAGGGCGCTAAGAGCTGCGTTCGATCTGTATCAAAGGCCGCGCGCACTCCAGGACATTGCACCCTAGTTTTCTGCCATTCTATTTTTATCTTCGGGCGCCCTCTTTTGGCAGACCTCTATTTTAATATTCCAGAGGTTGAAATTTCCACATTCAACCCTTATTTTACAGAGCTGTCAGTTCGAGCCAGAGAATCTGTGAGAGAAAATGAATTCCGACGAAGGGGCATCTTTCACGCCCCCTGATTTCTGGGGATTACGCAGAGCGGAAGAGATGAGAAAACAAAAGGCAGAGAAGGCCAAAGGTAATATTGATAATAAAATTAACATACTAACAATATTTTTAGAAGATGCAGCCAAGCTCGATGAGCTGAAAACCAAGATGGGTGTGGACCAGGGCTGTGGTCATTTTGCAAACGCCAGGGAAGAGGGACCTGCTAGTGGAATGGATAACTCCGAAGCGGTTGGGGTGCTCAAACTTCTTAATCTGGGATGCAAGGAAGTAAACTTTCGGGTAAGAAAACTTATGTTCCATTCTCTAATAAAAATATCTTTTAGCTAGCGATGCGAGGTGAGCGCGAGGCAGTCCGCGTCTCCAACGGAGACTTCCGCCTATCGATGACCGTTTATCCTAATGAGTCTCCGTACTACCCTGAGACCGATATGATCGATTTTATGCTGAAAAAGAAAGGTAAAATTTTTCATGTTTCGAATGAAAGATCATTAATCGGAAATTTAAGGCGATCCCGACTTCAAGTTCAAGGCCGAAGTGCAGCTAATAGATGAGAACGGCGAAATGGAAATGGTCTTCCCGGATGAGGATGGTAACGATCGAATGTTCACTAGCAAAGAATCGACCAAAGGGTTCCAGCACATCTCCGACTTTGTTAATCTGCGCGAATACGGAGTGCGCCGAGGCTATCAAGATTCTTACTTGATCCGAATCAATGTTTCTGTTCTGTAAAAATCCCAGTTATTAGATTCTTGATTAGTACTGCCGGACGATAATTGAAAACCGAAAACTTAGACACAGAAAATGACGAGCCTCTTTCTTTACATTCAAGTCTTGAATATCAATAGCTTTAAATTTCTACATTCAACCCTTCTTAAATTCAGATTTCTTCTGTACGAACTTCAGAAAATGAATCCCGACAAAGCAAACAAAAAACGCAAACTTGAAGACCCGGAAATGAAAAAGGCCAAAAAGGCGAAAGGTAATTGTCTTAATGGGATTCGGTGAATAACAATTTTTCTTTTAAGCGAACAAAGCCAAGCTCGATCAGCTGAAGAGCAAGATGGGTGTCGATCAAGGTTACGGCCATTATGCTGACGCAAACGTAGTGGGTCCTGGTGGAATGGGCAAGACTGAGGCGAAAGAGGTGCTGAAACTCCTAACTTTGGGTTGCAAGGAGGTCAATTTTCGGGTAAGAAAACTCATAATAACTTCTTTCGAGAAAAAATATTTAGCTGGACATGAGCGGCGAGCGCGAAACAGTCCGGGTTACTTATGGCGACTTCAGCCTGTGGATGAAGGTTTATCCAGATGACTCCCAATACTACCGTGACATGGACTCGATGAATTTCATGTTGAAAAAGAAGGGTAATTAACTCTTGAAAATATGTAAAATAATGATCAAACTTAGGCGATCCCGACTTCAAATTCAAGGCCGAGATTCAGATAGTGGGCGCGAACGATAAGGAACTGCGGGCTACATTCCCAGATCAAGATGATTTCGATCGAGAACACTTCAGCGGAGATTGGGACAACGGGTTCCAGCACATATCCGACGAATTTCATCTCCGGGATTACGGATGGCGCCGAGGATGGTCCGATTACTATTACTTACTCCGAATTAACGTTACTGTTTTGTAAACAACTGTTCTCATTATATTTCTGACTAGAATACTGCCTAATGATACCATTTAAAAATAAAGGGCTCAACATGAAAAAATCCTTTCCTAAATCAACAGGCTCAGTAAAAACTTCTAGTCTTGCAGCGAGTCTAGGCGCCACGTCGAGTTTCGATAATACATTAACAGCTGGCAAGGCAAGGCGCAGCATTGAAGAGAGTGTCGCCAAAAGCGCTGCTGTAAATAGATGAGCGTCTGCTGCGTGGCGAGCTTCGGTGAAGTAGACCGCACATAGTCGGATGTGATTTTTCTAGGAAACAAACGGTCCTGTGAAGAAGACCAGAGAGAGGGACTACCTGCAATTGAAAGACCAGCTTTTCGACGCAATCGTGAACAGAATACAGCTCTGCCTGTCCCGGAAAGTCAAAAACTAAATAAGTCGATTTCGGAATCTTCTCGATTTCCGTCAACAGCCAGTCGATATTCTCAAGGAGGAGTTCCATGCAGTAGACGAGTGCCCCATTCGGGCCGAGGCTGAGTTCTTCCATCACATCCGCGTGCTCCACCAAAGTGCAAATGTCAACCCTGGCCTCGGCGAAAGAAACAGCCGGGTCCAAGTTGACTACAACAAACACAGTCGAGACATTTTTCTCAATAAAAGGTGCTTACTAATGGCAACGTCCTTGTTCTGTCCGATCAGATGGTTGAAGACGGCCTTAGCATAAGTAGATTTGCCGGCACCGGGTGCGCCCACTACTGCTTGTCCGAATCGGACCATTCTGAACAGCTTCTTTTTCAAATCGCTTCTTCTGTCTGCCAATTTATCCTTTCTCTATCTTTCGAGCCTCCACGAATCAGGGCGCTGCTGTTTCTGAAATGACTCACGAAATTGAACGCTTTTTCGAACCGACTAAAGTCCGAAAAGAGAACTTTTTCAGCTTCGGCGTAGCTGCTACGCCAAATTTCCGGAATAATAGCGAGAGAAATTTATCGAAGAAGATCGACTTTTAAACTATTAGATTATATGATATATTTATTTGTTTATTCTTTCAGAATGTACAAGCAGGTCGGACCTCGGATGTATGTGCCTTGGGGAGATGGTGGTGGTGGGGCGCAAGATTTCTCGCCCAAGGCTTTTCTTGTCGACATGCTTGAGAAAGCGATCCTAGGGAACCGAGTGATTTGCACAAACTCGGAGAATGGTAATGGACCATTTCAACAAATCTGCTTTCAAGAACTCTTTCAGAAAAGTCGTTTTTGATAACGAAAGTTACGACCGAGATGTTTCTACGCGGCCGGCTAGATGGCAAAATCGCCATTATCGTTTCTACAGCTGTGGACGAGTTAGATTCGTACAGACAGACCTTCACTGTTTCGACTTCAATAAGCGGAGTTGATATTGTATTAGGCAAGTCGTCGACCCGGTTAACTCACGGTAGCGTAACATGCTCTTCTTCAGACACACAAGAATTTGCCATGATAGACTTCTCGACGACGAAAGTTATCCTCACACTGCCCAAAACCGTCAAAAAACTCTTCGATTTCATTCGCAGCTCACAAAGTAAGTCCCTCGTATTAAGTTAAGCTTTCAATGTATCCTGTAGTATGCCCAGAACAGACGAATCTCACACTGCCACAATGCGGGCTTCTCATTCTCGACAATTTCGAATCCCGATCACATCACGGTCTTCTTGATCAAGTAGACGCTTTTTGCGATAATCTCAATATAGACAAGGTAGTTTCAACAATCAGTCACTCAAAGGATAATTGTGCTCAAGCCTCATACACTTGGGCTTACTTCCCATATCTTGAAAAACACTCGCTCAGCTGACCAACTAAAGAAGCAGATTTACGAACTGGAAACTAGCTCTGGCTGCAAAGTCGAGACTTCTGGCGAGTTCAGCGTTTCTGGCGTTTTTGACGAAAAAGTGATCGTTTGCGACCACTTCAACTCTGATTTGAAAATGGAGCTCGAAAGTGCAATACAGGGGCCTCTAATGTTTCTACTCTCCTGCTCCAACTTTAACAGCATGGTAGTGACAGACTATACTGGCGACGATGAAGAAGAATGCCTTTATGACATGGGGGGCGTAGACGACCAAAGTGGCAATGACAGTAGCGACAGCGACGAATATCCTCCAGAGCATCATGTCAATGATATCAGTCAAAGTACTTTGAGCGTCGATGAATTTTACGCTAAGCGTGAGGCTGACACGAGCAGTGCTACTAGTAACGAAGCTGATACTCTTGTTGAGTCAGATACTGGTGTCTCAGATTCTCTTGCAAGTAGTTACCGTTCAATCAGCACCACCGAGCGCGAAGGGGACATTACTAGTCCGGATCCGCCTGAAACAGAACCTGAATATATTGATGACTCTTCATCTCAAGAAGCGACTGTTCCTACCACAGAGATGGAGGGGTTGTCACTAGCAGGACCAAGTCCCTTAATTGCAAACGAAAATCACGTTATTCCAATGTTCCCTATCCCTGGTCTAGAATCAGATTCTGAATCGATCCCGCAAGCTCAGCTTCATCAAAATATGTCGGCAGTCCAAGATTCCGAAAGCAGCGTTGAAGAGCGCATGACTGACGAAGAAGCATACTATAGAAGGAAACATCAAGAGATAATCGAAAGAGTTAAACTTTCCGCGGCTCAGCGGCGGCAAAATGCGATGGAGACGAAATTCGATGAAGACGCTGAAGCCTCTACTTCATCCTTGACGACCTATGTAACTCCCGACTACGGCGATAGGGAGACCGTTGAACGCGAATTCGAAGGAACTGAATACACCGAAAGTGAGCTGGAAGCAATCGAAACTGCCGAGCGAGAGTACGTAGAAGAACAGGCCAGACAGTATAATCTCCAACTGGACGAAGTATCTTCGAAGGAGTACACAACACTCAATATGCAACTAACTCATGAAGTGATTGAGTATCCTGAATCAGTTTCTGATTCTTCAAGTGATTCTTCGGAGGACAGTGATTGCTCAACTTACGTCGCCGAAGAGGACGAACGCGATTATGACAATGATCCGATGGCCATACCGATCGCATTTCTCACAGAAGCGAAGCTTTTGCTTGAACAGTTAGGCCCATGGGCGCTTTATCGTTTCTATCAGACAAACATCCGTTACCTACAGCGGCGCACAAAGCAAGAAACTCGTTACAATCACATCATCGGTCTCGAGCTTCTCATGACTGCGCTGCGCAAAGTCTACGTCCTCTGCGACGAAACCATGCGCGTTTCTGGCTTCTCCCGAGATTTCGTCACTACAAAGGTCGCTCGCCTGATGGATGTTCTCCGTGAATACAAGCCAGAGGTCAAGCAGCGAAACCCGGACAGGTAATGATCTTAATTTGGTAATCTGGAAAAAAACTCAAGCTTCAAGCCAATACAACGATCGCGACGACGCCAACTATGTTAGTTGGCACAATGATCAGTGTAACGATCAAGATGATGCCGGTTCAGATGATAGCCCTGGTCCCACACCTTTCACTAACCGTCTTTGGGGATGTGTTCTCGTTAACGAAAGACCTGTCGCGAAGTACTTAGGCAAGATCATGAAAGACGCTGCGAGGGCTGACCCTGACTTATGCCACGTTTCCTGTCAGGTACTTGCCGAAATGATCTTGATTTTCTTCAATTGAAATTAAGGCTCTATGCCAATTGGCAAAGATCGACAATCCAAACGTTCAAAACGACGATGAAGATCTCGCAGAAGAGAAAAAAAAGCAAGAAGAAGCGCTCCATAAATTTCGAACACGGGAGGCAAACATTCTTATCGCGCAAGCAGAGACAGAGAACGAAAAACATCGCCATTTCGATATTCCAAAGTGCAATCTTGTCCTTCGATTTGACCCACCTGGCTCATATCTGCGCTATGACGGTGGGAAGCGACTATTATCGCAGCAAAATGACGCGCTCTATGGGATTTTGATTAACAAAGACGAAAAACTGCGATTCTGCAAACTGCTCGAAGAGTTCAAGACACTTGAAGAATACCTGAAGCACAGATCTTCATTGGCTGAAGAAGCTGGCCCCGCAGAGCTCTGTTTGGACCTTGATGTGAGTCATATATTTGAGGATATGCCGAAGGATTATCGGAAAGAAGAAATCGGTGCTGTCGAGCCCGACTACTTGGAACCAGAGGATGAACCTGAGAATCTGATCCATCCAGAAGGATGGCGCCGAAAAACTCGTCCTCAAATCAAAATCACCATGCAAAATTCACTGAGTCTACTAAACAAATACTGCAACAGGAAAGAGGTCAATTTGTTTATGTTCGAGTAAATGCTCTATGTCGAGCATTTTTTGATCATTGTTATTCGAAACTTAGAAGTATTATTAGAAAATAAATATCGGATCTCTCCTAAAGACTGCCTTGTGACAGTTTCACTCAGTTGTCAGTATTACGCAAGACGCTTCAACTGGCCGACGGAAAATTCCAAACTTCTCTCGTTCTTCCTAACAATTCCCACCTCAGAGGTATCGTCATCGGACATCCTCAAGAAACTGCTGAGTTGTCTAAGCGTTCGGCGGCCTTTGTAGCGTGTACGAAGCTCCGTATTGTTGGCGAACTCGATGATTTTCTTTTCCACACCGGCAAAGAAATTGAAAAGTACAAGTTTGAGATCGATCCCTTCCCAAATCCTCTCAATCGAAAAAGAAAGCCTCCACCTGGCCAAGAAGGCGGCCCAAAGAGGCGACAGAAGTACCCACGACATATTCCAAGATGCTTGCGGGCGAAACCGAAAGTTGGCCAAGGTGACAGTGCCCTTCCTGTTCCGGAAGGAGAGTGCTATGTCTACCGCATTTCGATGTTTTACCGCCAGGGACTTGCAGACAAGTATAACTATCGTGGACGCAAACTTCATCGTCCTGAAGATAGTTCTCAGTCCTTCGCGATCATCACTTCTAAGCCTATTCCACACACGATTCCGGGCTTTTCAATATTTGACCGGTCCGGAGAAGAAGGAGTCTATTTAGAACCAATCTATCAACAAGTTTGCTTCTCTGCTATCCAGCTGGAGGTAATAAAGTCTTTCCATCAATACATCATCCAAGGCAGAGTTCAACCCTCCTTTATTACGTAGTTTCTAAATAATTCTAATACATACATTTAAAAACTCGACAAAGACGTTATCAGAATCGAGCGACCCGGTGGAGTCGTGCAATTCAACCCAGACAAATCTCCCTGTCCTTATTTGATTGCTCCGATGGATTGCACAAGCGGACTCGACTGGCAAATCGACTGGGACTACTTGACTGAGTCTATCGCCGGCCGCGTTCTCGCATCAGAAGCCGCTGATGCAGAAAGGCGTGTGAACATTTACTCCGAAGATGATCCCTTTATCTTCTCTAAGAATGAATATCAAGATTCTGTGGTTATTTGCAGTTACCGAAGACACGACGCGCCAACTCAAAATCGATTCTACGTGGCTGAGATTCAATACGACATGGATCCTGATTCAGCATTTCCTGCTGATGATTACGAAAGCTTCCGTCAGTACTACATGCAACGCTGGTCTCTGGTTCTGACGAACGAGCGTCAACCACTTCTCGACGTGGACCACACTGATTGTCGATTAAATCTTCTGACGCCCCGTTTCGTTACTCAGAAAGGACGCGCGTTACCCGCGTCAGCTCTCGAAAAGAAGCGTCAGAAGTACGAAGATAAGGCGAATCGTCAATACCTTATACCTGAGATTCTCGATGTTCACCCAGTGCCGGCATCACTCTGGCGGAAAGCAGTCTGTCTTCCATCCATTCTTCATCGCGTCTCGTGTCTACTCGCAGCTGAAGACTTGCGAAGGCGAATCTCCCGACAAACTAAAGTTGGTCTAATCATTCCTCCTATTGGTATGTCCTTCCCTCATCTACAACTCGACTGGGAGGACCCCAAAGATATTCCTAACTCAGAGCCGTTCTGTAAACAACCTACATTGCCTAAAAACTACCCGTATTACGATCAGAAGCAATGGGAAGAAGATGAGATCGAGGTGGAAACAACGCATCTCGAATTTCCCTTTACTGCAATCGAAAGAAACACTGAACTGTCGACATACTTGCTCCAGAACGGCTGTAATCAGAAAATCGGAGCTCGCACGCCTGTTTTCACCGAGTTAGAAGGCACCCTTGAATTGCCTGATGAAGTCGGTGATTCCATAGCAAATACCACGGAAAACCCGACAGAAAATCCCACGGAAAACCCGGCAGAGAATCCCACCGAAAATAAGGAAGTTGAAGAAAGTGGTTTCGTTGAAGACGGAGACTATGTGTTTTTGCAAGCGCCGGTAATCAAAAGAGAGCTTTCAGATGAAAAGTTTGGTCCACCCTTGCCGCCAAACTTTGACACCAAAGTTCTTAGCGATACTCAGCTCGAGCAGAAGCAGAAGGAAATCGATTCAAGGGAGATCAACACCCTTGACGAAATTGAAGAAATTGTGCATGACGAGCAAGCAGAAACTACAATTGAAAACCAGATCTTGCAATTGCTCGAGCAACCTACAGTTATCGAGGAGACGGACGACGATATTCCTCTTCTTGAAGTTCCAAAAACAATTGGTCTGCACAATGTGGAAGATGTAGGCCCCACCCCGGATCAAATTCTCCAAACGCTGACTCTATCCAAATCTTCCGACGGTTTTAATCTTGAGCGGTTAGAAATGCTTGGTGATTGCTTCCTCAAGTACGCTGTCACCTGCTATCTTTATTGTAAATATGAACATCAACACGAAGGTCAGCTTTCATTCCTTCGATCGAAAAAGTTTCCAACCGCAATCTCTTTCGCTTGGGTGTCTACAACGACATCCCTGGCCGCATGGTAGCCGAGCAGTTCATGCAAAACGACACAGGCGGAAATTGGTTACCGCCAGGCTATTTCAATAAAGATCAAGCCGCGTTGGAAGAAAGCGATGAGTCTGACGATGAGAACGATTTCGAGTTCGAAAAATGCGAAGGTGAACGTCCGCGAGACTTAGAAGAAGAGCAGAGCAGTACTGAATCAGCCGACGATTTTGACGGCGAAGACATCACTATGGTCGATGAGATGTTGCGCGGCTCATCAAATCAACTTATGAGCTTCCTTGACCGCAAAAAACAGATTCCAGGCGATGAATTCGACATTTCTGTCTGGAAACCACTTGATACCAAAGGAAGACCTATCAACACCGAAGAACCTCTTATTTACAATCACTACTCCGAGCAATATCTAACTGATAAATCCATAGCAGATTGCATGGAGGCTCTTATTGGCGCGTACTTGAAAGCGACTGGAATACCAGCAACACAACAATTCCTATGTCATATGGGACTCATCGTACTTCCCTCATCGGTAAAATTATTTTTTATATACATAGTTTAACAAAGTTAGTGCTGCGAACCCGAAACAGGAAAACCACTACCTCCTTTTCTCACCCTTGCGCCGCCGATTGAACCTTTTCATCTGAAAACTTGCACACAATTGGAAAAAATGCAGAGGCTGCAGGCTCTCGAAAAGCTAACAAAGAATTACCACCTTTTCGAGAAGAAAATCGGCTACACTTTCAAAAATAAGGGATACCTTCTCCAATCCCTCACGCATGCCAGTTATCAATACAACCAGGTATATTCTCTTTTCTAGAGTCTAGACAGCTTTTAAACATACTGAAGGTGACTAACTGCTACCAACGACTTGAATTTCTTGGTGACGCAGTTCTCGACTTCTTGATCACCAGACATCTTTTCGATCATCCAACAAGGAGGTTTAGTCCTGGAGAACTCACGGATCTTCGAGCTGCTTTAGTCAACAATAATATTTTCGCTGCCCTTGCCGTCAAGGTAAAAATCGCTAAATCCTCTGTTTAATATATCCTCAGTTTACGTACCACAAATTCTTGTATGCACTGACTCCGGATCTACACAACGTTATCCGTGACTATGTCCTCTACTGCGAGTCACGAGAAGATGTAGAAGGAATGGAAGCACATCTTAAAAAAATAAGATTAGAGGAAGAAGCCGATGAAGGAGAAGAGTCGGAAGATTCAGAAGACATCGAGGTTCCAAAAGTGTTGGGTGACATTTACGAGTCTGTTGCCGGCGCAATTTACCTCGACTCTGGAATGAGTCTTGACGCCGTCTGGGGGGTAAGCGAAGAAAATAAAAGAACGCATTTTTATTGAATTCCATCAAGGTATACCGGCCGATGTTGCAAAAGTACATCGACAAGTACTCCATCAACCCGCCACGATCACCGATCCGTGAATTGCTCGAACTCGAACCGGAAACGGCCAAGTTCTCGGCACCTGAAAAACGTGCTGATGGAAAGTATCGAGTGACTGTACATATCGCAAACAATAAGGGAAGGTTTGCCGGGGCCGGTAGAAATCATAAAGCTGCAAAGGCTTCCGCTGCTAGAGCTGCGCTGAATTATCTGAAAAAGAGAGATGCCGAATTAGAGGTAAACTAGCCAAAATAATTAGTGACCTGAACACTTTTTAGGATGGAATTGATGACTAGATGCAATGACAAATAACTGCCTGCTAACTTTTACCAGACAAGGAAGAAGTTTTACCTCCTTTCGATTATATTCACTTATTTTTAACTATTTTCCCTCATTTATCTTCACCTTTTAAAAGTTCAAACTGACATAAGGATATTTTGAATACACAATAAATTACAAAACTGAGTTTCACTGTGTTAGATGATTGGCATTTATTAAGCAATATCTTTGATGAACATTATCGCTATTATTTGATTGTTTCATACATTTTTTGCAGGGTAGATGAATTAGTTCTTCTTTTTGTTTTTCTTGTTCTTATTTTTGTTGCCCACGTACTTGGTGGTGGTAGTGGTGGTTGTTGTCGGGTAGTAGCTTGTAGTGGTTGGGTAGCCATCAGTATAGAGAGCAGTGGTTGTCTCCATGGCATATGGATCCTCAGTGGTTGGTGGCTGAGTAGGGTAGCTTCCACCGCCAGTTGCGGCACTCTCTTGTTTCACACAAACAGCCTCCATTCTGTCCAAATCAAGGAGCAAGTGAGCCATTCGTTTCTGCCAGGCTCCGAGTTTAGGGCAATCAGCGAGAGAATCGTCAGCCAAAGAAGCGTTAGCGAACTACAATATTTCATAAGATTTCCGTTATCGAACAAAACGCATTAGATCATGATACTATTCACTAATCAATCGGCCCTACCTTTTCGCAGACACCCTTGAGTCTCTCGAGTTGATCTGGGTTGGCCATGGATCCGTATTTTCCCTTTCCGCCGAATTGTTCAATCTCTTGCTCGAGAGCAGTGAACTCTTCATCCGCGGAGAAAAGGTCGTCTCCGGCCTGTCGTCGTTTTCGTGAATAAGGGCCTGGTACTGGTGCATTCTTGTCGCATTTTCCACTCTCAAGGTGGAACTTGGCATCGAGGAGGACCTTCTCGATTCGATGATTGTACTTGGAGATCTTCGAGCTTGGTGGGTTGCAAACGAGAGCCTTCTCCATGTAGTAGTTACACTTGACTTTAGCGTTGCTGATCTTCTTATCGAGAGACATAGCTCGGGATCCATCGCCCGGAGCACCTTCCTGGGCAAGAGCAACGGTAAACAAAGCAAAAAGTTTCATAGTGATCGAAGGTTGATGTTCTCTGCTATCTCGTCTCTTAATTCGAGTCGAGAAGAAGTGTCTATGGTATTTGCAGCTATGCTTCAGCTTTTTATTCGCACGGGAGAGATTGAAATTTGCATGGCTCTCTGGCGGCGCCGGATAGTGGTGGTGGCGGACAAAAACTGCAAGGAAAGTTAGAAATTCATCATCCCGTCACGTCTGCATTAGATTCGACTAAACCATTTGTTACATTTTTCTCTGTATTGTGCTGATTTCACTTTAATTATAATAAACTAGGATATCTATCAAACAGTTAGAAACGCTGAATTATTTTTATGACCTTTATCACGCTCGAACCCTTAAAAAATACTAAGCTTCAGTATTGTCTCAATTTAATTTCTTCATCTGATACTGGTTTATCGTTAAACTTGCATTGTTAATAAAAATTGATTGAATAATATGATCTTTACTACAAATTATGGACACAAAACAGTTCTTCAAATTATAGAACGAGCATAGGAATAAAGAAGCAATTCGATGATGTCAGAGGTTGCATTGGAATGTCACCGATTCCCGAGCCTCGATTAGAAACTAACAAGGTAAAGGTCATTGACAGCGGGTTGTCCAGTTGCATAGCCCAAACCGCTTGGTGATTTTGACGACGAATCAATTCGCAACTTGCGACGTGTGTCTCTTTTCAGAAGAAGCGTGATTTTTAGAAGTAATACAAAATTAGGTAGGATAAAATATCGAGCACATTCTGAAATCGCGATAATTTTTGTTATATAAATATAAATTATAATGGCTTTCAACAAGTTCGATTCACTCAAATCGCAACGATGAACAAACGGATCAAATCGATTCCCTCCTGGTTGGTGCCTTGATAAATGTCGATGGCACTAATTCGCAGAAGCTCGTCTTACTCAGATATCTGGCATTCTCGCTGAAAGATCAAGTGGAAGAACTGATTCATGAACTTTTCAGGAGCTTCTTTACTCGCCAAAATGTCGATTATAGAAAAGTCGCGTCCACACTCCGAACGTTCCTAATCGATTCTCCAGACAACCTCAAACAGGCCCATGATGACGCCACCACCATGTTAAATTTTAACAAGCTAAGCGAGATAAAATTTTGACCAATTTTCAAGCCTTTTATTAAAAATGACACAGACTTTCAATTTGAATTTGAAATGGTGCTATATGATCCTTATTAATCATTTTTGAAAGGTTCTCCCGATTATTTTCTGCTAAGTGTCAGTTGCCTTTTTCGGAAATATCGTTTGAAGTGATAAGTTATTCTAGGCTGACGCTGTGCCGCTATTAGGCATGTTGAAACAGATGACCTTATATGGTGATGCCAAAGAGTTCACACCTTGATTGTATTTAAATGCATCTTCTAGGAAAAACGATCATCCAGCTTCGATTTGCTGAATATAAACTTTAAACTTTCAAGTTTTTTCAAAAAAATTTGCAAAAATGATGATGCACGATTCCGAGGAAGAAGAGGAGCAGACCGCGCTCGTTTGCGATAACGGTAAGCAACTAGAGACCTACTTCTGAGATATACTCAAAAATATAGATGAAAACTAGACTAAAATTGATCTTAAGGATCTGGTCTCGTCAAGGCTGGTTTCGCTGGTGACGATGCTCCCCGAGCTGTCTATCCATCCATCGTCGGTCGACCCCGACATCAGGGTGTTATGGTCGGTATGGGCTCCAAGGACTCTTACGTCGGTGACGAGGCTCAGTCCAAGCGAGGTATCCTTACCCTCAAATACCCCATCGAGCACGGTATCATCACCAACTGGGACGATATGGAGAAGATCTGGCACCACACCTTCTACAACGAACTGCGAGTTGCCCCAGAGGAGCACCCCACCCTCCTCACGGAAGCACCCTTGAACCCCAAGGCTAATCGAGAAAAGATGACCCAGATCATGTTCGAGACCTTTAACGTCCCTGCAATGTACGTCTGCATCCAGGCCGTCCTCTCCCTCTACGCTTCTGGTCGAACCACCGGTATTGTCCTCGACGCTGGTGATGGTGTTTCCCATAATGTCCCCGTCTACGAAGGTTACGCCCTTCCTCATGCTATCATGCGACTCGATCTTGCCGGGCGAGATCTTACTGACTACCTTATGAAGATCCTTACTGAGCGAGGTTACTCCTTCGTCACCACCGCCGAGCGAGAAATCGTTCGAGACATCAAGGAGAAACTTTGCTATGTCGCCCTCGACTTCGAACAGGAAATGGCCACCGCTGCTTCCTCCTCCTCCCTCGAGAAGTCCTACGAGCTTCCCGATGGTCAGGTCATCACTATTGGTAACGAACGATTCCGATGTCCAGAGACCCTTTTCCAGCCATCTTTCATTGGTATGGAATCTGCTGGTGTCCACGAGACTACCTACAACTCTATCATGAAGTGCGACATTGATATCCGAAAGGATCTCTACGCCAACAACGTCCTATCTGGCGGCACCACTATGTACCCCGGTATTGCTGATCGAATGCAGAAGGAAATCACCGCCCTCGCTCCATCCACTATGAAGATCAAGATCATCGCTCCTCCAGAGCGAAAGTACTCCGTATGGATTGGTGGTTCCATCCTTGCCTCCCTCTCTACCTTCCAGGCCATGTGGATCACCAAGGCCGAATACGACGAAGCAGGTCCTTCCATTGTCCACCGAAAGTGCTTCTAAGGAAAGTGCACGTCTCTAATTCCACTTTTACACATTCTGTTTCTCTTATATACTTTCTCTTTCTATCTCTTATGTCTTTTCCTCACAAAGCTTTTGTATATCTTTTAAACCTCTATCATATTCTTCTCTCTACTACTATTTTCTTTTCTATCTATCTTTTCCTTTCTTACTTTCTTCCGACTTTATAAGTCGACTTGACTGTCTAGTAATATTATCAAAATTAAATAAATCTAGATTTAAAAAACCCATAAAGAGTACAATTGTTTATTAATTGGAATAAAAAATGGAATTCATCTAGGAGATCAAAAAGGAAAGTGAGGCAGAAACATTGTCTCTTCTTCAGTTCTTCGCTCCGAGTTGTTTGAGCATCGTCATGGCTGATTTGATCTGCTCCCTGACTTTCAACTAAAAATGCAGATTTAAAAATAATACTGATTATAACTTGCCTTACCTTTCTTCGTTGGTGATCCTCTCTCTTCTTGATCCATGCTTCTCGCATCTGCTCAAGAATCAGATTTTTGCCAGCGACAGAAATCCTCAGCGAAACTTGGCTCTGACGAACGGTCATAGCGCTGGGCAGTTGCTTTCGAAGATGATCGAAATTTTCATTCTCATTTTCCCACCGCTGTTCAAGTTTTCGGACTGATGCTTTCGCCTTATTCTGAAAAGGTTCGAGCCCGGCGACTTTAGCCACTGTCTCTCCTTCTTAAGGATATCCCTTTTATCTTTATTTTTGTTTATAAAACAAAAGCGAAGAGATATCCTTTCCTTGAGTTTTTCCCAAGTTGATCATCGTTTTTCGAACTTCTGTTTTTTTAGAAGTGTTTGCAACCATCTTTTTTGTGTCAAGTCTTGATGCTTTAGAATGGAAATTTTCAATCATTCCTTTCAAGGCTTTTTTTCGGAGACAAGAATTATATAGTAGATTGGGATGTTATGAATGCATCTGAAAAAGCCATGCCTTGTTGAACTCGTCGATGGCGCAAAACATCAAGGTTGCTTTGCGATCGCGGCTTGTCTAAATATTATAGTTAGAGCTTAAAAACATTTCCGACATACTCAGAAACTCCTTAATTTCCTTGACGAATGGCTCATCCTCCTCGTCTACGAGTCTTCGATCATATTTCTTCTTGCTGCCCACGGACTTTCGGGACTCGATCCGCGACACTTTTTCAATCGGGGTTGCGAACTCCACACTTTTCCGTGTCTTATTTTCTGCTTTTCCTTTCTTGAGGTTTGACTTTCGTGGTCTCATCATTCTAAAAATACCTTAAATTAGAGTATTTCTTCCGTAGAAATCTTACGTTTCTTGGGATGAGTCGGTGCTCTCTGGATCACGCAATGGAAGAAGATCGATGCCAGATTTCTTTCTTCGAGATTGAGCAAGGAGTAACTCCTCATTCTTTTTGATTAACTCCTTGTCGAGTTCGTCCGAGTCTTCCGGAAATTTTCCACTCGATGCACAATTATTCTCTCCGTCTCCCTCGCCTCCGTTCTCATCGTTGTCGTACTCTTGAGGGGTCATGGATTCATCGCTCGCATCTTCGCTCTCGAAATTTTCTTCATCATGAATTTCTTCATCCTCCTCTTGGGAAGCGCCTTCCTGCGAAACATCCTCTTCTTCAAATCCTGTTTCACCCTCAGACCAGGGCTGGTAAATTAGCGCACTATTTTCTCTCGAAGAAAAAAAAATTAGCGCACTAATTTTTTTTTGGAGACATTTTCGCGTCTTTCGCGCCTTTAGTGCACTAAAATGACACTAATTTTTCCTCTTGGGGAAATTAGTGACTTTTCGAGAGCTGATTAGCACTAAAGACGCGAAAAAAGAGGCTCTTTTTCATCATCCAATAGGCTCTTCCCGGATGATAGTTTCATGGAAGACGATTTTGATCAGGGAAGAATTTCTTCAAACTGAAACTGCTAGATATATAAAAATCAATGCATCGTAAATATGACACAATTTAATTTTAAAGAAATTACTTATTTAGTAACAAATAAGTTGAAAAGAATAAAAGTCAACTTTTGTTGGAAATTCTTTTTGTCGAGTTAAATGATGAGGTAAGATAAGCTTTGCTAGGGTCCCTAGCCTAGGGAGGTCCTCTCCCTAATTTTTTTATCGCAGGGCCATCAGCAGCTGGATCTTCCTGCTTTTCTTCATTTTTTGCCCTTCTTCTTGTCGTTGTCCGACAACTTCTCCTCAACAGTCTCTGAAGCTAGAGCAGCCTTGACTGATACGTTCTATTTTCGTGGTCTTAAGAGCTCTTCTCAGTATCTCTATTCAGTATCTTTATTCATAGAATCATATTTATTTGATAATTTAGAAGGGAGGTCTCCTCCTAAATTCACGCTTACTTCCTTGATTTTTTAATTTAATGGGCTTGACAGCCCTTCGGGCCGTCTCAGCCCAGTTCCTTGATTTTTTTAATTTAAGGGGCTTGACAAAGGCTTGGAACACCGAGTTTCTATCATATAGCAATGTAAGTTTTTTGAGTAAAATGTATTGGGAGGAAATCTGCTTTCTGAATTACAAGGTAAGCATGAACTTGGGAGAAGATCTCCCTTCTGAATTATAGAATAAATTTGATTTTTTAAATATAGAATTATATCAACAATTCGCACAAGGCTCCTCCAGCTGCAGACTTTTGAGGACACTGAAATTAGTCAAACAATGACAAGAAGAAGATTGACAAGAAAGGGAAAAAGCAGGAATAACAAGCTGCGGATGGCCCTTCAATAAAAAAAATTAGGGAGAAGACCTCCCTAAGAAAGCTTATCTTAGGCTAAAAGTCTAAGCTTATCATTCAAATCCAGCACAAAAAGAGTTGCAAACAAAAGTTGAATTGTATTTTTCCCTATATAATATAGGCTATATTTGTTACTTTATATTTATAAAGAAAATTAACAAATGAATTGACAAAGTCTTTTTTGACTTCATATTAAAATTCACGCCCTTAATTACCCAATCCACTTGATTGAAACCAAACTTTTTGAATTTCTAATATAAGCGAAGTTTGATATTCTCAAACTTACGTATTCTTTAGAATTAAAGAGCCCGCGCTCATTGGCGGGCCAATCAGCAGCCCTTATTTTCGACACTTTTCGAGACACACGCGAAAGAGACGCGAAAGTCACTAAAGTCTCGACAAAATAAATTCGCGCACTAATTTTAGTGCACTAAAAATTTTCGACAGATTTTAGGACGCGAATTTACCAGCCCTGCCTCAGACTCTTATACGCATTATTTTTATGGGCAGTTTTTGGACTTACCATCTGAATTCATGTCCTCGAAATTCTGAAGATCAGCGGTCATGTCGCCTCCTTCGAAGTCTTCCAAGTTGAAACTGTCGTTGAACGAAGGCATCTCTGGAAAGTCGTCCATATTGAAGTCCATATTCATATCGAAACTCTCCATGTTGAAGTTCTGAAAAGAACTAACTACCCGTAGCCCGCTCTGTAATCTGTATCTTACCTCCATGTCGGGCATCGACGGCATATCTCCCAAGAAATCATCATTTCCTTCCATTTTGATCGTCGAGCTTTATTCCAAAAAAGGCGATTTCTCTTTGATTCAGAATGAAGTTTTCTGAAAAAGTGACCTGCGCCCGGCCATGTGAGGATTTATAAAGCCCTCTCGGCTCGAAATATTTTTTTCGGAACGCAAGTAGCTGCGCTGCCTTGAAAGGGGTATTTTCACCTTGGAGTTTATTAATTTTTGTTAAGAAAATGGGTTTCAATATTTTTGAAAATGTCGTTTCGAGTTAGCGACCTTTCATCTTCGGACGACTCTGCGATGCTCGTGACTAGAAACATACTTTAATCATTCATTCTTCGGAATATCGCAAAAGTCCTATTCAATCTGCTAACCTTCAGAGAAGCTAGTTGCGCTTTAATAGAGTTCTTAAAGCTTTCAGCAAGCGTTGTCTTGGAAGCGTCTCGCTTTTTCTTGTTACTTTCGCCAGTGACTAGACAGCAAAAGATTAACTTAATGTAACGCCGACTTCCAAGATGGAATGGAAATCGAGTATGAGTATAATCTGACAATTTCTTATCTTGACGTAAATGAGAGTATTTGATGCGCGAGTCGTTCGTCACGTGATGGAAACGCGTCGAACATCTGCAGCTCGATCATTTACGGAGGGTGGAGTATTATGAACGGAAAACTACGACTCTATTTTTTTTCATCGAATCACCTTTTGGGGAAGAAACTTTCTTCGTAAGCTCTGTCTCCTTCTCATGCGAACTCGCTTGCTTCGCATCTAAAAAAAACATTAAAATCTCAAACAAAATCCGTGGCCCTACCATTATAGAGTTTGGCACTAGAAATTCGCCGCTCGCGACTTTTTGATCTGCATCTCGGAGTTACGACTTCGCGTTCAACGGTAGCTCTTGTATTCTTCGGTGTGAGGACGTCTTCGATGTCAAAAATATCTCCTTCATTTGATTGTCGAGTTATGACAAATGTTTTCTGCAAACAGTTATTGCTTTCTCCTCTGAAACGAAAGCAGTTACCTGGCAGCCTCTACGAGTTCTATTACGTCGGACTTCTCGTCGCTCAGGCGGAGAGATATTACCTTCGTTTTCCGAATTCCAGGAGTCATGAGCACTGTTCCTCAGCGTTTGACTGATGGGACTCATTTTCGTTGATCTTAATCGGAGTTAACTTCGTCTTACAACTTCAGATAATTGCCTCAGATTATCCAACTTGGGAATGACCATTTGAGTCCTTGTACCATGAGTAAAGTGGGTAGAATTTGTTGCGCGTTGTCCAAAGTCCGTCGATAGCGCTCTAGAAGAGTTTATTACACACGTGACTACATAGTACATAAATGACTCGTTGTGATAAGCTTCTAACAGGTGGTAAACGTATTTCTAACGTGTACATTATTAAGCTGCTAACTTTTTAAAAATTCTCCGAAAAAAGAATTTCGCTTTGAAGACAAGTGGTGAATAAAGAATTCCATTTTCTGGTGGATTAGAAAACATGGAAGAACTTAGCAAAGTCAATCATACTCGCGCGGTCCTTTTCGATCCACAGCTAAGTGATAAAAGGAGCATTTGTGCTGCTTCCGCTCATTTTAAACATTCCATACACAATTACCTGGCCGCATTTTTACGTTCTCTATTGGGTGTGACTGCAAGTTCCCTGCGCCGCTGCTCCTCGATTGTCTGTTTGAAGAATCCAAGTTTCTCGTCGAGACTTTTGCTTACTGGTTTCACTTTGAATTTTCTATCTTGTCGGGTTTCGCCCGGATTTTGAAACATTCGATACTGTTGTGAGGATGAACGGAATCTTGTTAAAAAACTGAACTTTGCGACAAAAGGTCAAGTTCAAAAGGGTGCTTGAATTTGATCATCCCAACAAGCCAATTTTGTGGCTGTGTCATAACTAGCTTCTCTTGACTCTCTTTAGAAAATTTACTTGCTGATGATGCTAATTAAAATGCTATGACTGGCCTGAAGGGAGTGAGTAGGCCATTCGCTTCTTTTAAAGGTAGTAGTTCATCCCCTCGTCAATCAGCTGGAGGCAGCTGCCCCTGGCCGCAGGGGCAACTTGAAAGTAAAATTGCGAAGTTTTACAACTCGGTGACACGGCACGTGGCAACTGCTCACCCATTTTCGAAGTAACCTGTAATGTGAACTTAATTCTACCCAATAACTTCCTCAGCAAATGCAGGCTTCGTATCTGTTAAATATCTGACTCTGGAATGTCTAGAAAGTAACTCCTTCGACTTCATCTTCTAATTTCTTGTAGTAAACCTTAGAAAGCATACGAAATTGTTTAAATTTTAAAAACTAAAAGAATTCTTTTTACTATTTTTCATAATGTTTATATCTGATCATTTCATCTTCGCAATTAAAAATGTTCATCTTGAAAGAAAGTGACATTTGAGGTCTCGTCGCCCCTTTCCAAAAGTAGCTAAGTAACGGAACGTAATAAGGCTAAATATACGAACTGACGAAAAGCGCTACCTCTGGCTCATCTGAATATCATTTATCAATAGTTCCACGCGTGTGATTTCAGCACCTACCCATCTCTTTTCGGGACGTTAATATACTTGATATATAACGTCCTGTTAGTAACAATCTTTTAATGACAATAAGCGGTTAAGTTGCAGAGTACCGCCTGTTTTTTTTTGCATTTCGGTCAGCTGCGGGCATATGCGCGTGTGCGTGTAAGTTGATTTCTCATTTCTACCGGGAATGAAATATCGATGATCAATTGGTGGCGCTGAAGAGTCCTCCTTTCCGAAGACGAGGGAGTGTGTCTTTGGGCACTCTCCCCGCGCTGCCGAGCACTGTATCTTGTATCAGAAAGAGAGAGAGAGAGAGGCAAACATAGAGAGAGATAAGTAACCTCAATTGCAACGACTTTGACTCATCTGGCCTTCTTCTTCCCACGAAAAAAATATGTCGGATCAACCTCTCTCCCAAGGCGAGGAGAACCAACCGTGGGTTTGTCTTTGCGTTATGCAACTAAAGTCTCCTTCAGCTCATATGGCACCAATGCAAATCAAGCGCCGAGTTCAAGTAGAAAAATGCAGGCAACCAAAGCACAAGTCGACGAGGTAAGCACTTTGATGTTCTAACAAGATCAACATAGAAAAGATATAAAATTAAGAAAATGTAATCCGATCTTATATTGAGTAGAATAGAACAAGAAAATGAACGAAGGAAATATTATTACTCCCAGAATCTCGTTTTTATTGCTTCGAAGAAATCTTTCTCGTCTTACAAAATTATTTGCAGAGTTTATAAACATTTGTTATCGTAAAATTGAAGGTGTAACCGAGCTAAGAGCAGTACGTGCTTAAAGACAGAGTGAGCAAGGAAAGAGCAGGAGAGTGCACTCTTCTCAGAAGAGTAAGCGCAAAAGAGAAAGAGAAGGAGAGACTGCATAAAGCGCGATGCAATCGATCGCTGGTCGATACAGCGCCATAAGGCTAATGAAGGAAACATCTTTATAGCTTGCTAGCTACTAGCTTCTACCGATTCGTCAAGGTGTTATGTCGCCAATCAAGCAATCATTTCCTCATTGATAACATAAAAATCTCATTATTTTCCAAGAAAACGTAGTAAATATCATAAGTCATTAAGGATTAACTCCTAATTAATGAAAAGCTTTTTATGGAATATCTTTTAGGTGGTGGATATAATGAGGACAAACGTGGAAGCAGTACTCGAGCGGGACGCCAAAATTTCAATGATGGACGATCGTGCGGACGCGTTACACCAGGGAGCAAGTCAATTCGAGACGCAGGCGGCGAAGCTAAAGAATAAATTCTGGCTTGAGAATATGAAATACATGATCGCTCTAGGAATCGTAGCATTGATCGTCATTGGGGTTGCAGTGTGTAAGTACACTCTTTCTTTTCCATTGTCAGATAGTTGCCTGATTATCGATTATTTATTAATCAAATCAATTATTCCGACATTTCAATTCAATAAGCTATTCATGAGTTCGCAGATGATCAAAGTGTCGTGCTTTTCGCTTAACAGAATTATTCAGATAATTACCAGGATAACAAAGAAGCAATCCAAGGTGCGATGAATGGCCAAGGTTTCGGACCAGCTCCAACTCAGTCGGCGGGAATAGTGCCTACTCTGGCTCCATCTGACGTAGGAGCTATGGGTGCCGGCGGCGGCGTGCCCCAAGGACCAAGTTCCATGTCTGCACCGGAAGCTCTCGGCCAGCCTGGTCAGCCCTCAGAAAGCGATTCTCTTGCCTCTGGAGCAGGTAGGAATAATGTGTTGACTCAGTGAACAATACTGATCAAGGAAAAAGAACAGTTCCGCAATTAATATTTAGAAAACGATGACGCTGTCGTCCCTAATGCTTCCCCTACTCTTTGAGGAGAGATCCACTGGCTTTTTTCATTTATCCAAACCAGTAAAGATAATCGGCCCCTGTCATAGTCACATTATTCCGTGTGCTCAATTAATTAACATCAATATTTAAATTCTCTGCTTCACACATGTTTTGACTGTGATTACTGTACAAATTTTACTAAGAATTTATTTCTGTCATCATAATTATCAAACACTCACATTATCGATAAACTATTATATTAGGTGTCCTATAATTTTATAGCAAAAAAAATAAAATCACAACCAAAAATATGCTTTCTCTTCCTTGATTCCAATTGCTCCGTTCTCCAATACTATTTTCAATTCTCATAACGAATAGAAACAATAGAAACCGTTCTCAGGTGTAAAAACGACCTTTTGAAAGAATATTCGAATAGGGCATTTTATTCCAAAATTTAGCAAAAGCTTGTACTCAATTTGAGGGACGATTCATTTATCAGTCTAGTTCGATTAGCATTAGCAGAGTATCGTCCCAAGGAATGTGATGACGACTAGCTATCAAAGGCATCCAGATTGGACGTCTGTCACTGTTGCAGACAAAAATGTAAGAGAGAACTGCTTCCGGATAAGTAAAAGGTTTTAGTCTTCTCGTATGTTGATTTTATGGTTGCTCGTGAATTGATAGTCAAGCGAGAATGCAGTCGCATGATCATGGCATTGAGCACACATTTAATTTTGACGTAGGTCTCGGCAATTATTATTTTGTGTTCTCAGTTTCAAATTCTGGCGTTGCGCTTGTTTTGTGGCCCGTGTGCCTAAACTTGCCTTGCTGGCTGAGTACCATATCAAATAAAAGGGTCTAGGCAGCGTGTGCCCAAGCAGGTTCGTAATTTTTTACGAAAAGTCAAGTGTGGTGTAGTGTGGTGGGCCGCCTTTCGTAGGTAACGCAAAACCTGCAAATATTAACCCTGTGCCACCTAGGCCAGGAGCGACCGCACTCGCCCAGGGCGATTCAGGCTTTAGTTTAGTCAATGTCAACCGAGACCATTATTACGAAAAACTAGAACCGGCCAAGTCAAAGAGACGTCCAATTCACACGCTCGAGGCAAAAACACGGCCGAGAACGCTTAAAACGTCTTTTTTTAAGGAATATTTCTGCCAGGAACAAAACTAAGAGATTAACCTTCTCCATTGTAAGTTGCTTAACATTTTCGGCCATTTTTAACTTCAAGTCGAATTCCAAAATTTACTAAAAAAGAAGATCTACTAGGTGTTTGAATAAGTGATTAAACGTTTTGTCAAATAAATTTTCCCTTTTTATGAAACGTCAGTCAGATAATTCTTTCAGAAAATAATGATTTTTGGAGGTTTTTTTGATCTTAATAGATCTGATCAAAACAGGTATGCATTTGAAGCGGCTTGCTTAGCTCTTGTTGGTAATACTTGTTCGTAAATACGCAACCTTAGTGTTAGTTTTTCGCGTGCGTCCGCGAGTGTGAATAACGGTCGTGATTAAATCCTGGTTCACGGTCCGTGCCTCCGAATGAAATTCGTCCTTGGCTTAGCTTAACCTATTTAAGTTTACGGCCATGAAAAAATTAAAGAAAAAAGGGGCGACACTCACTACTTTACGTTTAAGTTTTTCTTTTGCAGATAAACTCCGTTGCCGAAGAAGCTAAAGAAATAACTGGAGATGGCTCAACCGGAGCTTTTCCATGCTGTCTGCTGTGGGGATGTTGTCAGCGTTTCTAAACATGTTCAGGTGAGCCCTAGGGATTGTTATTTCAAGCCCTCTAAAATAATAGAGAAGTTTTATCGATGCAGGTATTTTGACAAAAGAGAAAGACGGGAATATCATACTCCATCTTTGTTTGACTTCAGTCCTCCTATTTCATGTATAGAAAGCTTAGGAAATCCTGAACCCAGATTCTCGAATCGAATGAAAATCACACTGGAAACTCAAAAGCGGAAGGCTCCTGCTTCAATCCCAAATATTTTCCAGAAAAATTGACTCGAGTTTACATCATTTCTTATACCAAATTCTCATAATTATGATTATACAGAGCATACTATACACTATTCTAAACAGTAAACTTGAATATTCCTATGCAACTTATCAAACGTATTCACATAATTTAACTTTAGCGTGCGTCTATCAACGAACTCAACGACGCAGGGCTAGCAGTTGTCCATGGTATGGCTGCCGTTTGTCCAAAAGAAGTCATCAACGCTGTGGCAATCCTTTTGGGTTTGAACGCAGCTGATTTTAACCTTCCGGCGGAGGTGAGTTTAGATCGCTTTTTATCATGGAATCTTCGATTAAGAATTTTAAAACCAGCACAGGAGTTCCAACGCTCCCTTTCCCCGATTTTTTTGTAGGCTCATCTATAGATGGATATTTCCACTGATTACGGAAAAAGTTCTAGCTGCTAGGCAGCGATAGGTCTCAGCCTCCAATCAATCCGGAAAGGAATATCGATGAAATTTAAGCAATAGGCACAGGTTGAGGGGCGCGAGCTGGCACACCTGAAATTGACTTTGCGCGATTGTTTTTGCGCAAATACGCACAGTGAAAGGAAGCCCTTCGCAGTTAAGGTTAATGATTGAGCCGGGACTCGGGCTTTGTACCTTGTAACTACGATCAAACAAAAGCCTAGGCAACACAATGCACACATTTCGCGTCCGTTTATTTCACCACGGCCAAAAGCACTAGCCTAGCCAGCACCTTACAGCACCTAGTGTGCCCAAAGGAATGCTTAATTACACATTTATCCTCCTTGCATCTTGAACGAGCCTCGAGAAGATCGTAACTTTTCCCCAACCAAAACAGTCAATTCTTAGTAAATGTCCTCTTAATTGTATTTCGATTATTTTAAGGATGGAACCGGATCACCACCTGTTTTCTTTGCTTGTCGAAGTTTGACTCCGGGGTCTGCTCTTGCCTGTCTGAAAGGATTGAACGCCAATATTAATGTTAAGAATAATCGGAACCAGGTAATCTTTGATAGAGTCTAGTAGACCCAAGAAACAAAAGGGGCTTTCCTCGGAGGAGTTAGACGGGGGCTAAATAATTTTCAAAACTATAATTTTATCCTCAAAAAATCAATAAGGTTTTCCTATCGAGGATAATATTATATTTCTCATTTTCTGAATTCTTTCAATTTAAATCAATAGCTAAAATGAACAGTAACCAGTCTACTCGTATAAATCAATAATTTTTATAAAATGGTTGATTTTTATATGTATGATAATCCTAATAATTTTATTTTAGACACCTTTCCACTATCTTCTTTCTGAAGATAGCAAATGTAATGACCTTGAAGAGCTCAGGCACGCAATGGAGCTTCTACTCCAATCTGAAGTTTCACTGAAAGACAAATGCAGCGAAGGCATTTCTGGAGAAGATCTATTAGAATTACTCCCTCCTCCAAAAAGAGAAACAGCTCAACTTGTGATTAAAGCTATAGAAGAGTCCCGAAAGATAAAAGAAGAGTCAAAACCAGAGGAAAGCAAAGAGAACATTGAAATCAAGGAAGACGCGAAGGATGTGAATATAGAGGATGACTCTTGTCAGACGACTGAGTCGCCTTCGTCCATGGCAATAGAGGAAATTGAAACCGCCTCTGAAAATAGCTCTGGGAGGAAAGTGATTAGATATTATTTCTGTTTACATCCTAATACTTCGTTCAAATAGTTTCAATACTTGACCCGGGTTTCCATTCATTTTATGAGTAAAACTGAGTAGAGACGTCATTGACTTATAACCTGACAGGGGAAAATTATAGGTATGTGGAATTTTTTTTCAAAATAATGTATAGAGCGACAGGAACAGCGCCATCAACATGACAAAGACGCGCTCTTTAAAAAGTGTCCCTGTTCCAGAATGATTGAGATGTTCGCTTACCAAACTGACTTTCATAAAATGTTCAATCACAAACAAAGTTTCCTTGACCCATCACAGCCATTGATTGATGTGCAGAATCAAGACGCACTTCTGAGACGCCTTCTCATTCGCCAAAATTTGCAAGAGTTTGTTCTATCACAGGTAAAAGCCCAATAAAAATAAAAAAAAATAACATTTAACTTGGATAGCTCGCACTATCACAGCGGCTGAACAGGGGCTTTGGAGGAACTCAACCTAGCCAGCCATCTACAGGAGCAAGTCCTCAACCTGCGAGCCAGCCGACACTCGTCCAGCGATCCTACGACAACAGGCCAAGTGTTTACAATCGACGAATAAGTTCCGAGCAAGCTCAGCTTCCTGACGGGCGACTCTGTACACGTGTTCCTGCTCGCAGATGGAGCAAAGTATGATTTGAAGAAAGTAATCTAAAATCTAACTTATTTTTAGCGAGACTCAGATTGGAACAATTTCCAGTATACGTGTGACTTTTGTCCTATGTTTGGCGACGTTCGAAAATATCGAAGAAAGGCTGAGCTCGTTCGTCATCAAGCTCTACATTTTCCAGAGCAGGCACGCAAATTCAAATGCGCTCTTTGCAACTACTCCGCCACACGGTAAGCAGATAATTCTTGCGTAGAAATAACTGTTCGTCTAGGAACGAGTACCTCAAGTCGCATATGTCAAATCGCCACGGAATAGTGCAGCCTAAAGATTCCAAGCGTTCGAAACATTCTTCAACTCCTTCGCTGCCCTCGCTGGAAAATGGTGACTAGCTTAGATTGTTTCCTTTCTCACATCTGACAATTCAGGCCTGTCGTTTCCAACTATGCTGCAAATACCGACTGCTGATTCTCCAGGCTGCTCCTCTTCGAATGACTTGAGCATGAGCAATAGCGTCAGGTCGGAAGAAACAATGCACGAGCACGGGACGAATTCATCTCAGTCAATCTCCGATGACATCAACTCACAGCGAACGATTTCAAGCAATCACTCACCATCGTGGACAGAACCTGAGCCTCTCAAAATCGAAATCATGGAGAACTGATTCAAATTTTTTCTTTAAAGAAATTAAAAATGTTGTCAAGCACTGAAAACAATCTGTTTATAATATTACTTCATTCGAGACCCTGCAATTGAAAAATACAGTGAATTTGATTGCGAAAAGAAATATTTTTGAATGAGTTTGTTTTAATGTTGGATTGTACAATTCTGATTCATGTCTTGCTGCTGTGTGGATTCTGCTGAGCACTTTTTTCGATGAATCCACCTTGATTCTGGATATTTTGTAAGAGAAGCCACTTGGTATGCTGAAATCGAAAGAAAAAGTAATGAATTGATGCTTCTCAATTTTACCGCATCGACGTCATTAGAAGTGAGCGAATCTTTCCTTTTCTCCGAGCGGGATAATTCATCTGCGCGCTTCATACTCTTCTTTCGCCCACTGTTTGAGTGGCTCATACCAAGTTCATTTCAAATGTCATCTTGCCAAACTTTCGTAAACTTTTATTTGAGCTGCGATAAGAAAAATAGCTGAGAATATGAACGAGAATGTTTGAACTTTGCCTAGGCGCAGCTCCGCCGAAAATCTTCGCCCAGTAAAGCTGATCGTTGTCTGGTCTAAAATACAGTCTGTTGGAATTAAAATAATGTTTCTATATATTTTAACTCGCCATGAAAACAAGTTTACGCTTATGATAGATAAATTTCGGAAAGGCCGTCGATTGAAGAGTAATCAGAGTCTGATTATCAGACGATCATTCTTTTTATTGGTAATTTTAGTGCATCAATTTGACTACTTATTAGCGATTACACATAATTCTAACCGATTCGATGGTGAGTTTGCAGCTTCATTTGAACTTTCGCTTTGTCGATTCTGTGGTCTCTCCATTTTCCCGAACTCTCGACTGGATTCTTTAGCGTCTCTTTTGCGAGTAGCCGTGAGAATTGCTCTGAGGATCTATAAATCGAGCAGCTCGCATGTCTATCGGTAGTGATGAAATTTGCAAAACCATTTCATTATTGACTCAGACTATCTAAAAGCTATATTTTTTACGGGCCCAAATTTTTGAAAAATAGGCTTCAATCCAGTAAGCATGGGTTTTTGAACGGAACCAATAGTTGCTGGAAATCGTTTCCAAAAGTCCGATTAGGAAGATTGTTATAATTTATTCTTTACGTTTTTAAAATGAGATTTATCTTGGAGCACTGGGTTCTATGCTTTCCGTTTAAGTAATTTTATCCTAGAAGGGCCGCGTTTTCCGTCGGGTTGCCTTTCAATCAAGGAGGCAGATTTCAATTGACTTGAAATTTCACAAATTCCATATATGGTCCACATAATATGGAGACAAAGGATAAATGTCTGCAGCGATTCCAAATGAGTTTCTGGTCACGAACGACGTTTCCGATTGAGAAGTCGGAGCTTTCAACGCCTGAATAGATCGCAATCGTCGCCGATTCAGGAACTTATGATAATAGCTTTATGATTGCATCTTATTCAAGTCATGATTTCCGCTAGTATCAATTGCTCGCTGTCGCGATTTCGATTTTGTCACTATCGAAAATTCCATCTAATGAATGGTTTCCTCTTCTCCTAATGGATATCATCCGATGGCGTCGTCAGTTTTCCGCCGCTGATTCGATGGGTTGAAAATTTGGCCGCAATGAGAGATGACTCCCAGGTGCCAGCAGTGACTTTTTCCCTTTTCCGCGCGGTGTTCCCTTTTTGGGGCCCCGCGCTGCGAATTTTCCAGATTTTTCCCAGAAATTTACCCTAGTAGCAAGACAGAGACTTATACTAGAGATAGTTTTATGACTGTTACACCTTTTTCACTAAAGAAAAGATAATCTTCCAAACGAGTTTTTCAGACTGGAATATTCTGTATTTAGATGAAGATCACCAAGAAGCTCAAAAAGTTTGAACACATCGTTTGGTTTGCCTTGATCTGTCTCACCGGGAATGCGACGGATCTGTTTCTCAATCAAGTAAGTAACAATCATTCAATCTAAATTGATACGAATATCAATGATTGCATAGTATCCTATCGTCTGGGCACGAGCGTCATGGGGCAACATGAAGCAACTCTGCGAACACGTCCAAGGACCAGGTTTATTTTTTATGCACGCGATTTCATAAAATATGATCAGCATTTCAAAAATCGATTCGTGAGCAAGGGGAGAGGATTCTGCAGTTTGAGCGTCTTCTTGAAACCAAAATGAGCAAAAAATATGCTCCAGACGAAGAAGAAGAGGCAAGAATCGCATTCAAACACGACCAACAACGTCTAACAAGTGAACAAGAACATCTTGACAATGTAACGTACCAATAAGTTTTACCCTATTAATCTGAAAAAATAGGCGGAAGGATTGGACAGCCGCTGCCAAAAGATGGTTGTTTCATTCGAACGACTTTTCGTCAGGCGCTGCGAAGAATATAACCACAGTAATTACTTCTTCGTATGCTTGTCTATTGTTGGATGTTTTTGGTGCGTGGCATGTAAGTGAGACCTAAGAATCTCTTTTTCCAGGAAAACTTTTCAGTTCTTCACTCCAACCCGAAGCCGAATTTTGAGACCTTCAAGAGCATCAAGTTTACATCTGCGACTTTTTGCGCGATACTTGTTGCCACTGGAAACACCTGGAAATTTGTCTATATCATTGTTCTCTGGGTTGAAGCAGGAGACGGTCTGGTAGCCAAAGTAAACCCTTACCAAGAAGAAGTGGAATACGGCAAGCACCCCGCGCCCGAAGAAATCGAAGTGAACTGCAAACTCGACTACATACGGTAATATTAACATATTTTCAATCAAGAATTAAAGTCCGATTATTTAAGGTTCAACGCGTATATCCACGGGGTAACAGCCATTAGTTCGCTTATGATTCTCTCGGCGTTTATGTACATGCTTTTTGTAAGTCGTTAAAGCTCAGATTTTTCTTTTATAGAATTATTCAGAAAACAGCTAAAATATACAGCAAGAACACGGATTTGGAGAAAGCGCCCAAGAACAGTCGTAAGGAGGAAATCGAGAAGATTGAGCACGAGAAAACAGTGAAGGAAGCGAAAAAAGCATCTAAGACCCCAAAAGCTGGAGAAAAGATAGTCAAACAGAACGATGATAAGAAGAATGAAAGTGGATGGAACTCAGGAAGTAGTAATTAAAACGTATTTTTATTATACCTTTATATTTCTAAAAAATATTATATGCGTATTAATTTATGATCGACAAATTTTAAGACTCACAAAACGACAACAACGAAAGCACTCAAAACAACTCTCACGACTGGTAGCAACAATCATCCGCCATAAAAACTATCACTGACACCGCCAGAGTTAAAAATACACTATGAAAACATTGAATCCACAAATTAGTAGTACATGCAGCGAATTCTTTTCTTTATGAATTGAGAGTTCATTCATCCGAGATTTTATTGCAGGGCTGGGCGTTCACAATTCCGCTCACGTGGTTTGGTCTTGTAGATTTTTTCTTTGTTGAAACTTGTAAAAAACTCCCAGGCTTCTTAGAAGTTCAAAGGTTATGTTATCCAAGAAGTAGATAATTTTGGCGCAAAAGCGAACCGATGTCGCAATAGCCAGGCAAATTTTCTCCCGAAATTTCCCTGCCGCTCTCGTAAAAAAGATCAAAAGTATAAGGAAACCAGTTGAAACCGGCACTAGTTTTAAGGAACACGTGACTTGAAAAAAAAAGAAAAAGAGCCAAAAAAGGTTTTTCTGAGGATAATCGATCGCTTGGTCGACGCCTCCAGTTCAAAAGAAAGAGAAACGAGGAATAAACTTGAAATATATTCCTGCCACTGTCAAAGAGTTAGAAGATCAATTGAATTTCTTATTGCACAATACAAATAGTAAGTAAAAACAAACAGCTTTTTACAAATATTAACAGAGGAAAAATGGCGCGCCACAATATGAACCCCAAATTATGTTGAGGAATTTACTGCGATTCAGTGGTAAACCGAAAGTAAGCAATTTACTTTTGAATACTAAGAACACTAGTGAAATCGAAGTGAATTTCGAGAGACACAAGGCGGAAATGATCGAAGAAAGTGTTCATAAAATGAATTGGCCGTTTCGTGAATCAGAAAGAATAAATTCATCTCAATATTTTTTCTATCTAATCTCTAGATCGATTCAACAAAAAATCATTTAGGTAAGAGCTCCGATAAGACGCCTTGCACTGGCATTATCCAAGATGGACAAAGAGACAGAATTATCAGAAAAAGCCTTCCAACTATGCTCCAAATTCCTTTGTGGCGAATGGAAAGAGCGCAATAACTTCAAGCGTATGTTAAATTGAGATTCACTGAATTGAACATATTCACTCAGTCGAAGAATTAAACGGGGGACTCACAAACAAACTCTATATTTGCAGCACTACAAATCAAGAGGGATTAACGAAAAAAGTCGTCCTTCGAATTTACGGCTTGATCATGCAGGTATACCTAGACTATTGACTATTTACTAGAGAACACGTGTGCACAGACGCATTTTTCTGTGGAAGCAAAGTCTGTCCACTCGTGAAAAAGCATGTTAGAGTGTTGACCATGTCTAATAGACGTATTGCATGTTATGTTATATTCAGTGACGTGATTATTTTAGGCGTCTCGTAATTTGAACGTAAGTTGCTTCGCGTAAATCATTGTTATCTCGTCTGTGATCGAGCTGAAAGTTTGTATGACAACTTATGTGACTTATTTTGTATCTACAACGGGTGTTCGTAGGATGTGAACGCGCAAATAACCGAATCTGTTGTATTCGCTATTCTTGGACAGAAGGGACTTGGACCCAAGCTCTATGGTGCCTTTTCAGAAGGAAGACTTGAGGAGTACATTCCCGTAAGTGCAAATATATTCGACTTGCCTTTCATTTGCTTCGAAGGGGCGGAATTTGAGAACGGCGGAATTACAAGTGCCTGAGATTTCCACGACTGTGGCGACGCGTCTGGCGGACTACCATCGCCTTGAAGTGCCTATGTCTAAGGATCCTATCCTTTTAGAACAATTTCAAGGATATTACAACCGATGCGAGCAGCTAGGCGTCAATATGAAACCATACAAAGACCCGTTTAAATTCTGTTGCCAGCTTATCCAAAATACAAAATCGCCGATTGTTTTTTGGTAAGCATTTAACTAGGTCGATTAAATGAAGCTTACCCGTGATTAAGTCATAACGATTGTCACGAGGGAAATATTCTGATCGACCAGGAGAAGATCAACAAGGGTTCGTCGATGACTGAGTCCCTGCGTCTGATCGACTTCGAGTACTCGGCCTACGGGTTCAGAGGTGAGTTCAGCGAGGTCAATAACTTTCATCGCTGCACTTTTATGGTGCCATAACTGCCAAGACTGCTGAGTAAACATTTGTCTTTCAGGCTTCGACTTTGCCAATCATTTCAACGAGTGGATGATGAACTACAGTAATGAAGAATGGCCTCACTACTTCTTCAACCAGAATGATTTTCCCAGCAACGACCAGCAGAGGCGTTTCATTCAAGCGTATCTTCAGCAGCAGGGCGATCTATCAGAAGAAAACATTAACAAAATTCAGGAGGTGAACATTCTCATATCACCAATTTTTAAAAGCTGATTTTGAAGGAAGTAATGGAGTTTGCGATGATTGGACATGTTTACTGGTCACTTTGGTCGGAAATCCAAGCGAAAGTGTCTGATATCAAGTTCGGATACGTAGAATATGCAAATGATAGAATGAATGCTTTTAGGTAAATCGTAGCAATGAATATTACTCTTTACGAAATTTAGAACGCTGCTAAATACAAGGAAAATCTCAAAGTCAGAAGAAACTTTGCGGGGGCCGAACGAAATTGCTGTCCACTAACATCAAGGGCAAAACCGAACAAGAGAAACTCTGTTGAACAAGTATTCATAAAAAAAATTTCTGTGCTAAGTCTTGGATAATGCATCTACTTCAATTATCAAAATATAGAATATTTCAATTTTCAAAATCTTTGCTTTTTATTCAATACAGAAATATAGAAGCCATAGAAAACAAAGCAAAATGTAAATTATGAGGAAAGGAAAGCGGCCTGGAATGTGTAAGGGGATGAACTCGAATTCGTCGTTTTCTCCAAGAATAAGAGCACTGAAATTGCATGATAAAGACAATAATTTAATAAATGTTAGATACCCATATGCCATTTTATAGACTCCCATCCTGTAGGAACACGTGGGCATAAGAATTTCAATATTTTCCGCTCCGAATTTTCCTTTTAGATGACGAAGAACGCTTCTAGTCATTTTACTCCGGTGATGCTGCCTCATCTCACCCTGGCCTCGGAATCCTGTAAACAGTAACAGGGACAGGAACAGGGATTTTATTTTTTGGCCCATTTGCAAAACAGGAAACAGGACAGGATAAAAACACAGGAACAGGTCCTGTTTTACAGGTTTCACAGGCTTTGCAGGCCTGTAAACTCAAATTTCAGGGTTTTAATTTTTTCTTGAAGAATCAAAATTAAGAATTTTTTTCTCGTTATAATCATGTCTGTAGACAGTTTCAACTATAAAAGATTCTTTATAACATATTTGAAGGGAACTCCAAGAAAATTTTTACGAAAAATACCTGATATTCCCCATTTTTCGCCTGTTTTCCTGCAATTTTTTGACAGGCCTGTTTCACTTTTACAGGGCTGTTCCTGTATACAGGCGTTTTTTCCTGTTTTTCCTGTATTTCCTGTTAACAGGCCTGTTTACAGGTTTATTTTGGTCTCGAAATGCAAGACAGGAAACAGGACAGGGTCCAAAAAACAGGACCTGTTTCAGGTTTTTAGACAGGTCAGAATTCCGAGGCCAGATCTCACCGACGTGGTTGTGCGCTGACAGGATGAGCTTACCCACGGATGGTATTGGCGAACCCATTGGAAAATGTCGTAGCAAAACATCTGACTTTTCCAGTATTCTTGGCTCTTCTCTTTCGATCTCGTGGGATGCCTGGAAACGACGCCCTGCTAAAACCGCAAAGTCTGTTGAGAAACTTCTGTGGAATCGCTCAAGATGGCGACTAAGATAGCTTTACTTGATAGCTAACTTGAAACTATTCTCACTTGGTGACTCGTTCACCACCTTCGCCTCCTATGTCGTTGTCACCAGGAAGATAGATAACCTTTTCATCGGAGACTGGAAAAATTTTCTTGAACCGATTTACATAGAGTTCATATTCGGAGTCTGAGTATTTGCGATTCTTTTAGTTTACTCCCTATTAATGTAAAGCTATCAACGATTACCTATCATTAATAATTATCAGAATCTCTTTCCTGATGCAGAATACCCCTCGTCTATCAAATCACCAAGGAAAATCGTTAGATTCGGTTTTACCGCCCGTGAAGCCCAATAAAAACCCCTTGACAAATACTGGTCGGAGTCCCATCTGGTTATCACGCCTAGAATTCCCGCTGGTTCATCCCGGAATCCTTGAATTTGTGGATCGGCAACAAGAAGAACAGATGCTGCACTGCTGCTGAACCTAATTTTGAGTTGCCAAGAAGATGCAATCCCAAGATTCTAGTGAGGGACGAAACTACATCAGATCAGAGAAACCCTTTCTTGGCCATCTTATGTATTGTTGAAAGAAGCAACCAGTTTCCCCATAAATAAGAACTAAGACTGATATGATAATAAGAATTCGAGCACGTCTCTTTCGTCTGTGCATTATCTTCTCTATTCTTTGCTAAACCAGGAAATGACAACGCTCCTGGGTAATGGTAGTAAAATCATTCATACGAATAATCATCGAGTGGTCGAGCCAACCAAAGCCCGCAAACATGGCTTGAACAAAGATCTGTTTTTCTATTGAAAATTCAACAAAGGAACAGATAAACCCCATTAGAAAAAATACATTGAAAGCGAAGACTGTCCTGTCGACGTATTAAAATCTATTTTTGCTACAAATGCTAACTAGAAACGCTTCTAAAACCTGAATTTTCGATGAAGGAAAAAGTACTACTGACATCAGCACTGGAATGAGGCGATATGCTGAGTCAAGATAAATTTTTCAAATTTTATCCATTTATTTTTTATGAAGCAAGCAGGAGCGGAAAAAGTTCACACAGAATAAATTAATTCTAGGGAGTACGAGAATATAGTGAGTCGTAAGAAAATAGGGCAAAAATAACGGTTGAGGTAGTCTAGGATCGAGAATGATTTTTGGATATTTCGCGGAATACAAAGAGTTGTTTTATGGCAAAGTAAAAGGTTTTGCTAAATTAAATACAAAGATACATGTAAAAAGTGGCTCTTAAAAGTTACAACGATTTCGATGAGAAAGACGAGCTTTTGTATGCCGGTAGAGGAACTGAGCCATTAGATTTTCGCCTGGAAAAGCGGGGCAATGAAGTCATAGACGGTGATTATTGGGTCAGGGAAATTCGGAAGGTAAATCGCTGTTTCGTCGGCAGAAAAGGAGTCATTAGTAGTTTCAGGGACCTTCATATCATGTTAATCCTAATGATTCGTTTATATATATATTATCTACCTGGTGCAAGTCAAGGGAACCGTTCTCTATTTCAAACTTGCTGTGATCCTTGTCGGACTTCCAAGTGTATGAAGAGATTCTGTAGTCAGTTGAAATGTGGTCCTCTGCGGTATCATCTTCCAGCTCCTCCATCATCATCACGACTAACGCGCCATGAAATCGTCCGCACTTGCCGGTGATTTGCACTTGGGTGAGGTCCAGACCTTCTGGCTGCCCCAAATCGATGTGTTGCACCAATGCACCTGTGTTCAGACTCCAAACAGCTACTTTCCTTCGTTCGGCGACTAGCAAGAGTTCACCGAAGCTGTCCATGCTCATAAGATCCTCCTCGTTGCGCCAAGCATGGCTATCTGAGTTTGAGTACAACTTGTGCTTTATTGCGCCTTTGACATCATAAACAAGAATAAGAGTTTCTGAGCATCGGGGAAGCAAATGATCGTTTATGATTTGAGCAATAGAAAAATGGGCTTTCTTCGAAGACGAGAAAAAAACTTTGCCTATCATCGAATGAAAATGATTCCCTGTTTCCTGACTCCCACAAAATGGCTGTATGTTTGGTCGTAAGCACCGCAAAATTGACTTTCGGGATCATCACGCTCTCGTCGGCATTGATGGTAGCAATTTCACCGGCAGCAGAATCTGTCTGATTCCGGTGCTTTTGATGCTTGGGGAAACTGGAATCACTCCTTGCCCAATATGAAGTGGCTGGAGACAAGTATGATATCTTGACATCGTTGGAGGCGGCAAGCTAAATATGGAATACTGGATGCTCTTTTCTGCATGATTTCCGCTGTCATGGCAGACAGCTCATTTCGAGCAATTTCAATTTCCGTCGTGGAATTAGGAAAGAAAAATCTTACCAGAAACCGCCCAGGTTGGTTTTCGTCAGGCTGAGAGAGTCTCACATGAACCCTATTCACACGGGCGGGAATCGGAAAAGTCTGAAGAGCAGTGACAGAGAAAGCGCAATCTCTGTTGATGAAACTAGGTGCTTCAACTGAAAAGAGTGTCACGACACTCCGTTCTTTGTCTGTCGCTGCGAGGAGACGGCCGCACACGTGCAGACGAGTTTTCTCATCTTGAGTACAATTTGGAATTATCCCGAGATGATTGAAGAAGTCACGCGACCAGATATGTATTTCGCCGGAGATCGTGGCTGAAAAAGACTAGTCAAAGAATTCAGACGAAGAGAGCGAATCTACCTGTTGCAATAAATTCGGGTGCGGCGGCAAAAGACGTTATTCTATTTTCAAAAGTATTCGGCCGTATCTGAAGATTTCTGACTTTGTAGGCGCCACTTTTCGAATAAAATTCGTCCATAATGTTTTTGAACCTGACGAAACGCGCCATCTCTGGAATTCTAAATTCGTCCGTTCGTGCTTTTTCGCTGATTTATTCTTGACAGATTTGGCGATCACTTTCCCATAAATATCCGTCTCCAAGTAGTTCTCCAGACGTTTTTCAAAGACCCTCAATTCTTTATCGACGAGCTATATAACTTATTCTTACTTCGAGTCGCTCAAGATCACCCTCCATGCGCGAGAAACAGCTGAACACGCGTACAGGTCCTTATTCGACAGGGAATAAAGAATTTTATCCGTGACGTGGTGCAAATTTCGCGAGTCTGCCTCCAACAAAATGTCCATTCTGCAAATCGGCATTTGAATTGATATTTAATTATTTGTTTATGAGAGACACTTTGAAAAGGGTGTGAAGGAAGCATTTCAGCGGTTTGTTTATCAAGTGAAGTTGATCAACGATCAAATCGAAGATGCTTATTAAAGGCACGCCTTCTTTTAAATACAGTTGAATGAATTTACAAAGTCGGAAGTCAAAAGCAATTTCGTACAGAAACTTCGGATGTCTTTTTGTTTTTTTAGAAGTGAAAAATATTTTGTAAGACTTTGAATACTACTATTTCGTCGGACTCACTCTGCGCGATTTGAAATAAGTGGCAAGAAAAGGAAGTGAGGCGCAGGGCAAATAACGGAAGCTCGACTCGTATTAATGACAGTTCATGTTCGGCTCGGTGGAGATCGTACAATCAGTTCAGCAATTCAACCGAGAACGCGGGAAACTCGTGAGTTCTCCCGTGACTCCAGGAAGCATTCGTATATAAAAGCGTACTCGGGATATTCGTGGCTTAATTTTTTCATCAACAAAGAGCAAAGAATTTGAAATTCTTACCAAATGCGCTTGAGATCGACTAGGTCTAATACTTTGCGTCCGTCGGAATGGAGATCCCAGATTTGTGCAAAGATGGGCGCCTGGCCGCCGAAGATTTTTGGAAAAACTGCTTGAATATCGCCAAGTGAAATCGCTCCGTCGTTGTCGACGTCCATGCACTTGACGAAATAGTGAATCTCTGATGAGTATTAAACCCGTTTTACCTCCATCAACTTCTCGTAGTTAATTCGCTCTGATGCAGGATAGAATGTTCCCAATCTTCTGTCGAGGAAGTTTTTGAAAGTGAAGCAGAATATGCCATCTTTGTCGTATTTGGCGAACACTTGCTTTGTAAAAAGGCCGATTGGGAGTTGAAGAAAAGTGCATAAGTTGTCGTAATCCGCGAGCTCTGGAAGAGAGTAGTAAGCAAACGCGAATTGATTAATGATTCAACCTTTTTTCTGACTAAGGGAGGCGAACTGTTTGAGTTCTTGGTATATTTTTCTCGGGAGAGGCCGCTTTGTTTTCTGTACGATTCGATATCGATGTTCGCGACGTGCCCAGGCAATCCATATTCAGTCGCTTTCATGTGTGCGAGCCCATCGTCGCGGGTTAAATTGAGAGCAGGGATTTCCAGCGAGTCAGCCATGACTTTTTGCACGCGTTCAGCGAATAGAGATGGATTTGCTGAAATAGTTTGTCAAAAGGCGAGAAATAAACTCGAAGGGAAAGGCTGGCCTCGGAATCCTGTAAACAGGAACAGGGATTTTGTTTTAGGGCCCATCTGCAACACAGGAAGCAGGACAGGATAAAGAACACAGGATACAGGTCCTGTTTTTTAGGTTTCACAGGCCTGTAAAGCCTGTAAAGTCAAATTTCAGGGTTTTAATTTTTAGTTGAATAATCGAAATTCCGAGGCCAGGGGAAAGGGAAATGACTCATTTCAAATGAGTTGAATTCAACTTTACCTTTTTCCTCTTTGGTCGGAGTGACGGGATCGAGAAAGTTTATTTCGACGTTGATACTAAACTGGCAGAGAGTGAGATAAATCATCTGCAGAAAACTGGGACCCATGAAGCACCAGGTGAAGGTGTCCCAGTTGTTGGTCCACTTCAAGGTAAGTGGCTGGACGACGGCTCCAGGATTGAAAGCTCCGTTCTTGAACTTCATCATTCCGAGACGGTTGTGGGTAGTCCCCTCGGGCCAGATCATCAGCTGCGGCCATTTAGGATCGGCGACACGCTGGTTTATCACTTCGATTGCGTTCGAGGTGGACGAACGATCCGTTCTGTCCACAAAGATTGAGCCTAACGAGCGAAACATTCGATACGAGAATTCGTTGCCATACGTTCCTCCGACCAAAGTCCATGGAAATGGACAGTGTGGAATCTGAAGAATCATTGGAAAGGGGCGTTAATTGAGAGCAAGTTCGCACCTGGTCAGCGATCATCGTGTCATAGACTGTGGAATGTGGGCCTAGCACAAGCACTTGCGCTTTGTCTTTGGAAACGGCAGTTCCCTTGGTGGTAACGCGTACGCCCAGGCATATTCGCCAGAAGCCGTAGCAAATGCGAGTGAGAAAATACTGCAGCTTTGATCGGAATCCAACAATGTCGTACTCATCTGCTTGAAGAGGAAGACCAATTGTTGTGATCACGCCTGCTATGTAGATCGCCGTCGCGGCTAGAATTGAGGCGCAGATTCGGAAAGGAACGAGTGTGAAAGTAGCGATGACGATCTAGAAGAAAATGAGAGTCGCGAAGAAGAATCGAACCAGATTATCAAATTAAGCCGAAACAAGATCAATGTCAATATTAACAAGAAAACGAAGACGGTGCCTATCTTACGTAAAAAACACGTTTCTCGAGTGAAGTACCTGTATGTATCGATACCAGGGTATTTCGAGGTCAAAGCGGAAGGGATTGACTGCTTCGTGGAGGTAGTGCGTCATTCTGCTTCTTTCTTCTAGCTCTCTACAATCGCCAACGTTAACGAATCTCGAAAATTTGCGCTTATCCCTTTACTACGAGCTTACTTCTCACGGATTGTTCATTGGGACACGGGAAGGAATGAGCCCGGCGAACCTACGCAAAAATAGCGCGAGTGATAATGCGCCGCGGAGTCCGACCTCAGGTGCACTTTTCCTTATCCTATCTTCGCTTTTATCAAATCACTCAATTAATCGAAAGCGAATTATATCACCCTAGCTCTTTTATTAAATAAATAATCGCGAAAAGCCCGTAAAATATATTTTCACCAAGTTTTAAAAACAACCTCGTAAAAATCCATCTTATGACTACATCAGTTTAAAACTCGGATAATCGAAGTTTAACCTTTTGAGCCTTTAACGGGCCGAATACCAGTATCTTCCTCTCTGTGTAAATATACCCGCGAGTCTTACGGCTGTTCTCTGATCTGCAGACACGTTTCGAAACAGCGTCTGCATTAACAAAGTCCAAGCTTATTTGGTCCTCAAAATGAGACAAAGACTAGAATTTTTGAATGGCTCGTAAATCAAACAAAATAGAAGCTTGCGCTGCGAGATATTCTGAAACGTGTGTTTTCGGTGTTTTTCCTTGAATGAGAATAGAAATTTATTCCTTTGAATTTAAAATAATGAACTCGTTAATAACATTAATTTTTTTTGTCAGCGTTTGGGCGTGAACGTCCGGCTGCCAGTGACCTCGTCTGAATTGAGCTTCTCAAGGCGTCTGTTTGCATAGCGTAGTTTGTATTCTAAAAGAGAGAATGAAAGACAGGCCGGAAGAAGATGGAAATACCAATGTTATGAATATCCATTCTGCGGATGTTCTTTCCCTTCGCGAATTCTTCCCGCACTTTGGCTTGGGAGCTGGGCATGCCTTTCGTCGCGCGCAATAAATTTTTATAACACGTGAGAACTTGCTGCTGCAATTGACTTTTTACCATTCTTCTGAATATAATTGCAGTGAGAGGAGCCACTCATCTTTTGGCAGTTAATAAAAATAATATTACAAGAGTTAAATGAGTCCGTTTTCCGTTTCTTCTTCTTCATTTTTATCAGTTGGGGTCGGTGTCGAATTGTTCAGGACAACTTCTGAGTTGATCTTTTCTTTTTTGAGGAAGCGGACGATTTGCTTCCCGGAGACTTTTCGAAGTCCTTGTCCTGGAGATCGCTTTTCTCGATTTCATCAAAAGTTCAGTCGACAGTGGACAAAAAAAGAGTTGTTTGATGAATCTTTCCTGATAGCCAGGGTTGGAGAATACAATCGTATCTGCTTGCTCGCCCCGCTTAAGCATCCGCGGCGGATTCCACTTCACTCTGGTTAAGGGAGCAACGCTAACTCCGCTTCCTTCGTCGACGGGGTTTGGCTTTTTAAGCTTTGGTGGCGAGTCTGGCGCTGGCTTAGGATAGAAGATGCCTTTAGGCCGATCTTTCATCTCTTCTTCGTTTACAAATCGCACGATTGGCGAGCGCTTATGGACTACTCGTATTGGGGTCTGCATGTACTTTCTGTCTTTTGTGCAAACCGGCGACTCACAATCGTCTACGTAAAGCCTATTTGAGAAGCTCCCATCTAGTGGACTTTTAAACTCGCTTTTCTTGGGCCGTGGCAGTCCTCCACAATCGTCTAAAAATTACGATACGAGTCAATTGAAAATAGAATGCGCTTTACCTTGTTCTGAGTCTGTTTGACCACCCTTCTTTACCGAAGAATTCTGATTCCCAGTAGCTTCTTCGTCTGAATTCAAAGTTGCCCTCTTCTTTCGAGGATTTATTTTGTCAGTATCTGTTTTTGAGATTGCAGTTTCGGAGTTATCTTCTTCATCTGAGCTGAGAGACACGTTTTTAAGCTTTCTGGTCTTCTTCCCGGGCTTTACTTCTATGTATGGCGTCTCGGCCTCTTTTTGAGTGGAAGAGGCAACTGGCTGAAATTTCTCAGCTTCATCTAGCTCATCGATTTCTGTGGCTTGTTGAAACATTGGCTTCGGCAGGTTTTCTTTCTCCTGGAATTTTAACACTGAGGCAGATATTGAAACATAATTTATCATACCTCATCGGAGGAAATAACCACTGTTGAAATCTGACTGGCATCTTTGCCCAGTTGTCCCATGAGTCCCCTGGTCAGATATCCGACATTATCTTTTCCTGCAGGAGCAGGCTTTTTGGACTGGGGCGCTGGCATCTCTTCCTCATCATCGTCAGAAGATACAATAATCCTACGTTTTCGGGGCATTTTCAAGTCTGAAAGTGATTTGTTTAGTTTCGCCTTTTACTTTTTTTGTGAATCAGAGTTTTCAAGCTTTTTCGAAAGTTTGAGCATAAAATGATCCATCTCATCCATGTCTTCAGTCTTTTCAGGCGGAACGAATTTAGTTGAAATATCAGTCGGCTGCCCACGATACTCGAGACATTCGCTCGTTATTCTGATTTGAATTACTTCGGGAAATGGTTCTCCATACGCCCACTTATCCTTGGCAAAAATATATAAAAATGAATCCACGACAGAACTCACCTTGTCAACACCAGCAGCTCGCAAGTCCTCCCTCGAAGCTTTTCTCACATATTCGTCGATCTGCTCTATGGGAATTACTCTTTGGGATAAAGTTTGTTCTGCGCGCCTTTTTTCGTGGAGAATCGCATTTCTCGGCAATCCCCACATATTCAGCTTGAATACTTCCAAGTTCATCCGCCTCTGCGTGATCGAGTAGATATTATTCAACATGTCTTGGTTGTTTCTGTGCGCCATTTGATCATTTCCACTAGTAAATTCAGAACCGCCGGACTGCCCACAGACGAGCCCGACGAGACAACTCGCGATGATGAGAAATCCAAAGAATTTCGCTTTTAATGATAAATATCCATATAACCTAAAAAGGTTTAACTTAGGGGCCGCTCGGATTTATTTCGGACTTACACTCTTTTTGTGAACAGAATAAATGTCGATCCATAGAGCGTAACTCTGTAACAATCTGGGCAGATTTCCGAGACATAATACTCATGCTGCAAGTATTTGCTTGTGTTTTCGTGAACCATGTAGCGGGTTTCAGAGGGCAGAACATTGAAACGCCACCATTCGACCCAAGGCCACTTGTGAATTTTGAGTCGCTTTTCTGGATCCAATTCGGTCATCCAGTCACGCCCGAATCCCAGACTCTTCAAAATTACTTCGGGGATGGTGAGGTCTCGATAGTGTTTCGAATCTTCAAGTTTGAGTGGATTATTTGTTTTGTTGAGCACAGGCGTGTCGATTTTCCCATCTTCTTTTGCTTTTTCTGCCACCTAAAGTTTGATTATTTTTCTGGAAGGCAAACCTCCACAATTGACTCCAAAAGACGGACCTTCTATACCTTGTAAAGCTGAAACCCGCCGATTCCCCATGCAACTGCGATTCCAAAAGTGATTTGCTTTCTGTATTTCGAAGTCCGAATCGACTGTACAATCGAAGCATTTCTTGATAACGCTCGAACGATTCCGATGGTCATTCTACAAAACAAGATTTTTTAACAAAGTTAGATTTGAATCTTTATCACATTTAGCTTCAGGAGAATTTTTTGACTTTCGTTTTGGAGATTGAAAGCTGGCCTCCTTTCCAAGAGCCGATGGACTGTCGATTTGAGTTCTTCGTCCTGTCAGACCAGAAAGTGTTCTTGATCTTCTTCGGCTTCGTCAACGAGGGAGCGGTCATAAACGCCATCGACGGATCTTCTGAGGCCTTCTTTTCTGCTGCATCGATAGCTGCTTGCTTTTTCTCTTCCATCATCACTGGAAAATAAAAGGAAAAGAAGATTATTTACATGATCTATGAACCTTTGTAGTTTTTCCATTCTGCTTTCGGCGCTTTCGCCCCGAGTTTAATTAATCTTGCGCGTTCACGTTTTCTTCTTTCCTCGGGCGTATAGCCTTGGAGACCGTACTGTTGCACTTTAAATTTCACATCTTCGATTTGCTGACGCATTTCTTTCTTCGTGATTTGCTCCATCTCCACAACCTTTCTTTTGTTCCGTCTCTTATCTATTGACTTAGCTTCTCGTTCACGTCTGGCCTTTTCGCGTTTTTCCTTGGCCGCTTGCATTGGGTCTGAAGCTCATTTAATTTTTGTTAATCCATAAAAAGAACTACCTACGAAGGTGATGATCTCTGGCTGCGAGTCCTCGTCGGATTCCGATTCGACTTCATCTGACGCTTCTCCTTGATCATTTACTTCTTCCGTCTCTCTTGTGTTTGGCTCTTTTGTGTCTTCGCATTCGTCTTCCGAATCTTGCTCCGTCGTTCTTTCTTCCTCTGAGGAACTTTCTGAAGATTCGTTTTCTTCTTCAATTTCGAGTATTTTTCGACTCTTTGCTTGTGAAACGATTGGGGGAATTTCCTTTTCTTTTACTAAAATTCCATTTTCGTCCTGTAATAAAATTTCCAATTTCGCACGTCGTTTCTTTCCCGATACCATTCTTTGAGAGATAAATTAATTTCTAATCAACACCTAAAAACGTCGACCTCAAGACATAGTCTACCTTGCTGCTTACATTATTCTTTCAAACATGAATTGAATACAAAAACAAGATTGCTCGAATTAAGCAAATTTATATTTTTGTCGTTTATTCGTGAGGTATTTGTTCGACAGCATTGTCGGCAGTGTAAATGATCCGGTGGAGTATATAAAAATCGTGTGTGTGAAAAGTACAAAAATATATTATTTCTACTCTGATTTTGGACTCATCATTCGAAGACAGATTCGTATCCTTCGTCAATGTCGCTATGGTAGAAGCCAGGGTTCGCTGCTTCCCAAGCCCGAACTCGAACACTGAACTCGTCGAGTTCACGGAGCACTAGAATTTAATTTTAATCAGAGATCATGATAAGAAGTCTTTTACTTTGATCAATATGATCGATATCCTGAGAAGTTCGATCAAACTTGGCATTTAGGATGAGGAACTCTCGTTCTAACTGGAGGTATTCAACCTCTACTGGGTTGTACTGGTATTCAGCATGATCATGTGCCATGATTCTGAAAAGAAAATGATTGCGAGAGAATTACAAAGCAGGCGAATAGATGGTTCTAAAAGAGGTAGAGGGTTTAACAAGGAACATAATAAGAAAAGACCGAAATGAACTGATTTGAAATTGAAAACAATATTAAAAAATAAGAAACATCTAGAAAATATATTGTTTTAAGGTCAAGTTACAGGATAAGCAGTTTTTTGCCGATTAAGCGGAGTTTGATTAGATAAAGACGAATAATAAATATAGACGAAACAGCAAGAAGTTAGCTTTGGTTACTTCTTGGTCGGATTAGAATTGACTTTTCATTTAGGCCTTCTGCTGGACCACCAGCGGGTAGAATATAGTCGCCAGGAAATCGCGACGTGTCAAAGTTGAACAATTGAGTGTTCGATTCTGCTAGAGACTCCCAGCTCCAAATTTTCAAACCTTGAAATAAAAGTGGGTATTTTTTATCAATATATTTCAATTCATACCTGGAGCTCGCCCTTGTTTAGCAAAAAGGAAAAGGGGGTTTTCTGAGGGATCGACGTCGAAAATTGCATCTTTTGTCTCTTTATTGATTTTCCCCCACTTTTTGCAGAAGAAATGATTTTTCACCTAGACATCAGTAAGATTTAAGAAGGCCATGAAGATTCTTACTTTTGTTCCAGGAGTTTTGACGATTCCTCTTTGATTGGTGTCGATTTGCGCTCCAACAAGGAAACCAGTCACGATTCCCCAGTGGCTCTTCTCGCCGTTCTTTTTCGTCTAAAATAATTTATTTTACCAAGCAATTGAAGCATGATTTCTACCGGTCTGTGATCATGATCAGCATCGTGGGGAATTAGGAATGGATAACCAGCTGCGAGATGCTCGAGAATCTTTCTGCGGTACTGATCAATCGGGCCTTGAAGCACTTCAGTCTCGCACAGGAGAATTTCTTCGATAAGTTTTGCCAGATCTTGGGCCTCGAACATCTCACCCTGCTTTGTGTAGCCCCGTTCCTTCGCCTTTTCGAAGAAATCTTCCAAATCTAAGTTCTGGGCGAAGGGCACTCGGATCGCTTCTGCCGCCATCAGCGAAGCAGCAAGACCGCACATGGGCTGCTTCGAGCCTTGAAGGTAGCTCTCGACTGATGTATTGCAAGAGATCCACGAAAAACCTCCTTTGCGAAGAATCGAGTCTTCCGCGTTGGAAGATGCCAGCTCCTTCGAATAAAGCAGGATTTCTCCTTCGCCAAGTGAAACTAAGTAAACGAAATTTAAGTCGTTGCTTGAGTGACAGAATACGAACCTTGCTCAATCTCTGACTTTTCGCGAGAGCCAGGAACTCTTCCTGGCTCGAATCTTCTTAACTTTACCATTCTTGGATTTTTGTTAGGTTCCCTCCAGTCCATCGGCGGGGGCGGCGGACCAGGAGGTGTTTTGTGCCTCAGCCGCACCGCTTCTGCATTTTGCTCTTTGATAGCTTGAAGCCTTTCATGAGGAGTGTTCATGCCTCATTCGATCCCCACTGTCTAATTAATCTCACTTGTCACCACATAAACGCGCGCTTGAAAACCCTCAGAACCCTTCCAAAAAAGGGCACAAAAGTAAAATAATCAAAACTCGTAGTACAAGAAGAGTGAGCGAGCTCAAAATATTTTTAGCACTCGAGAAATCAACGAAGATATTGAATCACAAAGCATACTGGATGTCTTGATGTCAAAGAGAGATTTTTTATTGACACTCTCGAGTTAGTTTTGAATTATTTCAAAGAACGTTTAGCATTGTATGATGAGAGGTAAGACGTCCACCCGCTCTGAAAGGCGGAGTTGTTCGAAAATTGGATCCGTATATTTCGATTTCAAACTTTTCCACACTCACGAGGAATATTGTGTGCTTCTTTTCGACAAGAAGGAGGCGATTATCCGCTGTTACGAGCTGAAAGACATTCTTTGACTCCATTGCAATGATGCCTAGGCAAAAACTTCGAGTCAGTCTATTTCTCTAATCAATACACCACCTTGGAGTCCAATCTTGCTTTTACATCGCGAGTACTTGACAGTCACCTTGGCACCAATGTAATTGGCACGGGTTAGAATGTCGTGATAGTTTGCCAAATTTCCTCCTTTCCCGCTACTTGCTGGTAACAAGGATAACATGTACTTTTCCCAGAGCTTGTTCACCTTTTCAAAGTTTGCATATTCCACTAATATAAAAACACTGAATTGAAATGACAGTTTTTTCTTAAAATTTACCTTTTTCCTCGCCAATTCTGAAGAGCTTCAAGACTTTTCGATCCTTCCCACTCAATCTTTTTGAGGTTTTTCTTTTGATATTTTCTATTCGTCTTGCAATCTTTTTTCTGTCAGAGTCAAGTTGAATCGGTACATTTCGCAGTCTTTTTAGGGTTTGCTCGTTTTGACTCTTCTGGTGTTTCTTTCCATATGCCTCCACGATATCTTCAATGTATTGTCGCCGTGCTCTCACCATTCTTAATAAAGAAATAATGTTTTTTGATCTGTTTTCACTCTTCAAGATCTTCTATCTTATGTTTGTCTTGCAGAACATGGAATTTTAATGCCGCCTGTTGTATTTCCTCGTGGCTTAGCTCGGGAATGTGTTTGAACTTGCCCACAGTGAGCCCGTGAAAATGCTTCTCTTTCGTGTAAGAAAGTTTATGAAATCCGAGTAATTCTAAAGATAGGCAGGTAAATACGCAGTAGGACCGAAAACGTACCCAAGCCAGAGAACCAATCTCTAATGAGGTGCATGTGTTTGTTCTGACAGGCTGAATCAGGCGATGCTATTAAAAGTAACCCACCAAGGACGAGGCACTTGTTAGCACTCATCAAGGCTAACAAAGATAAAAGACACGTATCACAGCCTTTTGCAGTACCTTTGACTCTGAGAACTGGATCTGGAATAAATGTCAAAACGTACAAAAACGAAACTGCGTTGAAATCGGAGCCCAGCTGCATGATACTCCCATTGGAAATAGTCGTCTTGCCTCCGACAACTGCATTTGTCATGTCAAGACAGTAGACATTTGTGTTCGCCGGGGCAATGTCAACTGGGATAATCTCATGGTCAAAGAGTTCTTTTGTGAGGCCATTGCAACTAATCGAGAGTGTTTATTCGCAAGTAAGACAACTAATCCGCAAAAGTGCGTCCACACCCGCCTGCCTACATCGAGCATTTTCAACTTTTTGTCTGACGGCAATGGCGGTATTTGCAATTCTGAATGCTGCTTGCAAAATTTAGCGTGTCTCTTTTGAATGTAATCGGCAAGTTTTTTCCCACACCATTCGGTTCTTGAGGCTCCATCGCCGTCTTTTTCCCACGTTCTCGAGAGGATATCCATCGCACATGCGTACTCTCGCAAAGTTTCTTTGTCTGTCACAACTAATTCAGCGCTGCATTACACGATTTATAGAAACGAACTCACTTTGCTGCCATAAGAGCTTGGAACTGCCGCTTTTCAAGAATTCTCTGCGATGTCGCTTATGAATCGACTTGACTACAAATGCTGGTGATCCGATCTTGGTTTTATCACTCGAGTTCATGAACTTATTTTTTTGTCCCTGCACTTTGCACGAGATATTCGCGCCCCTGAAATAACGCCCTTATTTTCTTGCTTGTTACATTTGAGAAAGAAAGACTGATCAAATAGGCCTTAAATTAAGACTCTTAATTTTAGTTTAATAAATCAGCAGATTAGCCACATTTGCATTAAAGGTGGAGAAAGTCAACGTGTATGCCACACGGGATGAGTAGAGCACGCTTAGAAAGCAATTTTTCAATAATAATAACAGACTGATAATTTCAATGATTTGAAGGCAGTAGGGTTTGAACGTACTGCGCGAATTCGTGGCAGGATTCTAACAGAGGCAGTTAAAAGTATTTTTCAATGAAAGGCGGGGTGAAGAACACATTTTGAGCATCTATACGATGCGCGAATACGCGAAGGCTTGATATGCACCCGCAAGGAGAAACAAAGGCGAACAGTGACGTCAGTCATACATAAGAGGAATAGGGAGATTTGCCCGAGCTTGCTGGGCATCTCGGCGAGGATCATTTCTTTGAGGTAATGGGGAGTATCTGTGTTGCCCTCGTCCTCGTCCGCGTGGACCACCTCGACCACGTCCTCGTCCACGACCTCGTGGGCCACCTCTTCCGTACTCGTAATACCGACTTCTTCGATGACGTCCGATCACTGAGTATCCCTCTAGATTCGATGATTAGGCATTGAGGGAATGGAAAACTAACCATCAGGACGTGGGCCTCTGGTAACGTAGTTGCTATTTCTGTCTGCGGCGACCAGTTTGAACAGGAACACCTGGCCGGTCAAGGATACCACCGACATTGTGCCGTCATCACCGATGGATAAATTGCTGGGGCGTTGAATGGCTCCTTCGGGAAACTGGAGGCAGCATAGGAAGTTGCCGTCTTTGTCAAACGCTTGGATTCTGCTGCTCTTAGAACAGATTGCGAGAAAGTTTCCTTGAAAATATTTATCAAAAATTGTACTTTCAATTGAATTACCGTCTTTATCGAAGCAGACACCAGCAGCCTGGATGAATTCGCCATCCGCATCACTCTTCGCCTCACCAACTCTTTTTCGTACTCTCCCCTCCAAGTCAGTCAGCCAGATTCCCTGGCCTGCTGGACTCATGTCTGACAGGGCGATTGTGTTACCGATTCCGGCTGCGAATCGAATCGTGTGCCAACCCGTTTCATCGACGTCTAGATCCCCGAAAGCAATAGGCTTGTCCATTAATTTCTAAGACATAAGAATTACAAACGAATTACTAATGTTACCTCTTTTAGATCTTTGTCATAAATTCTGAAGCGAAAGTAGGCTTGTCGGCTGTCCTGAACAACAAACAAAATACAGCCATCGTCCTTGCGGATTGGAATCATTCCGTAGATGTCGCCTCCTGGAGCGGTTGGTTGACAGGAAGCAATGTGTTGCCCGGTGCAAGAGTATTTATGCGCGCCCCTCTTGTCCGCCACGAGGATCGACTCGTCTAGAATGGTTGAGAAGCGATGAAAACAGACTTTATCTGTTAGTGAATAAATTATTACCAAGCAGAATCGTCGCGATCGTGGGCTCCAGCAATTGAGCGGGACCACCGTTTCGGTCCTCGTCGGGGAGCGTCATATTGTGGGTGCCATCGTGATCGTGGAATTCGACGGTGCCGTTGTTCATGTTTGCAATCATCACTTCATCCTAGAACTGAATGTCACTCGCGCCATGAAAAGGAGCAGCGCATACTAATCAACAATCATGTAACGTTTAATAACGACTTTATTGCAATAAAAATTAGTAAAATTAAGAAGCATTCTTGGAAAATCTAAGAAAGCACAAATTCTATGTTACACCACTATTTGTAATTCACCGGATATTTGCTTTTTTACCGAGATCAGGATTTCCGACGAAGATTTCTCTAAAATGTTGAGTAGAAATGATGAAGTTCATGAAGAATTAGAGAAATTTTAAGTAAAACTTACCAAGAGCAATTCGCAGCCCATGGGCATCCGGTACTGGCCGAAACTTCGGATGAAATTCGCTTGGATTGTTTCGCCTTCTTGCAGGAGCTCTGTAAGGCTGAACTGTGAGATTTCCTTGCCTATCGGTGGCCCGATACTAAAATGTACACTAGGAAATCGGAAAGAGTATCAAAAGCTTACGTGTCTCGTTCAGCGAGGGACAAAAGTGGTGCATCCGCGATAATCGCGCTCATTCTAACATAAAGAAAAGTATTAGTAAACTAGGGTCAGGATTAAAATGATAGGTGGTGCAAAATAATATGTACAAAAGTGAGTGAAGTAAAATAAAAATAAAATATCGAATTTGCATGATTCTCTTTGAATTTTAAATTAGCACTATTTGGAACGAGTTTATGTTCTTGAATATTTGATTGTTCAAATATCAAATCACGGAGTCGAGCCAGTCTTCTAAATCCGATTCACTTGAGGAACCTTCTTCGGCTGATATTGTCTCTTCTTTGTCCGCTTCAATTTCTTTACTTGGTCTTTCTTCGGGTCGTTTCTTTTCTGCTTCGCTGTTTTCTTCTTTCTGGGCGGCTTGCGGATCATCTATTTCTTCTTCAGTTGGAGGGGTCATTTCTGACTCTTCTTCATCTTCGGGACGATTTTCGGCCTTTCGCGCTGCCTTTTCACGGATTTAATATTTCCTCGAAAAGAAAACATAAAATAAAAGTATTATAAAATCCTTTCCTCATAGAGCGGATCGTTAAGAATCTCCTCGATTGGGTCTACTTTCTCGATTTTCTCTCTTTTTTTATTGAGAAAGCGCGCGGGCTCACCCTCGACCGACACATTTTTCAGCAGCTTGGAGAGATCCAAGCCAGCAAGCGCAACTTCCCAGTCTTGAATTTTCACTGGGTACTTGTACTTCGGATGGAATGTGCTCTCAACTGGGGGAGTCAGAAAAGCGGACGGAGCCTTTGCCCGGCCCAGCAACTCTTGTAATGAAAGACCTCTCGTTTCTGAAATTCATTTAAATACTAGTAAGAAAATTTCCAATCATTTCGTTCGGATTCATGAATGAGAAGAAACGAAAAGGAAATTGATCATGATGATCTCGATAGCACGTGATGCGCGACGAGCGATTCGATGATTCAAGATTTATAATTTCTCACCATGATTAATAGAAGGGTCATCGTAGCGATCCCAGTTCGACTCTAACTTCGCGATAGCAGCTTTTTCCTTCTGCTTTTTGCTCTGCTTCGCTGGAATCAAGCCATGTTTTTTCTGGTATTCTCGAGACGCCTTTGCTTTGTGTTTGTCTCCTGGTCGCATTCCCTTAAAAATCTCTTATAAATTCGACTTAGTAATCGACGATCCTTCTTACCGACTTGTTCCCTTCGAAGGAAGAAATTGAAATGGAGGAATGGTAAATTTTTCGAGGCGTAGGCAGGTCAGACTGCTCAAAAGTTGCTAATGATTGGCCGATGTTAATTACTCATTGTCTGCAAACGTTTTCAGCAGGAACGAAGATGATCAGAACTCTTATATTTTTCTACAGAGAGTGCGCTCACTTCTCCTTTTCGCGTCACTCATTTCGCGCATTTTCGCGTTTAGGGTGGTCGCTTGTTTTTTATTTGCGAAAAAGTTTGTCTTCTCTTCTCTCGCCCTTTCTTGCTAGCAGAATAACAATGATTTTAAATCGTTTGCTTATGTCAGAGCTGTACTGTGACATTACCGTAGTAATTCAAACGGTTTGATCGATCGGACGTTTCCACCCTAAGCCGACCGTTTCGTAGGTGGAGCGTGGACCCGGCCGCTCCAGTAAATTCAGGGCGCCACGTTCAATTCTTCTCTGGGAGGATCGAACCAGAATTCCAATCCCAAACTCAAAATTACTGACTGCTAGAAAAAGAAATAGTAAAAACTGCATTTTCATCCCTTTTTACTGGCCATTCGTCTGCCAGACAGACCAGAGGCGTCTGTCAAAGGCGCCATGATTAGCGGAAGAAAGTAAAAACGAAGTTCCGTTCTAGAGTAATTGACTGAGAAACCGCCGAACGCTCAGAAGACTGACTCGACAGAAGAAGACAACGAAATCGGACACTGAAGTGATCTCTACCACTGAACACCAAAGACATGAGCTGGCTCAATAAATCCCTCAGCCATCTTCAGGAGATATCTTCGACAGTCTCTAACTTTGCCGAAGATGTTCTAGGAACTGATTTCATCGCAAATTTTCAATTTGGAAATTTTATTTTTTGTCAAATATGTAACATATTATATGTTTTATTTGAAAGGAGCTTGCTGAAAATCAAAAATAAGCGGCGGAACCTCCACCGCTGGAAAACGGAGAAGACTTGTCCGAAGTGCGGAAAGAACGAGACTACTACAAAGCAGAAGTCGAGAAATACCGTCTTGACGCGAAAGTCCACGGCACAATCGAAGAATTTATCGAAAAAGATGAGCTGCAACGACGAAATGAAGCTTTAAATTCCCAAATCGAGGATTTAACAAACCAAGTGACGAATTTGAGTGAGGAGTTAGAGGACTCAATCGCGGAGAACGACAAATTCGCCAAGCGTAACTCTCACCTTTCCAAGCAGAACTCGACTTTGCTCAGCAAAAACGAAGAACTTTCAGAGGTAACGAATCAGCGGACAAATATTTTGTATAGCATTCCCTAACGACTATTCGTTATAAAAATCGAAAAAGTAACATTTTGTGCGTGAAATTCGTCGGAGCATTTCAAATGAAAGAGTTATGTTTATTTTTCCAAGTTAAATATCAACCAAAAGGTTTCCAAATTCATCATTGAATTTTTTTCGCCGACTGGGACCAGAGCCTTTGGGCAAAGCGAACGAAAGCGCTGGCGCATTCTTATCATATGTATCGACTCGCTACTAGTTCGGAGGGTTGATATCGGAGCAACGTTTTGTCAAGAGCATCGTTTTTTTCTATAATTTTTTTCAAACAAGTTATTTTTTGTTAGGACAATGAGAGTCTCCAAAAAAGTCTCGAAGAGGTCGACGCCGTCCACCAGGAAGAGATCGAGACCTTGCTGGCGCAGAGAGAGCAGCTTAAATCGCAGCTGGATCCGAACGAGCTCGCGCTTACTAAAGCACAAGCTGATGAAATAGCCAAGCTGAAGAAAGAGATCGAGCTGTTAAATAGAACGGAGAGTCCTACGCCAAGCACACCGAGTCCAACGCCAACAGAAGCGACGCCAGACCTCAAGCTGAAAATGGCGAAGCTTCAAAAGCAAAATAAAACAAAGATTCAGGAGCTTCTGGCCAAACTCAAAAGGTCTGAAGAGCTTTGTTCTAACTTCAAGGAAAAATGCGAGGCGTTGGAAGCGGAGCGAATGGATTCAGAAATGGGTGCAAGAATGCTGCAAGAAGAGCATGCTAAGAATGAAATGTTGATTCAAAACACGGGCATTCTCGAAGTAGAAATTAAGAACTACGAAAATGAATTGCAATCGACCAGAGCGCAGCTGGAAACGCAGCGAGAAGAAAGTGCCGCCAGAATGAAGAAAATGAAAGAGTTTGTTGATATCGTCAAAAACAAGAAAGAGCTCCTGCAGACAGAGAATGAAACACTGAAGCAACAGTTGGAAGACACTCGAGCGATCGCCGAAGGATTGAACGACCATCGAAACATCGAAAAGAAGCTCGAGTTCTATATGGACAAGTGCCAGTCTCTAGAAGCGGGGGTCATCATGTCTGACACTGCGAAAAAGCAGCTCGAAGAAGAAAAGAGAAAACTGCACAAAGAGATGTCCGTAGTTTTGGCCAATAATGCGGAGATTGAGTTGGAGAAAAAAAATCTTCAATCGAAACTGAAAATGGCAATGGAATCGGCGCAGGCGTATGCATCTGTTCAAAATGAGATGGAATCCGAAATCACGAAGCTCCAGGATGACAAAAGCGAGCTCGTTGAGACGCTTTCGGAGCAAAAGAAAAAACTTGCAGAGCTCCAGAGTGAGTTTAAGAAATCGTCGAAAAAGTACAAAAGTGTCGAGAACGAACTGAAAGCAAAAGTGGACTCGATGGAGAGCGAACTAAAAAGTCAGGTGGCAACTTTTAGCGAGCAGTTGGAAACGGCAGAGGCTCAAATCCTTGAATATAAAACAATGGCAGTGGACAACGACGAAGCTCAAGCCTCCATCGCTGAAGGCATCGCTAAACTTCGAGCAGAGAACGACGAAAAACGAGACAAACTTAAAGCTCAGAAAGAAGAATTCGAGGCTTCAACCAAAAAACTGCAAGACCGACTGGATGGTTCTCTCCAGAGAGAAAAAGACCTGAAAAATAAACTCGGGGAAAGTAAGAAGTTGGTTGAACAAGGCGAGAAAGAAAAGTCCGACCTCGGAAAGAAACTGAAGAAAGCTTCAAAGAATGATCAAATTATTGAAGAGCTCCGAAAGCAGAACGCTTTGCTTGATAAAAACTTCGAAGCAAGGGGACACAAAATTCAGAGGCTCGAAACCGAACTCGTGGCGGCCAAAGATTTTGTTGAGAAAATTTCAGAAGAGAATACTAATCTCAACAAACGAGTAGATCACTATACCAAAAAGTATCACGAGACGCAAGTTGTTGACTTGCAAGAAGAACGTGACCGATACCGGGAGACTGCTCTCCGCCTTGAAAAAGAGCGAGGTGATCTGGAGCAGAAACTGCTTGATTTCGAGCGAATTTCTGATGAAACGCAAGTTGCTGCTGCGCAAATGCATAAAGATCATGAAGAAAAGATGCAGCGCCTGATAGATCAGCAAAATCAGTATGCAACGGAAAAGAATCATGAAATCCAGAGGCTAGAAAATGAAATTGCAAAATTGATGTCGAATATCACCGATCTGAATGCTGCGATAGCTGATTCCTCTTCTGAGGCGGACCAGGGCGAGCAAATCGAGCTCCTTCGAAACAGTCATAAAGAAGAATTGAAGAGAAGAGACTCGTATGTCAAAAAGTTGGAGAAGGAGATGGAAGTTCTCTCCAAAGAATGCCAGGAACGCAGAGACACAGAAGATCTGATAGAGAAAATGGCGGAGGAGAAAGAAGTTGCCACTAAGTCAATTTCGGATTTGGAGCAAATGTTCAAACGAAAATCGAATGACCTGGAAAACTCGCAAGTTCTTTTGAAGATGCAGGAAGGACAGCTATATGAGCTGCAAGATGAATGTCGTGCTCTCAAGCAGGCGAAGACGGAAGCTAGCAATAAGTTAGAAGCAGCTCAAAAAGAACTTGCCCGAGAGAAGAAGGCGAATCAAAGACTGAAGAGGGACCAAGCTGAAGACAAAAAAATCAGAAAGCTCTCTGGAGAAACAGAACTCACAAATGAGCTGAAAGAGCAACTTGAAAACATGTCTACGGCTGTCAAGGCAACAGAAGATCAAAAAGCCCAGATCGAGGAAGCTTATTCTCTTCTCTTTTCGAAGGTGAACACTTTGGAGGAGGAATTGTCTAGAGAGCGCTTGAAAAAATGGTCGGCTTTGGAAAAATACTGTTCCGAAAAAGAATCGCATGATTCAAGCGGAGAAATGCAGAATGAGCTGGAAGTTCTTCGAGAAGCAGAGTCTATCATGTTTGCGAAAATCCAATCATTAGAAGAGGAATTGGTGAAAGAACGAGCATCTGCTAGTCAAAATGAAATAGAGACTCTCAAATCTGATTTATGTTCCGTCAAAGAGCAGGAATCTTCCCTGATCTCGAAAGTCAAAGAGCTCGAAGATGATCTTTCCAGTGAGAGAAAAGCCACAGAGCAGTTAGATGCTGAGGTAAGAAAATATTCTCCCGAAATAAGAATAGGCAATTTACCGGCGATTTAGATCGGCGAGCTTCGTGAGCAACTGTCAAGCACTCTCGAGCAGCTTGAAGATGCGGAAGCAGCGGCCCAAGACGCCGGCTCGCTTCTGGAGCAACTTAGAGAGCTTGAAGAAAGAAATAACAAGCTTCAGAAGAAGTTCGACGGTGTTACCAATATTGCAGGTAGATTACGAGAAAAAGACCTGAAAGAACTGGCGGAGAAAAAGAAGGAGATTGAATCACTCCAAGAAGAGCTTCGTACACTTCAGGAAAAATTGCAATCGACGCCCGGCAAGAGGGATGAGCCCAATGTACAACTAGAGATAATTAACGATGATCTTAAAATTGCTCTTGCGGAGCGTGAGCATCAGTATGAAGCCGCAGTTAAAGCCCTCAAAAGGATGGACAAACAGCTGCGCGCGATGCACGAAAAGGAGCAAGAGAAACTTTCTGATCCTGAAAACAGGCTTCAGGAGCAAATTGCTCATCTTGAAGCTGAAAAAGAACATCTTCGACATGTTATCAAAGAATCGAAGAAAGAATCCCAAGAACTCTCCAACAGGCTACAAGAAACAGGTCAACTCCTCCATGTCAAATCTAAGCAACTTGATGAATTTGCTACAAAGATCGATGAGGCGAAGCGAATCTCAGATCGCCAAGAAATGACTCAAGAGGCGATGAACAAATTAAGCCATCTTGTTCGGGCTAAAGATGACGAGATTGAAGCATTAAATTCGAAAAATCAGTCATTGACTGAAATCCTCCGCTCCGACGATGCTAACAACCTTATTAATGCGAAGATAGAAGAAATCGACTCTCTAAATCAGCAGCTCATCGCCCAGAAACAAAGCTATAACCAACTTGAGGATGCTTATCGAAAGATTGAGTCCTCTTCTTCGCAGATTCGTTCTTCATTCGACCAATATCGCAGCGCTTGTGAATCTGAGCGCGGTGAGCTGCAGGCGCTGGTGACGGCAAATGATCAGCTGCAGCAACAGGCTGAGGAAACCGAGCTCGAACTTGCAAAATTGCGAATCATCATCGCAAAGATTCGTGCTCATCCTCAGGCTGACACAACCCAGCGAGCTGGCACATCCGAATCTTCTCTTGAGATCAACGGGGACCGAGACATGCTAGCTAACTCGGTTAAAAATCTTCGGGAGCGATGTTCAGGACTCGAGGCAACTAACGTCGCACTCAAGAGAGATAACGACGCTTTGAGGGATCAACTAATGGACAGACGCGACAAATGGGACAATCTGGAAATGGTTAACAAGAAGATGGCAGCTGAGATCACCTCCAGAGATGAGAAAATGATCGAAATGAAGGAAAGCATCGATGAGTTGAAGTCTTCCTTGATTGAGAAAGATCAACAGCTTCAAGGAAAGGGAACCATCTTGTACAGGCAGTATGAAAAATAGTATCCTCAATGATTTCCATGATTAAAAAACAACGTTTTTTTCTATGAAATAATAATTTACCAGTACTATCTAAGCTTCGGCAGAAATAAGTGATGATCTCCTTACCAAGCAATGCAAAAAGACATTTCTGAGGTCGATCGCCTACGCGAGCGACTAGTCCAAGTGGATTTGGATCACTCAGAAGAACTACAGCTGATTCAATCTAATGAGCAAAAACTACAAGAGCAAGTTGACTCCCTGCGATCTGGTCTCCACGACGTTACTGGTGCAAGAAAAGACCTCGAAGAAAAAGCACAAGGAAAATAGTGAGCAATCTACAAATAGTGTTGCGCGGCAATGCGTTAATGACTCCGTATTGGAGGAATTTACTCTCGAATAATCTTGTTTCAATTTTTTTTTGTCTCAGTAAGAAGCAAGTACGATTACTTCAATACTTAGTACTCTAATAAGTGCTGGTGCATTGCTAAAATTACCTACAAATCTTTCTCTTTTATTCCTGCTCAGAAAGCGCGAGTCGTAAAATTTTTGATTGTTTTGTAATAATGCGAGGAAGTTTGGCGATTAATATTTTTGAATGAAGACTTTGTAGGATGAAACGAGTATCTCGGGCGAGGGCGAGAATCACTTACTCGCACCAGCGTTTGAGCAAATAAAAAGATCGAAGATGTAAATAGTAGCTTTCCCGTTCAAAATATTTGAGCGTAGTTGGTGTCTCAAATTATACGAGCTTTGCTCACTACCTCGTAGAGAACGCCAGAGGCCAGGAAATAAAGGAGAAACAGCTCCTTGCCGAGCTCGAAGCCGCGAAGAAAAAAGATATCCAAAGCGAGAAAAGCATCTCTGAACTCCGCCAGTTCATCGATAATTTCCGCGAACAAAAAGGTAAACATTGAATTGATCCATTTTTATAGTCGTCGCCGTCATTGATAGTTCCTTTATCTATTGTTTGAAAAAGTAAAGCATGCTCGATTTTTATAAATAACCTAGAACTGGAAGCAAAAAACAAGGAGCGGCGACATGGGATCGAACTCCAACGAGCTCAAACAGAAGCAAACGGTCTCCGACAGGTATTCCCATCCAGCCATTAATCTAAGTAAAATTTTATGTAACAAAGTTGCCGTCTAACAGCGTATTTGCTATTTTTACGAAGCGCCTTTAAGGAAATCAATCAGCTCAAGGGGCGTTTGATGGCTGCGGAAGCGAAGAAAGAGGAGACCAAGCACCTGGAACTTCAGCTTCTTGAATCGTGAGTGCTCTAGTCGTACTTTACAATTTATCGAGCGTGCTCTTAGGGAAGAAAAATTCGATCGTCTGCGCGCAGTAATTGACGAGAAAGCGATCGAATTAGAGAAGGCTCGAAAACGACTGGCGGAAGCTCGGGAAGCTGCGACGAAAACAGTCGATAAAGAATTAGCGAAGAACCTGTTCCTGAAGTACGTTGGAATGCCTTCTGGAAAGGAAGGAGATTGTCACACTGTCCTTCATGCGGTTTTCGGCATCTCGAACGACGAGATCGAGGAAGCCCGACAATTGAGCAGTGGTTCTTCATGGACCAGCTGGTTAAGGTAAGCTGCTCTTGTTTGCGTACACTAGTTGACACGCGTCATGCACACATCGTCAGTAAGGCAGCTTTCAGAGTGTTAATCAATTACGTTTAGGGCCCCTAGGGCAGTTCCAGCAGCTCTTGACCCAAATAAAAGCTTTTCTGAGCTCTTGGTCGAATACCTAGAGTCCAACTCTAACCCTGTCGAAGACAATGAAACCCCCAGCCAGAAATTACCTCCACTGCCCGCTAATTCAATGGTTGGGGACATTGGTCGTACGAATTCTTCTGATAATCGTGATAGAGGTAAGTAAAAGCCGAATGTACTTTTCATAAGGGTATCATAAAAGCTTACTTATTCGTTACTTATTTGAATTTTTAGGAATCGAGGGGCGAAATGCGTTCACAAGCCCTTCTATTATGTCCCCACTGATGAATCCCAGTTCACGACACCAAAATGCCTTACTAAAGGGACTGCTCGATGACGACGAATAAGTGCATATGCACAGCTAGTGCAATAAAACAGATACTAAACCAAATGCCCACAAGTTCTCCCTATCTAGTCCCAATTTTTGTCGATTTCCTAGCTCGCTGCTTGAACCTACTCACTTATTTAAGAGCTTGGAAATGTTCAATTATTATTTTTAAACGGACTCTATCCTCGGTCCTAAGTTATATCAACCCCCTTATTTATTTCCCTGTATATATGCCCCTTTATACTTTATCAACATCCCTTATGATATTTATCATAAACTTAAGCTCATCACACAGAAACTGTAGACTCTCTGTTTCAGATTGAAGAGCATGAATCCGAACATGAACCCGGGGCAGATGAATCAAGGTTACGGTGGACAGCCAAACAACATGGCTCCTCAAATGATGGGGAACCACTCGCAGAGTAAGTTATATTTGCTTGATTCTCAATTAAAAAACAGGATACAGTGCCAGGAGGGCAACCGATGATGGGCTCTAATCAACAACAGATGATGCAAAATCCGCATATGGGACAAGGTCAGCAAGGAAATCCGGGAATGCCCCAGCATCAAGCTCAAGTTCAACAAGTGCACAACCATCAAGGACAGGCACAGGCAACGCAATCCCACCAGAATGAACCAGAGGACGCGATCAGATCTATCAAGCATCTAGCGAAAGAGGACGGCTTCAAGAACTCGCTGACGAAGCTGATGGAAGTGGCATCCAAAGCATTTCTCTCGAATGCAACGGCTGACAATATTCAATCGATGGAAACTGAACAAAAGCAGAGAGTAAGAAATAGAGCCATAATTTTGTTTAAGATATTTATTAAGGGTTGTGGTACAGATCTGAGAAAAGATCTGGAAGAAGCATTCGAGGAATTCTATCACAACACCGACTTGATGGAGTCCAACATTCGTCTCGCTCTGCAGCAATGCCTCAACACGCTGCAAGTCATTCAAACTATCGCTCCTAGCCACGTGAACTTCCTCATTCCGCAGCGACAGCCACCAAGTAGTAAGTTGATCTCTATCTGATGCAATTGTGAAGTCGCATGGCACGCTCAGTCCAAAAGCGCCGATCGCATTTGTAACAACAGAATTTTTGTCCCTTCGATATCGGTCTCTTTTGAAGCTGGAAGCAAACTTCGTCGAGCCCTGTCGAGTTGTAGTGCTCTGTATTGTGAGCACGCAGCAGCTTGTGTGTGAGGAACTCCTTCCCACAGGTCTTGCAGGTCGGCACTATTGGGGCACATACAAGCAGATGCATAGCAAGCTCTCTGCTCTCTATGAATACTTTTTCACAATTGTTACATTTATTCTTCATTTTCCTTTTTTTGAAATGAGAATCACTTCGTGCTTTATGACCACTTCGTCTTAGTCGAAGTCCTTTTACGCACCATCTCCCGGCGGGATGCTAATCGGATCATAATTCCTCCTCTTTGTGCCGCTTTTGGGAGAGCTGATAGGGATCTTGATGCACTCATACGTTGCCTGTCAGCCGGCCTTCTTTGTTCGCGAAGCGACTTTTCTCAAAAAAAGCGTAACGGATTCGTATCTTTTTTTTTCACTCCCAGCGATCTCTGATTTGATGTGCTATAATAATAACAATAAAAAATCAAGAAGGGCTCTTCATAATTTTTCAGCAAACGCCGCCATGGATTTCAAAGAGTACAACAAATTCGTTGAGATCGTCAAAGAGCAGATTGAGTGTGCGAAAGAGACAACGAAAATTCTTCAAGAGTCCCATCGTGACCTTCATAAGGTTGGTAGTAACTTCCCAATAAGACGCCCACAGCCAAATCAGCAGCAGCAACAGCAACAGGTACTACCCAAGTCTCACTATTCTCAATTATATGATTTTATAAGTAATACAATATGTCACATATTATATTTTATATTCACGTATATTCGGGGGAACACGCAATTTTCGCTTTTCTTTGGGATTTGATTGATCGTGAGATTCATACTTAAACTCGCCTACTCCCTAGAGGGTACTGAACTTAACCCGAATCTTAGATGCCGCAAGGTCAGATGCAGCAGAACCGTCCAGGCACACCGGGCCAGTCGTGACTTTACACCACGTCCTTGACAATGTTCCTTCTACCGTTGAAGCTCTGCGTAGATTGAAAACTGCTGTAAATGACTTTCCTTTGCTGCTTTGCTCTCAGACTAACACTGCTTCTTGTAAACTGCCGTTAAACTATAAATACCAATTGCCACTGTGGAAATGTGGCTGATGTTTTCTGAAGCGTCTTCTTTTTAGATAACAAAAGTGATTCGCATCCGCGATCCCTTCACGGTTGGACTCTGGAACTGAACCTTGCTTGAAACTGACAATGAGTAACGAAATTCAAAACCAATCTGATGCTGTTGAGCAGCCCGTCGCCCAGCAGGAGGCTCCCAAGGTAAGCTGACTCGTTCTAAGAATTTTATTGGATTTTCGTTTTTAGGTTATTCCAACTTATGAGGACGCCTTCCCGCAACTCGGCGGTGGATCTGCTCCAGCTCCGGGTGGTGCTTGGATCAACCGTGCTAATGTGAAACCGATTAAAAGCTCAATCACCTCCGTACGATTCGACATTCCGCTTGAAGAACGACGTTTCCGTCCCGGATTGAACGAAGGATTTGGAAAGGGTACCTCTGCTGACCAAGGTCGAGCCGAAGTGCTTAAGATTATGAAAGCTACCAAGACCGAGATCGAGTATTCGCAGCAACGAGATGGATCCATCACCGTCTTGATTTCCGGAAAACCGCAACCAGTCAAGGACGCCAAGAAGATGGTTCTCGCTAATATGACCCAACAGGGCTCCATCGATGTGCTTATCCCCAAGGAACACCACCGATTCATCTTGGGCAAGGGCGCTGAGACTCTGAAAAAACTGGAAGCTGAAACTGGAACCAAGATCACTGTGCCCAAGGCTGACGAGGCCGAGGGTGCACCCGTCAGGATTACCGGTGCCAAGGACGCTATGAAGGCTGCCAAGGCAAAGATTGAACGAATTTCGGCCGAACAAATGGCTCGATACCGTGCAACGTTTGAATGTCCTATTGAGTACCAACCATTCATCCGCGGCGGTAACGATTCCAACCTGAACTCCCTGAAAACTCGCCACGGAATTTTGGCGATCGACGTTCCTCCTCCAAGCGCGGGTAAGACCGAGATCGTTGTCCGTGGTCCTCAGAAGGGCGCGGTAGCTGCTGTTGCCGAGCTCAAAGCTATGGTTCAACTCAAGTCCTCCAGGTGCACCACCCTCACCATCAAAGTGGAAAAGAAGCAACATCGATTCGTTATCGGACAACGTGGGAAGAGTATCCAAGACATTCTCGAAGAGCATGGGGTCATTGTCGAAGTTCCTCCCCAAGATTCGAGCTCGGAAGAGATCGTTCTTCGTGGTGAGCCCCAGGCTCTCGGAAATGCGATCACTGCCGTGTATGGACTTGCTAGCTCCAAGCAGGACGCCTTCGTCGACGCTCCCGAGTGGATGCACCGTCTCCTCATCGGTAACAAAGGTGCCGCAATCAAGGAAATTACCGACAACTTTGGATTCGAAAAAGTTCAAGTTGACTTCAAAAACGAAGACGGCAAATGCGGTATCGCTCTTGAGGGTTCTCCTTCCGAGCTAGAGGCTGTAAAGAATGAGCTTCTCCGACGAATCAAGGAAATCAAGTCTACAACTTCTCACGAAGAGATCGTTGTGAACCCCAAGTTCCATCCCCATCTCATTGGAAAGGGCGGTTCCAACATTTCTAAGCTCAAAGAGGAACATAAAGTCATCATCAAAATCCCCCAAGACTCAGATAAAAATACCAACATCTGGATCGAAGGGCCCCCCGCTGGAGTCAAGGCTGCTAAAGCTGCTCTTACTCAGTTGGCTAACAAGATTGCCGACGAAGCTGCTGACAAGATCATCTTGAAGCGCCGATTCCATCGACAAATCATCGGCCAGGGTGGGGAGAACATCAAGAAGCTCCGAGACCAGTTCCCTAACGTCAACATCTCTATCCCTGACGAAAACTCCAAGTCCGACGAGATCGCCATTCGCGGTCCATCCAAAGAATTGGCGAAAGCCAAGGAAGTTTTGAGCAAAATGGCGAGGGATATTGAGGAGCGTGGTTTCCGCCTCGAAGTCCCCATCCTTAAGCGATTCCATCGTAACATTATCGGTAAAAATGGCTCGAACATTACCCGAATCCGAGAAGCCACCAACTGCCAAATCGAACTACCCAAAGAAGATACTGACTCCGAAATAATTACTATCATTGGCCGAAAAGCGGATTGCGAAAAGGCTCAGCGAGAAATCAGAAAGATCGAGAAGGAGCTCGGCGAAATCGAAGAGATCACCGTCAAGATCGAAACGAAACTTCATCAGGCACTCATCGGTGCTGGTGGAAAGGGAGTTAAAAACTTCAAGGTGATGACTGCGTCATCCACTTCCCCTCAGATGGATCCGACCAGGTCACCATCCGAGGCAAGCCTGAAGCCGTGAAGGCTGCTAAGAAGGCGTTGGAGGAAGAAGCCGGCCAGGTTCGACTCCAATCTTTCACTGCAAAGGTTAACGCTGATCCCTCTCTTCATCGCTTCCTCATCGGCAAGAATGGTTCCAACATCAAGGACATCCGGTAAACATAATTTTGTTAGTCGCTTTTAAAACATTATTCAAGTGATACTACTGGATGCCGAATCGCTGTTCCAGGCGCTAATGAGGAAAAACAAGATCAAATCACAATTCTTGGAACGAAGGAAGGCGTTGCCAAAGCAAAGGAAATCCTTGAGAAGCGAATCAAGGAGCTCGAAAGTATCGAGGAGCACACTGTTGATGTCCCCGAGAAGTACCACAAGAATTTCACCGCTCGACGAGCGGAACTCATTAATAAAATTTCCGAGGACTGCGGCGGTGTACAGATCTCCTTTCCTCGAAAGCGAGAGGTAACAGAGAAAATTCCAGAAAGAGTTTCATGAGTATTTAGGAATCCGAAGAAGTCGACACCGTTGTTTCGGTCAAAGGACCCGGTAACTGTGTCAAAGCAGCAATCGCCCAGATTACCGAGGCTGTTGAAGACTTCGAAGCGCAAGTTACCATTCAATTTGACGTTGACAAGGCTTTCCATCGAACAATCATCGGACAGGGTGGCAAGCAAGTCCAAGAGGTTGTGCTCTTCTTTTTTCGTTTAAAAACAATTTTATAGATTCAAAGCGACTTTAACGTCAACATCAAGTTCCCAGGACGTGACGAGCCCGATGATTGCAACACGATCACTGTTTCTGGTCGAGAAGAGAAGGTAGAGGCCGCCAAGGCCGCTATCATCGCTCTTATTCCAGTGACCTTCGAGTATGAGCTTGCTGCTGACTACCACCGAGATTTGATCGGACAAGGAGGCTCTGGATTGAAGGCGATACAGTCAGAATTCCCATCTATTAGAATAACAGTTCCAAAGAGAGCTGATGGTGAAGAACTGAAAGGTTTGATATTTTCAAATGCTTTTAATATTTACAGCCAATTGTTATAGACTCCATCACCCTCGTTGGAAAGCAAGAGGTCATCGATTCGGTTGTAGAGCTTCTCAATGAGAAGAAGAAGGGATGGGAAGCAGATGCTGAAGATCGAGCTCTCCGAAGCTACTCCGAGACCATCGATGTCCACCAAATGTTCCATCCAAAGATCATCGGACAAAAGGTTGCATTTATTTTGGTAAAGTCCATTTTAATCTTCTCTAGGGCGCTGTTATTAACAAGCTGCAAGCTGAGATCAACGCTAGAATTACTATGCCCAGTGATAAGAACAAGGATCTTGCTGCTGTAAGTCTCGTTGCATTGTGCATTTTCTATCGAAAAATGGATCTAATGCTTTTACTTTAGGACGAGATCAGAATTACCGGTTACGAAGCGGAGGTAGCAAAGATGAAAGACGCCATTATGGACATTGTCAAGGGTCTCGAAAGTCACGTGCAACAGGATGTTCTCATTAGCCAGTCCTGCCACAAGGTAGTTTAAAAATATCAAGCAAAGAAGTAAAACCACATTTCTAGCGAATCATCGGTGCTCGTGGTTCCGGAGTTCGAAAAATCATGGGCGACTTTGATGTCGAAATAAAGGTAAAAAGCCCTTGTTTTTGAAACGATAATTATTGGAATATGTAGTTCGGACGATCCCAGGCTCAACCCGACAAGGTAACTGTCATCGGCGCGGCCGATAAGGTCGAAGAATGCATTGACCACTTGCTCAACCTCGAAGAAGAGATCCTGCAAGAAATCGCCGAAAGATCTGAGGAATCTCGCCTTCGTCCTCAACGAGTGGACCCATTCGAGGTCAAGAGCTCAAAGAAGAAGGGTGGCAATGTGAGTATCGCTAGAAAATTGAACTTTTTGCAAGTTTATTTTTAGGCTGGCTTCAAGGTTGCCAACGCTCCATGGGACTCTGGCTCCTCTTCTGACTTCCCTACCTTGGGCAACAACGCCGGCGCAGCGCCTAACGTCAACTGGCGACCAAAGCACTAAAGCTCCTTTCTGCTCAGTATCACAGTGTAGTTTCTTTGGTGGTTAATCATCCCGTTGTGGTATCCATATAAAAACTTAAGAAAAAACCTTCGATCTACTTCGACCAAATTCTTAGGTGTTATTCTTTCTCCTCATTCATTCTAACATTCGCCTGATGTTTTAGTCCGATTCCGCCGTTATTGCAATTCATCCCTTTCACAGACACCCCTTGAAGGGCAGTGCTCAATTTTCCATAGCTGACTCAATTCAGAAAGTCATTTTACGTTCCCTTACTGGCCCTATTACTTCACTACTGTCATTTTACCATTCTTCGCGTAAAGTGAGCAATAATTTCCAACAGCCCCGATTTCTAACTTGGCCTTGGATATCTTTAGCGTTTATTATCGCAATTTCGTACTCGTACTAAATACCGAATCATCCCTCGACACTTTGGACAACTAAATAGGGTTGTCCAAGCATCAAGAAGAACTATGTATGTCCATCTCAACAGAACTAAACTCTTCTCTTGTGAGCTGGTGCTATGAAACTACCAGAATCATCTTAATTAGCTTGTTTCTTATGTTTATTTCCGATCAGATCTATTTTTGTTTGCCGCGGCATTCGCCACGGGCTACCAACATATATGATATATCTATTTAGGATAGATCCCTTTTTCATTCACTTCCTGCGTTTTTTGATGCTATTTTTACCGATGCGATAGTAAAGCAAAGCTGCTGAAATCAAGTTCGATCTTAAAACCTCTCGATTTCATTTCACTTGGAACAAAACAGAAACAATGACGATCTGTCTAAAGACCGTCAATTTTAACATTCAACAAAAATGTGCTTCCCTACCAACGTGCAATATTTACATACCCTTTTTAAGTTCCTAGCCTACTACTTCGACTTTAAAATTATCTGTTTGAAAAGCGTCTCTTCAACTTATCCTACGTTCTTTAATGATAATGTCTTGTTTTTTTTTATTTATTTCACTTTTTCCAATGAAAAAAGCTGCGACGTGAAAAAGAAGCACTATGACAACAATACATATTATGATAAATACAAGAATCAAATCAATTTTTTCTCAATGCAACTAGTTTTTCGTTCATAATGACCATCCCACGCTGACAATCTGTTCTATCACAATGTGCCTAATATTTATTTACAATAGAGGAATTTGACTAAGTCGAGGAACACGCCAATAAATGAAACTTATTTAGAAAATAATAGAAATATAATATTATGTTTTCGCACATTGTTCGAATGCAGACCAGCGTTGTCAGACGATCTTTCGGATACAGTGCTGCTAGATTCGCAGGTACTGTTTAGCCGAGATAAATGAACATTTGGGGAATTTGAGTAAATCTGACTGTGATTCTAGCTGTCCCAAAAGTCGACGACGAGGAAAGACAACCATCAGAAAAAGTAATTGGGCTCGTTGATGCTATTGCCGGCCTGACTCTCCAAGTAACTCATTTTTTCTGAGAGTAGTAGTTCGCTAATCACCATCTTTTCAAAGGAAGTCGCAGATCTCAACACAGCACTTAAAGAGCGCCTCAACATCTCCGAAGTGTCTTATGCTGCCCCAGCAGCGGCCGCGGCCCCAGTTGCCGCCGCTGCTCCTCAGGAAGAAGCCGCCGAAGAGTCAAAGGAAGAAGCTAAGAAGATTCAAACCGAGTTCACAGTCACAATGACGGGCTTCGATGCCAAGAATAAGATTAAAGGTATTCTTAGGATGATTTGAAGGACGCGTCTTTAATCTTTGGCTTCAGTTATCAAAGCTATTAAAGCTAATATGCCTGACATGAATCTGGTCTCTGCGAAGAAGTTTGTCGAAGATCTGCCAAAGGTTCTGAGACAAGACGTGGCCAAGGAAGAAGCCGAAAAAATTATGGAAGTGTTCAAGGCGGAAGGCGCCACTGTTGAGATGAAGTAAAAGCATCTGAATAAAATATATAAATATTGCGAATCTGCTGAACTCCTCGAGCTTTGCCATTGAAATGCTTTGCTTCGAAGAAACTCTCCAATCTTATACTCGTCATTGAAACTTATACAATGCAAACTATATCGGAATTTATTTGTAAAGGGAAAGAATTATAAAACTGAGAACACTTTCTAGTGCTCAAAATAACCTGGCGACTTTGCTCTGGTTTCGAGATTCAGAGTGTTTAGAATGCTTTATTTCAGAATAGAATTGGATGTTACAGGCTAGTTTTTGAGAACGAAATCGGTCTTTTGAGCAGGCTCATTGGGAAAAATGCGCTTGAAGTTGACGAATTTCGAGCATTTTTCTTTGTAGTTCGCGCAATCTTTCGACGTAGAAATTCCAGATGATCGACAAGCTTCTAATTTTGTATTATTAAATTCAATCAGCTGATCCAGATAATTTCTTACCAAATATTCCCGAGCAAGTAGTCGGATCAGGTGTGTCCATTTTCGCTAAAGGCATTTTCGAGTTTGCTGGAATTCGTTTTAAAAAGGCAATTTTTTCGAATTGGGTGTTGTCGGTGGTTGCTATCTGATTGTGCGAGTGAAAGGGGCTTATTGCAGCTTTCCGATCGTCTCGTTCGATCTTATGCCCGGGAACATTTTAGCAAGAGGGGTGACTAATCTCAGAGCTTCTCATTATTGTGGAAAATTGTCGAGACGAATTTTTGGTAATGATGATTGCTAAACATGATATACTGAAGCCTCGGTGGGTTTCAGACTTAGTTGAATAGTTTTGTTAGAACTCTCACTTAAAAACTATAGGGCTATACAATTATATAAAGTGATTTCAGGTCTTTACAAAACCCTCATCGTGTCACCCTGACACTACCTGATAATGGCATTTCGGGAGAGCTGAAGTCAACATTAAGTTACATTCGTTCTTGATTTTCAAGTTATAGATACTCTTACGATTCAAATTGTATGCCCCCGGGGTTATGCCACACCCTTGGGTACCGATATCAGTCAACGTAAAGAGCAATTTTCTCACCTTTGATTTACCCCCTTTTTATGTAACTCTTCAATGCCTGTTGCATAATTGTCACACTGTTAGCAGTTCAAAAACTGTCTGTTCTCGTGCTCTTCTAGCTTAGATTTTTAGCGAAGCGAGCCCAAAGAAAATCTGTGATATTTATAGAGACAGTATGGCCAAGTACGAAATTGTTATGGTCCGCCACGGCGAGTCCCAGTGGAATCAGCAGAACCTTTTCTGTGGTTGGTTCGACGCCGACCTCTCTGAAGCCGGTGTTGCTGAGGCCGCCGCTGCTGGACAGGCCTTGAAGAGTAAGTTTCTCCTTTTTACTTCTCGTTTCTATGACCGCTTAATAGACGCTAACTACAAGTTCGACGCTGCACACACTTCTCTCCTTCAGCGTGCCAACAAGACCTGCAACTCGATTCTCGAGGCTCTTGGTCAGCAAGACATTCCAATCAACTACACCTGGCGTTTGAACGAGCGCCACTATGGTGATTTGACAGGCCAGAATAAGAAGGAAGCCGTCGAAAAGTTCGGAGCTGATCAGGTTCAGATCTGGCGACGATCCTTCGCCACTCCTCCACCTGCCATCCTTGAGGCGAATGCCTACTTCGAAACCATTCAAAAGGTTCTAATCAAGACTAAGTTAAAATAGCCAAACTGTTTCCTCTAGAACCCCAAGTACAAGGACGTTCCAGCTGAAGAATTCCCAGCTTGCGAATCGCTCGAGCTCACCATCAAACGAACGCTCCCATATTGGAACGACGTGATTGTCCCTCAGCTCAAGGAGGGCAAAAAGCTTCTCATTGCCGCTCATGGAAACTCCCTTCGAGGCATTGTCAAGTACCTCGGTAAGTTAAAATAATCTCTCTTATTTTCGGAAACCTAAGAAAAGCTAGGGACAGGAACAATATAAATTAATATTCAACATTTTTTTTCGGGCTTTTGAAATTTTTGGTCCTCCGATCATGCGGGGCCTTAATAAGAGTAGCTCGGCACTTATTCCTTTTCTTAGATGACATGACAGAGGACCAAATCATGGGCTTGAACTTGCCTACTGGAATCCCATTCGTTTACGAGCTCGATGAGAACTTCAAGCCCGTTGTTTCGATGAAGTTCCTCGGAGATGAGGAGACTGTCAAGGCCGCCATGGAAAAAGTTGCTGCTCAGACTGGCGGCGCCAAGAAGTAAATCGTTCAATTTCAAACTAAAGTTTTCTCACATGTTATATTCTGCCCTACAAAAAGTATTATGTTTCTAGTTCTGTGTGTTCTGTGCCCGACAAAATATATAATTGCCTCTTAGATTGTGTTTCTGCTGAAATCAAGGTCCATATCAGTGTATTTTATTTATTAAATACAGTTCACATAACAGATAAAAACCGACCTGGGTGATAGAAAGCTGTTAAGACGATCCAACTTTTCTATGCCGACCAGCCATATGTTTTGATTTCATTCATGAAGCAGACTCCAGTGATAAATGTCAATGAATAAAAAACGAAGCAGGTCCCTTCATGAAGCTCAGAAATATTGCCACGCAATCTTGTTGTATTTAACGTTAGTCCGGTAGGCCCTTGAAGCGAGAACATCATCTTTATGATCCATTAACTCATTAAGACAATCAACTTGTCCTCGTCACTTGAGGAAGTTGGGCCCGTCAGTCTTTTATTAGTCTGAACGTTGTTAGTTAATCACTTACCTATCAGTCAATTTTTTGATGAGCTTTCACATAAGTGCTCCCTGAAATAGCAAGTTCCTCTATTTACTTATACTGTGATTAGTGACGAAGAGTTTCTATTGTTTCTGTGGTTTCTCAATAGACGGGAGACTTTCTGAGCCCTTCCTGAAAAAATGCATAAAGCCATGATGATGTTGACAAGATAAGCGGTTGTTTCACTAGTTCGACCGAGAATAATATCTGTTGCCAATTCACTGGCGTCGCAAAGGCGGAAAAGCCCCATAAAGTCAAGCACAGTGCTGCGGTCAACGTTGATTCCTGAACAGAGAGTTGCGGGATTAACTATCTTATTGTCTCATAAGCACCTGGAAATGGCTCTTCAGTATCGGTGCCGTTGTTAGCTTCTATCCTGTCCAAATCCGTGCCAAGGTTGTCTAGGTTACAGATTTCTCGGAAGGCAGTCAGTGTAGAATTGTCCAAGCTTGATATCGGCTAGAAAATTGATATTTCTAATGATTGGCATTGGTTTTAGAACTTACCACTATAGTTTTATTGCCAAGCCACATTCCGCTGATAACCGTGCTTCCGCTGAACCCAATGATGGCGATAAAGCCGAAAATAAGATGGAAGAGCAGAAGCCAGTGGCTCTGGCATTTTCCTGCCAATGCTCCGAGGAGTGTTACGAACACAGCGTACCTGATGGTTTATTTTTATCGAGTGTCTTCCTACAACTGAGTCTTACCCCATAAAACAGAGTGGCACCATTGATAGCACATTTCGAGGATCTGGGACTTGTGCGTATAAATATGCAGAAATTCCAAAACCGCCGAGTGCGAGAATGAGCTCTTTAATCGCATTAAAGATTATCTTGTCGGTCACTTTACCGGTGATTCATTTATGTTTCGGACTATCTTATCAACTATTTAAGTACTTATTGCTCTTTTGCTCCCTTTATCGATGATGATAATCCCAAGAAAAATAAGTTTCACTCGCTTCATGTTGCACTTATCTTCTCTCTCTATGTCTCTCTTTGTATCCTCAAAATCGTAATTGTGCTCAGAAAGTGTGACGAAACGAGAAATAGACTCAGTCTCTATGCTAGGGATAAAAGCTACCCTTATTGAAGTCGTAAAAGTTGGAGACTGACTAATTCGAGCCTCATTGTGAATGAGCACTTCATATTGTATCAATAGGTTACCAAGTCAACTGATTAGAACTCCTTGAACTTCTCGAGTTTATATCTATTTGTTCTGCTTGTTGCTTGATTGACCCACCGATTGAGCTCTTGAAGCTAGTAGAAATAACACATTTATATAGGATTCTCCATCTCAAAGTATGTCAGTCCTGATCATTAAGACAATATCAAAGCCATAATTTATCTTGTTTCGTTTTTTCGGTTTATTATGCAGGATGAAGCTAAGTACTATATCATTTTCACTTACTGAGCTAAAAATCCTCCATCGATTGGATGAGTTGTTCCATTAACCATTGAAGAAAGGTCTTAAATTGCATATATATTTTTGAATTTGAAGCTAATTTGCTACCTGAAAGAAGATATAGCACCGGCCCTACTACGTCTTCGACCTCAGCAAATCGGCCGAGTGGAATTTTGGCAAGCATAGGACCTGCCTTAGCTGGGTCAGACCATCCTACTTTCGCCATCGCAGTCATAACCACCGTCGGATTGACAGCATTAGTTCTGTTTTGAAGTTTAAAAAGAGCAATCAACAAGGTGCTCGGGAATACTTTGTTAACTCCTGCCTTATTCCGAGCGGACCAAGCTCAAGCGCCATGATTTTCGTGAGCATATCAAGGGAGGCTTTTGTCATTCCATAGACCACGTGATCTGCTAGGGCAGCTTGGGAAGCTTGAGGCTCGAGTTCGTTTATTATTCTTGATAAATTAGCCAAGTATCTGCCAAAAGTTTATCTTGAACTCATTCCTTGTGAAGAAATGTTAACAATCGACCCTCTTTGCCGTTTCGCCATATCTTTGCCGATTACTTGAGCCACGTGCATCGCACCTAGTCCGAAAATATTCATCATTGATATAGAAAAGAATGACCTTTTACATTGATGTTCATTTGGGTATCGAAATCTGCCTCGGTTGCTTCCAAAAATGGTCGACAAATCGCCACAGCAGCGTTGTTCACGAGTCCGTCGATCCCTCATTCAAGCTCGATTTAATTGTATTAAACAGTACATATTTGCATGATTAATTTTACACAAATCAGCCCTATCCTTCTAGTGCTCCGAGTTTTTGATCGATATCGTTCCAGCTTGAGACGTCGCATTGGATCGGAATCAGCCTCTCTCCTAACTCTGCTTTGAGGCCATCAAGATCAGACTGTGTTCGTGAGACAGCTAGAGATTCCTTTAGTTGGTACTTATGCCAAGATGTCTACCGTATACGGATGCTCCTAGTTGAACGAGTTTCTGCGCAATTCCTCGTCCTATCCCCTTTCCTTTTTAGTGGTCTTACTGACGATCATTTCTAGTTAGATCTAAATTAGAAATAAGATCATCTAATTATATGCACCCAATAAAACTCGTAAAATTAACTATCCAACCACTTCCTGCTCCAGTAACTACGATTTTTCGTCCCGAAAAGTCCATTTTCCGCTCTCTCTTTACGCCCCAGGTTATTATTGACTCATGCCTTCTTTTGCTTGCTCAGTAAATCATTCACAGACTCTCGGGATCAAGATCTTTTTCTGCAACTCCAGATAAAACAGCTTTGCAGAAATTTTTTGGCAGAAAGAATTTGATAAAGAAGAAGCTTTGACAGAAAATGAGAGCTCATTTTATGATCACATTTAAAGCTTCAGCTTTACCGTTCTTTCTCGGATCCAGCGTCTTTTTGACTTTTGACTTCCGAGATTATCGGATATCTACCATTATTCTCTAAAATGCTTTGTATTTATATATTTGTACTCTAGATTCTGCTCGGCTTCCAGCGGCCGCGTGGCCTAATGGATATGGCGTCTGACTTCGAATCAGGAAGTTGTGGGTTCGAGTCCCATCGTGGTCAAAACTTTTTTCTTGTGAAAAAGTGTCTAGAAATCATCGACAATTTCGATTATTGGTCCTGCACCGTCTGTTCCTACAAATTATGAATAAGATAATTATTTTCTGTAAAACATGCTAACAAAAGAGTTTGAATTCTTCGGAAGTATTCTCCCTCTTGGTCTGTGTTAATCTTGGTTTATTTTCGGTATGCTATCAAGCTATGCAAGATAAGGGGCAGTGACACAGTTTGGGGAAAATTCTTAGAGGCGTGTCGGCTTCTTTGTCTTGCGGGTGTTGTTCGGTGTCTTTCCTTGCTTCTGCTTTTTCTTCGATGCACTTTTCGGGCCTTTATCTTCGTTGATTTCAGCCTCCTTGGACCAGAGTTGAAAATTTAGTAATTTATACTATAAATTTTATAGTATTATAGTAACTATAGTACATAGTTTTAAATTATGTACTACTTATAAATTAGTAATAATTAATAGTATTAAATCAGCTAAAAATACAATCGGCAATCTATTAGATTTTGCAACTCTGCCTTGAACAGCTCTGCCATTTTTTCATCAGAAGTAAATGGGTTAGTCGCCGCTTCGAGATTCTTGTGCGCCTTCTGCAGGACTTTCTTGACAGCCTTTCACGCTTTTTTTTTGTAAAAGTAAATGATTATTACTTAGAACAGGGCTACAAAATTAGAACATTTAAAAACGTGCCTTTGGTAGGCGCGGGCCCTTCCTCGATGTTTTCGTCGCCGGAGCAAAGTTGCTTGATGTTGAAGAGGGAGAAGCGCCTTGAACGGTGTTTGTGAAAAGAACCATGTGCATTATTGTCTGTAACAGGGGTAGAAATTTGGACAAAAATCAACAAATCATGCTGAAGTCCAGTCTATAGTGGTAGTCTGTTTCGACCCATAGTCTGCATTGTATCGTTTCCAAAAAGACAGCAGTTGCAGTTCTCCATTTCTTTGCCTCCAGTCGTCATGAGCATTGCCCGTCTTTTCGCGATGAATTCCTTGACGTGCTCCACTTGCTGCTCATCTTCAGGGCAAAAGAGATGCTTTGCAGGAACGAAATCTGGGTCCTTCCAAAGAGATTGCTCTCTCTGGACGATTTCTCCTTTGTACACACAGGCCAAGAATGTCATAAGTCCTCTGTAGATGTCTTCCATGAGTGTCCCTTCACAAGTGGCGTCTCTGAGAGGAATGTCTGGAACTCGAAATTTGCATTTGCAGGAGAGCTCGAAATCGCAGTCGCCAGTTCCCATCTGATTCATCCGAATCTGGAAGTCAGGGAATCCTTCGAAGCCATTGAATTTCACGAACATATTGACAATATTGTCCGACATTTTAATGTAATTGACGGTGACCTTGTTCATCCTGTAAGTAGGTGCACGTGCCTTGCTCGTTGTAGCCTACAATTTGTGGGGACGCTCAGCCTTACCCGAAATGAAAGGCAATACATGAACCTACTCTAGAATTAACAAGGTCACCCCCTACTTCGGCTCTCTTTGAATTGATCCAGGAGTTGCTTTTTCTTTCGGGAATTGCAATAAGATTTCTTAGTTGCCCAATAAGGGCCGATTATTAAAATCACAGCCAATCAGCACTCAAAACATGAGCGATCGGGATGGACACACAGTTTCGGGCGACACCACATCGCGCTACCACACAATAACGCCCGAGCGCAAGAGAGTAACCCCGCTCAAATTGAAACCTCATCTACGCGAACTAAAAGTTTTTAGTCTAAAATTATCAGGCCATGGAAAAGACTTATGAACTCCATCGGAGAGAGTTTCTACAAATTTAATAATATTATTATTACCATGAGTTGACCGTTCCTCTTGGTTTATTTTTAGTATGGAATAGAATAGTACAGGTAGACAAGTGGCAGTTTCGATCTGACGGAAAACTTCTCATAGACGTGCTGGCTTCTTCGTCTTGCGGATGTTATTTGGTGCTTTTCCTTGATTCGGCTTCTTCTTGATCAATTTCTTCTGTGGCTTGACTCCGACGGTCTCTTTGAACAGCTCTGCCATCTTTTCATCAGACGTGTATGGCTTTGTCGCGGCTTCGAGATCCTTGTGAGCCTTCTGGAGCACTTTCTTGACGGCCTTTGGTAGGCGCGGGCCCTTCCTCGCTGTTTTCGTTGCCGAAGTCAAGTCTCTGGATGTTGACGAGTGGGAGGATCCTTGGACTGTGCTTCGGAAAATAATCAGGTGCATCATCGTCTGCAATGTGTCGTTGCCGTAGAGGCAGCAATTGCAGTTCTCCATTTCTTTCCCTCCAGACTCAATGAGCATTGCCCGTCTTTGCTCGACGAATTCCTTGACGTGCTGTACCTGCCCCTCATCTTTCGGGCAAAAGAGATGCTTTGCAGGTTTGAAATCGGGAACATTCCACAGCGATTCCTCTTTCTGGACGACTTCCCCTTTGTACAGGCCGGCCAAGAAGATCGGTAGTCCTTGGTAGATGTCTTCGATGAGCGTTCCTTCACAAGTCGCATCTCTGAGAGGAATATCTGGAACTCGGAATTTGCATTTGCAGGACAGCTCGAAGTCGCAGTCTTTTGTACCCATCGGATTCAATCGAATCTGGAAGTTTGGGTATCCTTCGAAGCCGTCATATTTCAAGTAGATATTGTCTGACATTTTAGTTTTTTGATAGAGTGTGGGCTCAGTGCCCGATTAAATGTATAAGATCAACCGAAAGAGGGCGTAAAGTGATCAATAAGCAGACACCGAAAAAGTTCGGTTGCGCAGGTGATAACCACCAAGATCGGAACTGGTCATCCCGCTGATTGAGATAAATGATCCAATCTGATGCTAATAAGACAACCTTCTACTAGTAGATCTTTTCCGTCCGATATTTAAATTCATCTTGATTCCCTTAAGAGTCAGGTGTGCACTAGAAGAAAGAGATTCTCAATATTTCACCAACAGAAATCCCTTTTTGAAGTCTCAATTTTCATGCAGACTGCGCAATGCTGAAATTCTCGAAGGCGAAAGGAATATCCATCAGAAGGTGGAAACATTCCTTTTAGAAAGATATAACTTTATTTGAAGTATTTATTAGGTCATCGTTGTTTGTTAGGTATTTAAGAAAAGTTCGATATACAGCAGAAAATATATAATGTATGAACAGAAAAAATATAAGACAAAGGAAGAATGAAGAATTAAAGTTATAGCATATCAGTAAAAACACTTGCCAATAAATACTCAGATTTACGGACTCCTTGTTGGCTTCAAGGAGCGGATCATCTGTAATGTACTATTCTTCGCGTTGAACTTGCATAATCGAAAATAGGATCACCAACCTGTGGTGAGGTTATGTGACAAAATGAGCGGAAAGAGTTTCAGTAAAGAGGTCTTGTTTTCGAAAAGGAATAAACAGGAAAGCGAAGAAGAGTTTTGTCGGAACCAGAAGATCTTTGTACCTTGAGAAGAGAGTGAGATACTCAACACGGGGAAAGTCGTTATCTCGCCCAAAGAAAAATATAATACAGGAACAGATACAAGAGCTTGGAACTAGGATTGATAAAAGTAAAGATAAATTGACACGCGTCTGGTTACTTTCGGGAGAAAATAAATTGGCAATACCTACAAGAAAAATAAATACCCGTCAGCAAAAGGCATCATACAAATAACCAGGCGCTTGTGTGTGTTTCATGGCTACTTCAGTTTCATTCAGACATTCAGAGCTCGAGTTAGATCGGACTTAGAGGCTGCGTCTTCGCTGTGAATGTTTTTAAATAGCGATGCACGCGAAGAAGCGGATTCTCGTGCGCGATCGGCAGCGGGCTTGGAACGTTCACTTCCATGAATCTGAAAATGCGCCACCACCAGGCTCGGGTGAGCGGGACCCGAGTAGATGACCCAGTAGGACTCGTTACGTCAGGAATAGCGGCCATCGTGTGATACATCCAGAAATGGTTGGACACGATGTAATAAGCAATGATTATGTCGATCGTGTAGTGCTGAATTGGTAAATAGGAGGAACGAAAAGGGAATAAGTGATGGTACCTCATGAGCGACTAGAATGCAAAAAACGCCGATGATGGCGGCAATTTGAACGATGTAGTGGTAGACCCACCAGCGGCGCGGAGAATACTCCAAAATGAAGAGCGCCGAAGAAGTGATGATCGAAGTGTGACCAGAGTACATGTAATCACTGAATATTATATAAGAAAAGCTCAGACGGCTATAATAATGACTTACCCACACATATTCATGCCAGTCATGTCCATGCCGCTGTGCCGTGCCGTGCCGTGCCGCTCAGATTTCCATCCCTGCGCCAGAGAGTGTCTTCCATGCTCTTTGGAGAATCTGTTCGACCGAGCCGTCCGTCTTTGGCATGCAGTGGTTCGGCGGTAACTTGGGCACTGGAAGGATTGTGACGGAGATAGTCAGCACTCTGTACAGATAGACTAATAACATTTAGCAAAAATGCAGGAGAGCGAGCAAAACCTGTTCCGACGTGAAATAACCAGCGACGAAAGACGATCGAGAAGTGAACATGAGTGATAAAGTGGAGATGAGCTAAATCATTCGTAATTTTGTGAAAAAGAAGGTGTTTTTTACCTAGAACTGTGAGGCAGAGAATAATGATTTCTGTAAGTTTGAAACAGAGGTGATTCCCAAATTCAGTCTCGAAGGGCCACTTTGCGGTCAATTCCCATGCGATATCAGGAAGAGGAGCAGTGGTGTTTTGATCTAAACAAGTCAAAAAGCCGAAAAATGAACAGGGTTGAATACCTGGCACTTTGTCGTGGACGATTGCTTCCGTCACCGTCATCAGAAACAGACAGCATTGCAAGTAGATTAAAATGACAAATGTTTTCCACCATTCTGGGACGTATCTCTTTTGTGGCGATTTAAACTTTGACGTGGACTCCTTCTGCCGTCTTCTGGCACTGGATCTCTGTATCAGCATCGCTCGATCACTTTCGTCTTCTTCATGAAAAGAGTCTGAACAAAAAAATTGTGAGAATTGATTCGTCTCTCTCAATATCGTAATTTTTCTGAAGCTCGTAAAAATCGTTTTCTTCCTTTCGAGCAAGTTGGCTGCTCGCTCTCTTGACCACGCGCCGAGATCAAGAAAAAACGCTCTTCTCATTCATAACAATGCGCTTTAGCCATTTACGCCGAGGCTATTATTTCAACCAAATAAAAGAATACTTTTCAAGACTACTAGGCACTTCAATTGACAATTGATAGCCAAATCTAATTTTTTCAAAATTAAAGAACGCTTGAATGAGCTCAAATTAATAAGAATAATGTCGAAAGCAAATCTACCTCAACTTCTCATGTTCGCAGATTCCTGATTCATATAAAACACTTTTTATGGTGCAAAAGGCTCAAATCCAATCTTTTTTATCTGTTCGTTTCACTTTGTTTACCTTGATAGATCCCTTGTTTCTCGATTTATAAAAATTGAAAAGCGCGAGTTAATTCTACAGTAGAGTCGAAGAGAAACGCCTTCCAGATCGAGAAATACTCCAAATGTTATGCGGGGCCATAAAATCATGCTTTTTTGCAAATATTTGTGGCTCGAGTTGTGTTTCTTGGCAGCGTATTAATTCACACCTAATTCGGCTTTAGGATTTGATTGTTACCTGAATCGCTTTGGCGAGTTTCGGCTGTGGGGGCGGCGGTATTCTTCCGGCACTTGACCGAGGGCTCATCGTTCGAAGAAGACCCTTAAAAATCGCGGTGAGCTCGACTGGCAGTAATCAACTAACGCGTTGTGTACCTTGTTCTGTCGAGGTGCCAGACTCGATAATGATTTCTGTGTTTTCGTTTGTCATCGTCGTCGCGCTTCTGTCGAAAAAGCTGCTCGACAGAAATTGCAGCTGCTCTCTTTCCCCGTGCTTCATAAATTTGCTCGATTAACTATTTCCTCAATCGTAACCCAGTACATTTAGTACAATCCCAATTGAACGAATTTCAATTGAAAAAATGGAGAATTGCGATCGAGAATCGAGACAGTATTCAACCAGAAAGGTGCAATCAATATTCTCTCACTGCACAAATATTGATCATTGGAGAAAAACTCGGACTTTTGCTTTTGAAAAAAAAAGGAGAAATTGAGTATGAATCTATGAATGGGAAATCTATTAACGCTGAGTTTTGCTGTAGACGGAAAAATGCACTTATTGTTTGCATTCATATCTGATCAATCTGCAAATAAAGGCTTGTTGGGAAGAAAATATCGTATTTCCTACGAAGGACCGCAAATTATGAGAGAATTTCTTGACTGACTTTTCTTATTTTCAGAGTTTTTGAAACTATGGAAACTTAAACGTTAAATTGTGGATGAATTAAGCAAATAAACTAGCAATTGGAAAAAATAAACCTCTTTTAGATAAAATTTAAGCACGATCCTGCGGGTAATCTTGATTTGATTTCTCTAATTTCTCATCGTAAGAACGAAAAGAAATTCTCGCGCTGCTTCGAGCGCGCTGACGCTCATTGGTCAAACGCCAAATCCTCATTTTTTGCACTCAGAGTTAGAGCAGCTTTCCTGAAGAGTAAATTTGCGCGCTTATGACAGTATTTGAGATGATTGCTGGATGATCCATTCTTACTAATGATCTTGACTGTTATTTGTTGGTCGCGCGAATTCAAGAACATTCGTATTGGAGATAAAAACGGACCTGTGCGCCCATACCAGCCATTCTTATGCCCGTCCTTCGCCAGCCAGAGCTTCATTTCTAACAGAGATTCCTATTAAGAATGCGAATCGTCTTTGTCGATGACGAGCAGCCTGCTGGCAACAATCCGCCGACGATGCCGCGAAGAGGCGTCAATGTGCTGGCGCAACACAGTGATTCCGGCATAGAAGAAGGACCAGCCTACTCTTCTGCTCGATCTACGCCATTCCGAGCTGAGCGGAACGAGGAGAACTATCCACGACGGTATGACCAAAGAATATTTTCAACAATGACGCTAAATTTTAGAGATCGGAACAATAATAACCACCGCCCCGAATATGCTCATCGCGCCAAGTATGAAGGCGAAAGGAACGGACTCTCTATTACTTTTTCACAATTAAAAAGTCTTCTCTCTTTTTATATCACCTTTAGATAGCCTTTATAAAGATATGCTCACCGCGAGAAATACTTGCTGGAAGTTGATGAGTACTATCACGATCGGTGCTTCCCCGGACGCCAAGATCATTTTGACGAAGAGAAAGATCTCAATGATGTGGCAGAAATGGCTGATGAAAGTCCGATCGTTGGCTTTTACAACCAAGGAACCAACAGAACAGATTTTCTTGGGCTGAAGTATCGGCACTATTTCAGCTTTGATACTCAGGTATGCAGCAAAATCGTCAAAATCATGATGATATTATTTTTCAGAACGGACACGAATGTATTGGTAGCTGGATGACAGCAGATGGACATCTTTTCCTCAAAACGGACAAGAATGGCCTTGGCAAAAATGCACAACCCGGAGATGATCCTCCAGAAAACTTTGAGTATCGAAAGAAAGGACTCCAACCCGATCTTGTTGGAAATCCAAATTACACGCCTCTGAACTCGCGATACCCGAAGAGATTCAAGTCACGCAAACCCAATGAAGGAAACCGTGGCTTTAACCGTGGAACACGAGCGCCCAATGTCGGTGGCGCGCGGCGCGGAAATACTTACTTCTTCAAAGGATCCACCAGCGGCAAGCGCGGAAAACGATGGGGCTTTGGATATCGTCCCTATTAGGAAAGAGTTCTATCATCAGTTATAAAAAAAAGTAATAACGTACATCCCTAAACTCTGAGATACAGATGCCCTTCATAATGGATAGAGAATCAATTATTGCACCATTGCCAGCTGCAATAATTGATAATAAACCCTAACCCTCCCCAATAGAAATATTATTACCCGCAAAAAATTTAAGTGCCTAGTTTTTAGTATTCCAGATTCGCGAGTGGCGAATCTCTTCAAACCTATTCTTGCGCTTCAACTATCTCGTTGTTCACTTCACTACTTCGTTAACATCCCCCGCTTTTTCCTGACTGATCATATTTGCTTTTGCTTGAGCCTTTCGACATAATACTTATGAAGTAGAGACCTGATTTTGGAAAGCTCGAGTTTTTCCAATACTGTAATGCGAACACTTGTTCCTTTTCAAAATCATTTTGCTTCATGATATTTGCGAGGCTCCCTTTTGATGAATCCTGACTGCCCCTCTAGAAATGATGCAAGACCAATTGTTTGTCTATTAATAATAAACCTCACATTTAAAAGTTTCCTTTGTTTTTATTGGAAGTGCAGGCGTAGACGCAACTTACAGGAATAATTAAGAAAAAATGGCGAAGTCGAAATCGAAAGGAAAAAAGACCACTACAGGGTTCAACTCAGCAGCAAAGCCCAAAAAGTCGAACCCGTTCGAGGTCAAAGTGATCAAGACAAAAAATGACACGCTGAATACTAAGGTGCGAAGGTTTCAGAAGTCTGCGCCGAACCAGAGTAGATCCAAAGCAAAAAAGATGCGGGATGATACTCTCGGCAAAGAATTTAGAAATCGACTGAAGCGGAATAACTTCGTTGATGCTCGTCTCAGTGCCAAGTAAGCCCATACTGGCGATTCATTGTAGTCATGCGCGTTATTTACTTTAGACAAAATATGTCAGAAGAAGCATTGGAGGTGGAGAAATTCGCAAAAGAAGCAAAAGACGAGTGAAATCGGACTTATTCCACAGTGGTAATGATCTCGAGCAGGACGTTATGCTGACTCATCGGGGAAAAAGCATTACGGACATGGAGCGGATGGAGAGTCCGATCCAATCCGACGACGAAGATCCAGCCGACGCTGGAAACTTGACGGAACAGCAGACGGAAGCGCTATTTGGGGGCGGCGTATTCGACAAGAAAAGGGATCACAAAGAGATCATGCTCGACGTTATCGCAAAATCCAAAAAGCACAAGTTCGAAAGACAGCAGCAGAAAGAAGCGCAGCAAAACGACTTTGAGAAATTGGACTCAAGCTATTCGAGCATCCTCAAATTGACGAGTAAAATGACGCGGACGAACGATGATAAATACGAAGACAAGAAAGAGTTGGGAAAAGACTCATTCCAGCGGTTGATGAGGGAGATGACCTTCGAAGGAAAAATACAGCCTGGTCAAAGGGCGAAGTCGCAAGCGGAGGTTCTCGAAGCGGCGAATAAAGAACGATTGGAACGTATTACCGCGGCAAAGGCGCGAATGGAAGACGACGAAGAAGACACACTCATCGAGAATAACTTCGAAAGTGTAGAAACGATTCACCAGAAGACGGAAGAGCGGAAAGAAGTTGAGCCTATCGCGTATTCAATGGAGACGGGCGAGCTCATTAATCATAGAGAGGAACTCTCGGAAGCGCTCAGGAGAGGATTTGACTTTTAAAAAATTTAGGATTTCATAAAATATATATGATATATAATATATCCTCGCGAAAGAAACATTCGAAAGACGGAATCAGATGAAGAAATGGACGAAGAAGACGACGAGGAGGAATTTGAAGAAAGTGGGGAAGAAAGCGGCGACGAAAATATGGATGAGGAAGATGATGAACAAGAAGAAGAGAGTGAGAATGAAGAACAAGCGGAGCAGACTAAAGTAAATATTGACGAAATCGCCGAAGAAAAGGAGGAATCGGAGAAGGAGAAACTACCGACCCTTCTTGACGCGATTGACAAGTCAACGGAAATGCTCTCCTCAGACAAAAATTTCCGGAAGAATTTAATGACGTACAACAACGCGGGACGCATCAAACTTCTGAAACAGCTAGCAGCATCGACGATATCTGGAAATGAAGCTGAACGACAGGCTCGTTTGTTGTCGCTTTTCCAATACACTGTGCTTAGAATAATGAAGAAGGAAGTGTTTGACGAAAATGGAGAATCTGTGATGCCCATTTTATTTGATATTTCCGAGAAGTGCAAGGCCTGCGGTGGAAGCGTACTCCAGATTGTCCGAGAATTTGCCGATAAGCCTGTCTCGATTGAGTTTGTCCGTCTCCTCCGGCTAGCTTTCACTCTCTACAGTGTTTCCGACTTTTCCCACCCCATAACCCTCCCTCTTCAAATGGTCGCGATAAGAATGCTGAGCAAAATCAGAGCAAGGAAATGGTCTATTAATTTAAGGTCTAAATTAATGAAGTCGAACTATTCTAAACCATGAACAAGAAACATCAATGATATTGCCCTTGGATTATATCTTTGCGGATTGCTTTTGAAATCAATTAGGCTGAGTAACCGTTTCATTCCGGAAGTGGTGATCTATCTCGAGTCTGTTTTGAATCTGACGCTGTTCTCTGACGAGAGAAGCAAGCGTATCCTCCCCAGCTTTCGTTTGTCTAACTTGAAATTTTCCATCGCAGAGGGTAAAAGACTAGTCCATGTAGATCGAGTTAAATCGAATGTCTTCAGAAGACGAATCGAAAGTTCTTGATGTTTCGACTCCGACACACACTTCAATCATAAAAACTGCCGTCAGATTAGTAACAAGGGCTGCTTCTATTCGAAAGGTTGTCTCCAGCCAGGAGATCTTCAGCCCATTTAAACAACTCGTGGAGGAATTGCCTTTGGACGACGAAGAAAAGGTTCGTCGAATAATTGACATGCTAAGAAAGAAGCATATTTTAGAACGAAGTCAACGAGGCAATCGAAAATGCCTGCAAGACTACAAAAACTTATTTATGTAAAAAGAAGAAAGTAACCGGTAAATACTGGTATATCTCGCTGATAATTGACCTGTCTGAATTTTAGGAATAAAAATGTACGATCCAAAGATCGACTTTGACGGAGATGCTCGCGCGTCTGTCTCACGAAAGGCGAAATCTGTGAAGAGACTGGCAGATCAGCTAAAGAGTATGTTTATTGGGTTGAAAGCGCGCTAACACCCTTTTCAGAGGAAAAGAAATCGACACTGAAGAAATTGAAAGACGACAGCAGATACCTTGCGGAGCAAAAGCTTCGAAAGCAGAAGGCCCTCGACGATCAAAGAAAGCGAAAGACAAAGGCATTATTGGGTTCCCTGGCGAATCAAGAAGGAGAAACGAAAGCCTTTTCAAAGAAAAAATTCAATCTTTTCCCGAAACTGTAACCACGCTACTGTACATTTCGGTTTTAACATCCTGTGTTAATTTTTGATCTCAATTTAGATATCGTAGCGGATTTTTATGAAAGAGGATCTAAATGGTTGACATATTGGGCTTGTTTGGGACAAACACAGACAGCTCGCCGAAGCCTGGCGATGAGCACTGTGAGCTTGGAGAAGTAACCAGCGTTTTTTTAACGTGGACTGACTAATTTTTAGAACGTTTCCTCTTTGCCTCCCGAAGAATACTACGGCCCCGTCGAATACAAACGCCAGTTAACATCAGTAAAGCCCGAAAGACTGACTCATTTGGCAACGCAAATGCAATTTCGGCTTACTGAAGGCAATGGCGAATGCAGGAATGATACTGAACCTTGCTGAAGCTGTAGCTTTCTACCAGGTCAACATCTAAAATGAGATACATTATTGGTGTAAACGATGACGGCTCTTTCTTCGGCTTGGGAAAGAATCAACTTAACGAGACCTTAAAGGAGCGGTATCACCTTTTCGATAAATAACCGTCTCTTCATTGTATTTCTTGTAAAACTATTTGATATCGTCGCTCAGACTCTCAATTCTATGGCTAAGCAGCTTTCAGCAGAAACTACTGTCATCCGAAAGCGTGAAATTTCAAAAGACAAGTTTGTGATGGAACTTCTAGTTCGACAAACGAATGAAGACTCGACGAACATGGACCAGGTGCTTATTTTTGTTTCTATAATGTCTAACAACTCAAAAGCGAATTGCTGTTCTAGGGAACGTAGACGCTGGCAAGAGTACTTTGGTTGGCGTTCTCGTAAACGACGAGCTTGACAACGGACGTGGCCGTAGCCGGCTTCAGGTTTGCTCTCTTAAAAAACTGAAGCATTAGATTATCTTTCAAGATGTTCCGGCATCCACATGAGATGGAAAGTGGGCGGACTAGTTCCATATCCATTGACTTGCTAATGTTTGACCAAAACGGAAACATCACCGAAGATCAGTCATCTGCAGCTAAAAACTTCGAAATATGGGACCTGGCGGGCGACTCGAAATATATGAAGACGACGCTTTACGGGCTAACCTCTAGTAAGCCCGGCTACGTGATTCTCATAGTTTCCGCCAACAAAGGCATCCAGGTAAGTTTTCTATCAATCAGAAACATTTATGTCGACAATAACGTTTTGTTCCTTGTCTCGTTCCATTGTTTGCCTGCGCGGACTTATTGATGGAAACTGCGCCTCTCGTTTCTGTTTGCTTTTGGAACTTAGAGACTGCTCCAGAATCCGTTGAAATATAATCATAGTCATTCAGGGAACAACAGCTGAGCAACTTTACGCAGCTTACGCCCTTGCCTTACCGGTGATAGTTGTTGTCACAAAAATCGACCTTGTGGCACCTGAAGGGGTTTCAGGTAGTGACTTTATAGGCACAGTTTAAAATTAACGCATTTAATTTTCAGCACAAATCTCAAAAATCGAAGAATTTTTATCCGAGCTACCATTCAATTATGTGCCCGTTCTCGCCGACTCCACCTCAAAATCGTCAAATTTGGCGAACGCTATCTCTGAAAACACAAAACTAGTGCCCATTTTCACTACCTCGTCTGTCACTGGTGCAGGCCTCGAGGTTCTTCAACTGCTTGAATAACACCTTTTCATTTTTTAGCTTCTTCGAAAATTCATCTACCTCCTTCCAACTAGAGCAGAAGACTATCAATGCGGCAAAGATTGCGAATTCCTCGTGTCGCGTTACTACCAGCACGAAGACTTCCACAATAATGAAACTGATTACTTCGTTGTTGAAGGGCGACTTCAATCGGGAATCATTTTGAAAGGCGACGAACTTAAGATCGGTCCAGATGATCGAGGTCGTTTCCATTCTTGCTCTGTGCTCTCGATCAAACAAAACAATGTGACGAAGCAACGGCTTGGTGCTGGACACCTCGCCACTGTTAAACTGCGTTGCAAAGAAAAACTCGTTCTCCGCAAGGGCCTACATCTTGTTCATAATGTGCCCGAAGTTTCTCTTCACTTCGTCGCAGAGTGCGCCATCTTCTCAATCTCAAAGAAACCGAAGCTTCGGAACATTCGAGTCGGTCAACTGATGACCGCGCACGTCGGCAACGTGCGCCAAACTGTCCGAGTAGAAGCCATTTTCATAAACGACGAGCGCATTCCTGAAGTCTGTCCTAGCGAGAGCCAGTCTCCGGGAAGGGTCCACTCTTAGATTAGTCGCATCTAGTTTTTGGTTTCTAGGAATTTTATTTGCGCTATTTTTTTGCCCGAAAATGTGGACTCGATGAAAGAAAATAAACTTCGCCTTTATCAAATGCCCAGAAGTCATCCGAAGCGAGCAGAGAGCAGTTTTCCGCGACGACGAAATAAGAATATCTGGACGTATTCATCAAACTTATCCTATCAAGTCGTTTACTCCAGCTCTGAGTCGCTTAAAAACCTATACGATATAATCTCTACTGTTTTCAAGCCCTATCGCTTCTTTGGTTGCATTCGTATGAAAGTTGATTAGGAGTGTTTTGATTCTGGTGTGTGTGTATTTTGAGCTATTCAAAGAGGTCAAAAACTGCCAATTTGAAGGGTTACATTTTTAACTTTGTAGTGGGTTATTTCTTCCTTTTTCGTACCTACCAGTTCCTTATGACTTCAAATATGTTCCAATTCAATTCTAAATAAACTCATTGAAAATGCAAACACCCTTCTCCGAACTCGTTCCGGAACTTCACCAGCGTTGACTCTTTTGACACTAATCATTTTCTTCGAAAGTTGATTTTCGCGAATCATGATTTTCTAGAACAAATGTTGATGCTTAAATTGTTCCTTAATGGTGATCAGTTAGTAGGGATTTTTATATTAAGACAGTTTATGGCGCAGACCAAAATGATTACGCCACAAAGTTCTCTGTTGAAATATGACTCGCCCATCCTCATCTCCAAAACCACCGATATCAACTTAGACGAGCTCCTCAAGGTAATTCACTGGAAAATATTAAAGGGTCCATCTGTAACTTGCTTTCTTTCCGATTCTCTTGAAATTCCGAACTCTGGGCCCTATTACTTTATTACCGCCAAGTTATTATTGCAGCTTTTCTTAACGCAAAGTCTGAGCATTGAAATTATTGTGATATAAGTATATCTTGATGGTTTAGCCTCTCCCACCAAAGCATGACCAGCGCGCCAAGCCCGTTCCCTTGAAGAATCTGCAGCCATGGGGCCGTGTCGACCCCATCGATCAGCAAAAACCAGAGGATATTCTTCCTAAGATCTTGCCACCTGTTGTTTTTGAGAAAGACGGGCAAAAGTGGCTCCAGAAGGTCTCTTCAACGCCTGCTACCAGACTCGACGTTCAGCGACTTGCAGAAGTAAGACTTTCATATTTGATCAGCAGCTAATATTTTCAAGCAATTGGACAGAAAACTTGAGCTTCGAGAGGCCCGAGAAACTGGAATCTGCCCAATTCGCCGAGAACTCTATAAACAAGCATTTGACGAGATTATCAGACAGGTAATTATCGATCTCCTTTCATTTTCAGTTATTTGTTCAGGTAACAATCAACTGTGCCGAGCGAGGTCTTCTTCTTCTTCGAGTTCGGGACGAAATCAACATGACTCTCCAAGCATATCAAACCATTTACGAATCATCCATCGGTTTTGGCTGCAGAAAGGTGACAGAAACTCATTCAGTTCTGAATGTCTAACGCCTATTTCAGGCTCTTTACGCGAAAAAGAGCGAGATCGAGACGAGCAACTTGGTGAGCAGTTTGCAGGGCGAGCTTGCGCAACTCGAGAAAGAATCCGCCGATCTTAAAGGTATTTTCAATCACCTACGCATTTTCAGGAATCTTTTCGTAGCTAAAATCGAGGCTGTCCAGCGGAAGGAGGAGGCCGAGCGAGAGGCACTCAAGAAAAAACAAGCGGAGGAAGTCCAGTTCCTTAAGGTAATATTCTGATACAAATATGTGATATTAACACGTCGCTAGCGAAACAACCAACAGCTGAAGCAGAAACTCGAAGGAATTGTCCAGGCAAAGAAGTAATGATTTCACCGACTGTGCACTGTTTCTATAATTCCCTGCAAATGCCCGTATAGAGAGTTTACTTTTGATATCATTTCAATATATATTTTTATAATTTACTTACCCGAATTGTTGTTTTTGTAATTTTTGATGATAACTAAGAAGAGAGGCATAGATATGAGCGGCGAGCCGCCTGCAAAGCGCGCTAAAAATGACGACTTCCCCACTGTCGTTGCATTTGACAACTTAGTGAGGATTTGTGAGGAAATTAAGGGCATAGATGCACAAGCAAGGTAGGTTTTTGAAGCAGCTGCATTTCTAGGGCACATTTTAAGTGAAAAAATAGTCGAAATCGATTCAAAATACAACAAACTACGGCAGCCCCTTTATGCCCAGCGCACAGAAGCCATCCGAGAGTATGATCAAGAGACTGGCATGAGTTTCTGGCCAGACACCATGGTCAACCATCCCAGACTATTTTCATATTTTACTCACAAAAGTATGGCAATGGTTAGATCACTTGTTACCTGAACTTCAGCCGAAAAGGTGCTTTCCTATTTGTCTGAAATCGAAATTATGGAGGAAATGGACCAAACTAAAGGGTTCACAATAAAACTTTTGTGGGAAGACAATCCATACTTCGAAGAAAAAGTGATGGAAAAGAGAACACTTTGGGATAAAGAACGGAATAAACTTCGGAATTATCCTGTCACGATCACCTGGAAGCCGGTAAGTTGTTTTTATGAATAAATTCTTTAGTAATAACGCTTTGAAGGGGATGAATATTCTGAAAAGAAAAGACAAAAATGTATCTCCTGAAATCGAAGATGAAGGTGAATATGACGATTACTTCTTCGGCTGGCTCACGTAAGAGATATAAAACTGAATATTAAGAATTATTTCGAACTAGTACTTATACAGAGGAAGAAAACGACGAGATAGCTGGTATTCTCAGAGACGAAATCTGGAGTAACCCAGTTAATGTAGGAGCACCAATACGATTAAAAGCTAACGTTGCTTCAGTATTTTGTCTTCGACTTGAAAAAAACGCTCAAGCAAAATTATAGCCAGCACGATTTGAGTCCGAATAGCGAGTCCGACTACGAGCTCGACGAAAGTGAGGTCGGGGAAGAGTTGACAGCAAAAAATCTTGAATTAAACGATCGCCCCAACCGTGATACTCTTCCGAAATTAACAGATAACAACGGAGAGAGCGAAAAACCAGCAAAAAAAGCAAAAAAGTTCTGAATATCATTCAAATCTGAATTAGAAATCTTTTCATGAAGTTCAAATTTATCTGACGAAAGCCAATGTAAAATCAGTTACACTGCCAATTCCACTGTACTGAATAAACTAAGTCCAAATAGTAAGAATCGTACGAATTTCTTATGCGATGAACGAAAATTCCTTCTTGTTTTAGTTTGAATTTTATTCAGTTATTTATTATACAGTTACAAATTTATCAGCTTTTTGCGAAATTTGTTCGTTAAATGTACAGCTCAATATTGAAGAGATTCATTGCTCAGAAGTTTTACTGCGAAGTGGTTCTTGAGAGACCGTCTTTTTATTGCTCTCATCGACGAGCTCGTTGACAAAAGTGACTACGTTAGGCACAGTGCCCACAGGCGAGTGTTCTTTTGGTCTTCGCCATTCCTCAACCTTCTGTTTTACTTTTCGAATTGCCAACAAGACTGCTCCTATCACCAGCAGTACGATTATTCCACCGATGGCGATACCCAAACCTCCTTTCGTTATTTCGGATGCTTCAGTTGAAGTAGCGGCAACTATTTTTAGTTCAATACATGCCCTGAATTTTAAGAGAATCAAATTAGAAAGTGGTTATTCATCTTCATTTTTATAATTTTTTGAACCGATCCTTTCGCGTTGCCGCCCGGAAGCGGGGTTGTTGTATGATAATCCGCATAGTTGATGTATTGGTTGGTATTTAGCTGCGGGTAAAAAGCACCGTTGTTATGGTTTTTGGGAATGAAGTGAACACTCCCCGGTGGTTGATTTGGCTGTTGATTCGGATGAATTTGATTAGTAGAGGGGACGATTGCGGCACGATTCCAGGTTCCCGAGTTTTGATTGACTAGCGGTTTTCGTGAAGCGACGTTGTTACTGCTAGCCATGACCGGAGGTAACGTTGGGGCGGGAGCTAGCGTAAAACCTCCGATCGGTCCTATTCGGTCTCACAAAAAATACAAGACGAAAGATATATTTGAAAAAATAATGCAGCGAGATTTATGAGACGTTCCTGCCGGTGTAGTTTTTGCCTTTACGGATTGCTGATTTGGTTGACGGATAATGGGGCGTCCTTTGGCTTTTACAGTTTGGTAGATTATTTGGACTCTTGATCCTCGCTTGCCGAATCCAGCAGTATTGACCTTCGAGTTCCAAGTTAATATTCTTTGAAAGGGTCGTGTTTGTACCTGAATCTCAACATCGATTTCGTCAGAGTTGGTGTAATATGATTCCTCTTGTTTTTTGCCGCAATAAATTGTCTTTACGTTCCCTTTGTCGGTAATTTGCACGTGATTCGCCGTTCCCCATGATTTGACTTTTGGGTTGAGCCCGTTGCACTCGAAGTCGATTGAGTTGAAAATGAGCTTTATTAGAGGACCTTCGCCCCTAGCAAATTGTTATTCACAAGAAACGACAAGTTCTATTCTTTACCTCTGAATTGTCCACTTGCATTTGAATACACCCAGAGTTCTTGAGGGATAGCTAGGGGTAGCCATGTATCTCATTTTCCCCTAAAACAGAAATAACAGTCCCGGTATTGGGCAGTGAAATTTTACTTGTGGAGTGGGAGCTGTATCTCCGTTGAATGCCAACCCTTGTTTGCATTCTAGCATCGGATTGTACCATTGGTCTTCGGAATTTTGCTGCGTGTGATGAGACTTAAAGGTTGATAGATAAACCTGTCGATTGAACATAATTGTTTTCATTAGATGTAAATGTTTGTGGCTAAACCGCGCGGTTTTGTATGAGCCCAGCTTAAATATTTCCACGTGTTTGGTGGGCAAACGTGTGCCGACCTTCTTCTAAACAACCGCTGCCATTTATTGCTCAGACTGCTTCAGAGGAAATAACTTATTGAATATCAACGGGAATACTTTCGTTAATATTATTAGCAAGTTTTAGTCCCACGAAATGTGCCAAGTTATGGTGTTCAGTCGAAATATCTTTCTCATGGATGATTATTGATTGAAACTCTCGGAACAAGTAGCAACTTTAGTTCTTCGAACTATTATTCGGACCAAAATAATTCTCAAAAAGTGAATATCAAATTCTTAACCATGTTGGCATAGTGGCCAAAAATATTCGACCACCACCCCCTTAAAACATGTAAACGAATATACTCGAACGAGTATACTGTATACGGTAAAAAGAAGATCAATTATTTAATCAAAAATTAATTTTATCTTTCAGGATTAGAATTCAAAAAATAAATCTCGAGCTTTTAAGTACATACTTGTGGGTCAATGCCTTGTGATCTTAAATGCTCTTCCCAGTTTGTGATTCCTTGCGAGTTGACATGTCTTTCCCAAGCTTCTGTCGGCTTCGGAGTGGCAGGAGTCTCTACTTCTGTCCATTTGAATGTAACTGGTGCTTGAACACCTATAGAGTCAAAGCTGGCAACTGCAGATCCAAGCAAGAAGGTGTAAATGCATTTTAACTGTATTCTTAAACTGCTATTCTTCATTGACGATTCTCTATTCTATCCTCTACTACTGCGGTTATTCTCTTTAAAAAAGGGATCACAAAAAATGTTTCATATTCATTTTTTTCTTTGACCTTACTTATTTTTGCGCCGCGCGTTAAGGGTTCGAGCGCTCGCTGGACATGGAGCCTTCTTACTCGTCCAGCGCACCTTCAGTTCTCATCAGTCTCCCGCAGCGTTCCAAAAGTTGCCCGCGGCGAAAACGCGTAAATACTCTTACGCTTAGAAGAAACGACAACGTGAAGATCTAACTAATCTCATCGGGCCTGCCTTATCGATAGGAACAGGAATGTTTCTTTGCCAAACTGAGCCGCTCCAGAATTTCTCCATCATCCTTACTTCTCGATTTCACAGATTCTTTCAAACAGGAAAATCCCTAGTTCAAATGATCTGATCGACACAAAAGAGAGTCTGGCAACAAAAGTTTGGAAGGCACTTTATGTCTACAATTTATTTTGGTACAGTTTTAGCATAAGCTAGAGTTCATCGGCGAAAGTGTCTTTTTTCGACATCATCGAGTCATTACGATTTTGAGAAGAGTCGCGCTTCGTCAGAAATCTCTTGGCTACAATCACATTGTAGATTGGTAGGTAAATACAGGCGGCGCAAGCGATGCCCATAGAAAATGAAACTAGAACAAAGTCCATTTCTCCTTCAGTTCCCTTTGATGGTTTATTAATTGAAGCCAAAGAATGCTTGCTTATTCTTTGAGAGTTAAACCAGTTCCTGTATAAGTTTGAAAAGAGGCTCGATCGCATACTGAGTGCCAGCCAGCATGAAAATACAGATGCCATAAAGAAGGCCAAAATGCTCCGCTGGAAACTGTTGAAATAGATACATGCTTCTTGAGATGAAATAAATTGTCCTTTAGAAGCATTTTTCATACAGAAAGAAAAAATCACTTACCTCAAAAATGAAAATTCTATGACTAAGGAAGTAGCATTAGCCTCTGAACCAATAATGCACATTTGAAAGGACAGAACGGCGCAAAACAAGGCAGTAAAAAGAGAAAACCAAATTAAGCCGTAATATTCGGCTCTAAGTTTTTCTTTGCAAATAAATTTTTCTATGCCTTTCAGAATCATCCCTTAAAAATATTAAAGCAAAATCCATTGTTAAAACTTACCAGGAATCGGACAAATGATAATACTCGCATAGAACATGATTCCGTAAATGTCCATGTTTTTAGAGACCAATTCGCTGGCTTCGTCCTCCGGGAAATCCTGAAATGTCCACTTGAGCCATGGGAGAATCCAAATAGGAATAGACGATATTCTCAAGGTGGTTATGATTGAGAAAATATTGAAAAGCAGGAAGTTGAGACTGAAGACGGACTTTTTGTACTCTTGCCACGTTACTGGCTTCACTTCTTCGACTTTAGTCTCGACCGTTTCGATCTTTGTGCTCTTGAAGAAGCTGCCTACGAACGAATCCGATAGAATAGTGTAGTTTTCTTCTTTTTTGACGTCATAGCGAGGGCAGAAAAAGAAGAGCTTGACCCAGATGAGACCAACTCCCATCGTGTAGTAAGAAAACATCTGTGGGACCGTCACGTTAGGAAGATCTGCATCGTAGATAAATTTAAAGGCAAGGAAGACTCCAGCTAAATATGTTGATCAAATGAACACTTGTATTCTTATGAAGAACCTGATGCATCGAAAAAACCATTAATAAGGCCAAGTGTGATTCCAGAAGAATTCGGATAAAGTGCACATTGTTCCCGGATATTCATGATTATGTACATTGTTGCCGACACACCCATCAGCTGCCATGCTCCCCAAAGCAAGTACGGATTCGTCTCTATGATAAAATTCTTGTGTCTGCTTGAGGATGGACCCCAAGGAATGGAAGTTATTCTAAATTAAATCTTACCGTAAAGACACAAGCAAACAAGCCCCCCAGTCGTGAAAAGAACACAAATAAAGCGACAAACAAATATGCCAAATCTGTTGAGAATAGGGTCGAGCATAAGCACTGTTAAACTAGAACTGAGAAGGAACCACGTGTATATTGAGTTGAACTCCGCCTGAGATCTTTAGAAAATATCAGTAAGCATTTCTTCTAAAATTTTCTTACTCTGGGCAAGGAACTTTCGTGAGTTCTTCCGGGCAGCTGATTTTTAGTGTATTATTATCACATTTAGTATCACAGTTGACATTACATTTGTCGATGTGTTCCGGATTTGTTGGGTCAAAGCATAGCTCATTCCAAAAAACTCCTTCAAGTTCTCACAGAGGATCAGAAAAGTATAGAATTCAAAGTTTAGAAAACTTCTATTTTCTTCAAAAATATATTGTCTATGCATATCTGGCCCTACTCAAGAATATACTGTACAAATCCGAAGCCATATACAACGCCAGCATAGAATAGTACTTCACACATAGATAGAAAGTAGGAGATGCCATTGGATAGGTGAAAATCTCTCATACTTCTTTATAGGAGTCAAAGAAGTTCGGTTAATTAAAAAATATTATTTTCAAGACACCAATCTTAATTTTTCGCTATTTGTAATGGTGTGGCCAAGGAGGCGTTGCGTCTGATGGTCGACGCCATCAGTTGGTACTTCTTAAAAATCAGAACAATCATTTTTCGCATGTAATATTTGGAATGCTTACGTTCCAGCGCCATAATCTAAACATTCGAAAAACGATTAGAAATGAACTAACAAATACGTAATAAGCAGCTAGAAATCACTGAAATTCCTAAAATTATCTAAATGGGGTAAAGATGTTACAAATGGTAATAAAGAAATTGACAACCAAAATAATGATTTTCATACAACAAGTTGAGTTAATCTTTCCCCAATCATACCTGAAATAGATGTCCAACTACTAAGACGGACTGCTCCTGTGCAGCAATCTCTCGTCTTCTTTGTTATCAGTAATTGCTAAACGGTCTCCCGTGTGCCGCCACCACGCATTTGATGCATGTTATTAAATTTGATTACGATTGCGAAATGATTTTTACTGCGCAGTTTGCTTGAATTTTTCTTGTTCTTTTAATATGTCTCTGTATCCTGTTTGGGCTTGAGCAAAAATAAAAAAGGTTGAGGATTCCCACGGTTCCAACTTCCAAGGTCAAAGAGGGATGTCACGTCGCGCGAAGAATGCCATGCGACAGAACTTTCTCCTTTTTTACAAAAAGTATATGTCATGGGCGACCTGCTTTGAATAACCTGCTTGCCCTATTCTTAAAAAGAATTTATATGAGGATAGTATCGCGCTCCTTTATCAATCAAAACAAACAAGATGGCAGTTTTTATTTTTATTGGTGATTTCAATTTATATTTACAGCAGATAAGTGGCTGCCGGGAAATGTCAGGAGAAAGGCTCGATACTTAATATGTTTACTCGAAAATCAAATGATTGTAACGAAAGGCGAACCTTTGACGAAAACGGAAGCATCTTACCTTAATTTTTATCAATCAGTTTCATTTTCAATTTCGTTGGAGAAAAGCATTCTAGCTTCTTCAGCTTGTACATATCCTACTACATAAGTTCGCGGTTCTCCTGATTCGTATTTTGTTGAAGTAATTGGCCCGCCTTCGAATAACTGGTCTTCCATTTTATGCTCTGTTTTGAAATACTCGTACTCGTACTCGTCGCTATCTTCGTCGTCGCTAATCTCCTGAAAAAAGTCTCGTCTATCTGTTTTTTGTTTAAAAATAATGATATTTGTTTATGCACTATAAAATTTGGAGCTTATGATTACTGTTGCATTTGTTTTCTCTTCCTTTGGAGCAGCCGTTTTCTCATCAAGAGAAGGTTTCCGTCCAGCTTGTTCCTTTCTTCGCCGAGTAGAAAACCATCTACTTATTGAATCAAGTTTTCGGTTTAACATTGTGGCTAATTGAACGCGCTCATCTCTTTATTTAGCTAGAAATGATAGTAAAATTTTAATTACTTCGGAAATAATATATATATATTATTCTGGCCATTTCCTTGAAGGTGACGGATTCTTTGAATATGCATTCTCTAACAACTCTTTATCTTTGCTGGCAAACGGTCCGGAAGTAAAAATTTTATGGTCGTTGCTTTCTGTCTTGTTCATTCTAAAAATCACTTGTTAAATAAAAATTCAAGTTTATGCTTAGTCAACAGCTTCGCGAAGAATCAAAAATGTCGTCGAAAAGCCTCATTCGCCCTAGGAGATTTCCCCTAAGTTTGAAAAGGGAAAGATGGCGTTTTCAGGTTCCACTGGTGGTTTCGCTTCTCTCTAGCAATATAAGTACCTTCTCTATTCTCTGGAGATGCTTCTCTCTCTCTCTGACTCGTCGATGTCAATGCCAAGTTAATCTAACAACTGGCATAAGCAATTTATAAAAATGTAGGCGAAAAATTTGAAGACATTACTCGGCCAATTAGGACACTCCGACGGGTTTAAAAAACCGCTGGAGAAACTGATATGGTCATGACGTCGAAAAAAGTTGAACTGACTGCCTACTCTAAATGTGGAGGACTTTATTTGATAATCGGAAATTTCTAGCGGAATTGTAAGCTATCGCGACGAAAACTGTTATGAATGATCTGTTCATGACGGGTCACCAAAGGTCCACATATTGTAAAATTGTTTATATCATAGAAATTATATGGAAGTTTTCCGGTCCTTGACATATAATCTGTTATCAAGAGATCTCAGCAAAAGCGACCATGTTGCAACGGATTTTTTGCAAACAGATTTAATCTCCACCAAATTTTGACTTCGCGGCCGCATTTTGCGAGCTGCCCGGTCGTGACATATTGCTGCACTCATTTTTTACATTGTTAGAAAACGGATAAAAGAGATAATTAGCCCGAAAGATGCAACAAAATGGAAACCGCAACCGGAACCAGAATCAGTATTATGGGGGGAGAAATATACAGTCTCAGATGCAAGAAATCCAGAATGGAATTTCGGTTTGTTATGAACAGGCTGCACAGGCACGGGCACAATTTTTTCAGGTACTTTCGAAAAGAATTATAGTGAATTGGATCAATAACACGCTCTAGCAACAACACGCCCAACTACTCGCTCAGCAACAACTTATGCAGCAGCAGCAAATGATGTACCCCTTTGGTGCTGCTGGAGGATTTATGACCCATCCAGTTTATATGATGGATCCGTCTCAGAATCAAATCCATCTGATAAACATGCAAGGTTTTGGAAGGTAGGTCTTTCACGATTGTAAAATTGCCTTATTCGATTAAAGAAATCTCTACAACGCGAATGCTCGACTTGGTCCACAGGGCCCAAATACTGGCTACATTGAGCCTTCCACTGTGGCGACGAATATTCACCCTTCTATGTATACTCAGTTCAACCACTCGCCGCAATCGCAGGAGATCCTTAAAGAACAACAAAGATTAATGAGACATCAGCAAGAAATCCTTCTTCAACAGGGAGATTTTGATAAATAACGCTAGATTATCAGTTTTTACCAGTCAGAAATTCACTATATTGAAAATCGCCAAAAAGCAGCAAAACCACCTGTACGAACAGAGCAGGAAACTTCAGCAACAACAAAGAGACAGTCTTCAGCAGCAGAAAATTCAGCAAGGAAATGGCCATCAGCATCCACATGTGCACGTTCAGCAACAGATGTATCATCAGCAGGGAATGACACGATCCAATTCGCAGCAGTCCGCCGTTGATAGTGGCCGACCAGATACAGCAACAACTCACAACGACAATTCTTTGCCACCTGGTTCAACGCCCCATGTAAGTTCATAATTGGCTTCAATGAATAATATTTAAAAAGCCTTCTCTGCTTCCCGCGAATATCCCGCCGCACAGGACAAAGCCAAACCAAGCTACGGAGAAAAAGTCTCTTGTCATCAAAACCATGAACGCCGAAGCTGTCCAAGAATCTATTCAGCTTGATGTCACCTTGGACCGGGCTAAAAAGAACGTTCTCCAAGCATCAGTGAAAGCCGTCCCGCAGTGGGTTACAGAGCCTCCCACTGCTACCGAAGGCCAGGAAGATGAAGACGACAATGACTATGAAACAGAGGATGAGGTAGAAATCGAGCCTGTTATTCCACCAAAAGATTCCTCAAAACATGGTCTACGGATCGCTAAGAACCAGGCGGAGGCGACAGAAATGATCAACAAAACGATGGAACAGGTAACTCAAGACGACGTTACTACTGGTATGCTTGCGTCGAACGCCAGTTCGATCAAACGAAAGAAGTCGAGAGTGCCAGCAATGAGCAAATCGATGAACAACCCCGGATACGTTTCCAATCCGGGTGGTCAATTCCAAAAACGAAAGTTGCATAGGTACGTCGCCTATCGTTAAAGTTTAAAAAGTGATCTACTATGTGAAGAACGATGGAGAATATAGAACAAATCAACGACATAAAGGAGAAGCTGAACAATCTGACTTCGACCTTCAATGAGTGCACCATTCATGAAGAAATAGAACGAGGCCATGTGCCGAGTCAGGAGTCGGTCAAGGTGAACGGAAAACAATAAAAAATAATTTGAATTATTTCTTGCTAAGAGTTCATCGACTCCATATAAGGGGGCTCGTGCGGGAACCTACAAAGAGCTCCGAAAAGAGCTAACGAGACTCGAGGATGTGCCAGCAGTCGCCAGAAACTCTCATCCGATTATGCCGCAACGCCCCCCTATCGAGGAGAAAAACTTCCATCAACAAGGTGCAATTTAGGAGTTATTATCAGTTGTTTATAATAAGATTTTTACGATCCGGAAGAAAAAACATCTGCTCGGGAAGCGACACAAAATTGGGTCGGAATTTCCCAATCAGTTACTGGCTTAGACCGAGTTCATATGCCCCCGCGACTTTCGGTCCACAGAAATCACCATCGAATTGATGAGTTGGCGACTGAAAATATCCAAAGTTCAGCTAGACAATCTGGACGTTTTTCCACGAGAAGATACCGAGAACGGTCAGGTTTTCATGGAAAAACTTTCCACAAACCTACAGCGGCTAGTAACTTGGGAAAGTCTTCTGAACGCAGAGTCAAGCGGGTACCTCTTACTCGAACGGAAGTAAGAACAACTATAACAATTAAATTCTACTAAATATTAGCCTAAACCACCGAAATATCAAGAACCGCATGAGAATTCTTGCCTCTATCGAACTATCCAAGCAACTCCAGGAAGCGATGTTCAAGTCACCTTCTCCGCAACGCAAAATCTTGTTCGCGAGGAGCCCTCATCTCAGACGCGCAAGAAGATGGGCGTGACAAAGAAAATTTTCAAAAGTCTCTTTGCTAAATCGTCCAGTACTTCACAAGCGAAGATGGGGAAGGGTACCTCTATGTCGACACAGAATCTTACAGGTTTGTCTAAATTTAGCCAGGTCGGTTAATCAATTTACATAAACTAAGGACATCCGCGAACAGTATCAACATACAACGACCCTGCAATTCTACACGCTCAACCCTCAACCAGCCGAATGATGCGTCCTCAAAAGAGTTGCAACAAGCTCAGCCTTGACGATGCCCCAATCTAACCGCCTAATGGTCCATTAGTAATAGATACTCCCTGACCATCGAATCTCACTGCCATTCACGAACTAATCCTGTCGCAAGTTCAATAATAAACATCTAATTATCTTCTCATGTAACATGAATCATGGTGTGTCCAGAATGACTTTATTAAATAATATTAAATAAATATTATCAGGTAAAATGCTCAGTTAAATTTTGGTCAAAGACCCGAATCTTTTACGATGGGTCTCTCCCAGACCTGTGCAAGAACTTCTTTTAGTAGACAGATGTGTCGCTATCGGTATTCTCCGTGAAAGTAATTCTTTTGTTGCCATTCGCGATCGAGGGCAATGCAAAGTACCCGTTGTGTTCATTTTTGTTCATCATTTCGCGAAGATACTTTCTATGCTTTCACGGGTTCAGCTTTATTTTTCTTTTCTTGCAGCAATGAAGAAAATAGAACCAGTTCCTTCAGATCTGTAAACAAGGCTCGAATGCGCTTATATTCTTCTATAGCAGCCTCGCGCTTGTACATTCGTTTTTCCGTTTGACCATCGCCAGTCGCGAATTTATAGGACGGGTCTCTACATCGTAATAATGGAAACAAAGAGGACTGCGGATAGCTTACCTGTAACTGTCGCTTTCTTCTGTATTTATTTCCGCCTGTACTTGATCCATGTGATAAGACCAGTTTGACCAGTCGACAGACTTCAGGCGACTTTTTCGTCGTGCACTCCTGCTCTCAGCGTACTTGCCGTGTCGTTCGAAAATCGACTCCATCTGACGCGCTTTGTGTCCTTGCTCAGCCGTGAAAATACGAATCTTTTCCTTGATTTCTTCTTCCGCTTCTTTGATGATTAAATGAGACTGAAAAATATGTTAATGGATATCTTTTATATCGATAAGTGTAAGTTACATCGTTGTTACCTGATACTCATGAAAATCGACAAAGCAACAATTGCAAGCTGGACAAAAGATGTCATGTCGTTCGACAGCGTAGCTGAAATAAATTATCAAAACTGCTCAATTATTCTTCATAGAAGCCTACTGGTGTGCGATTCGTTTTCCAACAAGGGTGATTTTGCTCTCGACGACAGGAAGTTTCCAGGCTTGGCATCTTATTTTCGGCGGTGGAAGAACTTTTTCTTGTTTTCCTTCTTCAAGCAACCTTGCCGCTTCTGCTGCTCGGGCAGCGTCTGCTCCAAGTAAATTTAGCTTTGATGAAATAGATCCCGTCACTCCTGGTCGCTTTCATGAGGTCTCTGTGAACCAAAACTTATGAATTTGCTTAGAACTAACTTTATGAGCTTGCAATAGAAAATTGTGGCCACAGAAAATCAAAATGTAATATGCTTCTAGAATTTGTTTATACTTACCTACTCCGAAACGCTGGAAGATCATTTAAAGCTTTGTAGATGTCCTAGAAATACTTTTGACACGTTAATTCGAGGAAGTCAGTCATTGAACGACATTGATGAGCTTCCTTGTTTTTGTAGGCAGAGCTTGAGGATACTGAGTGGTTGCAAATACCTCAGTTTTCTACAGTTCTGCCATACAAAAAAGTGTCCCTATCGACTGTTGATTCAATCACAATTTCAATTTGTCAAGATCTAGTCCGATATTCATGATACTTTCTCAACTTTTTTATACTTGTCAATCCTACTCAGGAGAATTCTTACCAAGCTATAAATACTCCTGCTCTCTTCAACTTGTATGTCACTTCGAAATTCCTAGAGGGTTTCTTTTAAGGTAATAATAGACTGTTCTCTAAGAGAATCGAGAGAACATGTCTATTGCACCTTTTAAGAACTGCTCAAAATCGACGAAATGATGCTCAAAATCGGAGAGAACGAAATTTGAAATAGATCCGTAAGAGTGCAAATTCTTATTAAGTTACTTCAACAGAATAAAGTGACGCAAGGAGTGCGCTAAACTAGTATTATTCGATCTGCAAGTAAAATTTAAGACCCAGTTCCGGAAGACCTGCGACAGTCGATGTGCGTCCACGGAGCACTGTAGTTGAGCGTTTGGTAATCCCTGTTAATAGGTTCACTTAAATAGGGTGTAAATTTTAAAGCATGATCGCTTTGAACCGTGACTTGATCCGAAGGGATTGCTTTCAGAACCGGAAGTGTGACACTTGCATATGATGAATGACAAGTACTTTTTTAGCTTTACGCTATTTTAAAGTCTCGGATTCGGCTTAAATATGAAAGAAACTTATTTCAGCTTATGTCATCACATAACTGGGTGCTGGCATTTCGGAAATCTTATAACTAAAGAAAAAAGTTCTAGTAGCTGACCTAAAAACATTTTACTGTTGGCGTTCTAGAAAAAATAGATGATGTTCGTCCATTCTGTACGAAATATACCACCTTTGCTGCAGGAAGCCTACACTAAAATTAAATGCATAGATCGAAACGGAAGTCCCTAGCTGAAACGTTTCTTTTGATGAGTTGTGTGGGAAAGCGATTGACTTAGTGGGAAAGAGCGAGATTTGAGGAGGTAACGTACGTCGTGATACAAGCACAGTCAAAAATGATTCTGACTCTCGAGCAATCGCTCTACTGACCTCTAGCACGCAGGGCATAGAGAAAATCCTTTCTTATCCCTCTGCTTTTCACCCTGGAAATTCCAGTGAGAGAAATTTTCAGCCTGTGCCGTTTATTTTCTGAAGAAACTCCCATCACGGAGTGAAAACATCTCAACAATCAATGGGATGTTGCTGTTCAACGCAGGCTGAGCTCGTGGAGCATCCAGATACCCACTACCAACTACAGGCAGAGTGCTTATGGGAGTAATACTACTGATGAACGCATTCATTTATATCTGTTTTCTCACTCAATAAAGGATGATGTATGGCAAGGAGATATGGAAGATATTCATATTGGCTGTTCTCCGTCTCGGTCACTCTCTTCAAGAAATTACTCTTCCTCGAGCAGCAGTTCATCATCAAGCAGCTCTAGCTCTTCTTCGGACAAAAAGTCAGAAATCGGGAATGGGTCGTGAAATTGCGCTTTTCCGGGTTCATGATACAGTTGCAAATGTTCAAAAGAACTCAACCATTTAATAACACTCTTACGAACATCACCTGCAAATCAAATGACCCGGTAAAGTTTGCGATTTGGAAGTGCACTCAATCGCCCACAAGGTTGAACTTGTCAGGGAGCGGTCACGCCCTAAACAATGCTGATAAGTAGAATTATCACCTTCAAAATAATAGACCCTCAAATTCGTTAGTGGCTGACCTTTTATAAGAAACCTAAGTTCGGAGGATGAAACTTTGAATTTGGTTCCTGCTACTCCTCAACAAGGTGAACAGCGGTATTTTTTGAGTATAATGGACAATTAAAATTAGAAGTGGCCGATCATAAAGGAGTTATTGTCCAACCATCGATTTCGATCAGCTCTAGTGCAAGCTCAAGCAATGGAAGGTATATAAACATCTTTAAGATAGATATTATATCATACTAGTCCACGGGGGCAAATGTTCGATACAACAGACTACGAAGTGAACTGCTCGATTTCTTACGACTCGCAATCGCAAAAATCATCAGTCTCCCTTCCATCAAAGTCATCATCCTCGTCGTCTTCGTCATCATCATCTTCATCAGAAGAGTCCGAAATTCAAGAAGAAGAGTCTTGTTCAAGCTCGGAAGAGGGCTCTGATTGAAGTACGCGAATTTCCTCCCCTTTTTTAAGTCTTGTATGAACTTGTTTCTGTATATTTTTTTGATTTTGCATTTTTTACAAGAAAAACTTGACTAAAGTTAATTTTTTTTTTCGAATAAAACTTCAAGAAGACAGACGCGGAAATTAAAGTGCTTTGCTTGTAAGATATTTTGAATAAATAAAAATGATGGGTTGAGCAAGAAAAAAGAACTTTCATTCCCAGTCCAATCATAAGGATATCATTACATTTTTATTGGTATAATTTTCTTTGATAATAAATGTACATAAAAGAAGGAAAGAGGTTTAAATGTTGATTTAAGTGAGGAACATTGGAACAAACTTTATAACAAAGAGATAAACTTATCGAGAATAACAGATCGACCAGCGTGTCTAATTCTCAAAGAAACAATCAAAACATTCTAGTTTCATGTCAATGAAAAAATAAAGGCTGATATCGTCGTCTGAAATTCTAACGCTAGGGCTATCTACAGTCGAGCAGGCTTTTTGGCCAAACCGAAAATTCTACGAGCTTACTTCAGACTCCAATAGTGTGGGATTCTTACTCTTGTACTTGCCCGTTTGATCAGTTTCAACGTTCACAATATAGTCTACTAAACCAGCGGCTGGTTACGAGCCACTTCGACTAACGGAGGCGGCATTATCAATTGGCGCTACTTTTGGAAAAAAGTATGCCCCTTGAACTCAAACTGTCCTTGCTAAACAGTTGCAATATCCCACAATAGCACGGTATTACTAATACATTAACTTATTAGAATATAGATCAGGTAATAAAGGTATCGAGTCCATTTTTTACAGAATTACTCGAGAAACTTAAATGGAACGAAAATGAACTTAACGTTAAGTTGGGATGGAAAATAAAATCGGCAACATTTTTGTTACTAAGTTGGTAAATTGAACAAATAATAAGTTGAAGCTAAGGAAAGTCAAGTCAATCAAATGAAGGAATAATGCTTTGTTTCAGAGGAGCTGGCGAAGAAACGAGTAAAGTTGGTAATTAATAAATACACGGACGAATAGTTGTAGTACTTGAATTTTGTCTTTGATTAGTAGCGGAGTTATGGGAAGTGCGGAAAGAGGGGGTACTGAAGTCACCCTTCGCCTTCCGACATTTTGTCGCGTTCTTCGTCTGATGAACACATTTTGTCGCTCTCCAATATAGACATCTTATTCTAAAGATTCTTGTTAGAGCTGAATTCGTTCACGAAGTTGGCTTACCTCGGAAGTCGAATCGCCAGCTACATCGGCCTCTTCGTGAGCTTGCAGATGCTTTTCTAGGTTTGCCCAGGAGTGGCATGCCAATCCACATTGATGGCAGTCGAACTCAGTCTGCCTACTCAACACAGGGTTCACCTTTGGTGAACAATCCACTGGAGCAGGAGCAATTGGCCTTGCACCTCTCAGAATTTTTAATTTTTCTTTCTCGCTGCAAGTTTAATAGGTATGTATTTTCTTTTTTTTAAGCTTACTGTTGGAAGGCGGCTCCTGCTGTTAAACTGGGATCTGGGTAAGAACAGCCGGCATGGTGTTTCGTTATGTGCACTTTTAGTTGACCCTTTTGCTTGTGTCCCTTCCCGCAGAGTGCGCAGATAAATGGCTCTTCGCCAGTGTGAACGCGTATATGCATTTCTAGCGCAGAACGCGTTTTCCATCCTTTCCCGCAGAATGAGCAGATGTGGTTATTGTCGCTGGGCGAGGGAAGCCTGTTCAAAACGGTGCTATTTATAGCCGTGCTTCTTGTGTTCGGATTTGATCCGCTGTTCTTGATTGGGACAGCAGTCGTCGATGCGATCGCGAAAGTAACTGGCGTGGCGGTAGGAATGGCGACGATCGACGGTTTCGGCATAAGCTGCACCTCTGGCCGACGTTTCTTCACCACCGGACTCGTTCTATTTTTAACATAAGCTAGTGAAAACAACCAAAATTAGAAATTCTTAGTCTAAAAGAAAATCGAAAATGAATCAACACACAATATTAGAAAATAACCACAAACAAAAAAACTTCAAAACGGCTAACCCGTTCGAGCTCTGTGGAGTGTCGTTAGCGTTATTATCCGCCGAAACGTTGTCTTCGCTGTCGCCTTTACTCAAGTCTTCCCCTCCGTGCTGAGAGTCTTTTTCCTGCACAAGCTCTGAGCTATTTTGGCTGGATTGAGATTGCCGGTCCGGTTGATTGGGTAAGTTCATATTAGGATTTGGGGTAGGGTTCGCGCAAAAATTGAGAACAGGTTGAGGCGTGGTTGTATCCTCTACTTTAGGAATGCCGCGACGCAGGGCGCTCTCGAATTTTTCATAAGTCGCGAGCATTTCAGTGCCTTTTCCGAAGTGTGCGAAAACTTTCGGCACATTGGGAACTTGCGGAACAAAGATTTCATTCCTGTTCGTTCCTGGCGGCTGGACTGGGAAGGGCGTCGGTTGCAGAGGAAAGCGCGGATAGCCTAGATCAGAGGGGTTCGGTTGGTTAAGAGGCGAAGGGGAATTAAAGAGGTGGGACAAAGACATCGGGGAAGAATTTTTCGACGAATGGGAGGAACTCTCAGAATGGGTATTATCCTTGTTGATGGAGAGTAATGTGTTGGCGGAGGTTTGTCCGGGCCGGTGAGAGGAACGCAAGAAATTATGATGCAGTCCGAGAACAGGTTTGGACAGAGGGGGAGGTCCGACGCTCATCGCAGACTTATCAGAGCTAGGGAGGCCGGAAAACTACGAGCGGCAAGCTTAGAGACGCTGAAATGGACGTGAGTTATTTATAAAATGCCTTCCACTCTTTTCCGATCAGAATCTCTTAATTTCGAAGAGGGAGGCAAGAGATTCTTACTGTGCTTAAACTACTTGAGTGGCAGAAGCAATAATTTACCACTACTGACCTGCCCGTGATGTTTTCGACTTCGTCGAGAGGTTCTTGTTTGACTGTGACTTCATTAGAGTCGCTCATGTCGTTCGAAGATGTGGGCAATTCGATGATACCGAGTGAAGAAGAAGACGGGGAGGAGGGCGACGGCGCAAATGATAAAGAGGTCGCGGGGTTAACGGCGAGCTAAATATTCTGTGATGATTTCTAGAATTATTTGCTTCAGAAAAAGAAAAAAAGCTTCCGTCGAACCGGATTCGAACCAGTGACCTAGAGATAACTGCTAGCCCTCTACAGTCTCCCGCTCTGCCAACTGAGCTATCGACGGTTGAGGAAGAAACATTTTTTTGCAAACTTATATCAAGACATACTGCAGCGCCAGAATTTGATCCCAGCGAATTATTAGTCGCGGCGGACCTCGTTTCTTCGAATTTTTTCTTGACAACTCCCTTCTGAGGATGGATGTCGTAGTGTTTTTCGATGTGCTGCTTCAGATTCCAAGTCGTAGAACACACTCTCCCACAAATCGGGCAGGCCGGGGCATTTTCTGGGTGAGCGCGTTGTCTTTGCGATTCCTTCATAGTGTGATGCTAAAAATAGAAGAGTTGACCAAGGAATGCGTGCACTCACGGTTGTAGCTTGCTTCAGCTGATCGAGGGTAATCACAACGGGATTGCTGAGAGAAGTTGTTGATGAATTTGCTTGCTTGGGGGCGATAGTAATGGTCGTTGATTTTGCAGTGTTGGCGCTTTTCGAGTTAGAGCTGCTGATAGACGAGCTCAGAATGTTGTTGTTTTTAGAGTTACTGGCGGAGACGTTGTTGAACATGCCAGTGCCACTTTGCGATTCCGTATTGCTGGCTGCGGTAGTGCTTGCGTTGTTCTGAGTTAGCCGCGCAAGTTGAGTCAGGTTGCTCAGAGCAGAGAGGCCAAAGTCGGAAAAGAGGCCGCTTTCGGTTGTAGAGCTTGTTTCAACGCTCGTTTCTACTTGTTCCATTGTATTGTCGACGTCGTGGTAGTCATACTTGGCGGTGATGTTGTCACACTTGGGAAAGGAGCTCTAAATGAAGCAATTTCAGCGCGAGTTTAGATTTTCAATTCTACCTTGAAATCGATAAGCTCTTCAACGAGGCCTTGGGCTCTCTCGACTAGCGACTCCATGATCTGCTCCGTCTTGACGGTCGTGTCGTTGACGAATACAACTAGCTTGTCGACGAAATCGTCATCGGCTGGATCTGTGTTCTGGCGATGTTCTATGCGACTGTGCGCAGCCAAATACCTCCTGTCCGTGCATTTGAAGGAACATTCTTTGCAGCCTATCAGGTTGATCTGTGCCAGGCTGGCACGACCGAACCCGTTCATCCCAGTTTTGACGTCTAAATAGAAATCGCTCGAATCGAGATATCTATGATAAATCAATAACAAAAAAATTTTGATAGAGCGAGGAGTAATTCAGCTGGAATAAATAGTGAGTCAATGGCGATTTTTGAAGATTACTGCGTCGATGGAATATAAAAAGCAGCTTGCGAATATTATTTTCGGAATGTAAGAAACATGAACTTGTGAAGAAACACAACTTGAAAGTGAACGTTGAACTGTCGCGAAGCAAGACACAATAAATACAAGAAAAATTACGCGATGAAAGGCGATATATTTTTGCTGGAGCTAATTTTCTTAAAATCAATATGTCTCAGGCCTATTAGCGCGAAGGGAAAAAACTCGTTACACATACAACTCATATATTGAGCTGGCTTTTTCAACAAAATAACAAAAAAATGAAGACTCGACGTTTTCGATTCAAAGTGCGGCCGAGGCGATCTCTGATATTAAAAAATAGGGTGCCGGGTAGATGATCCAGCGTCGTGGCTTCGAAAAAAAATTTTCGCCCCGGGGGAATTTTTCCGAGAGTCAAGAAAGCGAGGGATGGTGGTTGGGATTTTCAGCCACAGATTGGATGAGATTAACTGTAGAGACTCTCCACTGGAGAGTCTGCACCGAAAAATTATAAAAATGACAATCTCTGTGCTCGCAACTTTTTTATAAGAAGCCCGTTGAAGTCATAAAAATTTGGCTTTGGGCTTTCTTTTGTTTAGATAAGAGACCTTTTCACAAGGAAGCATTTTCGAAACACTCAGTCGAGTTGATTTTTTTTTTGAATTTGCACTTACCGAAAGTTCTTTTCTTCAGAGCTTCCTTTCAAGAAATTTGTCTCTCTTTTGATTAAGGAGTTATTAGATAAGTTTAATCGAGTGGCTTAATATAATACACGCTAATAGGGGTGGATAGGATGAGGATGATCTCGAAATCGATTTCAAAATTTTCCTTGTAGCAATAAAGAGCGCTCAACATTGAAGGCGACCTTTGAGCTCGATCCGAAGCCACGCGCAAATCTTTCACCTTGTGAAGCCCTTTTCAGCATTTTGAGCAAAACAGGGAAGTGGATTAGCGAATTCAAGACACGAAATCAAATCATTAACGACGCACAGATCATCACACCAAAGGTATTAATGAACTGGCTCAATTATGGCTCCTCCGCAGACCCTTTTTCTCCCCGTTTTACTGCCACGGCACTTTACCCCGTATTCTTCCAAGATCGCATCTTCATCCCTTCGCGTTTGTTTTTTTATAAGAAATGGAGACAGCTTTTGGTTTAATTTTATTATAAATTAAATATTAATTGAACTTCACAAAAGTTAAAATGAGACACATGAATTTCGGAAAATTTCAATTTGGACGAATTTACAGATAAAAAAATGCTCAAAATTTTCAATTCACCGCGTTCTGATGTTACTGTGCCGTTCTGTTCGGAAATGATGAAATACGAGATGATGATAATGATACTGCATCTGCTTGTTGTGGACAGTAAATTTGAATTTAAATGTAGCACGGGCGAGAGATGAGTTTGAAGCAATCAAGGTCGCGGTTAGATAACTTAGATTCCCTACCAATTTTGAAAGCGAGGAATTTTCACGCACATTTGAGGTAATAATAAAAGGTATGGTTCGCTACTTGAATGGTAGTGTGGCGGCATGAGTTGAAAGATATAATGGGGACGATAAGAAGGACTCCGCCACTCGGTTGAAAGGTCGCGAACACGATGTCGGGTGAGAAGTCGGTCTTTGTTATCAAACGTAAGTTGTATGAAATATGACGAGTAAGGTAAATTAAGGTAAAAAAGCCTCAGTAAGCATTCGAAATAGTACCCGCTGAGATATGTTTACGGGTTAACGATAAATGAGAACGAACGAAAGTGGGGTCATTTATTTTGAGGGTCGGAACTAATCTGGAGCTGTGAACTTGTTTGGACTCACGGCCTCTAGTTTAGGTTTGATGCGAAAAAGGGATTCAAATGACTGGCCGTTTCGTCCGCATATGACAGCTAAAACATACTGTATAAGGATTTTAAACAAATAAAGAATAATAGAGAAGCGGGCGACTGTACAGGATGGTGGAAGGAAGGATGAGAAAGAGGGAGTACCTGTCTTGTCCAAAATTTGGAAAGTCAAGATTCGAGAAATATTGAAGATTCGTCGAGATTATTCTGTGGCAATCGCCGTCGCCTGCTGTGCTTGATCGGCAACAGAAAAGCCACTGATCTGCTGTGGCGAGGGAGAGGCTGACTGGGAAACATGAGTCGAAGCTACGTTTATTAGCGGAGATGAAACGCGCTTGCTAGCAGCGAGACTTGCAGCCGCGAGACTGGCGGCCACATGGGAGGCTTCCTTCACTCCGTTTGAATTGGTTGAATTGTTCTCCTGGACGGGCGCAGTCGGCGACATACGGCTAGTTTGGCTGCTCCCAGGAGGAGAGCTTCTAGGAGAAGTGCTACTACTTTCCATGACAGACGCAGCGCTTTGGCCCAAGAGAGAAGCTGACGAAAACATACTCGGGATGATAGAAGGAGCCATATTTGCAGCCTGGGACGACGATTTGTAAAACATCTCTGAAGGGTTTCTCCACGCCTTGCCAGCTCCCGGAAGTAAATCATACTGAAGAATGAATTTATTATGTTGAATAAGGAGATGTCCTTTACCTGAGTTTTGAGCTTCTGCATTAACTCGGGCGAGTGAATGGGAGCTCCTGGAGGAATTTGAATAGTCGAGGACTTGCTCTCCGAGTTTGACTCGGAAACATCGCTGACTTCAGAAGGGGCGTTGGATTGACCCTTATCGAGGCGATGGGAGTCCATGTGTCGCTTAAAGTTGAGAGTTGAGGAGAATGTGATCCCGCAGATGTCGCACGAAGGACGCGGCTGTCCAGGCGGAATCGACAATCCCGTCGGCGCACACTCCAGGATGTGCTTAGATAATTCTTTGGGCTCAACAAAGACCTCGCCACACATGGAACACTTTTTTGGATCCTTGATCATTTGATTGAGCATATTCCCAACTGCTGGCCACTGTCCCGGGTGATGCTTGTTAATATGGACCTAAAAGAAAAGAATTCTAAAACGTTCTGGAGCTGGGTCTCCTACCTTGAGCTGGCCCTTTTGCTTGTGTCCCTTTCCACAGATCATACACTTATACGGCTTTTCGCCAGTATGAACTCGCATATGTATGTTCAGCGCGCTCGGTGTTCTCCAGCTTGAGCCACAAATGTTACAGAGTATTGGATTCTTTGGCACTAAAGCTGAACCGGAGGTTCCCGTATTCGCCGTAGAGTTTCCATTACTTGCTCCGTGGTAAGAAACTAGGCTCAAACCAGAATTCGCGTTCCGGTCTAAGCCACTGACAGGACTGACGGATTTCTTCTTGTCTCGCTGCTGCGACTCGTGGAACTTGAGCAAGCTATTCTGGAGAGCAAAGTTGGGAAACATATTCGATGATTTCCCTCGAGAGACGAGCGAGTCGGAAGACGGAAATGCCAGCGAACTAAATGCACATAAAATAAAGCGTATATTCAAAAAAATTGGCTGTATAAATTGTCACATTACTAAATCACTTCTATTCAGACAATACTAACTTTTTTGGCAAGTTTTGCTGCTGAAAGAGTTGGCTCAGAGGGTTCATGCGATTCTGCAGAGTTTGAGCAAAATTGGGCTCTTGAGATAGAGCGGGTTGTTCTTCAGTCGGTATCTCAATAATCTCGTCTTCATCTGATCCCTTTGACTCTTTTTCCTCCCTTGGCTCAGAAGGTTCGACAACGATCTCTTCATCTGGGTCCTCGATTTTCATTGCATGATTCGCCATACGTGCTCTCTTTATCGTTTCTGGAAATATTTGTTAGTGGATATTGAAAGATAATCGAGAGGTTCACCTATAAGGGCGTTGCGTTTTTCGAGTTCATTAGACATTTTGCTTATTTGTAAAAGGTTCAGAATATTCAAGCTGGGGTTTGGTGTTGATGCTGCTGCGCCTGGCAGTGGCAAATTTCCCATTGGACCGAAAGCTCCCGGTCTAAAGGCTGGAGTCGATTCGTCTTCTGAGCGGCGTCTCTTTCGGGCTGAGGCGGAGCGGTTTTGACTATCTGATGAGGTCTGGTTGGTCTCCAACGAGTTTGCAGAGGTGAAGGAAGGAACAGCACCTGGAGTGGTGTTCTGCTGGCTCGGAGAGATCATCGAGTTTGGCGTCGCCGAAGCGAGCATTGTCGGACTCAGCTGCAGGGGCGTCGTCTGATGATTAGCTTTGTTAATAAGCGGCGACGGCCCCTCTGACGGATCTGCAAGAAGTGCCGCGTATAAATAGCTGAACAAAAATATAAGCCAAGAGGCAACTCCTATTTTAAGTCGAAAACCGCTTGGAAATATTTCATCAATAACTAAACCTATTCTAACTCGCAGGCGAGCTTGTATATAAGAAGCTGAGTGAAATTTATTCATAATATATTAGAAAAAATTGAAAAAGGACGAAATCATCAATGATTAAGGCGCTTCGGTGAAAATCTATTTTTTCGCGCTAATGCAAAATTAACGAGCTAAAGTCTAAGATCTTTCAGATTGGATTATACTCCCAAAATAATTCTTCTCGCCGTTTTTAAAATTTTAATCACTGTTCGATCAAAATTACTCGAAAAACAATAAGTGAAATCATAGAAGAGTACACACCTAAGTGTTTTGCTAGTGGATTCGATAGCGGATTCAATTTCACGTCTCCTCGGCGGTGCCTTGATTGCTTGTTTGACTGCATCGTCTACTTCGCCTGGGGCGACTTTAGGCACACTCTTCTCATTTTCGCCATGCTCGACAGACATGTGCGCCATAAGGTACCGTTCGTCGGAGCAAAAGAATTGGCAACGGTCGCATGATAAAATCGGCACTCCCTGTAACACAAACGGAGCCCGATTCGCAGCCATCTAAAATTTGAAATTTGCCATTCCAGCTTTTCTTGAATATTTTCGAAGGAAATTTGAACTTGAATGAAATGACGGAATAAGAAGAGAACAAGAAATTGGTTAGTAGAATACCACAAAGAATAGAAAGAAAATGACAGCAAGGTTAAAGGTGTATTGTAAAAGGCTGAAGCAATCGAGTAACTTTGAAAAACTACTTGTAAAAATGCCCTCCGTAGAGCCCAGATGGGGTGTTCATGGGTCTTCGATAGATATTCTGGTCCTCATTTGGGGTCGGCAGAGAACACTTTCACAGAGGAGCAAGTTTGTGGCTGATTGACATCAGGAAACAAAAGAGACAAGAAAGCAGAAACATAAATAAAGAAAATTAGAGAAAATTGAAAGCTAGAAGTCACATACACTGTATATGATATACAGGCGATTAAGAACCAGAAGAGAATGAGTTTTGATGAAAAATGAGGCCACCTTGTGAAATCAAGAAAGATTTCGTCCGAAACGCGGTGAAGGTTAATTTTGCTAGGAAATTGGAAAAGATGGAGTGAAAAAATCCAATCGATTATGGAAGAGCACACACTCACACACTATACTCGCCTACCACACAAATGGGGAATGCAGAAGATGAACGCTTGACGCTGAAAATTCGATCGACATTTCAAAAAACAAGAGATTTTTTACAATGGAGTTGAAAAACCAAAGTCAGCGGGTGGAGCTGAAATTCTAAATTTTAGAATATAAAAAATTGCGAGTTCACGCAATTAGCGACTATCCGGAGGCCTTTGACTCTAGGGAATTCGACTTTAAAATTGGCCTTGGGGCCCATCTTAGCCTGGCTTTCATTACCTCGAGCGCGCAAATTGGCAGCTTGTGCCGCGTTTCGCTGCTGTCACAGAAGAAAATTGCAAGGACAGAAAATTGATAATATTTTATGAAAATAATTCTCAAAAATCTGTCACCCTGAAACTTGATTCTTTTTAGGTAACTTACTCCCTAGCAGAAGTTTCCTTCAAGAGTCCTGAATCAGAATGGGAATCTCTTTTTTCCGGATGTCTGGAAATATGTTTGTTCTCTCTCATCGTCTCCGAGATTACGCAGCGAGTTTCCCACGATGTCGAAAAAAACTGATTCGAATTGCGGCGATGCAGAGACTATCATCCCTCGTTAAATTCTCAATTTTGTGAAAAATGTTAAACTTAGCAATTTATTTTTTTTTGAAAGCGCGGCGCTGCTGGGCGGACGGCGTCGGCCTCCTGGTCGCGCTCCCTCGTCGGTCAAATTTCCAAAGGGTTTTTGCGCAATAAAAATTATACATTGCAAAAATCGATGAAAAGGGATGATCTCTGTGCGTCGCTGGGCGAGTGCGCGCGTTCTCCTTATGCGTGAGTGTAAGCGCGTGTGATTGCGATATTGGTGCGCTGTGGATTTTTAAAAAATCAGTTTAAAAATTTATGTATTCAAATAAGGGAACTTCGATTTTCGAAGGGAAACGAAGTGGCGCTATCTTTTACTTTTCATGGAATTTGACGCGTTGGACTAGTATTTCAGATTAGGAAAGAACGAAAAGAAACTGTGACATGGAGACACGTGTGCCGCCTCAAGAAAGAATCAGTAAGGAAATTATAAGAAGGGTAAATTGAAGGAAACAGGGAGTTATTGGTCTCGCTGGCGCTGATCGGGAAAGTACTTTGGTTGCTCTTGTAATGGTGGGCTTGGTAAATGACTCAATCACAAGGGGAAATGTTTGGAGACGCTCTTGGGTTCTGATGGGGAGGTCTGAGGGGATTACCCAGAAGTAGGACTCGGCGAATTCGCAGCAGACGTTGAGGTGGTAAGGATTGTTTTAGTGCGGATCACAGCTTCCAGCTCTTTTGTTATGTTTTCTGAAAACCTCAAATTACTTACAGAACTATACGATTAGTCTTCCTTGATTTCTTAGTAAAAATTCTCATGATCCAGTAAATACCCTGCTAGTTTTTTCATATTTATGCTTTTAGGACAAACGAACATACAATTTCTATCTATTGAGATGCTTTTTACAAAACTAACTCACAAAGCTGCGCACCGGAAGATCACGATGATTTTCGGACTCTCTCATTTTATTGCCTCATCTCTACTGTAAGTTCTGAGATTTCTCGCGCTGGGCACGGAAAAAAAATTCGCGAAAATCGCATCTGAAAAAATGAGAAAGTGAAATCGAGGAAGTGCGCCAAGCGCAGGCTTCCCCAAGGGAGGTTGCGCTTAGTTTTCTTCCCACAAAATTCGATTCTCATTTTTTTCCTCCTTTAATTCGCGGCGCTGCAGGATTCGCGCAATAGTGGCGGCGGCGCGTTCAGGCCGCTAGGCGCAAACGCTCCGCCCGAATGAATTTTTATAAAGTTTCGGGCACATGGCCAAAGGCTCCAAAGCCATTATCTATCGATCCAATCGGAATTTCAAAGAAATATATTATCTGACTGAAAATAATTAAATTAAAATTGAGCAAGAATATAACACATTTTAGTTGGCTGGAAAAGATCTTTAAATGATATCCACAAATAAGGTGAAAATAGTTTTAGAAATGCTCAAAAAGATACGAGTCAAGACATCTGATGATTACTGAAAAAAAAGCTTGTAAAAAAATTTGATTACTCTCTGAAATCGTTAAGAAAACGACGTAGAATAAATTTTATAAAGTTTCGGGCGCGAGGCCAAAAGGTCGCGCTTTTTCGAAAATCAATATATTAGGTTGCAATTTTTAATGAAGAAAATCGAACGAAAGCCGATTTCCATTCACTGTATATACTATTAATTGGCTGCCAACATAGAGGACAAGAAAATTTCATAGCTGCGAGTAAGAGTTTAGGTATTTCGCTGTCTATTTTCATGACGCGCTAAGAATTCATCCCAAATAGATAATAATATCGAGCAACTTTCCCACTGGCTGGGTTCGATAGCATTTCTGGCTAATATATGAGATTTTTTCAAGCACAAGTTCTTTGATCGATAAGCCTATTAATTGAATTAATGACGGAAAAAAGTGCCAACAAAAATGGTCGTTAAATTCAAATGGGCTGAATTTCCCTGGGAATTTTGAATCGTGACGGCCGTATTTTCATGGAGGACTGATAACATCCCAAAGATACTCACCTAGTCGAGAATGCTTGGCTAAGTGGTGCTCGATGTCGTCTATGGCAGTGTTCGGGAAACAGGTGTGGCAGAAGAGACAGCAGAACTCACTGTTTCTCAAAGATATGTAGCGCGTTCGCTTCTGAAATTTCGCATTTGTCCTGTATTTAACTTATTTGGGCAGCTACATTCAACAGGTTCCGGTGTCGACGCGCGCTACTTACAGTGGTGGCGATATTCTGCATCTTTGGCTTTTCATTGTGATTTTGCTCTGCCTCGGATTCGCGTTGCTTTTGTTCTTTCGAGTGCTAAAATTCGACAGTAATTTTTCTGCAGCACTAGAAATTTTGGCAAAAAACGCCCCAGGCGAGTGTCTCTTCCAGGGCGCGAAAAACTCAACTCTTATTAAGTTGATCCTCTTTTAAATAAGGAAAGTTTTTAAATAAAAATTTTCAAAATGTAAATTCTTAAAGACTATTGATAGAATTATAGCCGGCTGGTGTGGGAATATTTGTTTTGGAAATATTTCTGGGTTGGGCACACGCTCAAGCGGGCTGAGCCTGAGAAAAACTCTGAGTTATTGACTTGAACTGAAATCTATTGAGCTCCCCGCGCCAAGTGAAATTTTCAATCAATGTCGAATTAAAGAGCTCTTTATGGCTATCTTCACAGAAAAACGCTCTAATTTGTGCTCAAATGTTATATTTGTTCTGAATAAGATGTATCACTATATTAAGCTAATCGGTTTATTTTACCAAATCGACAATCATAAATGTGCTACTCTTTATTAAGAAAAGTACTTGTTTAAAAATGTCTTGGCAGAGCGCCAGTGAACTTAGTCGGAATGATTAGATGGAAAAAACATCCGAATATTAGAAAGATTGCGAATGGAAAATTTCATGGAAAGCGTCGCCGCGGGGTGAAAGCGTGCCCAAGTCCAGCTAATTGACAAATTGATTATGCGAATTTCCTCTCAATCGGGGAGCAATATCCTCCAGCCGTCGAAAAAGGGAGCTTTTATTATTTGAAAAATCCTCGCTCTATTGCATAGTTTATTGATTTGCGGCCCCTAAAATAATCGTCTGAAAAATTGCATTTATCGATTCCGAGCAGAGGCAGCTCTCTGCCGATGGAGATATTTCCTTTCAAAGTGCAATCATTTGTCTATCTTTAAAAAAAGTTTGTGCGACTTAAGGGAGCTCACCCGCCTAAGCGTTTTGTGCGCCAGTTGGTGAAATCACCCAGGAATCGATAGGCCAAGCTACCCAAAGCCATATTTTAACAAAATATATATTTCACATAAGCGCGACTAAACTCGCAAAATATTCACATCGATCCTTGACTTTTCGAGCACTTAGAGTCAATTTGTTTTTGCCAGATTTTAGCTCAGCAAAATGATTATCCGGGCGAAAAGGCAGAAACGCAGAAAATATTCATATAACTCGGGCGGCGTTTTCCAGTATTCCACGAAGAAGAAAAGCAAAAATCAGAAACTCACGGAAGCTCATAAAATATCCGGAACATTGTCATTTTTCGAAGCTACACGAACGGCGAAACTTATCCGAAAAAAGATCAAAGAAAACTTCCGCCGCAGCGCAAGTGTTGTAGCCGTACACAAATTTTTCATAATTGCTTCCGAGATTTTTCGGCTTTAACCTTATATGAAGACCACTATATTTAACAAAAAAAAAACGCTTGAACGGTGACAGTATCGTGCGAATTTAGAAGCGGGCCATATGCGCGGCGCTTAAATTTTCGAAAATATAGTATTGACCTCAATCAGGCGGCGTGCCCTTAAAATTTGCAACATTTTAATCAATAGGCCATATTGTTATATCTTGTGACTGTTGAGCAGCAGGGTGAAATCAATGCGCAACAGATTGGAGCAAAGCCAATATTTTTAAAGCTCTGGCCCGAACTTGAGAAACTCCCCCAAGTTCAGAAGAGCTGAATAAACAACGAAAATCATTCTTAAGAAACATTTTTAAGGGGATCAATCATTAAGAGTTTTCAGATCGGCTTTGATTGTGACCTTTTAGCCGCCAGGCAGGCGCGTCTAATCAGGTGATATAAAAATTTTCAGTTTTTAAATTTTACGACAAGCCGATTTTGGTAAGTAATTGCGCCCTAAACAATCCGCGCCGCTCAGATTCCAGCACTGCTAATCAAATCTTTCTCCACCAATTTAGTCCTCCACTTACTGTTGCTCTTACTGCAGCGGCGCTTCTATTCTACCACTCTCTACTCGTCTCATGTGCGAATAACATTGTTGTCTCCAAAAATGTGCAAAAATTCGCACCACATTATGATGCTCGAGTTCAAGAAAATTTCTGAGTAAACAACTCGCGGAAAAAACATATATTCTGATTTTATGAAAAAACTAGAAAAAAAGAAGCGAGAAAAAATTTTCTCAGTCCGAGCACGGTTCACCATGGAGAGCAAATTCCCAAGGCTATTGTTTCCTCTTTTGATCGAAAAATTCTACTTCTGCGCTTTTCTGTTTGAATAAAAGTTTGAAAGGAAAATTTCACTGGGACGCTGAGTCGACTGTACTTACGGGCTCGGGATTACTGTATTTTACTTCGTTGCACTCTCTTTCCACGCGCGCGAAAGATCGAAAGACTCACTTCAATTTTCAAAGGGAGTTGAAAAAAATCTTTATTTTTCATTTTCTTCATTGAACATATTTTTTGAAGCGAGCCGCGTCCAAGTTTTTGGCAACTGCGGCGAGCTTTTAATGATCAACTGAGCGGAGCAAAATTTTATGTCGCCCTTTGTCAATAGTCAGCCTAACGCACAGCCAAAACGCTCATAATAAAAATTTGCAATAAAAATATTAAAAAAGCTTTTCTTAAGGCGCTTGAAAGACCGACCCGCCGCCCAGACTAAAACTATCGCTAGATAATTTTACGGCTAGGTTTCGATTTTATAGCAGTTTCATTGATTTGAAAATGCAAACGCTCAACCCGGGGGTGAATTTTTATCTGCTTTGGTTGAAAAAAAAGGATGAAAAATTTTGGGCTTTGGAACGTCCGCTGGGCTGCGACCCCGAATTTCAAATGAGGGTAAAATTTATTCACTGGGCGATCGCCGATCGGATCAGTTCTAGCGCCGATGGAACTCGGATTTGAACAAATTTTTCTTCAAAAATGCCGCCTCAAAGGTCACCTTGCGTCATGGTGGTGGCAGAAAATGTCCGAGATTCGAAAGACGAGCTCAAATATCAGAGAGACCAAAAATGGCAACATTTCAAATGCTAACGTTTTCAAGTCCAAAATTACAAAACTCGCTTCCACCGAAAATAGCACTTCTTTTCACAATTACGCCAATTAATATTTTTGGCCGCATTCCTGCCCTTAAAACATTGACGCTCATAAAAATATCTGAATTTTTACTCGTTTGAGCATCATAAAACACGGTTTTTACATCTGGCCGAAATTTCGCGTTTTAACGGGCCCCTGACGCCAGCATAATTAACTTAATTAACTAAACAGCCATTGTCTTTGATTTCAGCGCCAAATTTCGGCGCGAAAAAGCACGAACCTGATTGCAGGGATTGCTGCTCTGGGTGCAGTGGAAGTGGGCGACCAGGTGTCTCCTGAAGGTGACTAGCTGTTGGTAGCTTTTCTCGCAAAACGGGCATTGATTCTTCTTCTTCTTGTCTTAAAAAATATTTTCGGAAAAATGCGTCTTTGGCAATTTGGAGAATGTCCGACAACTGAGACCAGCCAGCATCTGGCGAGATAAAGAAAAATTATTTTGTTTTTAAAATGTTTTTTTATCGAAAATATTCATCGCGGCGTAAATCCAGCCAAGGGGAAATTCCTAGAGCGAGAAGCTCAGGCAAAATATAGCTCGAGAATTCTCAAAACGAACTCTTCACGCTTCAGTCGACTTACAGAATAGATAACACTCCTTATCGAACATTCGGCACATCAACTTGGAAATATTTTTTTTATTATTTTCGGCTGGCTTGAACTTTTAAGGGTTTCGGAAGGAAGTTAAATAAGGGTGTCACTGTGTTAACTTTCGGGCAAAATTCAAGTAGAAGATCTTCATTTTATATTTTTCTAAAAACAAATCAACTCTAAATGTAACACCAAAACTTTTTGTCGATCCATTTTTATGTTTCTAGTAATTGGAATCGTTATAAAATAAACTCTTTTGATTTTTTTAAACGAAAAAAGTTCAAAGATGTATCACTTAGTTTCACGCACGTAAAAAGACCGGAAAAGTTGCGAGTTTGAGACTGGTTACGCAAGATAAAGCACAAGCCTTTTGATAATTCTTCAAATATAAAAAAAGTTAATTAAATCTTTTTTCGTCGTTTGATGATTTCGCCGTGGAATAATCAAAATGGCTTCTGACTTACGGAGGGCGAGTTTGGCGGCAGAGTCGCGCGCTCTTTTGAATTCGGAAAAAGAGCGGTTATTCAGACGACAGAAGCTGTTCTTTTCTTCTTCCGTGTACTGCTGCCAGTTGGAGAAAAACGAAGTAGTCCGACGTCGCTTGCTTTTCACTAAAAATAATAATTAATAATGTTAACAAGTATAAATACTTATAAAAAGTGGTTATATAAAATTATTTGTTGAATAATAAGCAATATTAATCTAAATTTTAATCTTAATCCGGTTTTTTTGTTACTAAATAATTTCTTTAACAAATTTGAGCGGACAGGCCGCGCCGATTTCATGTTCTACCCTTAAAATTATGAGCAGTACCTGGAAGTTGATTTTTTCGGACTTTGTTGTTGATCGTTTCGCTTCTAAGAGAACTTGTCAAACTTGGAAGGCGTCCATCGGGAGTCATTCTGAAAAATTCTCGTTTCTTTTCTGTCTTTGATAAAAGGGGGAAATAGAAATGCTTTTGAAATGGATGATTTACTCTGGAAGTTCAAGTTCGGCTTTTTATTATTTCGAAATGAAAATATCAGAAAAACGGGACTTTCAATAAAAAGCATGAAAGTCTCGAGTTCCAAATTATCTCAAAAAATTCTCGAAATTTGGAATTCGCAGCGGCGAAATTAAAAATTTCCGAAATGGGGCGCCGCAAAATTTCCTCTTCACGTTCTTAGAAAAATCAAAATAAAGAAAAAAATCATACGCATTTTTTAATCAAAAGATTTCTATATTACTTCGACGATGTTTGCTGTTTTCCCAGGATCTCTCTCTTGCTGAAACAATTTTTCTCTCTTGAAGGTGATTTTGTTTAATAAGCGCGAACAATCGCCCAAAAATTTCGCTCTCATCATTTGTGGGCATTCTCGGAAAAGTGCGTTTTTGAGAGTGTCTCGGCAGGACGCAATAGCTTTCCAACATTTTTCAATAAATGTCATTTTAAAATGAAAAGCCAACACACAATGGGGCTGCCACTGGCAGCACAAACCGAAACAGCGCCGCGCTAAATCACGAAAAAATTTAGAAAATCAACTTTTTAAAGCTCAACCCCGATTCTGCTCGATTCTAGCGACGTTTTCTATTGTCTAATCGAAGAAAGAAGAAAGGTCTGGAAGTTGAAAGGGCAAATATTCCCCGCGGAGGAGGAATATTTCCGGGGTCAGCTTTCGATATTTATAAGTTGAATAATTATAAAAAGGTATTCACCGGGTGACTCTCCCGCCGTAAACGATAAATAAAGACACTTTCCCAGCTTGAGTGATTTTTTCTAATTTCCATTTCCGAAAAAACCAAGTTGGAATCCAAAACAAGTCATTAACAAAAACTTTAAAAACGACTCAGCAGTAGAATTTCCTTCAATTCAAAAAATTCGAGCATTTGAAAAAAAAGGAAACAGTGAGAATATCATTTCCCTTTATTTCGATTTGTGGTGAATTTTTAGCGGCGAAAATTCAAATCAAAAATTCAAGGGCCTTGGAGAAATTTTCAATTTCGATATTCAAGAGGCCTAAATTTTCTAGCGCCGCGGAAAGCGTCCACGGAAGCTCTCTCTCACTCTTTGAACTTGCCTATTGTACCGCATTTACAGTAATCGCTCTGTGTATCTAAGAAATAAGAAAATAAAATAAAAAAAAGTGGCCGGAAGAAAAATCTAGATTAGAATTATTTCGCAGCGCCAAATATTTGGTGGTGCGATGGGTGCAATTACATGCCCAGGCTCGTACTTACGCATTGACATAATTCGAAAAATTCGCGTCAAAAATTCAAAATTACGAATTGCTGGCGCGATCAGGGCGTAGCACCGAAACAGCGGCGACGAAAACGTAAAAAATTTCGAAAAGATTTTTTTTTCATTTTCGGAATTCTGAAAAAGAGGCGCATTTAATTGACGCCGCAACCGCATAATTTCGACAAAACAAAGGCTCTAAGCCAAAACATTTTTCAGACAGAAATTTCACGAGTCTTCGATAAACTTTCTGAACTTCAATCTACGGTAACCTCCTCTAACTGTAAATAAGTCCCTAAGTCGTGTCTTTTATCTTGAGAAAAATGAAAGTATAAAATAGTTCTATAAATAATCCTTATTGCGGCGTCCAATTTTAAACACAACATAAAAAAGTAATCGAGTGTTGGTGTAATTTAAGTCAAACATGTCTAATGTCTTTTTAATTGAACACGCCGAGAAATTACCTATAATCTCAGCTTTTCATAAATGTCGGACATTTGAGCTCTTTGATCACACTTCAATAAATCACTTATTCCAACTCCATTATGTAGTCTACATAATATGTTACAAATCTAGAGTTCTGATAATCTCTTTATAATCTTTATAAGAGAAGTGAAAAATAAGAGACCCTCTATTCTGTGTATCTACGATAACTTGTTATCAGCATGGGATTAATGCTATTCTACTTTTCGAGTTGAGAATGAGTTCGTATGGGTGGAAAATGAGTTTGATGCGGTAGCGTGGTTGTCGCAAACCTCGAATCCTTCCCAGAAATTTCGAATTCGCCAAATAACAAATTCCAGAGCAGACTTTCATTCCGCGAGCGCAATTAGCTTTGTCGAAATTTTGCGGTCGCGGGCTACAATGCGATTTTCTCCTTCAAAAATAAAAACGAAATTTTACCATTTGAGCATATTTTTATCTCGCAAATACAAACTCATAAGATCAATTGAAGCAATTTTGGATTATATTTATTCATTGCGAACAAATTAGTTATTTTCATACATATTAAATTAAGAAGCGCCTTCTAACTTCTAAGCGGGTTTTCAATTTCCCTGAACTAGAAAAATAAGAAGCCGCTTAGAAATTAAGAAAACGTATAAATTTAAATTAGAAATTGAATTTTATTATATGTGACTTCCAATTTTATAGAACTAAGATTATTAAAAACGTGAATCTACGAAACTCTTATTTTTTAATTTAAATACCTTGCTTTAATTTTTCTGGGCTTCTCTGATAAAATAAGTTATTGTCCGTTTATCTCTCATTTTGACTCTGTCCAAGGTTGGCTCTTTCGGGATGGTCGGGTGCGAGCTGGTCGCGGATGGCGTTTGCTGTTTTTTCGCATTGTCAAACGAAAATTTTCGAGATAATGAAAATTATACTATTTAAGGGTACAACAATTTTCGAGTTTGGCGTAACAACAGAAAATTCCATTTTTATCAATTGTGATTCGGAAAACTATTCAAGAGGTGGCGCTCACTCAGCGCCAGCGCACACCGCCGCGGCCACCTCCGAAACGCTATCCAAAGCCAGAATATTGGTTATGTGATTTCAAATTCAAATGCACATCCTTAGACCTTCAATTTGCCGTTCAATGCGTCCTAGTTTAAAATCAATTTTTGAAAAATTTTACTTTTTATTTGATTTTTTAAATTGAACTATTATTGGCTCCAACTCTTAATATACCAATAGTACAATTGGTAGTACAATACCAATCTTGCGTTAGCAACATCAATGATATATCATTGAGCTTTTATTCATTTTAAAGTCGGACAAAATGAAGTAATCGGAGTTATCTAAATCAGTAAATAGTAACCTAAGTTTAAGATATTTCACTATCTTCATTATCTTACCTTAAAATAATTACAAAAAAAAATATAATCATTAAAAATTTTGGGTTATTAACGGATTAATGTAAATTGTAGAAATTTTAACCTAAGGTTATGGAACAGGACTTTAAAGCTTAAGTTCTTATCTTAGATAACTCTCATTATATCGCTTTATTCGTAATAAAAGATATGCGCAAATGAAATAACGCCTAACGATATTTATATACGCTATATTTGGCCATAAATAGAGGACGAGTTATAAAATATATAACTACAGTTAACGTAAAACCAATTCTTCTTACATAAATGCAAACTCTAATTTCTAAGCAGCAAAGAGAAGGGAAGTTCTAACCATTCCTGTGTTTCTTTGATAATAATGAGGGGCGCTAGTAAAAATGATTTTTAAGCGCCAGGACGGCACCATTTGATTTTGAAAATTTCAGAAGAATGTCTCAAGCTCGCCATTATAGGGCGATTCGATGCGAAATGCCGCCCAAAACCTCGAAATTTCCACTTTGAGAGGAGATATTTCCGGCCGCAGTGCTATTTTCAATTGCAATTCCAAGCCACTTTTTAGATTTTTTACGCCAAGGCCAGTCCTCATCAAAAACAGTGGCGCGCTGCGATGATTTCGCTAGAAGAAAAAGCGCAAATTCGATTGTCCAAAATTTGATGATTTTCTTTTTGGTGATCAGAGGGGGCCGCCAAAACATGCAATTAACCCGCAGTAGGTTAATAAAAGGCTGAAAACTCGATTTCCAAAGATCGGTTGCGATCTAGTCGGAAACGTAACAGGTTTGTGTTTATAGAGCGTAATCTTTGATGGGGGAAATGAAAGGCCACAAATTGAGAAATTACATTAGGAAGGTTTATATTTAGAGGGGTAATGAGGCAATTAGCATTTGATATTTTTGATAATTTAATTAAATCGCTCCTACTTTGTGGAGCGCGCTAGAAGGGAGAATCCGAGTCAGAAGTGAAAAAAAGGTTTTCGGTTTTTTGTTTCTCTTCTCTTTTGATCGTGAGCGTGACGAAGGACAAAATTTCTTTTTCGGATTTGCGCGAGGCGATCACATTTCGCTTTGAGCCAGTTTCAAGGTTTGAAATTTCACAAATGTGAATTTACTCAAAAAGTGCTCGCGAAATCCACAAGATTAAGAAATCATTAAAAGCTTTTAGTAGCTATAGCGCGCTGCTTTAAGTGATCCAGCCGAGGTCAACAAATTATATTGCGAAAGGTTGACAGAGCTCTTTTTCGCGGTGCAATTTTGAAACGTGCCCGCATCAATCACTCACAATTCATCCAAAATTATGCTCCCTCCTTATTTATAGACAGTAAAAATAGCGAGAATGAAGCACTCAAAACACAAAAAATTTCCATCAAAATCTCCTTGTTGCTATATTTTGGAGCAAATAAAGAGCCCTTTGTCGAACGCCAAAATTATAACTTCCCAATTTATGATTTCTGAAAATTAAGCCGCCGGAGAAAAGGAGGAATCAAGCGCTCCACGTACTTAGTCGTTCCTTTAGTGCGTTGTTTACTGCAAAAGAAAGAAAATTCAAAGTGTAAATGACTGCTTGTGAGAGAAACAAAGCAAAGACGATTTCATTCAAAACATCGCTGAGCTGATGTGAAAAACAAATTTCGCGCGACTCATTAATATCTCCATTCGATTCCTTAAAATAGAAAGTATGATATTGTGGTAAATTTTGCGCGCGATAATTTTGACAACTACACCATTGTGTTTCGGGGGTGGCAGAATGATATTTGGTAACCAAATATATCAGCTTCTGGCAATTTTTTGCGAGTAAATTAAATTAGTGCGTCAGCCAGCCAGTGCCAGGCCAAACCTGCGAAACAGAGGGTGTCCCTTTCAAAGCCGATAAAGACGAAGAAGAAGAGTGGTCGGAGATATACAGTAGGCCATATACAGAAGTGATTGTTTTCGCCCCTTGAGTGGGTGAAATTTGTAGTCGTTGGTGCACAATGGAAATCCTGTGGCGCTCTCAAAATGGATTTCGCCTTCGACCACAGAGCCCGGATGAGGCGGCCACTCCAAAAACGCCGCCCAAAAATTGGGAATACGAAAAAAATCATAACGCTAGAAATTTATCAGATGTTGGCGGTTTGCCTTTATGCAAAGTGAGTGACGAGCCCCTACTCAAAATGGAAAATTTTTCATGCCGCGCTTGTAATCAATTAAACTGGTATACTGGCACTTTCTGTGTTGGTTGTTTTGCGTAATTGAAGTGATAAGTGAGATTTCGGATATGAGCGGCGGAATTTGAATATTCTCATGCGCGCTCCTTGAGAAATTTTTTGATAAAAAGAATCATCCCCGGAGACAAAATAGAATTACATAATAAAGATAACAAAATAAACGAATGAAGGAGCCGCAGATAGCTCGCGTTTATCGCACTCAATCAATAACGTACTTTCTAATTTCTCACTCGAGCCTAATTTTTATCTTCAATTGGATTTTCTTAGGCTTTGCTCGACACTGTTTCCTGAAAAGAAAAGCGAGCGTAATTCCTAAAAACGAGTTTAGGGATTCTTGCAACGCTGCCAAGGTTGAGAAAACAATGTGCGTTTTAAGTGGTTCCCGAAATATTTTTGGCGGAAATGGCGCTCTCTCCAAATGGCGCGTCACGCGATTTCTGAGAGATTTAGAAATGTCAGCCGCTGCTGTGGCGATTTTCTCAATTTCTTTTTGCTCCTATCCACATACTTTTGACATTTCTACTTTTTGTTAGCACATAATTCACTTTTCCCGAAATTATTTCATTCCCAAAAAAAAAAGCTCCAATTAACGTTGATTGATTACCTTCATCTTGTTTCCTCTGAAAACTGCTGCGAAAGAAGTTTTTTCCTTGAAATTCAGCTCTTGCGTTCCCCTTTTTTCAAAAATCGATGCTCGTCTTTCTGTTTTCGAAAAAAATATTTGAAACAGGCCGAGCGTGTGGCCCCCTTTTGGACACATTCCCTGGGGCATTTTTCGCCTTCCCAAAAATGCAATTTCGAATTCATCCGATTTTCGGCTGTCTCGCGGCCGCATTAAGAGCTGAAACCTTTCCTCAAAAATCGCCTAATCGAGTTACTCAATAAAACTCAAAAATTGATCCGACGAGATCGGCAGCGCGAAAATGCTAATTCATTCGTGAAATTCATCAACCCAACCATTATATTATTTATTCTCAAAAGTGCTAAGAAATCTGCGCGTGCTCCCACTCCCCGATTAATTATCAATATCTGTAACTACGAGTTTTTTTTTCTTAAAAAAGAAGCTAAGATTTGTTATCGCTTGAAATTTTTCCGGATGGAGGCAAACCCGTAAATATTATAGGATTAGGAAGTTTAGACTAGCGGATTGTTTTAGCTCTGAAATTTTGTCTATTTTTGATGAAGAAAGAAATATATATGAGTTTTTGCAGGAGTTAAAATGCACAGAAGTAATGAGATGGTTTTCGGCAATAAACAGTATACTAATGAAAAAATTAATACACTGAACTAAAGTTAAACAGAATGAGTAAAGAAGAGAAAGCTAAATTACTTTGATTGAAATTAGTTGAAGTGAATTTTTTTTTATAATAAAAATTGCATTTGAGACGTACCGTCGCGAAAAATGCGCTGCACTGAAATCATAGAGGACTCATGATTTCTTCCATCACAAAAGAGAGGAACAGTTGGAGATAGAAAAATACAAAATAAATTAAAGATTTCGAAGGGAAAAGGGCTACTACAGAAATAAGATAAAGGTATTTGGATTGTTTTTAGCGAGGAGTGAATGCTGGGTTGGTAAATGTGGCCGATAGATTCCTAAATGCAATTTTATTATCACAATTTTATTATAGGCCTTAGTAAGGAAAGTCCTTAGCCCTTACTTATGCCTTTCTTTATTTTTCATGAATTTCAAAACCCTTACCCTCAGTAACGAAGGAAACCTTATTAAGGGGTCCGACCTTAGGTCATTGAAGGCAACCAGCTGATTTTCATTAAACAATTATTCTCTTATTCTCTATGTTCTCTCTTTTTCTTTCTACTGGAAAATAAACTAAGAGGATGAGAGAGGGATTTTCTGACTTGCGTCAGGCGACCGATAACATTTTTAAAAATGGTCTCACGTTAGTCATTTTCTTGGTGAAAATGGAAAATATTCAAGATCCGACCTTTTTGGTCACCACCACTTTATATCAATAATTATTATATTTTCATTATACACTCACGTAGGATTGAGTGTGACTGGAGAGCGAGTAACTTCTTCGTAAGTTGGCAGATCGGAAACTTCATACTTTGGATTTTCAATAGTGCTTCCATCCTGCTGCGGTGGCGATGGCTCCGGTTCTGGCTCAGGATCATCTATGAGTAGCGAATTAAAAATTTCCTAAAGAAATAGACTTGCCGAAAACTTGGAATTTCTGCTTCCATTTCAAATCGTAAGCTCTATTCAACATACTGAGAACAATCATAACAAGAGTCCATTGCAGAATGCACCAAATGAAGTCATCCTTAACAGTTTTATTAAGACAACTTCGAGAAGGCGAATTATATTTCTGTTTCGCTGAAGACATACATGAAGCTCTGGGGGTCTGTTAATTCGTCTATTGTGCGGATCCCAAGTTCCGTTGCGGATATGCTCGAGAATGAGTTCTTTGCGCGCGAGATGACTTTTCCTGGCGTTTTCTTCAATCCACCACATGAATATCAGAAATATTTGAAAGGGCACAAGAAGAGCTATCAGAATTCCCCATGCTTGATAAATTTTAGGATCTTTTGATTTCAAATAGAGATACCTTTCGGGACTTTGTAGTCTTTGATTTCTGCTGATATTTTGTTGAGGAAATCAACACGGACATCTTCTACGCCGATTCTAGTGATTAAATAGCACAAGAATGCGCCGCAGAGGATAGATCCGTATCCCCAAGTATAGTCTTGATTCGCCAAAATGTTCAAATTCGTGTTGCAAAAGCCTCCGACGCACACAGCCGCACAGACGGCAGGAGCGGCAACCTTCCGACGAATCTTCATGTGTGTTACTTGACGAACGACCATCTCAGTCATCGATATCAAGCTTGTCAAGCCGGCTATGGTCAAGCAAAGGTAGAATATTGTGCAGATTGCTCGTCCATTCGGAAAGTTTTCGAAAAAAACTGGCATCCATACGAGAGTCATTCCCGTGTTCGCGGGGCCATTTTCCTTCATTATCTCGAGAATGCCCATTGGTGTGATTTCTGGATGATGGCGGCTTTTAACGGTTTTATAAGTGAGAGGCACCACGAATGTTCCGTGTTCGAACTTCTGGCCTTGAAAAACGGATGTAGCACCTCGAAACCGTCCCTTAGATAATCAAAAGCAGCGGCGAAAGTAGTTATTCCCATCATCAGTGAAATCATGTTATTAATAATAGGGGTAATTAGACTGTAGAAAACGACTTTGTGTGACTTCGGCATAATCGTAGAATACGTAAGGAAAACTCCAGTGCCAGCGCCAGTGTCCCATGCATTTTGCGCAAGGCCGTCGATGAGGAATTGACCTTTCTTATTTTTGATTTTATTATGACGATGTATGAGAGGAGGCAATTTTACTGGGTGAAAGAAGAAGACAAGACTTAATGATCAAGTGCCTTTCGAGAGTTTCAGTGGATACGGCTGGTTTTTCCAGCTCCAAAACTTACAACCAAGTGTCTAGCGTCTCTGAACACCAAGCTCGCTTCGACTCGTCTTCTTTTTCTTCTTCTTCTTCTTGTGGGTGGGCCGCAAGTGTATCGACCCACTGTCACATTGAGAGTACGAACCGGTTCTACGGTGGAGACGGTGAAAGAGACGCAACACAGCTAGCCTGGGCCCAAAGAGTGCTGCGCACTTGTTGTGACATGGGTTTGCAATGAGACCGTACCGAACTCAGGAGGGAAAAATTTGGGACTTATCTGAAGTTTGCTTGTGTTATGGTTTTATGAGCTTAATTATATTAATTGTAATCAAGTTCCTTGAGCGACGACCAGTCCATTCGAAAGATAAGGGCGACTCCAAGCGCTGCTTTTGGCAAAAATAGGGAGTAGTAGAAGCCGACAAGAATGAGAAAGATGAGGATCGGCACACAACAGAGATTTATCTTTTCGATTGTCGTGATTCCTTTTGACAAGCTGGCGTAAACAAACAACGCTATAAAACAATAAGCGTCGTGATAATAAATGAGAAGTTTACCAATGAGGAAAGTAAGAAATGCGGGCCAGCCAGTTTCTTCTGTAAGATGACGAAAAATCTCGCCAGAATCTTCGGCATTACTAGGTAGAGGGTGCGACATAGTGTAAAAGAGATAATAAATACACCAGGAATTGATCACGATGTAGTAACACGAAACTGCAAGTTGAACGAAAATAATAAACATGCCCTTCCAAGTGTGCTTAGGACCAAGAAATCTTCTGAAAGCATTGGCGTGCATCATTTTTCCTTTGCGACCTATGGCGTACTCGGCAATAATCATTGGTATGCTCCAACAGAAGAGAGACACCATCCAGCTTAATACAGTTCGAAATATTCTCCTCGAGTATTTCTGTAGGTCGAATGGAACCGTTTCCTGAGAACAAAGAGCAGTCCTCCTCCATCGGTGGTGTTGCGCGCGAGAATACGAGGAAAACGCCAGATGTTTCCCGTTCCAACAGCAGCTCCTAACGTTGTTAGAATCGCTGATAACTCAGAGGAGAACTCCTTGGGCTTCTTGGGCTGTTGGTTTACTGTGTCAACGGGCGGCACTTCTTGGCCGTTGTCGGCCTGGTCCGATTCGCGGGCGATGACCGCATCGGCTGGTTCGCTGATGCGCTCATTTTCCATTGACTGAAGTGATAATTTGAAAAAACGAACACATGTTATTGCGGACTTTTGATGGTACAGAGGCTTTTGAGCTTTAATTAATTCGTTGATATAAAGTAGGCAAAACGATTGAGTTAAAATAGCATAAAAGAAACAGATGAGTTCTGCTCTTTTTGAAAAAATAGATGCAGAATAGGTATAACTTGAATACTTTGTAAACTCGGCCAATACACACGAGACATTTGAATTCGTAGAAATCTATCATTTTTTTCTTTCTTATAGAAAAAAAATGAAGATTCTTTCTAATGAGGGAATAGCATGAGAAAGCAGATTAGCTTGGCTTTGAAAATATCACTTAATATTGCAGTTTTCAGGAATCTGATTTAAGAAACTTAATAAATAATAAATAAAGTATTCGAATTTGAATTTAAATTTGCGATTTTCAAAATCGAATTGATTTTTTATGGTAGAAGAGTAGATACGCTTCTGAATTCAGGACTTGTTCGATTGAAGCTAAAATTGAAATGACTGGAATGTTTTCCAGAACGATCACTACAAGCTTCGAAGCATCTGTTAGAAACCAACTTTACCTTTTGTTATCAAGGAGTCATCGCAGCGGAACCACGAGCTGGTCTGGCGAATGAAGGATGTGTAATGGCCGGATTGTAGGTTGCCCATGTGGTTGACCACTGCGAAGAGCTCATATTTGTAATGGTCCGAGTCGCAGAACTCGGGGGACAGTGATGTGTTGCGCGCGCTCGACATGAAGGGACCCATGTCTGGTGCTGTTTTTCACAAATCAAATGCACTTTCAGAGTTACGCAAAAGAAATTTCGTTGATTGATGAAAAACGCGGTTCCTAATGTTTTAGGGAATGAAACTGGTGTCGCCACTTTTGATCTGGAACCGGTTGCCGTTTGTTCGAAGCGTTTCAAGTGAAGGCAAGCTACCACCGGCAATCTTTGACGATTTGAAACATCGAAAGAAGATTCGCGCCTACCTGGAGATAGTCAGTTGTTTGGAGCTTTCCTGTCGCTTTCCGCACTTTTTGCAGTTTATCTTCGACGCATTTCCGAGCTGTTCTTTCTTTGTAAATTTAGACAGGCAGTCCATTAGCGATGCGACTCCTCCGGGAGCCACTTGAGGAATATCCAGCGAGATGTCACGCAGAGGATCTATCGTTTGCGAAATATTGCCACATTGATTGCAGACGACGTTGGATTGCATAAAGCCAGTGAAGACCTGGTCGATTATAGAACGATCCGCTTGCACTGTCAGGTCTATGCTTCCACTCTCGATCTTTGGCTGGAGACGCTCGTGAATCATGTCCAAAACGGCGATGAGAAATTCGTGCGCGTCTTGTTGTTCGTAACCAGCTAAATACTCCGAATTCCGCCATACAAGCAACAGCAAGCGCTTTGATCCGGTTCAAAGGATAAAATTCAATAGAAAAAAGGGATATTGAAAGCGAGTTTTTGAACCATTCATAAGGTGTCATCGGATTCGAATTTTCATTCGAAAAGAACTCCTGGAATATCTTTGAGAATTCGCAAACTATACAAGAAGAAATCTCATTGGGCGGGCATTTAGGATGCTTTTCCATCAGAAAGTAGTCGCGGAGAACTGGAGAATGCGTGAGCGCTTGAATAACCACGTTCATGAAGCAGGTATTGCCTTGATTGACCAAACCGCGAAGACCAAGGGTGGACTTGCCATCTACAGTTAGTCTATATTCACATTTACGGTCAGGAAAAGTACATAGAGCGAACCTCATTCTGTGCTGAGCTAGGAAATTCAAATCTACTTTATCTGGCTCCCAGACAGGCAGACTCTGATGATTGTGACCATTTTTACAGGCTAAGCGGACTTTTTCGAAGTCATCGTCGTAAATGTAGTTGCGGCAAGAAGCACAGTGCGTGTTCCCAAATGTGAGCTAGAGAATTGTTAGACGATGGATGCAGACTGAGTTTTACGTCGATAGAGAGGTTGTGGCCGGTGGTTTTCTGGTGCTTGTGAAGGTGCTTTTTGTCGAAGCAGCCGATGAAAACGCAGTGGAGACAAGCGTGCAGACGACTTCGCACGCGGCGAGAACGACAAAACATACATTTGAGCAGGGAAATCGCCTCCCGAGAGAAGAACTCTGAGTGCGGACAGATCAGCTTCCTTTGTCCTGTTTCGAAAGAGCGGTTTAAAAGGGCCGAGAATACTGTGGAGACAAGTTCCTATGGAGTATATGAAGCGGTTGGAGACGATATAAACTCTTGAAAGCCGCCACATGCTCGCAAGAAGCTGAGCCCATCACAGGCTCATAACAAACTCGATTGTCTCTTGGCTAAACAACAATTCATGACGATTATTTGATTAGTGAACAAATTAATATCGGACCAAAGATTGTAATTAACTTCGGAAAGAAAATCATTTATCGAACTTCAAGCAGATGTGATTTTAGATGATTGTAGAAAGGACGAGCAATTCTCTGAAGACGAAAATTGGCGCGTTTTCCGTCTCTGTCCAATAGGCGGGCGCGAGAGAAATTCATTGATTTTGACGCAGCGTCGCAAAAACGAGAAAATCGCCCAAAAAGAATAGTCAGAATAGCAGAATAGATCAAATAGAGAAATGCTGCTTTTCAATCCGCAGTATGGCTATTTGGAAGGAATGGTGCGGGGATTCAAGAATGGACTTTTGAACCAGACGGAGTACCAAGCCCTAACGCAGTGTGACTCACTTGAAGACCTCAAGATCCATTTAGCGGTATGTCCTTTTCAAGTAAAGCAAATGCAAAATTACTTCTAGGGGACATCTTATGGGACGTTTCTGAATGACGAAGCTGCCGTAGTCTCTTCGTCGCTGATATCCGCTCGTCTGCGGGACAAAATGGTCGCCGAGTTCGAGCACATGCGCAATCATTCTAGCGGAGAGCTGTCCAAGTTTCTCGACTTCATTTCTTACCAGTACATGATCGACAACGTCTGTCTCCTCATCAACGGTACTCTCAACAGAAGACAGCTCTCGGAACTCGTCCCTAAGGTTCGTCCATTCTATAAAAACATCCCGAGAAATCAACTTCTATTTAGTGCCATCCTCTTGGTATCTTCGAACAAATGGAAGCTGTGACGATTGCGCAGACTCCTGGAGAGCTCTACAATTCGATCTTGATTGACACTCCTCTTTCGGAATTTTTCAACGGTTTTTCTGAAGCTGATCTCGACGAAATGAACATTGAAATTATCAGAAACACGCTTTACAAGGTAATTTTTTGGTCAATCATCTAATTATGTTTTCCTGGTAGAACTGGATCGAGGCATTTTACAAGCTGTGCAAAGACATCGGTGGGTGCACGGAAGAGACAATGTGCCCTATCCTCGAATTTGAAGCCGACCGAAGGGCATTCCTTATCACGATCAATTCTTTCGGAACCGAACTGACGAAGGACGCACGAGAGAAGCTCTACCCAGAGTGCGGAACCCTCTATCCTTACGGTGCGCATCTTCTCCATATCATTTTCATGTTTTTATAGGTCTATCAATGCTTGGAAAGTGCGATGATTTCGAGCAAGTTCGCCAGGTAGCTGACACATTTCCGAATTATCGTTCACTCTTCGACGGCGTGGGCCAGGGTGCATCCGACTTCACCCTCGAAGACAAGTTCTTCAAGCACGAAGTGAAAATCAACATGCTTGTTTTTATGAGACAGTTCACTTTCGCTTCTTTTTACTCCTGGATCAAACTGAAGGTAAGAAAGATGCGCCTTTTCAAGTGCTAACTCTTCTCCAGGAACAAGAGTGCCGCAACATTGTGTGGATATCAGAGTGCATCGCGCAGAAACACAAAGCAAAGATCAATAACTACATCCCTATCCACTGATATCTTCGAGAGTTCTTCTATCTGAGTTTTCACTTTCCATATCATTACTCGATACTACTCTCTACAAACATGTCCTCGTAAGTCCATAATCTCTAAAACCCGTGCAATCGAATATTCTTCATCTTCATTCATCTTATCATGAGTTCTTTATTATTATTGTACTTTGTGGAATATAAAAGATTCAAACAAAACAACGCAGTTATGGCTATTCATTTGTTTTTTATTAAGAGGACGACAAGTAGAAGGCATGAACTATTAATCGGAACAAACAGCTTTTTCCTAGAATTGGATTAGAATCTTGAAATTTCAAGTAATATTTTGTACTCGTATAGGTGTGTGTGTAACTCGCATCGTTATGAACTGCGAGAGAGATGCTGACTTAATTAACTGTACACTCCTCCATGTCTCCAGATCTACGAGTGAAAAAGCTCCAGCCTCTCGTTTTAACCTCTTATCATTTTTTCGGTCCAAATGCCACATGTTTTCACTACTTCGCCAGATTAAGGGATGACTATAACGAGAAAGATAAGGAACACTTGGGGAAACAATGCAAAGGTCCCCCAACTAAAAGTACACAAGGACACAGGTGAGTTCTATTATCGAAACGGTAGTAAAAGGTCGCATCATTGGATAGATTCCATGGGTTTTTGTCAATGCTCTCTGATGATCATTTCCTCTTCCTACTAGCATAATTTGTCTGGTCAACGTGTCCGGTACGTGAGCGTTTTTTTGAAATCTCGATGGTATCAAAGATTTGAAGCACTTCCGTCAGAGCTCTCTGGAACAATTATGCTATTGATTTTCCCACAATCAACTAGCGAAAACGCACGACAAATCGCAGCCATTTTCTCAAGTGTCTTTTTTAAAGGACCCTGTAACGTATTCTTGAAAATCGCCAAATAAAAAAAAAAAAGATTTTATTCGTGCATAAGAAAAAACTAAAGCATGTTACCCAAAACTTGGAATTTAAACACACTCGGAATATGATATTCCCCTAAATCTTCGAAGTATGCCGGAGAAAGCTTATTGAAAGTTTTGAAAGTAAGACGGAAGTATTTTTTGGCGCTAGGTGCTGTGGCTTCACCTTATCACAAAGACGGTGACTTTATCAGCGGCGGACTCCCTTATCTCCGACCTTAGTCACTCGACCAAACAAATTACAATAACTGAAACCCGAAAAACTCCCTTATCACTAAAATTTCCTCCCCAAATTGATAGATGAATGGTTTGTTCTTGAACGGTTTCTAATTAGAAACAAAAAAAAAAGTCTTTTTAATGTAGGTTTTTTGTGTATTCAGTACTGTCAGTTCTCATAAATGACGTTAAATTTAATATTTTACAGTAGTCAAGAATACTAGAGATGAACTTACAGCTCGTTTGGCAGAAGTGTTGTGTTTTACCGTTGCTTATTTGAGTTTTTAATAATACACGGATCTTTAATTTAAATAAGTCCTTAATAGATTTATAATAGCTCATCGAATGAGTTGAGTGTAGGTTCGATTGAAGAAATGTACAGTAGCCACAGTAAATAATGTACACATGGGCTGCAAGCTGAGTGTAGCCCAAAAAGTAGGGTCGCTTGGTTTTAATACTCTTTCCGGAGCTCTAGTTCTTCCGCCTTCGCTGATGAAACTGTTGAGCGACTTTGAGGTCTTCCAGCGTCGGCGAGAGTTCGTCGTGCTTCATCTTCGAGCTGAGCGAGTTCAACTCGAAGTAGACGACGTACTTCTGGCGTGCAATGCTGCTGCTCTCGTCCTTGGTGCGGTCTTTTCGCCGAGAGTCTTTTCTTCGGCTTTTCTTTTGGTGAGCTTGAGTGGCTTCGCCGGCGTACTGCACGCTGCTTCGTTCCTGCGTACGCCTGCTCTTGCGCGTGACCTTCTCGCTTTTTTGGAACATCGGGCAGCTCTCACGTGTGCAGTTGTTCCACTTCCAGCTCACCATCATTGACTGCTTGTTTCTCGAATCAACGCTCGTAGACTCCTCGTTTTTAATCTTGTTCTTCGGCTTCTCCATCTGTCTCAGCGAGCCGTTGACGATCATCAAGTAGCCCTCAGCGGACATCGCTAGGAACTTGCGCTTGCGTTTACTCCTCGCGCATCCATCGGCTGGGCACCACTCGAAAAATACCAAATTCGCTTTTTTGCACTGTTTGCCGCAAACCACCGTTCGTCGAATGTAGAACTGTTGGAGGTATTTCTGCTCTTCGGAGACTAATTCATCCTAAAGAAAACCCGTTAGTAATTTGTATCGCTAATCACCGGACGTTGTTCGCCCGAATTAGAAAAATGAATAAGGAAGGGACCAGAGCTAGTGAGTGAAATGGTAACGGGCAGTTTTCGGTGAAAATGAGCGCCGAGTACGAAAATTTGCGGTGCGGCGGCGGCGCGCCCGGACGCGCACTTTATCTTATCTCATCTCTTCAAAAATGTTTTGAGCTTTGAGGCTAGTGGGACTGAGAGAGCCAGTGTGTGTAGACTTGGGAAAAAGTAGGCGAAAAGCGCCACTCAAGTACCGTAAGGCTTTCGACTGGCGGCTTATCCAAACGATAAGACCTTATCAGCAACGTAATTACTGCAGTGTTGCGGTCGCGGTTGGCGCACACTGTTAAACACAATATCCAAGCAAATAGAATAGTTTCAGCCAAAACACGATTCCAAAATTTAAGACGGTGCACACAGTTAAAATTCCAACAGAGTGATCGCAGCCGATGCCGCGGAAATCCGCTCTTTGGAAAAATTGTTCTTGAAAGGGCGTTTATCGCGCGTACTTGAATCGCTGGCGGAAAATATTTACTATTGATTCACCGGAGAGGCAGATAGTCACATTTGCTAATTGCGGCTCGCTTTCCATCGATCAGTTCTACAGTTCCGTCAGGGCTTTAACGTTTTGACTGGTTTACGGCCAGTGGGAAAAGCGTGAGAACTGGGTATGGAAAACTTAGGAAGCAGCGGAAGAAAAGAATGATGCTATTATTTGTTACTTCAGAAGTACTTTTATGAATACGGATTTTATTGTTTTACTTGATGAGAGCTGAGAGATGATTGGTTTTTGTTTGCAAAAATGATTTATGAAAACTTTAGCAAAACTAACTTAGGGGTGATTACTCAACTTGAAGAGCTCGCCTGAAAAAGCAAAAGCTCGAAACTTGTTCTTTTCAATTAATTTACAAAAAAACAGATCATTTGAAAAACTCATCTTCAACTCAAACACTCGATCCACTCAAAAATTAAATCGCCAAAAATCACCGTCCGGATGCGCACGACGCCTGAAATTTTCGAAAAGTCTAGCCTTTGAAAGTCTATCTTTTCCGGGGAGTTTGATCTCGCGGATCAATCACGTGGGAAGGGCCTTGCTGACCTCTACTGGGGTCACATCCGGTCTGAGTGAACGAAGGAAAAACATATGGTGAGGCTGTCAATTCTAGTGCTTGATCAAAGTAAGTGCCCAATTTTCCACACACGCACGCATGAAGGTTACTGTAAGTTCTAGCACAGCTGGCCCTGTATGTTGTGTGTTGATGTTTTGTTTGGTAGTGGGCGGTGGAACGTTTCAAAGTGTATCCGGAAGTTTTGAACTACGGAAAAGCCAAACAAAGTCACCTGAGCAGGGCCGGACGCGCAGGATCGCCGCAGCGATAACGCAGCAACCTGCCAAAATCGCAAAAATTCAACAGTTCCCACAAGATAAGGACAGAGTTAAAAAACACATGTGCACATGCAACTCTATTTATCACGCGCTGGTGACTGGAGTAGGGATCATCTACTTTTACTCTTTATCTTTTTTTCTCATTTAAAATATCCTAAATCTCAATATTTAGATTAATTTTCGGGCGTGTTGAGCTTGAATAGATTGTCACCGCAAATGTCCGACTATTTTCGCGGCTTTTGACAGACGGAAGTGCTTTCAATAGCGCAACAACATGGTTTTTTAGTTACTTTGAGCGGCAAGGTCTCCAGCGGGGCCCTTTTCTTTTATCTGTCATTAGCACAATGGGGCAAAAATGCAAATTGGCAGCATATTAGGGTCTATTAGCGGGTCGGACCGGGCCGTATTTACTCCATAATCACTCAGTTGCGATCTATCATTGTTTAGCTTACAGGAAGCGATGCGCGCGGATTAACGTCTTCTGATATTTTTCACTTTTCAAACTTCAGAAGGACCTAATGGGCCAGAAAATTCCTCCGGATTTGACTCGAACCCAAAATTCACAAAAAGAGTGACTCAAGCCAGAAAAGTGGAAATAAGAATCGCCTTCCCAGCTGGAGAGTCAACGATTCCTGAAAATGCGCAACTGTTGGGAGTAAATTTTCGTGACCTTATCTCGCGTTTATAGCTCCGGATCTCATTAATGCCGTGTTTCATTTTAAGAATTTGCTCGCGATCAAACGTCACCAGCTGCACCTGCCCCCATTTCAAGCTCACTCTCTCTTTTGAAGCAATATGCCAAGCAAAGTCGACTTACCCGCAAGACGACGGAGTAGCTGTTTTCGTCGACGGTCAAGCGCTGCTGAGTGCCGTGGTGCTCGAAAGTGAAGATTTCCAGTGTGTCCGTGCCGTTGATGATCTGCTTGAAAATCACTGAAAACCATGTTATTAATAAGCAATGACAGATTGAGCTTGTTGAATAGAGCGCTGGCGTGACAGTAGCACGTAAACCCAAACGGTTAGCTATCTGGAGCTCCGGCTGGCCGGCGAAATGTCACAAAAAAGGAAAAAAGTGGAAACTCAGCTGCCCTCCCACAATGAGGCTGATTGGATTAGACATCTTTTTAGACAATTGAATTTGAGGGAAGTAAAGCAAAAGTTGATCTCGACGTTTTTGGATACCCCAAAGTGAACCGATCTATTTCTTGAAATCCGCTTCACATTTACTTTCCTTATCCGCATGCAGAGCCTTCCATCAAGGAGATCGGATACCTGCTGAGTAGATAATTCAAAACGGTAAGCTATAGAGCTACTGTAAGAACGTATTACGCTCATGAGATCAAAGGCTACTGTCTTTACTATTGAAAATCATCCAGAACGGGCCCCAGTGAGTCTACTTTTCACCTCTGTTGGGCCGTTTCATCTCAAATTTGAAAAGGAAACTCGAATAGAACTCCCTTCCGGACTCGGTATTCCACAAAATTCCCAAAAAAACGCTCTTCTTTTGTGTTAAATAAAGTAAAATGAGAGGTAAAAACGTAAAATCGAAGATATGACTTACTGTTATTCTTGTGGTCTCTCTCCACAGGTCCGTGGTTGGCCCCTTTCACATAGTATCTGGCGCCGGGCGCCTGACACTGCGCTTTTTTGAAGCTATCTCTGCCACGGTTCTTTCGACGACTGTTCTTCTTCTTGGTTTTCCTTCTGGATTTTCGGCAACTTCTCGAAGTAGGGATTTTCTCGCAGTCGACTTCTCGCCTCCTCGTTGAGGATTTTCTTCTCTTTGGACATTTTACTATTGAGAGGTATCGTTGTTTTACTCCTTGCGGTCTGAAAATAGAAGTTAGAGGTAGTTTTAAATATATAACACTTGATTTTATGACTTACGAGTAATTCCGGAGGTAAGTGTAGCAGCCATACTCCTTTTTGTGATGCTGGGTGCAACTTGGGATGAGATCCATTTGCCTACTACTATCAAGCAGAGACGAAGATGATGTAAAGCTGCTGGGATGCGAAGAAATGGAAGTCTTCCGACGGGTAAGCCGCTCAGAGGTGTCCTCAACTTGTGAATCGGCAATAGCTTCGTTGGAATGAGCATCGGCGTATTTGTACCTTCGTGAGACGAAAGGGCGAGGGAGTCCATCTGCCTGTGAGTCCGCGAGGGAAACGAAGTTGACTGATGAGCGCAGCGAGGACGGTGACTTGTCGGAGTCAAAAAAATTATCGTTGTTGCTACTACTGCTCCCCACGAGGACGTCAACGTCGTGGGCAAAAGCTGCCGCTGGGTCAATCACGGAGTCCGTCCAGCGACGACTCTGCGCTGAGTTAAAACTTTTCCTTCTTCTCGAGAAGGCCGCTTTCGAGCGCTAGAAATCATTATTTAAAATCGAAGCCGGCGAAGAGCAAAAATATTTTTAAAAATAATGCTCGATTTTAGTCGAATTTCATTAGTTTTGTACTTACTGTAGATGTGAACTGTACGTGGTCCTTGAGGAAAGCTTCAGTGGTCGCCATGAGCACGTGGAAAAGAATCAGTTTCATAGCTTTTCTTCGAGTTCTTCATCAAGTTTCTCACATGCGAAAATCTCTATCTGTGCAGCGAAGAAAAATGGTAAAATGTGGAAATGTTCTTCTGTGTTCGCGTTCCGGTGAAGCTTCTTATCTCTATAAATTAAAAGGACGAGTTTTTGTTTGTTTTTTGAGTTTCTGTGATTTACTGTCCGGAATACTACTACTGGGCCGGATGGAGAATCTTCCGGTGGCCGGTTGCAGAATTATACGAAAACTTTTTCCGATATCAAAGTCACAAAAATTCGAGTCGAGAAAGGCAGAACGGACGGATTGAAAGAGCCAGCTCAGCGAGTGCGCCGTCATGCGGCCACGGTCCTGGCGCCACCCATCGTGCCCGACCGAGCTCTCGTCGCCAGCCTCAAACAGCATCCTTGCTAGTTTTACTAATCGACCCTTGTTTGCCATTGCCAATCTGAGATTATCCCTACATCGAAATCGTACTCATTTCACCTCTCCAAGAAGATCTTTTCCATCATCTATTTTAAAATTTACAATGCAGGCGGAAAGATGTTTGGATAGTTATTCGATTGAGCGGCTTAGTTGTGGAAGTAGCCGCGGAAGTTTTAACTGGTGATTACATTCTGATAGGGTGTCTGATGATTCACTCAAATCCTATATCACCTTGTGAAAGTGACCTGGCCCAATAAAGATTTATTGCTCAACTAGCAAAGAAACCCTACCTTACCTTAGAAGGTAGGCTAAAGATTAAGTTAGTGACTACTGGCGAGTTGATTCAAGAGCGAAATTTGGAATTGATGGAGAAATGATGGGCCGCCATAAATCGCGGGGAATAAATAAAATAAGGGCCAAATCATTTGTGGGGAGAGTTTGCGGTTCGATAAGGAACTTATCAGACGACGCGAGTAATTTTATTACTTATTAATTCACTAAATCAGAAGGAATCTCATTTGTTCGCGGTCGAGGCAATGGCATTTTCACATGAACGCGCTTGTTTTCTACTGACGCTAATTTTTGTCAAAGAAAACTCAGAGTGTGAACCTCCTAACAAGAATTCTAGAGCCTTAAATCTTGATTGCCTGTTGCAGATTTTCTGCTGTAGGTACAGCGAGTGCTTCCTTTCCCAAGACAATCAAAAATTACGCGCTTTGTCAAATTGGCGCAATTTGGGTCATCCAATTTGTCCCTAGAAATTCTGCTTGGGAAAAGATCGGCCAGTCTGATTGATTCTAGCATTTTATGAGGAGGAGTAGGTGCGAAAAGGGCGGAAATGAAACAAGTGCCATTCTGTTGAATTTCAGAGTCTTTCGAGGAGCCATAAACTCGTCGGAAGTGGAGCAAAATTTGACCCTTATTAGCGCAGATCAGATATTACATCAGCTTGGACAGGGCCTAATTGCGTCTGAAATCCGTGTTGCATAAAAACGGAAACGAACGCGACGCGCGGATACTGATAGCACAACCGCAAAACGTGTGCCCTACAAAAATTTATCCAGCTGGAAAAAAGGCATTAACAAAATCTAAAAGCGATCCATCACACCCAATTGGGCAAATTAGAAAGAAAGGGATGAGTGGCAAATTGATCAACTTGATCCTTCTACAGTCACAAGCAGCATTATTCCGAATTCGACAGCTGTTCTAAAACGCTTGCATTTGTTAGTTGTTGTTTGCAAAATAATGTTCGTAGCTGATTTTTTATCAGACAGGGCCGTATCCGCCTGCCAAAAGCGCGAAAAAAGAGCTTCGAGTATTCACCTGGCAACACGAAACCGGCCGACGGAAACATTTTAGAATTTATCGAACTATCCAAAAGATGAATCCGACGCTATGTAAGCCGCGGCTCGCCGTGTCAAAATTACGAATTCGGCTATTGTTTCTGCTCTTGAATTTTTAATCGGCTGGCCCTCTGCAGCTCAAAGGGAATAATCCAGCTGTGATAATTTCTCATTTCTACTTTTGCAGCGATGAATATATCACGCCTGGGGGAAATATTATCCTTCTTGTTCGTAAAGAGTTCCTTCTGTCGGCGATTTAAATCCATCAATTAATAAAACTTGGCGATTTCGATGACGTTACACTCGTCGATCATGGATTTTACGTTCGCCTCGCGAATCCATTTAAGTTGGTTTCCGCCATAGCCAGATCAAAGTGAACTAATGATGGATCCAACTGAGACTAATCGACATCTCCCTCGAAGCTCGCGACCTGTCGAGCAGCCACACGGCACTTGCTGCACCTGTCCATCCCGACACGTGACTAGCCTCGTCTTTTATCTTCACTAACAGTTACGATTATCAGAAGAGTCACGCTGAGAGCAAATCACGCGCCTCCGAATTTCTCAATTACAAACATGGCCGTAAAAATTAAGCAAGAACCTACCTAAGATGATGAGTTATTTTGGCTTTCTTCATTTTTAATCCCGGAAACTCCGGCTTAGACATAAACATCCTTTCGGATCTTATACTTCGTAATCCCTTTCTGAATGTGTCGATGCATATGTGAAAAGTACTTCCGAGCGCACGCTTCCGCCGCCCGGCAAGTTTTATTACAGTGTGTGAAGATTTTCCACTTCAGTTACAACTTTGACAGTAAAATTAGCGACTTATGAAAAGACTTGAACTCAGTCACCGGCTTGCTTCTTTCCCAAAATTTAGATCCCAGAATTTGGATAAGTAACAGGCTTCTTCAAAAAGCGACATTTAGGCTGGCAAAACAGCTTTCTATTTGGAAGGTAAAAGTAACGCTCAGGTGATGAAAGCGACCCTTGAAGGAAAATTCGAGGTCAGGTATTTCCTCGTTGCACTTCAAGGGCTCTGTCTGAGTTGTTCGTAAAACAAAAAATCTAAAATCGTTTTTGCGCGATTCGAGGAAAGTCGAGTAGTTTACTCAACGCGGAAAGTGGATTTTTGATATTTCAATGTTTCATGTTCAAAACTCAACATTTTCCAAACGTAAACACCATTTTTGGTCTTCAAATAATAAGCTTTGGCAATTCGAAAATTACTGGAAGCGAATAGATTGACCGGACTGTAGGTGGAAGGTTTAGAATGGATTTGCTAAAAAGCAATTGACGAGCATTTTGCTTTTTACGCTTTGATTGGCATCGACAATGACGGATGGGTTGAAAAATTGAGGGGCGTTCTCGTTCTGTTCCTTATCACTTTTCCGCTATCAGCGCCTTGCGCCTCTTATCAAACACGTTCGCCGGAAGCGCCCAGTCGGTGAACAGCATGTTGAGCGCTTCTTAAACTGGCGGATAATCCCAGAGATTGTCCTCCACCGCCGCCAGAGATAGAGTACCCAACCGCGAATACAAAGGCCTCTTTCTTCGCCGATCACAAACATGCTACTGTTGCAGGACCTACTGTGGCTTACTTGCAGGGGCTAAATCATCAAAGGGCCTTTATTGTATCCGGTCTAGGACTGGAACCCTGCCTGCGAGATGAATTTTAACACTTTTTAAACCTTCCTGTGTGAAGCACCCTTAAGAAGTGTCATAAAATGACGAAAAGGTGGAATCGCCCCGCAGAAAGAAGACTATCACGACTGAAACTGCCTTTCTGGCGTTTAATTATTGCCGAGCAGGGCAGAGACAAATCGGCACGTCGCTCCGACTGCTCTTTGTCAGTGAAGGCTATAAATACGTCTGATGCATAGTAGTGCAAAACATAAAGATATAAATGCATAAAGCTATTGACTACAAAGTCTAACTTGATAACCAGGCGATTTTCTTTCGTCTGTTCTCAGAATCCATGGAACGAGTCTTTGGAAACCAGCTTTTGTTACCGGTATTCGAGCTATGCTTTTTATGTTCCTGCTCTTTGATAAAGAGCCTATTCCAGATTTTCAGGTAGGAATTCTGTCATCGCTATTCCGTCAATATCATTTGTATATGTGTGCCAATCTTGCCGGAAGTAGCCGCATCCGGAACCCTTTCAGGTTCGTTTTTGGCAAAATTAGTTTTGGAACTGAAGACGCACGTCCGGATCTTGGTTTTGATTTTATCGACTGGGGCAACTTCCAAGTGCTACTTCTCACCATCTGATAAACGAAATTGAGAGTGCGAAGAACTAGTCATGCAATTAAAAGGAGTCCACCTTCGACCAGCGAAAAACTCAACACCAATCATTTTTATTATTGGGTTTTTCATTCTCTGTATGCCAAGATCAGATTTTGGGATATTTTGAGTGAATAATATAGCGGAAATGAACGCATTGTATGGGAACCTGAGAAGAACTGTGGCTCAACTCGCGGGCTCAAATGATTTCTGCTCAGGTCAGTTTCTACCATCCACGGCACAGTCTTGTAACACTCTCACAGCTCTGGCGGCGCGTGCTGTGAAGTAGACGCCGCGCGCAAAGTGAAAACTTTCAAACCGGAAAGTCGCCCAAAATGCACAAAAAGAAACGAAAAGTCTTACTGATTAATATTAATTCGGGCTTCAAATTCGGGCGCTCAAAGCAGCAAGAACTAAAAAAGACCGCTGCTCTTGGAAGATGTATAATTACCCCGAGTGCCTAATCAATGGCGTATCTTGGATTCGCCGTCGAGGAAGTCAAGGAAAAAAGATGTGAATAAGCTAATTGTGGCGACTCGTTGTCCAACAGTAAAAACTATTTTCGGTCATCGCTTTGAACAATTTTCGGCTGCCGTTTCCGGGAGAAAACCGGTCGCCATGCCATGCCTTACGCGCCCGTCTCCATGCCCGGATATTGTTAACCAGCAAGAGCAAATTTCCCACATTTTCCCAGTCCATAAAAAGGCGATAAACAAGGTCGAAGTTCTCTCTTTGGGAAATTCCTAGAGTAATAAAGCAATCACTCCAGTTTCTACTGATAATGTTATGACTAGCAGGGCACCTTATTCGAACACTATTCTTGATTTTTTTCGACATACTGTAAGGGTATTGTCGCGAACTCAAAGTTTGGCGAAGTTCAAATACAATTCAAACACTCGAGTCCCGCACGAAATATTATTGTCACGATGAATCTAAAATAAGACTCTTATGAATAATTCCAAAAACATGGCCAAATATTTGCGTACATCGCTGGCATCCAAAGCGATCAGAATAGAAATTACGACGAAAAAGAACTCAGAAGTAGTCACACTCTGGTTCGTGTGTCTTTAGTGCCTCTCTGGCTTTGGCCAATCAGAGCACTTCCGGCGGAAGAGAAAGTGCCCCGCATGGTGGCGCTTTTTTCGGCAAAACTACAAAAGACAGTCACGTTTGAATACGTAGGAGATGTCGTTTAATGAATAGCATTAACGGTCTTACTAGATATGTTCTGATTTTGTGGCTTGCTGGCGAGTGTTGAACATACTCTTGCTTCCGGCCGGCGACCACGCCGACAAATTTACATCACCTAAAGCTCGCCAAATCATGAAGAAAGAAACCAAAATAACTAATTAACAGTTCCATTGGATCATTTTTTTTTCGCTAGAATAGTTTCCTTTATCGAGAAAAGCTCAGAAGGCGCAACATAAGAGTAGATCGTAGTCAAAGGAGCGTAACCAGGTTGAGGAGCTGGCTATCTCTACTTTTTTGTTTTATTTTCTTCGCACGTGAGCTAAAAGTGGTCGCGACAGTAGTTCGTCGACTGAGGATTCCGGCGGCACGATCAATCAGCCCTGATTCGATTATTTTGAAGACACTGAAAACGACATCTCCCTTGACGGAAAGTTCTCAAGTACTTTGCTTTACTCATGCGAAGTCGCCTCCTTCAATCACCAATGAGCTAAACTTTTAACTCTTTGGTTAGTTTTTCACCACATTTCAAGAAGTATAGGAAACGACTAATAGTAGTCTACTCCTTCAACAAAGCCGGACCAAACGCTCTTTACGGATCAATTGCCAACTTGCAGCCGACATACAAGTTCAACGCGCACTCCCGACGATCTAATGGACTCAGAAGATATTTCAAGACACTGAGATGAAAAAAGTATTTAAAAATTCTTTCATTTTCATTGTAGAAAGACAATCCAAAGGAAAATTTTCCAAAATGAATTTCCTCGTCATTCTTTCTACACTCCTCTCACTGTCAGCCGTTGATCTCATGATGAGATCTCGATTCGGTTTCAACCGGCTTGGCAATATCAAGAGCAGGGGTGGAAATATGAGCGGCACGGCACAGCGGCATGGCACTTCCACTACCACCACCACCACAAACACCACCACCTCTACCACCACCACCACTACCACCATTACCACTACCACTATCACCACTAAATTCGGCCATAGTTCCATCCCTGATCAAGAACAGTTTCTTAATTAAATCTTAGTTTAGAAAAGGGTTTCCTCAAATTTGATCAATATTTGAATAAAAATCAAAGGTTACAGAAATATGTCAATAAATGTCGGCTCAGACTTAATCAGCGCAATATGCACATTTCAAAGGCGAACCACGAGTATTTTCTGAAATAAAGAGAGACTTTCATTTTTCTGCAGCATCATGAGTGGCCTTTTATCACAGTTTTTAAGGCAAACTACAGGTATTTGCTGTATATCTGGCGTCCTATTCTTTATTTTTTATACGCAATTATACGATACACACAGATGAGTTTCACAAACGTTTAGTTTTATCCTACTTTTTAATTTATAATCCCTAAGCTTATTGATATATTATTTCTTCCATGTTGCTTATGTGAAACAGACTAAGTGTCTGTTAAAGGGTCTGCCAAAACGCTTCCTATTATCAAAAAGCGTTTATAGCATCTGTCGAAGTTTGATATCTATTTTACAAAGTAAGAAAATAATATTCATAAATTCTTAACTCAATGAAATCTATCGTTCTTCCATGGCCGACCCTTTTCTGCTATCAATACATGGCATCGCTAGTGCCAGTTGAATGGATAGAAAAGCGAAAGTAAGTCGTCTGTAACTAATTTATAACACAGAAGTAAAGATACAAAGCTGCAACTCACGAGCACGAGACCAATCATCATGTAACCGATGGGTAGATGTTACGGTCTGAAAATCGTGTCCATTATATTTTTTTTTAACTTGAAGGTCAGATTTGAATTTGCCTTGTCGCGGCGATCATTTCGACACCGAATTCGTCGGATTTTTATTGGATTTTCGACCATAAACGGGTATCTGAAATCCTAAAATGAGCACTTGAATTTTTCAAGAGCGCGTGAAGGGATGAATACTCCACCCAATCAGCACGCCGATAGTTTCAACTTGTAGAGCAGGCTTTATTCTACTAGAATGAGTTCACAGAAATTGTAGAAAGGGACTGTAGTGAGTAACAGAGCTCGAAGAAGCCCTCTTCTACTTACTATAGGCCCTGTTTACAATTTCTGGGTATTTATTCTAATAAAATAAAGCCTGTTCTACAAGCTGAGATCATCGACAAATGTGGTGTCAAAATGATCGCCGCTACTCGAGGACTTCAAATCTGAACTGAATTTAGGAATAGGAATAATCTGGTCGATTTTTCAACCGTTACACCTACCGATGGCGACAGAACATATCTACTCATTTTTCCGATGGCAGTTCTTGGAGCATTGCTTTATCTTGGAGTCAAGCACTATTAAATTTATTTTATTGCTATACAAAAGTGTTCATGTTGTTTTCATTCATGAGTGTCGAATCGGTATTCAGGAGGAGTTTCATCTGGGGTGGCTTTAATCGTCACCAAATAAGCAACAAAGGCGAAGACAAAGCTTTTCGAGAATAAATATGAGTTCTTTTAACTAATTAATTATGATTATATGTTTACTCCCCTAGCTTAGAAAAATCACGAAAATCGCATAAATGATGCAGTTTTCCAGCCTAGCGGCTTCTTCCGAGTCTGTGTTTAGTTCCAATAAGCCATCTTCCTCATCTTTACTCTCTAAAAAAACATTTGCAATCAAGGAAGAGTCGTCGCTGGTATTCGTGCCATATTCTGTCGAAACAACAACAGTCGTCTTTACCTTTTTCTGTCATTTTGTTTATGGCATTTTGCTGCTGAGTGATGAGAAAATGCGTCTCTCTCGGACCTTGTTGCTGGATTAGGGGATGTTGTTGCTGATGCGGGATTACCGAAACGCTGGTCGTGCATTCCGGATTTTTGTTCTCTATTTAAACTGATTCTGACGAAAATCGATTCAAACAAATTTAAAAAAATGCGAGCAACGAAAAAATGCATAATCATATTAGTGGCTGTTGGTTTCGTCCTAACCTGAATAGTTTAACGCCGTCAGAATTCTCTTCTTTCCAAGGAGGCCCTGGGACATTCTGTTTAGTTGTCGCTAATAGCTATATTTTCACTGATGAATGAAAAATGAGATAATGGACGATTGACTCGAAACTTGACGCTTACGTTTTGTCTGCATGTATGATAACGCAAATTAGCGATGGTAAATAAATAATTCTTGGTGATATCTTTTTTTCGCTCAATTTTAGCCGTCTAGAAGCGAATAGAAGACACAGTGCCTGAGGTTTATAACTGCTCTTCTCTGAGCAGGAGTTAAGCAACTCGAAGTGAACTTTCGTTTTGGAAGTTTGGAATATCGCCACTCTCTGTTTTCTTCGTTGAGCACGGAAACTCGAGTATGTTTTGTCTGGCATTTGTGATTTTGCATTTCTCGCGTTTCTTGGGATAATCTTTTTCGAGATGTGCACATTAGCTATTCCGCAAGTCGACGAGGAACTAAGATGGATCACACTCAGCTAAACCTCAGTTCAGTAAATTATCTAAGGGCGCCCAATTCAATTTAATGTTGTGCCCTATTTTCGCAGATGCAGTTTCCAAGTACTGTCGTAGAAAATATGAAGCTCACTTATTGTTTCTAATGAAATAAGGCCTGAGAAAATGAACCCTTTTTGTTCTTTTTGTATTTTTAAACAGAAAACGAAATTGTTAACCCCTATACCCGAAGTGTACAATTTTTGTCGATTTCGGGATATAATCGCCCGCCAAACGGAAGTGGTGAATCGGAACAACCTGAAAACTGAGATGAGTATTTGCACACGCATTACGCACCTCTCCACGGAATTTCAGCCTGATAAGCCCCACGAGTACTGCACCAGTACTGATTTTCTCAACTCAACTCGCGCGCTCCAAAGAAACAAAAATCTTTCGAGAGTCTCTGAGCTTTTGTTTTTAGTTTATTTATAGGTTTTCGAGTACGGAGAATTCAAATTTGACAATTTCAGAAGGGTAGGATGAATATTTTACATAATTATGACATAATAAATAGCGATAATGAAAAAATTACTGATTTTCCGATGAGCTTTTGCTTTTCTTCTTCTGCTTCTTGAAGGCATTCCTGTATCTCTACATCTGTCATGAAACTCTCTTCCTCATTCAAATTTTCCGAATCGGATTCTCCATCCGATTCCATTTTTTACAATTTTTTGATAAAAATCAAGCGCGCGGAAGAATTTATAGTCTTGACTCAGCAGGAGATATGCAGGTACCGGTTGAGGGCACAACAGTATTGTTTGCATAGATGGCATCTGTAAATATGCCAAACCCTTAGTTAAGAAAAGAGAATGATTATCCAAGAATGCCCAGATTTATAAGAAAAGATTAATTCTAGCGCCAATTATATAGATTTTTCGAAAAATCTAAAAGTGCAGTTTGAAAGAGAATGTTCGTTTATGTATAATCTGAGATTTTCAGAAGATTATCTCCAGAGGAAGGCCAAATCGACAAAAATTGTACACTTCGGGTAAGGGGGTTCTTTAGGCAGCTTCGGGTATAGGGGTTAACAATTTGAAAACCAATAACAGATACAGATTAAACGAGTCCTCTAATTATAACCAGGGTCAAGTATTATGTTCATGAGCTATTTCTTGAGCTTCTTGAGAAGTGGAATCTCCATGAGCTCGACAGGGTTCTTGATTGCAGTTTGCTTTCGGAGAGTTGGGAAGGTCAATGGAGGTCTGAAAGGAACAAATAATAATTCATAAAGATCAAATGGACTTACAGAATGGCTGGAAGAGTGGCTTTGGCGTTGGTAATAAGGCGAATGGGAGCTGTTTTCATTTTTTCTCTTTTGTGCTTCGATTATTTTTCTGCGATTTTTGTGCGGTATTCTGAAATGCGATCGAAATTTTCAACGAATCAATCAACTGTTGCGACATCAGCTGGCGCCAAAATTCTGGGTCAATGGGTTGATCGCCCCTTCGCGCCCTAAATTTAGCAGACTCAATAAATATTTTCGTCGTGCCACGAAGTCTCTTTTCTCAGCATTCTCATGCAAATACTGTGCCATCCGCTACTAGTTGCCGCCTAAATGCGACCCTCGCGACAACTAGTAGCAGTGAAACGGACCGGCAACTAGTAGCGGATGGCACAGTAAAAGCTTTTCCGGAGAATTGAAATTCTTTAATAAATTCATCTGAATTTCATCAAAGATATCCTTTGAACTCGTAATATTTGCATTAAATTTACGATTGACGCTTTTGCATCAGGATCTCTTTCAAAAGATTTCGCAAGCAATAAGTAATACTAAAAATCTTTGGAGGATGGATAAGCTTTCCTAACGATGCTCTTGAATTCTAGTGCTTCAAAAGATCAAAATAAACTCTGAATCATTTCTATGTAAGAAATTCTTATTATGTGGAAATTCTCATTAACGATTAATGCAAGCAAAATATTCGAGAATTGTCATGCAAAGTCCAAAAGTCAATATGCGCAATGATTTTACGCGCGGAGCAAAGTCCTCCGCCAAGGAGACACTCTCATGGAGACAATTCATTCATTGAAAAATTTTACCCCGCAGACTCACAAAAAAATAGAATTTTTTTCTTCTGGAAAAGAGAATTGAACTGAGCATCGCGTAAGAAATTATGGACAGAGTTGACGTTGGTATTCTTCTTTGCGTTTTAGCCGTGCTCCTTGGGCTTTTCTTGATCATCTACTACGCTTTTTCAACAATTAAATATCTCCTCAATTCTCGAAGAGATGAAAATACAACAGATGATGTAGTAAACGGTATAACGAATGATTCTTTCGACATCCAAAGCGATCTTCCAAAATACTTCGATGTTTCCAAAGAAACCCTTTCTCCAACAATGGGTGTGAAGCCTCCAACATACAAAATTGCTGTCGAGTTTAAGGATACTCCCTTATTTCACAGAAGCCTTTCTGCACCTGCATTCTCTGTTTAGAATGAGTAATTGTCCTAACGCCAGTTATGTATCTTACTTTGCCTTCAATAAATTGACACGTTAAAAGAGAATTGATTGTTACATTCTATTTTATATAATTTATATACGTTATTATTGATAGGTGCAAAATATTTATATTCAGGTAAAAAAGTATTGTCGAATCAGTTAGTTAACAAACGAAGAATATTCTCACCAGTGAGGCTGAGCTCGTCGCAAAAGTCCTTGTCGCTTGAGCTGGCCAAAGCGAGATTCGAGCAGACAGAATTCATTCGATTCAGATGAAAGAGAAAAGCATCGCGTTCCTTTTCCAAATCGCGTATTTCAGAATCCAATAAGTCCCAGAGAGTTTCGTTAAAATAGTTGTAGATTCTCCAGTCAAGCTAAAAAATATAGATTCTTATTTTTGGTAAGTGCCTCACAGTATTCGTCTGCTCGACTTCTTGTGTCTTCAAGCTTTTCAAGAGGGGAACTTTGTCCAGATTGAGCACATCTTCCCAATCGAGACACAACTTGTGACGGAGGTAAATCAAGCTCTCTAACAAATGCTCGCTTGAAAAGTAGAGTTAAGATCAGAGTGATACTGTCAAAGATACCGGATTATGACGAAGTCTAGCCTCGATTTGAGGATGACTACCACTGACTGGATGTATCCTTCATCTGTGTTGCTCGGGTCAAAGTCAAAGGCCTTGGCGATCGGGTTCGGAGTAGAAGATGACGTGGATGACAGAAGCGGGTTAGATAGAGCTGTAACAGTGAAACGCGGAATAACATCTGAGTTGAAGAGAAAACTACAAGACTCGAAGCAGAAAATTATTCGCAAATCGCTTTCTTCGGCCTCGTTGAAATCTGATACCGTCTATTCAAAAGAAAATAAGTCCGGGCATTCCAAGCTGTTGCGAACCTTTGGTAGCAAAAACTGAGCATCCTCGTAAAGACCGATTCGATAGAAGAGATTGAGGAGTAAACCCTCCAGCTCGTCTCGGATCGGGTGAATGATTAAATTCTTTGGAAGATCGAATGTACAGTCGCGAGCGTCGCTCGGCGGAGGTGGTGGAGCTCCTCGTCTCGGCACTGAGGCGGACAGGCCGTTCTCAGCGCCGCTTTGAGGAATGTTTTCAACTGTAGGTCGTTCTGAAATTTGGCTGTTTACAGTGGCAAACCCAACAGTCCATAAATAGGGAATTGAATGCAACGACGCAAAAACAAAGTATTTGCAAGCTTCAATTACTTTCTAATAGGAGACAAATGGCTCACACTTTGCATACAGACGTTTTAAATTAATTTTTTTCTCTGTTCAATTATTTTTTGAGCTTGATTAAGCGGGATTCCTGCGAGGATATAATTACGTAAAAAAAGAAACCTACCTGTGAAAGTGTAAAAAACTATCGTAGTCAGGATAAGAAGAAAAAGGCCTCGGCAGACTTGAACATTCAGGAATCGAAACATATCTCTGTACAGTGCTCATATCTTCTTATCCATTCTCGTACTGCTTCATTTTCGATGAGATGCAAGAACGATGCTTTCCTTTCCAAAGAATACAAAAATGAAATGTTATTGGTGCTGTGGTGGTGGAGGCAGCGTGCCGCGTCCAATCGCAGCTGCTCCGCCCAAGAGAGCAAAATGAAATGAAATTTTCCTCTTATGAGAATCTCGCGTTTTCTACCGAACTATATTTGCCGAACATCCTTTTCATTTTGAAAATATTTTTATTCGCAGCATAATGTTCTCAAGAGATCAGAACTTTTCTGTCCTGCTGATAACACGCTTGACTTTGCCGAAGAGAAAATTCAGTGCGAGTAAAAGACTTTTATTTGGTCGTGACTTGGCGGATCAGGCCGCGGCAATTTATTCTCCTTTTTATCAGTTTCATCAATGTTAAAGGCAGTGGGTACGGACAAGTAGAGAGCATCATCGATAATAGTGGTAATAAATAGAGTGAATTTTTCCGTCGACGTATCAGTGGGAGAAGTCATGGTGTGATAGGTTCGTGTGTTTTCTTTTTCGCCGTTTCAGTACTGGATCTTTACTTGCTCGCGTGAAAATTTTGCTGATAAGTGAAAATGAACTTAACAAACTTATTAGAAAGCGAAAATTAAAAAACAGCTTACAGAATAAAAATGACAGTTACCACTTGACGTTCGGAAAAGTAATCTGGAAGCAGATTTTGCAAATTCCAAGCGTTGCGAATTCAACGCTTATGCATTCTTCGGCGCAGATTCGGCAGACGTCGAAATCATCGAAATCGGTGTCCTCCGACTAAATTTCACTGTTGAAGGGAAACGCAAGAGGAAAGCTAACCCATAAGGACGAGTGAGCGGACCCACTGAGAGTGTCGGTCAGCGAGACTTCACTCGCATTTGGATCAGTGTTCGTCGAATCGTCCGAGCATTCGCTATATTTGCTCTGCGATCGTTCACGCGCTTCCTTCTCCATTCTCCGTCGTTCCGCCTCCAACATGGAGATCTTCTGCTCGCCTTTCTGTATAACTCGCTTCCAGTGGCTCTCGAAGCGGCGTTTCTCGTACGCGAGTTCCTTTTCAAAGCGTTTGATGTCGCATCCAGTGCTGCCGTCGCGATAGGTCAACAGCGGCCGTCCATTTTCTACGTTGCAGCTCATATTTGACATCTGTTCGAAGCTAGTGATCTTCGTTCGCGAGTTTTCCTTTTGTACTTTTTGGTGTTTGCTTTTCTCCGCCCCGTCGATCTTGTCTGTGCAGCGGTATTCGTCGAGGACAATGTATTCTGTTTTAGGGTTCAAAAGATATTCGACTCTACAGAACAATTGAAAATGCGCTGGAACCTCTGCCTGAATTCTTTGCCACGCGGGGGCTACTCGAAAAGGCGGGCGGTGGAGTCGTTGGTGGGCTGTTTCTGTCGGTGCACGCAAAGGGTATCTGGTACTCTTCATCCACTGGGCACTCACAGTTGGAGCTACTTTTCTTGGGTTCTGTTTTCGTCTTTTCGCGTCGTCTTGACAGTTTCCGCTTTCCGTCTGGAACGTCGAGTCCTAACTGCGCCATCGTCGGCAGGTTAGATTCTTCGATCGCCATCGTCACTAGGTTCCTGGCTAGTTCCTGCGACTCTCGTTGATAGTCCTTCACCGCAGTCTGAAACGCGTGATCACTCATTAGGCTAACGTAACAAAATCGAAATCATTGCGTCAGAATAATCGCTGCTTACCCATAACTCCTCGACGGTTCTCCGGCAATGGGTCTCGTCAATCACACTCGTCATTCTATTTATTTCTTTTTAACACGGTTAGGCAACAAAGTAGAAGATGATGATAGTTGGGTCCGTCTCTTCTCTTTCGAACAAAAAAAAACAAGAAAACGGACAGTTGGCAGACAGAGAAACGGCAGAGTCGAGATTGAAAGTGGGAGAGCTGCAGGTGGAGTGGCGGGCGACCAATGAGCGGGGCGGATCGCCGAGCTTTGAAAACGCGAGCGAGACCAACCGCACCGGGAAAAGCGCGAGAGAAGGAAACCTCGACCCAGAAGAGAACATCGCCCTCCTCGATTATCCAACGCCACCTCAACCAACAGACACCCCACGACCAAGTAGCTGCAATAACAAGGTCAGTAATAAAGCCTGTATAAATCACATAATTCCTTTAAACGAACTGTATAAAAAATAAGTACCAGTCGTGAATAATCAAATTAGTTTTTTGAGAGTAGTTAGTTATGAGAATTATGAAAACGACGGATTGAAATTTCTCGCCTTGAAATTCCTCGAAGGCGAATTTATTACTCGACGAGTAACTTATTTTTAATGACACGTTGAGTCATTTAAAGAGATAGTTACTAATACACCTATTCACCTATCTGCGATATAGAATAAATCATAACAGCTCCGAAACTGGACTCCCTCAAGTGAAAAAAAAAATATTAATTGAAAGTATCAATTAATATTGTTAGTTTAAGAAAATAAGATAGCAATGTCTGACACTGCTACCAGCAACGAAGTCGTCGAGGAAGTGCCCAAACAGGAAGGCGAAGAAGAAATTGAAAACGGGGAAGCGGCGCAAGAATCATCTGCCCAGGTCAATGGAGATGGCGACGCCGCAACAAATGAACAGAATCTCCACCCACTAGGTAAACTCTTTTTTCTCAGGAGAATTCCAGCCTTGATGTGGAACTAAAAAGAGAAAGCCGGATCATTGTTATGGAATTTTAACTGATTGTAGAGAATTTCCATGTTATCTACTTCGAATACAGTTTTAACCATCTTCTTGTAGAGTCTGCTTGGGACTTCTGGTACCTCTCGTCAGACAAGAGCAAGGAGTGGGAAGAAAGAATGACGAAAGTGATGACTTTCCAAACTGTCGAGGACTTTTGGGCTTGCTATCATCATGTGACATTGGCGGGTGTTTTTCATTTTTGATATTTCTATCGGCAATTCTTAAATATCAACGATTCTAAATACAGTTTAAAAACACTGACAAAGCCGTCCAAGCTTTCGGTTGGCTCGGACTACATGATTTTCAAAGCAGGCATCGCCCCCAAGTGGGAGGATAGCAAGAATGAAGACGGAGGCAAATGGGTGTTGGAAACCGACAAGAAATTTAGGTGTAATGTTGATGGCAGTTGGCTCGAGACTCTCCTTGGATGCATCGGTGAGATTTCGAGTTTCTTGCACTTCTTATTGTTTGATTTTGTTAGGCGAAGGGTTCGAAGAAGGCGGAGAGTACATTAACGGAGCTGTAGTTCAAATTCGAAAGAGGGTCGATCGTCTTCAGCTATGGACAGCGGAGATTCCAGAACCGACAGTAGCTGTATCGCTTGGAAGACAGTTTAAGAGAAAGCTCAATATTCCTGATGGTCTCAAGGTACCTCGGTTATTGCGCTTCAAGACACTGAAAATCAAATTCTAGGTCAAGTACAATGTGCACAAGGACGCGATAACAAGAAAAGGATCGACTCTGGCGGCTAGACATACTGTTTAGACTTTTATAAATTTCAAAATCTGAAATATACGAGAAAGAAAGCTTTCTGCGAATTCATTTTCGTTTGGGAGAGTTTTTTTTCTTTTGAACACACTCACTGACTGCAAAAACTGAAATAAAAATATTAGAATGGCGGCGTCGGCTAATTGGCGCGCGATTCTGGAGGCGATTAAATTGATAGGACTCGCTGAGAATGTCGAGAAACTTAAAAATCACGAGAAGCAGAGAAACTCTGTCATTCTTATGCTCACCAGTGCAAATAGCAGATTTAGGTACACTCTCGCACGCATTCGTAGTTGGCTCGGTTCTCTTTGAGTAGCTCTTCTTTCAGGGCAACGAGCGCCGACTGGGTGGTAGAGAAAGAGCTCTCAGCTGTCTTAGATGCGGTCATTGCGGCCAAAAAAGCGAAAGATATCGAGCTGGAGAAACTTTTGCGCGAATTTCTCAAGGTCACAGTCTTTCCACCGAGTATGTTCCGATCGTATAAGGGGAAGGAGGACGACCGTGAAGACCAGCCGGAAGAAAAGAAGGTGAAGCTAGAGCCACCTAAGCTTTGGTCGAAGCTAAGGGAAATTGGCGATCGGCCAGAGCATGCTCGTGTACTGATGGAATCACTGACCACGTACGGCAGGTCGTTGATGACGGGGCCCTATTTAAAGATACTTGTTTCCTGCTCGTTCGCTTCCGAAATCGTTCCAGATCCATCAAGGAAATCGTCACAATAACATATATCTATCATAATATTGTCAACTTTTGGCAAGAGAATATCTTCAGCGGTAAATTATATTTTGTGAGCGTTTTGTAAAGACTAACGACTGCGCATTGTCAGCTTCTCGGGACGTTTGTGAGCGTTGTCGACAGATTTCGATTCCATGTGAAAGGGAATCGTCAATCTTACATCGGCCGCTTCATCAAGAACTCACTTCATGCACTGATCGTCAATGAGGAGGTCGATCTAATCGAGCTCGAAGATCTCGTCAATCTCGTGGCGGATATGGACTCGGCGATCTTGCAACCCCTCAATCCAATCCTTTGGACTCGCTGGAGAAAGGGGGACCTGATTTCTGTGATGACGCGGGTCTGCGCCTTCTACAACAAGACACAGTCATCGAAAAGACTCTTCGGGATGGTGTTTAGCGTAAATTTCGAGGATGATTGTGACAATTTGAGCGCGCTTTTCGAGCAACCTTTCAAAGCGCTTACTCGCCAATGGCTTCCGTCCGCGCTTATCGCTGACTTGGAGTATCTCACCAGGACGGCTCTAAATATTTTTAAATCGCCCGAGAACGAGAGGAAAATCTACAATATCCTCAATATAATCATTACTGTGATTTGCTACGAGCTCGAATGCCTCGATATCAATGGACTGACGATAGCGGAGCAGGACGAGCGAGATCTTACGTGCATCCTCGCAAATATACTTTCTATCCTTGAACAGTATCATATTCGATCTGGTTCCTTTTGGGTCGAACTTGCGGCAAAATACTGGAAAGTGGAAAAGGCAAGGCGAATGTTCCTGTGTGAGCACGAGTATGAAGTAAAGTTTCTAAGGTGAGTTAAAAAACAATATCTGAGGAAAAGACGCCCGATAGCATTAGGCTTTCTTTTGAAAAGCTGACCATTATTTTTTCATTAATTTTTTACTCCTAGCGAAAATTGCTGCGAAAAACTCAAATCAATTGAGGAGCATTTACTTCCAAAAGCAGGTGTCCAAGCAATGGCTGAGCTCCTTATTTTGCGACTAGAATGGGCAGTAATCCACGAACTAAACGTCAAAAAGCACACGAAGAGACTTCAGCTTTTCTTCGAAACAAACAAGACTCAAATGTCGCCGTATTCTCAAGAAATCCTACTTCGCTTAGTCCCAGAAGTATTTGAGTTTTGTCCGAAGAACGCTACCCAGCTTGTTATTCGCCTGATGGAAATGGACTTCGCTTTGCTCGTAACGGAGATCTTTGCAGCCTCTCTACCGATTCTTGAGCGAGTTTCGACAGCGATTATTGACTCCGAAAATGAAAAACTGGCGCGCATGCTTCCCCTCACATTTTTATCCACGAATAAGAAACTAGAACTATTTAAAGAACGCTTGAGTTTCACCTCTGAAGGCCTACAAACCGCGTATAAAGTGCTTACTCACTCGAACTCGATTGGGGAAAGAAAAGCGTTGAAGGCATTTGAACTTGGCGATGAATTCTTCAATGCTATGCGAAGCGAAGAAGTAGCGAGTCAAAATAATTATCTTATTTTGGATGAGCTTGCCAATATGTCTGCGGAATGCGCCTTCCACTCAGCAGAGGCAAGCGATATTCTCTCAGCAATAGATGAGAACTTCGACGACGAAAGAATAGTGCATAGCTTGATAAAGGAGCTTCGCAAGAGATTGTACAAAGGAGACACTGGGAATGTAGAGCTTTGGCCTTTGATTAAAAAGATCTTTGAGTTGAATCTAACAAGCCGTTTCACTACTTACAGCGATGCGTTGGACTTACTTATATATTTATTTTCTTCCGGGCGCGAGAAGGCGAAATTCAGCGCCGAGCAGTTAAAAAAACTGGAGTTATTGACTAAACTAGTCACGACAAAGATGGAATTTTGCCAAACGCAAGAAGAACTCGGAGATCTGTCAAATATGCTGAAGCGTATTTTTGATATTTTGGATCGTTGTGGCGAGAATAATGCGCTGGACCTTTTGCGGAAAGAGAAACACCCAGGAAAGGGTTGATTATTAGTTCCATTTGAAAAACAGCATTTACCTTGTTCTATAAATAAGTCGAACTTGTCGATTGCTATTTTCAACCTAAAAAGTGGTAATTGGAGTGGTGTGGAAATATTTGAAGCGCAATCAAATCACAATTAGACTGCGGATGATGCCAGCCGATAGACGAACGCTTGAATTACAGCACGTGGTGGCGGCGATTTCTCGACAGGAGGGTTCGGAGTTTACAATTACAGAGAAAAGTGCTGATGATCAGAAAATGCAAGTGCTCCAGAAATGGATACACGGGACGATAGATCACTTGATAGATACTACTGCCAGGGTTCCAAATTTGGCCAAAAATTTCTGAATTTGAGCGAGCGATGAGCGAGCGACGTTTGAGCGAAGGCTGAGCGAGCGAGTGGCTGAGCGAGATTTTTCAAATATCGGCTGAGCGAGCGGAGCGACTGAGCGAGCGACGCTTGAGCGAGATTTGAGCGAGGTTTGAGCGAAATCTGAGCGACATTTGAGCGACATTTGAGCGACGCTCGAGCGAAATTTTTAACTTCCCCAGGCATTCAAATTTGCCAAAAAAAAATCAAGGCAAAAGCGAAGCAAAGGCGAAAACATTGAGGATTCGTCAAGCGAAGCAAGAAAATTTTGGTTGACGAACGGTTCGCCAAAATAGACCCCTCAACGGTTCGCCGAGAAGGTTCTTGGCGAACCGTACTTCATTTTTCTGGTCATCAATAGAAGTTCTTTTATAGCCCAATCTGGCTGCTCCCGCATTTCCCGAAATCCCGCATTTCTCAAATCCCGGATTTCTAAAAATCCCGTATTTCTCAAATCGCCAATTCAGAATTCTGCGGATTCAGGATTTTTGGAAATAGAGTATTGAGAAAAGCCGGATTTTGAGAAATGAAGGATTCAGCTAAAATTTCAAGTCCGTTTGGTCTCCATTTGCCAAAGTCGCCGTTCGCCCAAAAAGAAGCCGATCCTAGCTTCAAGTTGAAGCCTTCAACCCAAATCCTGGCTTTAATCATGTTTTCTCAAATATCATTGATATAATATCAATCATGGCTCGTCCATCGTCAATTCTGGTTTCTACATCTTCAATCCTAGCTTCACCGACTTCAATCACGGCTTCTCCAATGTCAACCCCGGGTTTTTTGACGTCAATCCCGACTTCTTCAACGTCGATCCCGGCTTCATCAGTTTCAATCAAGGATTTTCCAACAATAATCAAATCTTCGAAAAGCCATTATCGACATTCAAGAAGCAATAATAGAGAACTGAGAAGCCGGGACTGACATCAGAGAAGCTAGGTTTGAAGAAAGTGACGGCCGGATCGGATTTAAAGAAGCCGGGATTGACGCTGGAGATGCCAGGATTGACGTTTGAGCAACCAGGATTGACGTCTGTAAAGCTAAGATCGAAGTTGTTGAAGCCAGGACTGAAGTTGGTGAAGCCAGGATTGCCAATCCTGGATTGGCTATGGAGAAGCCAAGAAAATTAAGTTATATGATCAATCAATTTAAATTTTGTCAGCAAGAAAATTAACTCGAAGGAATAAAAAATCCCGCATTTCCCAAAATCCTGAATCGGCAGAATCCTGATATTGCGATTTTAGAAATACGGGATTTTGAGAAATTCAGGATTTGAGAAATGCGGGATTTTGTGAAATGCAGGAGTAGCCTGGATTATACGGTATAATTAGGGTTATTATACCGTATAATTTAGACCCACAATCAAAATCAGGCTAGCCGTAAAATATTCTATGTTAACCTACTCAACAGTTGTAGACGGCGGGGAAAACCCAACGACCTAACACGCCAACTGGATATTGTAAGTTAACATAACCAATTTTTGAGGTTAGTCTAATTGTTGAAGAAACCTGTTGAATGGCTGTAATAATCGAAAGAGAAATAATGAAGCTGTCGTAAAAAATAAATTATTGGGTTGCCTTGGGTATCAATGACAAATCAGGCTGACCGAAAAATATTATATGTTAACTCACTCAACAGATGTAGACGGCGGGGAAAACCCAACGACCTAACACGCCACCTGGATATTGTGAGCTAACGAAACCAATTGTTGAGTCGAGCCTAAATTTTGAAAAAATGTAAGGTTGAGGACGGTGGGTTTCAGCGAAAAATATTTTTTTACTGTTACCAACTCAATAGTTGTAGACGGCGGGGAAAACCCAACGACCTAACACGCCAACCGTATATTGCTGGCAACAATATGCTAGAATTATTCGCAGAATTTATTTGAAATTCTCTCTTTTTAATAAATCCGTGACTTAAAATCCTACTCATTCATTCGCTATCCGCCAAGGAGTTTTTAGATCTTGGCCAATAAGCGCGGAGAATTGGCTAGTGAGTAATAAACCTCGCTCAAGCGTCGCTCAAACCTCGCTCGAGCGGCGCTCAAACCTCGCTCCAATGTCCCTCAAAACTCGCTCCAACGTCGCTCCAGCCTCGCTCGGATCTCGCTTAAACCTCGCTCAGCTATCATATTTTTTGACCTTGAGCGAGCGAGCGACTGAGCGGTTCTCTATGAAAATCAGTTGAGTGAGCGGAGCGTGAGCGATCGCTCGCTCGCTCATCGCTCGCTCACGCTCAGATATCGCTCAGCGCTCAGCCAGAATTGGAACCCTGACTACTGCCACGATGGGCAACTACGTCTTCATGGGAAAGGGTTACTCAACGAAAGTTTTTAATAGTCTGCATATAGCTTTTCGATTTATTTTGAATTATTCATTTGATAACCCCTTGAAGCCATGATAATGCAGCAGATATTCACGCTCAAGATCAATATATCCCGCGTCCGTTTACAAAGAATACTCGACATCGCTATGGATTTACCGGAAGAGTTAACCGAAAGTCATTTGTACTCATTTATTGGTATTTTGGACACGATGCTCACTATGGAAAAACTTAGAAAGAAACTGTGTCAACTTGCACCGTTGATTGTCGCCGCAGTTAAAATGTATATCGTCGCGATCTTGGAGTTGAAGAATGCTGCTGATTTAGTTGAGCCTTTGCGGAGACTTTTACAGAGCATATCGAATAATTCTCATTTGAGCGAGAAAATTGGAAAACCGATGGGCTTCATTCTTGAGCCATTTCTCAGCTTGGCAATTAAATTCCCTGGTAAGTAGTAAATTTCGCCCTCAAGCTCTCTTTTCCCTTTGAAAAGTTAGTAGGATGAAGAAATCTTGAATTACTTTTCAGAGGTGAACAATACGGTGGAGTGTTTGAAATTGTTGTACAGAATTGGCTCAGAAGTGCAGGTCAAGAGCCATTTCGCTGCGCTTCCAGTCGCCTTCAGAAAGAAAGCGTCAGAGACATACAAAATGTGGCAGAACGAATGTGGGAAGAACAAAGCCAATGTTCAGTTTATGTCTGTTTGAGAATTATGATGATTTTTGCAGACAAATGGAAGATTAATGTTTCGCTTGTTTAGATAGAATGGAATAAAAGAAAATGGGAACGAGTTCAGCAGTGAAAGTGTCGATCAGAGTGCGGCCGTTCAATAAGCGCGAATTAAGGTATTTCGCTTTTCCTCTTCATCATCAATAACGTAAACTTGGTTAGTATTGGAGCGAAATGCGCGCTAGCTGTGGAAGGAGTGAAATGCACGGCGACAAATGACAAAGAAGCGAAGACATTTTCTTTCGACGAATGTTTCTGGTCATTCGACAAGTCGCAGGAGTTCTCATCCCAAGAGAACGTTTACGAATCGATCGGCACTGAACTGCTGAAACACGCGTTAGATGGCTACAACTGCTGTCTCATGGGTAACTCACTCCGACAATCTTCACTCTTTTAGCTTATGTTTTCAGCCTACGGTCAAACTGGTGCTGGAAAGTCGTTTTCTATGATGGGGTCCAGAAAGCAGCCGGGGCTCATTCCTCAGATTGCCTCGTCCTTGTATGATTTCGCCGCGAAGAATGAAAATGAAGGAATCCAGACTGAAATAGAAGTCTCGTACATGGAGATTTACTGCGAGAAAGTTCGAGATCTGCTTGGCAAGAAATCAGACAAGCCCCTTCGAGTCAGAGAACATCCAGCATTAGGACCGTACGTAGAAGGGCTCAAAAAGCTGGCCGCAACAAGCTCAGAAGAAGCGCTCCAAATCATGTTATCAGGCAACGCTGCACGAACTGTAGCGGCTACGAATATGAACCAGAGCTCGTCAAGAAGTCATGCGGTCTTTCAGATTTTTATAAAACAGAAGGTAAGTAAAGTGTTGTTTGGCAATGTCTTAAGACGATAATTATTATAGAAATCTGAAGATGGAGTGAATGTTTTTGAGAAGAAGTCTAAAGTCGCGCTAATTGATTTAGCCGGTTCGGAAAGATCCTCTTCAGCGGGGACAGTCGGAACACGGCTAAAAGAGGGAGGAGCGATCAATAAGTCCCTCACAACTCTTGGCAAGGTCATACACGCGCTATCGGAGAAGAAAAAGCACGTCCCGTACCGTGAATCTGTGTTGACTTGGCTTCTGAAGGATTCTCTTGGCGGAAACTCTCGGACGTGGGTTCTTGCTGCAGTGAGTCCAGCAGACGACTCTGTTGAAGAAACATTGTCGACGCTTCGATGGGCCGATCGCGCCAGGAAAGTGCAGTGCCACGCTGTGATCAATGAAGACCCAACAACGAAACTGATTAACGCGCTGAGGAGTGAAATCACCCAGCTAAAAGCTCTTATGGAGAGTGAGAAGAAAGATGATATTGTTGAAAACTCTGCCGAAGTACAGGACATGCTACAAGAAAACCAGCGTCTCGTTGGCGAGTTAGAAAAGGACTGGAATGAGAAAGTAGATCTTTCCAAAAAGATTATAGAGGAGAAAGTCGTTGAAATGGAGAACCTTGGTGTTTGCAAAAGCGCTGGACTTAGTGTGCCTAAACAGCCGCATCTTGTGAATCTGTGCCCCGATCCCTTACTCTCCGAGTGCTTGTTGTACCTACTCAGTGCCACCACAAAAGTGGGAAGCTCGACTGAAGCAGACATAACTCTCGAGGGCGACGATGTGTTAAAGGAACACGCATCATTTACTGGGAACCTTTTGAAGCCAGTCGGCGAGGCAGATCTTTTTGTTAATGGCCGCAGAGTAGCTGAGTCTGGCGTCGAGCTTAAACACGGCGATCGAATCATTTTTGGAAAGACGCACGTGTTCCGTTTTGCGTCTGGTACAGCACTGAAAGACACAATCGGCGGCTCTGACATAGTCTCTGATACGGCTTCTGTAGCAGCATCGGAAATACACTTCGATTGGGACCAAGCACAAAAGGAGTTGCTCGATGAGGCCGGGATCGATATGGAGCAAGAAATGGAGCGCCAACTGCTTACTTATGCAGAAGAGGTAATCACCTTGACACGAATGGGTGGCTATCTTTTTCTTTAAGGCCTATCGTCGCGAAAAACAAAAGGCTGAAAACGGGCAAACCGATCCCGCAGAAACGAGCTGGAGGCTAATTAAAGCGCTGAGAGATAGACTGCAAGCGAAGCAAGTTCAGAAGATAATGAAAACTGCTGGCGTGGTTGGTCAAACTGCTAATCTGGGCCTGCTCGACGCTGGTGAGATTAAGGTAATGGTCAGCTCAAACTTGATTTGTAAACAACTGATTTTCTTTAAATTTTCATGTTTCTGACCGTTCTAAAGTCCCAAGCACCTGAAGCAAGCTGGGTCACCATGGCCGATGTGAAACTCCAAGCAGTCAAAGAACTATGCTATGAAGTGGCACTTGGAGATTTTGATATGGGCCAGGAGGAGTTGGAAAAGCTTGCAAAAACAATCACGATAAACGTGACGAAGCGTTGGGGGAAAGATGATCCAGCTTTTGAGGATTCATGGCGAAGTGTTCTTCGAGACGCTGCGGACACGATTGGCCTTGATGTACAAATTTCAGAGCCTGACAAAGAAGAAAAGGAAAACAAAAAGGCCGAGATGGACAAACTTGTGGCAAAGCTCGACGAAGTTAGTAGACGAGAACAGATCAAGGACATGGAACTGGCTCAGCTTCGCGCAAAGGTATTCATAAATAAATTAACAGCGTATTTTGATTGACGAGTGGCACACTAACGCTACCCGCGCTTTATAAAAATTCGGATTGACGAATTTTTCAAGGTTGTCGCTCAAGAGACTGGTCTTTATGTTTCCCATAAATTTGTCCGTTCGAAGGAGTTCGATAAGCCTTCGCCCGGGGTCATTGTCCCAGGTCACTTGGAGGGTGATGAGAGAATTGCTTGGCTCATGGAAAATGATCTCGCCTTCAAACGAGGCCGACTTCGATGGGAGAAACAGCAGAAAGTGCACCAGGACAACCTTGAAAAAAGAGAGAAGAATAAGCAAAAACGTCGCGAAAGCAATGCGGAAAAATCTTCCTCAAACAACGGGAGGCACATTTCCAAGAATGATGGAACGACTTCTACTGACGGCGAAAGCCTCAGTGAGTCTACGCGCTCGTCTGGAGTAAAATTTGCCACGGAAGGTAAGCACTGTACACCACCACTGAAAATAACACCGGGATCATTAGTAAAATTTGACACGGGAAAAGAAGAGAATCGTTCTCAGCGACAGAAATCCCGCCGTAGTAGCTCAAAAAAACGAGATCAGCGCCGTGCTCAATCAGCTCATAGAGACCGAGAAGTTTCGCACAACACTAACTACTTGGACCAGGACTTTTCCAGTCCGAGAGAAAACTCTGGACGCTCAAGAAACAATCGACGCGAGCAAAGTCAGAAGCGGCAAGGCCGCGCAAAGTCTCAAGGGCCAGATCAGCGTATCCTAAGGTAACTTACTTTCCAAATGAATATTCGTGAATCGCGTTATTCAGGCAAAAGTCAATATCTAAAGACGAGTCTAATAAACTTCAAAGCTTCCGCCAAAGAAATTCGTACCACCCAAACAACAACAACAACCCACCTCAAAGCCAAAAGTTTGAGCGGCAAGTTTCCGATAACAACAGATCATCCAACTTCCGCTCTGACACTCACGGTCTGTCTGAGCAGCAGAAAACGCCCAATCTCCAGCGTCGACACTCGCAAAAGAAAGATAACCACTTCAATAATAGCACAGCCCAAAACGGCAAAAACATGTCAAAGGAGCATAAACATGTTCCGTCCCAGCAGTGGGGAGAAGACTTAAGATTACCTCGCGGAAAGGAAGGGGATTTTTATAATCATAATGATGTATTAGCATATAATGTGTTATTATTTTTACTTTGTCTTTTAAAAAGAAAACAGCGCCGTTTTGCATATGAATAGCGATTTAATCCCGAAAATAGGATTTCGGAGCCAGCTTGCTTTCTGACGACCGGCGCTTTCAAGACAACCACGACCACCGTGGAAACAAGAAAAAGAAAAGTCAAAACGATAGGCGAAAAGACCGCCAAGAACGTCAAGAGCCGAAAGAATCCAACTACGACCGCGAAGTTACATTCAAGAATAACAAAAGTGAGCGAATCAGTTCATAAAGCGAGTAACCGAATGTTCAGAGCCACAAGATGGCGTGTCAGCTAATGGAGATCACCGCAAACCTTCGGACAACCGTTCACGGCGCCCAGCAAGGGAAATCGTGATGTACCAGCCGCCGCATCGGCGATCTGACGCCTAAGTTAACAAACTTTTATTTTTTAATTTAGCTTAATTAACATAGTTTTCATACTAAAACCACGAGCAGCATTTTTCGAGCGTTATTGTCAGTGTTTTTTATTTCTAAAAACTTATCGGATTCTGTGGCGAGGCTATTCTGAACCACTGATAAGTTTCTGCCACTAGCGCTCGAGCGAACGGTGCTCAAGCCCGTTGCCCTTTTACCTATTGATCTTGCCTTTACAATCGTTACCTTCAGCGTGGCGTTACTAGCGTCGCCAAGTGACTGCGCTGATGCATCCGGAGCATTAGTGAGCCATTTGGGCGTTAGTTTAGCCTTCTAATGTGTTTTTCATTAATATTTCAGCATTAGAAAGCGTCACTCGAATTACTGTATTACCTATTCCATACAGTTCCATTTTCTCATTATACTTTTCAACGCTGAGGCCTTCTTTATTTCGAAAGTTGCGTTTTGTTTCTTTTTTGTTGCTTCTTTCTGACCATTGTTCGACATTTGCATGTTAATTTAATATTTTTCTTACTTTCTTAATATTGTAATTAACAGTTCATTTTCAAGTTCATCGCCAAATTACTTCATTAACCTACTTCAACTTATTTATTTAATTTTTGTTCGACTAACTAATTAGCGCTACTAATAAACTAAAGCCTAATTAGTACTATCACGTGCCTTCCATCGAAGAAATAATCTACTATTGTGTGTTATAACTACGAATATATATTGTACATTCACAGTCTCCAGCTGTTTTTTACTTTAGTTAGACACAAATTTCACTTCACTTCCCGTACTCGTCTCAAATAAATTTCAAATTGTTTATTTTATTTTATTCACGCATTTTTGCAGTTGAGAGTCAAAATGGCCTACAATCGAGATCGTGATCGTCTTTTTGAGTATCAAGACCCGAACAGAAGCTCATTCAACTCATTCCAAAAAGATACGGCACTGGACATGGAAGGGGCTCATTACGATCGTTTGGGCTCTGCGAATAGAAGTAAATCCTACATTTTTTTTTACTTTTTGTATAAATCAATCTAGACATGGACAACATTCTCGACGCCGCGGAGTCCAGTCTTGCCGGACTCGTTGGCCAGAGAGAGCAATTAAAAGGAGTTAAACAGAAAATGTTAAATATCGCCAATCAACTTGGAATGTCTCAAACTGTCATCAGATTGATAGGCAAACGTGCTGATCAGGTACAGCTATGCCAGGTCCTCAGATTCTAAGCTGTTGAATTTTAGGATAGACTCATCTTGTGGGGTGGCATGATAGTGACGAGTTTGATCATGTTCATTATCTGGAAGTTCTACATGTGACGAATCCTGTTTAAAATAAAAAAAAACGTGCAATGCTCCTTCTGTTTCAATAAACCCTGAATAAAATTATTGGAAATAAAATATAAAACAGTAATGAAAGCCAAGACAAATTTAAAGCAGAAATGCTCTAAGTTTGTTCTTTCATTAGATGTTTTTAAGCTTGTATTGTTTTCTGGACTAAATGTTTGTCTGCAGGAGAAAATAGACTCGGATCAGATTTCAGTAATCCGAAGTGAGGTCAAACATTGACTTCGTGACGTTGACTTTTTTCGAGGGGTTCTTTTTCTTGTTTCGCAGCCAGCTGATGAGGTCGAAAGTACGCGTGATCGGTTTATCCTTCTTTTGTTGACACCCGAAAGAATTCGTTGTGACGCTCCGGGTAAGTGGTGTGACTGGACCAGCCGGTTTACTCTTCAATGTTCGGTGCGCCTGGCCGACGTAGTTTTTATTCAGATCGAAAGGTGGCGGAGGTGGAGGAAACAAGGGTCTGAATTGATATTCCGACTCTATGACTGTTGTTGACATCTATTCGATTCTCTTGGAATGCTTTTGCTCGTACGAACCTTTTCGACATTCCGTTCTCATCATCCTTCTTCTTGGAATCGACATGAAATGAGCTCTTTGCTTTTGAAAGCATATATTCGAAAAACTCGGTCATTCTGCGTCTTTTAAAAACAGCGTTGCTTTTACATCCGCTTGGCCTGCAGAAGACAAAAAAATTTCGACTCTACTTTTGACAGTTGTTTTTTTTCAAAAAAATGTTCGCAAACATCTTTAGATTGTTTTCAATCTAAGAAGAGTCTTTTACTTTTAGACATCTAAATTTCTCCGCGTAATACTGATAACTAGTTAGTCGTAACGGGCGCTCACGTTATTTATGCTAAGTCCATCATTCGAGGTAACCAGAATGTCTATTTTCATACCAAACATGGATACTACTTAGAGCACGCACATATAAATCAAAAGGTTCACCAGAAATCCGCATTTCTCGTTCAATCGTAAAGAGACAGAAAATGAAATTATTTTCGAGTTTTTTGGCACTTTCAATTGCAGAGAATACAAGGCGGCCGAATGTGATCTTGCTGAACTGCGATGACTTCGGAATCGGCGACTTTCAAGTCTACAACAAAGATGGAAAAGTGCCCACGCCTAATATCGACAGAATCGGAAACGAAGGAGTGAAATTTCTTGACGGTCACTCAGGCTCTAGCCGTTGTTCGCCAAGTAGGTACATGCTCATGACTGGTCGATACTCGATGGAAGATTCACCTTCACGGAAAATCGGCTTAGGAGAGCCACAGCTCGGCGAAATGTTCAAAAATCTGGCTACAAGACGGGTATTTTCGGGAAGTTTCAACCCCTTGTGTCTCAAATCAAGAATCTCAATGCGACACTCGAGGATGAAAGAGAAACAAGACGACTTGACAAAGAGTTCATGGAACAGATGAAGGAATACGGGGAAAGTTGGGGAAACTTCCGTCCTGCGAACGACTTGCCGGGTACCTACATACAAAGTATCAGTCCTCTTGATCACAGCTACGATTATTCCTTCACGCAAAGTTCTGTTTGTTGTCAACCAGGCGGATTCTACGAAAACGGAAAAGGAATCGAACCAGTCGACACCTGGATCCTCCAGCAGCCATACCCAGAGGAAAACACAAAGAAAACAAATTACGATGCAAACACGGGCAAGTGCAATGAGTTCCCTGTGAGCGGATACATGGGTGACATCCGTCAAACCGACAAATTCGAAGGAGAATTCGGCGAACTTCCACTTTTTCACTGCAACTTTCCTGGTCAGCAGCTCGCGATGAAATCGTATGACACTCGACTTTTCGACGAGCTGGTGATTCCAAAAGTGGAGCAGTTCATTGATGAGAGCCACGAGCAAGAATTTTTCATCTACTACGGAATGCGATCTGGACACAAACCATTCAACACGCCGATTAGATTTAGAAACCAGACAGAGGCAGGAATGCTCGGAGAAATGATCATGGAGGCTGACGAAATCGTTGGACGAATTTTCGACAGATTGGAAACTTACGATATCGCTGACGATACACTTGTTGTCTTCATGTCTGACAATGGAGCCGACGGAACTGCGAGGAAAATCTTGGAAAAATATGGCCACTCTCAGGAAAGGCTTAAATTAATTTGAGTAACCATACTATAGGTTAAAAGAATACACAATTTGCCCTTTGAAAGCATCGTCTCGACCTGCCGGATCGAACAATTGAACTTTCAGGTGCAAAGAACTGGAATGGAGAAGCTGGTCACAGAACTCCATTCCTATGGCGCTACCCCAGACGTTTTGCGCCGAGTACCATTTACGACCCGAAGGTTGCTGTCTCATACGTTGATGTCTACGCCACTCTCGCAGATCTGATCGGATATGATTTAGGAGCGTTATTCATTCTTCTATTTTAATAATGTCCATATTTTCGAAGCAAGAATCAGAATCATAACGTCCTCAAGACTGTAACGAAGCCCCTGACAGCAGAAGTCTTGTCCACTACATGGAAACTGGACAAGCAAACGAGCAACTTATTCATACTCCAGTCTTGACTCACGCAAAGAACGGACCAGTGGTTTCCCTTCGCAAGAAAGAGTTCAAATACGTTCCAGAATCCAAAGAATTGTATAATATGGAGAGAGACCCAGAAGAGAAGGATGTAAGCGAATTTCATTTAGAAATGATCTTCATTGAATTTTAGAATTTATATAGCAAAGGGGGCCGTGAAAATCTCATCGAGTATTTGGATGGTTATTTAAATCACTATCTTGGGCACATTGAGAAACGAGAAGCCGCAACCGCGAAGGGTAAAGTAAAAGATAGCTGTTATCCGACATTCGAACGTTTCCATCAATTCAATTTCTGAACAAATTTCTGCTCATTTTCTGTAAAATAGTAACACGCAATAATAAACTCAACGATAATAAATGTTCTGCCTTTCGTTTGAATTTACATTCGTGGTCAATTCTATTTGTTTGTCTTGATGAACAAACAAATACAGAAAAACGGTTATGAATAACTTTCTTTTTTAATAAGACAAGACAGTCAAACAATTCCATGCTTCTTTTCTTATTTTCTGTGCCGCTTGTTAGCGCGGGGCTAGAAGTTAGAGGAAGAACTCCGGACGTGTTTTACGATTACGAAGTTGATTGTTCGGACGAATACTGGGTGAGAAAAAGCATTTACCGCCTTGATTCAAAAATATTTTTAACTTTAGCAATTCAATGATCCTGAGTGCCAGCAAGAAATAACTAATGAAGAGAACACTCGAGTTGGAGATAGAATTTATCCTATCATGGTAGAAAGGAAAACATTCTTCGCTAAAATTTAGAGTATTAGGGAGACTGGAGCACATGGACTGCCTGTGACAAATCTTGTGAAGAAGGTAGTCAAACAAGGGTCCGGTTTTGTGCGAAGGAAGATATTTGCCACGAGGAGAGCCAGAAAGAGGTCCGTGCATGCAACACAAAAATAAGGCGCAATAGAAGGATTGTCCACAATTTAAAAAATAGTTCTCCGAAAAATTATAAAAAATTGATGAAAAATGGACTCGATTGAGTCCGTGGAATGAATGGTCCTCATGCTCTTCGGATTGCACAAGATTCCGTCTGAAGGTTAGCGTCAAAACAATTTTCTATGTTCTCAAAAACAATGTGGCTTTTCTAGGTCTGCAAAGACGATAACTTCTGTGGGAAAGGGTTATCATTTGATCGCGAAAATGTCTGTGAGAAAGCACAGATCCGCAATAGGCAAGATATACGTAACCCTTCTTGCGAGATGTCGAGATCTTCGTCGGACAGAAGATTGCTCAAATGGAATGTGCAGACGCTGCATGGTAGAGTCAACCTTTTTAGCAAATATTTCTGTTGTGATTAGGCTAATCCAGAAAACTGGGAAGACAGCAGCGGTGACACATGTGTTGCATATGGAAAAGAAGGCTGGTGCAATGAGGTATAATATGTAGCCTTCCCATGATGAAACCTCTTATTTTCTAGCATGGAGAAAAGGGACCAAACTGGCCAACAACTGGACATTTAGCTAAAGCGACTTTCGACACATACTCCAATGAGGGATTCAATGCCAGACAGTGTCCGGAATGTGGATGTACTGAAGTTTGAACTACCTTCTCACTAATAAATACTGTTTCTGACCTTCTATAGTTTGTTTTTATCTCAAATTGAATTTTATAGAGAGCAACTTAAACAAGAAGTACTATCACAAATATTTTTTATTCTTCTTTGATAACAAAAATTTTGATTCTGTCAACGTCCATCGCTCTTCTTGTCCTTTTCTTGAGACCTTTTGTAAAGTGGAACAGAGAGCAAGAGAAACACGCCTAGGTTGAAAGAATTCGATTAGAGTGGCGCTGCTGCTTGTTGATCTGAGACATACAGCCGTCTGGTCCCATTGTTTCTTATCGGCGAAAAAGTCGAAATAAAAGCGACGGACGCGAAGAGGTTCCGTGCAAATGCCAAACAAGAGATAAAAAAAAATGAGTGCTAGGAAGAGGTTCTTCGCTAATACTTCAACTATGCTGGATTGAGCTTTTAGCAAAGATCCTTTTAGGCCAAAGAACACAATTATTGTGGTCGTCTTTTCTGCACTTGTTCTTCTCCTTGTCACCACAGGTAATGATCTGTATACATAACACTTTTACTTACCGAAGTGCTTCAGTTATTCTCGGTAATTTTCATCACGATGTGGACCAGCGGCATCAGTTCCGGAGCACTCTGATGCCAACAGCCAAGGTTCGACAACTTTTTACAATTTTGATTTTGAAAGTAATTCTTTTCGAACACCATTAAAGTGAAAGAAAATGTTTCCCTTGTGTCGCCGGCGATTTTGACAACGCAAAACGGCGAACAAGTGTTTTCAACAACGGTTGCGTCGTCAACAGCCGTGTCGATAATAGAGGAACATTTGGGGCGAAAGGCGAATAATGTCAACTTCCGCAGAGCGCCGTCGTTCCCTGTTCCCATTGTCAAGAGACCGGAGGACGACTCATCCAATTCTAAGGCGAGTTTCCGCAAGATCTTGTTGAGTACTACAGTAAGCAATTATTAGCTGCCGATTGAGCACCCTTAGGAAACTGAAAACAGCGCAACAAGAAACCCGCACTCGTTGGAATTCGTTTGCTCTCTGAAGTAGACGAAAAATAACGTCCCGCAGAACCACCTTTCAGCGAAGCAATCTTCTCTTTATATTTCAATTCTCGTTACCAATTTTTTTAATGATTTATCTATGGGTTTGATTTCAAAATGTCTTTTTCAGTCGCTTTTATGTTATTTTTTCTATTTCTTTTTTATTGAATGAACTTATTAAGTTTATTTTGACGCAAATGAAGTTATCCGTTTCTTTTCCCTCGTTTTTCTACTTATTTCGTATTATTTCGTATTTTATGCATTTCGTCATCTTGTCGTTTTGACTGTTTTCATTTTCATACTCTGAGCAGCAACTTTATTTTTTCCACTTTTATAATTTCCGTAATTTTCCTGGTCGCTTATTGTTTTCCGTAATTGGCATTTCTTCGACACTTTTGCTTTCTTATTTTCTTGCATGTTAAATGTTCAAATAAAATAAAATCGCTATTTTTGGCAATTTTGTCTTTGCGCTTCTTTTTTTTTCTTTTCGAAAATCTCTTTTTAAAAAACGAAAACAACGAAAAAGCAACTTAGAAATCACGAATTGCGGCGATTGAAGAACGCTATTATTTCTTCGCCCATGACTGCAATTACGAGTTGCAACTTGCAAGTTAAAGATCAGCAGTAGACGAAGCAGGACTAGTTTGGGCTTTGAATTTGTCGAGCGTTATCAAATGCATTGGAGCAAATGCGGTCGAGCTGCCGAAGGCGCGAATTTCGCGAAGTGGCAGCAATGCCAGCATCTTGCCTCGCCGCATTGACTCAGTTACTGTCACAGTAAAAAAATGGACGAATAACGAAATTATCTCTGTCTCTCTCTCTCTTTTATTTTTGGGCGCTTTTGCTGATGGCACCCGTTGGCGCCGGCTAAAAAACCGAAAAATAAAAAAAATTCCGAATTAAAAAATGGCTGTTCTGGGAGCGGGCGCGTAGGCCTTTGGCTTTTTCGGAAAAAGAAATCGCGCTCGTCACGAACCGATTAAAGCAAATATTAACCTGGCATTGTCTGCGCCATGGTAATGTAAAGACGAACGGTAATATCAAGATACACATCACATAATATTTGCAAAACCATTTCAACTTACGGTTGCCAAGCACGATCTGGGCGAATAATCGCCTTCGACGAGACTCTCTCCCGTTTTACTTACAATTGAAGGAATGAAAAGCGTGACAAAAATACACGCGACGCGGGCAAGCTTGAACATTGCTCCCAGCCGAATGCAAATTTACACACGCTAACGTTATTTAGATTCCATGGCCTTGCGTGTTTCCGAAGCAGGCGTTTTTGCACTTTACCCGGGATCCAGTGTTTTAGCTGAATTAGTGCAGTGTCTCTGGAGAGGGAGAACTAGAACTGTTTCCCTCTGGCCGGGGCGGAAATTGGGCTCCACCTGAACATGCGGCTAATCGCAGCTTGAAGTGTTCTGCTATTTTTCCCTCAAGGGAAGTGCAGAGCAAACAGCGGGGGACTGGTTACCCAATACAAATATTTAGAGTCGTAATTGTCTAAGCCATAATAATTGAAAAAGAAAAAAACTCTGAAAATTAGCATTCTGGAATACCACGGCCCTCGAGGAAGACATAGAAGAATACTCCGATTTGTACGTGTTTCTTCTTATTTTTGAATGGTTGTGATCAAAGTATAAGACTGTTTTTCTAGAAGAGATATAGCTTGTTCGAAGACGAAGGGGAAAATAAATTTGGTTTCCGGAGTTAAATTATTAATAAAGGTAACAATTATTACGTTTACTTTCTGTATGCCAAAGGCTCAGTGAATTTAGAGAAGCCTTCTGATAGCTTAGGCGCGTTAAATATTATTCTGTAAAATCGTGCTTGAATTTGATAAAAATTAGTTTTATGAAGCGCTGTATAATCAAAGCTGTCGAGTGATTAATTGCTCGGGCTAGAATTAAAACAAAGCGAGAGGTGCCTGGAAGAGCTATGACTCTGGTTCTATGATGGAGAGTAGAATTACCTGAACAGGACGACACAATAGATCCCGTTCAGGCGGCATCGTTTTGTTCGATTTAGCAACAGGCCAGCGATTTCAGCGAGTCTCCCCTGAACTAAGCAGCCTCTCCACCTAAACGAAATTCAGCCGACAAAAAAAAAATTAAAAAAAAGTTGCCACTCACCTTTTGAGCTCCCTCACTTGGAGCGGGCCCATTCTTTCTGGAGAAGAAGTCTAACCGTTTTCATTAGAAGGAGAGAAATGAAATAGAACGTGAGATGCTAGGCCGATTACTGGACCCCGAGCTAGGAAATGATTTGGGTTTCAAGTTTACTAGAGATATTAGAACGCGATCTGCTCAGCAAGACCGTTTTTGAAAACCAAAAACAGATAAAACGCCGCACACCCGTGTCGACAGTGAGGATGACCTGGGCCGCTTCTACACTCTTACTGGAAACATTTTGGGAAAAGGAGCTTTTGGAACAGCCTAAGAGTGGGAAAAATCGCGAAGTACTCAAAGCTTTATAACGAAAGACTTGATTTTTACCCAGAAAAAGTGATCGAAGCGTTCGCCGAGGACCAGAAACTCGTTGCGATCAAAAAAGTCGACAAGGCAAAGGTAAAAATCCTAACAAAGCGTATAAGGTATATAATATATATTCCAAATCGACCCTCTACGAGACAGTGAAGTTTTTGCTAGGCTGGGAATGCGGAGGTGATTCTTCTTGAGCGCGAGGTTCAAATCCTTAAAACAATCGGACACGCGTACATTATCGAGCTGCTCCACGTTTTGGAAACGAGCTCGACGATGTATCTAGTGCAAGAGAAGTGCGACACGCACCTTGGAAACTACTTGAATCAACAAGACGACAAAAAGCTGCCAGAAACCCAATGTCAGGCACCCTGGAAGCCACACAAACACTTAAACTTAAGCTCCACTTTTTGTAGAAGCGCACAAACACATTTAAACAATAACTGTGGCTACCGCAGGGAAGAATATCATCCGCCAGGCAGCTGAAGCCTTGTACTATCTGCACAAGAAAGGGATCATCCACCGAGACCTCAAGTGTGAGAATATCCTTGTCGTACGCTCTCCACAAAGTCAGTTCGATATCGAGATTAGAATAACAGGTAAGATTACGACTATTTATGGCTGTAACTGGTTTATGCTAGACTTTGGATTGGCAGTTATATCTGGCCAGGAATTTCAAGAGTCGACATGTGGAACTCCGCTCTACATGGCTCCAGAAATTTTGCTCCGTCACTCGTACTCGCTGCAGTGTGACATTTGGAGGTGGCGTTTAGCTCACTAGAATCACCTCCATAATCTAGTTTTGAAGTTTAGGGATAATTTCGTATAGAATTATGACCGGATGTTTTCCGTTTCCGAACGCGGTGACGGAAGTCGATTTGATAGAACGCATCAAAGTGGCGAATTTCGACTACAGCAGCAGCAAGTTCGTAGGCTATTCCCAAAAAGCCATCGACCTGGTTCAAAATATGCTGAAGGTAGAGAAAGTGCGATTCGAACAGATGGAATAAATGGTGTTTCTAGGTCGACCCAGCCACCAGAATCGCTGCTGGAGAAATATCAAAGAGCGCTTGGGTCCAAGGTCAGGCTTGCACAGTAGTTATACTTTTCTGAGCTCTGATTTCAGGTCGTGAAGACAAAGACATGCCTAACGTTATTGATCTGATGCGTGAATTTCACGCGCAGGAATCTGACGAAGACTAGCTCCGACTTGCTTGCATTGTTACTGACTGCAACCGACCTTTTCGAGCTTTTCACCAAAAAAGCCAAAAGCCCATCAACTATTATTTCTCCTTTTCTTGTTTTGATAAATCTGCTTGTGCGATAGAATAAATTAAAATATCGAACTCAAAGTACGCCAATTTGATCATCAAGCGATTTTTATTGATATATAATAAGTATTTGGTAAACTGGACGGTTCTGTGCAATTTCGGGAAACTGGCTAAGCGAAGTGAGATCTGAGTGTAATTGTGTAATTTACTGATCGAGAATTATATTTTGAACTCGTTCCAGGTTACGTTAGGGTCATAGCAATCTTCAGGATGCGTGTTCTCGTAACCAGTCGAATAGGACTCGTACATGTCGTATCCTTGAACGCAAATTATGGCAAATGAAATCTATCAAGGAAGGATTACCGCTTGTTTCTGGACTGAAGGAAATATTTGGCGATATTATTGTTTGATCAAGAGAGTCTGCTGGTGACAGTGGTTCTTCTGCTCTTTGAGTTTTCGGAGTATTGTTCTGAAATAAACATGTTAGAAAGCATTTTGCTTGCGAGAGAATTCGTTCAATTTATCTGGCAGCCGCAGTCAGTGATTCGTCTAAGAGTCCGCATCAGCTGGAACTTTTTGAGCGACGATTAAGATTAAGCTCAATCGTTCTTAAATGAGCTCGCGATCTCCAGCTCATCCTTTTTCTCAAATCCGTCAACTGAGACAACTGACAGATAAATAGAAAACCGTATTCGTCAAAATTTGTCCTTTGCCCGGATCAGACTCTTACCCAGTTTCTCTGTCTTCCTGCTTCTTTCTTCAATCTTTTTTCTTTGGCACGTCTGTTCTGAAACCAAACTTGCACTACTCGCATGTCCAGTCCTGTTTCCGTGCTTAGCTGGATTCTTGGTTAGATAGAATGTATCATTTTTGTTTTACCGATTCGCGAACATGTCTTGCAGGTTTACTTGATTGTTGGTATGCTTGTTTTAGCACGTCCAGTTGCTTGGCAGTGATCGTTGTGCGTGGCCTTTTAATATTTCCGTCGTCTTGTCCTTCTAAGTAAATTTAGTTTTACAAGTCTTAATTACAGAAGCACGATTGTTAATGAGTCTCAAAGAGGCCTGAGGCCGGTAAAAGGGTTGATCCATGCTGACCCGTAAAAATTGTTCCTCGCGCGAATATTGAATCATCGTTAAAACTCACTTTGGCTCGTTCTTCCACAATGGGATATATGGCCGGATTTATGGATCACAGAGGACCTTTGCCGTGAAGTTAATCAATCAGGGCTGTACCAGAAGCATCGATCTCCCTGGTATTGATCATTTAGAAAGCCGAAATTTGCAAATTTATTTGGATACAACCATATGGAAAGCTTTACAAGTTTTAAAAATCATGTCCATCGATTTGACTTTGATAAAATCGTCAGACTTATAAGTGGTCTATTTCCAGCTAAAATAGGAGGTGGCCTAAAACGTCGTCCAGTTGTTGCAAGTGTGCCCGGAAACGTTGTCAACATTTTAGGCAAGTTTGGACGTTTTGTGCCACACTTCCAACAATTTTACGACGTTTAAGGCCACCCTTTATTTTAAAAGCTTCATACTCTGACTTCCTGAGAGCAATTTATATGAAAAAAACGCTTAAAATGTAGCTCGGTTATTTGTGGTTCTATTTTAATTTCTAAAATGGTTTATAAATCTCAGACTCCAAAGGAATGATCCGGGCGTTTGTTACATGTTTTGGCGGCTTGGGCGCGGCTTAGCTGCAGTATTATCCTCAGCTGGTTGTTGCTAAGGCGCGCCAAATCGAACACACTGAGAGCATTTGCAAAATGCGCAAAGGAACCTGCCCAAGGAGTGTGAGCACCAATTCTAATCGATCTCTTTGATCGCCCTCTGTTAACATGCATCTGCTTTTTCTCCTCTTTAAACTTGACCCGTGGTATCCCCAATGACGCATTCTACTCGAAGTTCTCTTATTACCTCTCATTTTTGCGTCCTCGTAATCTTCTTTGCAGACTAGTCGCTTGTCTTCAAGAAGGAAGAAGTGATCGCCTGTTTCGAATCGACGATCGCACACAGCACAATGAAAACATTCAAGATGATATGAATGGTCGCCCGCTTTTCTTATCACTTCTGATGGCTCAATTCCTTCGTTACATGCGGCACATTTGTTCCCATATCTCCTTAATTACGAAAATGAACAAATACCAGCGAGAAAAAAGTGAAGAAAACTTGGCCAAGTTAGAGCTTAGAAGGAAAATGATAAGCCACTTACTTGTAAAAATCCGTTCGACATAAGAGATGGTCGTCTTTGAAGAAGCATTTTTCAGTGAGCTGCAGACCGCAGTCCAAACATTTGAGACAATGCTGATGATAAGATTGGTATGGGCCCACTTGAAAAACATATCTATCGAGAATTGGTCGGCAACAGCTACTGCAATGCATCACTAAAGAATCACAGATAACTTTTTGTTCAAATGGCCTATTCAATAGGAAAAACGCATGTATGACCAAGTGTGTCCTTGGCGGCAAGGAAGTATCATATTTGCGGCATAACCACAAAGTTTATAAATTAAAAATGTATTAGGCTAGTAAGCATTGGGCGTAAAAATACGCAAACTTAAATAGTTCGATCAGGAATGCCTTACCATGATCAAAAACTTCGCCAAGAGATTGCGATCTTGCAGGTTCAACGGCCTCTGTTTCTTTTCCTTGAAGAATCGCATAAAGTGGAGTCAAATCTCTCTTTGCTTCCATTAGAGTTTTTTTGCGAATACTTCCGAGGTTGTTTTGTGATGTTTTGAAGAGGTAAACGTCTGCTTGGAAAGAGGGAAGAAGATACGAGTAACGGTTGGAAGAAGGCCGTCTCGGGTGGTCTTCCACAACGTGATATCTGCCAGCAAGTTAGAGCAGACTATTCCCACGAATTCGCACCTGTCGAAGTTTTATGCGCCTTTTTCTGGTCTTTCTCTATTTAGAGGAACTTCGTAAATCCAGAAAAAATCAATTCTCAAGAGTAGTTTCCAAAGTTAATTATATTTTTGTTTGTGTCTCAAGGAGCTTTGAAGAAGGGTCACACACAGGTGAGTGCTTCACAGAAGGGATGAGCAGAAGCCTGATATGGCTGTGGTAGCGCTGGCGCTGTTGCGGCGAGACTTGGGCACGCGCACGCGTACGCAAGGGAACTCTTGCGCCCTCGCGGTATTCTCGTTAGACTTTGATACTATGATCTACAAATATTAAGAAGCCTAGTTATATAACTTCTATTATAGATCGAATAACTGTTTACACCATAATGATACAATACTCTCTACGGCAATATTTAACCTAGGAAAGCATGGATGATATTTAAAACCTTCTTTATTTTCACTCTGTTCTAAACGTATCAACAGATCTTGAATGATATACGTTATAGGCTATAACTTCTAGGGCCTAGAGGCAAGGCATTAAATTATAGCCTATAATTTATATTTGAGTATACTTCTCCAAATTTCGTTATGATTGTTGATGATAATATATTTTGTTTTTAATTTTACAATAAACTTGTATCGTCTGCAAAAATAGTAGAGGGGTATTTCTGTCGTTGTTATTTTCTGATCCATTCATGCAGTTGTAAATATTTATAGTCTGTTTTATTTATTATCGAACTTGCGATCGAGTACAGAGATCAAAAGGCTCTCCCGACGAGTGATAAAAGTCGCACGGGGCGAAAATCAATTGCCATCCATGCAGCACCTTCACCTCAAAAGGAAGGTGCGCCAATAAAGTCCGAATGCTTTCCTACTGTGTAATAGAAGGTACACCTTAAAACTTTTAAACCCAATTCATTTTGTTCTATTTCGAACGAGTATCTGTATCTTGGGGCCGAAGATCATGCAGGAATTATGTTCAGATTTGTGTAAGGAGGAGTGGAAAGTCGACGAAAGCAAAGTCAGATCTATGTTGTCGATATCGGATTAGCTAATCGGGTAAGGTGTTGGGACCCCTCGCTGGCAACAAGCCTTTAAGAGTCTACCCTTGAAGCGAGCAACATCTGCCTGATCAACCTGCACACCGCTGCTTGATCTTTAAAGCACTCCTTACATGCATCAACACATTACTTCAATGTGAAAAGCAAGCCCACTCACAAATACAAAATCACTTCTTAGCCTCCGGTTTCATTCGACAATTGGTTTTTACCATCTCCAGGTACTTTATTTTTTAATTTAACTTTTGAAGAATAAGTAGCTCTTTTTTTCGAAAAATTCATCGTAATTTAATTCATTTTTTGTTGCCAATGAAGTCGACGAGTATCGTTCAACTAGATTTAAAGAGACCAGCATATGGAGGACTTTAGGATCAAGATAAATTTTAGGTAGGATGGACAGAATATCGAAAATTCGATGATCGTGCGCCTGTATCGAGTGACCTTTTCGGCAACAATCTGGCACGTATGTGGCTTCTGTACTCACACTTGTTTTTGATTAATGAGAGCCTCGGTCGCGAAACTTCGATCCTGATCTCCTCCGCCTCCCTTGGGCCTGCTCAAATCCATCACCCCAAAGCCGAAAATTAATTTACAACTTTCCATCAAATGGAAGCTCGGTCCTTAAATCTGAGTATTATCCCCTAAAAATCTCTTTTCTGCAAAATGCCTTCTTGATTTACGAACAAATACGACATGACTTTGGAATGATAAATGTCACCTCGAGACACAATATCCAATGAGATTCATTTTATTTGTTTCAGTATGACGGGAGATATGAGTATGTTTGCTAGGTTGGAATGATAAGAGTGTCGAAGACAAGAGCAGTGTCGAATTTTAGGACTAAGAAAGGAGAGTAGAGAAGAGTCATTACTCGGGAATAGAAGCGAACTCTGGAATGGAAGGGTAACCAGATGTATTGCGGGAGAATTGGCTCTTCTCCTTTTGTGCTTTACGGGCAGACGGTGGCTGCGCATGCGGGTTCGCTGAGACAAGCATCGATTGGCGAGATTTGCTTCCGGAGAGAGGCTATACAAAAGTCTTATAAGATTTAAAAAGGAAAACGCGACTTTACCTTTGGAAGAGAGTCCGCTGGAGGCTCGTTTTCATCTGCATTTGCGACGACATCAATCCACTTTTTATCGGCCAATGCTGCCAACGGGATATCATGGTCCTCTGCTTTTCCCTGGAATTTTATCTTGGGCGCGTTTTTCTTCGTTCTGAACTTGACTGAAAAGTGTTTCTTCATCGCCTCTAAGTTGTTTTGAATCCCCTCGAGTTGCTCGCGCATATTTCGTCCGATGGTACTCTCAAAAATCGCAATCTGATGTTCGGCGTCTTCCTCAACTGGATATTTCTTGCGAAGATCCTCCATCAGCTGTGCTTTTCGTTCCACATGCCATTCTGAGAGGTTGGCAATGGTTTCCTCCCGAAAGCCTAAAAGCGCTTTTGATAATCATTCTTGGAGAAGAGAACTCACATATTTTCTGGAGCTGCAGGAGACGATATCGTGTACCAACGAGGATCTCATTATCTGGAATGCTAAGTGATTTTATTCCAGGCGACCATTTGCATGTCGTAAGCGCAGATTTCCTCTTGACGATCTCATTGACAGGATCCTCTGTGCCATCCCAGCCGTCAAGTTCTTTCGTTAAAATCACATGACGGCAGCAAAGAGGACCCGTCTGGTACCAGCCAGCTTTTGCCATTTTGTCAGGAGCTAAACGTAAATTTGTTACTTGCAACGTCGTTGAAAGTAACACTTACACAACTGCTCGCCGAACGGCCAGCTCCTGAAGCTCTGAATTCGTTTCGCGAGGCTCAGCATTTCCTCGCATTCGTCGTCAAGACTCTCATAACCCCGAATGAGATCCTCGCCGGATTTCGCCATTTCAAAGAATATTCTGAACAGTAACCTTTGTTTTAGAAATCATTATACGTTTTCATTTTATCCAAACTTACGTGCGATTTCTCTTATGTTATGCTTCGAAAAAAACGCGGCAAGGATTCGCGCAACCGAAAACTCCGATATTATCGGTGACGGTTTCAAAATCGGGGTCAAAATACAGAACGAACCAAACAGTTGTGAACGCGGCGGGGCAAATGGACACAGTGAGATCTCGAGGCAAATATTATTTTATTTCAATTTCAGGTACAAATTGTAACGTACAATCATATTACGAGCTGACCGCTTTGTATGGGATAAAAATATAACCAGCAACCGATAGAAGGAACGGTAGGAAGTATAAGGCAGTGAACTTAAATAACAGGTTTCTGGGTTTTCCAATGAGTTAGTGGCAATGAGTGAACTAAAGATAACTATTTTTATGCGCCTTTCTTCTAACTTTCGATCTGCTTGATCTGAGCGAGCTCCGACATCGGAGATGTGAAAGTCGTCGGGCATCGCGGGAAGGAGTTGTGCAGAATGCTTACAGATCCCTTCTCCGAGTATTTGATGTTTCGAAGGAGCTGAAAATGAGCTCAAATTGGACGCTAAGCGTGGCTGCTGTACCTTCGGACTAATGATGAAGAGCTGGCACATCTCCTTCTCTTTCGCGTTGTCAGTGAGTTCCTTGACAACCTTGTAGACATTCTGCTCGTTGTAACTGTCCATTCCCTTAAAATATGAATTAGAAACGAAACACACGAGAATGTTATGATAAGACAAAATAAAGACCTGATTAATCTCATCCACAAGACGGAAGGGACAGTTCTTGGTCGGCATTGAGAGCAGGAAGAGCATGGCAGCCACAGAGCGTTCTCCTCCTGACTGTCGATTGACCTTAATGATGGCCATCTCGTCGCCAGCTCGATATTGAACTTTAATATCCAGCCCATATTCACTGAAGTCGTTTGGGTTATCCGGGATATAAAGCTCTACATCAGCTCTGCAGTTGATCGTCGCAAAGTTTTTCTATTAATTCAAACATAAAAACAAATTACTGGTAAGAAGATGTACCTTAAAACGCTGAGCGACGAATGCGACCTGCGCTTGAAGCTCAGGATACCAGGCATTCTTTAGCTCCTCGGTAACATTGGCCTGATTCGCATCCTGTCTTTTCAGCTTCTCGATGCGTCGAGTTTCGGTTTCAATCTTCCTGACCAGAGTGTGGTAATTCTGGACATCGGACTCATCAATCGGCGTTCCCATTGATCTGAGCTCTTCATACTTTGCCTGAGCTTGGCGAATTTCCAGGCCGATCTTTTCAATTAGCTGCTCCTCCTTGTCGTTGCTAGAAATATTTAATTACATTCATTGTCGAGATTTTTATAATTATTTTCATAGCTCATCAGGGTCCCCGATTCGGGAAAAGGACTTACTACTGCTTGATATCAGTAATTTCGGGCATCTTGACGTAGTCCTCCTTCCATTCCGTCATTTTCTTCACGCGCTTCACGATCTCTTTCACATCCTTCTTGTTCAAGACTTTATCGCCTTGAGAAATGAGTCTGCTTGCGGCTCTGGCGACAAGCTGTCTAACAATATCCCTGTCCTGTTTGAACAATGCCCCCTGCTCGATTTGATCCTTCAATTGGGACTCTCGCTTTTCCTTCTCTTTCAAAAAGAACGCCTTCTTTCCGCAGACTTCGATGTAGCTTTTTACATGGTCTTTCTCCAAGTTGAACTTTTGATTGAGGGCTTCAATGCATTTTCCAACAGTCTAAACGAAAGAGATAGGGTTTCTTTGATCTATTTCTTTTTCATACCTTCAAGTTTTCAATGCTCTGCTCCATTTCCTTTTTGATGAACTTTTGAAGTTCGAGGACAATGAAAGGAGTGTTCTTGCGTTTGCGCAAAATGCTGTTGTATTCTTTGAGCGCGCCACGGACCTTGTGCTCCTTCGAGTTTCCGCCCTTCAGCTCTGTCTTCAATTCATTCATTTCTTTCTGCAAATCAGTGATCTGGACTGCAACCGTATGACGTTCTTTTTTGATCTCGTGCAGTCTTCGCTCTACGACTTCCATTTGTTTGGCGATGTCTGCACGTTGCTTCGACAGCTGGGCCTCCTTTTCTAAAGAGAATAGTTAAGAAGAATCCTTCAGCAGTTCTTCATTACCTGAGTCTTTGAAATATTTGAAGCACTCTCCCAAAGAAGCTCTTGATTGTGGGTTTGTGTCGACAGTATTAAAGTTGCCTGTGTACTGATTTTGTCGGCGAACAACCTTCTTGAACACCCGCGCGTTCTTGTTGTAGACGTAATAGGTCCGCAATTTTTTGGTCGCGCTCGCTCATGTTCGCAAGGTTAGGCTCTTTTTGTCCGTAGAGGATGTTATGCACGTTCGCATTTTGGCAAAGGTATCGTCGCACAGGTTCTGGACCGATGAGAAAATCAATCAGTGAGCATTCGAACCCATATCGTTTAAAGTCGATCCGATCGCTCTTGATTCGGTCGACGCTTCCATTCTCCACTCGAGCGTTGGCGATTCTGTGGAGACCATTCTCTCTTGCGAGCGCGTTGGTTTCCCGCAGATCTTCGCTTGTCTGGCAAATGATGGACATGAGTGGGGTGCTGTGCACGGAGTCCATTAGGATATCAAGATGAGCTGGAAGGCAGCCGAGGGAGAGAATGGGAGGAGGGAACACCTCAGCACGAAAACGTTGCTTGTTTTGGTCAATCAATTCCCATAACTTGATCGTGTTCATAAGATCCACTTGGGCGCGCTTGAAATACTCTGTTCGCTGCAAAACAAGTATTCGCTGTGCATCAAAGTTCTCCTGTGCTTTCAACTTAGTTTCGATACTGTTGAGCTGTTTTTCGAACGTACTGATCGCGACCTGAGCTTCTTCTTGTTTTTTTCGAAGATCATTTTCCGACGGCCTTAGACGCTTGACCTGCTTTTCCAACCCATCAATATTTCGCAGGTACTCCTGCTTCAGCCGTTCTCTTTCAGCTTTATTTTCCTCAGCAGCTTCTTTCGTCTTCGGGTATGCTTCTTCTTTGTTTTTCATCGTAATGTCAAGCTCCTGATTCTCCGTCATCACGTCAATCGTTTCTTGTTTGTATTTGTTGACGCGATAAATATTCGAAGTCAATGAGGTGCTTGCAGCAACGGCTTTCATCAGAAGCTTGTACTCCTGAGATTTCTTATCGTCAAACACTCCCTGATCTTTAAAGAGTCTTTTCTTGAGAGTCGCTTCCTCCTTGTCCAGTTTCTCGAGATTAAACGAGCATTCTTTCAACAGTTTCTCTTTCACCTCCTTGTGCTGTTCTTCCCAATCTTCGAAACAGCCTTCGACGAACTCGAGCAGCTCTTTCTTGAGACACCATTCCGCAGTATTCTTGATCAGGACAAGCTTCTGTTTCTTCTCCAGAGCCGCTTTCATGTCGTTGAATCTTTCGACTCGTACTTGATCGCGGTCTCGCGTGCGTTTCAAATCAACGAGTGCGTTTTCTGCGACACGGATCTCGTTCTTGGCGTCCTTCATGTGCTTCTGGTACTCAATCAGTTTCTGGTGCTTCAAGAGCAAGTTCTCCTTCCCATCGCTGATGCTCTGTTGAAACGCCTCGAGTCGATCTTTGGACGAAAGGTCGCTCAAATCGTTCACTTTCTCCTGCGGCAGAAACTGCATCAAGTTCATCACATGAAGATTGTATTTGTTGAGAGTACGTGTCAGCTCATCTTTGTTGTTCAAAGGATGGAAGGTCGACGATCTCTCTGTAAAAATAATTCAAAATTAAGACTAAAATAGATGATTCTTACCGGCTCTCATCTTCCATCGAGTGTTTTTGTTCTTTCCAGAGCACCAAGATCGCTCGATGCCGATCGTAGTACCTTTGCCAGTTGAAATTTCAACAGTGATCCGCGCTTTCTTATTTGGTCGTTCTCGATTAACGAACATTGACAAGTCATCAGAGCGTCCCAATTTGCTAACTCGGCCGTCGAAGACAAGGAATAATCCAGCCACGATGGTCGACTTCCCAGTTCCGTTAGCGCCGAAGATGTAGTTAGTAGTCGGGTTGAACTTGTACTCCGTGAAGTCGGTGCTCATGAAATTCTCCATGCAGAGATAGACAATAGAACCCGCCTTGTAATCGGTGATAGGAAAGCGAAAGTTCTTTTGGTTGGGATTGGGCCTATCCCCTTGCAGCCGCATGTTTCCGACTTCAATTTCTAAAATTATTGAAAAAGAACTAAGATTCAAGAGGCAGATTGGTTGGAAGATTGGATAGCAAGTCAGGAAAAGAAGGAAAAAGGTCAGTATGAAGGCATTAAAAGATGAAAGCAAATCGGTTTTGAATTGAATGAATCTGGCTTTGTGGTAGTTCGGGTCAATACATGTAAGTCGAGTTTGGTGATTTTGTAACTAATTTGGCGTTGCTTGCGACTGCTCCAAATATTTTCTGAATAAATGGAAGTTGAAGAGCGATAAAGATAGTAAGTGCTTACAAATACAGCTTATAGTCCTCATGCGAGCCATATTTCTTCACTTCAGCTCTACGCAACGCTCCCCAATCACGCGATGAAATAGCAGCTTCGGCAGCTATTTTATTTTGATTGTTGAAGACTGTTCTCAATGTCGCGGATTCCTCGTGAAGTTTGGCCAAGCTCTCGCCTTGAACTTTTTGAACATCTCTTTGATTTCCGCGTATTTCAGATTCGAGTTTTCTTTACGCATTTTATTCGCAAAGAGACGGATCGGACTCTGGGTGAAGTCTGAATTCAGAATGTAAGAGCTATTCATGTATGAAATCAACTTACTTATGTTAGTCGAGAAGTTGTATTCCTTTCTCTTATTCTTCATAAGTTCTTCCGCCTCCAAGTCATTTTCTCTGGTCTTGGCTTGTTGATCTCGCGCCAAAGTTCTTATTTGAGTGAGCGTTGGCGGCAGGGAGCCTTGCAAAATAGGTCCAAAATGTGAAGAACCGTGTCCAAAAGTCAGCTCGATCGGATTTCTAAGAGAGCATTTGAAAGCTTCGATTGCTTGCTCATACTCTTCGAACTTTTCCGGCGAGTATGACTTGACTTCGCTTGGCTTCAAGGCTAGCCAATCTTTCTTCAAAATGGCTTCAAGAGAACTAATTGAGGATTGATGGAGCTCTCAAATGTACACATAGAAATATCCAAGAAAAATGAGAACGATAAGTAGCATCTTTCAATCCCTGCCTTTGCCTGTTCTGGGCCGTATACCGTTCGAACATGGTACGCGACTGAATTTCGTAAAAACGCACATCCGTTTCCTCGATCAAGGTAGTCCACTTTGATGGAGGGAAGCGTTCGCGTAATTCCGCATTCGAAACATTCTTGTCTTTCTTTTTCAGACTTCCTAGAAAGAGAATGTATGGTGTGGCGCGGAATTCTATGTGGCGATGGAACTTGTATTTCTTTCGCAACTCTGCACGCCGCGTCTTTACTTTTTTCTCTAGGTCGATTTCTTCGCCACTATTTGAAAGCAGGTTTTGAATGTGTTCTTGTCTGTCCCGAGCAGCCCGCTCTAGAAACTCGTTCCAGCATTTCTTTTCCAGAGCCATTTTTTCATCGAGGGAAAAATCGTCCATTTTTTCGACAAGATTCAAGTCCAAAAATTTCGGCACAGGAGTTTGATACCTTTCGGAGAGAGACGCAAATGAATTTAGGTAGGAGAGCCGAGAATCAACGGCGATCTTCTCTTTGCGAGCACGAGTCAGCAACCGGAAAGCGTCGTTGAGCGCTTTTAAGCTCATCCTGTTCGGATGCGTTTCTAGTTGCTGCTGAATATACAGTGTTCGCAGCTTTGAGTCGCAGAATTCGCTGCTGTTCGGCTTTTGAAGGTCGCTGACGAGGCCAAACTCGCGACGTAAATTTTGAACATCGCGGACAAATGTGCTCGACACAAAAGGTTTCGTCTGACTGCTCGCAAAATGGCCCAGGTAGAACTCGTACCAGAACTCAGGTTTCACAGATTTCGTACTTTCTTCGCTTATTTCGGGCAAAACTGCCGAAAAAAATAATGTCAACATTAGAGCGCTATTGGATATTTACCGAGATTCCGACGAATCGGCGGAGGCGAAGTACACGTGGACCCGAGCAAGCGTTGAAATGGAAGTTTTCTCATTAGATTCAATAACTACTGGCTGCCGGTCATCCTCTTCATTTTCTTTGGTCGTCTCTGTTTCTCCGAAACTCGGGCTCGAGCGACCCTTGTTCTCTAACTCCCGCCTGCTCGGAGGACGCGCGCTCCTGGAAGACGCGCCTGGAAGACCTCTTTTTTCTAAATTAACAACTTGGTCACATAAGATTCGTCAAAACGCTCTTATTAAAAAGCTAAGAAGTATCAGTTAACAAAATGAACGAATAAATGATAAGGAATGGAAATAGAAGAAAATATAAAGAAAAGAAATATTTACAGAACCGATTTCAGCTCGGAGAAGAGATTGGAAGGTATATGCCTTCCGAAATATCGAAGAAGTATCAGTCCTATTGCGACTATCCATGCGCATTGGTCAGATTTATTCTGAAAATATTCGTTAAAAAGGATAATCCTCGATTGCATACATATGAAAATGCTTTGAGATAATCCATGTGAATCCTCCCGAGTCGCTGAATTTCCTCGTCCAGCATTACAACGTTGTCGTGCGAGAGGAAGATTTGGCCCCAGTTGAGACTATTACCTCTTGCAACGCTTTGAGCTAATTTCGCCAGAACATCATCTCGAGATGTGTCCATCTTTCCAGCTACGACTGATAAGAAGATGCGAAGAAATGTTGTCATAAAAGTTAGCAAAACTAAGGCCATAGAAATTTTCTTGCAAAAAGAGATTATCTCGATAACTTCATAGATGGCATCCTTTCCTGTCAAGTCAGTTTCCTTCATGTGGCACTCGTAAACTGCTCTTACGTCGTGGTTCATTCGGAGCGGTTCTTCCACGTTGAAGTTATTGCTCATCATATCACGGAGAGTTTCTAGTGTGTAAAATGGCCTGCATGGGGCAACGACGCCTTTCTTCTTTGCTTCTTTCTCTAGTTTCGAAAGATTTATTTTCTTCATTGGAACGTCCATTCCAGGATAGCATGGAAGACTCATCGTTTTGTTTGCTCCCGAATATAGCCAAGCCCTTCCTTTTCTAGAGCTATAATAAGAAGTGGAAATCTAACCGATTTTTGTATAAAAGCGCCAATCCTGCGGAATATCCGACAGCGTTGGGTTCGCGAGGTGACAATAATGCTATTTTTAGCGCGCGATCGATTTTTCGCGTGAGAGAATAACGTGAAAAATATTCAGGTCAGCGAGTCTTCAAAAGACTGATAAGCGATCAAAACCACGATCAAATTGCTTTTCTTATTGAACTCTTTCCTGCTTGAGTGATACCGACGACTTCGTATTTGAATTGAATTTTCCCAACCATCTTCGTCTCCATCGGTACTCGCACAGTAAATTGTTCCTTGTCAAGCCCAGCCGCGATTCCTTTCCAAAAGTCGGGTTTCTTATCTTTTCCTTTTCCGTGGTACTTGCTCATCTTGCACCGCTTGCTCAGTGTTTTATCATTTGAGCCGCGAATCATTTTGATGACCTTCCCGATTCCAACTCGATCCCCCATCGTTACTAAGCACTGCAGGAAGATCTCAGCTTCGTAGGTGAAGTTGCAGTAATAGAGCTCTTTCAATGCCATGGTCGATATAGATGAGCTTGAAACACTTGAATCGTCCTTTTTGTTTTTCACTCGTTTACGACAAATATGGCAGCAATCCATAAAATCAGTTCTTGACCGATCGATCTCCTCGCCGAAGTAACTTAGGATAAACTCTCGCTTGCACCCAGTAGTACCAAAATATTCGAGGACATCTTGAAGACCTTTCATTAGCTGATCCTTTCGCTTGGATGAGGTCGCCATTTTGATGAAATGCTCAGCGATGAACTTATCTTGCTCGTTGAAGAAAGCGATGCAGTCGGAAGGTTTCCCATCTCGTCCAGCTCTGCCGATTTCTTCAAAATCATTTATACACGAGAAACATACTTAGAAGCTTTACCTTGGTAATATGCCTCCAAAGAAGCTGGAATGCCGTAATGGATAACACGTCTAACATCCGGCTTATCAATTCCCATCCCAAATGCTATTGTAGCAACAATGACTTTGAGTTCTCCTCGGATGAATTCATCTGAAAATATTTTTAGTGATTCATTAGGGTTACTATCACCCATACAGAATTGACAACTTAGTATTATTTCCCCTTTTCTTCGGAATCCCTTGAAGATTATCCCACGGTTAACGCCTGTTTTTTTATCAGTTCTATCGAGCTCGAGGGTTTCTGGTCACAAGGAGGCGCCCTTTTAGACGAGAGTCCGCGCGGGGGCGCCCAAGAACGAATATTTATATCCACCGACTCCGCTACCGAAAACCAAATCATCCAGTAAAAAAAAGGAAAATCTGAATTTCGAGATTACGAGAAGCTCTTTCAAACGAGAATCATGAATAATGTTAGAGGTCCTGGTGATACTGCTCGAATAAGACTCCGGCATGAGGCTGAAAACATTGAGAGATTCGGCGGACTTGGTGGCGGAATGGTGAGCTCTAGAATAAGTAAGGCCAAGAGTTTAATAAATTTAGTTTCTGATGCAGCCGATGGACGATGAATGTTTTCGCTGGATCGTCACCTTTTATGGGCAAAGGGGAACATCGTAGGTAGACGACGGGTTTCATTCTTTATAAAGAATCATTCTTTAGAAAAAGAATCATTCTTTGAAAATAAAGAATCATTCTTTTTCGGACCGCTCCATAAAGAATGATTCATTTTTGTTTTGATAAATGTTACTCTAGAAATAACTCATTTAAGACTTCTTGTGCGCTTCATCGTCATTTTTTCTGCAGATTCTATCTGAGAACACAAAAACCAGAAGCGATTGAGCGCTTCGCGCCTGTTTTCTAGGAAACTCGAGAAGTCTTAGAGTAAATGATTGAAAAAAAGTATCACTGTGGCAATATTTTCGAAAAAACAATGAAAAACTAATTTTCTAGAATATTGAAAAAAGAATGAAACCCGTTTTTTCGCCGGGAAACGAACGGCTTTCATTCTTTGCGAAAAAGAATCATTCTTTACAAAGAATGAAACCCGTCGTCAGCCAACATCGTACGAGGTATTTCTCCGTTGATATATTCAGCTAAAGAAATTTTCATAGAACGGGATTTTTAATCTCGAAATCATGCTTTCCGAAAACTACCCATTCCACAATGGTACCGTGGATGCATGCTTCCAGACTCGAATCTACCATCCTTTGGTTGAGCCTGACACTGGTAGAGTCTTGATCCCGGACGCGTGCTTGTACGGACCCAGGAACATCGAGACCTCCGCCCCAAATTGGCATTGGTGTCTTCCAACTGGGACACTTCACCAACTATGCATGCTGCTTGGCACTACTTTCTACGATCCGAGATTCTTCATTCCACCTCGATCAAGAAACCCCCCAGGTAGAACCCTCCAAAATTTGATCATTACGTTTCTAATTTTATCTTTAGCCTTGCATTTTTTCCGGGATCATCAGGACTTCCACAACACCGCAAGAGAATGGACACAGCAATTCGCAATGGAACGCCCATAAGAACCTATCTTATCATCAAGACTATTAGAAGTAACAGTCTGACCACTTCCTATCCCTGCCAAAAAAATAAATTGAAAATGCAAAATTGTCTCTTGAACTCTCTCTTGCAAATACCTTGAATTGAAGCTCTGTCGTCAGTCGAGAGTCCAGCATGATAGAATGTTGACTTGACGTCCTTTTTATTCTCCGCCAATTTGCTAGCAACCTCTTCAGCCAACTTTTTTGTTCGACAGTAGATAATGGTACCTAGAAAATCTTTGATTCAGGCAAGACCTCGAAAAAATATACTTTTGTCTGTCTGAATTGCATCAGATTTGATGAGATCGTCGGACATTGTTGTTTTCTTCTCAATTTTGATGTAGATATTTGGGCGGTCGAAGCTTCCAACGGTTTTCAGGGTGTTTTCCATTTTCAAGCACTTGCTAATTTCATCCCGCATTTCAACCGTAGCGCTGAAGATACTTACTTTGAGTCATTAGAATTTACTTACGTTCCAGTCAATGCTACCATCGGTGTTCTGGGACTGAGAGTCTTCAGAGCTGACAAATTCATGTAAGCTTTTCGGAAGTCATGACCCCATTCGCTAACACAGTGAGCTAGTATGTCTTCAATATTCCGTTAAGTGATTTAAGAATAAAACTTCTTGAAAACATTCCTTCATCGATCGCAAAGAGCGCTACGGGAATTTTGCTCATAATTCTTCTCAGCTGGAGGATATTTTTCTCTATCCATTCTGGACAAACATAAATAGCCCTGTAGTTCCTGTTGTAGATTTTCGCCAGAGTAATTCGTTTCTCCTTCTGGGCACTTCCAAGGAAGCAAGCGGGAATACCCTTGCTATTCAGTTGTTCCACTTGATCTTGCATCAGAGAAATCAGTGGACAAATGCAGATCACATGAGCGTTCATCCAAAGAGTCGGGTACTAAAAAAATAACTTGATAGCGCTCCTCGTTGTTGATTTCAAAACTGTACCTGAAAGCAAAGCGATTTTCCATGACCGGTCGCCATTATCACAAGTTGGTCGTTTCTGCCATAAATTATTGATGAGATCACTTTCCATTGATTGTCGCGAAATTGGCTGTGTCCAAAATTTTCTAAGGATCATTTTTCAATAGTCATTGGGAGTAAATTTTGTTACCTTTGAGGAAATCGAGATGTTCTTGAGTCGGTAAATTATCTGGTGGTGGGTCAGATGGCTCAAACGTGATCACTGTAAGGTTATCGGAATCGTTCGGAGCCTTGTTCTCACTCAATGGAGCTTGGTAATCAAGGTTTAGCGGGACGTTATGCTCAGGAAGTTCGATCAAAGGCTGACGAGGCACTTTCGTATCGGTTATTTCGATAAAATCGCGAACTTCAAAATTCACAGCAGACTTCGCAGGACGTCTCATCATGCACATCTTCCCGTAAAAGTCGTAGAATATTTTCGCGCCCTCTCTACACTTCTGTTTTAATTCTTTCTTGAGATCTGGGGGCCATGATTTTCTCGGCGATTTGGGCATTTTAGTGTTGAAAAGCTTCTCCAGCGCATTGTGGCATATAATCGCCTAAAATAAGCAAAATTGGTATCGTACTTGTAGTTTGTTAATCACAATTAAGAACTTACATTTAATGTTCCAGAGCAATCACCAACTCTGACAGTCAGTGAAAATTCGCAATTTTCGTCTTGTTGCATATCGCCCAAAATGTCTCTAACAAATCCAACGATTTCGAATTGCATCGGTAGTTTTTCTCCCTCTGCTATGAATCGAACTTTTTGAAGTTGACAGGAACTCTCTTCAGTCTTTCCGGCTGGTTTCTCATCTTCGATTTTGATCAATTCTGAAAGTCTGATCTCTCGCGGCCTTTTTGCGTTTATCCAGGGTGTATGGAAGGCTCCTCCCTTTTTGCCTTTATGAGCCTCTTCATTTTCTCTTTTGCTCATAATTAGATATTAAAAAAGTTTAGAGAATCCACGTGGGGGGAGTCGAGGAAACTGGTTGGTCAGGCATTGGCCCCGTCTTTTTATCCTCCACGTGAATCGAGACGCTCTCGAATTCGTCTCGAACTGAAAAAAGCGTTGGCCAGCTACGCCAAGCCCAATTTCCTTTTCGACGCAAAGGAGAGCATAAATTTTGAAATTAAGAATGTCTAACACTCCCATAGTTTGAAACACCGGAATTTCATGAAAAGAACTTGTCTGACCCAAATATTTTTTTTAAAAGAGTCGTATATTTTTCGTATACATGCAAGATTTCTATCAAAATATTTTTCATGCCCTTATTTGGAAATATTTTCGAAAAGCTGCGAATTTTCGCGGAGGAGCACCTGTTACAAGGGACGCCTTTTTGGCCAAGTAGTCAGTCATTTTAGCATTTGATTTAAATGCAGAATGCGTTTCTTTAATTTTTCTCTTATTTTTGTGGCGAGAAGTTTGGGCAATCGGATTATTAACTTTGTCGATAAGTAAATTGCAAGAGAAAGATAGATAGTAGCTTGATGTTCTAGTGACGACTCGGCAAGCACGGTAACGATCCCGCCAAGAATAAATTACGTCGATGTTTACATCACTGAGGAGCCAGCGACTGTGACACCGCCGCCAAACTGTGGCTGGCTGCGTTGGGGCGCCTGGAATGAGTGCACCTCCAAATGCGGAAGACCTAGACAGACGAGGGTTCGTCGATGTGATGGGGGAATTCAAGGTTTGATTTTCAACAGAAATTTAAATGTTTCAATAATTCATTCTAACAATAGGATTGAATGGATGTTGTCCTGGTGCTGCTCTTTCCCACAAGCCTTGTTCATCCCCAGTGGACGACACGTAAGTCTAAACATCCTTAATTTTCACTAAATCATATAATATTATAACATAATCAACCATATACTATATGATTAGTGACTTACTAATATGACGTTAGATAAAATAATAGAATCAGAAGTAAGCATAACTTTAGCTGCGCGTACTGGTCCGGTTGGGGTGCATGGAGCTCTTGCTCGACAACATGTGGTCCTGGATATCGCCGAAAACAGCGAGAATGCATCGGAGAAGACCTCAACCGCGGATACTTATGCTCAGGTGACAGCGTCCATGAAGACTCTTGTTTCATCAGTGACGGTAATTGGGCAATGTGGGAGCAGTGGAGCTCGTGTAGCGCTTCCTGTGGCGAAGCTTTGCGATCCCGAGTGAGAAGACATTCTTGCAGCCAGTCGACTGAAAGTGAGACCGTCAATTGTGATCTAGAAGCATGTTGCGACATCTCGGATTGGTCAGAATGGAGCACCTGCTCTGTCTCGTGTGGCTCTGGAATTAGCTCAAGATCAACTCGAGACTGTCGGGGAAGGGCAGTCAACACTGAGCGACGAACTTGCATCAACCAAGCACCGATTTCCGAGTGGACACAGTGGAGTCAGTGTTCAGCCTCCTGCGGCCGTGGTGTTCGATATCGAGACAGATCTGGTCCGTGCATTGAATCGACACAAGAATCGGAGGTAATAACGGCTACTCTTCAGTTAATCTCCAAATTTAGATTTGCGATTCTGGAAGATGCCCTGCATGGACATCGTGGTCTCAGTGGTCGGCTTGCGATGTCAGTTGCGGCGATGGAAGCCGATCTCGTCAACGCGATTGTCAATATGGAACTGCTGGTATTTCTTGCCTCGGGGAATCATACGAGTTTTCTTACTGCACAGGTATCGATCCCGGATACACCTCTTGGAACGCTTGGACTGAATGCTCGGCTTCTTGTGATTACGGTTCAAAAACTCGAGATCGAAGACGAATCTGCGGCGGCGATATTGACACCGAGACTGTTGGCTGCGTCGTGACTAGAGGAAGCTGGTCATATTGGTCTCAGTGGTCGATTTGCAGTGCTTCCTGCGGAGGTGGGACTAAAACTCGACAACGAGACCATTCATGCACGCACGAAGCTCAAACCCAAGAAGCGAATTGCAACACTTCTCCAGGGTATTACGGTCAGTGGTCTGAATGGTCGGAATGCTCGCAGTCCTGTCCTGGCGGGAAAAAGTATCGAAATCGGAATCACAGCTGCGGAGAGCCTACTCAGAGACAAGAACAAAATTGTGGGACTCTTGGTCAGTATTCTCAGTGGTCCCAATGGTCGGCCTGCCCAAGGTAATCAAACGGCAAAAATGAGTTTTTAAAATTATTTTTTAGCTGTTATAATCAAAATGAAGACCCAGTTCTATCATTCCGCCAGCGCTCTGAAAGCTGTACTGATCGCGTAGAACAACAGGAAAAAACTTGTGTAGCACCTCGTTGCGCTTATTGGGCCTCCTGGGGAATTTGGAGTTCTTGCTCAACCTCTTGTGGTACTGGTTTCCGCGAACGATTGCGTCAGTGTCAGGGATCTCGAGACGATTGTTTGAATCTTTCTGGAACCAACAGCGAAGTCGACTCTTGCAACGGCGGCAGCGGTCGTGATATTGTTGGAAGTTGGTCTGCATGTTCTACTTCTTGCGGCACTGGCGTCCAGTCTCGATCGATCACGAATTCTTGTTCTGATAATGTCTATGAAGAGACTCGAGAATGTATCAGCAATAACGGCGTCTATTCTAACTGGTCGCAATGGTCTTCTTGTAGCAGTAGCTGCGGAGATGGCATGCAGTACAGACGTAAAACACATTCTTGTGGTGAAGACGACTTCGTCCAGGAAAAGTCTTGCAACGTCTTGGCGATTGCCAATCGATTTGGTGCCTGGTAGACGAAATTTTATTTTTGCTTTTAATATCATATCTTTAAGGTCTGCCTGGACTCTGTGTTCGGCTGATTGTGGTGGTGGAATCAAATCAAGAACTCGATACCAAGAATGCTCCGCGCAGTCCGAAGTACAAACCGTTGACTGCAACCAACAATCATGCGGCCAACAGTCAATTCAGTCAATCCAATTCATTTCTGAGTGGTCGGAGTGGGGACTCTGTTCTACTTCTTGTGGACTTGGATCCAAGACTCGCTTTAGATACAATGAGCAAAACGAACAGTTCCCAGAGACCATTGAATGCTACATGGTAGGATTCTGTCCTGAAGAATATTACTGATCATTAGTAGGGAGAATGTTGCATTGAAACTTGGACTGACTGGTCGCCGTGTTGTTTCTTTGACGACAGAAACTTTAAGTTCCGAACACAAACCAATCTTTGCGGCGGCAATCAAGACTCGCCACAGGAGATGATGCTTTGTGAAGCGAACGAGGTGCCCGTCAACACTTGCCAGAGCCTCATGTACCCCGAACAAAGTCAAAATGAGCCTAGGAACCGTTTTTAATATCTTACAAGTAAAGATTTCTTACAAAATACGAAACCAACAAAAGTTACGGCGAGATACAAACTTATACTCTCTCTTACATGGAACTGACGTCATTGCAGACTGGCGAAACGATTCGAGTATCTGGCTATTATGACACTGATGGCAATGGAGAGCGTCATTTCTTCACGCAGAATGCGGATTATTTCAATATAGTTTTTCAAGAAGGACACTTTGACGGTATAAAAGCTAAATATTGAAAATCTACTAATGAATTTCTAGCATTTGGAATGTTCAGCGAGTTCCTTGTGAGTGTGGAGACCATCCATGATGAACAAGGCAACAGTACTCATGCAGGAAGAGATTCGACAAAATCGCTTAAATAAAATATTCAAGCTTTTTTAAATCTTTCGAAAGTGGCTGCTAGTTTGGACGGTTTCGCTCTAACAACTGAAGATGGGCAAATAATCACAGTTGCGGGCTACACAAATCATCTTGGAGAGAAGATCACTACCGATCACAACTATTACAACGTGAATTTCAAAGAAGGCGAATTCATCGGGAACGTCTTCCATTCTCACAACCCCTGAATTTCTGAGTAATGATTGTTATTCTTCAGTGTGAAGAATATACTAATAAAATGATTTATGATATCAATAAAATGAGTGTTTTTGTCGAAAAGGCAGATGCATCGAAATGAAAGCTGCGCCGAACTTTTACTAAAACCTTAATTCAGTTGATGTTGACAGCCTTAAATATGCCTAAATACTGCTTCTCAAGCAAGTCCAATTGAATTATTTCTAGAAAGAATTATGAATAAAATAAGGCAATAGTCGAGAAAAATCCCCGCCTACGAGTGAAAAAATCTCAGAATGAGTCACTAAGAAGCTGCAGTTTTTTTATTTGTCAGAGATATAGGCTCATCGACATGATGTTTGACGATGATCAGATAGTGGCGGACTGTCCTTTGGCCTTCAGCAAGGGTAAAAGATGCCAAAAATGCTATAAAACAGCGATTTAGTTATCGATACCAAATGGCAAAAACGCAATCGACGGAAAGGATACTGGCTCTTGAGAGATATTCCATCTGACGAGAACGATTCGGAAATAGACGTCGACGTCGAGGATTTTGAAGCAGCAGCGCAGCAAGTCAAAATTGAAGAGAATTCGTACTCAACAGTCAATGAGTTTCTCGTTAAAAAGACCTTTACTCTTGAGAAAGGCAAGGTCTACCAATTTTGTCATTTGTCGTCCTGCGAAGCTTCCCTGACCACGATGAAGCTCTGCCTCGATACTATTCTTCGCTCGTACGTCGATGGAACTGACACGCGCGTATTATTCGTAGATCCAAAAGTATGCCTGCAGTTTAAAATTGAAAACTTTTACCAAAATTAAGGAAAAACTGTGGTTTGAAACTGCCGAAGAATTCGCCGATGAGCTGATCTGGCTGCAAGATTCGGAGATGGATACGGAGGAATTTTTAGTAAGAAGATAATTAAACAAGCGTTAGGTAAACGTTTTTCAAAGGAAAGCCTGCTTCATTGTCGATGTCGTAAAGAAAAAAGTATCGACGAGAGTAATGAAATGGAGGTAGACGACGAGGACGATGATGGTGACGAAGATCAGTTATTGAAAGTTGATCGCTTTCTTGCTCTTCTATTAAATTTGGAGAAAGAGTGCCCGTTCAGGCACAGGTTACGACTTCCTACGTTTATTCTTCAAGCTCAGAAATGTAACCAACTGAAAGACTAGTTGTTTTTGACGATATTACCTACTTTATTCGGGGTTCAGCATTTTCTTACAAAATGAAAGTCACCTTTTTCTCCATATTTCAACGTGTTATTGGTAAGCGATTTTGTATCTAGGAAAAAAAACCTTTGTTGTTTTAGGAACATTAAGGAAGCGCGAGACAACTGTAATTTATTTGAGGGCGGCAGCGTATAAATTTACTCCAGGAAGGGTACACTACCGACCTCATTATTCGGGTCTCTGGCACGGCTTCTACGATAAAAACTATTTCTTTGGTCGACGAATGCATAAACTGTTTAAAATCCAACAATAAATATTTCAGTATATTTTCAAGAACGTTTTTCTCTATCTCTTTGATGCAAGAGCTCTTTCACTTTACTTGAACTTAGGTAAGAGAGGTGGTATCTTCTCCGAAATAAGCCATTTTTCATTAATGATTACTGATCTTATTCGCTTGTTTTATGCGGAATAATTATTTAATTACTAGTAGTCTTGTTCTACTGTAGGACACACGGTTTTTCAATTAACAAAATGAAAGTAAAAAAATATAAGGTTTATTCGCGTTGAACTCCTGAGACAAATAGTGATGCGACAGAGAAGCTGGAAAGTAGGTTTTTGAAAAGAAAGACAAGACAGTTTTGTTTTTAGAGACTCAGTAAACAGAATGGAACATCAATAGTTCGAGCGAAAAAAAGCTGGTAAGTGATTTTTTACAGACCATTTTTTAACTTTGCAATGAAAGTACCTGCGCCTTTTGCACGATCTTCAAATTCAAGTTTGTCAGGATGGCAGTGTATGCCTTTTTAACGCTGTCAATATCAGGAAACGTTCGTTATTAGCGGTTACAAGATTCGGTGCATTACTTAATTAACGAGGGATTCAAAGTGTTTGTTCTCAAAATTCAGAGTTTTATCGCCGAGTCACAAGCTTCACATCTAAAATCAGTATGCGGAACAACTCAGCATGGAGAAATACTCGATAACGGCTGTTCTCACAAAGACACCCTTTGGGGCCGCTTTCAAGGTGTTTTTTTTCCACTAAAAACTTCTGCTCAAGTTTGATTCGTAATCCCTAGGCGCCGCTATTGGAACTGATGGGATAATTTTTCTCGTATTTCCTTTGATTTTTTCGGCTGGGATGAGCGTTGCCGGAATAGAAAGTCTTCTAGGTAAAAATTACTACCAGAATTTATTGTTTAGGAAGCACTGCCTAATAAGAGTTTACGCTTTGATTTTAGATTACGAGCCAATTGACTTGTCGAATTACCATCATCAATTAGATAATGCGGCAGAATTACAACCTTCATCAAGAAAAGAATCTTTAGCACAGTGTGCACAGGTTAAAATTGCGAGTAATGGAGAGGACGAAGAAGATCGCTGCGAAGAAGATCGCTGAATTTTTCTGTTCAATAAAGTTCTGCTCATATTTAATGGGATTTTGGCGGAGGAGAATGATTCGCCAAGTGGCTAACGCGCGGCGGGGATTAAACGGTATTCGTAAACAGGCTAAATCATAATCGCATAGGCGATGTAACGTTGCGCGCGGCGCCCTTCTCGCTTGTGACCTCGCTGCGATAACCCTTTCGCAGGGCGCCGCTTGAGAAAGCGCTTGCGGCCGTGTTCGATGTGCTGAACTCCACCACCGCGGCCTCACCTTTTCACATTTGAAATTAAGTCGAGCTCCGAGTGGTAACAAAAATGAGCGCGATTGAGAGAAAGGTCGACGAATTCGGAGTCACACAAAAGAGGATACTTCTTTTTATCCTGGCCTTAGTTGCCTTCTTCGTCGTCGAGCAAAACACGGGCAGAATCATCGATGCCACCAAGTTAAATCTTAAATTCAACGAGATTGACTTGCGCGAAGATATTCCAGAAGACACCGTCTATCACCATAAAAATGGACAGAGACCGGCTGTAAAGACCACTGCGGCCAGAGGAGAACTCAAGGTGAAATGCTTAAATAAATTCCAGTTTTTCAATTCTTTCAGGAGGTCGAGCCCGAAGTCCACGCGTCCGAGGAAGAAATCGAAGAAGCACAAAACATGTGTGAGCGAGATCTTCATTTAGAAGACTACAACACGATGCCAATCGTCTTCCTTAACAGTTTCCCTGGTGCTGGAAACACGTAAGAATACTAACAGAGAGATGGCTTTTAAATTCCGTTTTCAGCTGGTCGAGAATTTTGATCGAAGACGTCACTGGAATTTACAGCGGAAGTGTCTATCACGAGGCGAAAATGGTCGATGCTGGATTCATCGGTGAAGCGGTGAGTTTGATTAACTTTCTGGAAATCTACGCTCATGTCCGATTACTCCCTGTTCGAGGAGCGCTGATTTAAGCTAGAAATGCGTGTTCTTATCGGGAGGAATATGCCGCAACTACACGTTTTGCGTTCGCGAGCTAACGAAGCATGTTTTTAGGACGAGCCAACCAGCGGAAGAACTGTCGTTGTCAAAAACCACGGACAGCATGACATGGAATATGCTGACGGCATTATTTACGTTATTCGTAACCCGTACGATGCTACTATCGCTGATTACAAGCGTCAAGTTGGACACTCTCATACGGGCAATGTTGATATGGCTGTTTTTGACAAGCCGGAATGGAAAGCGTTTCAAATGCAACACCTCAAGGTAGCTATTTTTAAGCTCAATACTATTTTAAATCTGCTTCAGCGATGGTACTCGATGACAATGTGGTTTCCAGAGTACGCGACCAAGGGCAACATCCCCTTCCACCTCATGTACTACGAAGACATGAAAGCGAATGTGACAAACGAGATGGTCAAAGTTTTGGACTTCTTTGATGAGAACTACAACTTCACCACAGCCGATCGTGATCGACGTGTCAAGTGTTTGACTATGATGGACGACAATAAAATGCATCGAAAGTCTACTCCTATCAAAAAGGAATTGTTCTCCGACGAAGCGATTGAATTCATTGAAGAGTAAGTCTTTCTAACAGCACTTAATTGACAACAAATTCCAATTCGACGGAGCTTTAGCATGTTCAACCACGTTACTTTGACTTAAACTCGATTTAGGAAAATGCGATTTGTACGAAAACTGTACGAAGTCCGCGGCTGGACCCCGATGAAGACCGAGTACTCCAAGAAAAACAAGATTCTCGATTTGCCCAGCGAAGAAGAGCTACAAGCTTTCATCGAAGGAAACGGACACTCCATCTGGCGCAAGATCGACCAGCGACTGGGCTACCGCCAAAAATACCTGGACAGCGGTCTCAGCGCAAAGGACTTCCTTGAAAGTCCCGATGCTCCCGACCGACCAAACCAATGAAGAATCAATTCAGAACGTTACCACAAAGTACACACCTGAATATTCAGGCTTACCAGAGCACGACCACTTCAAAAATGAAAAATATTTTTATACTTCTGCAAAACAATGACCTTATAGACCACTATAACCTGTTCATATAATTTCTGACTAAATATGATGTTCATATTCTGTTAAATAAACTCAGCTATCGTTTTCTAATCAAATATAAGGCACTTCTTTGCAACACATAAAAAGGGCACCATCGATAATTTTTCTTGAAAACAACCCTCTAAATTTTAGAAACATGTAACTTTTGTTTGATACAAAAATGCGTCGCTAGCTGATGCAAAATTAGATCACAATAATGGTAGCCAAAATAGGTGGTGGACGATTCTGGGTGTTAGTATAAAAATAAAAGTCAAGTTATCCTGATTATTTACTGGAATGCATGCTTTTATTTTGTTAAATTCTATCCTTAGTTGTTTTTTTTTCTCCGTGTTTTACTTCTTTACTTTTTACTTTTACAAAAAAGAAGCTAGTCTGTGCAACTAATTCGGATAGAATTATACTGAATATGAGTTCTGATGGAGCACAAAAAAGACTTGGTCATATACGGAAAGTTTTCTGTGATCATGCGGAAGCTGCGGCTCTGTCCGCGGCAACGTGATGAACAGAAAAAAGTTTGTTTTGACAATTCGAATTAATTTTTAGATACAACTTACCCCGTCAGCGCTGCTAGCAAATATTTTGCTGCCATTTTAGAATTAAAGCCTTTTTCTGATGAATTGCTTTGCATTCTTTGGTACATTTACGAAAGGATTGAAATTTTGTGGTTAGTAGAATTTATTCGGGTGTTAGTTTTGCTCTTGTTTGACATAAGTGAATAAAATATGCATAGTAAAATAGTAAGGAAAAACAGTTGAAAGAAGCTAGGAAATAACGCTAGCATTCTGCTTTAGTAATGAGGCCCGTAAAGTTCTAGTGAACAGAACGGGCCTCATTAGACTGAGAATCTAGGTTGGCAGAGAAAATTGACGCGGCGAGTCCCCAGTGTAATCCTGTTTTCTGCTTTTCGGATTTCTTTCTTTTGCTCAATCTTGTCGTGGTCAAGCATGTTCGACGTAAACGTGAGTAAACTGCTTGTAACACGATGCAGTAACCATTCCGACGCCTTCGAAATTTTTACAGCGACGGACCTGCACCTGGCGGTAGCTTCAAGAAATTTCCATAAAGAAATTGTGCGAGCGTTATCGAGGAAGGACGTATTTCTTCTCGGAAGAGCAGTGACTGATTTCTGGATCCAACCAGAAACTGCATTCCATACTCGATTACCTCCAGCCAAGATCTGCGTCACTTTTATCCCTGCGCTCTCGAGTGCTTCTGGAGTACATTCTGAAAGCCCCAATTTTATAATCAAATATAAATTACTTTTCAAACCTGGAAGTCTGTTTTCGTCTGATAGCTGATCTTCAGTCGGGACGACACAGTTCTCGCAGCGCTGAGACCACTCGAATCTGATCCAAGTTCTCACCAAGCACCTGAGCGTTGCTTCTAGTTCGTCCGAAATTTCAATTCCATCAGGCGAAACAATCTGCCGGGAACTCACCGACGTCAACGCTAAGAAGACGAAAAATCTGGCCCGGCACATCGTTGCCGGGCTTCCTCTCTACCAACTGATGGATTTTCAAACAGGAGAACCTCGTAAATAGTTTTTATGATCGCCGCGCTTGTCGGCCATTAAGCTCGCAAAAATTCATCAATCAGGAACAATCCTTTTTTAGAAGAAGAAAGTGTTGACAATCAAACTTTTAACAAATACCAAAATAGCTATCGCAATCGCATAATCATACTCTGATTAAAAGCTTTCTCTAGAATTTACTGAACAGTAGCAATACGGAAGCATTACAAAGCAAGTGAGATAGAAACGTGTCAGTTTGCGTATTTTTTCGCACAAGGGCGAAAATCACGCCGCCGACAAATTTCATTCTTGATCTCGATATTTTAACACAAACATAAAATTCGAGCGACAGAAAACGCACATGAAACTATTTAATCTTTTATCTCTATCAGTGCTGGCCGACAATACAGAAAAGTTTCAGGCGCGTCAAAGAGAAATTGAGGGACAAAACGCAGCGGAAAATGTGAACTGTTGAAATCTTTTCTTTTCTAACATTATTTTAAGCATGATTTTTCTGGATCAGGAGGAATTAATTTCCAGCAGCCAGCATTAGATAGCGAGGAAGCGGCGGAAAACTTCATGCCAGGTAAATATATGATTATTCTATTCTAAATGCGAATTTGATTTAGATTCGAACGAGGGCACGTAACTTTTTATTTTTGTATAAATGGGCAGGACGCAGTTTCATTTCAACGCTACTTGTAGTTGATTTCAACAAAAACATGCTTTCCTAAAACGAAAAACATGAGTGAGAGTCAAAAACTAACTTTTTTAAATTCGAAAAAAATCAAACAGGAATGGCTTCGCTGCATAGTTACTCTTTCAAAAAGTTTAATTCAGCTCGACACCAATGCGATGCCTGCCGAATAGTGACGATGGTGTTGAGACAGAAACTCCAGGAGAAAGTGGATCTTTACCCATCAATCAAAGCCGGCAAAAAACTGCTACGTGAAAGCGACGTTGTTGATCTTGTCGAGGGCGTTTGCGAGAGCGAGAAGTCATTTGAAGGGTTCTGCACTTGGGTTGAAAATCGCTCTAAAAGTTAAATTTTTAGCGCGGGAGTCAAAGTTATCAATGGTGTGGAGAGACTCGCGGCGAATGGATTTGAAACGGCCGAGGTATTGATCAGACCTTTTGGGTTTACAAAGTTTTTTGCGAAATGAAAAATTAAATTGCATCAAGATTCCCGGGGTAACTCAAGGAGGGATGAGTTGGCCACGACGCTTCAAAAACTACTGCTTCCAAATCATAGAAGAGCAGGAAAGTCACAGCGCGTGTTCTAAAACGTTCTCGTGATTAAATTCGTGGAATTTATTTCAAACGAGGTGCTTGCACGTTGCATGTTGTGACCAGAAACAGGACTCCGAGTGGCAAATTTACAACCTCTTCAACAAAAACAAAGACCAAATGGATTTCGAATTATGCTTCAACGTAATTTTTCCTCGATGTTCTTGAGCTTATTCAATCACTCAATGTTTAGGGCAAGAACACTGCCTGCTGGAAGTACCCAACTGCGAAATCGAGGGAAGAGCTTTGACAATTTTTAGCTGCGTAATAAACATGAAATAGTTTCATTTTTTTTACTTTTTTCATTTATTTTTTTGTGTTGAGCGAAGAGAGAGTGAATCAGAACAAGATTATTCGTCATGATCAGGTCAAAACGCTAGTTTTTACGAATCAGGGAGAAATAAGCACTTCTTTCTTATCGCAAGTTTACTCTTCATAAGCCTCGATTGGATGTGAATCCTTTGGAAAGACGCTCGGAGAGTTAGACCATCGATAGGATGTGAATGGTAAATTTTACAAAAGAAAAAAGGAAAGCAAAAAGGAAATCAAGTAAAATATTGTTGAGAAAATACGGTGCGTGATTAACAGATGTTTTTAGTTTTTTTTTCAATTTTTAAGAAAAATAATTAATTATTTTGGTCTAGATACAAAGTACACTTTACAGTTTCACGCATGTCCAAAATGAGCTGAACAGGGTCGACGTTTCACATGGGTTCGATTTTCTAGCTCACGGCAGGCGAGTCAACAGTTAGAGAAGCATTTGGCCGACAGCTAGAAGTAAAGCGGCGCCGATCGTTGACTGAAGAGCGGAGGAAGTCGTTACTTCTGCTGCGGCTGTTGTTACTTCTCCTGTTGTGTCTCCATCACCGGTTGATTGGCTCTCGGTGTTCTCAGAAGATTCGGTCTTGTCGCCAGCCATTTGGCCTTGTGGTGTCTTTTCAGTCACGTCTCCAGTTCCGGTATTTTCATCTCCTGTGTTGGAATCGTTATTTTGTGTACCAGCCTCTTCATTAGGGGTATTATCTTCGTCGCCCGTGTTGGTTTTGTCGTCAGCCGGAGCAGCGCCAGTTCCATCGCCTATTCAATGGATTAAGTCTTTTGTTTGTGGGAAAAATTTTTACCTTCCCGTCGTAGACGGATCGCATTAGATCTCTCGCCGATCTGTGCTCCTTCAGCAAATGCGAAGAAGAAGAGGAGTGTGTTGGAGAGCTCTGAAATTTTTAGCTAGTAAAGAAAGCTTCCGACAGTCTCTTTGTGGTTTTGTCTCTTTCTGAAAATTTTTAACTTACTCATTTTCGTGTGCCTTCTTCAATCTCTAAAGCGGGTTTGACAAGATGCGCTTTGGCTCGAGGGATGTGATCTTTGACTTTAGAATGCGCCGCCTAACGGCGCTGCCCAGTCAACTGAGATTTTTGACGTGAGGATTCTGAATTACCAATGAGCAGGACTATTCAGACTAGCACACCGCAAATCATGAAGCTTCCTTTGAAATTACCACGAAAAGGAATTTCCGAGATAAGTGATTTGTGGTTGTTAATTGTGAAGTTAAACTGTTCAAGCTTGATCAGCTTTCTAGTTAGCTACCTGTTTGATGTGACTTGGATTAGGGTCCATATTTCTTTCGGATAGAAGCGCGGATGAAAGATGAGGGTCAAAAGCGACCATAGAGTCCATAAAGAGACCCAATACTAGAATAATAGTAGAATATACTAGAATACTAGATAATAGTAGTCTACTATAGAAAGAATTTTTTTTATGCAAGTTGTATTGATATAAAATTTCTATATTTTCATAGGAAGGACAACATTTATCTTTTGGCTGCTTAGTTATTGAATACTATTTTGCTTATGACATTAAGAAAAAACTGGTTGCTCGAGGCAATAATTTTTCTAGTCAAGTGAACAACAGTAATTGAATGATGCATGTCTGGTCATTTCTATTGCTAGGAGTGAATTCTAAATTGAGTTCTTGCTCTGGGCTCACGCACGGTGGTACCGAGCAATTCAATTTTCATGTGAAAAGAGCTGAGGATCCGGACGACTTATAAACATTTCATAGCCCTGCGAGTTTCTACAAAGACTCTTTGAATTTTCAATATGCAATAGTGAATTTTAATATCGCCCTGCAGCTTGTCCACCGAGATTTAGAATTCGCCTCTCGATGCATATTTTAGTGGCAGCCTCGCGAGGACGATGCCAAATTACCGTATTTCACTGCGTGGAGAATCCATTTCTAGCGCTTTCTAAGTTGCATACTTGATCACCTTCATCCACAAGGAACTAAATGTTTTCGCTGCGTTTATGATGAAATCAACAAAGAAAGCGATTTATCGAGAAGAAAGAACGAGAAGGAAAACACGCACAAATTGTTGAGAATGATCGTATTCTTTATTCGAGTAGTTTTCAGTTCAAATAATCTTGAGGGTTTTTCATAGGTCATCTATCACGACACTTATACATGTCAGAGTCAGAATTCAAGCTTTCTCGATTGCTCTTTGGGATAAAAGCATGTCTGAATTAGTTTGAAAAGTCTTCATTCGTATGCGTAAATTATAAATAGGTCGGTTTTCAAACACTCCTTTAGTTTTGTAAACTGGTTGATGAATTCAACGCCATTTTCTTTCCCGATTCCAGAATGCTTGAAGCCTCCAAAACCAAGCTCAGCAGGAGCCAGATTGTAACTTTTAATCGGGTTTATAAAAAGTTTGAATAACAATTAATGATGAAATTACGAATCTATGAAACCCGTTACAATTGACATATAAAGTTCCAGCTTCGAAATTCTCCACAAATCTGTCGATTCTATGAAAGTCGTTTGTGAACACACCAGCTGCAAGACCAAGATTTGACGCATTCGCCCGACTAAGGACTTCTTCTTCGGTTTTGAACCTTTTAAATTTGACGCTGTTAAATAAAATTATGAAATTGACGAAACTTATAAATTTGACAGATCGGACCAAAGTGTTCTTCTTTCGTTATTTCCATGTCGTCATGGCACTCCATTAGTACGGGTCGCATGTAATATCCGTCAAGTTTTGTATCAATAGCCCTTGAATGAGATACAACTTTTCCACCTTCTGAGAGCGCTCGGTTGACATATCCTTCGACCTTTTCTAAATGCGACTTCGAGACCAGAGCGCCGAAGCGAGTTGAGTCTTCAAGTGGATCTCCAACTTTGATCTTGTCGAGCGCATCAATCAATTTCGACTTTATTGACTCGTATACTTCCTCGTGAAGATACACCCGTGTTCCATTAGAGCAGACTTGACCTTGTGAGTAGAAATTCGCTTGCAATATGCCTAATACATTTAGCTTTATGCATAAAGACTGATATTCACCTTGCACAGCTGTATCTTCGTCAAAATCGTCAAAAACCACAAGTGGTGATTTTCCTCCTAATTCCAACGTAACAGGTCTGACGTGCTCAGCTGAAGCTCTGAGAATTTTCTGTCCAGTTGGTACAGATCCAGTGAATGAAATTTTGTCCACTAAAGCGCTTTCAGAAATGGCACGTCCAAGTTCTCCTTGCCCCTGGAGCACTTGGTAAAGACCATCAGGAAGCCCAGCCTCCGCTAAAACTAGATCCAGTTTTTGGCGTGTTAAAAATTAATGGCCGAACCTTCGCCTAAAAGAACGGCACTAAGTGGACAGAATTCGGACGGCTTATAAATGACTGCATTCCCGCAGGCGAGCGCAGGTGCTGATTTGAATGCTGCGACCTATTACAACATTTAACAATTCTTGTCTCTTTCAAATCTCGAGCTTTTGTGAGAAAACGGAAGCTTTACCTGAATCGGATAATTCCATGCGCCGATTCCGGCACAAACTCCTACAGGAATCCGGTAAGAAGATCCTTTCCAGCCACTCCCATTTTGAGTCTCCCCGGCCAGCAATGCAACGGAACTTCCTCCACAGTACTAAATTCGCTTGATTATATATTTCCTTAAATGCTTAAAACAAGCCTTAAACGCGTCGATCGCAGACTGAATATCAAAGCGAGACTCAAGAATTGGTTTTCCGTTGTCCACCGTTTCAACATACGCGATTTCTTCCCTGCTAAAATATACATGCAAGATGAATATAACTTAGATGCTCCTTACTATTTTTCGAGTAGGAGCGCGGCTTGATGAAGCACATCTGCTCTTTCTAAAGCAGGCGTTCGCATCCACTCGATTTGAGCACTTCTACCAATCGATAGCGCCTCATTTAACTCTGTCTGAGACGTAGATTTAATACTGCTGAAGGGATCCTAGCTTCTGCTGAATCTCCCACTTCTAGCGTAGTTTGCCTGCTCTCTATATCTGGACGAGTGAAGAAAACGAGTAAAGTATCTTTGACGTCTGTATTTCGAGCTGGAGTAAAATAGAGGTTAATTCACGAACTGCGTGAATTACCGAATGGAGAGAAATACACGGCGGCGACCGAGCAAAGCTCGATCTAGATAAGCAAGTGACCTTAGGGGACGAGGGAGTCTAACGAATCTAAGATCCCAATACCCCCCATGAGACTGAAACGTCCTCTAAGGCCAAAGTGTGTGATTTTTGCAGGAGTATAAGCGTAAGATGAGTAACATGGCAGGTTCGAAACGTCGAGGCAGTCTGATTCGCGTTAAAAAACCCTTTTTTGGGAAAAAGCTTGAATCAGATGCGAAGTTTTCGTGATGTCCGAGCGGTGATGACATGAAGGAGTAGCTGCACATGTAGAAGAACTCAAAATACGTCGGCGACGGTAAACTGTGATAATTTCCGTACCTTTTCAGGCCCCGGTCGATGAATAGGGGACCTGAGTGGGGCAGTACTTGCGCTTAGTCGTATGACTGACCCGAGTTTGTGCCGATGTTTAGAGGTTCGACGGGCCTCGTTTCACGGTGTGCTCGTTTTGTATGTTTCGGGAGATGAGCTGCTCCAACTTCGGTTAAAGTCGCATTCGGATCGGCGCCGGCTGAGTATTGACGATCTGGTGAAGACTTTGGACGGGTTCTTTTCTTGCTGTTTTCAGTTGCTGAGCCCTCAACTACTGTTGAATTTTGTTTATCGACTGACATATGGCTATTGTCGGGCGCAGCAACCTCCGAAATCACTGTAGCATCAGCTGACATGTCCTCGGCAGTTTCATAAAGAGTACCACCAGAGTACCAGCGATCTGACGGCTCGGCTGGAGCTACCGACGAGTCCAAAATAGATGTAGCGGTTGTATCTCCCAGATTTTCCATGTCCAATCGGCGTCTACTTTCCAAAATAGGTGATAGAGATGATCTTGGCGGTTTTTCCATAGCAACCATCGGAGTCGACGCGACCTGAGAAGATTTCCTCCCCCATGCGACTTCGACCCGGACTTTTCCATCGGTTTGGAAGTAGGAACAGGCGATTTTGTGGGACTTTCGACTTAACGATTTCGGTTAAATGTGGGAATACGTACTCGGCCTCGTAGTAATCAATCCAGCGTAAGTCGTGATTTCGTTCTGCGGCGTGAACCACGTGTTCTCGATGGATGAAATCACGTTGTCCTTTTTATCTTCGACCATGACGACCCAGTCGTTGCTCGAAACGGCTTTCAGGGGACCTACCCAGCGTTCCTTCTTGCTTTTAGCGTCGGTCAGGTTTTCTCGCTTCATGTACACGACAGCGCCAGCGGGATTGGTCTCGGCTTAGGCTCGTTTTTCAGCCTGTGCTCCATGGCTCGGTCAGCAGCTTCCATCGCAGTTTTCACAATGGCTTCCGCCGATTTCGCTAAAGCTCCAACATTGAGACCAAACACCTGAGGTGTTTCCGCTGTCATTTCTGCGCCAGTAGAGTGGGTGAAAGTACTTTTTCGGCCAAACCAAACTTCTCGCGGTGAAATTTTCGTGCTTTTGTTTTTCACACTATTGAGCGCGCGCATCACGTGGGGAACGCAGTCGGCCCAAGTTTTTCGACCGGAAGATGAGTTGACCATGCAGAATAGACTGTTTTTGATAGTCCGATTCGCTCTTTCTGCGAAAGCGTTTGATTGAGGGTGAAATGCGGTACTTATTGTATGTTTTATCTGGTTAAGCTTACACATTTCGTCAATCACGCTTGCGCAGAAGTGGGTACCTCTGTCACTGTGTAGATGTTTCGGCAAGAAATCCATGGGAAGGAAGACCTTGTAGATGAGCGCTTTTGCAGCGCAGATAGCAGTGTCGGACCGCGTCGGAATGCACCAAGTGTAGCGAGAGAAAGTGTCCGCCACCACCAAATAATACTTGAATCCGCCAGCGGGAGGCATACAAGCGAAATCGATCTGAATCGATTCGCCAGCTGTTTTTCCACGACGAAGGGTTCCAAGTGGCGGTTTGGTACGAGTTCCAGCAGATCCTTTTCTGCGTAGGCAAGGGACGCAGCTGTGGACGTAGTTAGAAACATCGTCTTGAAATGAAGGCCACCAAACGTCCTCTAATCGCTCTAAAGTCCGCGGCTCGCCCAGATGACCGGACAAGTCGTGAGCTAGAAAGAGAAAGTGACTTTTTACCGCTTCCGGTACCACCGCCCGCGCGCCAGATTTGAATTGACACATCAAGCACCCGGTAGTGTTATCCAGGAACAGAGCTTTTTCCATCTTGAGTAGAGACGATTGTCGGTGGTCGGAGTCCTTCACCAGCGATTTTATGTCCAGTGGCTCCTTACCAGATTCCAGAAAAGTGATGATTGCACTCAGAGCAGAGTCCTCCCTTTGATAGTCCAGAATGTTATTATAATTCGCTGACACCAACGGAATCTCCATTGGCGCCGCGATAGCCTTGACGTTTACCTTATGTATCTTCACCTCTGATAAAGTGATTTTCTCCGGAAACTGATTTTCGTTCCAGAAAGGGACGAAGACACGTACTGGTGAATTCTTGTCGATTTCGTACTCGCGACCAACGGGAAACTCAGAGTCGTATCCAAGTGATTTGTCGTCCTCGCCAGGTCTGCGGCTCATAAAGTCGGCGAATTGATTTTCTGATCCCTTGATGTAGACAATGTGAAAATCGAATTCTTCCAATCGGCTTTGCCATCGGCTTATTTTAGAATTCTTGAACTTCTTTTTGTGTAGGAAGATCAAAGATCGGTGGTCTGTGTGAATCTGAAAGAATCTACCTTTCAGGAGCTTTTCCAGTCGCTCGCAGCACCAGACAATGCTAAACATTTCCTTTTCTGAAGTGTTCCATTTTCTTTCAGCTTTGTTGAAGGTGTGGGAAATCGCGCTTACTAGGTGCACTCTCCCGCCATACTCTTGTAGCAGGACGCCACCCGCTGCGTACAGGCTCGCGTCTGTGTAGAGATGAAAAGACTCGTCAAAGTTAGGAAAACTTATGACTGGAGTCTCGGAGAGTCGTCGTTGAATTTCCTTGAGCGCCAAATCCGCTTCTTTGGTCCACTTGAAACAATTTGTTTCGTTCGCCGAATTTCGAACATCGTTTATGGGCTTCATTCTGCTCGAGAAGCAACCGGATGAAATAGCTTCGCCCATTTTCGTTTCTAGAAAACCTCGGATCCAATTCAATGACCCGATTAATGAAGCTAACTCCTTTTGGGAGCGTGGGGTTTCATCTGACGAAGAGCGGAGACTTGCGCAGGGTCCGGTTTGATTCCATCTTCGTTGATGATTCGGCCCAAAAGTGAGCTTCGGATTGTAGGAAAGAGCACTTTTCGCCCTTGAGTTTAGCGTTAAACTTGCGGAGCGCGATGAATAGGTTTCGGAGAGTGTTGTAATAGCAGCTGAAAGTCTTCCCAAAACACACTATGTCATCGATATAAGAAAGCATCTTTTTCCTGGTGGGGCTTGAGTCGAGAATTGTGTTTACGACGCGCGAGAATATATTCCCCGAGCATCGATAACCGAATGGTAGTCTGCAGAAGGCGTAAGATTTCCCACCCCACTGGAAGGAAGTCTTGTACCTGTCGCTTTTCTTTACAGGGCACTGCCAATATCCACTTCGTAGATCAACTGTGGCGAAAACTTATTGCCCGGTCCAATGTTCGCAATCGTATCCTCCATGCTTGGGAGATGGTAAGGGTCGGATTTGTCGGAGAGGCATTTGTTCAGGCTGTTTTTGTAGTTGATGCAGAAGCGCATTTCCCCAGATTTCTTAGGAATAGGCAATACCGGGCTGTTAAACCCTTTCTGGTCTTTGATCTCTTCTATTATTTTCGTTTCGAGCAGTTCGGAGATGTGATCGCTGACCTGACCATGAAAAGCTTGCGGAATCGGGTGTTGACTGATGTTTCGACTCGTACCATCAGTCGGGATTTCGATCTCGAACGGGAATTCACCCATTTTTGACCGTCGCAGCCGAATCTGTCGTCGAATTCCAAACACAGCTCGGCGACCATCTTCTTTTGCCCCGGGTCTGCGTCTGCTGGTAGGGTTATTCCGAGTTTTTGCTTCGCTAGCTGAATGGGGCACCTGGCTGCGTTCTTGTTCGGCGCGTCCAGCTTTGGGACTTCTCGTGGTGGTTGAGTGCGGGACCGATCGCTGTCTTTGACCGCTGATCTAGTCGTCAAGTATTTCTTGATTTTGGTCCGCTTCACTCCGTCCAGCTTCACCACTTGAGTCTCAGTTTGTGTGAAGGCTTCGTTGTAGCAAAATGAGAGAGTACGATTCTTATTGTCGACTGTGAAGCTGTCCGTCATCGCATTCTCTAGTATATCGCGGCCCAGTAGACTTGGGTATTTACTGCCTGGCATAATGGTGAGATTCAGGGAGAATGCAGGGCCACCATTGAATGATAAGCGGCAGGGAAGGATACCCATCGGCTGCTCGGCGGGAATATTTGGGCTGAAACCGGTGACCTTGAAGGGACAGGGCTTCAGCATCTGGAGAAATTCGTCGGGAACGTAAGCAGCGGACAGACAGGAGGACTCGGCTCCGCTGTCGACTTCCATCGATACGTCAAAACTTTTAGAGCCCGTAATGATGGTAGCCGAAGCGAAATAAGCCTTTCCTGGTCGCTTCTTCTTCACTGTGTAAAAGTGAACGTCGAATGGTTGGAAATCTTCAACGTTCTTAGTCGTATTTATCTTCTTGGATTCTGGTTGTTTATCGTCTTTCCCATCCTTAGAATCGTTGCTGGCGCGCTTAGCATTCTTCTTCTTTTGTTCTTATTTCTGTTGAAGTGCTGGGAGACGGTCGCGCTGTCAACTCGATTCTGTCTTGTGGATTGGGCGAGACGGCAGAGTTCGTTGATATCGTAAACTTTTGATAGGCTTGGAAGGATTGCGTTGAAAACGTCTGGTTCTTCTTTCCTAAGATTCAAGTACAGCATCATCGTCGAGAATATGTCAAATATTTCATCGACCCCGGCGTCGGCCGACTTCTCTTGTCGGTAAGAGTTCAAAGTCGCTTGCTTCGCCTCGTTCATCTTTTGCAAGACGTTGGCGGTGTAGTGTGCAAACGGCTTCGAATGGTCGTATTCGACGTCGAAAACTTCGCTTAGCTTCAGTAAGTAGTGACTCTTCGCGGCGAATGATTTCTCTAGCAGCGCCTTGGCCGATTTCCAGTCTTGACAATTCAGAAATTCGGTTCCAAGTGAGCGTTCGATGTTCAAGTCGAAGTGGCTGTACACTGCTGCGATGAAAGGCTGTTCACGTGAAGGTCTGTCGCGGACGTAGGCGCGGTGATAAATGTCGGCTCTGCCCAAGAAGGTGTTGAAAGATGTGTTGCATGCGGCGTCCAGCTTCGGCAAGTCTTGGACGTGACGAGACCAGGTAGTGGCCACCCATGCTTCTTCTCTCATTGTCGCATTCGTAGAGTCTTTTCCTTGATCGAGCTCGCAGGTAAGAAGCGTTGTACTGAGCTGTTCTAATTTTACTCTGCTTTCTGTGATCAAGGGCTCTAGGCTTGGCTTTAGTGATTCGTCATTTCGCACTTGTTCTTCGAGGTAGTTTACTCGATCGTTTATGCTTCTTATTTCGGTGACGGTTTCTAGCAGTGATTTGTTCGCCGCCATAGCTCGAAATATATCGGCAGTAAGGGTTTATGGGCCTTGGATTACCTTTCAGGCCCTCAGAAAATACTGCGACTAAAAGTCGCAATATGATGAGCTGAGGTGCCTTTTTGCGCAAACGCCCGACGATTTCTCTGTCCAGCGATTGTCGAAATTTCAAGGTCTGGTCCAAGGGTCGATTCTTCGTAAACTTCTCTCGATTTTTGGTGAAAAGTGGCGAAAGAATTATGTTTTTCTCAGTATTTTAGGTTTTCCCCGGCGTGCGTGCGTGGTTGCGTGGGCGCGACTTTCGGCGCGTGGGTCGTGGTGGCGCTCGTGCGGTGGCGCTCGCTCGGGGTGGTGTTGGTGTGGTGCGGAAAATTCTCTGAGTGGAGTTTCTCCGGCGGCGCGGTGGCGGTTGGTGATTCGGTTCCCCTCGACTCCGCTGACGGCCAATCAGCGTCCAAGTTGCGAAACTTCGGTTGTCGATGGCGGAAAAATTTATCTTTTCTCCAACGGGACTACTCTGATACCACTGAAGGGATCCTAGCTTCTGCTGAATCTCCCACTTCTAGCGTAGTTTGCCTGCTCTCTATATCTGGACGAGTGAAGAAAACGAGTAAAGTATCTTTGACGTCTGTATTTCGAGCTGGAGTAAAATAGAGGTTAATTCACGAACTGCGTGAATTACCGAATGGAGAGAAATACACGGCGGCGACCGAGCAAAGCTCGATCTAGATAAGCAAGTGACCTTAGGGGACGAGGGAGTCTAACGAATCTAAGATCCCAATACTGCAAAGAACTTCTCCATTTCTTGGCTGATAAACGTCAAAGCTTTTGCCTGAGCCATCGATTCTCTTTCCATTTACAAAATTTAGTTTTCCTTTCTGCAATGATTTTAAATCGCTCAAGCTTCGTGGACACACCCGCCTCATGATATTATTTGAATGTGCTAAAGTGGGGAATTTTTTCTATTAGGACTAACAAACAAATAAATACGTAAAGGCAAATAACTCAAGTTCCCTCAATATTTTTATGGAGAAAAACATCACCATAGCTTTTTAGTGGCAAGTAACAATTTGAGCCTTCGAAACAACGAGTTTTACTCAAGGTATTTCAATAAAGCTGATGTTATTTTTGCCGGAGACAAACGAATCATTTTCAGTAAACTTTGTTGCAGAAATATTTACCTTGCCTAGTCACAGGAATACGTCGATGTTTGCATTTGTCGATATTATTGAAGATCAAATACCCAGAACTAAATCGCTCTATAATTCAAGCAGAGAAATTGAAGATATAAGAAGCATTGAAAATGGTTCTGGACCTAGTCTCTCACAATGAGGAAGAGGGGAAGATTGAATTTCATTTGGACTCACTTGCAGCTCTTCTTGAGCCTCACAAAGAAAAACTGATTTCTGTTATCTCGATCTCCGGAGCTTTTCGAACAGGAAAGTCCTTCCTGCAGAACTGGGTTCTAAAATATCTCAACTGTGGCAGCAAGGAGTCATTCTCGGAATTCCTGCAAAACGAAGACAATGCTGAAGAGTCACTGGCAGGCTTCAAGTCAATCCGAACTCGGGATCCAGTCACAGATGGGATTGACATTTTCGACGAGATTTTCGAATTCGAGCACGCAGTTCACGGCCCAGTTGTCGTTGTTGTTCTCGACACGCAGGGAATCTTTTCGATGAACTCGGACTATGCCGAATCGGTGGCAATTTTTGCTATCTCGCTTCTCCTCTCGTCAATGCAGCTATACAATATCAGGTCGTGCATACGAATTATTATCGTAATCAGATTTTTTGTTTAGAGGAAATATGACAAGAAATGACCTTGAGCATCTTCGCCTATTTGCTTCCTTTGGAAAGATGATCATCGATATGAATCCTAATGGTAAGAAAAATCTCATAACTTCTAAAAACAAAGATTTAAATAAGCCGAGCTCACGCCTTTCCAGCAGCTCGCTTTTGTCATTCGTGACTGGGATCTAGATGATGAGCTCGGACTCGAAGCTGGTACAAGTATTCTTATGCAAACAATGGAAGATTGCAGCGATTCCGAAGAAGGGAGTGAACTTGTACAAAGGTGATATACAAAATTTATAGGTTCCTAACTATTGATAAGCATCAAAAATTCCTTCAAAAAGCTTATTTGTTCGACGATGCGACACCCTGGAAGTTGCCTGCGGGACGAAGATTTTGAGGGCCAATTTGGTCGACTTGATGAAGAATTTAGAACGACCCTTGAAGAACTGATCCCTTACGTTTGCAACGACTCCACAGACGACCAGTCTGTATGTCCAGTAATCAAGACGGATCCGCTCGGAAACAACATGAATTGTGAGGATTTCATCGACCAAGTGGAAATGCTGAAAGAAGTGTTTGAGAGTGGACAAATCGAAAGTCCTGAATCGCTTTACTCTGCATACTCTAAAGTCAGCCACGGAAAAGTGAGTGATATGTGACTTCATCAATGCATATTGGAGAATTTTTTAGGCAACCAAACGGGCTGCAAATTACTGGAACTCAAAGATCGAGAATATTCTTCCCGATATGCCCGAGAGCCGACGAGATACACCGAGAAAATATGACTTCCTTGAGACGGACGAGTTCGACGATAAGGTGAAAAAGTACCAAAAAGAAGCGTGGAACATCTACGACTCTGCACCAAAACTTGAAGCTAGCGAAATGGAAGAAGAACTCCGAAAAGGACTCGAGCAAAGAATGGAAGAAGATATCGAAAACCAGGTATTTACTCTCGATCTTAGTCTTATTCAAGCATTTTTACCAGCGTTCTGAGAACCTCAATCGAGAGGCATTATACGACAAAACTTGGCAAGCTCGTTGCGCCTGCCTTGTTGCTACCTGTGCCTGTTGTACAGCCTGCGCATGCAAATAAAGACACAATGGCTAACACTTAAATTATTTTATTAAGGGTAAAGTCATCGATCGATTACTTTATCCCTTAGTAACGGTTTATGCATTGAAAGAGAGAAGACAATGCATCATACCCAAGTTATACAATGAGATAGGTTGAAGTTTGGGGGCGAAACAAAGCGGAAACACAGTTCATAAGTTTCAAGCGAATTGGGTCAAAGATTTAAGAGTTCTTGCGAACGCGCTCTTACAACGAGTGAAGTTGATAAAATGTGTGTCGATAAATGAGAGAGAAGTAAGTTCCGTTAAGAAGGCTAAGTGTAGAAAAAGATTCTCTAATTGAAAAAATTTCACTAATGATAACTGATAGTTAAATGGAACTAGAGAGCAATAAATTTTTAAAGACGTGACAAGCAACCAAAAAGTTGTTCATATTTTCATGTAAACTCAACATGAAAATTCTAAAAAATGAGAGAAGCACGCAAATGTAGACGAATGGAAAATAAAATGCTATGAGAAGATTGGCGAGCTAAAGTCATAGAAAGGGGAAACAAAAAATAAATACTTTAAATTAGGGAAGGCAAAATAACTCCGCGTAATAATGTAGACAAGTTATAAAATATAACTTAAGACAGATGAAGATAAGGGTGCAACCAGTTCTACGTTAAATAGACCAAACTGATCTCTTTCCGCTACCGTATGTGTTCGGTCGAAAACGATTGAGGGTAAAGGAAGGCGTTTATGTGGAAACTTCAGTCATAATTTGGCCACCTGATTTTCGGGCTGCATGACCCCGGCGGATTTTTCGTGGCTTTACGCCGCTTGTATTGGCAGGTGATGTAATGTTCGCGTTGCTGTCTTCTAGAGATGCTTTCAGGGCAGCTTCAAGGTCATTGTCAGTTCCAGCGCCGTACCCAAAGACGTCAGAAACGCGACTTAATTCGAATGTGATCTCTTTCTAAACGATTCTTTTCATACCGGGTGTTTCGTCGAGTGCCAAATGTCTGCTCGATGGAGAAAATGCTGTCTTGTTGAACGGGCTAAAACGAAAATGAAGAACCCTTTTGATAGGCAAAAACTAACCTGTAATCGTTTGGTGATGGAATTCGCAGCGACTTCCTGGATTGGACGCTTTTGTGGGGTTTTCTTGAGCTCAAAAAACTCTTCGTCATCATTCAGATTTTGATTCTTATCGAAGAGACTCTGAATAAGACGAAGCCGGCGAAGGTCTTCCTCTATCGTGGCAGGATCAATGGGATCTTTGTTTATTAGTGGGGCAGGTTTTTCAGCTAAAATCGGGTTCTCCCGGATGACGGACACACGAGAAGCAATTTCTGTGGTCTCTGGCAGATGTAAGCAAGGGAAGAAGTCATCTTTATCGTCTCTACAAATGAGTATTAGCGTTTTATCAAACATTTTACACTAACGGGTAGCAGATTGCATGCAGTGTGTGCTTCCAAGACTCTGGATCAGGTTCTGCCATTGGCCGAATTGTGATGTTCGGGCCTAGCGCTCGCAGTGAAGCGTTCGTTTCTGGGATTAACTCGGCGTCGGTTGAGATGGGCTTGGGTACGGGTTCGGCAGGCGAAAGTTGGATAACAGAGGGTCGCGATTCTTTCGTCATAGGGTTGAAAATGGACACGCGACGATGGCTGTCGATTGATGGAGAGTGAGCGGCGCTCTTAGAAAGGGAATGAGAAGAAAGGTACCCCAGGCTGGACTCCATTCCTTCTGGAGAGGTCTCGACCGCTTCGATCCGATTTCCTCTCGCCATATGGCAGTATCTCTTCAATAAGGCTTTATAATAGCAGTATTTTTTTCTTGGTAGATTGAATCAAGAAATTGCTTGGTAAAATCATCGGAATAGAAAGCGACAAGTCAAAAGCCCCGTTACTTGAAGTTGTGGCTGGTATTATTTAATATCTTTGCAGGTTTGGTTGGATCGCTACGACGGAGATTGAGCGCGGCAAGAAAGAGTGCAAGATGGTCCTCCTCGCTCTCTGCGTTCTGAGTTCTCGACTTGGCAGTGCCGTCTTCGTCGAAATAGCTGAACGGCGGCTGAAAATGAAAATAATGAGCCCCTTTGATGGATGAATGAAATCCAACCTGCTCTTTCTTTGGGACAGAGTGGAAAGTCATCGTCTCGAAGAATCGGGGGTTTTTCTTTCCTCGTCGAAGGCATTCTTGACGATGCTGCAAAAGATGTGAGAGGAGCGAGTTCCACTCTGAATGGGTAGTTTCGAAAGGGCATTTGCAAGAAGTTGGAAAGCAACAGGAAAGTTTTTTCGTGCTGTTCTCAAGTCGCGAGAACTTCTGCAGCAGAACACCATGTTTCATCTCTTTCAGCTAAAAATACTCGTTAGTCAATAAAAAGCGCCATTTCATAAAATAAAAAAAAACCTTCTTGGGATTGTTTTAAGAAGATCATGAATCGAGCTGTTCAGAGTTGGCCTACTGCCAATATTACCCAAGATCCGCAATCAAAAGCTCGACCTTCCCGGTATGCTTACCATTTTCATATCCTATTCCACAACATACTAGGAATCAGAATATTTATCGCAATTAATCGATTAGTTTTACCAGTGTCAACAATCGAGTACCAAGCCGATCTCGAAACGACAGAAAAAATCGCTGAAGTGAGACTGCTGATATCCCGAGGCTAAGGCAGCGAATATCAGCACTTCGCACAGCGCTGAAAAGTTCGAAAAGAACCAGAAATAGTCCAAACAAAAACAAAATTAGTGTTATGATCTTAGTAAAATAACTGTAATTCTATCTACAGTTGATTATTCATCGATTTCGTCTTTTGAAAAGGACTCGTTTTGGAGTGGAAAATTATCATCGCATCGTAGTAAAGAAGAATGATGAGATGAACTCTGAAAGATCGAATTGGTCTTTTCCCGCTTTCAGATGTTATCCGACCACTCCGAATGACTTCCTGTAAGAGGGGGAATTGATAGGCTCAACTAATCCTTTGAGGCACATTAAAATCATCGAATACAGTCGATAAACGGCCCTAACACAGCTGCTACAATCTAATATTATTAAAACTAGATGCCTACTGAATGGATCATGGATATATTGAGAACTATACCTGACTGAAAGAGAAGCCTTCGACGCCTTCCTTCGGTCCTTCGAGATGGGAGATTCTAGTTGTCACATTGCGCCTGGGCCGCTTGCTGGCCATTCTCCTTCCAAAGACAGCTGTCCTTTCTCTCTCCCTCAATCTGCGGTGGAAATTTCTTTGTCCTTTTTATATTTTTATTCGCTGGGAGGGTTGCACGATTACATAACGCGAGTCGCGGACACGGGGGAATTTCTCACTGTTGCCCACGCGTTGAGCCGTGCTCTCATACGCCGAGCAAGTCGGACTCAACTCAGACTGTCCTCGGTCACCTTCAACGCAAAACTCAGTGAGGCAACTCCCCCCTCCAGGGCTGTCCGCCTTATTGTCTATTTTCTCGATGTTTTCGACCCTCGAAAATATCGTATCTGACGATTTTCAAAAAGAATTTTCATCGACATTCATGTCGAGTTAACATCAACTCACGGAAAATCAAGCATCCCAATGGATTTTACAAAGTGTTTTATTTACTCGTCTAATGGACTCTTATAAACTCGGTCAGTTTGCAAAATTATGACAACTCGATCAAGTGAATATATAAAAGACAATTGTCATGAAACTATAGGTTTTTGAGGTTTTATTTTTGAAAAATGCTCAACTGGGACACAGTTATGGTCAGACAAAACTTTTAGTTTTCTTGGGTCTCGCGATTTGGGCTCTGAGTGCTGGAGATGTCCGAAAAGTCGGACATTTGATGGTCAGTTTCCGGGCCAGATGATTCTTGAGAGATGGCTTGGCGGATCATCTTCTCTTTTTCGCATTTGCTTCTGGTTTTCCGATCTCTGAAGAAGCAGCTCGTTGGTCCGAATCGTTGTTGTTTTGTTCTCCAGGCGGAATAGTCTTTGCCGGTTCTTCCGTGGAAGGCGAATTGCTCTTCTCGATGAGCCAGACGATCATCTGGTTCCGGGTCATGGGCTTCTTTTCCATCGAGATCCCTTTGATTACCTTCTGGTAAGCGAGGTAATCCTCCAAGTTCGCAGTCTTCAATTAGGTCTAACTAATTCTTTACTCCAAAAATGAGTTGTTTGAAATGTCAAGAGTCTTGAGTCAATACCCATTCCTTAGCTTCCATCGCCACGAGTCCATTATTTCGAATCTGCAGGATTCGTTCAGTTTCAATCTGGGCCGATCTAAATTGTAAGTCGCTATGTTTTGTTCATTTTTAACAAAGCTTTACCTTTTGACAGTCTGAGTCAGGACTCGCACAGCCGAATCAGCTTTGACCAACCTCGTCTGGAGACGTCGAATCGACTACGAAAAGAAAATCAGTAACTGTAACTCATTCTAAAATCCAGTACCTCTACGGTCTCGATGGAATCTTCAAGCCTCTCGATTGAATGCTCCAGCTTCTTTTCATACTTTTCGATCGCATTCTCCGTCAGGAAAAACTCGTCCGTCTCAAGCTTCAAGGCAACTTAAAAGAACTCATCAGATGCCTTCTAGTTTTTTACAAATACCTTTTTCAGCTTTGATGTTCTTTTCCAATGCAGCATTTTTCTCGTCCAGAAAGGCAACTGCTTTTTCGAGTTCTAAAGTGTCCAAAATGTCTATAAAATTAAAAATAATAAAGAATTACCGCGAACATCAGCAACTTTTTTGCAGAACTCGCGTAAGCCGTTATCTGTCAAGATGTCCATCGTGCGAAACTCGTCGAAGGTAATTGCTTCAGGTAGTTCCACATTATCGGCCGCTTGCTCTTCCTCCATCATTGGCTCCTTGGCGCCGAATTCTTTCATCGTCGCCACCAAGCTCATTCGCTTCTTCTTCTTCTCTTTTTGATCTTGCTCTTGGATCTTTGGAGATGAAGCTTGGACTCGTGGAGGCTTGTTGCTCTTTTGGGAGGAGTTTTTCGAACTCTTTGGGACCGTGGTTGGAGGTGGCATTTCAAGCTGGCTGCGGCGTTTTGCTGGCTTCTTCGACAGGTTCAAAATTTATTCAAATTGAAATTTTTATATGAAAATTTGAACAAATCAAATCTTATTAAGAAACTTTATTGAGAACCCTAACTTTTCCATCCCTTTCGCGGTTTCGCCTCCAACGTCGGCTTGAGTTTTGCTCTTACTTCGCGTATCCATAGCAAATGAATTTCAGAGTTGAGGAAAAAAAATGAATTTTCTGAGTTTTTTTCTGATTTCTGATCGAATAAAGTGGTGAGATTCCCTGATTTGCCGCTCCTTTTATAGCCAAAATCGAAGAAAAAGTTTCGAGAAAGTCAAAGTCGGCTCGAAAAACTTGGAAAAAGGAGACGCTCGAGTTTGAACAACTAAGGAAAGAAAAACTCTATTTCGCAATAATTTTTGATGAATTTTTTGATTGAATTCTTGATGAAATAATCTTAGACAGAGACAACACGCAGTTCTTGATCGAAGAGCGCGTAATTTTTTCTCGGAATTCGTCAGCCGGAATCGTCAGAATCAGAGTCGCTAGAGCCACCATTGTCAGGAGGATGTCTAAATCTTACTTTGTCTCGTTCTACTTTCGTCATTTCAAGATGAAGAAGATTTATCGGCCCGAGAGTCTCGGATCATTCAGAAACCGATCGCCATTATTTTTATTAAAGTTCAGACGATTTTCAATAACGATTTCTGAGTGAAATCCTGACCCCCCTTTTTTATTAGCTCATTGAAAAGAGCGTAATAAGTTATCCCAGATTTTCCCGGAAAAGGATGAAATTTCCGAAGAAATAGCGTCATGGCACGTGACTGAAGTCCCAAAAGTACCAAACCTTTCCCGCCCGGGCATTTTCGACTCGTCTGAGATACAAGAGCTTGTAATAGCTCAAAATGATCGTCTTGGCGAGCTCTTGGTGGGCATCATATTTTCATCCCTCTTCAACCCTTTTTCATCCCTTTATCTATTGCTCGAAAAATAGAAATTTAAAAAAAGGGTTGAAAAGGGATGAAAACTTGATGCCCACCAAGAGCTCGCAGAGACGATCATTTTGAGCTATTACAAGCCTTATTAGCTCAGACGAGTCGAAAATGCTCGAGCGGGAAAGTTTGAGTTTTTTTGGGCTTTAGTCACGTGCCATCTCATCATTTTTTCGAAAATTTCATCATTTTCCGGGGGAATCTGGGATAACTTTTTACGCTCTTTTCAATGAGCAAATAAAATAAGGGGGTAAGGATTTCACTCAGAAATCCTTATTGAAAATCGTCTCACTTCCTGTGTGAGTGGCAGCTGTTCGCACAAATCACAGTTGGAACTGAAGGTTTACAAGTTCAAATGGACACAAATCACGACCTGATGACAAGGCAGAGAGTAAATTAACACTTTCGCAAATCCTCCTCAGCAGAATAATTTAATAAGTTAATGTTTTCTGAAGTTTTTCTATTCTAGGAGTTTCGCAGGAATATATAACTGCATCGAGAAAAAGCTCGATTTTCTTCGATAAATGGGTTTAATTGGGTTTCTTTATCCCGCTTGATTACTATTGCCTTAAACTGATACACTCTTCTATGATTGCAAGCAGTATTACTATCATAAACGCCTGGGGAAATTGATGGGCTGAGTAATTAAAATTTACAATCATTACAGGCGTTATTCGTCGCGCGCTTATCAGCACCTTTGCTCGTGATTTACGTCTCCCTCGCGTGGCGAAAGAAGTAACTGCTGAAACTAGTTACAACTGGGAAAAGTGGCGAGTTCTTACCCCTCAGTGCAACTCCAGCAGAGTGGCTGATTACTAGAGTTTTTTAATTCCAATTTCAAATAAAAAAACGATGCCTTTCACTCTTAGCGACCGAGAAGCTTTCATCCAAAAGATGGACCACTCTTTCTCCGAGACATTGAGAATGCGAAAGGTATTTCGGCAAAGAGTCTTTTCGTAATTTTTTTCTTCTTTCAGGAAATGACCGGAATCATTCTCCGATCCGATAACATCGTCCGAAGTCTCAAAGTTGAGAAAAAAGTAAGTCTTAAAATGCTGATAATTGGATAATTAATCACGGAAACTAGGATTACGGCTCCTGCAATGATGTCGTCTACGATCTTCTTGAGCAAGCCCGCAGCAACCGCGCAAAGCTCGAAGGCATTCTTGACAGAAACGATATGAAAATGATGAAGTTTTAAGACTTTATACTATTCGTCCAAAAAATGACCGCCTTTTATCGCCTCTTGCTTCTGTCAACTGTTATTGAATAAAATTATTCTGGTGTCAAATCATGTCATTATCAGGGAATTCGTGTCTGAAGAAATGCCTTGGAACGGCACTCTCGACATTGAGTAATAAAACTTGTGTGCTGTAAATAGGCGAATGAAAACTGTAAACTGCTTGCGGAAGATTTGCGTGATTGATGAAAATCGAAGCATGTCATCAGCGAAAATCTTTCTGAAGAAGAAAGTACCACGTATGCCGCATCACAAAAATAACTTTCAGTAATGTGCGCCCTGTGCGCTGCGGATCAGCACCTTCCGAATCGAGTGAGCAAATGGCTTTGGCACAATGAATTGTTCTTTATGTGCGCAACTCAGCCAAGTTCATGCCGACAGAATGAGAGTCAAGAGGATGAGTCAATTGTTGCATTTATTAGACTGGGAGTAAAGGAAGTCCGCTCTTCGTTGAGTGCTGGGACAATCACGCCAGGGATGGCATTCTGATAACGCACTTTTCAGCTCATCTGGCTTTAGCTTGCATTCTAGCTTTGACAAGGACAGCGATTCGCGCGCTTTTTCTATTGCACATTTTGATCTTTCGTGGGATGTAAGCGCTTCAAGGAGAAAAGGCATCATAATTAATACTGTAATGTTACTATATCTTTGAATAAATTATCAGAAAAATATCAATTACTGCCAGAAAAATTAAATCCCTGACTATGATTGAATATTTTCTTGAAAAGTTCATTCTCCCCAGAATAGCCGTCTAAAAGGTAGTTCAGGGTATGAGATTAAAAACATGTTTTCCATGGAATTCCCATAAAAAGCAAAAAAGCGGGAAATTACCTAGACATTGACCAGAAAGCGTCGCAGCTCGAAGTTCCGACTTGAATAGCGCCTCTGTGTTGGTCAAGTCTTTCCCATCAATCGAGTCAATCCAGTGGATCATTTCATGCGTGAGCGTTTGCTCAACGTTTTTAAAGTCGCCTTGGCGCATCTCAAAGTCAAAATGCTCCTCGCACAGGAAAATCATCCGCTTGGGCTCCTCTCTGAAAAATCCGGAGCCGGCAAAATTTATTTCTGGATGGCGACAAGGAAGAAAACTCGACTAGGTTCTTGAATTGTACAATTTATCGAAACTAATAAATTAAGTTGTTGAAGAACCTGATCATATGTTCGTGTCAGTGTCAACATCGTCAGTTATACTGCCTGGGTTGAGCGTCTCCCCTTCTCCTTCAAATATTCTAGCGCTCGCTCTCCGAGTTGTTTCTTTACTGTTTAGGAGAAGCCATAAAGATGAGCTATAAGAAACTATCTTGAAGAAAACCGACTGCGTGCCGTTTTGTGAGAATTGCCTCTGAGCAAGAATTTGTCCGATGATGTTCAAAATTCAGAAGAGATGGGAATAAAATCGAAAAATCTTTCCTTCAGCCAAGTAAGCTGTCTTTCAGCCGATGGGGAGGAGGAATGCAAGTCCTCTTCTGCGTTCATTTTTAAAGTTCGCGAAGCTGGACTTCTTCCAGGTCGAGCTTCTTGCCGCTTGCGCGAGTTTCCTCTGGCGGTGAAAAGCGCGCGCTGATTGGCCAGTCCCATCTCTCAGCGAGCAAGAGATCTTCCTCTTCTAGAGACGATAAGGTCCATTAGAAGAAACTTCACAAACTAAATTTATTGGTAAAGAAGATGTCGCAAAGCGTGCTTGAAATCGTGGAAGGAAATAGAGCGGAGCTCACTAACAAAGAACCGGCGACAAGGATAAAGGCACTAAACAAAATTAACGCGTAAGTTTTCAATTGCAACTCCCACTCGGTAGAAACTGAATTGAGCTGCATCAAGGAAAACGCGCTGAATGTACGAGAAGTCGCTGTGCTTACAGAATTCTACAGAGAACGTCTAAAAGACACTTGGGAAGTGCATGGGGCGGCGATGGAAGGAATGCTCTATCTCGTTCAGTGGGGTTAAAAACGCCTTTTTCGGTTTCATTTTTAAAAGTTGATAAGTTTGACAAGTTTGCCAACCCGAAGATAGCAGGCTAAATATCCCGGATCCGCGGTTATGCGTCTCCTTCCGACTCTACAGCAAGAATTACACGTGCCAACCCTGTCCGCTGAGAATCGACTCCACTGTGGTAGATTTTTACGCGAACTGCACACTCGCCAGAGACAATGGCTGGAGCAAGTCGGCCCCGAGTTCGTCACTCTTTGTATTTCTAGCTTCGACGGCGAAACCGATCCGAAAGTACTTTTGACTGGATTTAAATTGTTCGGCGAAGTGATGAGCTCGTGCCTAGCTGGAGAAAACGAAAATCTTTGGGACGAATTGCTCGATGTGATCATGTGCTACTTTCCCGTCGACTTTGAACCAGATTCTACGAGTGAGGATCCAATAACGAGGGCAGACCTTGTCGACGCGTTGACGAAAGCGATGGTGAGTGGACTCACTTGCGGCGTTCCTCTTGCTAAGAAACGGCATTCGGCTGCGCTGATGGAGCTCATCTGCGAAAAGTTAGGATCAGACTCTGCTGCGGCGATAGACGATTCTATCGCTCTCCTGGCCGTCGCTCTGCCTGCGCTACACAAAGCTGTTTTAGAAAACAAACTGAAAGAGTTTCTCCAAATTATGGTGATCAATCTTGGACAACGCGAGCAAGATAAGACGGCGCAAGAACAAATCATCAAGTGCATAGAGTCGTTTGCCAGTGCATTGGCAGGTACACAACTCGCCTCGCAGGGCTTGACGCTTCTCTTTGAGATGGTCGGCGAGTATCTCAAACCGCCCTTCAAGGCAACTCTTTGGCCAGCAGTGAAAGCACTCAAGGCCTGGTCTGCCTCTGGAGTTGACGTGATGGCAGTTGCATTGCCTAATCTGATTCCTGGATTGTCTAGTCCAGCTAGTTCTGGCGAAGCCCTTGACTCAATTGTCGAGCTGGCAAACTCAAACAAATCGGGCAGCAAGAACTCCGCCCTGGAAGAAGTTCTTTTGAAATCGATCAAGAACAAAGAAGTTTCACTCCAGACGAAGCTGCTCTCTGTTTCTGCTGTCGCCGCATGTGCTAAAAGCAACTTGATAAGCCAAGCCGGTTTGGAGTCAATCACTCTTGAAGTATTCGAGCTAGCGACGAAGGCGGACAGCATGGAACTCTGCAAAGAAGCTTCACATTGTATGTCGTTCCTGGCTGAGAAATCTCCGAATTTCATTCGCGATAATATTCTCCCAAGGCTAACGGGAAACGCGTTGAAACAAGAGACATTTGTTCTGCTCCTCTGCCAGTTTATAAGCAACGACGGCTTCTTGCCCTTCGAGATTTGTCACAAGCTTATTGCGATGATCACGAAACACCAATTCGACTCGACTTGGGATGCTGCGATCCTAGCCGCTTTGTCTGGATTGGAAGGGACCGTTCCGAAACTCAACTCCAGTAAGTGATTTCTTCCCGTCTTATGCGGAAATATGTAGCGAAGAAATATAGCTCGGCAGAACACATATGATAGGACACTGACTGCATATGTATAACAGAATCATCAAATATATCACTGTATATTGATGATTTAGGAGCCGTAGTTGAGTACAAGGGATCATTTGGTGAGCACACAGTTTGAAATAACAATGGTGGTTACAATGTTCGTATGGAATTGTTGACTAACATTTTACACTAATTTCAATAAGGAATGCCACTCGAATGATTTTAGCTTTCGAAGTTATATTGTTTTCAGTTTTTAACGTATGACGAAAATCTAATGGGATTTAAGCGCAAGTGAACATTGCTGTAGCAAAATGCTGGTTTGTCGAGGTGACTGATGGACTCATCCAAGCCGTCATGTACTGCGGCCAAGATAAGAACAAGAAGACTGTTTTGATATCAGAGGTGATTTTCTTCTATTGCGCTCACTTTCAACTTTTGAAATAGAAAGCGATGGAGCACATCTGTGCATTGACGCTTTATTTGGCGAGGCAGCTAGACCAAGGGTCATTAGAAGACATCCGAGCTGATATTTGGACCAAGTTTACGACAAATACGATGAGCAAGGGCAACGGAATGAGCAAAATCTACTTCAAACCGGTGAGATCAGCGTCATTCAACTTGATACGAAAGTTCCTCTTAGTTTGAGCCTTCGTACGCTTACTCAAAGAACCAAAGTCTGATTGTTCCTTTTCTTACTTCGTTTCTATGTTCCGCGACGCCGACAACGCATCCTGGAAATTTCAATGATTACACGGCATTCTGTTTGACCGTACTTCGAAATGGAAACTCCTCTCCTGTCCATATAAAAGGTATATTCTCTTCAGCTCTTTTAAGATTAATTCATCGAAAATAGCTGCTGCAAAGATTCTCGCCGCGGTTATCAACAAACATGAAGATGTGGATGAAAAGATATGGTCAGGAATGAACGATTTCATGGCGATACGTGGACTCACTGAAGAAAGTCTTATTCTAGCGACCTGGGTCACAAAGGTCTGCTAAATTACGACCCTTCAAGTCAAACATTCTTTTTCAGGGAATTCTTTTGAAAGGGGGCAAGACGCTAGAAGAATGGCTTGACAGGTTGTTGCGTTTTACGACTGCATCGAAGGAACTCAGTCGAGTGGCAGCTGATTGCTGGTGGCTCTTGTTGGGAGATACGCCGGATCTTTCCGCCGAAGCTGCTTTCAACATTAAACTTCTTCATCCGCAGCGTCTGTTTTCGCTCACATTGCCAAAGTTGAAAGTAGTCATTGAAGACAAGACTAAATCGAGTAGAGAAATGAGTAAGGACCTTTCGTTACTGACAGTTCTTATCCATCGTTCAGGCACGATCAAAGAAAACATGCTCCTAATCCTTGGACATCTTCTCTCGCTGATTCCGTCAGAAGTCCAGTCTCGCGAGCTGCCCCCCTTGCTCCCATTGCTACTTGAATCACTTGCAAGTAGCGATTCTTCCCTCGTGGACAGTTCGCTCTCAACTCTGATGCAGTTGTTCAACGAAGGGTCGCCCGAAGTGGAGCAACTCTTGGGCAAGCACGTGGAGAAACTGGTCGCCGAGTTCTTGCGCCTCATTTACAGTAAAATCAATCTCAGGTCTGCGCGAAAGTGTGCCAACACATTGTTCTTGAGGAAACGACTCGAACCCTAAGATCTACTACTGAGAGAGCCATGCCATATAGGAGGTCCTATATAATGGTAGTTTTGCCAACTAACAAATGGTCAAAAAGCACAGTCAACTCGCTCTTATGCGGCGGAGAAATAATAGACACCGCTTTCCCAGATTATTCAACGGCCGCATATACTTTCAGAAATTAACTGGAATTTCTATTCGAATAGTTCTTTTGCTCCGTGTGATGTGTTGAGAATGAATGCGTTTTTGAGAGAGTGAACATCTAACGTAATTCAACTGATCTCAACTTTTAGGAAAACCAAGTTGTGACTCAAAAGTTTCATCCTTTCTTCTGATTCCAACAATTCCCTAACACATATTGTCAAACCACCACTAACCAGCCCAATTAAAAACAAACCAAAATTAAACGAAATAATAATTTTTACCAGTCGTCTTCCTTTCTTTCTCGTTCATGCTGAAGATGGGTCAAGAGTGTGCCCTGACATACTGATTTAGAACGCGCTGTAAAGCTCTGAAGTGTTTGCGGCGAGTGACGAGGATACCGATGATCACGCCCGTGCTCGTTCGAAACCGAACAGACGTCCTTGCCAAGTTGAGGGGGCTCCTCGACGATCACAAACGCGTGATTAGGCAGCACGGAGCGCTCACGGTGAATATCTGGTCAATGGTCGGACAGGAGAGCTGATTGCAACGAGCCTGATGCTAGTTTAGTTAAATAACATTGATTGTCTACTGTTCTTTCTGATTGAAGCAAAAAAGATTCTTCAACTAATCCAAAAACTGACATGCAACTCGTGAACGGATAATGATTGCTATCTTGGTAGCGTAACTAATGAACGGTCGACTTATGCGAAAACATTAAGAAATGGCTGAATTCGAGTCGACGAGTTACAGCTTCGGTGACTTGTCCGGTGAGATGGACCAACCCATCATGACAGGTACGCATCCTTAGCAAACTTGGAATGGAACTTATTCAGTCTGTGACGACGACGATTTCGACGAGCCAGTGCGAGAAACGATCATGCGAGATCTGCGCGATGTTGCCCACAAATTCAAACATGTCGTCTTCCCACTGAAAGAGGTACGCCTGAATGTCTTTACCAGAAGGAGTCGAATAATTTACTGAACTTACTCAGAAATACATTTGGCAAGTTTCTGTGAGCGAATTTCATGAAAGCAAAGAGGTATTTTATAATTGCTAGAAGATCAGTATCAGTACCGCGAAAATTTATCTCCTGGTTGATATTTTCAGTGAAATTCGGGGCGCGTAGGGTGATTAACTAAATTCGTATTAGATTCTACTGATTTTTTCTAACTTGCTTTTTCAATAAATCAACATTCTTCGCTACAGAATACTGTAAAATAACAGTTTTTAAATATTTCACTAGGGATCAAATTTGCTTCTCCGTGACTGGGATCTGTGGGGTCCTCTTTTGCTCTGCATGGTTGTCGGAGCGATTTTGCACGAAGGCCAAGGTGGTCCTCACTTTACACAGTTCTTTGTCCTCTTCTGGATGGGCTCCGCAGTCGTCACAATCAACAACAAATTGCTTGGCGGCACTATTTCGTTCTTTCAATCGGTAACACTGCTAATGAAGAAGAAAACCTAACATTTGCATTTCAGGTGTGCGTTCTTGGCTACTGCATCGCTCCACTAGTAGGCGCGTTATTATTCTGCAGACTTGTTCTTCTATCTACGCAAGGCGCATTTCTGCCACGGGTTCAAAAAATACCCATGCTATCGCAATTTCAGTAAATAATTCGATCCACACTCTGAATCCCTTAAAAGTTCGCCCTTCGTTTTATCGTCACTCTCGTCGCCTTTGGCTGGAGTTCTAGAGCTGCTATGTGTTTTATTGGAGACACTGCCCCATCAGGTGAGTTTTGTTGAAAGAATTTTTCTTGAAAGCAGTCTAGATCGCCGGTTTCTCGCTGTCTATCCAATGGTTCTGTTCTATTTCATCATCTCGTGGCTAGTCATTACCTACTCCGGCTAAAGATCTTCGCCGTCCTAGAATAAAAACAAACTTCCATATTTAAGTCTAAAACCCTTATTTCTTATTTTCTGTATCCTTTCTCTTTTCCGAAACCGTCGACTGTGCAATCCTTTGAATATATCCAACACGGTTCCCATATTTCAACACTCAGAAATCACAGAAGCGTCTCAGCAGAGCGCTTCCGTACTGTCAAGGTTTAATCGGTTTATTGAGCGTTTATTGAAATTAAAATAATATACGAAAGCAGAAACTTTTTATGTATCTTGTGATGTAGATGCATCTTGAGAAGTCGATGCAAGTGAAGTAGCCTCTTCTGAAATAGATTCTTGGGCCATCTTAGTTTTGCGTTTTTGTTCTTTCACTCTACTCTCGAGTTCTTTGAGTGCTGCTAGTAATCGATCTTCTTCGCATTGAGTACCATCGGGAATGATTTCGTCGATTGATGTTGCTCCTATCTCGCGGTACTTTTCGCTCCTGAGCTTAGTGAGAAGTTTAGTCATTCTTGTTAACTTTTTTGCCGTCGGTCTGAATGAAATGATCAAGATCTTCTAACTGATGCCGTAATTACTCCAAAAATGTTTTATTCAATACATGAAGACGGTATCGGAGAACGACTAGACTGTTTTTGTCAACTCCGACACTTTTCGCGAACTCTTCCGAATCCTCTCTCACCAACTCTGACTGCATGTATACCGTACTTCCAGGGCGACTTCTGTAAACTCGCTTCCGGGTACCCCGATCGGGGGCATTAATTTTTCCCATGCTTAAAAGTAGTTAATTGTATTTTCAGATGGGGCTTTACCTGATCTTTCTCTTTTACGACAAAAGCCTCGCATTTTAACTAGTTGAAGAGCATCATGGAAACATTGGTGGTTCTAGAAACATCATTTCTTCCTTGTCTCCAGAATAGTATTCCTAGAGGGTTTTTCTTCTATTTTGTGGTCAAACCGCTAACTAGAAGAACCTAAACTGCTTATTTCATCTGATAGGATGCAATACTACGCAATACTTTATGAATCTCATTTGTACATGACTCGTAACGAAGGATAATAAACCGAATTAAGCAAATCGACATCAGGTGTCTCTGGAGTTATGTTTTCATGGGGATAAAACCGAACAAATCAGGTTAGAAATATGACCTGGTGGAGCAATTTCTTCAAAACACAACTAATTGCTCGACTTCCGGCCTGTCACTCGGCGAAATTATCGCTCCTCAGCTTGCTCCGGGAACACGCGGTAATCAAGTCACTGTAACGGACAGCGTTTGTCCCAATTAGCTGTCCTGCCGCGTGTGAAACATGACATGTTTCATGTTAGATGGCAGGTACCCTTGACCAAACGTGAGGAATTACGGCTTCACAAAAGAGTACCGGTCTCAAATCCCAAATCGAAGCCAGTCATCGCTACCTCAACCGCTCATTTGTCTTATTCACTCCTCCGCTTTCAGTTCCATTCTCACGTGCATGCGCATTTGCTACCTAACGGTCAGCAGAATCTCACACAGTCAGCGTTCAAAAAATTTATGCAAAATAAATTTCGTCATTTGTTAGCATTAGCGGCCGTTAGTTCCCTAACATTGAGGCCTTCAATCCGATCGCGGCGAAGAAGAGTCCGATGAAAATTATATCAAGAGCCTATGTAGTATAGCCTACTTTCCTTATCAAAATCAGTATTGTCTTATTCTCAATTCAGAAGACATTTTTTAAAGTTCTCGAATAAGAGTAAAATATCGAAACTAGAACTCGAAGATAAAATCACTTGATCTGTTAGAAACGATTTTTTTTTATTTTTATTATTGATGCGAATACTGGAGCAGGTAGATGAAAAATTAAAGATATGGGTCCATTCTAGCTGGAGGAGGTATTGTTACCAGAGAATGTGAATAGATTTGTGTCATTGTGAAGCGAGGTTGGAGGCTGGTAGCTTTAGCGCAGCGCTAGGTTGCGTTTTGCTGACTTTTTTCGGCGATGGCGCGCTGGAGCCTCTCGCGTTTCTGGGCTCAAGAATACGGCGCGCAACGTCTTCTGTCTCCTAAAACCTTGTTTTATACACATACTTCCTGTCTACAAAATTTCCCCAACATTTTTTCAGTCCTTGTTTGAGTCGCGGAAAAGACTCAACAGAATTCTATCGTTTGAAGAAAGAGATTTATTATTGCACGCGGAGGAAAGGAAGGACTCGGACGCAGGTAAATGCCAAATATTTTATATCAAATATTTAATCTTAACATTCTCATTTTTTACGCCACCAGCAGCCGTGGGATCGCATTTTCTACTGCTGCCGGAAACGGTCACTGCCTTCAGAAGGAGGGATTATTAGTGTTTTGGAACACCTGTTCACTCTGAGCAGCATGTTGACGGCGTCGTAAAAACGTGTCATAATTTACCGATTACATTTATATATTTTCTTAAATCAGAGTGCTTGAGCTCGCCAAATAGTAGTCTCCAGAAAAAAAGCGCAAACAGAATTTTTGTAATGAACTTTTTCCTTCCAATTTTGAGTAAGAAATATTATTTCAATTATCGAAATATATTAACATAAGCACGTCAGGCGCTCAAATAATAAACCACCAGTCATGCGCTTGTAGAAGGGAGCTTATTTCGCGAATATTTGAGAAAAAATTAATGCGACATTTCGTTAAAGTCAAAGTTTAGTCGAGTTTATCCATTTTATTCTGACTGCGACTTGCTGTCTTCCGTGGCTCATCACCGTTCTCTGGCGAATATTAAGGACGCCCCTTTGAAATTTCCATGAGTGCCCAATGAACCCACGATAACTTGTGAAAAATCTGGCTGATCAAAGCGGGTGCCGCGAGGTCAAAGCAGAAACAAAATTCTCAAGCGCAAATATTAGCTTAGCGATTTTGGACGAGAATTTTTTCTCTCGTCCTTGCCTGCGGCGTTTAGGCACACAACGCTTCTCGCGTATTATTTTTTATTCTTAAATAATTTTACAGGACCGTTTCAATTTTGTTCTGGAAGAAGGTTGGAAACGAGAAGAAGACGAAAACACGAAAGAATTCGCTTGGGAAATTGCCGCAAAGAGAGCAGAGCATGACGGTGCTCGATCACGAGCACCAAGGAGATCTGGTGACCTACTCCAGTGCCATTTCAGACCGATTTATTGTTGGAGATAAAGTTATAGCCAGGTATGGACGATTTTCTTGGCAATTTTAAAGAGAAAGTAGAACGGCACGTGAAGGTCTAAGAATTTCGAGACGAATTCCTGTAAACATGTCGTTAGTTGAAATTTTTGGTTTTTGATAAGCTGTTTGATCGTCGCTGCGCATTAATCTGAGCGATTCTGTATCGCCCTTATCGCCAAGTGAGGACGCGCAGTGAAGATCATCCGGTGGAGCGCTCGCCGCAGATTTGCTTGTCGACGGCTTCGCAAAGGATTTTCTAATATTGACCAAGCATTTGTAATTGCCCGTATTCTGCGCGGGCAGCTGCGCAGCTCGCCAGAACAATGTCACTTATCAAAATCTTGGATACTTCTCAGGCGGGTGCGCTTTTCGTTCACTATTTAATTTTGTTTCTGACATGAGCTGGAATAGTACATTGGCCGCTCTATTTAGCAGTGATACAGGACTCTCATAATACTTAGTCTTGGAATGTAACGCAATAACGTTACGTTTATGAGGCGGCTATTCTTATACTTTCGCTAATCTGCTGCCCAAAATAAAAATAGCCGAGGATTTTGGAAAATTTCCGCTACGATCCATAAGATGAAGGATTTTATGAGTTGTCAATGAGGCGAAAGTGATGATATGACGAGCCAAAAGGTCGCCCCGTGAATATTTACGCGAAATCACCATCCGACAGGCTCTTGATTTATTAATGATAAATTTTCATTCCTTGATAGCAGACCTTTGAGCTCAGCTCTGGATGGCTCGTTTACGATTCCCATGAGTACAGTCCGTGAAATCGAACTCGCTCTTAGCATTCAGATTATGTAAACCGGTTCAAGATTGCTTTGATTTTTTAAAAGGCGTTCTTTTTTGCGTATTTATTTTCTAGTGGGATTTCGCGGAGGCAAATATTTAACCACTTCTCAGCGGAATTCGGTGTAAAAGGCTCCTTGATCCGCTCTACACACTTTTGGGATAAGCATAAAGGTGTTTGGGTGGACAATTCGTTCATCCACGCCAGTTAAAAATGCATATTCCAAACAAGATAACCATGTATCCTTATTTTCTCCTGTCCCTTAACCGTCGGAACGGACTTGTCCCACGTCATTTTCAAATTTTTCAAACCCTCGGAACATGTTCCTGGAGCTTTGAACTAGGGAATAATAAATGGAGATAAGATTAATAGAAGTTTCGCGTCATTGTTTTCAGGTTGTAATCTGGGATTAGTTCTAATTTCGTCACGTTATTCCGTGCGGAACTGGAGCTCGCAATTGATAAAAACTCGTAATGCGGATATCCTCTCGGCGATTAATTCACATCTTACGCCCCCTTCCACGTTGTTAGATAGGAACATAACGACAAGTAACGCATAAGAAACTTTTTCAGAAAGTCCTCGAGACTTTTAGTTTCGCCTCTGCTCCGAAAAAAACGCGTTTCGGGTACTTTTTTTTGGATTCCGAGTAGAACCGCTAATCGTATTAATGACTATCGCCGAGAAGATGATAAATATCAATTTGAAAGTGCTCCTATTTAGACGCCCCAGAATATTTAAGCCCAGTGAAGAAAATATTGAAGTTTACTTTGAATAGGTCTGACTGTGATTACAGCGTCTGTTCTACAAATAAGCTTCGATGAGAACAAAAATGAAGAATTTGCGTTAACAAAAATATTTCAGAGGAAAATTTGGCGTGGTCAAGCGGCTGGAAGACAGATCGACAGGAAAAGTCTTCGCTGGAAAGTTTGTCAAGGTAAGAAACGTGGCCCTTGTGCGCAAGAATCAAATGCCAGTGGCCTCTGCTTGAAGGCTCTTTTCATTGCGAACGCAGTGATTAGCTCGCCCCTGCCTGTGGTTTTCTCGTAATATCGGCCATTTTCTGCGAACGAAAAATAATCAGTCCCCTAATTACTGAATTTTCACCATTTTTCGCTTTTTCAAGAATGGCACCTGTGTCGTGCCCCCCGTCTGAATACTTTTATCAAGAGAAAGCTAAATTTCCATTTGCGGATTAAAAATCGATTCGAAGGATACAGATTTGGCTCATCTCCTCGATATTCAATTTGTGATAAGCTTCTTTGGGAACATTGGTCTTTGTTTTGCGACAGTAGAACTACTGATAAGCAATTGATTTCGATCAGAGCTTGGACAAGACTGTGGCACAAGACTGCGATAAATTCTAGATTACACAAGAAGCACTTTTTATAACAGTCGCTGGTCCGTTGATGGCGCAACAACTTTATTATCTATTTACCATGCAATTCGCTTTGAGAAATTTTTGCCGAGAAGAAACGCGTTTTGTGGAAAATAAGATAAATAAATATATATTGGCGAAGCTCAAAACAGGTGCAAAGGGGATTTTCTGCAAAGGGATGAAGGGCTAGAGGAATATCGCCGAATCCAATTTCCAGGCAGCCACAGGGCCGCAGCACCGGGCTAATAACCGCGTCCGGAATGAACAGAAGTACTTAGCTAAATTTAACATCTCTGCTTTAGACAGAGTTCCTTGCCGAGATTAATTGCACGTGCACTTGCCTTTCATAATCCCCCGTTTCCGTGCTCTCCTGCAGATTCAGTACTTATCTTTGTTGGGTGCATGATCGAGCATTGCTTACGCTATAATCTAGTGCGTGGTAATTGTTTCGCATAGCAAGGGTAAGCCATTGATCTCCTCCCATTCTAGCCCGATACCGAACGTATCTATTGAATGTCAAAACACACGGCGACTTTGCAATTGCGAAATGCCGATCCTGACACCCGCTAATTGATCTCAATATTGTTTTTTGCGTCTTTCTCCTGGAAAGATAAACGAAGCCTCATTTTTTTTGCTTTGGGACGCTCGGCCGACTAAGTTGATCCCCTGCTCAAGAAGCGCCCGTTTCAATTGCCCTGCTGTTTAGCCCAAACGGCCGTCTATTCATTTTTATTTATTGGGAGCTACTTGTGTTCACGGAAGGACATACTGCACGACATTCCGCTGGTCAAGCGACTCTTACAAGCGGGCGTTAAAAAAACTTTGGGGGCATCCCGCCGCGCCACATAATTTTTCCACCAAAAGCGCGTTCAAGTGCCCTTCATTTCGGACAATTGGATCTCACAAATTCGGCGACTTATTTTCGAACAAATACATTTTCCTTCTTTTCTCATCGCATTACTGCATTAATTCCATTTTTATTAATTCGCAGAGGGTTTAATCTAAAATTTGCTCTCATTTACTTTCTAAATTGGGGATGATAACTGGTTTTGTCGGAAACGTGAGGCAGGGCGCGATGACCTTCGAGAGCAAATTCGCTGAAATTCGTCCAAATGTCTCAAATGTCATCTGCTTCGCAGTTCTTACGTAATCCACTGAACACGCCGTCGGCCTAATTAGATTCTAGCTTGGCTTTAATTTGGAAACACGAACGCTATTGACCGCCAATTCGAGGGACTGTCTTATCGACGGGGATGCCCTTAGAGAGACAGAGAGTGTGATGCAATTTGCAGGTTTAAGTAGGAAGCGCTTCTTTATTTTCGGCAGGCAAACGTTGCCAAAGTAAAGTGTACTGCGTGACCAGAAATATTTTTCTTTTAAAAGCAGTGGAATTCGCGCACAAATTACTAAAATTGCGCCACTAAGCACAAGCATAAGTACTGCTTGCCTCTGCTCTTCGGATATTGCGGATACGGTATTGGAGGGAGGATGCAATCAGGGAACAGCCCCAGAAAAGCGTCAGAGGCGTTGAGATTAGATAATGCAATTTTGAAAAGGGACTCGACCTATTTTTTTATCAAGACCTACTCGGAAGCGATGACTTCAACTCTTCGGGTCTGATTTGAAGGACTCAACTGACTGAATTATTCTAGCGCGGCGATGTCGAGCGCGAAGCCAGACTGCACAGCGAAGTGGGAGTACATCCCTACATCATCGGAATGGAAGCCTTCTACAGACACCGCTCAGAAATGGTGATTGTGATGGAACTGTAAGAAAAAGCAACTAGAGTATAAATGAGACTTGCTTTAGCGCGACGAGGGGGGACATTTTTGAATACTGCGTCGGCAAATGCCCGTTCACGGAAGACGAAGCAAAAGAAGCGACTAGACAGGTTACGTCCGCACTAGAAAGGGTTTGCGCGATAAGTTAATTTCATTGAAAACAATTGCCAGTTGCTCACGTGTACGCCCACGTCTACAAATACCATGGGATTATTTTTATACATGTGAAATTGAAATCAGAAGCTTCTTTACGTGCTGTCACTGTTGAGCATTTGAAGAAAGAATTCTCTGCCGGTGCCGGATTGGCGCCCGTGCTGCACAGTTAAACTAAATTATCGCTTCACCACATTAGGTGGCGGCGTAATTTTCGAAGCCAGCCACCTGTACAGTAAGCTCGATTGATGCGTTAGAACTCATTTCTCATTCATTTGCTGGAATCAAGCTTGCGCCAAACACAGTTTATCGTGAGTGATTTAATCAACCAGCATCATCGACTTTGAGAGTCTAAATTTGCAAAAGTTAAATTCCAAAATGCAATTTTCGAGAATTGATTTTAAAAAGACGCGATGCAAACCTCAACGAAGCCTTTATTCACAGTAAGCACATTGTGCACATGGATCTGAAACCGCAGAATATTCTCCTCTCAGACGATGGAAACTGTCGTCTCGCTGATTTTGGACTATCGCGAAAGATTCCACCTGGACAGAAGGTTTGCGAGATTTCCGGCACGCCTGAATACACTGGTAATTCTATTTTTGATTTCGACCGCGATTTTTTAATAATCTGGACTTTATTGAGAGCCCTGCTCTTTTGATAACAGAGGAATCTTCTTCCGAATTAACATAACTGGTTACGCCGTGGTTCTAGTGGGTCAAGGGGTTACGATTTTAGCGCCGCGCTCTTCTCCAAATTCATAAATCGGACTCAAGTGGCAAGAAGCGCCGTGTAATGACCAGTCTTCTGTTCTTCAAGACAGTTGTTCAGAACGGCTCTGTTCGTTTTCATTAGCTCTGGGCGCGTAGCCATATCATTTAAAATCTGCTTTTGCTAGTTTGTTTTGCATACAAGTTTGCGAAAAAGTTCACAGTCGGGAGAATATTTTTCCGCTTGAGAACTCGGGACGCACGTGGCGGCGAACAAGCGCAAAGGGCGATTATGTATGAGTGAAAGGGAACACTTATGGGAATTTCAGCTCCAGAAATATTGGATTATTCACCGGTAACACCTGCTGCCGACATTTGGTCGCTCGGCTGTGTTATTTATGTCATGCTGACGGGACTCTCACCTTTTGCCGGAGAAGACATTCAAGATACTTACTTAAACGTGAGCCAAGGAGCGGATCGAGCAATTCAATGCCGTTATTGCTAAGTTAGAAAGATGTGAAAATCCGCACTTGAGTTGACTTAGACTTCGATGACGAAGAATGGGAAGACAAGAGCCAGGCCTCGATCGACTTGATTTCCTCGCTTTGCCAAGCGAGACCAAAGTATGGAAAGTCAACTTGTGCCAAAATTATAATAAATTCTAGCAATCGACCGGAAGCCAAAGAGGTCTTGGAGCATGTTTGGCTTAGTACGAACGCACCTCTTAGATCTTTGAGACCCGTCGAAGCCAGCGACGAATGTGAGCTGATACTACCTACACAACCAACTAAAGAAAGTCCTCCCAAACAAGCTCCAGAGTCAGTGTAAGTGTTGAACAAAGTCCACTAAAAGGGTAACAGGGTAGAGAACTGCGGCCTCTCGGAAGAATAAGACATGTCAAAAGGAAATGTTTTCTGTCTGGATTTCATTATTTTTTTAAACAGTAACTTTGGACGTCAATTTCTTGGATCGACATGAAACTGTAAATCCAAAAATTGAAACCACCTCCTGAATTGACCTATCCGATTGTTCCTAGAAGCCCGAATTGTACAAAATCTGTCGCTAACATCTCATATCGAAAGATATTACTTTTATATTTTGGCTTGTTTCGGGAAGCATGACTTACCTTTCAACAATTATTTAAGCTGCAACTCAGGTGCTTAATTAATTGAACTTGTTTTTTGGCTATTTTGACCCAACAGAAAACGTAGCAAGGCCCTTGAAGTAATTAAAATATTTTCTAATAAGTTTGGCTCGCTTCGGCGGACTTAGTTTTTGATCCAAGAAAATCCAAATCGCTAATTTCAGATTAGCGTTAGAGCATTTTTAAATGTTCTCACGTTAGAAGGTCTTTTCGAGCTCGTTACTAAGTATATTCGCAGCACTCACTATGCTCTAAGTTAATTAGCCGTTGTCCCGCAGAAACAACTACTCCCCGGGAAAGGGTCCATGTCTTCCTGCAGATGTCAGAAGCATATTTTCCGCTTTCTGAGAAAATTCTATTACCGTTTAACATTGAAAAAACGCTTGTTTTGCCGCAAATCAAAGCGACATCACTCGGCCGGAGCTATTTTAACGTTAAATCGCTGGCATTTTCTACCCAAACAGTTACCATGTAACAGTTCTCTCTTCCGAAAAATCGACTGTATCTTTCTTTCAGTGTTGCTGATGAGATAATTGTAAAGAACCGACGGACAAGGCGCAATCGCCGCAGCCAGCAGGAGTTGGAAAAAGTAAGTTTGAAAGTGATTTTTCTGCACTTCTAGCTTCTGTTTTTATTCAGTAGGAATATCTGAGCGATCGAATATTCAGTTCACAAATGTTAATTTCTCGTAATTCTGGTTAATTACTCTTGATTATTAGCTGGTACGATCAGCGAGATTGTCCGGAGATTCGGACTCGGGCGTTTCCATTTCTGACGACGACTCCTCTTTGATTCCGAAAAGCTCGAACAGCCAAGCTGGCTCGACGGTGTCGGAGCACAGCTGCGAGAGCAGCCACCAGCCCCAGCACCTCGCGCCGAAAAAGAAACTCGACTTTTTCAAGCGCCGCGAGAACCGCCGCAAAATCTATCACCTCAAGGTTTTCCACCATCGCCAAGCCATCCTAACGCCGCAATTTAACGCGCACACTTACCTAAACTAGGCATGCTCTAATCTTGCAAATCACACGCGCACAACCAACAAAATCAAATCAATCATCGACGTTGTAATAAATTTACAATTAAAATCTTCGCCCGCCAGGTATTTATAACAACTAAAAAAGTATTCAGAACAATATTGACCATCGACGAGAAGCGGCTGCGCATTAAGTGTCATCACACGATAAACTTAAAATATCCAAGGTTAAACTGTACAAATATTCATTCTTTCGGATGGTTGTGCTTTTTCGTGAAGAAAAAAATTGAGCCCGGAACTGCTCGTTGGGCGAGTTCTACCTTATTCTGACGCTTGAAAGTAAACTGACTCTGTTGGGCTAATTTTGGCGAACATGTTATTTTTAAATTATCAAATAAGACGACCCTACCAACCGAAAAAATCATAACACAAGTGTTTCCCTTTCTATGCCGCAGTATTTCTGTAAATAAACATCCAGCTATTATTTAAAACGCGCTGTTTGTGTTTTCATCGCTTCTTTTTGGCAGAAATAAAATGATTTTTCAAGTGCTTGTTTCCGGAACACGCAGTTCTACGAGGCAAAAATAAATGCCAGAAGAGCGCTTGAAAAGGCGTAAATAAATGGAGATTACGGCATGGGATAAAGCCTGTTGGCAAAACAAAGAGATACGGAAAAGTCTTTATGTTGGAATATAAATATAAATGCTCAATAGTCGAAATCGCGACCAGCAAGAAGCTTCTCGAATATATATGCGTTGTCGTGATGCCACATTTCGTTAGATTTCATTTTCTGCGCACACCAGATCCGATCTTCACTTTTTCAGGATCTTAAACATTTTTCTTTTAGTTGTTAAAACTAATAATATTCTGTTGATCCCCGTATCTTTTCAGATGCTCTAATTTCCATCGCTCTGTTGGGTGATTCCATAAATGACAATCGCTGCGAACAGGATCGTACTTCGTAATATTTTTTTCTGCAATCAAGGAAGAAAATGCTGAGGAAGTGCAAAGCATCTCTCGGCGATATAATTTCAAATACACAGATAACAAAAGAATCCCGTTGAAGTCACTGCCCTTCTGTCCACATAAACTTTCAAGCATGGGATCTATAAGATCTTCGAGAAACGCTCGTATCGCAAAAGGAATGCCATTTTTAGCAAACAGCTGTTCATACGCATCAATCAAAGCATTCGTTGATACCCATCTACGACGATTGAGCACGGCATCTGAAATATCAATTAAGCCTTCCAAGTTTTTGCCAAAGTTCAGCATCAGAATCAAATACGAGAGTTCGTGCTCGTTGAGATCGTCAATATCTGAGAGGATATCGGAGTTAAGTTGTTTATCGAAGGAAACAGTGTAGAATGAACGTCCATTGCAATTCGGGAACAAGCTGTTTTCGGGCATGAAAAGCTGATCCCCTGCTTTGAGAAAGAGGTTTTCCTCTTGTCCATCTTTTGTCCGATAGCAAACCGGTAGCGTTTTGAAGATAGCAGTGGTTTTTTCGATGACGATTCCACTGGATGAAATCTTCAATTCAATATTTGGCAGTCCTTTATCATAGAAATATTCTTCTGGAAGCTCCATAAATCGTAGAAACGCATCTGTTGATACTGCGGAGGAGTAAAACATCGATAAATATGCTGGTAATTTTTCCATAATAATATCTCTGTACTGATATAAAATAGAGGAAGATTTGTAATATGTAATTTTGTCGAATAATGCTCTTGGATCTTCTGGGGCGAAAGAAAGTGGATGTGTAGCTGACTTTCGGTCATTTTGCAGCGCCTGAACAAAGCTTTTTGTCCATCTCAGGTCGGAAACGATGTCATCGTCAATGTATTTTTTAAGAAATTCGTCACTAAAAAACGTGGCGAATCCTTCGTTGAGCCAAAGATCACTCCACTGGCCGATGGAAACAGTATTGCCGAACCACTGGTGTGCCATCTCATGGCCAATTGTAGTAAGAGCTCGCACAAAATCCAGCAGAGAAGAATTCCGGTCGAGTAATATTTGATCAGCGCGGAAGATCATCAGGCCAGGCGACTCAACAGCAGCCGCCGAAAATTCATCAAGGACCAAGCAACGAAGAGAATGTGCGGCCCATGCGTGCGTGACTTCGAAAACGCTTTCAAAGAAATCCAATGCTTCCTCAAATATCGAAATGTGAAGGCTATCGATGTTTCTTTTCGACGATAAGACAGATAAACTCTTCGTAGAGGATGATTGGTACGAAAAGTCAGAGCTGTTCAAAATGACAAAACTGAACTTTTATTATGCTAATCTAGCGTCGATAATTTACCTAAGAAGATGGAGCGGCATCCTTGGAGTCGGATAAAAAATCACAAAATCATCTCCTTCTTCCTTCGCTTCAGTGTTGAACAAGACCGTCGTGTCTTTAGAACTTTTCTTGACGAACAATTCAAAAACTGATTTGGTGATTTTTCTGTCAAAACAGGGGAAGAACCTTGATGCGTGGTTCGGTTCCAAATATGTGGCAATACTAACTGAAATAAGGATAGATCATGCATTCAACTTTTGCATAAATAATTTTGCACTTGTATCCTTAGCCGAGTCACTTCCGATGACATTTTCTTCAAAAATACCAACAAGATCTCGATGAACAAGCTTTTCATCAGAAACTTTCGCTATTTCTGTCTCAAAAGAGACCAATAGTGTAGTTTTTAGAAATGGCACTAGTCCTCCTGAAACGAGAATTTCGAGTATGCTTCCCCTTCTCTTCCAATTGATTGAGTTTTTGCTTATGCTAACCGACGAAATTCGGATATTCTTTGAAGAATTCAGAAAAAGCAAGTTCTGAGGCACTTTGGAGTAGAAGAGAATCTCCACATTGCCAGGAAGTATCTTCGTTGAATTGCTTTCTAAGATGTTTTCCGGGAGAGTGAAATTTAGAGAGTACTTTTTTCCATGTCGGGCTATCTCAAGTGTAATTTCTCTAATTAGTCGCTATTCAAAGTGTTGTTAGCCCTCTCTATTGCAAGTTCTGCATGGGCGAATGTTGATATAAGCAAAATTATCAGTTGCATGGGGCAATTAGCGCTTGTTTGTCACCACTTGTCTATAAAAGACGGGTGAGTTTGACCGACCTTTAAAAATCAGGAAATTTAATTCACCATGCCATGATCGATTCAAAGTTTTATTTTATAATAGCATTTGAACTGAACTAATCACATATGAACACCCGCAGTTGACGAAACATGTGAAGAGCTCGAATCGTTGCCAGAAGGTGTTGGCGAGTTGGGAGTATTTGTAGAGGAGCGAGTTCTAGAGCCAGCAAAAATACGAGAAGACTATTGAAGGCGTACCTTTTCGTCGAGCCCCGACGGGATATGTAGGAGAAATTTGTGATTCGAAGTGCTATCTGTGTCAAGTTACTAGTGTTTGGCGAAGTTGGCAGCTCTACTTCAGGCTATAAAATGCATTCATAATTCGAAATCAAGAATGACAGAGAAAGCCTTTTCTGGTCGCCTTGGAGATTTTTCCTTGACGCGTACAATATTGCAGGAACGGCAAAAGCAGAATTTTCGATAAGTCAGACTCATTATTTCAATTTCGGGTGAAATTTTTAGTTTCAAACTTAAATCTGACACATGTTATTTCTCTGACTAGAGGACACTTTCTCTCGAGCCCTCACTTGCAATCGCGAGCATATCCTGTTAGCTGTGCATTATTCAGTTAAATTGGTCAGTCGGAGTTGCTTAATTGCGCCCACTTGGAATCGGGTACCCTCGTGAGACCGGTTTTAATTTTTCAATTCCAGCTTTCAGAACTTCTCGCACTGTAGAAATAGGCTCGGAAAAGCAAGTTTTTGAAGAAACATCTGTACGACTATTAGATTCGTTCCTCCTGGCCTTTGGGCTTATTCCAGAAATTTCATTTTGCTAGTCATGAGTTCAAAATTCATCGATTCTTCATTTTAATATAAAAGTATTTATCAAAATAAGGATGGATCAGTTATTTTGAATTTCCTTTGTGAAACGCGAATGCCACCGGAAAGGAAGTAAAAGAAATTTCAAGTTTGGAGATTTAAGTTTTGCTAAAAAATGTCTTCGAATGGGGGAAGTTCCCGGACGGCATCAGAGACACAGTTTGAAATCATAAAAGAGAATCGACGTCGTATTTTTTATTTCAAACTCAAAATCAGTCTAAAGGAAAGAAGCTGATGAGCAAGAAAAAAATAAAAGAAAAACTAAGTGTCGCGAAATGTGTGTTCAATGACTTCGTTGATAGAAGCATCGACAAGACGATCAAAGCAACGACTTCGATTTCCACTTCTATGAGCAGAGCGCATTCAAGAGACAATCTTTCTATTTCAAGCAAACGCTCTGGAATTTCCTCGCTTCCAAGGGGACTTTTGAGGTTTGATTTCATTAATATTTGATCGAATGATTTTATACATTTTTCAGGATAAAAGATGTGATTGACGTACACGTACTACAGGAAGTTTTTCATGAATTTAGTTATTCAACATTTTGAAAATACGAAAACCGAAAGTAGAAACCCAAGGATGCTCCTACTATCGACGACGTGTTTCATGAACAGGCGATTCTTCCTCCGATAGACAGAAATAAGTTTTCCGGTGAGTTCGACTGGGGAGAGAATTGGGCATCGATGGACGACTTCGAGCATGCTGTTGGAAATCTTGATTCAAAGACTGTTCAGGAAATGGGCTCTTCGTTGTCGATTCCTCCACATTAAGAATGTGGGATTCATCATAATTTACGGATCAAGCATTGAAGCCTTCGATAGTTAAAAATCTCTTCACCGAAATAGCACAAGCTCAACATAAATATTCGAAGCGCATTGGCGAAATAGGAATGGATTGTGAAACTAATTCCCCTTATTTCAAAGACTAGTGGTTACAGTCCTAGGAAAGCTAACTCTCACTTACGGGACTACCAAAAGCTACACAAAGAGTTGGATAGCCAGCCGCATGCCGAATATTCAAAGCACGAGGCGATTATCAACTTGTTCCAGGTTTTATGTCTCGATCAATACGGTGGTTTTGAGGGCGAAGTGTTGTGGTCCCCAAACAGCTATTGACAGGGCGATGGTATTTTATACTCTCGACTCATGTTAATACTCTCAATGAGAACTTTGAGCAAATACCAAAATGATCTGTTTAGTATTTGCTGAAAGTTGCGGACAACAACGAGGTGAGTTCATTGTCGAT